GAATATATATTTAATAAAAAGGTGCTATAAAATTAGTCTGCTCTATTAAGACCCTAATACATTGCGAATTTCTGATAACGTATTCGATAAGCGAGCTGACCACCCCATGCGAGCTGGCCACCCACCTATTAAATCTACCATTATTATTGAATTTTTCAACCACAACATAAATTCAGTAAAATTGAAGCTATTCAGACATCTCCGGGCACCTATTTCTCCTATGTCCTAGGTTTTTACAGAGGCTGCATCGTTGTGGTCTCCTCTTATTGGTCCGATTCGGCGTCGGCGATACAGCTCCATCTCGACCTAAGCTAGCTTCATGAACTATTTCCGGTCCTGAAACTATTGACATAGCCTCTAGAACCGATATTCCACCTTTATGAGCTATTCGCTTCCTCGTACGCTTCCTTTTCTGGGTTGTTTTCGCATTGGCGGCACGTAATTCGCGGTTTTCCTGGCGTATAATCGTAGCGCCGTGTATAGCTAGATAGCAGCCTTTCACGATCTGCTCAAAGGCTTTTTCGGCGCGCGAGGGGTCCTCTTGTAGCATTTTCTTAATAGAGGAAGCTTGCCGGCGTACGTCCTTCACTATATACGGGGTTTTCGGCGTAAAATTGCGGCTAGAATCGCTTCCTCGACTCGGAGGAGGTGGAGGAGTAATAAGGCGTATATTTAGCTTCGAAATCACGCGATTCGGATCAAAAGGAGCGATGCTAGCAGCTGCGAAGCTATTAAGAATAGTTTCCGGCTTAAATGCCTCTCTCCGGGCCCGAGGATAAGCTATAAGGAAGTCGTATTTATCGATACGACTAATGCAAAGCTTTATTTACGAGTCTACTAGCTCCCCGTACGCCCGTTTTAGTACCCTAAAACAGCCGATATCGAGAGGTTGTAGGAGGTAAGAGGAATACGACGGTATATAGATAGGTATAATATCGTTTTGAGAGCAAATCGAGTCAAATTGAGGCGTAAGATAGCTGCCATAACCGTCGAGGATAAGAAGACGATACCTCCCCTTCGTCCGGCTTGTAGTCGATGGAATAAAAAGCTTTTGGAGCTAGTTAAGACCTATTTTATCGGTTATCCATCTATTATTACTCAATTCGAAGCGCCAGTCTAATAGGAGGTTGGTATCCTTGAACCATGCCTCTATAAGGACCTTGCCTTTGAAAATGACGTATGGCGGAAGCACCCACCCTCCCGCACTAATAGCTTCAATTGAGGTCACCTATTCGCGGTTTCTAGGTTGCAAAACGGCTCTCCGACCGTACGTTCTCCTTGTAATAACCTTCGCAGTAGCCGTAAGGCCGAGGGCGAAGCCAGTTTCGTCGAAATTGTAGATATCGTCGCCGACAATGCCGTACTTTTCGATCGTAGCTTTCACGAAGTTAAACCACATTAAAATCGCCTTTTCATCCTCGCATTGAGCCCGCCGGTAGTCGTACGATCGCGAGAATCGAGTAGAGAGGTCAGGGTGCCGTTTAACGAAGTTTTCGACCCATTTTTCGCCGACAGTAATAGGTGGAGTTGACCCGCGCGCTTTAAGTAGTAAATCAGCTGCTTCTCGTACTGTACGAGGCCGAGGAGCAGCTCCACGATCGTCGAGTGAGAGGATCCAATTATAAAGCGATTCCTCCTCGAAAACAGTCAATTTATGGCTGTTGGCGCGAGTTTCGGCGCGATAGGTGATGCCATTAAGACGCGCCGAGAGCGTGGAGCGGGGGACATCAAAAACCGCTGCAGCTCTACGTACAGAGCTAAATTCTTGTTTCTGAATAGCTTCAATAGCTAATAAGATCCTACCCTCTTGCTCTACACGTTTTTGAGAGCATTGAGAGCGAATTGGCGGCATGGTAGGTGGTTGAATAGAGACAGTCTAATTACGCGGCGCGTTTTTGATGGGGTGGCCAGCTCGCATGGGGTGGCCAGCTCGCTTATCGAATACGTTATAGATTTTTAGTAGAAAAATGATCAATAGTGTTATATAGTTTCTTATAGGTTATAGTTGGTTATAGTTTATTGCGGTTTATTAATAGTTTCTCTCGGTTTATTAATAGTTTCTCGCGGTTTTTAATAGGTTGGCCTGTAAGAAAGCCCCTATTATCCAATTAGCGGCTTAATATAATTATTTAGTCGCGATATATTAACTCCCCTAGGGATCCTTCGTTTATCGGTCGCGTCTATATAGAATCCTTATAATTTGTGTAAGTTAGACCTTTCCCTTCTTATATTTATAATCAGCTACAATATCTCAAAAATAGCAATATCCCTTATCCTTATTATTATATAATAGCGACTTGGATAGTTACACTCGCTAGACCTTGACATTTCCCATGGGACTGTAAACAATGCAAACATTAGCTATCTAGCGAAAAGCATGATTGATTGAGCTATCTGGAGAAGACTGTCTATATATATAGGCCCTGAAAGAACTTCTACTAACACAGAGACAAACAAGAGGTCTAAAAGAGAGAGGGCAATTCCAGGATATTTGTCCTGTTTTAACGTCACAGAGTTACCAGATTTTAACCCAAATATCGTCCAATCAATTCGTAATGACTTGAAATTGATTAGCACGCTGAAGTTTGAGTATGGTTATAGAGAAGCAGATTTTGACTAATTCTGATTAGCTGTGTTAATACTCAATTAATAGGCAGGTGGCATGTTGGGTGTGTATTTTTCGCCATAGAAATTGAAACCAACATGAGCAATTGTGTACCGTCAGTCGAGTATGCACTAGAGCAGAACTAGTAGACTCCCGATGGTGAATAACATAGTATTCTGCACCAGACACGGCTCCTTTGAGCCTAGTATTTGTCCTTGATGACCATCCCTTCCGGGTAGACCAGGCGAAATCGATTTCTTTGATATTAGATGTCTTAGATCCCGATCGAGTTGCGGGTTGGTTGGTGGCATTATTGTCGGGAGAATTGTCGCCGCAGTTCACAGCGCTGAATTCGACGGTGCGAGCATGAAATCTTCCATCAGGAAGCATCCTCATCGTTAGATTTATGGGCTGATCAGTAGCATGCACATGGTGCCAATCATAATAAAGAGCCGAAGTGAAAACAAAACTATGGGTAACGCCCTTATGGGTAATATGGACGTAGCTAACCTCATACACGACACGTTTGATAGGAGTTAATGTATCGAATATGCAAGCGCTGCCATAGGCATTGATAATAGCACCAATACCAATAAGTAGCGCAATGCACCCCGTGGTAGCTTGACTAGGCATAATATAGTCCTAGACAATCCAGATAAAGCCCCCTCCAATGCTCGAGGCATTGCTATACCATCAAAATGAGAGATCATGAGCTCCACGGGGGCCATTATTAGGCTTACAAACGCCGTGATGGCCGCTGCGAATGTGTATTTCTTCTGGCCCACAGCACCTATTTAGGCGGTTAATCGAAGGAAATATGAATTAAATAAGTTGTTTGAAGGCGAATACAGCGATATTGAAGGAAATTGCCTTGATGAGAAGACCGGTTGATCGTTGAAGTTTGTCGTTTATGATGAGGAGAATAAGGAGGAATCTTGTTCATTTAAATTCGTGAATGCCTTGATATAAGAAGACAAGAAAATGAATGATTCCCACAAGAAATTCATATGGTCCCCGGTGTTCCTGAATGTCATAGGAAAGGGCGGAAGAAAAGGAGTGCACATGAGCGCGGTGCACAAGCGGTGTCCGAGCGGTGGCGGCGGGTGGGGTGGCAAAGGGGGCCAAGCTAGTGGGAGCTAACTAGCGTGTAACAAGATACTCTTAGTCCTCTTTAAATTAAACGACTACGTCATAATTTAGGGTCAAGTATCTTTTTCAAATTAAAAACTACAATGCATTTATTAAATGATTTCTAAGGAAACATAGTAGATATTGGAAAGCCTGTAAACTGTATATTTTTTTTATTTACAACCCCGTAAAAGGTGGTCTACTTGTAAGTACATAGCCCGGCGAAAGCTTGACTTAAAAAGCTTGAACTAGAAAACTTGAACTTCGGATAAGGTATCGAGCCCAGAACTGATGCCTATACAAATTTTGCGTGTGCCCTTTGCTCCACAGCGTCCTTGTAAAAAGATATTGCTAAAATAAATTAATTATTTTCTTTCCTCTTCTCGGCATATCTGCTATATAGGTTGGCCATTAACAAAAACGCCTCACCAACAGGAAAAGGCGGGTACTAAGTCGTACTACTCAAGATGACTCGGCAAGTATGAAATCCGGAAACCTTGCATAGCATGTTTTGTTGTATAAATCTGCGACTTTCAGCATCCAAATTTATCTTGTTACATAAAAATTCTACTAGCTTCCTTCTAAGCTTAGCCTCCGTACGGTACAACCAGCATCAGGTGAGACATAGCCTTGGTGGAGTGGAATAGAACAAAGTCAAATGGAATTATGAGACCACTAAGTGGAAGTGGGTTCTATATAGACTGGCATTCAATAGGGGTTGCCAAAGCTCCTGATTCTTAGGTCTCTGCTTTACAGCAAACATCCGCCAACTAGAGGGCACCAATTGTGAACTGGGGTTTGAGCTCGATTGTACTCGGGTCCGGCTGGAAGACACACGCAACAAACGCGATCGACTGAGAACTAAATGGGCGAGTGTAAGTGTGAGAATTGGAGGCGATCAAGGCTTTTTAAAGCTATAGGGCCAGAACAGTAGTTCCCCGACGGAATAATGTTATAGAACCCGATCTCAAGAGATCTCGCGAAGAAGCACCGTATTAGACTGTGACGAGGGCTATATCGCGTTAAACGAGTAGACTTACTTGTTTATATACGGTGATACGTTATGTTATGTATGTTGGATGGATATAAGCTCTGCTTATGGGAAACTAAGTTTTATCTTCTCGTAATTTTGACAAGCAAAATGAGTGGATCAAAAGGTGAGTATAGACCCTATTTTGCCCTGCAGTCAAGAGTGAATGCTGCGTTGCGTAGTATATTGGTATTTTTTTAAAGTTAGGATAGTACACAAAAAAGGAGAATGACCAACTCATCGGGACCAACTCGCTAGGAAGAAGCAGCAGTTTGCATGAAACCTGAACCCAATTCTATCCAAGATACCCTCCGCGATAGGGCCATGTAGCCAGTTTGTGATGATTGACGGGGATGAGGTGAACCCTATCAAAATTGCCCTACTGCGAAGAGGCGTGGTATCAGCAACAAATAGTGTGATACTGAACGAGATACAGTAAGATCCGATGTTGTAAAAAACTTGTGCGACGCAGTAGGTCTCAACATTTTGACAAGCTGCCATCATCGCCGTACCAACAGTCATAAAGAGAACCATCACAGCAAGGCCATGAATACGTCCCCATACGTCAATTAGCTTGGCATAAGGGATTTGAGAAATTCCGCCTGCAAAGCTGGCGATGACCGAGGTGGTTGCAGTCAGAGAATGTTCTTCAAAAGCGCTTGTCACGTAGGGGTTCAGAAGCCGAGTGACTCCTGTAGACATGTCGTAGACAAACATGGCGACCCAGATGCTGTACCTTTTGTTAGAATGCTAAAACGCTGGATCGTGGAACAATGTAGTGCTTACAGAAGGTAGATCACAATGAGTTCCCTTCGTGAGAGGGTACTGGCCAGTGCCTGGGCTGCTTGAACACCGTATTGAACAGAAGACTCGCAGATATTATGTCCACCAGTATGATTCGTGTCCCTCATAATGCTGGCTTTGTTTTCTTGGCTCTGCTGGGAAGGAGGCATGGCATCCTCCAGAAAAGTGCACTCCGCTGTTCGAGAAATAGCAATTTCCATGATGGCTGTTTGTTTTTGGCAAGGTTCTGAGTCCCGAAGCAAAATTGAAAATCGAAAAAAGCAGTTGATAAACAACTTGAGTGACAGTGTTTGAGAATCGGAACAATGAGATATTGTCAACATATAAATAGCTACAGCTACCCGGACTTTATTATTCTGTCGATGCCAAATTTTAGGTAACAGCAATAAATAGCGCGTAGATATTCTAGATCTATGAGGTTGCATTAGACATCATATTTATTAGTTCCCCCTATCAGATCACCTTTAGGTTTCTGTTATCAATCAGCAACTCCAAAAATGCAATCCCAAAATACTGATCCACACAAATCTAATCCGACCATAGATTCCCACACCAAGGCACCTGTGCCATCATCCAAACCACAGAATATAAATTAAAATAGTTGCTAAAGACTTCAAACTTCCTAATAGGTTCCATAATATCGCCAATCGTTTTGCTGTGTCATTTTTTTTACTGACTGAAGGATTAGTATCGTTCAATGCACAGATGTCAGCGATGACATGAATATGTAAATTACAATAGCAGATGGTAATTGATGTACGTTTGTACTTTGCAAATATGTCTATGAATGTCCTCAAATGCCATTCCATCCCACCGCAGGTGTATTACATACTAGATAAACAAAACGCCATCTTTGAGCGGAACCCCATTTAGCCAGCAATAGTATACTCACATATTCCATGGCTTTTAGCCACCCTGTCAGGCAACCAAAGCCTTTGTTCTCCCGGTATCCCGTTGACCATACCTGTGGGCTGAAATCTTTACTCGACGATGGCGAGGGGATGTAGCCGAGCCAAGTATCACCTACCAGAGTCTCGGTGCTGCTCGGAAATTTATCACGCCATGATATATGACCCTTTATCCAAAATCTGTGCTTTGACTTAATGGCCCACAAAGCGCTATTAGCTAAAAGTTCGAGGTACAGTGAGATTAATATAGGGCACATGGCCCAAGATATGGGACAAATAGCGCTAGACGAAGCATCTGGACGTAACCCTTATGCGGCTTGAGCCGCCCTACCGCGAAGCCCCATCAGGCAATCTCCTCCGATAAGCCGATCATCTCGGATTGGCAGGTACAAGCTCAATTTTTAAATTTCTTCCCCTTTGGAATTCACTGCATCGTATATTCCCGTTTTGCAAGCAGCAGATATACAGTAAGATGTCTCCTTGTAGTTAATTAGTTACGTAAATTGAGCAGAGCTTCTCTTGCCGTCTTCATCCCAGGTCTACAACTTACCCTCGAGACCGATTCGAACCCAATAGCACAAACTCGATCAAAGAAAAAAACGCAGCCCTCTCTAACACTACACCCGCGTGTAGTTGGTTTATTGCTGGGTCAGCACTGAAATATTAGCGTCAGAATTATGCGCACGCCCCTTGGGAGATTTCGGCACGTGATGATGATTCATGGGTTTTCGCCTTGCCTTGGCCAAATACATATTACAAGAAACTACCTATCGATCTGGGTTTTGGTGTCAATTCAAAGAAGCATAGGACGCAATTGTACCCTAATAGACTAATGAAGCGATTCAAACTGACATCGCGATGTGGTCAACTAGTTAGATGAATTGCATATAAGATCGGGGCCATCGTGGTATTGTTCTGACATTGATACTGTGAGAATCTGGCATCAACATGGATGCTAAATGAAGGTCAAAAACATGCAGTAAGCACGTCAACATTCAAGTTCTCTTCGAGACTTTCCACCAAGCTCACCACAACACTGCTCATCACTGTCCGTCAACACCGTTCGTTATTCAACTACACCGATTGAGTGTCTGCTCGCTACCTTCAAAACATCGCAAAATCCAACGACTGCCATCATGGATGAAGAGCGACAAGGTTTTCGACCGGAAGGGCAGACACTGAGGGGCCTATGCTATGCCATGAACACTAATTTACCGTGAACTACATTCTCTGTACGACCTATCTGGCAAGGTCTTACTCTCCCTATACATTTGAGAAGACTGAATCAATCTGCTTTAACCTGGCTGACCATACGTGCCATATCTCGAACATTGATTCTGATGGTTTCAAGGGTTGTGTTGGGCCCACGATCAGTTCAGTCCAGCAGAACGTCGCCCCCCTCCATCTTACCATCGCAGTATGATAGATACGTTATAGCGGTCAATTGAGATGTATTTAGTTGATTTGAAGATTAGATCATCGGAATTATTTCCTCGGTCTGATGCCTGTGACTATACTAAGGTTCTGTCTTCAGTTATTCCTTGATCTGAATGCGGCTTCTCGCAATTCCGGATGTCTAATCGTGCATAAAGAACAAGAGTAGTGCTCGCAATCATGAAGCCAGCTAGTTGGAGCATAGTGATACGCTCACTCCATAGCTGTGTTGATACCATAACTGTCAAGAAGGCCTTACGCACACCGCAAATTGTCAACGTAAGAGACGATGCTTTGCGTATGAGTAAGACCGCGGAGATATTGAGCATGAAGGCAACTACAGCATTCCACTGTTCGTCCAGTATGCTAAAACCATCGCGCTTTCAAGGAAAACGCTGGGGCCTTCGAAAACTGCGGTTGCGAGCATACAGGAAACAGTGCAAACCGGTGCAAAGTGGTAAAGGGCAGCGAGAGCATCCATGCTGTGCCCTGATGGAGCTAGTAGGAACTCAACCAAGATAAGTCGGATCGCTTCGCAACCGATACCTATACCTAGGATCAAAACTCCTAGTAGATTAATTTTCACCTCCCCATAAGATGAAATTATCACTCCGGTAGATATGATACCAACTGTACCCAGAATTGAGACGTTTAGCTTATAAAGCCCAAAGAGCCACCCGGTAAAGAGTATAATAACAGGACCGATCGCCTATCATCTCTTGGTATAAGTCTTCGAGAGGATGCAATAATCGATGAAGTCTCACCTTGAGCATTTGAATAAACGCAACGTTAAACTATACGTATGCCGCATTGTTGAAGATGAGGTTCAGGCTGAAGCTGAGCCCTATTGGGAGGATTGAAGAAAAATAAATACGGCGGGTGAGCATCGAAAATTTGCGACCGTCTATCAAAGTAGTGGTATGTGCAAGTAATTGTGTAGCGATTGTGAAAAAGAGGACATGCCACGTAGTGAGAATGAGAGGAAATGGATATTGGCTGAGAAGAATTTTATTAAAAGCGATCACTGCTGAGGAGGAACAAATCCAAAGTCTAGTAAATTAATCACATTGAATCCAAAGGCTATGCTCGCTTGTCTCGTCCACAAGTGAAACGTACAGACTGTGAAAAACAACGAGAGCACTTTGTTTTGTCGAATGGTCCTTCATGAAAGTGTTCATTTTATAAACTGATATTGAACTTCGTAATTTTGTGAATTGAGCAAGGAAAAGAAGAATTTAGAGCAAGATATGACCTTATATACCTAGCATTAGAAAAGCTCTGCCAAAAAAGGAATTTGTTTGCGAAAGATCTCATAGCCCGAAGTTCAACCACAAAGGCTTGGCACTCCAAGGAAGGAGACTTATAGTGCTTATCCTCCCGGCCTTTATACATATACAGTGCAATGGGCGCTAATACAAAAGCAGGAATTCATCAACAAATGATTTCCTTACCAGCCAAAATAGTATTGAAAATGGGAAAATGTGGGATCAGATAGCACAGAGTATGCACCTGTGCATCCCCAGCCCATTGAAAATAATTTCAATCGTTTTCGACATCAACGAAATATTTGATGCAAATTGAGATATACAGTAGAGAGACAAAATGTAAGGGGTATCTTTCTCTTTATGAATGTCCCTATGGATGAAAGTTATGCTATGGCACCGAATAAATAAGATAATGGATCGGTCTTGACATAATGGTACTACTTCGTACAATGTAATCAAGAAGTCGTGATCTAGGCTGAAAATCGGGATCGGAACCTCACAATGTGATCATGAGTGTTGGTGACATTATACATATGAAATAAGTAGGCTTAGTGCAATATCTAGGCCCGATTCAATACTAGCTTAAAAATAAATGAGCCAGGCGTACAGTAGTAGTTTATGGCCATCTGCAGGAATGAGAATGTTCATCAAAGTATGTCTGTGAGACAATGCAGGGCTCCATGCAACTTCATGCAAGAACCAAACCTGTAAGGGGGAGTCGGGCTGGACCGTCCCTTAGATCCACCATATGCCTCACTTTAGGTATATGTAGCGTCTTCTTGCAAATTGCCAAACCAAAATTTTTACTTCTAGTAACTTGAACCATCATGCATCTGCCTTCGATACTCGGGATAGCCACTCTTTCCCTGTCAGGGATCTCGACGGCCTTGGCAATTGAGGGAGAGCCAAACATCAATGCCCCTCTGGTGCAACAGCATCTCAGAAATCGCGAGAAGCTGATTGCGTTGGAAAAGACACATCGACAGGGTTCGTTTCAGACAATTTTTGACTGTTGCGTTCAAGCAAACAGAACTGACCAGTCATGCAGATCACATCTTCCGGCAGAGTCTCTCTCCAACTGCTAAAAGAGCGGATGAGATTGTTGAAGCAATTCGACAGGACGAGATTGACCATTACTGGCGAGTAGCCGGTACCCTCAACGAGGAGGAACGGTTTGCAGGAGAGGTTTTCCCCCTTGCCCGACCGTATATCTCCAACACAACCCTCTGGAGAGTGATCAAGCGCATGCCTAAGGGTGCACTTTTGCATGCTCATCTATCCGCTATGTTGCCGTATGAAAAAATTGTGGAAATTATCATTAACACTGAAGGAATGGTAATTTCCGCGTCACAGTCCCTTGACACCGCAGATGCCAAGCAGAATGCTACCATCACTTTCTCTCATAACAACGACACTCTTTCGACCACGCAGTCCAAGATTGACGCCTCTGACTATATTCCTAAAACGGAAATCCCAGTCAAAGACGCCGCTACTAGCTTTGAAGGTGGCGAAGCTGGTTTCATTGAATTCATCAGGAGCAAGACAACCATTCCCCCAGAGGAGTCAATCCGCCACGAACTAGGTGTCGATGAGATCTGGAGAAGGTTCCAGGCCTGCTTTGGTCCGGCTGATACCATGCTTCAGTACGAACCCGTTGTCAGAAAATTTTACCAGAAACTCTTCGAAGATCTGACCAGCGACGGTATTAACTGGGTGGAGATCCGAAGTGGCGGATCGAGTGGGAAGCTAGTCCATGATGGGAACGAAGACATTGACCCTGACCTGGACGCTTGGTGGCATGTACTAGTTGAGGAGATTGAGAAGTTCAAGGCCACGGAGCTAGGTAAAAACTTCTTGGGTGCAAGAATTATTTGGTCGGATGCACGAATCAAGAACCGTGCTTCGATCACCAAGAGTATGGCAAACTAGACCCGTTACCATAAAGGTTAGCTAGCTCACCATGGATGATATAGGTATGAAAATCGCCCTGCAGAGGAAGCAAAATTTTCCGGAGCTCTTTAGTGGCTACGACCTTGTTGCCCAGGAAGATCTCGGTCGTCCCCTTTCTGATTTGGCACCGGAACTGATATGGTTCCGTCAACAGACCGAGGCCTTGAATCTCACAATTCCGTATTTCTTTCATGCTGGAGAAACGCTGGGAGATGGGAACTCTACCGATCTTAACTTGTTCGATGCCGTCCTGTTCAACACGCGACGGATTGGTCACAGCTTCTCCTTATATAAACATCCGAATTTGATCCATCAAGTGATTGAGCAGAGCGTTATGGTGGAAGTATGCCCTATTTCGAATGAAGTCCTTCGTTTGAATGAAGATGTTCTTCACCATCCGTTGCCCGCAATGATTGCCCACGGCATTCCGACTGCAATCAGTAATGATGATCCAGCCATCCTTGGACAGGACGTGGCAGGTTTGAGTTATGACTTTTATGAAGCTATCCAAGCCTTTGACAATATTGGGCTTGCTGGGTTGGTACGTTGTCTTTTTTTTTGGTGCCGCGCTGCTTGCTTATACTAGAGAACAGGGCGCTCTGGCACAGAACAGTCTACGATGGGCAAACTTCGAAGATCAATCTGACAAAGATTGAATCCAGGATATTGACCGTGGCGAAGATGGAACTGGTACTAAGGCTAAGCACATTCAAGGTTGGAACAGAGACTGGGAGGATTATTGCAAGTGGATTGTGGACGAATACGGTTCAAAATACCGGACATTAAAGGTTGACTGAAGCTTATGCATTGAATCACTTAGACACATGTGGTGACCTCATCTAACTTATAGCTTATGTCAAATGCAAAGCTTCTCCGTTCAATCGAAGCATATGAACCTTTCTTTTACTCCTCCTATTAGCGCAAGATTATGATCTGTGGACAATCCGAACCACAGCACCTTCCATCACCACTTGCAAAATGAATTCTCGCGAGGGTCTCGCTAGTTTTACTTGTGCTCATACTGATCTTCCAGGCGGCAGACAGTCACCCGAGGCCGCTTTATCGGAATCCTAGTCTAGGTTGAGCGGTAGGCATGATAAATTTCGAGCCCTTATAGCGGCCTATGTTCTGTTTCATACTTAATAGTAATTACACAAATATTAATCTTATCGATCTTTCCGATCCTGAGTATCATTGTATAGCCAACGAGAAGGTGTCTATTGCCTAAGTGTTAGTAATCCCCCTAAGAGGGAGAGATCTGATCCGCAACATCCAACACAGCTTCATCGAGATGACCTTTCTCGCACGTTAAAGTCCAGTGACATTCTTGTGCTAGCCACTACACCTACCTCAAAGCTGATGTTGGCATTGCTGAGCATTAAAAGTGTGTAAATGGCACTAAATTGACATAAATGCAGGACACACAGATAGACGGAGCGACAACTGAAGGCGGTGAGCAGCAGCCGAGTTGAGCTTTCCACTCCTGGATGCTTACCTCTCGCGCATGCTTATGCCCACGATTTATGCATCCTCCCCGGTAATGAGGGTCTCAAGGAAGCTAGTCAAAGGAAGTGTGGGGGTCGACGTGGAAGCCCCGTGGAGCCCCGCAACTACGGGCTTTTGCCGGAGGATTAGAGAGAGACGCCAACAGTATCGCCTTACGGGTTTGGGGTGGAGTTGACAGCGTCATTTGTCGGGCATTTACCGGAGTGCTCGGCAAACGCCAAGAACAGGGGATCATCGTTCACTTTGCCAACAGCTCGGTGTTGATGGCGCTCTTTGTGTTGTTATCGCAGTTTACGACGGGGCAAGATGCTCAAAATCTCAAAGATTCTGGAAAGTGGCCTCGAAAGCGAAACAATCAACGTTTTCCGAGACTTAAACAGTCTCCATGCCATAGATTCCCTCCAAGGTGGGGATCGCGATCTTGGCGAATGTTGTCGTCTCCGCCCTGAGCACACGGCCCTTCTTGGCCAAAGGGAACCGAGGGAAATGAGGAAACAATATAAAGACAGTATGCGGACGTGATATTTCCCGCTATCTAAGCCTTCAGCATGTATCTCAAGAAACTACTCGCCTCAGCTGCAGCTCTTAGTGGCTGTGTCTGGGCTCAGAGCCAGGCGGGTATCGAGGATCTTGATGGCCCGGGTAATGACCTCTACGAAAAGGACCTGTCTGAATGCCCAGGATACAAGGCAACTAAACATTGGGAGACTCGATCTGGCTTTTACGCAGAACTTTCTCTCGCAGGACCGGCATGCAATGTGTTCGGGACTGATCTCCCAGACTTGAAATTGGAGGTTGAGTATCAGACCAACGATCGCCTCCACGTCAAAATATTGGACACCAACAACACGGTCTATCAAGTTCCAGACAGTGTCTTCCCGCGGCCCGGCTTTGGTCAATGGTGTTCCCGAAAGGATGCCAAACTCAAATTTGACTTCAATGCCGACCCCTTCTCGTTCACTGTATCTCGGACTGATACCGGAGAGGTGATCTTTGATACTACGGGCAACAACCTGGTTTTCGAAAGTCAATATGTCTACCTAAAGACACACTTACCCCAGAACCCGCATCTGTACGGGCTGGGCGAGCACAGCGACGCGTTCATGCTGAACACAACCAACTACACTCGGACGATCTACACGCGTGATGCTTACGGGACGCCTCAGGGCGAGAACTTATACGGCGCTCACCCTATTTATTTCGACCACAGGCAGGATGGCACTCACGGAGTTTTCCTACTCAACTCCAACGGCATGGACATCTTCATCGACAATAAAGGTGGTCAGTACCTCGAATACAACATCATCGGTGGTGTTCTTGATTTCTATTTCATTGCTGGCCCCTCCCCACGCGATGTGGCCATTCAGTACGCGGAAATTACTCAGCTTCCGCTGATGACTCCTTATTGGGGGCTTGGTTACCACCAGTGCAAATACGGTTATCAAGACGTCTATGAGGTTGCCGCTGTCACCGCAAACTATTCCTCCAATGACATTCCCTTGGAAACCATCTGGACGGATATTGATTACATGGACCGTCGGCGCATCTTCACCATTGATCCAGAACGGTTCCCGGCCAACCTATACAAAGATCTGGTCGATACAATCCATGCGAGAGATCAGCATTACATAGTCATGGTCGACCCCGCGGTATTCTACAAGGAATCCAACCCAGCGCTCGATGCAGGACTTAAATATGATACCTTCATGAAAGAAGAGAATGGCACCGAATACCAAGGTGTCGTTTGGTCTGGTCCGAGCTACTTCCCTGACTGGTTCCATCCTGCATCACAGCAGTACTGGAGTGAGCAGTTCCTGGAGTTCTTCGATGGAAGGAAGGGTCCAGACATTGACGCACTATGGATCGACATGAATGAGCCCGCGAATTTCTTCAACCGCCCCTATCCAGGCAACAACACCACCCCGGAGAAGTTTGCGGAGGTGGATGGTGACCCTCCAAAGCCACCGCCAGTCCGAGCGGGTCCAGATGCTCCTGTCCCTGGATTCCCGAGCAGTCTTCAGCCAAATTTTGTATCTACTAACCCAAATGAAAAACGTGCGGCTGCTGTTATACAACGGCGTGAACCGCGAACTCGTTCCCGGCGCAACCTCGGTGCTGGCCATTGGCGCTCTGCCAAGCCTCATTGGGCTCCGTCGAGTGCTGGCTGGCAGCACGGCAGGCAAACTGGCTCCGGCTGTGGACCTGACGAGTGCAAAGGTCTTCCCAATCGCGAGCTTATCAGACCACCCTACATGATTCAGAATGGCGCAGGACCCACGCTTGCTGATAGCACTGCCGACACCGATCTGGTTCAAAGTGGAGGATACGTTCAGTATGATACCCACAACATTTACGGTGCAATGATGTCGTCGCATTCCCACAATGCCATGCGTGCCAGGCGCCCAGATGACCGCGCTTTGGTTATTACAAGAAGCACTTTTGCTGGCTCCGGAAAGGATGTATCCCATTGGCTCGGCGGTATGAATGCTCCTGGCGGTACCTATTCGATATTAAAAAATGATCTCATGCTAATTTACCCCCCAGATAATGTTTCCGGGTGGCTTTGGTACCGCATCTCCATCAGTCAGATCCTTCAATTCGCATCGTTGTACCAAATCCCCGTCGTGGGTCCCGATGTTTGCGGCTTCGGTGGTAATGTAACGGAGACGCTCTGTGCTAGGTAAGTGCCGAGTATCCCTTTGCATGAGAGGCTCTAGCTAATCTGTATCAAAAGATGGGCAGCTCTGGGCTCCTTCTACACATTCTTCAGGAACCACGCCGAAATTTTCGCTAATCCCCAAGAGTTCTACCGCTGGCCGACAGTCGCCGAGGCCGCGCGCAAAGGAATTTCCATCAGATATCAGCTCCGTAAGTGGTGCACGAAGCCTCCTCACGCAGACTAAAGCTAAAAGTGATACCGAAACAGTCGACTATATCTACACCGCCATCTACAAACAGAACCAGACCGGTACCCCGGCTCTGAACCCTCTGTTCTTTAATTACCCGAACGACCCCAACACCTACCCAATTGACCTGCAGTTCTTCTACGGCGACGGCATCCTTGTCAGCCCAGTCACAGAAGAAAACAGTACAATTGTCAACTACTACCTGCCCGACGACATCTTCTACGAGTGGGGTACTGGCAAGCCTATCCGCGGCCGCGGTGAGTATGTCTCCGCCCAGGTCGACTACACGGACATCACGGTTCATTATAAGGGCGGGATTGTCTACCCGCAGCGCATTGAAAGCGCCAACACCACCACTGCGCTCCGCAAGAAGGGCTTCAACATTGTCATTGCTCCTGGTCTCGATGACTGCGCTGAGGGATCGCTATACCTCGACGACGGTGAGTCGGTTGTGCAGGATGCCGTGTCGGAGATCGACTTCAATTACGCACACGGCCGGCTCAGCATGACTGGCTCGTTTGAGTACAATCCTGGCGTCACTATTGAGGCTATCACTGTTCTTGGCATAGAGCGCCAGCCGAAGGGACACCATGATGCCGAGTACGATGCCGCGAACAAGAAGCTGGTGCTTCATGTTGATCTCCCTTTGACGAGTAAGTCTCATATTAAGCTTGTGTGATCTCATTCTTTATTGGGATGCATGTCATGGCTTGGCTTGGGCTACGCATTGCTCGCAAAGAAATAGTCAATATGTCCTATGGGACACGTATACAGGGACATGAGTTCCAGTACCCGAATGCTACGCTTACAAGATACTTTGTCGCTTGCTCTTGGATTTTCCCTGGAACTTTGAAGCCCTAACTGGTAGATTTTTGTCGTTCCATAAACCAATTGTACCACTACTTGGTGTATTGCGAATAATATTAGTCTACCCTACCAGAAACGCGAATGCGGGAAGGAAGGAGGGCTACGCTTAGCCAGCGATTAGTGTTGGTGTATAGAGGCTTAAACTGATAGGATTATTGGTATTTCTTTCCATATTAAATGGTTGAAACAAAATGATGCACAGAGGGGTCTTATAGACGCAAATCACTGACCGAGCCATGCCAAGCCCTCGAAATCAAAAAATATTAGCAGTTCTCCTTTCCAGCTGGATTGGAAGAGGCGTTCGTCGAAGCCGATATATTGGCTGCCTAAAGGCTCGGGCCTATCCCTTGCAGGCTTTGCGAACCATTATGACATCACCGAGGCTACCGCGAACCCCTGTTCACATAGTTAGATTTGGATCTCTGTCTCCGCCTAAGCTCCCTTCCCACACCGACTCTTGAAGGCTGACGTCCTTGAAATCCTGTGTTTAAGAATGCTGGCAAGACAAATCGAACAAAAAACTAAGCTCATCGCACCCAGAATTCACCATGAAGCCACAGGCATTCTTCTTCAATGTCCTTCTCACATCTCCCTTCACCTATGCAAAAGAAAAGATTAGCCTCCAATGGGCAATCTGCGAGCCAAGTCCACAAGACACGCTTGCCAAACTTGGACGCAATGCATCGCCCCCCTACAAAGAGAATCCAATCACCTACTACGATGAATATCCCCCTATCCATATCAGCTCCGGTCTGATGTTTCGCACAAAAACAAACAAAGGCCAGCAATTCTCCACAGTCAAAGTCCGCTTTCCCAGGGCGGTTACTGGTATTCCGGACTTTGTCGACTGTTCCTGGAACCAGTATGGCGCCAACTCCCCATCCTTTACCTGTGAAAAACGCTGTCCTTTGGACAGTACAGTCTGGCATGAGGAGCAGGTGCAGTTCGCCGAACGATATCAGGCTGTCGACTGGGATGCGTTGCGCGCGTATGGGCCTTATCAGAATGCGAAGTGGAAGGTGCGGATTGAGGGATACAAGACTAAATTTGATGATGTAGTTGCTGGGGACCTGCATCTCATGGAGGTCGAGGTACAAGTACCCAGAGAGGACGCTCATGGTGCGCTCCAGGCGATCACGCAATATTTAAAAAATAGGAAAGTTTCTCTTTGTGAGCCGCAGGAAGGGAAAACCATGCGGCTATTCCGTGCCATGGGGTACATTGCTGATGAAAATGAGGAACTGTAACCAAAGGCGACAGGTGTTACCTCATGAAGTCATTTTAGAGAGGAATAAACATCAGGTGTTCGAGATAACGGGTCACCCTCTTTCAGGGCCATTTTGTTTTAGCAAGATCCCCAGATTTCGGGTGGCAATAAAGGAACCTTAGCCTCTAACCGAGTTTGATGTGTCTCGATAATTGAATACTCGGCTGTCTTCCTCTTTCAGTCTCCGATCGCACCAAATTAATAGATGGAAAGACAGTGGTGGCTAAAATAAAGCTGGTATATCCTTGTACATCCTCTTTATACACCCAAGGCTTTTGGCTGGCAGTGGCTTATACCTTTGCATTTTCTTGTTATCATTTAAATTTATCTTGCACAGATGAGAACCTTGCATCGTGTTGGTCTTAAGTTTTGAAAGTTGAATTTGTGGGTGCTGCTGTACGTCATCGGCTATCTATCAGCCGATGATGATCATTGCGGCGAAAAAAAGCAAGATTGTTGGTCTGGCGTAAAAAGCAGGTAGTAAAAACAGGAAGTACACTTCGTTCCGGAGTGAAGAGCTGCTTATAACTAAAGATCGCCTCCGGAACTGTGCAATGAGAGATATTACCCAAGCCCATAAAATACTGCTCACTTCCAGCATCAATGGCCTCAATCATTACTTCCATCAAGGACATTGTCACCTCAATGCTCGAGTTGACAGTTTCCGTGTGCCACACCACGTTCGATGCGATATTTGGACTGCTCAGAGCTATTGCCAGCTCATTTATTGGCACTCTCAGGGTGGCGCTGCGTGCTGTGGGAAATACATTTGAAGCTGCAGGTGGCTTATGGAAGTTTCTTGCCAGTAAGCTTCATTTCCTATCAAATACTCCAGAATATTTAAGTGCTCACACTTTACACAAGGTAATATCATCGTTTTGGCGGTTATCGCCGGCGGTACATATGGATATTTGCAGTACCAAAGTCGGCAGAGACGCCCTGTTAAGTTTGGAAATAGCAAATTGAGCTAAATGAGAATGGGGTGTTATTGCTTTTGCGCTGCGCTGTCCTGTTCTTAAAGCAATACTAGCTAGGAGGTAATTTAGGCTGCCAAATAATCTCTGTTGAAATCACACGCCATGTCAGCGGTATTAATGTGACCTGCAATGCCAAACCAAAATTGGGATGGCCAAGTCTCCAATACTCTGTTAGCATCTGTTATGTTGACATCATCAGGCGTTGCGAGCAAAGGTAGCCAAGGTACACTCTGTATATGTATCCACATCTGTAACCACATAGCCTTATTTGCAGCGGCAAATGAGCGGCATGGACAGATCATCTTAGACAGGCAATCCCCATCTTCATCACGGAGAGAATATTAACCATGATGCGCGAATGTTCCTTTCAAATCCAAAGTCATTGAATTCTTGAATTTCTCGATAGATTCGACCTATCACAGTTTCATACTATATCACAAGCCCGTATCTTAAATGGAAGGCACAAGTTGGGGTCCTCCATACAAACATTCGTGATCTTTAAAGTAACGGGTTGTATGCTCAAGCCCAGTAAAAAGATTGATTCACTGGGCCTCGGCTGGCAGGTCATCCTCATCCGGTCCCTCGCTGTACTTGTTTGCGGTTTGAGGTTTTGCATGGCGCAAGCGATCCTTCACCACGTTTGAATGATTTATAGCCCCGTCATTATCCTCATCTATCGCATATTAGTGGTGTCTGATCTCATTTTCGAATGAAACCCAATGATGGAACGTTACCAAGCTGTGGCTGCCTAGGATCACTATCATCTTGGGTGGCTCCCTCATAAATATCTTCGGTATCGCGTTTCGTGTGGTCGGCCATTTTGCTTGGATATCTTGTGTTCCCAGGGTATGTAATAAGTGTGTAGTGCGAAGAAAGTTGAATCATCCGACTGGTAGTCTTCTATCTTTTATCTTTGGCGACGCACACATCAAAGCCAGTCTATATGATCATTATTACACCCATATTCCTTGAATTGGGTATACTTTTCGTTCCATGACAAAGGGTATACCAAGCTTTCATTGGTCTCAACTCTCATGCTGTCGAGAACAAAGAAATGACTTCACCATTCGACCGATCGATTCAATCTGGGCTTATGACCGCACAAGGTCGTTCTAGCTCATAACAAAAGTAACTTGTGTTTCCAAGATGAATGTCATTTTCCGGTTCTCCTAACAATATATTGGCCATTGTTAGCTTCACCTAAGAACGAACCATGGAAAGTTCGATGAAAGCCGGTTTCGAGATGCTCAAGATGCCTTTGAGACCGACTGTATTATCTCGTTATATATGACCAAGGCGCTAACACGGGCGGGAATAGCTGGAATGAACTATAAAATCGTAGCTCTTGTCGGATTTGGAGGGGAGGCCCTCCGTATTGTTTGTCACCTTGAGTAGGCGGACAAGATACGCCGCTATGAGACTGTTCAATTGAAAAAAAAAACATCTAACATTACTTTTCAAGGTGTATAAACAGGTAATCACGTTGGACTCCCAAGTTATTCGGTTGTGGCGATGGGTGACGTAATCTTAATAGATCACAATGCGGCATTTGCGCTATCTGGTTTTCCAGTATAGATACCTGTTAGCCGGTTTGTCAAATCTACAGAGTAGGAATCAAAACGTCACTCAAACATCAGCGTAACTTCCTGGTATTTGGAGAAGTTTCGTACTTAAAGAGTGGATCAGTCAAGCTTCCCCATGGTGGTTTGACATACTTCCATTCGCAGATATCACAATGGCCTCTAACTCTCAAAAGACTTTCAAGCTTTCTACTGGTGCTGAAATCCCTGCCATTGGTCTGGGAACCTGGCAGGATGAGGCTGCCCAGGAGGCAGCAGTTCTTGTGGCTCTTCAGGCAGGATATCGGCACATTGACACGGCGAGGTGGTAAGTATATATAAAGTCTGAGAGAACTACCGAAGCTGACTCCTACAGCTATGGTACTGAGCCCGCTGTCGGCAGAGCCATAAAACAAAGCGGCGTGCCTCGGAGCGAAATTTTTGTTACTAGCAAGCTGTGGAACAACAAACACCATCCCGATGATGTAGAGCAAGCATTGCAGATGACTCTTGATGATATGGGTCTGGAATATCTTGATCTTTTCTTGATGCACTGGCCTGCTGCCTTCAAACGCGGAGATGATCCATTCCCATCCGACAAAGACGGAAATCTGATACCTGATGATATAGATTATGTGGATGTATGTCGCTCATAGTCGAAGCCCACTTCAATATTTCCTACTCACCCTTGCAGACCTACAAAGCTATGGAGGGATTGATGAAATCGGGTAAAGCCAAAGCTATCGGAATCTCCAACTTTTCCCGAAAGGAAGTCGAGCGCCTCCTTACGCATGCGACTATCACGCCAGCTGTACACCAGATGGAATTGCATCCATGGCTTCAACAGCAGGACTTCCATAAATTCCACAAGGAGCAAGGCATTCATGTGACGCAATATTCACCGTTTGGTAACCAGAACGAAATCTATGGTTCCCGAGAGAAACACGGTCAGCTGGTCAATGACAAGACATTAGTCGAGATTGGCAAGAAGTATGGAAAAACTTCCAACCAAATCGCCTTAGGTACGTTCTACGCTACATCTCGATGGTCCACAACCTAATATCGATCGCAGCTTGGGGTATCGCACATGGGCGTTCTGTCATTCCCAAATCAAAGTCCCCGGAGCGAATCATGCAGAACTTCGACATCGCCTTTGAGCTTGACCCGACAGATATCAAGAAGATCGATTCTATCGACAAGAAATTACGTTTCAATGACTCGAGCAAAGACTTTGGTTATGAACTCTTCACGGACCTTGATGGCAAGCAAAAGTGAGATTTTCTTTAGAAATTCATACTGCACTTTTGGTAGTTAGCATCGTGTGAATATAAGTTACCAATTTTTCCGAAAACACTACCAAGACATTAGTCGAGTCGACCTGCCGTTTTCTCGTACCGCGGATAGTTCTCTTTTTAGGGATGGGTGGGCCTGGCATAATATTAATTTATCGTGTTATCACACCTCCCAGAAGTCAGACCGGCATTCCTCGTCTTGGGTTGCTCTATCTCTATTGCGGGCATGATACAATAACGAAGATTTTGTCATCGCCTGTGCTGGATCGTCTTGGCCTGCTAACCGAAGAAGGTAAGGCCACAGACAAGCATGCTGCCACAGGCATGGAATATGTACGCGCGCGTGTTCTGTATGTGCACCACAAGAAGATGATCGACAAGCGGGAGAATACATCTCTAGTATTCAGGGGCCTGAAGGTCGCAAGCTATAAATAGCGGGTGGGCCTAAGGATTGGAGTATTAACGCACCTTGAGTCTGTGTTGAATCATACTTGCAAAAGAATATCTACCTTGTTCAAATGACTGCTCCAATCAAGGATCTTGCATATCATGGATCAAGAGCCTGTTCTACTCAAACCAAGCATTCGTCTCGACAATTTGTACCACTTTCAATTCCGTAGAGTGATTAGGACAGCCCTCGAGTGGCGATGGCGAACCGCAATTTTAATTTTCCGGCCCGGTTCGAGTTGAAAACCATCAATCCCCACTATCAACTATCGACCATCAGACACAATGGCCAAGTCTAAAGCTGCGAAGCGTAAGCGCAATGCACAGGTCGACCTTCCGCAAAAATTGCCCAAACCTGCCTCTACCCTCACACCCCCTCCTGATGGCACCCTCGAGCCCAAGCACATTAAAACAGTCGTCTCAGACGAGGAACTCGATATCACCATTGAGACACTCACGGCCCTTGCAGAATACCCTAGCCTTACCAAGTCCAAGGCTTGCAAAGACCTCCGAGTTGCTGTCTATGGCTTTCGTCAGGCCTGTACTACCGGTCTTAATACAGCTGGTGCGCCACCCTGTTATCTCTAATTGGTGGCTACAACTGACCATTTGATAGAGGGCGCAAACCTCACAGCACGTATTACCGGTGCCTTGGCCGATGAGAAATACATCGAGGCCAAAATTCTGCTCGCCGAGATGAGGATTAGAGGGGAACAACCTAAAATCGGAGCCTTATGTCGCTGGGTACGAGATCTTGACGTTGTGAGCGGGCTCTCAACACAGCCTAGAGCACACGATGATAATTCTCTCAGCCGTAGCGCAAGGGACTTAGAACTTCTGGGCGTCCTCGATGCCATACTGCGCGTCAGCACCCCAATCGACACCACATCAAACGCCCCCAGTTCAGCCTCCCCGATCGCCTTTCATTCAATTTGGGATCTCCGACCGTCAACACCACCACTGGAGATCTACGCCTCAGTCCTCGACAAATCTATCCTTGCCGACGCCCCGAAATCCCCGACTGCACTCCGCGTCATCGAGCACACCCCCGGTACACTTCGCAAACCTCCGAACCATCATCCTGCAATCCTCTACACAACAGAACCTAATGCTGTCCCTCTGGCTTCCGTCGGGCCCTCTATAACATATCACCCGCATCCCGCCGTTCCAGGCCTTGGCCTTGCTATGGACGTGCTCTCCCCCGCAGAGTGCAAAGCCATCATTGCAGCCGGAGAGTCTGTCAATTTCCTACCTGATGCGCCTTTGCGCGAAGATGGCGACGTGAGCATCTTGGCTCACAACTTCTACTGGATTATCGACACTGCTTTCCATGACATGCTTTGGGGCCGCATTTCTCCATACGTACCGCCCTCCATTAACGGCCGCCTGGTACGAGGTATCAATCGACGCTTCCGGGTGTACAGATATGTCCCCGGTGCCGAATATCGTTGCCACATTGATGGGGCTTGGCCACCGTCCGGTATTCTCCCTGATGACACATATGTGTATGACTCGTCGCCCGAAGATCGAAAGCAAAGCTCTATGTATACATTCTTGCTATATCTCAACGACGAGTTTGAAGGCGGTGAAACCACGTTCTTCATGCCAGCCACGCGTGAGGGGGTACTCAATGCATACCCTGTACGGCCTGTGATGGGGTCCGTTGCCATATTCCCACACGGCGAGGCGAACGGTGCCTTGTTACATGAAGGGACTGGGGTAAGGAAGGGTGCTAAGTATATTATTAGAACAGACGTAGAGTATGATATAAACCCTTCTGTAGGGTGATAAGCACAAATTACGTGCTATCACCCTATAGATCGGATAGAAACTGAATGTTGGACAAATATTATGCCAACCAAATCTACATAATCCGAATTTGCAAAATATAGACTCATGGCTCCTTTCTTGGGCCGATTGTGTGGCCAGTCTTGATTTCTGACGACTTCCACACTTGCCTTACACTGGAGCGAGGACTAAATCTGCGGATATACATGACAATCATTTGTGCTACATCCCTCTTCATACGAGTTTCAATCGAGTATTCTATCGCCGTATAACCGTCTCGGATGGTTCTGTCACTCTTTGGCATCCAGTGCTTATTCTCAGTAGCCGTAGCAGTGGCCCAAAGCATCACCAGCAGCGCTTGCTCAACATATTAGCTTGCAATTATACCAATGAGATATCAAGGTCAAATAAGTCTTTTCTTGTAATCTGCGGTATAGCTTATATAAGATGCGCTTACGCCTCGCCGTTCACATCGTCAATGAACCGTGAGCCGCCCCTATGGCGCATTAGCATCGCAGTGGGTCTTGGTGGCGTGAGGCTATAACGTACTGGGTTTTTTGGCGACTCCATGCCCCACTCAGATCCCCAACAGGCAAGCAGAGCGGGAATCCAACAGAATCAAGTAATTGCGCCGTCAACAGGTAGAATCCAAGCATACTCGCTAGGAATAGAGCAGCTCCGCCACCCTAGAGGTAGGAAGGACTGTTAATATCGGCTATCATGGCTGCATTGCTGAGACAGAGAAAGTCCAGACTTACCACCGTCAGACGTTCACCAACCTTCGCGTCCTCAAGTCCCAATCTCCAATAGGCGGCAGCCAGGAGGGCGAAAACAACGACAAGGTCTGCGAATAAGACCACATACACTATGTTCGTGCGTGTTGCACAGAGTGTGTAGATGAACATCAACACCGCCATAAATACAAGGAAGAACGCTATAAGGAAAGACAGTGAGCTTAGGGGAACATGACATGACAGTGATACGAGAAAACATACCGAAAGTATTCACGTATCCAGAGCTATGAAGCCCCGCTACAGTATCAGTCGTGGATGGGGAGTATGGCGCTATTGATAAATAACATCAATATAAATTCACGAATGAGACTTAAAGGATGCATCACTTACCTGCTGCGTTGAATGCTGGAGTCATGCTAGCACCAAATGCCAGACAAAATGCGCCTGTTTTGAGTTAGTATATGTCTTTGTTTCGCAAATGCTTCAAGACTCAGCCTACCTAGGTGACCGAAGACGACAGAGGAGAATGTGTTCCCAAGAATGAATTCGAGCATGCTTGAGAGAATCAGTAGTAAACCTCCGAAGAGGATCAAAACCGCGCTATATTAAATCAGTCTGGGATATTTTGGTTATTAGCGCAGTCATAATCTTACTTGAACGCAGCACCTCCTCCACCAGCGCCTCTCCAGGCCATCAAACAACACGATAAAGGTGCAGCTGTGAGCACGAAAGCTCCAAGGCCACTTGAATGATATGGTAAGCCCCAATGTCTCGCTCTAGGATGTATACCGATAAGTGATACGTACAGTGGAGTCGGATTACCAAGGTTCTTCGTCAGGGCCGACTGGCGGTGCATCATAGGACTCAGGTAAAGCCTCTCAAATTGTTCAGCAGACAGAGTGATGGATGTAGGAACTTGAGTTAACCCCAACATCCCTCCAACTTCATGATGTGAAGTCTTGGAATTGCCGCGAAACATCTCACTATCCATTTTGTTGTTTGTCATGGCGGTGCTGTGTTCTCTTTGCAGACGGGGGTTTTCAAGAAACGTACGAACAAAAGCCCAATAAATACATTATATTTGGCCCGGGGGCCGACTTTATAGTAAAAAGAAGTATTGCAAGGCATCGGAAGCTTGCTCGGCATAGCTATGAAGATCCCCAGAATCTCAAATTCCGGAGTAGGAAGAGAACCGGGGTTTCCCCCGTACTTTCCAGGGTTATTGACCTCCCCACACCTCTCATTGCTGGGGATGGCGTACTAACTTTATGTCTAAATCAGATCACCCGTAGAATCGCCGGGAACGGTATCGGTCCTAAGCCTAGCGCCATTTGGACCCGACCGAAATTGGTTCCGAAATTTGGGCCAAAGACCCGATTCAAGCTTCCGATGCGATCGGATCTCCTGAATTTCCAATAGATCTACCGCGACTCGAAGCCGAAAGTACAGAAATATTATATCGGTAGTTGATATGAGACTGCTGCTTAGCCGTGAACAAAACCATGCTGCGTCACAGGTGGTTTTGCCACCACGACAGATGTCGTCTTTGTGACCAATCTCGTGTGGTGAATGTCCTGATGAGTTTGTTCGCGCGCATTTCAGAGAACCCATTAGATTTTACGAGTGGCAAATGAATTCAAGCATTGAATTCGATGTGAACATGGTAGCTACCAAGTTAACCGAATCACTTGAGTTTTTATGACTGCGTCCGCGTTCAATGCTTTTCAGTAGGCAATTCGACATCTTCTCAGTTTGAATATACAAGAAGGGAATCCTGGTATGGATGCAAAATTTTCTGAGATATCTCCCCTTTCTATTCACTGCGGCAAGAAGATTCGGGCTGAAGCAAGTATGTAAATCTTATATAATGACAAAATGCCAGCTCTCTCAATGAAAAAAAAAGAGATGAGATGAATGTGGAGAAGATAAGAATTGTGGTGTCTGCCACTTTTCTTTTTCATAGCTGTACTTGATGACATACATCATGTATTCCCTTCCTCACGTACCATCGGTCCAGCTTATGCAATCCAGAACCAAATTCGCTCTGGTTCAAGGTTCAATATCAGATAATTTGCTTAGGTATAGGGAGACTTAGTGTAGACTTACCGAAAAAATTGCGAGGCTTGGGTTCTTCCCACGTTGATTCCAGCTCGTCAGCATCTGCCTTTCCAGATAGGAGGTCCATGTCTTCTATCCTAACGAATTTTGTGCCCTTGACAGATTTGTACCCCAAAAATAGCATGGCAAAGATAGGAATATCGATATATGGGGGTATAAAGCTCTTCGCACTGAAATGACCAGGGAAGAATGCGTCGAAGCCATTGAAAAACGCCACAGTAGAGGAGAAAATCATGGCAAAGTATGCCATGAAAGGTTGGAAAGGAGATTGAAAAGGAAGTGAGGAGCGTGGTATGCCGTGGTATTTTACCCCTCGATGGAAGCGAATATAAGTCACAGAAATAGAGGTCCATACGATCAGCGTGCTGACAGCGCTCAAATTGCTTATCCAAAAGAACACCTCGGCTGAGCTAGATGAGACATTGAGATAGACAAGCAAGCTCAGTGCTGCAGTGACAGCAACGCATGCGTATGGAACACCGAACCTTTCAAATCGAAGGACACGAGGCGCTTTCCCATCCAGTGCCGTGGAGTACAGAATTCGAGTGGACGCATAAAAGAAAGAGTTACCCGCGGATAACGCAGAAGTGAGCACCACAGCATTGATAATTGACGGGAGCACTTGGATACCACCATTCTCAATAGCAACGACGAAAGGGCTTGCCCCAACCCCTGCAGCACCCGTGTCAATAGCGTTGAGTAGTCGATCATCTTTAGATGAGACACATAGGCCAACTAAGAAGACGCTTCCGACATAGAAGATAGCAATGCGCCAGAAAACACGACGCACCGCTTTCGGAATGTTGCGCCGAGGGTTTTCAGTCTCTCCTGCTGCGACAACAACCATTTCGCTGCCGCCGTAGCTAAAGGTGGCCTGGATGAAAACTTTCCAAAATGCTAGAAAGCGGCCTAGTGAGCCTGTCTCTAGATACTCATTCATTGGCCCCGGACTGTCCCAGTAGCGGAAACCTATACGATCGTGTGATGGTGCACCACCGAGTGTGATAATCAGCATGAGCAACATCAATCCTACAATGGTGGTGAGTTTGATCGATCCGAGGAAAAATTCCACTTCGCCATAGACACGAACAGGGAGCATATTAACGACAAGGATAGCCACATAAAGTACAGTGATCCAAACCGCAGAAGAGATGCTGCTGGGCCAGTAGTCGATAACAAGGGCAGCCGCACTGATCTCGATCGGAACGCCAATAGCAAATTGGTACCAATAATTCCATCCCAAAGTAAATCCCAAGGCTTCATCGACAAACCGAGATGCATATACAGGAACTGCACCGGGAAGAGGTAGCCAGGTCGCCATTTCACCCATGCTGTTAATAACCGCGTAAAGGTTGAAGCCCGTAATGAGATAGGCGAGTACCGCAGACAATGGTCCAGCTAGTGAAAGAACCTGACCCGTGCCAACAAAGAGACCTGTTCCAATAGCCCCAGACAGAGCAAGAAATTGAACATGTCGAGACTTCAGTCGTCGTTGCAGGGTGCCAATCTCCGTCGGTACAGTAGCACCCTTGTCGATTTCTCCAGAGCGTCGAGAGTCGAAATTGTTATCCTCCACCTCGACATCTTGAATTATGTTCTGTGTTGCCATCGTCAAAATTTAATCAACAACTAACCTCGAGCTGCCCCCTTTGTATAGAGACGCACGGGCCTTGCCAGAAACGTGGGGTAAATGTGGGGGGACGGGCGAGTCGCTTCGTACAAGGGTCAGTTTGGGCTTTTTTTTTCTTGAAAAGGTAATTCGCATGTCGGAAGGCTCTTCATTTGGCTAGTCTTATCTCTGTCCAACTCCCATTCGAGTTGTTGATCGGCAAAGTGATTGTATCGCAGGGATGTTCGGGGTCCACTGCAGGGTCTGAGTCTTCTAAAATTTGCCAGAGTTGTATTTTTTGGTAGTATTCGAGGCGACATTGAGTGGGGGAGGAAAAGAAACCCGGTTGTCATACTTCTTTTCCCAGTTGACTCGCTGTATCTGACTGGATCCCAATTCTACCTTTCAACATGTCCCTGTGTCAAGATGAGCCGGAATTCGGACACGAAATGCGTCGGCATTTTTCGTTCGCTCCTGTGTATCGAAATCTGAATCATGGTAGGCCCTTCATGGTGTATATCCACATACCTGCTGATGATGCCAGGGTCTTTTGGGGCATCGCCAACCGTGATCCGCAACCGAGCAAATGAGCTGCGCGAGGAATGTGAGGCAACCCCTTGTCCTTTCATCAAGTACCGCTTCCCTCAACTTCTGCACCGCTCTCGGGCTGCTATGAGCAGCTTTCTCGGTGTACCTGAGTCCACAATCGTCTTCGTCCCGAATGCGACCACCGGGGTCAACACAGTCCTGCGAAACATGATATGGAACAGCGATGGAAGGGACGAAATTATCCAGCTGGATGTGATATATGGGGCTTGTGCGAAAACAGCGCAATACGTCTGTGAAGCCAGTGGTGACAAGGTCCGTACCCGACAAATTGGGTTTACATACCCGGTTGATGACTCCGAAATTGTTGCAACCTTTCGGAGAGCAGTGCAAGCTTCGCGCTTGGAGGGCAATCGCCCGCGCATTGCCATGTTCGACACGATTACCTCGAATCCCGGATTCCGACTTCCATTTCACGAGCTCACCGCGGTCTGTCGAACGGAGGGGGTCCTAAGTTTGATCGATGGTGCGCATGGAATCGGGCAAATTGATCTCAAGTTGTCAACATTGGATCCAGACTTCCTGGTCAGTAACTGTCACAAATGGCTTTATACCCCTCGCAGTTGTGCTGTGTTCTATGTTCCTGAGCGCAACCAAGCCATGATGCGAAGCACACTACCCACGAGCCACGGGTTCGTTGCACGGTCCCAAGAAAGCACGTGCGTCAAGAGAACAGACTTCATTTCCAATTTTGATTTTGTGGGGACCACTGACAGTGTCTCCTTCCTGACGGTGCCGGAAGCCATTCAGTGGAGGCAGATAATTTGCGGGGGAGAGGACAAGATTCGGCAATATTGTATTCAGCTTGCTCGAAAAGGTGGCAAGAGGGTGGCTGAAATCTTAGAAACTAAGGTCCTGGACAATGATTCCCACAGTTTGACAGAATGCTGTATGATTAATATCCTCCTGCCTTTGACAAAGCCTACTTCTGGAGATGAAAGTCTGGTCAGAATGGCTGGAGCTCCCGGTATCACAGTTACAGATTGGATGCAACAGACCATGATCGAAAGATTTAAAACATTCATGCCGATCTTTCCTTTTCAGGGATCTTGGTGGGTTCGATTGAGTGGACAAATCTATCTCGAAGAGAGCGACTTTGAATGGGCAGGTTGGACACTGAAGGGACTCTGTGAAATGCTACTCGATGAGGAAAAATCCCGGTGAAGCATCCCAATGTGAGCTAAAAGCAAAACTTGTAGAGATATGGGCACCAATAACGAAAATTCATTTTTCAATGAAAATAGAAAGATATTGCATAATCTAGGAGAAATCCCGATGGAGGAATTCAATGCCAGGTTTGAATTACCCGTTATTCACGTAAATCCAACGGCTCAATCTGCATGTATGTTCAGGATGTGGCCCACACGGTGTTCTAGAGGCGGAAACGAGGCTCGGTCGGCTTACATTCGGCACAGACACGTCAAAACATGCAATCGGTTCCACCTAGTATACCGGGCAGAAGGAAATCCCGACCTCTAGATTCCGGCACGTATTCCGTAGGCAAAATTTTCACGGTAATTGGATCGGACTGAAACAAGTTCTGATAACGGGTATGGTCGGCTGTCCTCGGTAACGGTCACCAGCCACTCTACCGACCTTACCCGAGGAAAACACGCTATATCACTGGTCAGCTCGTCTGGATTCCAGGGCACTGTGGCTGAACAGTGGATCTCGGCATCACTAGAAGCCACAGCGGAAAGGTATGGATCTTCTTATAGAAGTTTCTTGCTTTGTTGTGGCCAGCTTGAAAGATTTAGGGCCCATTTATGATGAAAATAGTGGGTCAAACATATATGCTCGGAGGAAGAAGAGGAAAGAAAAAAAGGCTAGAAAGATTGAGAGGGGCTTAGTAGCATGAAGACATATAGATATTCGTGTCCCCTCCGTCCTAGACAATATATGCTCCAACAGGACCCTCTTTTGCCATTCGCATGGATTGTACTATGACAGTGGAGAACTACAATGGACTACACCAATACATCTCATGAGCGATATGAGCCAAGCCTCGATATCCCCCACGACTCCCGCAGCGACTCTGACGACACAATCGATCAAATCAATTCTCTCGAACTCACCCGTATCAACACATATCGACTTCAACAAAAGACTACAGTTGGCTCGACAAAAGGACCAATTCCACGTGAAAAATGGCTTCCAATGGGCGCCAGCAAACAATACCCACCAATACTCCCAGACTCCGAGGCCTACGTGGTGGAATTTGATGGCGCGAAGGATCCATTGCACCCATATAACTGGTCAATGCTGAGACGGTAGGTACTTACAATATACACGAAGCTTTACGAAGAAGCCTTATCTAATCAATTCAATAGCATATGCTTGGTTTGCATTTTGTGCTACGGTACGTTTGCAGGCTCATTTGCAAGCGCTGTGTTCTCAGCAGCTATCTCTGGTGTCAGTCAGGAATTTCACACCAGCACAGAGGTCGGCTCTCTTGGAGTGACGCTCTATGTTCTCGGGTTCGCTGCTGGTCCAACAATTTGGGCTCCAGCATCTGAACTTATTGGGAGGCGCTGGCCATTGTCAGTGGGACTTCTTGGCTGTGGCATCTTCACGATAGCATGTGGGGCCGCCAAAGACATCCAGACTATTATGATCTGTCGATTCTTTGCTGGTCTTTTTGCAGCTAGTCCCATTTCAATTGTTCCCGCAGTTTTTGCAGACCTGTTTAATAATGCTCAACGGGGTGTCGTCATGTCGATCTTCTGTATGGCAGTGTTCATTGGGCCCTTTGCGGCACCCTTCGTGGGTGGCTTTATCGCAATGAGCTCACTGGGGTGGCGGTGGACAATGTACGTCTCAGCAATCATGGTCTTCCTAGGCTTTGGCTTGGTTGTGGTTTTCCTTGATGAATCTTATGCACCTGTGATCCTCGTGCGTAAGGCGGCCACCCTACGCCGCCAGACCCACAACTGGGGAATTCACGCAAAGCAAGACGAGGTGGAGGTTGATTTCAAAGAGCTCGTTAGAAACAACTTCGCAAGGCCACTTGTGATGTTGATTACTGAGCCCATTCTGCTTCTTATATCACTCTATATCTCGTTCATCTATGGCCTCATCTATGCTCTTCTAGGTGCATACCCTGTTGTCTTCCAAGGGGTGTATGGCATGAATATGGGTGTTGGTGGACTGGCATTTATTGGTCTTATCCTCGGAGAGCTTCTCGGTGGCATTTTTGTTCTCTTAATACAGGGATCTTATGCTAGAAAGCTGGCAGCCAATAGTGACAGGCCTATTCCTGAATGGCGCCTCCCTTCCGCCATCTTGGGAGCTGTTGTGTTCGCCGGTGGAATGTTTTGGTAAGTTTTCCCCTGGAGATGTTGTTAAGGATATCTTGATCACTAACTCAATACGCACAACAGGTTCGGCTGGACCGGATTCACATCATCTATTCACTGGATTGCCCCGGTGGCTTCGGGAATTCTTACCGGAGCTGGAATTTTCCTAATTTTCCTTCAATGCTTCAACTATATTGTGGACTGCTATCCTTCCCTGTATGCTCCCTTGTCATTGTCCCGATTCGCCAATTTTCCGCTAACTAAATCTATAGAGCTGCATCCACTATCGCCGCCAATACCATTCTACGTTCCGCCATTGGATGCGCGTTTCCGCTATTCTCCAGACAAATGATGGAGAATTTGGGGGTGCAGTGGGCTGGAACCATGCTCGGGTGCATCGCTGTTGTCATGATCCCTATCCCTGTACTCTTCCGGGTTTACGGACCTTGGCTGCGGGATAGAAGTAGATTGGCATGCTCGCCAGTCTATGACATTGAAAAAAAATCGTATGATGTTTGATAACGAGAAAGACTACAATAAAAAGATACCCTCCTGATCACTGCACAATTACATTCACTCTGGTGATTCTGTTTATAGAACAGATCACCTTAGTTGCATTTCCCTATCAACCTATCAATTAAGATGTCATTTGTATAATGCAAAGGGCTATTTGAAATTCGCAAGAACACTTCAATTCTTCAAAATGTGAAACTAGTTGAAAGTAGTTGGAGTGTTTGATTGTGTTTGTTTAGTCGACGTCATACCGCTTTCGATTTGCCATCTCAGTTTCTCTCCCCACCCACTGTGAATCAGTCGCCTCGATCCCTTCGACCCTGCAATATGAATACCAACCCCCTTTTCGGTCCGAGCTGGGATCTCAATAGGTGGACCGACTCTGACGATCGCGTACGTGGCGGATCATCGGTGTCAGAACTCGTCCCTTCCACAGACGGGGTTTTCTTCCGCGGCAACCTCGACATTGAAACCCTCGGCGGTGCTGGATTTGCCTCTCAACGGACAGTTGGACAAGACGAAATTTGGGATCTCGCCGGAAACGATGGCATTGAACTTGATGTTGTTCCCTTGGACGGGAAACGCTACACCTTCTCCTTGACAGACGAAATCCCAGAGCGAAGACGAGATGGTCGTGAACAAAGTGCCCTGGTTTGGGAATATGATTTCTGCGCCAGCGATGCTGGGACAACTGTGCGCATACACTGGAAGGATCTGAGAGCAACATACCGAGGGAGGCAGGTAGAAAATGCGAGACCTTTGGACCTCTCACGCATCAGAAGATTCCGGATCATGGCCAGAAGGTAAGACTTGAATTACTCGTGGGATGACATTGGTACTAAATTGGTCAGTTTCTTTGGAGGGCAACATGGTGCATTTGGCTTGCAGATTCGTACAATCGGCGTATTTCGGGATAGCTATCTTGATGATCCCAATCCATCAAAAGAGTCCATGGAGTATACTTCTTGCGAAAGAGAGCCTTCCGAGAAGACTGAAGAAGGTCAGAGCTGGGTATCGTGCTGTTGCGTATTGTTTTAATGCCCTAGAGAATTCTCGTGAGAGGTGTGTCGATCATCAATTTTCATTGCAAGACCCCATTATAGTTTGGGTGGCAGTACTCCGTAGCCTGCCTTGGGATACCCACAACATCCACCACAGTCTACCTCCGCTTAAAACCTCAGCCATTGAGGAGATCAATATCCTGAAGGCCGGTGGTCGTGGATGATTTCCTCCGATAATTAAAGTTCAAAACCCTGGAAGTAAGCACAGTCTCGGGCCAATTTTATCAGTCGGCCGTCATTTGTGGGATGTTTGCCGCGTCATGATAGCAAAGATCTGGGCTTACCTTCTGTATAGGTATACAAATGGGCTTTCAATGATAATATGCACCACTGACCTGTCACATCAGGTAGGTATTCAACCTGTTTGAAGTAGAATACTTTGGGCTTCTTTAGTGTTTACTCCTGATTTTTGCGCTTCGACACCGCCACTTTCAGTCGGGTCCACTCTCTTTCCTTACACCTCAAAACAGAGCGTATTCATAGATGTGTCAATAGAGTCGGTAATAGAGGCACATTAGTGGGAATCTCTAAAGTTAAACAGTCTTTGGCGTGTTTTTCATAGATGCACAGGGTAATATGTACCCCTATTCCAGGGGTTTCACTGCTGTTCTTGACCCACTGTGAGTTGAGACCCCGCTTAGGGACAAGCTGGTCTATTCAGACGCTATATATACCTCAGTACCCCTCTTCTGCTCTTTTCGTCTTCCCCCATTTCCATTCTTATTCATTCATCTACATCTACATCTTCACAATGGGCTGGTTCAGTGGTAAGTGATAGCTCTGTTTCATTCCTTTGAAGTGACTTGCAGTATGATCATCCCTTGCCAAGACTGTCACTAAAGGCTTGGCTACTTTATCTAGACGATTCCCCGCAGCAGGACTACCACCAGCAGTGGAACAATTCGGAGCCCCGCGAGCACGACCCTTCCTTCGTTCATGAGCTGATCGCCGGTGCGGCTAGCTACGAGGCAGCCAAGGCTTACGAGGAGCACTGCGACAGAAACGGTATGCATATGAATCACCCCGTGTCCGTACGATGGAATATGGTACAGGATTCTGAAGATTTACAGGCCAGCCCCAGAGCCACGAGAAGGCCAAGGAGATTATGGCTGGATTTGCCGGTGCCTTCATTGATCGCGAGGTCGAGTCCCGTGGTCTGGACTTCATTGACAAGGAGAAGGCCAAGTACCAGGCTCGCCAGCACATTGAGGATGTTTCTGCCGATCAGGTTGGCTATTAGGTAGTTCTTGACGGACTGCTGTGCATGTAGCTTTGAGTATGTGTATAGCAGAGGTTTTATAGGTCGCCTACCATCAGTGCATGAGACTTCTTCTGTAATGAATTCCACAGACTCCAAACCTTCTTGTCCCACTCCTTATGTAATATGCACTTGATCGAAGGTCTGTCTTGGATGTGAGACTTTGCTTGGTGCCTTCAAAAATTACAGTTCAGTGTCCCTGAATTGGTTTGGAATAGCGTGACTTCGGCTACCCGACGTATTATCTGCTTCGACGAAAAACCATGCCTATAACAGGGAAATATATGAGGCATTTACCTTGCTTTTTGCCTTCTACTTGCAGCCATTCAATTGTTCCGTCATCCAATGATTTTGAGGTAGCGATATCAGGCCTGCTAGCTAATTCTGCTTTCCAATCATTTGCCAGGGCCAATTTCCAAACCGCTATTGTGGAGCCTTATTTGATTCCAAAACATAAAGATTGAGTCTATCCGAGTTTCTTTGCATGAAATTGTAATTAAAATGGATAAGCTTTAGCCCAATTTGATAGAACAAACATGTTTTGAATGAAACCATAGTGTATATCCGCTAAACGCCGAGAGACCTGAACTCCTCAATTACAAGAACACATCGTCCCGCAAGATCAGCCACCCACAACCATGAAGCCCATGAGGCCAATCCAGCCAGCCACGAAAACAGCAGTGAGAATACCAGCACCTGCTCGGTCGCCTGTTGTTATGACCGTTTTCTTTCCACTTGACGCATCACTATCGTCTTCACCAGCCGTAGGATCACTGGTGCTGTTTCCACCAGTTGTCGAAGTGACTGGAGCAGTGGTGTTGAAATTGATCATGTTGGCGAGAAACACGTTTGTGGCGCTGATTTCTTCCTCCATTCCAAGCCAACCATCGTATTTTGATTTATACCACCTGACACCACAAGTACCATTGTTGTGGCCAGTGCAGGATGCGGCGGCGGCTGCACCGGAGGTTTGCAGCTTTGCTAGAATACTGTCAAAGGTTGTCGGGACTAGTACAGCAGTCAATGCTAGCCATGAAGATGTTAGTCCTTTGAACAGAATCTCATTGTCATTGCAGGTCTCCGAGGGCTCGCAGTTGAAGTCCTCAATGATATCGCCTGTGAGGAAGAAAGTGTCAAATGTTTTGTTAAGAAGCCCATTGACCGCGGTCAACCACTGGTCTTGTGTAGATCCGTTTGTCTGTTAAAACATGGCATCAGTCAAAAGATATGCTTGGGATATCGAATCTCTGGATGTCGAGAATTTTGGGAATGGGGTTTGGAAGCGTAACGGGATTTCTCACATAATTATACATGTATGCCGCGCCCATTAAGTATGTACCGTAATTATAGGTCCATTGAGTATTGCCCTGGGTCGCACAATCATCATCCACGTTCGTGGAATCGGCAACATTCCATGTCGTATTACTCAGTAGAGGTGATGAGACCGACCAATCCCAGATCTTGTTAGCCCATTGGAGATAGATCGCATCTCCGGTATACCGAGCTAGGCGTGCAGATAGCTGGAACAAGCCACCATTGGAAATCGAGTTCTTCATTCCATACCCACTCTGGTATGGCCAAATTTGCCAGCGCAAGCCGCCCCCACACGAGGACGTATCCCATCTTTTGATTTGAGTGTTGAACACACCCTGCGCTAGCGAAAGCCAACTGTACCCAGTTGAACGGTCCGGAAATGTGTATTCGGTAGCTGTCATCGCTGCAAGGCCCCAGAACATTTGGTCATCATTACCCTGGAAAAGGAAATAAGACACTTATAAGGCTTCAGACGGCTAGGATGGCTCACCAGATAAGAGCTGTAGTTGCTTGGCATATAGTCTCCGTCATCGCCTGATTGCCATTGTAATCCAATGCTAAGTTCGGAGTTGTAGGTAGTGTCGCCCGTGAAGTGCCAGTATTGCAAGAGTGCAAGGAAGAGAGCAGCACCCTCCCACCATTTGTCGGGGAATGCTCCAGGAATTTGACCGGTTTCGTTGCCGTAGTACCAGGTCATCATTGAATAAGCCGAAGTACTCGCCGCATCTTTGATGGTTTCTGATGAATCAAAATGTTAGCCTTTTCTTCATGTTTTTTTTCACTGAGACTATCATCGTTGACACACGTTCATCGCTGATATCGAAATCAATAGCCTTGGCCACATTAGACAATAGTAGCGTTGCGAGAAGGCCTCGACAAGAAAAACTCCCAATCCAGTGCATTTTGTGAGGAGGAATGACCCATATACAAGGCAGCCGACCAATCAGAAGAGGCGCATGCGAGTAAAACAGAAGACAATTGTGAAGAAGCCTTGCGAGAGAAGAAAATGGAAAAAATCAAATAAGTCCAGAAAATGCCAGGCAGATCCATTTTCGCAACTATTCAAGGCGGATTTAAATATAGCGTCAGGGGCATGCGTAATCCTCGGCGCTAGCGTCGTCAACTCTTTCATTGTGGAGTTTCAAGATTGCACTTTTCGGAATCGCGCGGCGAACGAGTAGTGGAGTCTGCCAAGCTCAATCAAGCTTTTAGTGTATTGATCGTTTCGGTAATTCTTTGATCGTCGATCAGATATATCCTGGATCCCTATAATTTCTGCTGCTTCTTTTCAGGTCATGCCCCGAACCTTATTTCCCCATGGTAGTGAATTTGGCGTCACGTATCATCGTTGATTGTTCCGAAATTGAGTCACAGCATACAGACAAATGTATGAAGTACAACACAGGTTCAGGCGGAGGCCCTCTAGGTGAGAAGAAGTGCTAACAAACATCATTCAAAGCTCAATTTCCCGTTCGGGTCTACAGATCGACAGGCACAGTCTATCAAACGAAATGCGACTTATGGAGTGGCTTGGTCAAGCTTCCGTTTCTCTTTGTTGGCAGTTTCCTGCCTCCAGCGATATCCTCGATGAAAGACAATCCACAAAGCAGGACTTCCAAGCGCCCAAAGACTAGCAATAAACGTTGCTGTCCACCCAATCCCAATTGCTCCGATCAGAGGCGATGCCACTGCTGTTGCCCCAGCACCCAGCAAGCAACGAAAGAGATTACTTGCTGCTGCTGCAGTTGCAGCACTTTGGTAATGGATGTCTATAACCAGCGTGTTCAGTGTGTTGAATGCACTGGTAGTCGTGACGCCGGTGAAGAACAACGTCACGAGAGGGCCAGCCAGAGCGGTTCGATAGTGCATCACCCAGCCGTAGGCTATGATACAGAGACTGGCCAGATATATTAACGGGATCGTTATCGCTAGGCGGGCTCGTTCGATGTTGAATTTTTCAATCTCTTGCTGTCGATTCTTCTGGATGATCATACCTTGAAGCCGTGCTTCGCGGCGGAAGTTCCAGTCCAATAATCGACCAACTATCCAGCGAGAGCTAATGCTTCCTATACCCATAGGAAGGTAGCACAATCCGACCTGGATGGAGTTGAATCCAAAGCGACTGGTTAATTGAGTCGATAGGGTGCTGATCACGGCCATATAGCCTGCATATAACAGTGCACCGTATATGAGAATCAACCCTGTCTCTTTTTGTGTGGCTAACAGAAAAGCCGAGATCGGGTTGGGACGCCGCTTCAGCTGCTGAATGGTAGTATAGTCGGCGGTTCCCTGTTGATCAGAAAATCGAGAGTGCCGTACACAGAATGCCCAAAACGGACGATTCCATGAAGCCGGTGGTACAGATCCATTTCCCACGACAGCTCGACATGTCTCAGGGAACATAATAAGAATCACAGCGAAGCAAACACCCGACAGAATGACCAGAAACCAGAATATTGACCGCCATCCCAGATAATGATCCAAAAGTCCACCTATAACAGGGCCCAGTGTCGGTCCCAGTGAGATACCAATACTAGCGTATCCAATGTATTTTCCTCTCTCGGCACGAGTCGAAAGATCGGCCATGACGGCGCTGCCCAGCGCAACAGTCCCACTACTGCCCGATGACTGGATGCAACGCAGAATCATCAGGGCGACAAAGTTATTCTGTAGTGCAAGGCCAACATTTGCCCCGAGGTAGATTGCAAATGAGATGATGTATGCGGGACGTCGACCATGTATGTCTGAAAAGCTGCCGATGAATGAGGGTGCAAGTCCTTGGAAAATCTGTGATCGGTCAGCCGTGATACTGTTGCACGTTTCGATCTAGATTACCAGATAGGTTGTAATAGTCAGGCTGATGAGCGAAACAGAGACATTCATATCCCTGGAGAGAGAGTCAAGTGCCGGTAGGTAGATGCTGCTCGAAAATGGTGAAATAAGAGCCGCAAATGAGCCCGCCACAATCACAAAAGCCTTTTCGCCATTTGGGAGAACACTATATGGGGGTAAAGTTTCGCTTTGTGTCTGAACTTCCAAGTCGATTCCCGAAGCTAGGGGAATTTGGGAGTTGTTCTCAATTTTGGCCTCATCAGCCACCAGGGGCGGTCGTTTCTCTGTTACACCACCCTCTTGCATGACCGAAGATAGAGCACATCTTTGCAAATCGGCACAAAACCCTTGTTTTTATATCAATTTTGATAGTGGTTATTTCGTGCCGGGGACGGAGCGGTACCGGGATAGAAGTGGGCCAAAGCTCTATCGAGTAGAGCTTGCGTCGGGCTTAGAGATGCTCCGGTTCTGCCTCAGGCATCAATTGCTTTTTCTACATTGTACTATGGGCAATACCTTGGTTGATATGCTAATAATTGATATGCCTGAAATAGTTCTGAGGTCAATCACCAGGAAATATCTACTGGAGATGCTTTTCGAAAAATTCAGCTAGTTGCAAATACCTAGAAGACAGTTAGCAACCAGATGAAAGACAAGGTCAAATTCAAAGATTCTCACCCTCGCATATATTCAGATCGACTCTCCTCTCCATCCAAGTCTGCACGAGCACCCATCCATCCGTGCCACATGGTAGAAAATGTCTCAACGTGTCCACCTAGTTCATTGCTGTCGATCACTTTAGCGTAGCCAGTGACTGCATCAGCAGGCTCATCCTTCGATGCCAAAACAATGTGGGGAATGGAAATTAAGGCAGCATCAGCCACATCCATACGTCTGTTACTCATCAACATTCTGTCGTAAATGAAAGAGAGAAGCCAAATACATACCCTGGGTGCACCTGTCCCGAGGCAGCAAAAGGACTATTGGCACCTGAGGCTATCACTGTGACCTATACAGAAGCATAATTAACAAACTCCCCATTGGAAATGTTCGCCGATTGCAATCCCTACCTTCCCGCCCCAGCAAAGACCAAAGGCACCCCATTTGCCCACAGATGGGAATCGAGACTTGTATTCTTCAACTGCCTCCAAAAGAAGCGCCGCATTTCGCGAAAATGACGCTTTATTGTCCAGAAATTCTGCTATTATTTTTTTCTTTTCCTCCGTATCAGCCGGTACATACTCCGGCTTGAGCGGGTCACCTTCGAAGAAGTCAGGAACCAGCACCACAGCGTTGAGGCGCACGGCGAGAAGATCAGCTCCCTGGAGGGTCTGAATGGCGAGCCCGAAGACATCATACAGGTCGACTAGGCCCATTTTTCCGTCCATGTTTCCGGTCACATCTTGTTGTGAACAGTCAATAACTGCATACGTAAGAGGGGCTGGTGACTCACATGTTTTGAGGCCCGCGATGGTCTCATAATGACCCTCGGGGGTATATCCCTGCGAGGTAACGGGAGGAATAGTACGACAGGCTTCACACGACATGATGAATATCTTTATGAGTTTAATAGCAAAAGAAATAGTTCACAGGCATTTATCGGCGAGTCCCTCAATTCCGGGACCGGGATTGTCAGATCCACTCCATGGCCCCCACAGGACCATTTCAGTTGAAATATCGGTACTCAAAGCTCGAAGTTTCCTATTCTGATACCATTTCAGTCAGATAGAATGAGCATATGGAACCTAATGATCCAGTTCTACACAAATTTCAACGTCCATAAGTTGAACTCATCCCACATCCCAAGCTTAGTCAGATTCCCCGGATCTCTCGATGCTTAGTCACCATCCTAGATCTCCCCCAACTGGGCACCTTTGAAGGGGCATCTTCTCGTCAAGTGTACGGAATGATCTCCAAAATTCTCCTCGTTGGTTTTCTGGGTGGCTTAATTTCAGCCCTGCAATCTCGGTCTCCCACAATTGATTTGGGTTATTCGCAGTATTGTGGACTCTCACTTCCTAATCATGTTGACCAATACCTTGGGATGAGATATGCAAAGCCACCTCTGGAGAGCCTGCGTTTCCGAGCACCTGAGAATCCAGAGCGTACAGATGCAGTCCTGGATGCATCATCGGTAAAGTTTCTGCCTATTCACACAGCTCCCAAGCTGACTTGATCAGTTCGGGCCTCTTTGTGTGGGGGTGGGTCAGTCGGTCAGTGATCTGATGGCGGAGGATTGTCTCTTTGTCAATGTCTGGCGTCCCACGAACGCGACTCCTGACTCTAAATTCCCGGTGTGGTTGTTCATTCAGGGGGGTGGATATGCCAATAATGCAAATGGCAACTATAACGGGAGTGAGGTTGTCCAGCAATCTGGTCATGGTATTGTTTTCGTCAACTTTAATTACCGCGTCGGTGCCCTTGGATTTCTTGCCAGTGAACATGTTCGCAGGAATGGTGACCTGAATGTCGGGTTGCTTGATCAGCGGAAGGCGCTCCATTGGGTTCAGCAGCACATTAGCCAGTTTGGAGGTGACCCAGATCATGTTGTCATTCATGGTGACTCTGCTGGTGCCGGTTCGGTGGCTCATCACCTCACTGCATCTGGTGGGCACAGTGCTGGTCTTTTTGTCGGGGCAGTGGCCGAATCAACATTCTGGCCAACCGAACGGACAGTTGAACAAATGGAATTCCAGTACGACCGGTTCGTGAAAGACCTTGACTGTGACAACGCCAGTGACTCCTTGACATGCCTGCGTGCGCTGAAGATTGAACCCCTTCAGAAGTTCAACATCGACAAACCCTTTCCCGGGGGCAGCACTACGCCATCACCATTATGGTATTTCCTCCCGGTTGTGGATGGTGACTTGATTCCCGGTCCACTTTATAGCCTTTTCAGTCAAGGCAAATTCATTCAAGTTCCTTTGATTGTCAGTGATGATACCAACGAGGGCACTGGCTTTGCATACAATGCAAGTACCCCGTCCGAGGTGGCACAGTTCATGAAAAACAACTACCCAGGACTCTCTCAAGATCAGTTAAATGCCATCAACGATGCTTATCCTTTGATGGATCCTCTCCCTAAACATGCAGCATATTTTTCTTCGGCTGCGGCTGCTTATGGAGAGGCTACCTTCACTTGCCCAGGAAACTTGATGGCTGCAGCTATGGCAAAAAAGTCTTCTCGGGTTTGGAACTACCGGTTCAATGTCCGTGATCCTACAGAAATTGCAAATGGCATGGGGGTTCCTCATGTGTTTGATTTACCTGCGATCTTCGGGATTGGGGAGACTAATGAGCCCACGTACTCATACGCGAACTCCAATTCAAAGATTGTGCCCGTCACCATGGACTACTATATTAGCTTCATCAAGGCTCTGGACCCGAATGTTTATAGAAACCAAGAGGCACCTGAATGGCTTTCATGGGGATCAGGTACCGGGCAACGCTTGAGACTCCAGACTAATGCAACGCAAATGGAAGATCTTCCCCGAGCGCAGTTGGATCGATGCTCTATGTGGGAACGGCTGGCAAAAGATATGGAACACTGAACGACTGAGAAATTTTGCCACTGCCATTGTAGCAAGTCATATCATAGGGATCATGAGTCCATTCATATTCTCACCTTTCTGTGATCTAGATGAATAGCCCAAAACACTCAAAAAAGGGTGAAAATTGTGATGATATGGTACACTAGCTTCGAGGAATTTGTGTAAAAAGGCTGTACACTGCCAACCTCTATAGCAGTGTGTACACATTCATAATCTACTGATTATCCTAGATACGAAGCCCTTTGAATAGCCACAGAGTTAATATTTACTACTAAAGATTCTATTGATTCCGGCTGATTCCGCCACCGTGAGGGGTAATCACTCGTCACTCACAGGCTGTTTCGGGAATCCGGGGTAGCTCCCTTCTCCACCTCTTCACATACCAACATGAGGAGTTGCCTTTTTCCTACTCTCGCGGTCGAACTTGTTGAGTTGATTGCCAGTCACCTTGAAGGCGATGCCTTACTAGACCTCCGTTTGGTCTGTCGCGAAATACAAAAAAAGACCTTTCATCACTTTGCGCGGCGCTTCTTCTCGTCTATCAAGACCGACCTGTCTGATGACAGTCTACGTCGTATAAATGCCCTTTCTCTGCATCCTGAGCTACGCCCTTATGTGCACGGCTTAGCTTTCATGCTTCACAATGGTGTCGGTCACGGCCTAGTTTGGGAACGACATCCATGGGGTCCATTATCAGCACCCTTGGAGGTTGAGGCCATTCGCTCCCTGCGCGACAACCTGATTCATAATTTGGCTAATTGCCGATCTTTCTTTATCTTTTGTCGATATCCAGAGGGCCATCCGGACATGAGCCATGTCACCATCACTGATGCTGTCGCGGTTTTCTTTGCCCTGGTTGTCGATGCTCGTCTACCTGTTTCATCCTTCCATCTTATATACGCGAACAAATACTCGCGCACTTTAATTATGGATATGCGCCGCTTACCGAAGCTTCTCTACCGTCAGCCAGAGTTTAAACTTGTCTGGGGCAATTTGCAGAAGCTGTCTTTGGAGCAGTACCTCACCTTGGACAACTTTGGATTTTTGCTCGAGCTGGTTCTTAGTGCTCCAAATCTTCAAACTCTTCTTTTAAATCTTGGCTCGCATGATTTGGCCTCTGAATTCATGCATGAACTTGCAGAGACTGCCAATTTCTCCCAGCTGCGCGAGCTCGCATTATTTCGAACATGTCTGCGGGCTCCAGATCTTGATAAGTTACTCGGCACTGCTCGTGAGAATCTTAGTGCACTGACACTATATCATGTCTCATTGGCTCCGGGTAGCAATTGGACAACCTTTTTGAAGAAGCTTAGTACGGGCTTTTTGGCTTTGCAAAGTATCTCACTTTACTATCTGTGGGCCAGCACACCAGCTAAAGGGCTTTTGACATTTCCAGATCTTCGAAAAACACCTTCACTCTGTTCTACGAGCGGTCAGAGTCTTCATATGTTTTATTCTGAGGATTTGAAAAGTCCTACTGTTCTTGGAATTGAGTATTCTGGATCAAAGGTGCCACATGTGTTGAGTTTGTTACAAACAATCACTGAGACCTCTTGATAACACTTGGCTAAGGTGGCACGCCTTGTAATCATTTACATGCATCATTCTTGCACTCTTCGTTGGGTTTTTCAACCGCTTGTTTTCATCTCTAATTTGCGCTCCTGTTGAATGTTCACATAGCATATCTGATGGCGTTGCAATGCAACCTTTCATTGATTCCTATATTTATTACTTCCTTTGTCGGCAAATCGATAAGAGATTTTGCTATTGTAGATTGACAATCTCGGTCTATTTTCAGAAAAGGTCTTCAAGCTTAAATCAGGTGTTGCATGTCCGCGCCCTTCAATGTCACCGTTTTGACATTTTGACCAGATACTTCAACTATAGTTTCTTGTAAATTTCCTCGGAAAGCAACTGTTAAGCATAACTTTTCCTTGGGCCAAAGGGTGATATAGTTATCAGACCAGTAGACTGGTGCGATCTCTGCTTGCTCAGATGCATAGATTGCGTTCAACCGAAGGAAGAGTGCTGGCACCTCGGATTCATTTTCCAAATGAACCTCTGCCCGAGTCAGGCCATCTGCGAAGCTCGATCTTTCTGGGTGCAGCGATGGCTTGACGTTGGCTGCTGCTAGAGACTGGAGTTTCGTATAATTTGCGAACGTGGTGACTGGGGTTGTAAAGAAGTTAGACTTAGGCCAGTCTAAAACATCTCTAGTTTGAGAGATCCAATAGACATTGCGACTGATGATCAAGTTGGACTTGGGATCACGAAGTACCAAACGCAGGAATGCAACATCTTGGATGGTGTCAATTGCATCAACCGAGGTGACTGGCTTTGCGAAATTAGGGGTCGTCTTGATGTTGGCTTCGGTGCTTGAAAGCTTGTTTCCCTGTGTGTCAATGACCTCTATCAAGACCTGTCGCTCTCCTTCATTCTTAAGCGAATGGTTGATCAGCCAAACACTCCGGCTTTCGTAATCGTAAGCAACATGTTCCATGCGTGCACCAACTTTTGTGCCGAAGTAGGCTGCCATGGGACTGAGGTAGTAGTCGAACAGCTGCCAGTGCAGGTTCGGCCAAGCGCTGTTCAGCATCCAGTAAATCAGGCCAGTGGCGGGTCGGGTGGCATTTTTCCTCGTGGAATAAGCTTCGTATTGGGCCCGCGTAGCCTCATAGTCCGCCATCTGACTTTTGAGCACATAGTCATCTACGCTCACTGGCTCGCCGTACCGAGAGTGAAGAGCCTTGTTGTAGATAGACCGATCGTAAAAGTGAGAGTCGTAACGAGACATGTGATACAAATGTGCATCAGGCTGTGTCCACATCGTTTTCAAATTGTCATCGGACATGAATTTCTTCAGGCTGCGCGTCTCAGGTGTTCCAACTCCAGCACCCAGTTCAGATCCAAATCCAAAAGCTGCTCCTTCTTTGTTGCCATACCAATAGTTTGGTGGCACCCAGTCGTACGGGCCGTCCATTTTCATTCCAGAAGGCCCTAAAGCTTCTGGATAACCGCGCATGCTGGCCGATGCAATGATTGGATTCGGCCAATCCATATATCGAAGAGCATCCAAGTATACTTCTGTAGCTTGGTCATCGGGCCAATAGTCTGAGCCCACCAAGAAACCAAGCATCGACGGGTGGGCTTGCATCATCTCAGCCTCATGCAACATTGATGTTCTTGCAATGCGATAATCTTGATCATCCCACTTAACCCCGTCAGCATCCTCATTGTACTAAGCTCATATTGTCAGTGAATTGGGTTTTCCAACGATGTTGCGGCCGCGTACTTCCCAGCCTTCCCATTTATCGCAACATTCCCATCCTGCCAAGATCATTACTCCCATGCGATCTGCTAATTCGTATAGTTCCGGGTGCTCTTGTTTTCCCTCTAATCGAAGGGTATTCATTCCCATGTCAAGCAGGTATGTGAGCATTTTTTCAACCCTGTCTTTATCAAATCGCAAGAAGATATCCGGCCCATATCCGGCTCCAATGACTTGGAAAGGTTCCCCGTTGACGGTGAATTCAGTGTCGTTGAAACCATTCAGGTTTGACGATACATGTCGGATTCCGAATTGTTGACTCCTGCAGCGATCTGACAACAACTCTCGAGGTTCCTGAATGAAAGTATGTGCCTGGATTGTATACAAGGGTTGCTCGCCCCAGCAAGCGGGCCACCAAATATCAGGGTTCCGAACAATCGCTTCGATCGAAACCGTCTTTCTTTCATTTGGCTTCAAATCAAATATATCGCTGATCTGAGCTATAGCGGAGCTACCTCGTGTAACAGTTCCGTTCAGCTTGACTCGATGGGCTTTCGGTTCATGGTTAGACAATTCAGTTCGGAAGGTAATATTTACAGCCTCGGTCGTGGGTTTCGTGAAATCGGTCACTATGCGAAATGGAGACATGGAAATCGATCCGGTCTGAGAGATCTCAACGTTTCGCCAGACTCCTGTGCCATTGTCCGCTGGGTAAGGGTTCCAATCCACAAACCCCATGGCAAAATCACGAAGGTAATTGGTTGGAAAGACACGGACAAGGATACAATTATCGCCTGTTTGAATATAGTTTGTCAGGCTGTATTGAAGGCCACCATACGATCCTTGTTGTTGGTCACTTGTTGCAATGAGAATCCCGTTCAAATAGATGTCCGCCTTGGGCGTAATCCCATGTGTCTTCAGAGTAAAGTACTGCCCATTTGATGGGCTCATGCTGAAAACCTCTCGATAAATCCACGGTGATCTGAATGAAATGTCGCTAACAGATTCCATGTTGTCGGAAAAGAATAGTTCTGTCTCATTGTAGACCCCATTTTCTAAAAGACCAGCCATGACAGTGCCACGAGAACTGACACGATACCATGATGAGCTGTCTGCCGCTGGAGAAGACAAGACTGATAATTCTCCTGGTACCTTGAGGGCCGACTGCAGGTACCATCCGGGTATAGCAGCTACGTCGCCAGCAGAGGCGACGGGGGGTTTGAAACAACATTCGCTGCATCTGCACTGTCACTGATGGCGAATTGTATGAAAATTGCACTCACGATATTCAACATACTCCAAAATTCTTTGCTTGGCTAGAGTCTAGGAGCTAATTTCGCCTGTAGCTCGAAGTGATACGGTCTTTATATGAAGACAATTACCCAGGACCAAGCAGTATTGTGTCACATTGTTCACAGAATAATACGACCGTAGTAGGGGAGCTGCCTGGTCTGCAGGATCGCTCTAACGACCTGCCCAGCCAGGACTAGCTGGCTCGGGAATCTCGGTAAACATGGAGTTTCACCGGTGAGATGAGCAGATGAACTTCCATTTGGGGTGACATAGGGTCGTGACAGGGTCTGATCCATGACGATCAGAAACTTGGAGATTTTGACATTGAATGAAGTCCAATGAAGCGCCATTTTGAGACTGGGGAAATCCCCAGGCTCGGATTGTATCGTTTGTTTTGGTCCTTTTCCATGATAAAACAGAGACCCCTACCTGGTATGACCTACTTGGTATGATGTAGATTATGAGCCTGAGGCACTCAAAGATGAACTCAAACAGAGTAAAACGAAAAATTCGGTGAAAAAGAGGCGACAAAGAGAGGCCAAAGCAAAACATAACGATCCGAGTTCTGCATCGATGTCCCCTTTTGTATTATATAATCTTGATGCCTGGATTACTAAGCCTCTAACATACGCTTCTCAGCAAGAAAAAAACTTTAGAAAGTCATGGTTAATCTTCAAAGTTCCCAGTATGGACTTTTGTACCAAGTAGTTGCAAGCAATACAGAAACCCGATTTAGGCAACTAATATCGTCGCGATCTTGTCGTGGATGGCATTCAGTCAAGCTTACTAATTTGGCAACCTCCCCCCTGCTAACCTTGGAAACGTAGGGATGCGGTATGCCTGGAATTTAATACCCTGAAATCCCTTGGCTTCAACAATATGATTGTTATTTCTCTATGTCCAGGGGGACAGGTTACAACGGAATGTGTTGTTGCATCCCGTTTGCGGCCACGCCCATCCCGTCTTCGTCTCCGTCCGACCATCTATGATTTGCCAATCTCTCTCCACTGATCAGATTGATTCTTTTGACAGCTGCTTTGGAATGCCACGCCGATCCAACGTGGAGCTTCCATGCAAAACCCATGGAACTGACTAGCCAAAGTGTTGCACTCCCGTCACCTCCTCAGCTCCTTTCGGAATCTCTCATCAATACGGCCTGATGGAGTTTCTTGATGCAGCCAAATGTCGAGGATACCCTGCAGATTCCCCCTATCAAAGGATGAACTGAGGGCCACGCCTTGTTACCATGCCAGCACTCCTGTGGTGGTTGGAATGTGGCCATTCGATCCACACATCCCCCTCTCGCTGTTCTTTCTCGCACTCTGGCGTCGGATGGTGAGTTCCTGCATCCTTCCATATCCTTCACTGGGCAACCTCTGGGAATCATCTTCTTCGTCACTCTATACTTCGCAGACTTCACCGGTGTATATCGACCTCTTGGACATCAGACTGGATCAGGATTGACAGTGACCAGTCACCGGCCAAACTAGCCACCTTCCGAGTGCGATTAAAGCGAAGCAGCGTGCTGTGGATAGTGCAATTACCTTCGCTATCTGCTCTCTTGGCGTATCAGCCGCCATGCGCGTGTTTTCTTACGCATCGCGGCCATCATGGATGGGTTTCCTAACTGCCGCTCTAATGGGCACTTCAACTGTGAAAGCAGTAGAGCTGGACCTGGATGATGGAGGTAAGCATTCTGCCATTCCGACATTTCCAAACACTAACCAGGATCAAAGACTCCATCAAAAAAGCTGCCAAAGACGTCGCAACCAACATGATGACATACTACACCGGCATGAACCCAGGTGACAATCCAGGAAACTTGCCGGACCCCTACTACTGGTGGGAGGCCGGTGCGATGTTTAACGCCCTGATCGACTACTGGTTCTACACGGGCGACGATACCTGGAACGACATCACGATACAGGGCATGCTTTGGCAGGCGGGCGAAAACAAAGCTTTTATGCCGAACAATCAGAGCAAAACCGAAGGTAACGACGATCAAGTATTCTGGGGCTTTGCTGCGATGTCTGCTGCAGAGCGCAACTTCCCCAATCCGCCAGAGGATCAACCTCAATGGCTCGAAATGGCCCAGGCTGTGTTCAATACTCAAGCTCCCCGATGGGATCCCTCGTCTTGTGGTGGAGGTCTTCGCTGGCAGATCTTTACCTGGAATAACGGCTATAACTACAAGAATACGATCTCCACAGGCGGATTTTTCAACCTTGCTTCCCGCCTGGCGAAGTATACCAAGAACGAAACGTACGCAGAATGGGCTGAAAAAGCGTGGGACTGGACCGCCGATGTCGGCTTCATGACACCCGAATATCGCTTCTGGGATGGAGCGAGTGACTTAAGCAACTGCACTCCCATCAATCAGATTGAGTGGACCTATAATGCCGGTGTTTACTTGCTTGGTGCTGCCAATATGTACAATCTGGTAAGTGGAATCTCTGTTTTTGGCGGCGTCACCAAAGTCTAACATGTTCCACAGACCGAAGATTCCAAATGGAAGGAACGCACCGAGAAGATCATTGACTCTTCAGGCGTCTTCTTTTCTCAGGATCCGCCTGATGTAATGTACGAGCGAGCTTGTGAGACGGTCAGCACGTGCATGGTTGATCAGCGTTCCTTCAAGGGATATCTTGCACGCTGGATGGCTCAAACCACCCAAATGGCTCCCTTCACGTATGACAAGATCATGAAACGATTGAGGGCTTCTGGTCAAGCAGCTGCCAAGACCTGTACAGGAGGCTCCAAAGGAACGACATGTGGTCTCAAATGGACAGAACAAAAGTGGGATAAGACCAAAGACTTCGGTCAGCAGATGGCCGCCCTCGAGGTGATTCAATCGAACCTTATCACCCGTGTATCGGCACCTGTCACCGATGATGATGGTGGCACGAGTAAGGGAGATCCAAATGCTGGCTCTAAGCCTCCTAAGACGGTGCCTCCTGCTCTGGCCTACTCTATCACCACGGCTGACAAGGCCGGTGCAGGTATTCTCACTGCGCTTGTGCTGATAGGTATCGGTGGGTCCACGGGTTGGTTGATTTGGGAATGAATTCCCTCATGTTTTGGCGTCGTATGCGTTTATCTCTCTTTATTACATTTCTTTATATGCCCCTTCTTCTACTGCGGTCTGGGCTTATGTTCTACAAATTTGGAGTTTTTTGTTTACAATGGCGTTGGTCGGTGGCGTTTTGTGAATAAGGACTTGATCTAACATACAAGCATTCTTCTCAACTTACACTGCCGTTTGTATTAATGGAATGTTTCCTATGCAATTGCCAAGCTATCCCCGCATCTCTTCGGATATACGGAGTTCAAGGCCATTGACGTAGAATGATGAGGGGTTGACCCGCGGATGATTTCCGCGTACTTCTGCCTCGGTGTCAGTCCGGCTATTTAATTCTGGCGATTTCTGTATCAGAGCTGCCTGAGTGCTCAACTATTTCTTCCGTGCTTTTGAGAAACTGCTGTATGCTACCAATATGGGATCAATCATTGGTGATTCCCCGATCATCATTCCCACGCACTGTAAAGCAGGAGTCGTGGTCAATGAAGGGCCCGATTTCCATGTCGAGGTACAAATGGTGCCCGTCCCAGAGCCAGGTAATTTTTTTGGATGCGCTGATATAGAAGAGCTTCTCTTGTTTGAGTCCATCTCTGACATGATACCGCTTTGTAGGCCCAGATGATGTTTTGATCAAGCTGAATTACACCGGGTTGTGCTCGTCGGACATTCATATGATGCAGGGAGACTTAGGGGTTCCTCCCATGTCCACATTCGGCGTTCGATCCCCAGGGCATGAAGGCGCTGGTGTTGTGGTTAAGGTTGGAGCTAATGTAACAACATTCAAAGTGGGTGATAGAGCCGGGATTAAACCGATCATGGATACTTGTGGTTCCTGTGGTCATTGCTGGGATGACAAGGAGACGTACTGTAAGAAGGCGACTCACACTGGACTGATGGTAGCAGGTAAGTCTAGTTCGAAAGCTCGCAGGATTTCATGTTGGCTCATCATTCTAGGCACTTATCAGCAATATTTGGTCTCACCAGCCCGTTACGCGTCACCTATTCCAGATGGGGTCTCCGACGAAGTCGCCGCTCCTGTGATGTGCAGCGCCAGCACAATCTATCGATCTCTGATTGAGTCAAACCTTCGAGCGGGGGCATGGGTTGTTTTCCCTGGAGGCGGCGGCGGTGTCGGCATTCAAGGTGTTCAGCTAGCCAGGGCAATGGGAATGCGGCCCATTGTGGTTGACACAGGAGACTCCAAGCGGAGATTATCAATGGAGATGGGCGCAGAGGCTTTTGTGGATTTTAAGGAGGTGGCGGATCCCACTAAGGCTATTATTGAAATTGCGGACGGCGTCGGTGCCCACGGGGTGTTCGTCACAGCGCCGGCCGCATACAAAACTGCTGTCTCTTTCACTGGTGATCGTATTGGAAGCGTTGTGATGTGCATCGGTCTCCCTCCGATCGGGTCAATGATACTAGGCGATGATCCCTGTGCGTTTGTCTTCAAAAACCTTACCATCAAAGGCACCCTTGTTGGCAGCCGGAGGGATGTGGCTATGACCTTGGATTTTGCGCGGCGAGGGATGCTAAAGCATGTCAGCGAAGTATATCCAGTGAATCGGATGCCCGAGGCTGTGGAGAAACTTCGCAAAGGCCAAGTAGCTGGGCGAATTGTGGTCAACTTTAATTGGGAGGAGTAACAGGACTTCTGGGTTGTCAAATATATATCCTCCTTTTGTACGCATAGTCTTGGTATTCTATGATTTTAGTGTCTTATTATGCACGGTACCTCAAATATGTAACGAGTAGAACTAGAAATAAATTAAAAAGAGAATAGAGAGGCAAATAATACCTAAATGGTCGGGATTAGAAAAGATGCAAGATGCAAGATGCAAAAAAAGAATGGACTCGCGGGGAATCGAACCCCGGACCACTCCCATGCTAAGGGAGTATTATACCACTAAACCACAAGCCCAGTTCGGTGGAAGATTTCTAAACTTAATGTTATATGAAGCAAAAACAACCCTAGTTGATCTGCAATGTTGGGTGGTTTGGAACCTCTTCTTCCGTCCAGCCTTACTTTAGGGAACCCTCGAGATGATTTCATACCTGCACATCTTGGATATGTGTGTCTTTTAAACATTCCAACTTTGTGGTACTCGGCTGGATCATTCAAGTTATAGCTTAGTACCTGCCTACCCAGGAGCAACTGGGCACAGGAATCATTCCCGAATCAGTCCCCCCAGTATAATCTGGCCATCTTTGAAAAGCTCCAAATTACAAGCGCAAAGTTTATAAATACTCAAGCCCGACAGAGAGTATGGCTTCATATCTCATAACCGGCTCTTCGCGGGGCCTTGGATTAGCGCTGGTCGCTCGTCTGGCAACATTGCCCAGGACTGAAGTGGGAACCATCATTGCCACCGCTCGCCAGGATAATTCTGCTCTACTCACGGAGATCGTGAATGCTTCACCAGGCCGAATTCAAATGCTCAATCTGGATGTCACGGATATCGCCAGCGTGGATGCTGCGGTTGGAGCAGCAGAGCGTAGCCTACCAGGGAAAGGACTTGACGTTTTGATCAACAATGCGGGAGTGATGGATTGGTCACCAACAGGACTAGAAGGAATGTAAGTCCAATCAAAATCAAATAGGAGTTCTGATACTTATTTAACAGGGACAACCTCAACGACATGTTCAACATCAACGTCACGGCGGCCCATCTAGTTTCCCGCGCGTTTCTTCCACTTCTTCGGAAGGGGAACAAAAAGACAGTCGTCAATATGTATGTCATTTCTTACATATTTTCTTCGAAAAACTAATAAAATCTCAAGCTCGTCAACCCTGGGGTCCATCGCTATGGCTGATGGGTTCAAATCCATGCCGGTCCCGGCCTACAAAATTTCCAAGGCTGCATTAAACATGCTCACTGTGCAGTATGCTCATCAATATGCAGATGATGGTTTCACATTTTTAGGAATCAGCCCTGGCGTAAGTCAAGATATTATCTTCACTTCTCACTGCATTGCTAATCTGATCAGTGGCTCCGTACCAACCTTGGTGGCTCTCGGGCAGACTTACCAGTTGAAACAGGCGCCGAGAAGGTAATGGAAATCATACGAAACGCAACGCCCAAGCAGAATGGAAAGTTTATGAATATTCATCTACCTGGATGGAACGAAGGGCAAGGCGCAGGCCGCGCAGACCAGTATGATGGGAAAGAGATCCCTTGGTAAGAAGTTTGTAGATAAACAAACCAAAGTGTTGAGATCTGTCTTAGTATTTCCTCATTGGACCGCCGATGTGGATAATGTATCGTTATTGTCTACATGTTCTGAACAAGTTCTTCCAGTCAAATAAGTCAAGGTTGAATTGGATTAATTGAAGCTGGTTTTCCTTTGGAGCTCAATATCACTAGACACAAAAGTTCTAACCTGCATGACATTGAACCTCGCCACTAGAAGAAGCGTCCACCTTTCAATCTAAGCCTTCTTCGGCTGGCGAGATTTGACGAAATCCACCAGATCAAAGAAACTTTTCTTATAAGATCGCTCCTGGGTTGTTCGGTTGACAGCTTGAATGCCAAATTGCTGGGAATAGTCTCCGAACTCCCAATTGTCGACAAAGCTCCAAGCAAGTGCACCCATCACATGCACTCCGTCCTCATAAATCGACTTGAGAATTTCAGACATGAAAGAGAGATAGTAGACACTGCGCGGTGAATCAAATAGTTGATCAGAAAGATCCTTGTCTGCTTCCGCGTAAACTGGGAACCCAAATTCTGAGACTAGGATCGGGTGGCGGAAAGTGTTCCATAGATAAAAAAGGTACTCTCGGAAATGGGCCGGTGTGATATACACGTAGGACTCGGAGCGGTAACCAATGTTCCATCCGTAAACATTCTTTGTCTCTTGGTTGACGCAATACGGAAATAGCGAGTTCGAGGTTGATTTGTTAGCAGCGCAAGCCTCAATTCCGTCGTCGGCAGGGGATACCACCGTAGCGGTATAAGGGTCGACTCCGAAAAAGTCAGATGTTCCGTTGATATAGGCTAACTCGGAATAGCTCAGGGGCTTGGCCCCGGGCAGAGTTTTGAGAACGGATTCGGGGTACTGCTTGCCCAAAAAGATTGGATTAGCAAAGAAACCAAGTTGCATCTCTTGGAAGCGATCAGCTGCCAGCACATGGCTGGAGTTCTTGGGGTCTTTCGGCACTCCGAAGTTGTCGTTAAACTTGATACCTATTCTTCCTTTGGCCTTCAACTCCTCGTGGTAGAAGCGATAAACCTGACTATGTGCCTTGACAACATGATCAACGCCCTTGAAGTTAAACGCATAGAGAAGAGGCTCATTGAAAGTCACCCAAATAGGAACACGATCTGCGTAATGAGAGAGCAGCACCTAGGACGTAAATTCTATTAATATTTTACACCCACGGATTAGCAATATTCCAAGAAGCGTCATACCTTTCCATAGTTGACAAACGCATCGACAAAGGTTTCATTTTGATATCCTGCATTGTTGTAGCCGATATCAGGGCGTGTCGAAATGTTGTCGCTGGCAACAAACATCAATGGGCTATCAAAGTGAAGCATTGTGACAACGGGCTACAGTGAATATTAGAACAAAGCTCGAATGATACCGGGACGTCTGGAATCCTTACCGTCATTCCCGCATCAAGTACTGCAGTAATCAAGTCATCATAATGGTCAATAGCTTGCTGATTGACCGGTGTTCCTGGCAGAGCAAAGGGCAGAATGCGAGTCCAGGGGATAGTAAAGCTGTAATATTCCACGCCCATGGCAGCCAGTCGCTGAATATCTTGCTTGTATAAGAAGTAATTTTCATTGGTGACGAAGTCTTTGGGCTTGCTGTCTGGTACCAGTTTTTCCAGCAGCGAAGGAGATCGACCATCTAGTGCAACTGCACCTTCAATCTGGGCTGCACTTCCTGCGACTCCAAACACGAAGTCTTTGGGGAAATCATAGCAGTCTGTAGGGCCAAAGTAGTCACGGGGTGGCAACACCAGCTCACTGCTAGGCACTGGCGTAGGGCTGACGGTCGTCGAGAACATTCCAGTGGTTGTCTAATACAGTCAGCTGTAAGAAAACTCTTTCGAAGGGTCTTGAACCTGTCTTACGTAGTTATGAAGGTCTGCCTCGAACCACATCGAGGACCACGCAGCTTGTCCATATGGGTCATCAGCGTCAGTGGCACTAATGACCGTTTGCCCTGGAACCCAACTGCCCCATGTCGAAGTCGACCAGGTAGTAGTCAAATGTTTGGCAACATCTGTGTAAGCAGGGGCATATGTCTTCGTAGTAGTCGGAGAAGGAACCGAGGTCGCGTATCTTATACTTGGATTAGCCAATATTGATGTATGCTACAAGTTTCACTCACCGAACCGTTTCATTCAAGGTGTACGAGAATGGTTGGAAGTGATACTTGGGGTTGCTTTGCTTTGTACATTGTGGTCGAGCGGCATAGCCTGTTGTTGTCAGGTATAGTTCCTGGGCCTTAATGGCCACAACAAACGTTGTAAGAGAAGTAATTGGCACCCGCATAGTTATCCGAGCTCTATAAATTTCTAGGCATGGCCAGGGTTAAATACTAAAAACATTACCGCCAACATCATCATCCCCCGCTTCCGGTAAGTCGCAAGAAAGTGAGCCGAGTTTATGGTTAAAAGGGCAGTATAGCTTCAAACTCAAATTAAATTGACTGAACAAAGTGTCTAACGCCACCTCGCCGGAAATAGCCAGATAAAGTGACGATCGACAGGCCGTGTTGAGGTGAAATAGTTGCATGCGGTTGCATCTGGGGCGCCGATTTCCCCACATGTGTGGGGAGGAGGCGTTGACCCGAGGATATACAAGTATGGAGCACAAATATTCAGGAACACCGGCCTCTTTTATTGCCCCGAGGATTATCCGATACGGCTAGAAGGACGGATGTACAGAGGGTGAAGTATTAGCACGGGAAACTGGCTAACTTACTTTAGTGTCTCAACCGAAGGAATATTTTGAGAAGAAGACGTTTGAGAACGATCAGATATTCTGACATGCTTCGGATGTCCCGTTCTTTCCCTCTTGGCTATGGGAGCGCAGAGGAGTGTCTTGGCACTGCGGATTTGTGCCTGGGTACATGTTGTAGAGGCTCCAGGGCTGTTAACATGTTAGTTTCGGAGACAGTTCTGTTGATACTAGATTTCCTTAGAGAGAAACTACTTCCTGGGATTTTTTAAAGGGCTCTATGGGAGTTGCAAATTGTCAGGGAGTAATGCATCTACATTGTAAAGATCGCTAGATCACTTATACATAACTTGATCAAGTGGGCGTGAGATGCAAGCTCGACGTCTGACCTCTGGTTGAAATAGACAGGAGGCTATTTAAAGCCACAAAACACCAATGTACGAGAAACCATGCCAGATACAAAACAAAACATTCAACAATATTTCGAAGCTCTGAACTGCCTAATCACGGCCTGGTCACGTGCCATCTGCGTCATCTCCGTCTTCCATCCACTTCTCTCCAAACTCCCACTCCACGCAGAGGTGTCTTTACACCATGGCTGACTCTTTTACTCTACCCCTGCGCCCTCTGATCGAGGATCGCGACCGCCCAGACACCCTCCCTGCCGAGATCGCTCAAATCAACAACCAGTGGGGCTCATTCCGCGACGTGAACGAAGAGGTTCTTCGGACCAAGATCGCCGAAGAATATAAAGATGACCTAGACGAGGATGAGAATAATAAGAATGCATCGGATCTTGACTCGACAGAGCGCCTGGAGCAATTGTACAAGCGACGCAAAGATATCATTGACTTCGCTACGTGAGTCCCATGTAGCTTGGATTGACTATCTGACATGAACTGAAAACTTTTAGGCAAGCTCATATGGAGGCGATGTTTGCCGTTGATTTCATTTCTCTCCTCCTCTCCAAAGACACCCCGCGCCAGGCCGAGACCTCCATGTCGCCCTTCCTCAAGCAAATCGCACCTCTTGGCTCCCTCAACGCCGAGGTTGTGAACCCTCCTCCAAAACCAGACTCTACAACGAAAGACATATCAGCAGTATCGAGAGGGTGGCGCATCCAGAACTTCAACGGGGCAGCAAACAAACTTCTTCAAGCTGCCTCCAGGCTTGAAACCGAAGTTGCATCGGAGACTCGATACTGGAATGAAGTGTTGACTGTCAAAGAAAAAGGGTGGAAGGTCTCTCGACTTCCTCGTGAAAAGCAAGCACTCGGTGTACAATATGGATTCCTCGAAGGTGAGCCCCGAAATCAAGAACATAGGGATTCGTATCTAATCATGCTATTCTAGCTACACCCATTTTCCGTGACCGCGGGCTCGCTTCTCTACGACGCGCCGAGAATGGTAGCTTGATACTAGACAAAGGATTGATTCCAGCAAAGGCCCGTTTTGTCCGGGTACGGGTGATGCAGGACGGGCAGCTTGTAGGCCTCTCCAACTCGACTACTCCCACGAATGACGAAGAAACAATTGAGAGTCGGATCTTGCAAGCGCGGGATACCCTTTATGAAGAGGAACTATTTCATGAGCTTGTCCGAGAAGCTAGAGCGACCGCGAGCTACGGCGTGACGACCCGTCGGAACCTCATTCGAATTCCCGCTTCTGATAACCTTGAGATTCTGCTGGACCTTGTTGATGCGAATGAAAACGACCCGCAGCCTGACCAAGACATCTCACAAAATGGAACCCGCATCGCAGAAGGCTTGTCCCATACAATCCGCATCTTGTTGGCATATGCCCACCGCCAAAACTTGCACCGACGGACCCTACTTCCACTGCCATTGACCCCGAGGAAGAGAACGATTCCTGAACACCAGCTTTTCCGTCCGGCGCTGGCTTACATCCAACACATGTCCCATGTATTGTGGCTGCAGTCATTCTTGAAAGATATCTCTGGTGTTCTGCACTCGGCCGCCTTGGACATTCCAGCGTATACCAAGCATGTCTTTTCGACAAGATTGACGAAAACCTCCTCCACCCCGACAGCCGAGGCGGTCGTTGAGAGATTCCTCGTACCATTTGAGTCTACATTTAGCGGCAAATTGTTGACTCCTCGAGGCTCTTTCTCAATCGCAATTCGCACCTATCTCTCCTCCCCTCCGTTCGGCACCAACTTTGAGGTGTCATGCACTATGCCCGATTACCCTGATAGCAAGTCCCCCGGTCGCCTCTCTCTTAGGGAGGAAGTAGAAGCTGCCATTACGCATCTCTTGTTACTCGATGTTGTCTTTACCACCTCATCCAACGGTCTTCCACCTCCCAAACCCGAAAAGGACACAAAAGAGAATCCCGTCTGGGAAGCCGTTTATCCTCAACATGGTGAGCTTGTGCTATCATCATCAAATCCCGAAAAACACAAAAAGATCAAGATTGCGTTATCTCGTCATGAGCTATCTCTCCAGACGTACACTGTGCGTTGCATTGATGGGTCTGGACGTGGACATTGGGAGCAACCCTCGCAAACCCCCAAGCATTACACCTGGGGAACTCCTTTGGCATGCCACCAATCTCTTATGGCGGTTGTGCGCGAGGCATCAAGCTGAACCTTGACCCACATCGGGCTGGCCTACCTTAAGCCGAAACTCGCCAGCCTCCTCCATCAAACTGGGCTTGTGGTTTAGTGGTATAATACTCCCTTAGCATGGGAGTGGTCCGGGGTTCGATTCCCCGCGAGTCCATTCTTTTTTGCTTCCTGCATTTTTGCTCGTCGCAGGTGCAAAAGCATCAGGGGAGCATCAGGGGAAGTGGGTCCAGAAAAAAAACTTTTTCCACGAAAATGTCAACATAGAGAGATTCGATACCCTATGCACATTCTACAGAGCTGCACATTGCAATGCAATGCTTTTTGACAATCAAACTGATCATGAATTATCCCCACATATATCTCCGAGTCCAACGCCGTCATGTTATAGCTTTGAGCTCAAGGCGCTGACAGTTTCTGGAATAGTCAGAGTCTCTTGAAGTCTTTTCTTGCCAAGGCCATATGCAATGGGAAGCCATTGGCTAACATCCTCGCCGAGCATCATCAAAGCAAGCGCTTCACCGCTCATTAAGCAATTTGCCATTCCATAGCCATTGAACGCAGCTGCAATCCACTCGCTATCGCCTCTACGCCCTGTCAGCGCTGATGGAAGTCTCCCAACCATTGGAAGACCGTCTGATGAGAAGCCCATAATCCCACTCCACGAGCTTACCAGGCCCCAGTTCGATTGATTAGATTTGCCGAAGAACCGTGGCAGTACCGACCGAAGGTGAGTAACAGAGGGCTCAGCCACAAAGGTATCATCGGAAGACACCGACTCCTCAATGCGTGCATTCTCGCCCCCAAAGTAGAAGTACCCTGTCTTAGCGCTTTGTCCTAGATAATACAATCCATACCCATGACGCTTCGTTTCAGGATCATAGGAAGGGATATAATGGAAGCCCCATGATACAGAAGTGCCTTGGTTTGGCACAGAGTCTCTTGGATCTTGAACCGTCATCGTACCCTTGAAAGGATGAACAAGCCCCCTAAGCTTGGGGAGAAGATGCCCGCTGTACCCATTGGTACAGTGCACCACAGTCCCTGCCCGCAGTGGACCGCGAGAAGTGCGCAAAGTATATGGGAAGACAGTCGTGATGGGCGATGCGAATGTTGAGTAGTGCTCAACAGACTGAACAGGAGAATGTGTTTCAATTGTCAGTCGGCCTGGGTATTTTTCCAGGAGTGCTGCAAAGACTTTGGTGACAAGACGATATGGCCAGATTGTTCCAGCCGACAGGAGGGCTCCTCCGGCTGCACCGTGAATTCCATATCCCTGAAATGATATCAGAAGGAGCGACATAGGAGAAAGTCATGGGTAGCAAAACCTACTTCAGCTACTGCATCTGTATCCAGAATGGTATACATTCCTTTTTTAGAAGGATGATCCTGTTCCAGGCGCGCAATACTGGTCTTGAAATCTTCAAACTTTTTCGGGGTCAAAAACACCCGTAATTTCTGCAGACGCTGCAGCTCGCTAACTTCCACAGCATCGTAGGCTTCAATCATCTCCTGCATCTTCTCCAGGTTGCGAAACGTGAAATCCACAATCTTCCCTGCTGTTTCTGGTCCATGTGTCTCGGCTAGATGCATATACTCCTCTCCCGCGTTAGCAGCCATTTGACCCCCATTGCGCCCAGTCGCTCCTGAACAAAGCGTACGTGCCTCTAGAACGGTTACCGTGGCAGTTGGGTGACGTTCTAGGAGGGACTTGGCTACTGCGAGCCCGGTGATTCCTGACCCAATGATGGCAAAGTCTCGGTCATTGGGCAAGACTGAGGATTGGACGTCAGCCAGAGCATGAGGAATGTGCTGCCAGTAAGACTGAGTAGGATTGGGTCGTGGCAAGCCTGGATCGGCCGTGACAAGTTTGGAGACTGCTCTATGTCAGGGATCATGTCAAGTTCAAAAATGGGGCCCATTGGGGAAGGGCTACCAAAATCATTGGCCATAGTAAGGGGGCAGCCACGGAATACTTGCTTTGCAAGTAAACAAATTCAACCGAAATGCGCGAGAAGGTGAGTTTCTTGAGAATCATCGAGCGGGGTATCTTACCTGGATAGACTTGCCCGAGTGGGAATAGACTCAGATTGGTTTTATATTGACTTGATCGGTCTAAGATGGAATATAACTTCACTGCACGACTATGTTCACTGCATTCTACTAACTTCCGAGCTCCGCATTCCTGTGCCACATGGATTGGGGAAAGGATAACTATCTATAGCTATACGAAAATTATATACATCGGAATGATTTTCAAGCTCTTTAATGATCTCATATGACATGTAAGAGTCTGAGCGGTCTCGGATATGCAACTCCTTCTTGTGCGTGGTATGTAAATGGCGCAAGTACATTCCGCATAGCATTCCACCGCAACTCCGTAGGACCAAGCTTCTTGGAGAGAGACTAGGAATGTGAGCGTTTGTTTTTCAGACACGACGGTTATTTGCTAGGAGAGTTTCGATATAATAATCCAAATATCCCGCCCCTCAACATGAGGTCTTCTCCTTGCACCCACTAATCTCATCCTTCACCATGAAGTTCGCCTCCGTTATTCTCGCAGTTTTTGCCCTGGCTACTACTGGCATTGCCAAGAAGACCTGCACTCCCAGCTTCGATTATTGCTCTGATGTGCTGATCAAAGACAAGGGTACTTGATGATTCCTGCTCCGGGTCTTGTGTAATGCTAACCAAGCAATAGGCTTCACCGAGGCCGATCTCAAGGATGTCCTCAAGGGATCCGACCTGGAAAATGAAGATCTGAAGAATGTTTTGTTCCATTGCAAGAACCCTGGTGATGTCGGCCACCCCAAGCTGTGCAACAGTGGATGCAAAGACCCTGCCACTGAGGGTAGCCACTCCTGCGACGCGTAAGTCATAGGTCCAGTGTGTGGAATCGATTCATAGCTGACAGGGAACCAGCTAAATCGGACGCCTATGAGAATGGACCTCCTGGATGCATTGCATACAGTGGCAAGTCTGCGATTTAGCTACTATTCTTTAAAGTCTCATTACAATTAAAACCAATAGACACTGATCCATAATTTTCTATTGCCATGTAGACTGAGAAGCCAATGCAGAATTGGTTATGGTCGGAGACCATTCAAGACGGAAAAACATACTATATCTCAAACCTCCGACCAGAGCATATTCTTTTTCTCACGCTTCCGAATCTGAGAGTTTCGAAGTTCTTTGGCATGGGCTGTTGAAGATTCTGTACTTCGAAGTAACGTTAAACTAGAAGTGAACGTAAGCTTGAGTGTTGCAAGTAACAGTTCACCGCTCGAAGTCCCTGCTAGATCCAAGGCACCAGCGGAACACTTTCACTCGTGGTGTCTGCAAAGAATTGATAGAGACGCGTGAGCGTGAACAAAATGGAACCAGGTCCCATGGATACCCGTAAGTTGCCCTATGTCACAAGTATCTCCTTGAAACTGACATATGTTTAGCATTCTTTTATCCCCAAGAAGCTCCTGAGGCTGTCAGAGTTCCACAAGGTCAATGGTATGGGCAACCGGTTGATGATGATGATGATGCAGGATATTGCTCCTCTGGTCCTGTCCTTGTGCACTAGGGTGTCTGAATCACTGGACAGACCATCTTTGCCAATGATGGATATACGACTCGGTAATGGAAGAGGGAGAGTATGGGGCAGTATGTAGTTGAATTGGATGAGTGATGAGTTCAACAACAAACACAACAAACAAGGATAATTGACGTCACGACAGAGCTGCCCCTCACCGCTCACGTGAAAGCCACACTAAGCCCAAAAGAACCAAGCGGTGACTTGCATCTTGCAGTGAATTGTATGGCAATGCAGGTACTAGCGAGGTAGCAAGGCCTCAATAAGGGTAGTCAGGCTGGTAGAGAATGAATGTAGAATATTGAGAGTCGACTTCCCATCCTCCTATCTCAACTTGTTTTATATTTGCATCATAAACCGGTCTTCAACCTCAAAGTGTCTCTGTGACGCAAGCACCCACTTCTGCCAATTTCTCTCACCGGATTGGGTTGACCCCTCCACCATCCCACCCATTCATAATTGTAGCTTTACAACGCTTATCGCCAATTCTGACTTGTTTTCTTCCACTCATCTCATTCCTTTCCTTTCTGACCTGTAGAGGTCGACAGCTTCAATTGATAACATGGAGCCCGTCAAGATTCCTACCCAACCGGCCAAGAGACGCCGTATTGGTGTCCTCACCTCTGGTGGAGATGCCCCCGGTATGAACGGTGCTGTGCGGGCCGTTGTCCGTATGGCAATCCACTGCGACTGTGAGGCCTATGCTATTTTCGAAGGATATGAGGGTCTGGTCAACGGTGGCAACATGATCCGCCAGCTACACTGGGAAGATGTCCGTGGCTGGTTGTCCCGTGGAGGTACCCTGATCGGCTCTGCTCGGAGCATGGGCTTCCGGGAGCGCGCTGGCCGCATGAAGGCTGCAAAGAACATGGTGCTGCGGGGTATTGATGCCCTCGTGGTGTGTGGTGGTGACGGCAGTTTGACTGGTGCCGATGTTTTCCGTGCAGAATGGCCCGGCTTGCTGTCTGACCTCATCGCTGCCGGCGAGCTGTCCGCAGAGCAGGTCGAACCTTACAAGGTGTTGAATATCGTCGGTCTGGTGGGTTCCATCGACAATGATATGTCTGGCACAGATGCCACCATCGGTTGCTACTCGTCCTTGACCCGCATCTGTGATGCTGTCGACGATGTTTTCGATACTGCCTTCTCCCACCAACGTGGATTCGTGATTGAAGTCATGGGTCGACACTGTGGATGGCTCGCATTGATGTCTGCCATCAGTACCGGCGCAGATTGGTTGTTCCTTCCCGAGATGCCTCCCAAGGAGGGATGGGAGGATGATATGTGCTCCGTTATCACCAAGGTGAGTGATGCCCGAGTGATGTTGACTAGTCCATGTACTGATGCACCTATTCCAATAGAACCGTACCGAGCGGGGCAAGCGCCGCACCATCGTCATCGTCGCCGAGGGAGCCCAGGATCGCCAACTGAACAAGGTTTCGAGCTCGAAGATCAAGGATATCCTGACAGACCGTCTCGGCTTGGATACTCGAGTCACCATCCTAGGTCACACCCAGCGAGGTGGTGCAGCATGCGCCTACGACCGCTGGCTCTCAACCCTGCAAGGTGTGGAGGCTGTTCGTGCCGTGCTGGAAATGTCACCCAACTCTCCTTCGCCCGTCATTACCATTCGTGAGAACAAGATTATGCGTACCCCTCTGATGGAAGCCGTCCAAGCAACCAAGGACGTCACATCGAAGATCGATAACAAGGAGTTTGAAACGGCCATGGAGATGCGTGATGCCGAGTTCAAGGAATACTACCACGCCTACCTGAACACTGCTACCCCAGAGCACCCTAAGATGATCCTCCCAGAGGGCAAGGTAGGCCTCAAATCCCCAGCCCACGAGGGCTCGATCTGATTGCCAGATACTGACTACGTACAGAGAATGCGCATCGCCATCATTCACGTCGGTGCCCCAGCTGGTGGTATGAACCAGGCCACTCGTGCCGCCGTTGCGTACTGTCTGACCCGAGGCCACACCCCGCTGGCTATTCACAATGGTTTCCCCGGATTGTGCCGCCACCATGACGACAAGCCAATCAGCTCCGTTCGCGAAGTTACTTGGCTGGAGGCCGATAGCTGGGTCAACGAGGGTGGTTCGGATATTGGAACCAACCGTAGCCTTCCTAGTGCTGATATGGAGAACACTGCCAGGTGCTTCGAGCTGTACAAGTTTGATGCATTGTTCGTCGTTGGTGGTTTCGAGGCTTTCACGGCTGTCAGTGAGCTGCGCCAGGCTCGCGCAAAGTACGATGCCTTCAAGATCCCGCTCATCGTGCTCCCAGCTACCATCTCCAACAACGTTCCTGGTACTGAATATTCACTGGGTAGCGACACCTGTCTCAACACCTTGATTGACTTCTGTGATGCCATTCGTCAATCCGCCTCCTCTTCTCGTCGCCGCGTCTTCGTGATTGAGACACAAGGTGGCAAGTCTGGATACATCGCGACCACCGCTGGTCTAGCTGTGGGTGCCGTGGCAGTCTACATCCCCGAGCAGGGTGTTGATATCAAGATGCTGTCGCGCGACATTGATTTCCTCCGCGATAACTTCATTCGCGACAAGGGCGCTAACCGTGCGGGTAAGATTATTCTGCGTAACGAATGCGCCTCGGGTACCTACACTACCCAAGTTATTGCCGATATGATCAAGGAGGAGGCCAAGGGGCGCTTTGAGTCTCGTGCTGCCGTCCCCGGACACTTCCAGCAGGGTGGAAAGCCGTCTCCTATGGATCGTGTGCGTGCCTTGCGTATGGCTATCAGGTGCATGCAGCACATCGAAGGGTACTCTGGCCAAAGCCGTGATGCCATCGCCGCTGACCCCTTATCCTCTGCCGTCATTGGAGTCAAGGGTTCCCAGGTCTTGTTCTCGCCCATGGGCGGTGCTACTGGCCTAGAGGCCACCGAGACTGACTGGACTCGCCGTCGCCCCAAGTCTGAGTTCTGGCTTGAGCTGCAGGATGTTGTCAATGTCCTGTCTGGCCGCTCTAACGCCGGTGCCAACGAGGGCTGGTCCTGCTATGAGAGTACGTAACTGACGACAACCCTTGTTGCTTTTTCACCTACCTCGATCTCGCCTTGAGGGTACACCCTGGATTTCACCATGCCTCATGTCCTGCAAATATTAACGACTTCTTTCGCTTGCTCTCCAGATCCTACTACAGTCCAATCTGTTCCCTCAGTCCCCAATTCGCCCTGAAGAGACTTCCACTCATGGGCCTTCAAGCTTCTTCCAACCCACCGTGGAATCCACACCGATACCCAGGACTCTTCGAAGGTTTCTCTCAACACTGGTCGGTGAACCACCTGCTGACATCGAGTCGGCGGTCGTAATGGTGCACGTCCTTAACGTTTCGTATGATGCAATGCAATAAAACCTCCAGATCCAAGCTTGCCTCTGGGTAACATTTATGCCTAGGAGTTTGGGTGATTTTCTTTTGTTACATTTCTCTTCTGTGCTCCCAAGATTCTTGGTCCGTTGGATCTAGACAGACTTGCAGATAGAAATTTCCAATGCAATGACTTCGAATAAACCTGAAATGCTAGTCGATATGCAATGAAGATGTCTCCAAAGTAAACACAATAAATGAGCAAAAAATTGACCAAAAAGGACCAATGCGATGTCCTGGTAGACCGTCTTCACCTTGAGTGAACTGCATTCTCCAACTCATCCAAGAGCTCCACAGTCTCGGCAGGGCTCGCAATCCAGGCAGTCGTAGACGCAAGACGGGCCTGGAAGGTTGGAAGGTCAGTCTGATTCGCATTGAAGGGTGATCTTTTCATACCTTGAAGTCATTCGCTCCGGCTGACAAGAACTGATCGCCAACATGAAGTGTTTTCGATGGATCAATGCCACCGAAATATTGCTGACAAGCACGAACACCCCACGACTTGTCACCGATATCCACAAACACGTCATTTCCGCCTATTTCGAGTCAGCTTGTACATCTCTCATATCTGGAGAACATACCGTTGAAAGCACAGAAAGGCAGCCGGGACCCAACAGCCGATCGCTGTACTGTGTTTTGCACAACCAAGACAGTTTCTTCCAACTGCTCCCGATTGATCCGCACACCGTTGACAGGGTAGACACCCACCGCACGATCCTTGCGCAGAACAGCAGCTGGCAGACTGAGATTATCGGCACAGGCACGTAATGCCGACTCTGCAATATCGAGCAGCTGGGTAATATCATTATCACTCCAGGCTCGCATCTCATCCAACAACCACTCGTCCCGCGGCACATAGCTCAACCGGGCATCCGAGGTTGGGTCATAGCGAAATAAGAAATTGCTCTCGCCACCCATGACAATCAATCCCTGTTTTTGGGCAGTGGTCAGCAGGGCCGACTCGTGTATCGCATCCAAAAGTCCGTGCAGCCGCTCGTAGTACTTGGGCGCCTCGGTGTATCCGGCGGCGGTCACAATGCCGACCTTGCAATCCCGTTGCAAGAGTCGCATAATCCGGGAAATGACTATGTTGTCGGCAGTAAGGCACGCGCCATCATCATAGAGAGTTACATCTCCATCAAAGGTGACTAATTGCACTTCACTAGAGCGAACAAGACCCAAGAGCTGGGCGGAGTTTAAGATGAGCCGAATATCGTTGAACGACGGAGCGACGAATCTGCGCCGACTGATAAACCGTTGCTGATCCTGATACTTGAAGGCATCCTCCAGATATAACTGGGTGAAGAATGTACCGACTGTAGGCACCAGCAAATTTAACTTGGATTTGCCGGGGGCGTTGCGTTCATGGTGGTGGACTTCCAGGCATCAGTGAAATGATCGTGACTTGATTGATGAATCCCTTACTATGATCGAGCATTAGATTCTCCACATCACGCATAATCTCTGCATAGCGCAGGTGGGTGTCGGCCGCGACCGATTTCAGGCCTTCGCCATGTTCCTGGTAAATGGCGGTGGGCTGGGAATGCAAAACAAAGGGGACAGCCAGTAGACCCTGGAGAAATCAGACCAGTCCACACGAGATAGGCGTCAAACATACCTTGATCCATTCAATCTGCAAGCCCGTCAGCACAAAATCCCGGTTTTCAAGAGCGAAGACTTACTAGTTGATCCCGACGATGGGTCTACTGCGGAGTCAGTGAGGGGGGCCGGAGACGACCTCGGGGGGATCATACCTTGAGAGCATCTGGAATTGGTCAGTCAAAGCACTCAAAGGAAGGCGAGTCATTTACATTCAACGCGATAGCGAGTCGTCATGATGAAGTTGAAGTTGAGAGGTGTTGTTGATGAGTGCACGTCCCCCGGTGACTCACGACTGACTCAGGCCAGTTCGCCTTGGCGCTTTGTCCTCAACTTAGACTCAACACTTCACATTGGTCACTTTAGTTGCTCAATACGGAATTGTGAGGCCTAGAAGGCGTACAGAATATGGATCATGACTCTATGCCGGAGTCTTCAGGCAGCACTGCCACGATGTCCTACTCTCTGGAGATAACACACTTGGAGAGTGACATGAGTATAAAGCCTATAGTACAGGTCTGTTGTGAACATCAGAGCCCACAAGAATACATTCGATATTGAGATAGCCTCAAATACCCTCAAAACATTGTAGAATGCTCCTTGCATCTACACACACTTCAGTCATGAACACATCCAATCCGCCAGCATACTCCCCATCGGAAGACTTCGACTATCTCATGGAAAAGTCCGATGCTCCCATGATTCTTCCACAAGAAGACGAACCTGGATTTGCTGCCGCATTACCTCTCAGCAGAGGTCTGCAGGTACCATCCCGAACCCGCAACTGCACATCAGGCTTCGAGTACCCGGAAGAACTATCCCACTATGGTGTCTCGCAAGAAAATTGGGCAGACTTCACACAACTCGTCTGTGAAGAAGCCAAGCTATCACGCCAGCAATGGACCACAGTGGTGGGGAAAGGTCTCGGGACCTTCGCAGTCGGTGGGCTGATGGTCGGTCTATTCGGTACTGTCCCAGCAATTTTCGTGGCCCGGAATGCTAGACGCCGACAGGAACAGCGGAATCTGATATATGCACTGGCTGGGGATCAGGGAAAACGTCTATCCCGTCACATTTCGCATTGGAATGAGTCTTTCTTCCGACCAAAAGGCATTTTGATCCGTGTTGATTTGCCGGATGAATACCTCAACGATATGCAAAGCATGGATATCCATGCAAGTGCGAGCTCACTACAGTCTAGCTCGAAGGCGCGAGACAAGGCGGGTCTCAAGGCAAGGATTGTGATTATTCCTCTGGATGGGGTCAAAGTTTAGCCCTTCGAGTTAAGATACGCGGAGTAAAAGAAAAAAGTGCAAATTATTGTCGATGTGATTGATTCGTCCAAGGCGCTCGAAAATGGGCAAAAAGAGGTGAAAAAAGAGGTGAAAAGAGAATTCAAGCCAGGGTTCAAACAATGCATGAAATAGTACTACTCTACTTAGTGGAAAGACTTAGTAAAGAGATTGTCTTATACTTCATTGCACTGTCAACGTATTCATGTCCCCAGTTGTATAGATTATTAAAGGCTTATTGGATCTTCATAAAAAAAGTTCATTCATCATGATAGTATCATTATCCAGAAAAGATTCACCTAGATTAACCGAAAATACCCAAGTAGAAACATATATAGCCAAACTTAACGCTCTGCATCCTGTCTCTCGACGTGCTGAGCGGTTCCGTGTGACTGGGTCATCACCTCCATCTTCTCATTGACAACTTGATCACGCTCCTCGGCATCCTTGTTACCATATCGGCCGATCTTGTACCATGGCAGAGCGAAGAGGCGATCCATGCTCTCCAGCGATCGGCCTGCCGTTTCTGGAATGCTGAACCACACCCAGATTCCACCTAAAATGGTAATAGCAGCAAAGCACCAGAAGGTACCCTTGGGGTCAATTCCGCCCTTTGCCACAGGTAGTAGCATGTTAGGCACAGCGCGCGCATTGCCATACTGGTTGGCAAAGTGCAAGGTCATGGCCATGGACGTGCAAAGCGCACGGATGCGGAGAGGGAATAACTCAGCCGTCAACAGATATTGCATGGAGTTCCAGCCGAGAGCCCATCCAAATCCAGAAACATAGATCATGGCTATAGCACCTTCACTTGCACCCTTTTTGTCGCCTGGGAGCTTGAAGCCATCAACAACACCCATTTCAGGAACGGCAGTCAAGAACCCGGCGATATAGATCATGGCAATACCTTGAAGGGTGATACCCAACAGCAAGGCCCGCTTACGTCCAATGACATCGACCAGGAACAGAGCACAGAGAATGGCAGCAACCAATTTGACGATACCAAAGACGGCAGTGACCAGCAGACTCTCATTCTTTCCAGCAACCCCAAGCAACTTGAACAGATCGGGGGCATAGACAGTGATACTGCCAGCACCGGACCACTGGGAGAGGAGCTGGGCCATGAAGGTAAGGTAGACACGGTAGAGGTTGGAGGGAACCAAGAAGGTCTCCTTGAGCACACCAATCGCACCAGATCCCATTGTGGCCTCCATCTCAGCCTCATGTGTGGTTTGGATAGCAGTAATTTCCCGCATAACATAGTCATCGTCCGCAGGCAGGCCACGGATACGCGCGAGGTTGGAAATGGCCTTGTCGAGTTGGCCCCGCTTGACCAGGTATCGAGGGGACTCGTATTGAACGAAGGAGAGGAGGAAGATCAGGCCGGCAAAGATGATGTGAAGAGATGTGGGAACCAGCTATATCCCGTCAGTACTTGTATCGCAGGGCCAAGGAGGAGTATACATACCCAGCGGTTGTGTGTCGTGTCACCCAGGTTAAGTTCACAGCCATAGTTCGCAAAATATGCCAGCACAATGCCCAAGTAGACAAAGCCCGTAAAGACGCAAGTGCAAAGACCACGAATGGAAGCGGGTGCCTAATGTCATAGGTTAGCTGTGTACGAAGCCATGGAGCGAGTGACTTACAATCTCAGCAAGATAGACGGGGGCGACGACTACTGTCTGACCAACCCCCAGACCAGCAATAAAGCGACCAGCATAGACAGCACCAAGACTTCCAGAGTTACCCATGAAGATAGCAATGCCGACCATCCAGATGATACATAGCTGGCGGGTGGCCCAGATACGACCGATGCGATCACAGACTAAGAATGCGCTAGAACCAGTCAGTGGGATATAAAATGCAGCAACAAGAGGTGAGACGTACAAGAGAGCACCACCGACAGATCCAATCTGGACCATCGCAGTAACATTGCCCTTGATGTTGGTTTGTTCAACCTCGCTGTATGTATCATAGTTGATGTACTTTTGGAAATCCTTAGAATTGAAAGCACCCGAGATTAAACCCTCATCGACACCTCGGGCAGCGCCCATCAGGCCAAATGAGATGACGGCAAACCATAGTCGCCAATTGAAGACCTGCTTGGGTTCGCCGAGGTCCTTGAGGCGGAAGATATTGACTGGCTTCTTCGCTCCACCGGCCATGATCGTGGATTACGTGAGTAGCAGGGATAAAAGGAAGACGGAGCTACAGAGAGGAACAAAGGAAAAAAGTGCAAGCAAGGGATTTATAGTCAAGGGACCCCAGTGCCCAGTGCATGCGGGGAAACCTGGAGTATACCCTACTGGACTACTATAGACCAGTGAGACACCGAATATTACCTCCCCTCCTCTTTCATCTCCCCATAACCCCATCAACCCCGGAATTCCTCGCCCGATCATCGGTGTGTTACCAACCAAGGCTGGGGAACAGCGCCAAGAGAGCTTAGATCCCGACTTGACACGATCGACGCTCATTTGACGGCGACGCCGTGTCGGCTTCCTTTTTGGCCCCGAAGTGACGCCGGCCGCTGAACAGCCCGGCATGATGCCCCGTGAATAACTTCGCCATTGCATTGTCATGCTCTTTTTTTCTGTTGTCTGTTTTCTGTTCATCTGTGTTTCATATGTTCGTCCTGCATCTGTCTATGTCGGTATTTCAACTGCCAAGAGACAGGTACCGTTGCTCCACGTGTGTGACTTTCGGAAAATGTCCGAACTGCCATCGAGATTCGGGGGAGGCGAAAACCTGGAGAGCCCCATCCATGACAGATGTGAAGCCTTTCATTGGCCCACGGTCCTCCATTCCACTCTGGGAAGATTCACCGGTGCTTGGCGTGGGGTGCGCATGGACGTGCCGATCCTTGACTCTATCTCTGTCTCTCTCTCCCTGAGGGTGTGTGTCTCTGAAGCGGGAGAGTGTCGTGCCGAGAAGTCTTGGACTCTAGGTGAGGCATATAATCTTATTAAACTCTGTCAGGTGCCGATGCCAGGAACTTGCACTGGCAGGGATCTTGATTCAGGTCCGTTTGTCGGCCTTTTGGTTTGATCTCCTGTGAGATCGTCGTCGCGTAGGGCAGATGAGACCAGGAACACCTGGAGAGTGCATACATCGTGCATAGTACAAGTTCACATGTAGCATGTTGGGTTCGGGTCTCGATTCGATTTGGAAATAAACAATGTCATTCATGTATCTAGGTAGGAAATATTTACAACCCCAACAACACAATGCCAGATTACTACCGAATACCGGAAGACAAGAATACGTTCGAGACCGAGTCCAACATCGGTTGAGACTAGGGTCGCCAACGGAATCCTGGGTTGCGCCAGTCAAGGTCCTGAATCTGTTTGCGCGAAAGTCCCGCCAAGACACCGGCCACGTCCACTCGGTCACGGCGGCGATTGTCCCAGGCCATGTACATCCACAAGGAAGCACCGAGCAGGAGGATTGTGCTTGAAGTTGCCAAGTTGAGTCCATTACCAATGTGGTAATTGGGAGCGTCCGAGGGAAGGAACGACCATGTGCTGATGAGGCCACCCACATTGCCAAACATGACTGTCGTGCCAATAGCCGATGATCGCGCCGTATCGGACACAACATTCGCCGAGACATGGGCCGTACATAGCGCGCCAAAGGCAAAAGCCCCGCTAGCGATGATAAATGTGGCCCCATATCGTACCATGCTGTCTTCGCTAGCGAGAAACATAATATAACCTATATTATTCCCATTAGACATGTCTTTGGTGGGAGATGGGTGGGGGCAGTTCTTACCAGTCATCATCATCGGTGGACTGATAATGAAGAAGATGAGTCGATTGTCGAAGCGCCAACTGAGGAAGGGGAACAACACAGTGAAGAAGCCTCCGACAACATATGGAGGAACTGTGTGCAGTTGCTGAGAGATCACAGTCGCATCTGGATAGATGGTCTTCACAATGGTAGGTGCAAAGAATCCAAGGCCTTGAACAGTGATGTTGTTCAACAGGAAAATGAATGCCGTGGTGATGGTCACTGGACTGAAAATACCACGCAGAGTCTTGGTCGTGTCCAGTTTGTCAAGGACTTCGGTCGTACCAACGCGCTCGGACTTTACACGGGCAACGGCCAGATCCTTTTCTTCCTGTGAGAGCCAACGGGCCGTTTCCGGTCGGTCGGTCAATGTGAAGAACGCAATAACACCAATTCCAATGGTGATAATACCCTCAATGGCAAAGATCATGCGCCAAGTGTGGAGAGAGCCAAAATGATCAAGCTTCAGGATGCCTGAGGCCAGGAGACCACCGAAGGCTCCAGCCAGCGGGGCCATGACAATGTACAAGGACAGACGGAATGCAAGTTCACTTCGTCGGTACCAACGGGAAAGGTAGTATGCAATACCGGGCAACAATCCTGCCTCGAAAATACTAAGAAAGATCAGCAATGGTACCAGTTGTTGCCGCAAGAAACGTACCCCAAAAGGAAACGGACACCAGATGCGCTGTGAATATCATGCACAAATGCTGTCGCAACAGAGCAGATACCAAATCCAAGGGTAATAGCCGGGAGCCACCAACCGGGACCGACCCATTTGCACATCAGGTTACTTGGAATTTCAAAGATAATATATGAGATGAAGAAGACCGAGAGAACTTTGTTGTAATCATAGCCTACGAGGCCAAGATCCCTGTCGAAGCCAGCCAGCTTGGCATTTCCTATTCAGGGGTCAGTTGGCTCGAGTGAGAGAGAGAGAATGGCCAGCGCACCAATATTGGCTCGATCAATAAAACAAAACAAGTACATCACTGCAACTGTGGGAACAATGTACAAATCGATTTTGAGCCGCAATCGTGACTCGGCGGCCTTGTCAAATTCCACAAGAGCTTCACCATATTCATCGGTGGCCAGATGGCCCCTTTCCGCAGCATCACGGGCAACATCCCCCATCATACTCTCCTTATGATGAGCGAGGGCCTTCTCGTCGTTGACTGGCATAGTGCCCGCCTCGAGATTAGCCATGTTGAGGCAACAAATAGACTCAGGGTCTGGACAATAGGATAGAGGGTGAAGAGTGCTTCGGGTGATATGGAGCTAGATTCAGCTGCGAACAGGCATTATATAGTTCGCGTGGCAAGCCGATCGGAAGAGCCGAAGAGAAAGAAAAGTCTGGGGTTGCGGGGGAAAGCCGTGTGAATCTTGGCTATTCGGCTCTTCCTGCACAAATCTCAAAGCTCAATATGCCGTTTGCCAAGAGAGGGAATGAAGCCTGGCGTGCGTGGAAAGTAGCAGGGTCCTTGGCGCGACAAAGGAGATACCTGAAGGTCCAATCATAGTGGCGGTTCCCAGCATTTGACGAGTAATATTGGCGAAAGATATCAGTCGGGCCAAAACACCCTTAACCACAGCCCTCGATGACAGGCAGACTCATACCCCACACTGGGTTCGACTTCCCCAGACTTCTGGGATCCACGCGCATCTCAGAATCTGGGGATTTCCGACCCCAACAGAGTTCGAAGGAAGTGCCGAATCTCTCATCCGACACTTCCTGGGCACGATGCCGACCAGCCACATCCAATATATGTGCCAGTTCGAGGCAATCGATTCGCCGAGGCCCTCGTAAACGCCAAGAAGTCATTAGGGGGGCGCTGTGCGATCCGCGGTCTGTTGGGAGGCGAGACACTTAATAGAGTTGGCACGTCAAAGCATCCGATCCGAAGCTGATCCGATCGGAAGAGGATCTGGGGATTGCGATATAGAGCATATTCGATTGGGGCACATCAATTTGGGTATCCTGGATAGCAAATCAAATCACAGACAAGCAGTTGACATCTCAACATCCAGATCACCTGCTCGGTCAGCTGACTCTTTATTCAATGCTTATATAACCCTTATAAGTAGCTTAACGTTTACCTTACAATTAACTTAACGTATTAGTACAGCGAGTGGTCCACACCACGTTATTTACGCCTCACATTTCTTCATCTCTTATTCAGCCGCCCACCACCCACCATGCCACCAATTCGCTCTCAAAGCTCTCAAAATCGTACAGGGCAAGAGGGTAGGATATCATTGGTTAATTAGGTTTTTCAGAACAAAAAAGAAGCTCTTATGAATTGGCGCGATTTCGATGTCTCAGTCACAACACTTCGTCGCCGTATCTCGGGCATCAAAAGTAGCGAAGAAACCCGCGCTAACAACCATGAATTCACTTTTTCTTTTTTTCCTTTTGGAAGAGGAAACCCTTGAGAAATAGATCCTCTTGTAAAATGAGCGTGGAGTTGCCCCCCCCCCCCAGCCGAATACTGTACGAGAACTGGCCAATTTGTTACCCGAGGACTGAGGAACGGAGCTTATTATTACGGTTAGCGAAAAATGGGTATACTGCTATATTCAGCGGTATCCTAAGCTCCGTACACGATTCTCGAGATCTTACGATTGTCGGCGAGCTTGATGCGAGGATATAAAGTTATATCAACGTGTTTTAAGTTCGTGAAAAGTACGGTCGCGAAATACGGTATTCTCGATAAAGATATCTATAATTTCGACGAGACTAGCTTCGTCCTCGGCCTCACTGCTCCTACCTAGGAATTGAGTAATGAGGAAGTAACTCAAAGGCCAACCTTAACTTAACATTATATAAGCTCTTATGTCAGCCGGATATTCGGATCAAAATTTCGGATTAAACAACTGCAAGTCCTCACCCGAAGTACCTTTAAAGACATGGAGGATCATCCTCCAGGCTGGCGGATCCCTCGCGCTTGCCAAGAATGCCGTAAGCGCAAAATCAAGTGTAATGGCTCAAATCCGTGAGTACCCCAAGTGGATAGCTTCATGGCTTCTTACTAACCCCGAACGGGTGCAAAACTTGTCAATTACGAAACACAGAATGTGTATACAGAGACTATATTCGGCATCGCCGCAAGAAAAATGAATACGGGGATGCCAGCCCGAGGAACTCACCTCGTCCAGAACCGAGCTTGGCTCAACCCTCACAGCGGACAACACCCGTTATGCAAGGCTTCACAAAGAGTGTCTCTGCAACTCATCAGGCTTCTCCGTCATGCTCAATGGTACGTGCTTGAAACAATATGTTTGAACTTTTTTCGCTAATACATTTGCAGCAATTATACTATGGGCCGACATCTCACTTTTCTCTAATGCAACACATCTATAGGGATCTCGTGTCGCATCCAACCGCCCAGCATGAATCGTCTGAAGGAGTTGTCGAAGCCTCAGCAGGCTTGGATCTGTTCTCTTTTCGTCGCATTTTCTTCGGAACACCCGATTCGTATGATAACATCAAGTCTAATGGGCCACAAGATGTTCCTGTGATGTTCCTACCCTATGACCTGGCCAAGTTGTTCATGTCAAGATATCTGTCATCTCTTTACCATATGATACCACATCGCCCCAAAGCATGGTATGAGCAGTGTCTCGACCGATTATATCATTCTTCCCCCACGAACCCTTTGGATACCCTCACACAGGCGATCATCTTGCTCGCCATGGCGTGTACGTCACTAGGAACGGATCACTTTGCCTGGGGCGATATACTGTTTGAGCGTGTCAAGGCTTCAATGACAGCATTTGATGACGTGGTTAATCTTCAAACCATTCAGGTCTCAATGCTCATGATAAGTCACCCTTCTCTTACATTCCTACACGTGCGCTGACATACCCTGGTTGATACGGTAACTACCAAAATGAACAAGGTCGTCCTAATTCGGCATTCCTACACCTGGGCACAGCTACTAGGAAGGCTCTGGCAGCTGGGATGCACAAGGATGTTCCTGACGACATTGACCAATCTCCGGCAAATCTTGAAGAACGGAGAGTCACATTCTGGTCTCTTTACGCTTACGAAACGTACGCATTACACCCCTTATCTGGCTTATATATCGCTTATAAATTCAAAAATAGTTGGTTTTGCTTTCATGCAGGTCGTCCGTCATCTCTGTCACTGAAGGATGTCGCGATTGACATGGCACAAAATCCCTTCATTCGATTATTGGCAGAGCTTTGTAAAACCATCACTCGCTCCTCCGATCAGATCTATGGCCAGCGACATGAATCTTTGTTGCATATGTGGAAGGTGGCACGAAGCATAGCAGATGACCTCCGTGGTCACGAAGCTCACATGAGACAAGCTTTGGGCATTGGTCTTGATTCTGGTATCCAAACTGGATCTCTCGGGGTTCAACAAACTATATTCACCACCTGTAAGAACCATACCAATGGAATTTTGGCAGTGATCTGACCTTGCTTAGTATACTATCATACCATGCTTCTTACATTCCGGCCATTTTTGATATTCCGTGGTCATTGGCGGCGTGACCTGAAAATGTCACTCAACAGATCCAAGGAGATTACTGCAAATCGCCCAACAGAAACGCCATCTTGGCTCAACGAAGCTTGTAACCATGCTACCACTGCTGCCCAGAAAACCCTTCATCATCTTTGCGAAGCTTCCAGGCTCAATGACTTGGTTCTGGTAAGTGAATTTCAGTCAATTCAAAATCTCCCACTCACCATGATGTAGCAACTTCGCTACCACGGCTATTTTATGGGAAGCTCTACTTTCACCCTCATCTACGAGTTTATTCATAACCCGAACGTCACATCGACATACCTCCCATGGGTATACGCTGCAATGCAGAATCTTTCCTCGATGCGCGCAGGGGATCCTATCATAAGCACAATATCAGCCCTGCAGACCGTACTTTGCAAGATCAATCCATCATACGGATGGTCTCCGTATGAGTCTATCGTTGGAGGACAACTCGCGCAGCCAGAATTGACAACAGCTACGCAACAAGGACTTCCCCAGGATCGCACTACCAGTTCAATCTTGAATGATGCTACCATGTCTCAAAATCCATCCTTCGGATATCGCCCAGATATGCCAGTATCACCTTGGAATCTCCCACAGCTTGAAATTCCAGAAACCGGAGGATCTGTTGGTTCTGGAGAAGAGTTGCTTGATTTTACTCAGGCTGACATGGGCTGGGACTTTGACTTTTCCACTATGGATCTGGAAGCGTTCTTTTCTGTATATCAGTCCAATGACGCACCGACATTTTAAATAAGCTTGGACTAAACAACTCCTTCCTTTGAGGAATGCCCAAATGATACAAACGATGGTCACTGTGATGGGAAAGGGCATGGGATCGATTTCAGGTAATCTGGGTATTTTCGGGAACCTTGCTATAGACTTAATCCATGCAAGTGGGTCTAATATTGCGATAAAACGAACTATCCAGATTACCACGTATGCTTCACGCGTTTCACTAGTGACTCACATGACATAAATCCGAGCATGAGGATAAGACGAATAATCCACTAGGTTTACCCCTGTTTTATCCTAAGAAAAGAACCCATGGGCACCGCGTCCTTTATCCGTGAGCCCCATTGTTGGATTTCTATTTCCGTAGTGCCAGCAGATCCTTCTTGCAGAACTCTAGAAGCCACGAAAAGCAGAATTAGGCCAATGAAGTGTCCCTACTGCTAGGGTGGGTCTTTGAGGCGTCCGAGGATGTATATCCGAATAGCTCGGATATACGATATTTAGATTAAGACGATATTCTCTGTGGCTAATTGCTACGAAACCGCATCTCGGGCGTATACCGTCCTCGGTTTAACGATATGCTTGTCTAGATCCGGGCAGATCCACACATTTCGGCATTATGGAGTTACAAGGTATAGATCCGATAAATCTGCAATACAAGAGTTCCTGGACGCCACTTGAAGATACGGAGAACATTTCGCATCTAAGTTTGTACCTGAACCAACATCCACATTGATATCAAATAGTCTGCCGCGAGATTAGCTGGCATCTCCTGTCCGTCATGGAAACCCCATCCTCGGGCACAACAACACCAGTCGATCTGGAGAATGGACAAGGCCAGATTTGCAAGCGGCTGACAGTGACTTTCCGAGATCTCAATGTGCGAGTAACGGCACCAGATGCCGCATTAGGAAGTACACTATGGTCTGAAGTCGACCCGCGACAGATTGGCGGCTTGATTAAGCGCGGAAATCGCCCCAAAAGAGTAGGGTTGTCTCCACAAATTGAGATGTATATACTTACTTATCTTTTAGACAATCCTCAAAGATATTAGCGGGCAAGTCAGGCCTGGAGAAATGGTATGCTCTAATAGCCAAATCCTTAACGCATTAAGATGAAGTGCTAATCCGTACAGCTTCTTGTTTTGGGTCGCCCAGGCTCTGGATGTACATCTCTTTTACGTGTCCTCGCAAATGACCGTGATAGCTTCGACGAGGTCTCCGGTACCACCAACTATGGAGCTATGGGCCATAAAGAAGCAAAACGCTATCGTCAGCAGATCATGTTCAACAACGAAGGTATTCAATTGTCGTTAAAGCCATCTCTAGTCCAACGCTAACGCAATTTCTAGACGACCTTCATTTTGCATCGCTATCTGTAAACCGAACAATCAAGTTCGCTCTTCGCAACAAAGTTCCCGACGAACGCCCAGATCATTTGAGAAACCGGAAGGATTTCGTCCAAGACAACCGTGATGGCATTCTGAATTCTCTCGGAATTGGGCATACGAAGAAGACCATGGTCGGTAACGAGTTTATTCGAGGTGTTTCTGGTGGTGAGCGCAAACGTGTCTCTTTGGCAGAAGTTATGGCTGGACAGGCGAGTTTACGAGATTCAGATTGATTTCAATAGCTACTAATACTACCTGCAGAGTCCTGTTCAAATGTGGGATAATCCAACTCGGGGCTTGGATTCCAAGTCAGCCGTGGAATTTGCTCGGATGCTCCGTCGTGAGGCCGATCGCAACGACAAGACTATCGTCACCACCACCTACCAAGCTGGAAATGGCATTTATGATCAATTTGACAAGGTTCTGGTGTTGGCCGAAGGTCGAGTTACTTACTACGGCTCTCGTCGTCTTGCCCGACAATACTTTGAAGACCTCGGATTTATCTGCCCCAAGGGCGCCAACATCGCCGACTTCCTTACTTCAGTCACCGTCTTGACAGAACGCACAGTACAACCTGGTTGGGAAGAAAAGGTGCCAAGCACCCCCGAGGAGTTCGAGTCCTGCTACCACAACAGCTCCGTTTACAGGGAACAACTCGATGCTATTGTTCCCCCTGAGAAACTCGCTTATGAAACCGAAGACATTGAGATTGCGGTGGCTAGCGAAAAAGGAAAACAACATCTTCCGCGGAAGACAAGCCCTTACACAGCGAAGTTATGGTCTCAGGTCGGAGCCTGTACAGTTCGACAGTTCCAAATCATGTGGGGAGACAAATTTTCACTGGTAAGTTGGGGTATATGTACGAGGATTCAATAATTGGTGCTAACTGCTTCTTTAGATGGTCAAAGTCTCATCCGCAATCATTCAGGCTCTTGTGTGTGGTAGTTTGTTCTACAACTTGAAAGACGACAGCAGTTCCATTTTCTTGAGACCAGGAGTGCTGTTCTTTCCGGTGCTCTACTTCTTGCTTGAATCCCTTTCCGAAACGGTAGGATCATACATGGGCAGGCCGATCCTTTCTCGTCAAAAACGATTTGGATTCTATCGCCCTACAGCCTTCGCCATTGCCAACGCCACAACTGATATTCCAGTTGTCATTGTGCAAGTTACCTGCTTCTCGCTGATCCTCTACTTTATGGCCACCCTGCAAATGGACGCCGGAAGATTCTTCACCTTCTGGATTATCGTCATCATGCAGACACTGGCTTTCATTCAATTGTTCCGATCAGTGGGTGCTGTGTGCAAGACCTTCGGAAATGCATCCAAGATCTCTGGTCTGCTTTCCACGGTTTTCTTTGTTTATGGCGGTAAGTATAATTGATCACAATATGATGCACACGAGACTTACAAAAGAAAGGGTATCTCATTCCATTCCAGAAGATGCACGTCTGGTTTCGATGGATCTTCTATCTCAATCCCGGTGCATATGCGTTTGAAGCTTTGATGGCGAATGAGTTCGTTGGCAGGACTTTGAAGTGTATCGAGCCTGATTACATTCCTTATGGGGCTGGATACTCAAGCTCGGCATCTCCACACCGTGGATGCTCGGTGCTTGGAAGTGATGAAAGTGGCATGATCGATGGAGCAAAATACATCAAAGAACAGTACAGTTACTCCTATCACCATATCTGGAGAAGCTTTGGAATTCTTGCTGGGTTTTGGATTTTCTTCATCTTTTTGACTTCAGCTGGCCTTGAATTGCGAAACAGCCAAAGCGGCTCTTCCGTTCTGCTTTACAAGCGTGGCAGCGAGAAGAAAAATGACGAGTCCTCACAGCCACGAGAACTAGCAGACCCCAGTGCTCTCTTGGGATCTGTTAAGCAATCAACCTTCACTTGGAAGGATCTTGACTACCACGTGCCATTCCATGGCGAGAAAAAGCAGCTTCTCAATAAGGTCTTTGGATTTGTTCAACCCGGAAACTTGGTCGCTCTGATGGGAGCATCTGGAGCTGGTAAAACAACCCTCTTGGATGTCCTAGCCCAGCGAAAAGACAGCGGAGAGATTATTGGATCAGTCTTGATTGATGGCCGACCTGTCGGAATCAGCTTCCAGCGAACTACCGGATACTGTGAGCAGATGGATGTTCATCTCGAAACCGCTACTGTTCAGGAGGCTCTGCGCTTCTCGGCCATTCTTCGTCAACCATCCGGCGTGTCATATGAAGAGAAGATTGCTTACGTTGATCATATCATTGATCTCCTGGAACTGAGGGACATCAGTGACGCTCTGATTGGAGGTAAGTCTACTCGAGTCTCCAATGCTATGATTTAGAAGACTAACATGGAGATAGTACCCGGTGCTGGTCTCAGTATCGAGCAGCGGAAACGTGTTACACTCGGTGTCGAACTTGTCGCAAAGCCTACATTGTTGTTCTTGGATGAGCCAACTTCCGGTCTTGATGGACAGAGTGCGTTCAACATTCTACGTTTCCTCCGACGATTGGTCGACGGAGGACAAGCTGTTCTGGTGAGACACACATGCACAACTAGACATCTTTGAGATATTAACTTCTCTAGTGTACTATTCACCAACCTTCTGCGGTGCTATTCGATGCATTCGATGGTCTTCTATTGTTGGCCAAGGGTGGAAAGATGACATACTTCGGAGAGACTGGCAAGGAATCGCACAAGATTCTTGAGTACTTTGCCAAAAACGGAGCACCATGCCCACCTGACGCCAACCCTGCAGAGCACATCATTGAAGTTGTTCAAGGAAGTGCCACTGATAAAACTGACTGGGTCGATGTTTGGAACAAATCCGAGGAGCGTGAAAAGGCACTCGCCCAATTGGACGCGCTCAATGAGTCCAGCAAAGCTGCCGCAGATTATGTTGAAGATACATCTGACTATGCCACTTCTCACTGGTTCCAGTTCATGGAGGTCTCCAAGCGTCTTAGTATTCATATCTGGCGGTCACCGGTATGCTAGCACAAAAGAACCGCACAAAATGGGCTGGAAACTAACTTTATCATAGGACTACATGTGGAACAAGATCATTCTTCACATTTTCGCTGCGCTTTTCAGTGGCTTCACATTCTGGAAAATTGGAGATGGCACCTTTGCCCTTCAGCTCAGACTCTTTGCTATTTTCAATTTCATCTTTGTTGCCCCTGGCTGTATTAACCAGATGCAACCGTTTTTCTTACACAACCGAGACATCTTTGAAACCAGAGAGAAGAAGGTAAGCATTGCAGTCGAAGTTGTGGTATGTCCAAAAGCTAATGATGGTTTCTTTGTATAGTCCAAAACCTATAGTTGGATTGCTTTCATTGGAGCGCAGACAGTCACTGAGATTCCGTACCTGATTATCTGTGCCACGCTATACTTCCTGTGCTGGTACTTTACCGCGGGATTCCCTGTAAAGGCGAGCATTTCCGGTGCGGTTTATCTTCAGATGATCTGTAAGTTTCACTTTACCTCGGGTAACGTTTGGGTTCTAACAATGAAATAGTCTACGAGTTCCTCTATACCTCTATTGGACAGGCCATTGCGGCCTATGCACCAAACGAGTACTTTGCTGCAGTCATGAACCCAGTTCTCATTGGTGCTGGTCTTGTCAGTTTCTGTGGTGTCGTCGTTCCGTACTCAGCTATGCAGCCATTCTGGCGCTACTGGATTTACTACCTGGACCCTTTCACCTACCTGGTCGGCGGTCTTTTCGGTCCAGTAATCTGGGACGTCAAGGTCAAATGCGAGGCTTCAGAGTTCGTGAAATTTACTGCACCTTCTGGGCAGACTTGTGGTGACTACATGGCCGATTTTCTCGCAACGCAAACTGGCTACTTGCTCGACGCAAACTCGACCGGAACATGTTCGTTCTGTCAGTACTCTCAGGGTGCAGACTACGCAAAGACATTCAACATCCGGGAGAAATATTATTCCTGGAGAGACGTGAGTATTCCTTGGTCGGCTTCACGTATTCAATTGCTGATCTTATTGTCTAGACTGGCATCACGGCCCTTTTCTGCATTTCTTCTTATGCTCTGGTCTTCTTGATGATGAAGCTCAGAAGCAAGAAGACAAAGAGTGCGCGCTCTGAATAAGTGACCCTCCTAGATCATCACAATCAGGTTTTGCGCAATAAACCCTGGGAGTAGCACTTTCCCAATATCTCACGTATGGTGAGACCTTACTTTCAGCCCCTTTCTTGTTTTGTGTTTTCATCATCATTTTCTCTGCTTCGCCTTGTTCAAAGAGAAAATGAGGCGTATCATTGCATTAGAGGTAGCGAGTGGTCTGAAGAAACAGAACAAACGCATATAGAAGCGACCTGTGTTGATAAATAGACCATATATAATAAGATCATTTTCCCTACTTGTTTCTTGCTTCTGAAAATCTCGTTGTCCTTTGCTTTCTTTCTCGTTTGATTTGGTTTTTGTGACGCGGACTTATTTGAGTTCTTGAAGTAGAGGAATCTTCTCCATCAAGCCAGAGCATGAGATTTCTTGATTCAATGCATAGATCGTACAACCCAGAAGAAGAACATGACTTGCACTCTCATTCCGTGTGCCAAAAATTATGGTACAGCAATATTAAACTTCGTATCAAAGCTCACAATGAAAGACAACAACTTCGCAAAGTATGATCTATCTCCCGATTCACTCTCTACGTTTCCAAAATCTCCTGTGGCTAACAATATCAGCAGCTGAGAATGAGACATCGAGCAAGAGTAGTCTGCTGTGCCAACCTGTGGCTGTTCCTTTTTCAACCCAGTTCGATGGATTAAAGCCCCATTGCTGATCATCAGACGGCATTTCTCCTTCAGATCAGTCACATACAAATCGATCGTAAAGTCCTTTTCTTGTGCTTTAGAACCGTCGACTCGCACAGCAATGGAAGAAAAAAGCTGATGAAGAGAGAGAGCTTGTAACATCTCCGTCTGATCAGAGAGCAGATTTTTGTGCGGTGTTTGACCGCGTAGCTCACCAGCGCCGGACAGATAAAAGTTACGCCACGGGCCGTTCTCGGCACCAAAACCAAGTTTTTCATATGTTGAAGCCAGCATGATTTTGCCGGCTGCGCTCTCTGGATCAGAGAAGACAACGTGGTTCAAAAGTGTCGCCGCAAAGCGTAGGTCACCTCGCTTCATAAATGCTTGTGCCTTCTTAATAACTTCTTCGGTGCCACCCATGCAATCAACGTAGCGTCTAGCAGATTCAACTGGAGGATGTTCCCATAGATGAGATGGGTTGCCATCAAACCAGGTCATGTAGCGCTGATAGATTGCCTTGACGTTGTGGCTGACTGAACCGTAGAAGCCTTGTGTATGCCAATTTGTCCGGATTTTGGGTGGGAGTGAGAAGTCTTCGGCGATCTCGATGCCAGTGAGCCCTTGGTTCATCAAACGGACTGTCTGGTCATGCAAGAAGGCATATAGGTCACGTTGCTGAGTGAGATAGGTGTATACCTTCTCTTTCCCCCATGTCGGCCAATGATGCGAGGCGAATACAACTTCTGTCTTCTCCCCGTAAAGTGCGATTGACTCATCCAAGTATGATGACCATGCAAGCGCATCTCTCACAGCAGCCCCTCGAAGAGTCGAAATATTGTGGAGGCATTGAGTGGCATTTTCGGCCATGCACATGGTCCGAAATTGAGGCAGGAAGAAGTTCATCTCAGCCGGTGCCTCTGTTCCGGGCGTAACTTGGAAGATGAGCTCTACGCCATCAATAGTCTCAGTCTGACCCGTGTGAGTAACATTGAGATTTGGCGGAACAATGGTTATGGTGCCAGAGGAGACAGTTGCACCTAGACCGGCACTGATTTGGCCCTGGGGACCTTTAGGCAATTCGTTTCCATACATATATCCAGCTCTGCGAGCCATGGCGTTTCCTGCGAAGATGTTTTCACTGACAGCATGCTCGAGGAATCCATGAGGAGCAATCACTGGAACTTGAGTGGCTTGGCTTCTAGACAATATGCCCTCTGCTCCGCCAAAATGATCAGCGTGGGAGTGCGTGTAAAGCATGCCCATCACGGCTTTGTTGCCGCGATTCTTGCGATAAAGCTCGAGGCCAGCCTTTGCACACTCTGCTGAAGTGAGAGGGTCAATTACAATAATTCCTTTGGTCCCTTCGATCACCGTCATGTTGGAGAGATCGAAGCCTCTGATCTGGTAAATGCCGTCGACGACCTTGTATAGGCCTTGTTTGGTAAGCAGTTGAGCCTGTCGCCATAGTTTTGCGTTGGCAGTTTCTGCGACGGGTTCAGACAGGAAGTTGTAAGCTTCATTATCCCAGATCACTCGACCTGAGCCATCTTTGATGATACACGGTTCAAGACGGTCGACGAACCCGCGATCTGCGTCCTGGAAAGACTGCACGTCTTCAAATGAAGGCTCCATTTTAGATGCTCCTGGCATGTTTAGAAGCCAGGAACAAGATAAATGGGTGTTGGAACATGCGAAGTAGTGTTCGAGATCTATGACGAGTACATCTGGAGAAGTCTCAGCTCCATCCGGTATATCCGCAACTCCCAACTTGGATCCAACTAAAGCGATCATTGTAAACTATTGCATATCTGGCTCTAATGCGGTGATTTCGCTTATTCACCTGTTTACGCGGGCCAACTTTGTATTCAATCAGCAGAACCATCACATCAAAATAGAAGAGCAGCCATGAACAAGTCTCGCCATACTCCAACCATAGCAAATCAATATCTAACCAATTCAGCTTGCGCCACAAGATAATCCGTTCCCATAGTATCCTAATTTCCATCATAGCAACTGCTGATGACCAGCATCCTCGCTGCTAATTACACTCCCAACCTCAGACCAGCTTGCAGGAGTAGCTGCGCCATCAACTGATCGCCCACCAAGGTCGCTAAGAGTACCATTTGATGTTTCACCGTTAAATCCTCCAACATGGCTGAATGTTCCAGTTGTAGAAGGGGCAGCCGAGAAATCATGAGCAGACTGGGCATTCCCATGACCGAAGTCATCTAATTCAGCAAGCAGATCATGCTGGTAAGTATTGTTAACTGCTGAATGAGGGTGAGCATAGTACAGCTGCTGGTGATCTTCTGTATGGCTCGAGCCAGAGGAGCCAGAGGCGGATAAGGGTGAACTGGGCGAGAACGGGTCAAAGAGGCTATCTTGATCAGGTGCTTCGGAAGTAGGCGTAAATTGAATAATAGACTCCGATGGATGGTTTGAAGCAGGAGCTGAAGGAATGTCGAGATGCAGCCGATCTCGTTCCATGTACGAGGAGTCAACTTGAGCCTGTTTGCCTCCTCGTCGAACAGCCTCTGAGGTGACAATATCGACTCCAGTCGAGTTAGCGCTACCTTCTGCGCTGGAAGGGGTACCGGCACTGTCTTGAGTTGTGCGCAGGTTGCCATCGCCGTCTACGAGGGTATCAAAGCTACCAAGAGCTTGATCTGACTGGGCCTTGCGTCGTGATTCCATGAGCGTACCTCGACGCATAATTTCGGCGCGGGCAATCCGCCTGCGTTCTTCGGCGACCTCTCCAACTTCCTCGGACATAGATATATCCTCTCTGGCTAACTCCCGTGGTTGGATTTCATCACCGAGGTTGTGCAGAGCCAAGGCGATCTTACGCCGCGAGGTAGTCACCCATTGCTTAAACTGTGGAGACTCATATACGGCGATGCCTGCTGCGACGAGCACAGAGACAGTGATGATGATACCTGGTGAGGTTAGTACAGGGCTGGTAAGAGTCCGGATGCTCCGGATGATCAAAAGCCAACAAAGCAGAGGTCTATACCTTTTGCAAGCGGTGCTGGCATGATGACTCTCAACTATCCCTCAAAAATCCCACCAGGACAGTGAAGAGAGAAGATGATGGCGCTCTGATGCTCTGATGCCTGCTTATCCTGCCACATGACCCCACTCAGCCCTTATCCCAAGCCCTCACACACCGCTTTGGGCTCCTCCCCGCGTTGACGTGACTTGAGCTTCCATTCAGCTTCCATTCCAAGCTCAATTCTTTCACGGCCATGTCTCGACCTTCGCAGGCCCAGCGGCCGCTGTCGCTCACCGAGGAGCTCGAAAAGTTGGAACAGTCTATCACCCTGACGCTCCAAGGTACGTCGCAACGCGAAAAGTAAACAAACAAAGCGCTCACCGCGATGTCCTACAGAGATCGACCACAACTTTAGCCAGGCTCATCGAATCGTTACTACAAGTATCTTGCCTCTAGTGGAGCAATACACGGAGCATTCTCGAGATGTCTGGGAGGGTTCTAAGGTGAGAAAGTCCACGGAAAATGTAAATCAACTTCGCATATACTGACTCCGCCTCAGTTTTGGAAGCAATTCTTCGAAGCTAGCGCCAATGTATCTCTGTCCGGCTATGAGGAAGGAAACAATGATGATGATACCGTGCAGGAGCCTACAGCCACGGAGGATTTGTCCGCCGAAATAACCCAAAGCACCAGCGTCGATGAGACAATATCACAAGAGACGCCCTCTTCTCAGCGCCATGGCACTCCCCGTCATGATCATGGCGCTGATCTTGATCTGACAGATCTCGCAATCTCCTCCCACAGCACTCCACGTGCCCAAACCCAACATCACCCGGCTGATGACGATATCACTACTTCTTCGATGGATTACTCCTCATCCTACGAGAACCTGAGGAAACAAGTCAATGAGTCAGAAGCTCCATTCGATATTCAGGACTCGTCAACACTCCCATTCACCCCAGGCCGACAATCATTTTTCCCGCGCGGCGTATCTGCCAACACCCCGATGTCCTCGCCGTTCATCCCACCCGCGTCTTCCGTTCGCCAGCCAACTACCCAAGACCGACGATACCAAAAGACGTCCGACCCGGTCCTCCACCAAATGCTCGACAAGACCTACCGAGTCCAAGCCACACCCCTTGGAAAGGGATTCCGCAACGTCGGTGGAGGCACGAATACCCGATCCAAGTTCAACATCACCCCAAAGCCAGCCGAGTCTACCCCTCGATACGGATACGACGACTCCCCGATTTCTAGTCCGGAACCCGAGGCACCTCAGCTTCATTCTGAGATCTTCTCTTCTCCTATCAAGGGGTTTGATACGCCGGGCACGAACCGCAAGAGACGGACAAGCAGCAATCGCATGCGTGGTACGCCTAAGCCTGGCATGAGCGTACTGACACCCGCCAAGAAGTCTGCAGGCAAGTCGGCCATGTGGGACAGCGATGATGATCTGGATTATGATGACGATGACCTTGGGCCCAGCCCTCCAAAGACGATGCAATTCCACATTCCTCAGAGTCGGTTGATGAGAACGCCTGGTAATATTGAGTTCTTCCTTTCTTTTTCAGTACAAAACTAATTTTATTCTATAGCCAAGGAAGCTTCTAAGCGCATTGTAACTGATTTGCTAGCTACTGCGGGAGCTGGTGACATTACAGATGATTTTGATGATGACCAGAGTCCAAGCGTGATCCGCCGTATGGAACGTTTGGAAGATGAAACTTTCTAATCTTGTTCTTCCGTGGCCAAGATGTCTGAAATTTATGCTGAGGTGTCGGTTTTCTTCCTATTTTTTGTAACATGCCCATATTAGACTCCTATACCCATGTCACATATCATGCCCAATATCTACTACTGTATCACGTGCTATCCGTATTGTACAACAGTTGCCATAGGTCCTTTCACATCTCCACGTTTATATTAACCGAACGACTCGCCCGAAACGCTTGAAAATGGACAAAGAGAGGTGAAAACAGACGTGGAAAAAATGAAGCCAAGTTAGGGCTCAAACAATGCATGAAAAGCGCTCACTTCAAGGAGTGCGTATGTAAGTTGTGGAATATTTCATAACGTTGGCCCCTGCTGTACTTTGTATACGTATATCGAGTGAAAAATTGGAGCAAAGAATAAGATTTAGAACATAATCTCAAGAAGTATCATACACGTGGACACCATCAAACAAATGTCACTTTTCAAACGAGAAAACGCCGAAGGAAATAAATGCAAAATTATGTACGGGCGAGGATGACCAAACAACAAAAGGCCACCTGCGCCAGTGTTCTTGAAAATATCACCCACCCTTTCGTCATCTATGTTTGTTGTTCGATGGAGCACAACAAGGCCCCGGAGAGGTAAGTGGAGAGCGGTGCATAACGAAATTCCATGGACCTCAATCAATGATGCCAAGAACATGCTCATCGCTTAGATGGGGCAAATTCAGGGCAATTTTAGTTCTTCTTCTCGGATTTGGTGTCCTTCTTCTCATCCTTGCTGTCCTCGGACTTGGACTCCTTATCCTCAGACTTAGACTCTTCCTCGGCGGGCTTGGACTCGGCGTTCTTCTCTTGGGCAGCAGGCTTTGCTTGGTGCTTCCCAGGGTGCTCGTAGAGATCCTGGTGCTTCTTGCTCAAGCGCTGTTCCTCAGCAGCAACCATGTCCTTCCAGAGGTCACCATCTTGAATGCTCGAGCCCTGGTGAGAAGGAGACTCCTCCTCAACCTTGGCACCTTTCTGCTTCTTGGAGTCAAGAATACCACGACCACGGCGCTGGTCAGAGATCTCGAAAGCAGCGGAAGCACAGAGCACACCAAGAGTCAAACCCTGAGCATAGACACGAGCTTGGACAAGCTTCTGCTGTCCGGTAAGACCAGGGTTACGGCTGACGAGCACGAACGAGCCAACCATAGAGGCGATCCAGGTGGCGCTAATAATCTTGTACTTCTCACGGCGGGCAAAGGCAGCAGCACGATCGGTGAAGCTGAGGCCGCGGATTTCTTCGGCGCGCAGACGCTCTTCACGGCTATCGTACCATTGACGCTCGGCGTTGTTCTGAACTTCGTAATCGCGGGAGGCGTGGTCGGCGGCGATGATTCCGACGAAGGTACCCGATGAAGTGACCAGGAAGGACTTCATAGGAATGGTCAGGTTGCGGATTGTGTGGAAGCGACGCGAGGCCAGGAGGACACCTGCGACACCTCCAGCTAGACCGGCGAGACCGCCGATGGTGCCACCCTTGACGACGGAGCTGGGGAATTGGTTAAAACGGTTTAATTTTGGACAAGTAATCGACGTACCGGTAGTGCGCATCTTCTTCTTCCTTGGTTAAAAGCTTCATTGTGTATGTGTATGATGCGTGAGTGTGGAGGAAAAGTGAGGAAAGTCGTAAGATATAAGCGGAAGCAAAGGCCGGAATGACGTGGTGACGGGATCTGCTCTTTTTCCGGCGATGCCCCGGTCGAAGTTCGGCTTTGACTCTGCCGGCACTTTGATATGGATAAATCGGGGAAATGGTGTTGAAAGTCGCTTTAATTAGATTTAAAGTATGAGATTGCTGATAGCTTTGTTGTAATTGGTCTTCGTTTCCTGATATCTGGCTTATGCTGGGGGTTGCAATCAAATCCCTGTTCCCCGATCAATCCCGAACGCCCAAACACCGCGAAAAATCTCGATACATGTGGCCTGAGCCTGGAATATTACAAATTGAGCATGCCGTCCTTACCGACGAGAGGCTTTCTTAGCGGCCACCTGTCGGGCTTGCATCTTACGGAAACGGTCCTCGCCACTGGCACCAAGGGGGCGCGCAAACTGACTCTCTCGTACAGCGGTCTGGCGCGGCACCACGGTGTAGCTGACTTGGGTGCGGTCGACACGAGCACGGTTGGCAAGACGGGGAGGAAGCATCTCACGGGCGCGGGCTTCGGCTGCGACCATCTCGGCGGTGGGAGCTGTGCGCTTGACAACCTTTCTATGCAGTTGTTAGTATGTGGCGCAAACGGTGCATGGAAAGTAACATACGTAGGATCATAATCGGCCTGCTGGAAGACACGCTTCGAGTAATCATCACTGCGCTGCAGGATAGGCCGAGTCCATTCTGCCAGCAACTTCTCTGCGACTTCCTTGATGCGGCGCTCGGTGCGCTTGCTCTTGGTGTAAAAGACGATCACCTTTCCGATTCCACTGGCGATAAGGGCATCTTTATTGATGGGTAGCTTGGTGAGGCAGGTCAAGAGGTCGCGCTGGATATTATAGGCAGGCATGGCTCCATCGTCCAAGGGTTCAAGGAAGAAGCGCACGGCTTCCAACAGGTTGATTTCGGGGTCAACCAAGGCATTGATATATTGGTTGCGGTTGAGGAGCATAGTAACTTCGGGAAGGAGCTTAAGCTTGTGCATGGCGGGCTTTCCTTCTTGGCGACTGATCGCATCCATCTGCGCGGCGTGTGTCATGCGCTTGCGCATATCCTCGATTTCGGCATCGGCCATAGATTCCAGATCCTAGTATAGTTAGTAGGAAAACGCTAATGCGGCGTAAAGCACATACAATGCCATCTTGCTTGCGGAATCGTCTCTTGGCGGGCTTCTTCATGGCCTGGTCCATAGCACGATCGAGGGCTCGGCGACGTCCTGAGACACATCGACTGTTAGCATTCCCATAGATTAAGCCAGATGGTGAACCAGTAGCTAGCAATCGGCAAACATACGGGTCTCCGGATCAAGAGTCTCCTCATCAGTGTCAGGCTGGTCTTCGCGCTTCTTGCGCTCACGTCGACGGGACGAGCCACCCTCCTCTCCATCGTCTTCCGCGGCACGACGGCTCTTCTTCTCCCGACGACCCTCCTTTCGGCGCGGCCGACTCTCTTCGCCCTCGGCGCGCTTGCGCTTGTGGCGGCCGATTAGCTTCAGGTTATCTTCGTCGATGGCAAGCTGTGGGCGGTCTTCAACGTCTACGTTCTCCGGGTCGAAGTTCTCGAATTGTGCCTCGTCGACCTCGGACAGAATCGACTCGTCATCTGAATGATTATCGTCATCATCTTCGTCGTTTCCGCCTTGCTCGGCAGCATCATCTGCATTGTCCTCAAATTCAGCAGCAGGTTCCGCGGGTTTGGCATCCACCTCGTCGTCACCGGCAATCGGGGAAGCGACTTTGTCGGGAACTTCGAGATCGGGAGATGCAGCGAACACCGCTGCTTGGTGCTCAGGAGAGGCGGACATTGTGATATGGAAGGTTGAGAAGGTGAGATATCAGTTAGGGAATGTATCGCGACCAAGTCACGGTACGTCGTCCGATCTCAACGCCTTGCTGTTAGGGCGCAGAAGTCCGTAATCAGTTTGATTTAGAAAATAGGGTCAATATATGAAGAGAAAAAAAAGCAAAATTGTCCACAAAGATCGGATAGAAGTGAAGAAATGAGCGAGGAGATAGTCAAGTGAAGGCAAAACCTCAGGAGTTGGTCTGTGCTCCCGTGATTTCTTTCTCCTGCGCAACACCGCAACACTCAACTCTCACTTCAACATCTACTGATCCACATCTTCTCCCATCTCTATTCACAATGTTTGCCCCAGGTATGTGAAATCTCTGTCAAGTGTTAAGCTACAGTTAACTAACATGTCTCAAGGTCAGGAACAGATCTCCAAGGAGGAGATCAAGGTCAGCACACCATGACATCTGTCCCAGACTATTCGATATTAACATATTCTACAGGCTGGTGAGATTGAGGCCGCCCAGACTGTCCAGATGGTTCTCGCTGGCGGTTTCCTCCTCTACCTGTGTAAGTTGAACCTCCGAGTCCACCCGTAAACGTCATTGAAGTTTCTGAGCAAACAGCTTGAGGATCATGTGGACACCTTGATGAATGGTGTGAGACTAACAGACTTGTCAAACTAATAGCTCCCTTCGCCGTCGACTTCGTCCGCAAATTCCTTTGAACAGTTGATCTGTCGCCTTTCTCTCCCCGAGCTGAATCAATCGCTGGTTATGATTTCGCGATGCCACGCAGGATGAGATAACAGATTTCTCCCAACGTGGCAATATCAAGTTGGATATGATGGAGTGTGCCCGTAATTTATGGATAATTATGGCTCATCTATCATTTCGGATTTGGCTTGCAGTTGGGACTTGTATTACTATTGTACATGGTGTTTCCTGTGTTTTGTCGGATATAGCACAAACTAGAAATTGCAAGATGATTTTGCATGGAAGAAAATTGTCAAGAAGGCGTAGCAAATGAGATCGTATTCAAGTATGCATTACAATGGTCCGGTCCCTTACAACGCCAGTACTCCCGTGACCGCAAGGATGAATAAAAACAGATGAGCATGGAAATTGGATGGCAAATGAGCTGAGACGAAGTAATCAGTTTCCATTTGCGCTCTTGGCCTCTTCAAAGTCCTTCTTGATAGACTCCATTTCTTTCTGGAGGTGCTGGATCTGGGAGTGGTAGTCATCGAGAATCTAAGATAGTCAGTATGGAGTTCCAATGTCATGCAAATGAGAGGAACGAACCTTCTTCGCGGTCTTCAAAGTCTGCTCATCAATATCGTCTTCGGCGGGTGTCACGTTCACACCAGCACGATCCAACTCAGCCTGCAGTCGCTTGGAGTGCTCGTGAATAGCCAACATACGGGCCCAGATCTCTTCGCCACGGCCATTGATCGACGGGTCAAAGACCGAACGTTCCAGCTGAGTCAGCTTCTTTTTCAACTCCTCCTCTGCCTCGTCCATGGCGTAGCCTCGGTTGCGGAGAATCTGTGTTTTGGCAGCAAGAGCCAGGCACCGCTTGCTCAGAATAATGTGTTTCCGACGAGCGTCGGCGATCTTAATGGATAGGTTGAGGTCATGCTTCGAAAGGAGTTCGGTCAGGCAGTTGTTGATCTCATGCAGGCGCGATTGAATCATGGTAAGGAAGTCTCTTTGTCGCTGGGCGCGCTTGCCGAGCTCCCAGAAGCCTCTCACAAGTACAGGGACATAGCCCGGACCGGGGCGCTTGCGCAAAGCTTCCTCCCACTTCGTATGATCATCGTCGGGGCCGGGTTGGTAGAAAGGCGCGGCCTCTTCGCCCACGTTGTTATAGATATATGCTCGGAACGGCGAGGATTGACTTGGGGGATCCCACTTGTCCTTGACAATTGCCATCTGCATGGGAACGGTTCGGTGCACTGGACGAAGAGATTAGTATATGCCACAAGGAAAAGTATGAAATTCTCACCTCCAGTGATCGCACGGCCAGGGGACCATAAGCTTGATGCCAGAGGAGGCTGTTGCTGCTGGCCCTGTGGTGTAGCCATGGTAGTCTGGCCGAATTGAGATTGCTGTGGTTGCTGGGCTTGTTGCTGCTGGTTCTGTTGTCCAAACATCCCCGTGGCAGGCGCCTGGGCACCGCTCGTTGTACCACCGAAGAGAGATCCTTGTGGTTTCTGTCCAAGCGAGGTTCCAAATGCGCTGCTCTGTTGCTGTGGCTGTTGCTGCGCAGGCTGTCCAAAGGTACTTCCGCCGAGTAGACTGTTCTGGGGCTTCTGTGCATTTCCGAACAAGCCTCCTGGTTGCTGTGTTTGAGGTGTAGTAGTGCTGGCGCCGAATGTTGAACCGCCTAGCGATCCTTGCTGCTGGTTCTGTTGTCCGAACAGTCCACCGCCGGTAGGCTGGGTATTGGTCGTCGTACCACCAAAGGGCGACTTGTTCGCGGTGTTGCCGAACAGGCTACTACCGGTGTTCTGGGCGGCTCCTCCGAACAGAGAAGTCATGGTGGGCAATTGAAAGGCGTGGGCTGGTTCCGCAAAAAAAAGGTAAGATCCGAAGCGAGCGCGTCGATGGGGTGGCAATGGACAAGCGCAATGAAATCAAAGGCAGTGAATATAGGAAGCGACGAATCCAGGTCGCATAGCCCGGGGAATGAAAGTAACAAGTAAAAAAGCTGAGGGGAGCTGTCCGAGAAAGAAGAGACGGAGCTCGATTTGTTTGGGTCACGTGATTGGGGCAACACGAATTCCGACTCAACGCAATTTTGAATAGAAAACAAAGGGCAGTTTACAGGCGTTAATTGATCGCGATTTCTGGCTGAATCGTCTCAATTGTTTTCCTCTTTTGCGAGCGCATATCACGTGACTCTGTTCCATCGGCCAATCAGCGCCAAGCCAAAAACCGACCTTTCCGCAACCCGCAGCTCTCTCGATCTCCAAGTCTTGCAATTGCACCTTCCCCTCATATAAACCGTCATCATGGCCCAGAGAGATCCTCGGTATGTATATGGATCTATCCTCCCAGGTCAAAACAAAGCTAACATCTCCCTCCCACAGCTTCAACCAGCATGTCCTGGTGGACACCACGCCCATGCCCGACCACATCCCCAAGGTGGAGGAGATTGGTGCCACATCTGCGCCCCTCCACAGCGCGGCCTTTTACATCGGTGACCGGTGCGGGTCCTTCAATGACGACTACATGAAGTGCAAGGACGAGGCAAACGGCCGCGGAGAGTTTGACTGCTTGAAGGAGGGTCGCAAGGTTACGCGCTGTGCCGCTAGCGTGTATGTGTTGCCTATGTGAATTGCTCAAGAAGAGAAATTGACCCGTCATAGTCTCAAGGACATCAACACCCACTGCCTGGATCAGTTCAAGGCCCACTGGGAGTGTCTCGAGAACAACAACCACCAACTGTGGGAGTGCCGCAAGGCTGAGATGAGCCTCAGCAAGTGTGTTTTCGACAAATTGGTATGTACCCATGCTCAATGCACTTATTCTGCATTCGTCCCACCTGTCACAGCATGAGCTAACAACACACGATGTAGGGATTGAAGAAGACCCTCCCTGGTGCCCCCGAGGGCCAGGTTCCTGTTCACCTGCGCCCCAAGCAGAAGTACGCTCAGTACACTGGACCTCAGTACTAAAGAATTGCGCTTCATTTTGTCCCATTTAGACCCGCCCTGACTCTTGCGCCCCCTTCTTCCCCCGCTATATGGGCTCCGTCTTATTTCTTTATCCCCGTTTTATTTGGATGCTCGACCGTCAATCCGGTGTATGTTTGTGTAAATATCTATTGGCATCAGGAATGGTTAAATGATTTTCTGCTCAATTTTCTTCTTGCATCGGTTCGTGGGACCTTATATATCGAGGGTATTCGCGGCATCTGTAGATGCTCTGTTGACTGCTGGCTTCTATATCCTCGATTTGATCGACATATACCTAGAGAAGCCAGCATGTGAACTGATGTTGAATCTGCACTTTGACCACATCAGATCTATGAGCAGTTTCTTGTGCATTCATTCTTAAGGACAGCCTCATCGTCTATCATTGAACTTCAGTAAATTACCGCCCACACCCTGCACCATTCCATGCCACCTTTTGAAGATATACATTTATGTTCCTTTAATCAGGACAACCAGCTCCATCTAGACAGCATCGTACACACGAGAGCCAACCAAGAAGTAAGAAAAGGAATAAGAAACCCCGAACCTCAATTGAACCCATATATACTGGACAAAAAAAAATAGACACAAGAAAATTAAATAAGGACAAGAACTCCAACATGGGGGATGTAATGCCAAAAACAATATAGAAAAGAAAAGAAAAGAAGCGGATATAAGCCAAAAGAATCAAGGCAAGATGGGCATATTAACCCTCTTGAGCCTCAGCTTTCCCAACCGAGCCTTCAATGCAGCCCAGCCAGTCTTGAGCCGAGCCTCAACACGACGATCACCACGTATCCGCATCCAAATCAACAAGGCGCCGAGCATAGCCAGATCCCATATAATCTGCCGCACAGCAATCCACATCACCCACTTCACCCAAGCCCATAGACCCGAGCGCCTGCGCTGAGCAACTGAACGCGCCTCCATCTGCTCACGCACAGCGGCAATCTCCGCTGTCATCTTCGTCAATGCCTGCTCGACTCGGCGGCGCCAGCGGCTATTTCGCGGGTTGGCAGGGTCCCCTTGGGACTGGGAGTCTCGACGGTGAAGACTGCTACCAATGCTTATTGCAGAGGTATGTTTGCGATGCCGATGTGAGGCGTCGGCATCAGTATTGGTATTGGTGCTGGCATGATCGGGTTCTTCGGGGTCTTGATCTTCATATAAGCTATCACGAGCTTCTTCATACTCTTCATCTTCCTCCTCCTCCTCCTCCTCCTCATCATCATTAGGGTCCTGATCTTCATCGTCCATGGACCTCCGTCGATAATATTCCTCTTCTTCCGGCTGGCTCACAGGACTAAGAACCCGTAGCCTGGAATCGCGATCTCTCCGACTAACATCAGCCCTCCGATTAGGCCGTTCGTAGTCCTCAGTCGACTGCGCCAACCGACTACCAATACTCTCATAAGCACTGCGCGATAAGGGCGGAACCCCAACGGCATGAAGCGGACTAGATGACGACGACGAGGAAGCATTGAACTTGATCTGATCCCAGACAAACTCAAGCTCGGAGACGAGTTCGCGCGCTTCGGGTGTTTGCGAGGCGTACTGGTGCATTGTATCGATCAAGGTGGATATGTAGCGGCGTTTGGCTTCGGTGCGCGACATGTCGCGCTGGGCGTACCATGCGTCCCTAGAACAGTCCAACTCAGCGATTGATCACTATCAACGGTAGAAGGCCGAGGGCAAGGGACGAGTAGACATACCACTTCTCACACTCAGCATGAACCTCGGGAGTATTCCCAATCGGACGATCCATAACACCCTCGACATCCCCCTCTATGAGCGATTAGCCCTGTACCCTGTACGTGAACCCTGTACCCAACCCCAATATCCCGATCCATGTCTCGTGTGGGTGTGAACTCACCCATGCTCTGCTTGTACAACCCATAAAGCTTCAAGCGCTCGGCGGCGGGAGGGCGCGCGGTCCCCGTCCGGGGAATCCGCTTAACGGTATTCAGGGCATGGACGAAGACGCGGTCTAGAGGATGTCAGTGTCAGTCAGGCAAGGAGGCAGCGCAGGTCACGCACCTACAGAGTCCGACATGGCGCGATAAAGGTGCCTGTCATGGAAGCGGGGATCATCGGCTTGACCTCATGAGAGCAGGCGAATCTATCCAGGGGAATTTGAGTATTCACAAGAATACAACAAGGGCAAGGGGGAGATGGGGATGTGTTTCCCTTTTCCCCTGGGAGATGTTCCGATAAGTTCCTCGGAACGTAGCTTTCCCCGGATAACTAGGAGTGGTTCTAGGATGTAGTACTTCGTAAGTATCCACGTTTCAAGTCCAATTTTATTCACGTCAAGTAGTAAATGCCTGGTCTTAGGGAACCGAGAAGTGGCGTGTTGATTTGGACCGCGGCTCTCGGGGCGATCGTCAGGCACTTGTGATTGTCCGAAGATGTACACGAGATGTGCGAAATTACAGAACATCGGAATAAATATTGTGGAATATGTTAATGTACAAAGGAGTATCTACTCGCTAGGCATCTTCTTCACTTTCTCCATGGCAGTCTCTGTATCCAACGCCGTCCCAGTCATCAGATCCCCAGCGGCGCGTGCCTCTTCGCCGCTTACAGGTGGGCCGGTGAAGTGTTTCCGCGCATAGATAAAGTACCAGAAGATACTGATGCTCGCAAATGCTGCAAACACCACACTGGCATAGTTCATCGACTCGGGGGTGACGGGCAAAGTGACAGGCATGCAGAAGAGGGCGACCGCCAGAACGATCCAAGCAATGGTAATGCCATTGATCACGAATCCAAAGCGACCGAGCGAGAAAGATGAGTTCTTCACATCCTGACGTCCTCGAATCATGGAAATAAGAATGGGCAGTCCGTAGGAAGTGGACAGGCAAATGGTTGCGACACCGGTGAAAGAGTTGAATGCCGCAGTTGAGCCGAAATAGATCAATCCTAGCAGACCATCCACTGTCGCAGATAGGATAATCGCCCACACGGGCACATCTAGCTTGGGGTCAACCTTGCGCCAAAGCTTGAAGCCAGGGATAGCCCCGTCGCGTGCGAAGGCATAGGTGCAGCGACTGGCAGCAGTCAAGGATCCAATACCTGCGAACAGCATAATGCCGAGGATCAGGAAGAGCAAGCCAAAGCCACCTCCAGCAGATCCGGTGACGGTCTTAAAGAGGAGGCCGATGGGTTGGCCGCTCGCCACGTTCCGTAGAGCCTCCACGTTGGGCATGACGAACAGGATCGGGATCAAGTAGAGGAGACCAGTAATTCCAGCCGCCACAACTGACAGCACAATAGCCTTGGGCACCTCGCGGTGCGGGTTCTGCACCTCTTCGCACATCGCCGCGACCATACCATATCCGGTCAAGGTGTATGCTGCCTGCAGCAGACCGACACAGAATGCCCATCCCGAGGGCCAGCCACTCGTGGACGCATCAAAGTGACCAAAGACAAACTCGCCGTCGCGACGGTCATCGGCCATCACCAAGAGTGTGACCATAATGATGATGACACTGGCGGCAGTCCAAAAGATACAGACCTTGTTGATGAGATCCAGCCAGCGCGAGAGGAAAATGTTCACCAAGGCACAAAACAGCATCACGGCCCAGAACATCAAGACAGTCTGCCAGGCATTGGCGACGAACGATTCATCAAAGATGGAGATAGCACTGAGAATCAACTGACCGCCGGAGAAGATGATACTGAGGGTGACCGTCCAATTCCCGACCAGGGTCAACCAACCATCAATAAACGACATGAGCGGAGCCCAGCGACGAGTCGACAGCATCGCACTCCAATAGTAGACACCGCCAGCAGTGGGATAGACGGCACAGATCTCAGCCAAGGACGCGGCGATGGCGATGGAGATCAGGGTGACCAACACCCAGCCCCAGATAATAGTCACCGATAGACCGTCGGCGAGGGTGATGTAGAGGGTTGTACTGAGACCGAAGGGCGCGGCCATAATGGCAAAGGAGAGACCGAGAATGCTCATCATGCTTAGGTTTCGGGGCAATTCGCTCTTGTAGCCCATACGGGCCAGCACCTCATCGGCGGTGGCATCTAGTGAGCTTCTCATGTTGTGTATGTTTGTATGTTTGTGTCAAGAATGTATCTAGAGTGTAGAGGCAGTGATATATAAGAGTGTCAGTAGCCCCCGCATTTGGATGGCGCGGTCCGGGACCGCGGTCAAGTTGAGTCGCAAAGTTGGAGATAAGAACGAATGAGAGTCTGGGGAGACTTAGGCAGGAATTATAAGGTTAGCAGAACGCAGGGCGAACACTTTGGCTTATCATTTTCGGGCCAAATGTCTTACCTGAAATGATAAGACCTGGAGTTGACCCACTCTGGGGCAATTTCCAGGCCAGTTGTTCACAGTCAAGGACGACTTAGTGTACGGATGACTATGTTATCTGATAGCATGAGGTTCTACCTATCACAGGCCACGTGGATCGACATCTTTCATGTATCCTTCTAGAACTTGTGCTTGTTCCACGGTCCTCGAGTGGCGTGGCACCCTACTAGCCGCAAGCCTTAATGTACGAGATAGGAAAGCTGGCAAAGCCAAAGCGAGACGCCAAGATCTCACCCCGTGACTCCGTAGAGAACGCGGAGAGACTCCGTAGCGGAACCACTTTGACATCATATCGCGATCGGCGGACCCATCCACGAACCGGCTAACAAAAGGGCGCGGTACAGCAATTAAAGCTTATATGCAGATACCCATGCCGACGATGCACGATACATGAACTAGGAATAGACATGAAATCGGGCGATATGTATATATATCTATGTTTCAGATGAGGATGTGGCTCCATCAGTGATACACTTATGTACTAATAGCCCTGGATAACGATCGCGGTAATCCTGTCCACCCTACAGAGTGGATAAAGTGGTAATTCCCAATTCCTGCACTGGCCAAAATAAGCACGTGGACATGTGCTTCCATGCATTTCTCCTAAAGAAGAGAGAGGATCGTCGAATCATAGGGCTTGGGCTGATGAAACAGCGCTTCTCCGCACTGCAGACCGCGGTAAAGTCAACTGCAACTTTCGCGGCTTTCTTCAATCAAGACACCATTGCACTTGCCGTTCTTATAAACATCGAAGAAGAAAAGAAGAAAGTGCGAGGTCGCACTTTTCAGGGTTGACCTGGTCACACCCCCACCTGATTAGAAATCACTGCGAATGCGCCAAGTGGGAAACTGCACTCCATGAGGCGAGGAAGGTCCAGGTCCAACCTGGGTGTAGTGAGGTATAGATATCATGGTTGGAAATCAACGGAGGAATTGACCTGCGGGGGATGATAAATGTGATGTACAAGTCTCCGAGGCACTCGAGGCAGGTATAAAAGCCTCGATCCATGATAGAATAGAGTATGCAGTCATCAGCTATCTTTGTGCAAGGCTCACCATGTCTCAGACTCGAGTCTTATTGACTGGGGCAACTGGTTACATGTAAGTGTGCGAAGCTGCCAGTGTTTAACCACAAGCCTAACGGTCAATAGCGGAGGATCCGTTCTCGCAACACTGAAAAAGAGTGAGCACGAGAACATTCAGAATGCTCAAATTGATGTCTTGATTCGTGGCGAGGGACGACGTGCCTTATTCGACCCCTTTGGTGTCCAAGTCATCCCATTCCAAAGCCTGGATGAGACAGACTTTATCAGAAAGCTGTCAAGTGACTACAATGGTAGAGACGCCTCTTCGTGGAACCAATTGACTTCTGTGAAGATAATTGACCCATCTATAGTCATCATCAACACCGCATCGGCATTCCATACCGAGTCAGCCAAAGCAATGATCGAAGGACTGAGCGACAGACAATCCAAAACAGGCCAAAAGACTCATTTCATCCATGTGGGTCAAAGATCCTTATACAGCTTGAACACATACTAAGCAGCGCGTATAGACATCCGGAACATCCAGCATCGGCGACTATCCCATCAGCCCAACCTACATCGAACCTAACGAACTCCAAGACGACTCGAATATCTACGAATACCAATCGTCTCGCGAAGCCCACTCAACCTACAAACAACGAACAACCGATCTCGCAGTCTTCAATACAGGCCTCGAAACAAACATCAAAACAACCATAATCATGGCTCCAACAATCTTCGGCAAAGGCACAGGTCCAGCAAACAACCTTTCAATCCAAATCCCAGCTCTAATCCGCCGATCTCTGGAATACAAACAGGCAGTGGTTATCAACGATGGCGCAGGCGAATGGGATCATATCCACATCTCCGATCTAACCTCGCTCTTTGAGATTGTCTTGTTCAAGGTCCGCACTGGAGAGCATGTCCCCGATGGGAAGGAAGGATTGCTATTTGCCGAAACAGGCCGGCATACTTGGCTTGACATTTCCAAGGATATTGCATCGGTTGGAAAGGAATTGAAAGTCCTTGACAGTGAAGGTGTTCACAATGTATCCCTGGATGAAGCGACAGCCTGGTCTGTGAATGGGAATGTGCAGGTGAGAGAGTTGGGATTTGCTTCCAAGTAAGGAGATACTAGACCTCCTGTGCTTGTGATTATACTGACTGGTTTAGTGCTCGATCAAAAGCTATTCGTGGTAGAGCATTGGGGTGGACGCCGCTAAGGGAAGGGGAGTGGAAGAATGCCGTTGAGGAGGACTTCCGCGCCATTTTGAAAGAAGAGAACGAAAGGTAACTAAATGTCTGGGGTATGGATCTGGTAGTTTACTTGCGTGACGCGACTAGTTGCTGTCTTTGCTACTGGTTGAGTGTGGTGTACTTCGGCTTGAATGAATATCTCTATTTACTAAGTCAGGGTGCAAGAGAAACCTACAAGTCTACTGGAACTGAGGTCATGGATATGATTTTTTTTTTTAATTTTAATATTCATTGCACACATACATCAAGGTCACGCAAGGTGACGGCTGCCACATCAGGAACATGCTGCAAACACTCGTAAGAGGCGAGCAATCGATGAGCGCCAGGATGAATATTGACACAGAAGGGGAAGGGGAAAGGGAAAGGGAAAGGGAAAGGGAAAAGGAAAGGTCAAGGGGAGACCACATTTCCGGAGATCCAGGAGGATTCGATCCAGATCCACACACTTCCACAGGGGTAAGGGGGTATCAAAAGGGGATAAAACACAAATGTGATCCAGTAATCTGGGAAGAAAAGAAATTTTTTTCTGTTTCAGATATCTAGACAGGGATGGGCGGAAGTAGGCCCAGGATGTTGAAATGTTGAAGGGGAGGGCCGAGCCGAGAGGGTTTTCCGGTCACAAAGAACCGTGCAAGTAGAACGCCGTCTATGTGACCTCTCCCAGTAGCCGGATCGCAGATTCGCGTGAAAGAATGTGAGAAATGAGAACGCTGAGTCGTGACCAGCCAGCTAGTGCCAACTCCGAAATCATAAAAGAAACATGACCCGTAACATATCGTTGGAGGTCGAAAAAAAAAATCAAGAAAACGCCCATTCATGCAGTCGTCAGTCCAGTGAAGTCGTTACATGGAGATGCAAATACAGTCGCAGTCGCAGAGGGAAGCAAACGCGGGTCAAAAAAGTCAGTGACGAGAGGGACATCTATGGGCTGAGTGGAAGATCATCAAGTCCATCGGGGCCGAAACCAGCCATGTCGACGGAGTGAAGGGACCCCGGTCCCTTGCCTAGGGAGATGTCGGAGGAAGCATAGTCGTGTTTGAGTCGTTCATGCGGCCCGAAGATGTGTGGCCCAAAGAACGGTCGATTCTCGTCATTGGGGGTGTTGCCATCTCCGGCGACCCATGGCCCATTCTGCCAGAAGCGTGTATTGGCTTGCTGGTCTCCGAAGAGATCGTGATGATCTGGGTGTGGGTCAGGTCCATGCATGGGGAACTCATTTGGCGACTGGAATCGGAGATGCGACCGGCCGAAACTGGAGCATGGGGAATCTGCATGAAGCGGCATGTCGAGACCTGAAAGAAGAGGGGGATCGTCCACCGGTGTGATGTCAATAGTCGGATTTTCCGTTTGTTGAGCCAGAGCCGCCGACAGCCGGAGGTTTGAAGCTGAACTATGCCGGCTGTGACTGGCCGATCGTTCGATTGCACGCTGCACAAAGCTGCCACAGTTCTTCAGAATTTTTTCCTGGGCATCCGGTGGCAGACTGTTGAAAAAGTCGTTCGCCAAGGACTCCTTGGGAGATTCATCAGCCGCGGGAATCAAGCCGTATGTAGACTTGGCATATTCGGAGAGACCGGATGGCATGTTGTAGGGGGATTGGTAAACATTCGGAGCGGTGGACCGTTGCTGGTCGAGGTAGGCATATTTTCCAGGCATCTTCGCGGCGGCCACACTGCCTCGATCCACAGTCTCTGTCTTGATGTTTTCCGACTCTTTCTTTTGGATCACATCCAGTCGCTCCCGATGACTCACCAGCGAGAACCGCAGCATCTGCAGAAGCCGAGTGACCTCTTCCGACCGCATGTTTAGGGTCTGAGGAGGCAGCAAGGTTCCGTCAGCGGCTCGTGGCTGAACCCGTTGCTGAGCCATGGCGAGCTCTAGCTTCTCCAGGCCATTGGCGGGTGGTATTGAGCCCATCGGACCCAACAGGGTCTCAACTACCAATTCAGGACTGACGATGTCGTATCCGGCAAAAACATTGGCGTGGTCGGTGATCTGAGCGAGGCGGCGACGAGCTATGAGTTCCCGGACATTGGCAAAGGTATTGGTGGACGGGAGGTGATGCTGCTGCTGAGCGAGCGATTTGGCGACCGAAGGGTAGGGGGCATGACGGGCAGACTGATTGGGTAGTGTTCGAAAGGCCGACGGCATCGCAGGAGCTCCAGCAGCAGCAGCACCGGGAAGGATACGGGGAGGGGGAGGGGCAAGGTGCTGCAGGGAGGCGGAAGGACGGGTGACATTCAGGTGTTGTCTGTAAAGATTTTGCTGGTAGGGAGGGGCAGGGGTAGTGGCATAATGAAACTGGTGGTGGGGTGAGATCTTCGATGCACGAGCGCTGACACCAGCCACGCCAAGCGACTTGACGCTGTCCAGGAAATTGGCCTGCGGGTTGTGGATGGGCACGCTAGGGTTGTGTGTATACTGTGCCCTACTCTCGGTGGACTTGGTGCCCAAGTAATGCCACACCTCAACTTTCACCGGCTGGAGTGGGGCGAAATAGTTCCTAGTCGCATCCACCGTCTCGAATTCGGCCCACTGATAGGGAGATCGTGCATCACCAAATGCACTGCCTGCCGCGGGCACCGCTGACTCTAACTCCTTTCGTTCGGGCTTGCGCGCTAGGTGGAGTGGGAGGGGCTTGATTCCCAGTGCGAGCGGTACGAAGTTCGACTTGCGAACCACCAGCATCCACCGATAAGGCACTTCAACCAGATCGCTGCAAGGGAGTTAGCATGAGAAATCCGGGAGGATCGAAGCTTATGAAAAATAGAGAAGGACGGAGAATGACTTACCCCCGTGGAAGCACCTTGAGCAAGAGGGTCCGCTCTTCGGGTCGGTTTTGAATCACAATGGCGCCATTAATTTCCTTGTCGGCCTGAAACTGTATCAAGTTTCCTGGAGACTGGTGGCGGGCTTCTTCAATCACACGACGATCCAAGTCCGAGGATTCCCCCAGGACTCCGTTCGGTCGCTTCTGGCGATGAAATTTGCATTTCAAATCAACACTGGGGACCGAGTACTGACTGCCATCGTCGGCAATCACCGCAATGGCACCGAATTCGACTTGCACACCAGCCAACAGGGCACAAGTGGCATGATAGGCGCGTGTGCATTTGCCGAAATTGCACTGGAAGCAAGCACCGAAAATTTCGCGACAGAATAGACACTTCAGACCCAAACGAGCCTTGGGGATCCTGTCAATATCACACACAACCTCGGTGCCGGACGCATCGCGGAGGATGGTAGTCTCCTCGATGAACAAAGCGCACCGCCTGTGTGCATGACCTTTGCCATCCTCGGTCGGCAGCAGATCTTCATAGTCCAGATTGTTAGGGCACAGCAGACACGGGAGCTTCCGCGGACCATCGGGGTGGAGTTTAGATCGTTTGGCCCTCGGCCCGTCATCCAGGTTCTTCCGCTTTCGGCCACGGGATGGATGCTCAGGAACGCTGCGAGGCGGCGTGAGGATATCAGAAGCAGCTTCGAACCCGTCGTACTCGCTCTCATATTCAGCGTAATATTCGGGAGTGCTTTCGCCACGGAGTTTGCGCTCAATCTCATCCACGTCAATCCACACACTGTCGGACTCGCAGTTGCACTTCTTGGCGATGCGAGCATAGTCTAACCACTGCTCGGTTGCAAAGTTGACTGACTCGGCGCAGTTGTATCCGATATTGTATCCAGAGTGGTAGCCGTAAGGGAAGGTGATGACAAACTCGCCTTCATAATGGACCAATCGATTGACAGTGATGCCATACTGGGACTTGAGCAGGCTGGGCGAGACGAGATAGGTCTTGTGGCGGAGGAATTGATCACAGTTCTTGGCATCACTGGACCAAATACTGCGCATTGCCTGCTCAAAGCGAGGTGCATCTTCCTGGGAGATGCTGTACCACTGCTTTGGCGCACCAAAGTGGATGTAGTTGATACTGTAGAGATCCACATCCTCAAGATGCCAAGCAAAAGTGGCCTTCCACATACCCAGGTAGAGGTAAGCAGTGTTAACTCCGGGCACTTTTTGGCCAAGAACGTCGAGCAGATTGGGCAACTTGGCAACGTTCCATGAGGTCGTACTGTCCTTGAAGAGCGAACCAGGCATGTCAGCACCGTACATCGGGTTGTTGTACATAAGTGACTTCCAGTAGTTGGTTTCCAATTCCTCGCAACGTTCTGCGGTGTAGTCCTCGTTGTCATGGATGCGGTAATCAAAGCTCTTGAACGCCTCCTCGTCGACTTGATCCGCGGCATCGCCGCGGTTGTTCTTTCGGCGTGAAGTAACAGACTTGGGCTGTCGACCCTTTGGCTTGGTCGTAGGGAGCGATTCGCCTTCACTCAAGTCCTCGCTCTTGGTCTCCACCGGGTTGGTCTCTGGTGATTCAGGCGTTGGGGGCCCTTCGAGTCTATACTTGTCGACGTCATCGGTAGGCTCTTCCTTGATCTTGACCTGATTTGTCCGCTTCGGAGGACGACCAGGACGGCGCTTTTGGCCCTCCGGGCGAGCGGATTGGGGGCGTGGGGTGGAAGCTGCACGATTTACTCGTTCCTGGTTGCGGCGTCGCTCTCCCCTGCGAGCAGGGGGCTGATGGCTGCTCTCTTCGCATAAGCCTTTCCACTGAGGAAGGTTGTACGAGCGCTGTCGTTCGATGTTCGCTTGAGTGTAGGTACCGTGGGATCCGTGGAATTCCTGCATAATGGGGTTCTTCACCCGAATCTTCTTGACCGCATCATCCAACGGTGGAAGCGACTCGGACCTGTGGGGGAAACATGAGCACAAGAACCTTTGATAACACAAATCATTCAACTCACCATTCCTTAGGAGGAACCACTTTCACAATTCCTGCCTGCATGCCGTATTTGTCGATCTTCTTGATGAAGGCTTGGAAATCTTGGAATTGGTCCATAGTCTAAGACACTGCCATCAGCATGTCTTTTGATATTATGCAGTCTCCCCGATCTGATATGCGGGACCTGTAATGCACTCACCGGTTTAAAAACAGGAATCTTGCCGCCGCCATAGTAATGATCGGGTTCAATGTCTTCCACTTGCTCTCCCTTGACCTCAGCCGTCTCAGGCGCCGAGGCGGCTTTGTGATCCAGCTCGAGGTCTGATAACTCGGAAGGTACGCCTTCAGGTGCGTTCGTTTTTCCGTTAGCGCTCTGCGGCGGAGTGATAGAAGCAGAGTCGACCGCAGGGGCCCCGGCGAGGGGGTCGCAGTGCGACGGGTCGATTGTCGCAGCCATAATAGCGGGCGATGAAGGCAAAATAGGAAGCCTATTCAGGAGTTGGTAGGCGCCGTCGTCGGATGACCGCTGATCGACGGCGAGGAGCGAGTGTTTCCCAGCGGTCGGGGGAAGCGGAGCGAATATGTTTGGCAAGCGGAAAGGAATGTGTCGAGATCAGAAGAAATCACCAGCGTCGGAGTGCAAGGATATACTAGGCGTAGGTAGGAAATAGGATAGGTCGATTGCGATAAGCTTTTCTGGTAGTTGGAATTCCTGGAGGCCAGAGAACTTAGTAAATCGTAGGCGTGACAGAGAGGGAAGACAAGATCCAAAGAGATCAAGTCTTCTGGAAAGAAGAGGTAGCAATAGAGTGGGCCAATGCAGGTGCCGGGACTGCACGATGGTCTGATACTGAAAGGAGGTAGGGGCAGGTGGGCACAGGGCGAGGAATGATGGGTTTGAGATTGGACAAATCAGAGGGAAGCAAAGGGCAAGGGTGGGAAATAGTCCAAAGAAGTGGACTTTGTGCCCCGACTAGTATATCCGGTGTCGGATAAAAGGATTGCCAGGTTCACACGGAATGTATATATGGTCCGATCAAATCAGAGAATAGAATGCAACGAACTTACCGAGGAGCTGCTGTTGACGTGGATCAAGAAGAAAGTCGATTATCAGGAGAGCTCTATCCTGTCACGTCACGTGGGATCATGTGACCGGGTGTTTTTCGTACATCTCTTCTGTCCAGGGGAAGTGGCTGTTTGTTTAGACAATTGATATGTTTGTTTCTTTAATTCTAATTCTCCGTACATGGCATTCAAGTCCAGCTAGAGCAAAGTATGCTTGTTGAGATAACTTGACATGGCTCAGGCAATCTCGGATACGGCGGCCCGATGAGCACCTTGATGAGACTAGCCTCAGGGTCCAATTAGTTGTCCACATGTATAACTTGACGACACTTATATGTTTGCTATTTTACATGTACTACAGAGTAGTAACGTTATAAACGTAGACTGAAACATGAAACTGTTACAAATCCCAACATTCCAGGCCGAGATCGCTCTGCAGATCTGTGGATGCGCATCTAATCTTAGCGGCGTTTGGACCATTTCACGTTTATAGATGTAGATGTCTATAAGTAGCTAAATTACACTCTATTGCTTCCACTCGTCAAATAACTTGTCATCCAGTGTAGTGTATCCATCCACAACCTTCAGTCCCCGCTGTCGTTCCTGGTCGATGCGCTCCCACGTCCATTCCTCGGAGCTCCACAGATCGGTATTCTCTTTCTGCTGCTTTTCCAGAGTTTTCTGGCCGGGAATCTGGTCCTCGCTCAGCTTCAGTACTTCGCGAACCAGCGAACCGTCCACTCCCGTCGCTGTGATACCTTCAGTGCTACCGGGAGTATCGACGCCGGAAGCTTCGGAAGAGTCGGCTGGGGTAGCCTTGGCTTCGATCCCCGCTGGCGGGGCGGGGAGGAATCCACTCGCGCGCAGTATCCGTTCCGGTGCGACAGTAAGTCGACCTTTCTTGACCACATACTTGCTGACAGCCACCGCAAGCACAGTCTTCTCCCCTCCGCCGCGGGCAGGTCGCATGAAGCAGGTCAAGATGTACATCCACTTTTTATCCCAGGAGATCACCTTGGAATGCATCTCATACAGTTCAAAGGGCTTGATCTCCCGCTTGAAGGTGCAGTAAACTGAACCGAGGACAATAGATACCGCTTTACGCTTTGGGGCGCGCTTACCCTCTTTCTGGCTCGCAGCCAAGAACTCTTCATCGAGTTCCCTGCTCACAATGCCCACACCCGGGCTGTAAAGTCGACTCACAAGCGCAGTACGTGAAATATCCAAGTCTGCGAAGTAAGTGCTGTTGGACTTGTGCAGGTTGTAATCAGTCTCCAGCAACGGCGTGCGTGATGTGACCATGCGAGGCACAAAGACAGGATGTGTCGGCTTGCCCTGGGCATCCACAATTGCTTTTCCCTTGGGGAAAAACGGATCGTTGGGTTTTAAACGTAAGTTACCCACGAAGTGATACAGCACGCGGAACTATTCCTGTCAGTTGTGAAATTACGGAAATCTGCCGGCGGAAAAAGGCAATCCCACTCGTTTCAGGGCCCAGAACTCACATGCCAGACAAATGGGAGGCTCTTTAGATTTATCACTGCAAGGACCAAGGCAAGGGTTTTCCACGAGGCGAGCGACATGGCCGCGCCTAGGATTTCGCGCATATTGTCCATGCGGAAGGATGAAATTGTCATTGAGATCTTCTCACAACAGGACACGACAGTTCGAAGGTGGGCAAGAAATTTGATCTGAGGAGTCCCTTGCAGAAGATAGGCGGTAAACACGATATACTCCGATCTATAGGTCACTCAGGAGAATCGGATCAACGGGGTCTAGACGCAAATACACTCTCGGAAAAGAGGGATCAAGAGTGTTGAGGTGTTGAAGCGTTAAAAGGTTGAATGAAATGAAACCCATCAACCCGAGCTTGCCGATCACAGATCGTGATATCTTCAGCTCTCCTTTTCGTGACCGAGGCTCCGATGACACACGTGATTCTGCTTAGTCAGTGGTCTCCGTCTCCAGGCAGAGACTTCGAAATACTTGTATAATGGAATATGCTATGCTGATTTCGATAATATCTAATGTTCTCATTATGAAGAAAACACACATACTGGGAAGTGAAAGTGTCTGATACAGCTGTAAATTTTGAGATATATCTCTGATCATCCTGGGTTAAGTCTGCAAAATTTGCTTCCTATTTTCAGGCCAGACATGATACAAGCAGTTCTGTAACTACTGTGTCCGTACTAAATAGGTGTACCTTTATTCCTGAACCCGACATGGACAGGAGGTGTTCATATGGCTTAAACACAAATCGATGACGGTTCCACCGATTTCCACGCCACAACACGATCTCTCCAACTCCAAGACTTTGTACGAAGTATGCAAAGCCATACATGGATATCCAGCATAACTTATAGGAAGGACAACATGTAGAGTATATGATTGGTCCCAGAGGTATAGAGACAAAACCAAGCAAAATTTAAGTAGCAATTGTGGGGTTATAAAGAGTGCATCCAGGATATGAATATGTATGGTGACGCCTCATTGGACAGAGAGCATGAATATTCATGACTCGGGATGATTCATGGGGACCTCGGGAATAAAGTGGAGACTTCGAACTTTGAAGTATCAAAGACTCTCAACCTTTAAGTAGCAACTGCCCATCGAGAAAATTTACAGCCATCCACCATTGACAATGGCAAACCACGCTATCGTCTTCGGCGCATCCGGCGTGATTGGCTGGTCTTTGGTGAACCAATTGTTGAGTCCCTACCCCGATGCTGGCACCTTCTCCAAGGTCACTGCTATCACGAACCGCCCTCTCAACCCTTATGAGACCCATTGGCCTGAGTCAAGTTCGGAACGACCAGATCTTCAACTTGTCTCAGGCATTGATCTCCGTCAAGGTGGTGGGACTACATTAGCAGATACTCTAAAACGTACAGTGAAAGATGTCGAAAGTGTCACCCATATCTACTACCTGGGAAAGTCCGCATTGAACATCACGAAGCGCAGAAACTAACCATCCAAAGTTTTCACCGCAGTCAGCGAGATTAGAGAAGAAGTCGCAACAAACCGACAGATGCTTAAGAATGTCATTGCTGCCCACAGTTTGATCAGCCCCGAGCTGAAGTTTGTGGCCTTTCCTGGTGGGACACGGGTAAGCATCCAAGCCATTCATGGAACCAACCGCATGCTGATGAAACAGGGATACGGCATATACGTCCCCGGAGGCACGTTCACTCCTCCACTGCACGAGGAAATGGTGAACGACCTTCCAGTCAATTACGCAAAGACAGTTGTCTATACAGAGTACCGTAAGCTTCTCGATACTGCCAGCAAAGACAAGAAGTGGACTTAGTGCGAAGTTTGTCCAGATACAATTGTGAGTCCTCTCCAATCACTCTCGGGATGAACTAACAGGTATGAAGATTGGTTTTACCCCGAACGGCTCCCAGTACAGTCTATCACTACACTGGGCCCAGTTTCTGTCTCTGTGGGCATACAACCATGGAATCGGACCACACAGAGATGGAACCAACAAAGCCGTCGAAGTACCCTTCCCTGGCAGCACCGCTGGTGCCACATCGTTGTTCTCTCCAGTATCAAGCAAGACTATTGCGCGATTCATGATCTATGCCTCGCTGCACCCAGAAACCTGCGGTAATGGTCAGCTGTTCAACATTGCCGACAACGAGACACCGTGCAAGTATGGTGAGATCTGGCCCCATCTGGCAGAATGGTTCGGCCTAGTAGGAGCGAGACCCGCTGAGAGTCCAAAGTCTCTGGAAAATACGTTGAAGGTTGGCGAGGTCCCTGAGACTACCCCCTCTGTGATGCCTGGAGAGTACATTGCCCAGCATAAGGGCAAGTTTGCCGAATATGGACTTCCGAATGCTGTCACTAAAGGCGTTAGGGTGGGTAACCGGCAGCTTGACAGTGTGGGCTACTCATTGACTTTCGACCGAGAGTTAAGCCTGAAGAGGTTGAGGGCGACAGAATTTGAGGGCGATATTGATCCTGTTCAAGGCTGGCATGAAAGCTTTGAAATGTTCAGAAAAGCTGGATTGATACTATGAGCCGGAGGAATTCTCTCACTCTAGGATACATGCAAATAGGGATTGCTAATAACTGTGTTCTATATCGTTTCCCACCTGATATGTGCTGTACAGAAGAGCTCGTGTTCCCCGCCAAGTCCTATGCTATGTTGAATCCAGATCCCTCAAAATTGAGATTTGGAAGCTAAAATATGGAGAAAGTTGCTTTCCTGTTCTACGGATACAAAACCATACAAACAAGTATGAGCGTAACAAGGAAGGAGCCCGGAGTGATTGACTCGTGCGTCAAAATTGTCGATTTGGGACTTGTGTTTGCTTTCACCTAAAATATGAGGCAGCAACTTCAATACACTGGTGGATTTTCATCCTCTTTTGTTTATCCCGCCTTCTTCTCTCTGAAGCTTTTCTTCTCCTCTCATCACCCTCAACACACTCAAATCCACGGTTCTTCGCCATACCCTTCATCATGTCGGAGATCACTCTTGGGCAGTACCTCTTTGCTCGCCTTCGTCAGGCTGGTTTGAACGCAGTGCACGCTGTACCTGCACAACACCATCTCGAGATATTGAACCAGGCAGTTTCTGCCGGGCTTGAATGGACCCAGCATTCCAGCGAGCTCAATGCTGGCTTTACTGCAGATGGCTATGGACAAATACGGGGAATCGCGGCTCCGGTTACTTCATTCGAATCCCCCGAAAAAGAATTTCTGTCAAGGATGCCATTAGCGAGTCTTACGAAGAGATGGTACCTGTTGTGCTCGTTATTGGAAGTCCGCCGCGCATGGAACAGTTTCAGGCTTTCAAATACCACCACCCTTTTTACGATACACAGCCAGAAGCTCTTGAGCAATTTGCCAACTGGTTCCCCAAGAGTACAGTCATGCAGGAAATACTTCTTGACCCCAACGATATCGCCAATCAGGTTGATAACGCGATCAAAGAATGTATCTTCCAGTCCTGGCCGGTTTACATCGAACTACCCGAGGACATGGTGAACATGAAGATACGCATAGACGAACTCGATGCCCCAACAAACCTCAAGCCCCGGTTCAATAATGATGACCTCGAACAGAAAGTGCTGGCTGAAATAATGAACAGAATCAGACTGGCGGAGCGACCTACAATCCTGATAGATGCTGGTGCCACAACTTGTGGCCAGCGCGAGATCAATCGCTTGGCAAAGATGACTGGAATTCCGACTACTACAACCTCAATCAGCAGAGGTCTTGTGGATGAGACTCTGTCAAATTTCCATGGATCCATGTGTTCCAGGTGGGACAAGCTTGGTGCGTATGTTCAATCCTCCGACTTTGTCCTCCACATTGGACCTATCGAGACCATTTTCCGGTCTTCCCCCTTTGATTCGGGCTGCAAACAGGATAAAACAATCACTTTCAAATGGGTTTCTATCATAATGGGATCCAAGTTATGGAGCGTTTCTAGCAGGTTCATACTTCAAAAGATTCTAAAGTCTCTGAGTCAAGAAAGACTCCAAGGCCCTGCACCTTACCCGGATTTACCAAATGTTCAGGAGAAGATCAATATACTTCCTATTCAAAAGAAGACAACACCACTTCAACATGACATCTATAATTCCCTTTGGCGACGAATTTCGTCCCTTCTCTGTCCGGGGGATCTCATTCTCACTGAACCCTTCACAGCAGGCGCGGGAGCACGCTCATTTGTCTTGCCCCGGAATGCAATCGTGATTAACTCGGGATTCCACAGATCTCCCGAGTATATGCTTGCTGCCACCTCTGGTGTAGCCATCGCCCAACGAGAGCTTGGTGAATCCAAATACCTGTTTGGACAAGGAAGAACGATTCTTTTCGAGGGAATTGAGGGGTTCAAACAGGCTCAAGGTGCCTTTGGCACGGTCTACAAGGAGAAGTTGAACATGATAATCTTCCTCATCAATGAAAAGCAACAATCAGTGGAGAAATTCATGCACGAAATGGAGATGAAGCACAACCACGGCGCCCCGTGGAAATACTCGGAGTCTCTTTCTTTCCTCGGATCACCAAACGAGACATCCTATCCGGTTTTAGTCAGCACCTGGGGCGAACTTGGTGGGATTCTCGATGACAAGAGGGTCCAATCGGGAATTTAATTACAGATTGTGGAGTTGGAGATCCAGCCTGAGAATCTTGAAGTACCTGGTCTTTTCAGTGGAAAGTACGGTGAATCCCCGAGTCTTTTGACCAAGGAGCTCAGTTTCGTTAAGGATTGAATCCCAAGCAAATAGAGAGATAGGCGACAAGTCATGTCATGTTAAAGGAGAAATTTCAGAACAATGATCAGTTTTCACATCTTCTCTTCCAAAGTATAAGCTTTTTTGGTGAAAACTGGGATAAGATGCTCGCAAGGCTACATTGAATGTAGATTAAACCATAAGTAGTCCGAAACGCTCATTTTTATGACTTTGCATTAGTATTTACTGTCCCAATAGCTCACGTATCATAGCCCACATAGTAAATTCTTCCAGTGCACTCCAGACTCCAACAGCACATTTTCGACTACCCAAGACCTTGAAACCTTGCTTGAGCCAATAAGCACCAGTATCCTCTTTAGCAACAAGAATCATCATGCGCACTGGAGATGACGGATCTCTGTTCTCAACCCGGTGTCGTCGCAAAACCTCCTCTTCACAAGCTCTGACTAAATGACCGGCAATGCCCCTTCCACGGTATCGAGAATCTGGAGGAAGAGCCACAACAGCTATCTCATAGTCTCCTGGACAGGCATGTTGCGCGAGCATACGGTCCATCTCCTGATTAGCTTCGTCCTCAAGCTCCGCTACAACGGGATCGACCTCTTCTTCATGTTCCTTAAAGGGCGTCCAAAGACCATCGTCCTTCCATTTCTTCAGACTTGCTGTCCCAATCACTTCGGGTTTTTGATACGGACCGCTGTCAGCCAGAGCCACAGCGGTAAATCCATCCGGTCCGATTTCTTTAGACAATTGAGAGTCACTCAATAGTCGGGTCTTGTCTGTGGGAAACTTGATATTGCTGGTGTGACTGACGCGATAGCTTGCATTGACCATGCTAGTGAGATCGGAGAGCCATGGTTGGGAGAGGAGTTCTGTTGATGTATAGAGCTTGATATGGAAGGCTGGTTCAAACATCATTCTTGAATCTGGATATCCCGACGCAAGGTATCTCAGCAAAGTGATATATGAAAATTGAAGAAGAGAAAGGGACCAAATTGTTCCTAAGTGTCACACCAAAATGCTAATTTCCCCATGTGGGGATTACCAGAGTTCAGGCATCCGGGACGAGACTAGTGAGTCACGAAAACCGCGCTTTGCCCTCTGATAGCGTTGTACATCGGATCGGAAGTTAAACGCCATCCGTGTCGAAGGGCGTGTTGGCTATCGATATCTAGATGACTGGAGCTATATTCAACCTACCTGCTCTATAATGCATTTGATAAAACTCATTATGGTATTGATTATTCGGGAACATATGTATCTCAGCCCCATTACCCAAATATAGCATACCTCAGTGCTTCCGTGGCGAATAAATCGTTAAATTACTATTCCGTATTGACACTTGACATTCATCAAAGATGGCCATGGATGTAGGGCTAGAAATGTGATTTGTAAGGTGACGTCAGGTGATCGTTGTTATCGAGAATTAATCAGCAACCTCTCTCTTATCTCGAGGTCCCTTGCACAGGTGAACGTCCTCGACTCAACTATGACTGATCGGTCGATCTCATGAATTATCAGACCATCAGTATGGATGGCGATGCCTCCGAACAGCGTCAGCGGGTGACTCGGTCATCGGAATCGGGTCCGCCACCGACATATCCTATCGAAACCGCAGATGGCCGAGCTCCTACCTCCGCCCAGAGCTTCACTCCGCGCTCACTCCTCGTCGGTCTCGTCATCGGTGCTCTGATTACATTCTCGAATACCTATTTTGGATTACAGACAGGATGGATCAGCACAATGGCCATGCCGTCGGCCTTGATTGGATTCTCGGTCTTCAAGGTTCTATCAAAGCAGTTGTCATTCCCGTTCACGCCGGTGGAAAATGTCCTGATCCAGACAGTGGCGGGTGCAGTTGGAACAATGCCACTTGGGTGTGGCTTTGTTGGGGTTATACCTGCTTTGGAGTTCCTGCTGAAGCCTGGTGCTGACGGACCAGAGGGCGACGGCGGGGAAGGCGAGGGTGGCTCTTTGAACCTTAGCTTCTGGAAGTTGGTGATCTGGAGTCTTGGAGTTTGCCTCTTTGGTGTCGTATTTGCGGTACCGTTGCGGAAGGAGGTAATTGTCCGAGAGAAATTGCGATTCCCGAGTGGCACTGCCTCTGCTTTAATGCTCAAGGTCTTGCATGGTTCTGGGAACATGGAAAAGTCTGTAGCACCAGAGAATTCTCGCGCAGATGACCTGAACGAGGCCACGGCGCCTCTTTATACGCAAGAAGACACGACTCTGAAAGATGGGGATGCTGAAGATCAAGCTACCAACCAACAAGATTGGCGGTCGAAGATGCGACTCTTGATCGGCGCCTTTGTAGTTTCTGGAGTCTATGTAAGAACCCCCAGATTCCTCACTGAGAAAATCACACTAATGAACGTAGACACTATTTTCGTACTTTGTTCCTGTGGTCCGTGATATTCCCTTGTTCGGCCTGAGCATGGCCCACAATTGGCTGTGGACCCTCAACCCATCACCAGCCTACATTGGCCAAGGTATCATCATGGGCCCATCGACCTGCATGCACATGCTCTTCGGCGCAGTGCTAGGATGGGGTTTCTTATCACCGCTGGCCAAGGCTCGTGGCTGGGCACCTGGTCCGGTAGACAGCTGGGATGATGGAAGCAAAGCATGGATTGTCTGGATATCACTGGCAATCATGCTTGCGGACTCGCTTGTTAGTCTAGGATGGCTTCTTCTCAAGCCCATCGTGACTCATTCGCCCAAATGGATCGCCTGGTTCCGCTCCACTCGCGTGGGACAGTGGATCGCACTTCGGCTGCAGTCCCATCAGCATTCATACATCAACTATTCCGTATTAGGGTCTGAGAATCACCCGCCCACTTATGAAGATGATAATCCCCAGGTGCATAGAGCCGAGGGCGAGGAGGAAGGGGAAGATGCACCACCATCCCAGCTGATATCCACTCGCACGGTTGTGATTCTCCTTCCATTGACTCTTCTGCTGAATGTTGTGTGCATGCATATCGTGTTTGGTGACATTATTTCTCCTTGGCTTTCGACACTTGCTACGCTATTGGCGGTGCTTCTATCCATCATGGGCGTTCGAGCTCTTGGTGAGACTGATCTCAACCCAGTCTCAGGTATCAGCAAGCTCACTCAACTACTGTTCTCACTTGCCACACCCTCCTCACATTTTTCTAGACGCACTGCACTAGTTACCAACCTTCTGGCAGGTGCAGTCTCCGAATCAGGAGCTTTACAAGCCGGTGACATGATGCAAGACTTAAAGACCGGCCATCTTCTCGGCGCAAGTCCCAAGGCCCAATTCTATGGGCAGATGATTGGCAGTCTTGTAGGTGCAGTTCTATCTACTGCTGTATACAAACTATATGTGAATGTCTACGAGGTTCCCGGCGAGATGTTCCAGACACCTACCGCATATGTCTGGATTTTCACAGCCCGGCTAGTGACTGGCCAAGGTCTCCCAGAAATGGCTTGGCGGATGTCCTTTTATTTTGGTATTGTCTGGGTATTCATCACCGCCCTAAGGATTGCAGCTGCATCTCCTGCCTTCTCCCACAATGGAAACCCTCCACCTTGGAGATCCTGGATCCCAGGTGGTATTGCCGTGGCTGTTGGTATTTTCAACGTACCATCCTTTACTTTGGCGAGAGCCATTGGTGGTATTATTGCATGGTGGTGGTCTCGAAAGCATGCAGAAACCGCTAAGCAGCCTTCCGCTGGTGGAAACACAAATGGCTCATTCGCCCCCACAGAGCCTGGAACCGTTCAGCCTGGCGGTGGGTCATTATCTGCCGACCAAGCAGCGGAAAAAGCAGACGCTGCTTCCTCGACTGTTGTTGTTTTGGCATCTGGTCTTATTCTGGGTGAAGGTATCATGAGTATTGTGAACCTTCTCCTTGCAAGTGGCCATGTTCCACATCTGTGATACTGCCGGAATGTTTTGGGATAAATTGCAATGCATAGCCAAAAATATCGATAGATTCATTGGTATTGTTCATAGAGTAATGAATTTCGGGTCTTCTGCCTCGCCATGTTCGAGATTGGCGTAGGCCTGTATTCGTTGCCCGATTTCTTGCAGGCTTCTTTGGCTCAGCCCCAATCAGCAATGTCACCGCAGCATTGGGAGATATGTGGAGCAAAGAAACAAGAGGCACGGCAGTCAGTATTTACTCCATAGCAGTGAACGGAGGACCAGCTCTTGGCCCTATATTCGGCGCAGCAATAATGATGCAGCCAAATCTTGGCTGGCGCTGGACTGCATACATCCACGCAATCGGGGTCGGATTCGTGTTCATCTTGACCTTCTTCTGTCTGCCAGAGGTATACCCGTTGGTCCTGCTGAGGCGCAAAACAAAGATGCTTCGAGAAGAGACAAATGACCCGAGATTCTATCACACACATGAACACATGAACACATGAAACTCGATGTCATAGCAGTTCTCACAAAACAATTTGCTCGTCCACTGCGAATGCTAGCCACCGAGCCAATCGTCACCTGTATCTCCTTCTATAGTGCCTTCGTTTACGGTATCTTGTATTTCCCGTTGGAAGTGTTCCCACTGGTATTCCAAGAATCCCGAGGCTGGAACAAGATCATCGGCGCTCTACCGTTTACCGTTCCCATGTCTATTGGGTGGTGTTTTACTTTCCGTGGGCCTAAGTATCTTGGGACAAAAGTACTACAACAAGAGATCAAAAGCAGCAAATGGACAAACAGTCCCCGAAGCACGACTTCCACCCATGGCAATCGGAGCAGTCCTTCTTGTGGCTGGATTATTCTGGCTTGCATGGACTGCCGACTCACCCCATCACTGGGTCCTACCATGCATTGCATCTGTTTTTGTTGGATGTGGATTCAACATTGTCTTCCTGCAGTGCGTGAACTTCTTGATTGATGTTTATAAAATCTACGCTGCTAGCGCGACAGCTGCTACGACTTTGCTTCGGAGTTTGATGGCGGCTGGGCTTCCTCTGGCAGCCAAGCCCATGGTTCAAGGTGTGGGTATTGGGCCTGGTGTCTCGATGATTGCTGTTGTGGCGACTGCCCCATTGCCTGTGCCGTTCTTGTTCATAAAATATGGCAAGAGGATTCGGCGATTGTCGAAGCTTGCACCTGATGATTTATGAGTCACGGTCTTATATAGAGTGTTCAACAAGGGGGTTTATAGACTGGGCTTTTCGTATAGAAGAACGTGGCCGAGAGCAGTTGTCAACGGTTTCTGCTTTCTCAATTCTAGAACAATATAACATCAATTCATTTTCCAGGACAAGAGCCTTTCTTAGTCCTACTGCTGTGATTCCTGTTGCTGATGGGAAATAATGAAAACAAATTCACATCCCCAAGCCGAATCAAGCTGTCTTTAGGGAACACCTAGGTCTAGATCGGGAGTAAACAGAATCAGTTGGAGTCATAGGTGGAAATAGTCTAGATTCTACATAGATATGAACATACACAAGAATAATTGTTTCAGTACAGGCCAAACAATCCGGTACTTCCAGCTTATTTGAACATGCCACATATTCTCAGTCCGGGTCAATATCAATCCAGTAAAAAAAGGCAGAAGTTGCAAGCATCTTCCAGTCATTGAAGAAAAAATAAAATAAAAAAGGTAAAAGGGGACGAAAGGGGTAGGTATGAATGGGATCGGCCTTGGGGTAACATTACATAGGTGCCATTAGGAATACAGATGGCACTCAGGCCACGGACCGAAAAGGTGAACAGGTAAAACATGGTAAATCAAAGGACAATGGGGATGGTGATAGGGCAAACAGTAAAATGATTCAACAGGCAGTACACAGTACAAGATCAAGTTAATGAATGTTTCGTCATGGATGCGGGTAGATGGATATCAAGTCAAAAATCGAAGTCAACAGTCGTAGTAGGCAAGCTCGTTTCCGTCCAGCGGGACACTGACAGCTCAGTGGATATGCTTCTGCTCTGTAAAGGCACAGGCTCTGTCCAGAGGGAAATTCGTTCAACTAAGCCTCCTGATTGGGGACGGGCTTGCGCGAGACCGAGCCCGAAGGCGAGATCGGAGCGGAACTTGGAATAGCTGGAAGCTCTGCAGTGGGGGCGGGAGCAGGAGCGGCTAGTGGACTGGAGACAGGCGGGGCAGCGGCGGCAATGTTAGGAGGGGGCATATTGCCGGCACTGTTGCTTCGTTCGCGTTGGTTGATGGGCATCTGAGGGCGCTGCATGCCGGGGTGGCCATATGGCCCAGGGCTCATTGAGCGGGGGCCAGGTCGACCGGGACCGGGAGACATGGAGCGAGGGCCTGGCATTCCACCAGGGCCCGGGGACATGGAACGAGGACCGGGCATACCGCCAGGTCCGGGAGACATGGAACGGGGAACAGGCATGCCACCTGGGCCAGGGCTCATGGCACGTGGACCCGGGCGTCCGGATCCAGGAGACATGGAGCGGGGAACAGCAGGGAATTGAACAGGCGACATTTGAGGGCCTGGGTAAGCACGAGGAGGGGGGGCCAGCGAAGCCAGGGCCTGAGGGAGATCTTGGGCGTGCGTCCTGGGGATAGAAGCGACCGGGGGGAGGCGGCATGGGACGGCCATCAGGGCCCATGATGGGTGGGCCGCGCGCGCCAGGAGCACCAGGAGCGCCAGGAGGTGGGCGAGGGCGAGGCATCACAGGACGGGCCGACAGGCAAGACCGAGGGGCCACGCCTTGCTGAGAGCGATCAAGGCGGATACAGAGAGCCTAAAGACAAGTTTAGCATGTTGATATTCGGAAAGAAAATCAGGAACACAACTTACCCATCCATCGTCATATTCGTGGAGCAGTCGTACGAGGGAACCAGAACGAAGACCAAGCTCGTCCTCCATAGACGGGTTGAAGTCGAGTTGCACACGGTGAACATTGTTGGGGCCAGCAGCTCCAGCAGCGCCTGCTAGTTCAACATTCGGAGCGGCAGCGGCGGCAAAAGCATCATTGGTAGGGCTTGTCGAGTGTTGAGAAGAGACAGGGGGGGAATGGGCGCGGGATTCTGCGGTCGCGGGACAAGCAGGTTCTTCCTTGGACTGGTGAGAGGCAGCAGCAGCACCTGCAGCAGCGCCAACAGCAGCAGCACCAACGGCCGCGGCTGCCATAGTCGCCCCTGAGGGTCCAGTGCTGGACTCGGAGACGGAGGGAGCGTGGGCAGAGACAGGTGTATCAGCAGTACCGAAAGGATTTACAGGGTCGCTGAACGGATTGGGGCTGCTGCCAGCGGACTTGGGAGGAGTAGGAGGCGACGAGTCACCAGTGAGATTACGAGAAACAACGGCTGCTGAGCCGGCTGCAACGCTAGCCCCAGCGGCACCAGCAGCAGCGGAGTTGAAGCCACTGCCGCCACTGAGGTCGGGAGCGAATTGAGTGATAGGGCGAACGTTGAGTACCGGAGGAGTCGAGGGAGTTTGAGGCTTAGAAGGAGGAGGGGGTGGCAGAGAAGCAGCAAGGCCTCCTTCGGGCAGGCCTTCACCTCCAAATGCCTTTTCGTTCTCCTGTTGATAACCTTCCTGGGCTCTCTTCTTCTTGCGAACGATGAAGAAGATCAAAGCGGCGATCACACCAACACCAAGGATCACACCAATGGCTATGCCGGCTTTGGCACCGCCGGAAATGCCAGCATCAGTGGTGGGACTACCAATGGCAGTAGAAGAGGACGAGGCAGCCGAATCAGTGGTAGATCCAGTGGAGGTTGCGGCAAACAGATCATTCACATCCTGGCTAGTCTCCGCGGTAGGGGATGCCGAAGTCACAAAGGAGGTTGCAGTACTCTGGGACTGGGACTCCGTGGTCGATGCTTGCTTGGCAGATTTTTCAGTCGTTTCAGCCTTGGTGGTTTCGGTAGTTACTGCTGACTTTTGAGTGGTGCGGGCCTGAGTCTCCTTGGTAGTAGTCGCTTCCTCCTTAGATGTGGTGGTAGCCTCCTCAGTCGCCTTGGTCTCGGTCGTTTTCTCCTTGGTGGCCGTCGCAGTCACACCAACAGCGGGACCCACACCAACGTTCTTCTGTGTCGCAGTCTCGGCTTCGGTCGTTTCCTCGTTGCCAGTGCGATAGCCACCGACTGGACCGTCGAAATCGGCGCCCATAGTCTGGTAGACGATCACCACATCTCCGCGCGCCTCTAGATCCTCCACCTTGCGCTCATGGTTGTGGTGCGCATGCCCATGCATCTTGAAATGCCCCGAGATGAAATATCACAAAGCGGGAGTTGGATGTAGAAGACACAGGGCGAGAATTACTCCTAAAGAGGGGGTAATGTCCAGGATTCCAACGCGAGTTCCAAGTACCGCGTCTCTGGTCGATTCCACACTGTGGAATGTGGATAGAAAGAATGGACGAGATCGAGCACCGCCGATTTCAGAAAAGAAAGAAAAGAAGGGACGACGACTTCCAGGTCGTACAGCAAAGAGAGGATGAGAAGGGAAGAAGCCAAATGAAAGAAGGATGAACCGGGGGTCCCACGAGGAACCGAGATGAGGGACCCTGTATGGGCTGGGTCACGCTAGCCAGAAGTGGTAAGCATCAGAGCAGATCAGACAACATGATAGGTCAGAGGTGTATGGTACCTGGTTCGATGGTGTATTGATACGAGATTTGGGGGTCAACCGTAGGACCCTGTATTGACTACAACTTAATCTCTTCACGCTACAGTTAAAGACAGGGTAGTCAACAGGTCATTATTAGAAGATATACATCTAGAGAATAAGGAAATAAAATATACCAAGACGAATACGATCGTCCCTTTTATTTATACTTTGTATTATTAAAGGAACTCGCTACCATCGTAGGGCACAGGTTCTCGATGGCGGTTTCACCCTGGCCCCGTCCGCCACATCTTATTGATCGAAGACCCGGACCCGTAATTTCCGACGTTGCCGTTCAATTTCAATCCACCGCGTGCATTGGCCAGCAATATGCAGGAAAAGCCTCATTGCACATTTCTCCATGCACGCCCCCCCCCCCCAGGGGTAAACATGTAAACAATGCATTTTATGAATTTAAGAGCTTCAGGCCTAATTCCTGATTTCCTTTCAGTTCAATGCCCCGTTCCACGCTTGTGTTTTCCCCATTTGCTAGTGCACTCCCCGCCTACCGGTCTGGGGCACTGTGGCTGACCCTTTGTACAGTGGCGGTGCTCATGCGAAATACGGATGCTCAAGGGCCTGGACCACATATCAAAGATTGTCCCGAGACATCCGCGGGTGTCACTTACCTGTACTGCAGAGAGTCTTTCTCGGCTCTCATAGCATAGTAACCGGCGAACCAGATCACGACCATTTGAGGATGCACCCGGCAAAATATCCTCCCAGGATTGCGCAGGGAAGGAGTGGAATTCCACTTTGCCCCAGTCAGGCAGGACGGTGACTTCCTGTAGTCACTGTTATTGAAGGTCTTGTGCAAGTAGCGGTCCACATACCGGCCACAGTTGTTCGTCCGGAGTACCCAGCATTTTAAAGATAGAGAAAATAAGCGACAGATCACTACCAACAGGTCCGGAATCAAACATTTGCCGATGGCCCACGGAAATGGCCTCTGCCACCAAGCATCCGGCTGCCCAGAGGTCAAGAGCAGTTCCATATTCCTTGTACCCGAAGAGGATCTCTGGAGGCCGGTAGCAGGTGGTGCCCACATCGGTAATCTTTTGCGTGGGTGGCTCAGACCCCGGGTCACCTTCTTTCCATGAAACACCGAAGTCTGCCAAGTATGCTGGGCCGTTGGGCGAGTCCATGAGAATGTTGGAAGGCTTTAAATCTCGGTGTATGATCCCAATGTCATGCAGATGGACGAGGGCACGGAACATATCCTTCAGAATTGACCGTGTCTGCGCGGCGGTCACCATATCCCGTCGGAGCAAATGCTCAAAGTCATATCGCATAAAAGGGAAGACCATGATAAATCTCCCACCATCAAGATTGAAGGTCTCGGTCAAAGGAATGATATGAGGATTGCAAGCTTCTCGCAGCAATCGTGCCTCGCGGTGAGCATCATGGGGCGCCGTCATCATATGGGGGATGGTGACTTTGACTGCTTGGAGTGTTCCATCTGCAGCTTTTGACTTGTATATGGTGGAATGAAGACCATCGAAATGGTGAAAGCAGGAGGCGTATTGGCCGATCTGCTCCTGAGTAGATTCTGACAACTCTGGAGCCTCTGACTCACCTTGAGCTTCATGCGGGTCAACGGCTGATGCTAGCTCTGCCTGTTCAGCTGCATCAATGGCCTGCTGGCACATCAAGTCATATTCTTCCTGGTCACGATGGTATCAGTCAAGGCCGTGTTCCAGGGAGTGTCCCTCACCTTCGAGGTGGCATTGTTCCATGATTCAGTCTCATGTTTACTAGCCTTGGATTGTGCCTCTGCAAATGCATCTGATGACGATGTTTGCTGGTAGGCGGTGGTGCTATCACGTATCAGTCTAAGTGCGCATACATAGGATCAGCACTCACAGAGATTGGATGGCCCGCAGCCGACCTGAGAACCCCAACTGGGATTTCCAATCCATGATGCAACTAACTAAGTTAATGGAGCATGCCTTGCAGAAGTTATAGTTCCTTTATGGTAAACAATTAAGCCATTTTGAAGCCGTGGGATTGGCTGATGATGTCATGTGACCCCAGTAAGGGACGCTTGCTGTATTGTGACCAGACATATATAAATACAGAGCTGTGGTTGGTCAAATCCCTGCCAAGCTAGTAATACAAATACGCCTCCGTCATTCCATCCCCATTGCCGTCCCCGGCCTCGAATGACACGCTACCTCACTCTGGCATTCATCCCGCATTCATTCCCCGGACTCCATTGGGCTTGTTCTCGCCTCGAGAACTTGCAGACTTTCTTGGTTTTTCTTTTCTATAGTATGCGCTGCATGCGCGCCTGATACATCCAACCTGAATCATGGACCTCTCACGGCAAGAGTACCCGATGCTACTGGTAAGATTGACCTATGCAAGCTTGGTGGGGGACTGCGACTGTTCCGGTATGCTGACCATTGGTGATATTTCCCTTCGCTAGGCCACCCTGCATCCTGGCCAAGCTACGACTGTTCTGAGCGATCGCATCCGAGTGATTAACAAGATCAATGCGGATATCGCGGATTACCTACAGGTATGAAGACCTACGTCCCGATTAGATCAAATTCCTCGAATATGATTTGCAGTGAGAGAGCGACACGATGCTGACAGATTGGGGTTAGGAACGACGTCGTGTGGAAGAAACATACGCCCAAGGCCTGCGGAAGCTGGCGCATCGACCCCAGCTCGACAATGGAGCTGCTCTTGGGTAAATTGGACCTCCCCAGAGCGATTGGAGCTGATCGGTACTGATCGGTGTCCGACAAAGCATGCTGACCTATGAACAAGCATCTTCCAGATCCCCTGGCAACGCATCATCAATGCCACCGAATCGCTCGCCGTGTCTCACGAGACTCTCGCCAACAAGATCGAGGAGGATGTAGAGCGACCGCTGAGAGAATTCAGCACCAAGAACCGCGACATGCAGTCGATGCCCGGTATCCAAAGCAATCTGGCGGGGTTGGCCAAGAATGTGGAGAATGCGCAGAAGAAGGTGGACAAGGCCAGGGCTAAGGGCGCCAAGGGTGCAGACAAGCTGTCCAGTGAGATTGCAAATGCCGAGGAAGTGACTCAGCAGTGGGAATCACGGGCTCCTTTCGTTTTCGAGCAACTCCAGTCTGCCGACGAGACCCGGCTCAACCATCTTCGGGATGTTCTGACGCAGTTGGAGACCCATGAGGTGGATCAGGTCGAGCGCGGCCGTCAGGCTGCTGAGAGCTGTCTGAACGTCCTCTTGAATGTTGAAACTGCAGATGAGATCAAGACCTTTGCCGCCAAGATGGCAGGAACTCGGGTTCCTGTCTCACCGGTCATGTCCCGCAGACAAACAGAGCGGACGGAGGCGTCTTCTGTGCCTGAGCCGGGCCCTGAACGGGCAGCAACTGCGCCAATGGAAGTACCGGCGGCCACACCCCCAACAGAGACACCTCTTTCACCCCCTCCGCGTATCCAGGATGATGCCGCGAGTCAGCGATCAGAGGAGAGACAAGCTGTTGCCCAGACACCCCCAGGTAAGTTCCAAAATGAACCCATCCCAGCATCAAGTAAATACAAGAACTCACGTATACAGCCCCTATACCAGAGGCACAGCCGCGACACACCCCATTAGGCGGGCTGCGACGACTTGGAACGGTAATGAACAGGCGAAAGAGTGTTGTTGGACCCTCTGCTGGATCATTCGAGCGAAAGGCAGACAAGAAGCGCAGTCCCTTCTCTCCCTTCAAGAGAGGCGACTCCGCTCGTGATCTCCAAATTCCGGAATCTCCTCCTTCAACTGCCGTTGACCGTCCAGGGACATCTTTGACTGAGGATGCATCTCTTCGAAACTCCAGCGTAGACCATGGTGGATTGGGTGCTGCACCTGGTGCCGTGGCGCTCTCAGAATCCACCAATGGAGCTTCCGCCGAACCTCACGCTGAATACACCAACAACCATGCGAACCCGCCACAAGTTGATTCCGAGGGTTATACCGAACGCCCTTCCACGATTGATGAGATTTCGCGTGCTCAAAACGAAGCAGCGGGTATTGAGGATTCCGGTCTGAACTTGACGATCAGAGACCAACCTATCTTCGAGGACGAGAGCCAGGCGCAGCAGGCTATGAGTGAAATGGCAAACACCCTCCGATTGCAAGCTCAGCAGACTGGAGGGATCAGACGCAATGCGGGCACTATTCGCGGACGCCGTGATGTTCGCAACACTGTGTTTGTTCCTTCGCCAGGCAGCGAGCTGCCTCCAGCCTTGGGAGCGCAACAGCCCCAAGCACCAACGTCGCCAATCAGACATATCACGTCTCCCAGCATTGCACCCAGTGTCACAGATGATCACACCGTTTCAGACTCCACCTCTGTTCGCTCCGGGCACACTATGCACGGCGCAGGTGCCTCCGTTCATCCTGACCTCTACGAGTCAGGCTTGAATGCCTCAATCATTGAAACCGTCAATGCATGGTTCTCTGAGGGTAACGTTACCAAGTCCTTTGTGGTTGGTGAGCTTGCTCTGGCAAACAACCCCACTCCAGGTGGCGTAGCAGAGAATGCGCGCATTCGTCTCGATAACTTCCAAGTGCTGGAGAAGGTTGCAGCCAATCCAAACTTCGTTCATGAGGCAGTCAAAGAGGCTGGTGACGACCAGAGGGGCGAATACGATATCCAACTGGGTAGCATCTCCCGCCCTATGCCAACAGTGGCATTCAAGTACCAGCTGCACCTTGATAATCCTTCCGCCTACTGCCCCGTTATCTTCAAACCAACCTGGAAACTGGAAGAATTCCAGGCCAGTGCCATTATCTACTATTCGCTCAACCCATCCTTCGTCTCGCCATCTGTCGAGTCGATCTCCCTGAAGAACGTAGTCCTCACAGTCAACCTGGACACCTCTGCCGAGGACGAAACCACCAAGCAGCCACGCGAATCAGTCGCACATGCCACCAGTGCAGCCATGTACCCCAACACCGGTGCTGTCTTCCGCCGCAAGACTTCAACTGTCACATGGAGAATCCCCGAGCTGGATGTCAAGGCTCTCGGTACACCCGGCGCCGACGGCAAGTTCCTCGTCCGCTTCTCGACCTCTGCCAGCTGGCCTCGCAAGGGCACAGTCGAAGCCAAATTCGAGATGCGAACCGTCGAGTCTGCCTCAAGGCTGGGTATCAGCCGCGCGGCCTCAGACGCAGAGCCAAAGGAATCCGACCCTTTCGCGGATGAAGGCCGCGAATCATTGTCTTCTTCAGTATCATGGCAAGATGTCCCAACAGCACGCAAGTTAATAGGTGGGAAATACGTCTCAACCTAGTTGGATCTAGCACAGTGCAAGATCGAAACGCTCCCTCTTGTTCGTATATAGTCTCCACCTAGGAGTGAGCGTGTACTTTGTGCTTCCTTTCTCTCTCGCATTCTGGTCCTGGCTATCGTTTGTTTTTTGTCGGGCATAGGCTCAAGAGCTAAAAGCACAGTATGTTATTGCGTTTTTCCTTTTCCTTCCTCCAGTTTTTTTTGTTTGTCATTCCCTTGTTTGCGTCCCCAGTTGTCTTTGCAAATAGCGATTCCCTTATGATATTTGTTTTGTATTTTGTCCCTTCTGGATACTGTTGTATGTAGCAAGGCATTTACGTGTGTACTTTCATCAGCCCAGTGTCAATCCTTCTGTGGGCTCTAGTTATGTTTGTGGGGGAATTTAATGGGACATTGGTTCTTTATTGAGTACCGAGTGTAGATCGTTTTTAAAGGTATAGAGTATACAATGGTGGTGTGCTTTAGATGCTGCAAGAATAAAGATATGATATCGGCAAATAACTGAAATACAACATAGCACATGTTAAGACGTGCCGGGGAATCACAATAACACAAATAATGGGAAAGATCGTGAACAGAAAGTATTACGCATCCTTCACATGAGCCATATGAGAACAGATCACATCCTAGCAGCGCGAGTAGTCTTATCATAAAAGTCCAAGGTCATCGCCGCAAGGAAACAAGGAATATCCTTCCGTTCCTCAACCCAAAACTTGATAAGTGGCTTGATTTCCATAGCGAAGAGACTATTAGGCCCGCCAGAGATCTTCATGGTGCCATTCTCACCATCAAAGACAATAGAATTCTCTTCCCCATTGCCCAAACTACCAGGACCAGAGTCCGAAGCAGCATCACTGTCACCGTGGCGGTACGCAGAGGAAAGATGGAACATGGAAGTGACACGCACTCGACCATTAGGAAGGAAGTCAAGCTTGAAGCCAAGAAGGGAGGCAACAGCTTCACGGAACTCGGAGGACTTGGCAGTCCAAATCTCCTTCAGACGGCGCATGCGTTTCTCCTTGTCTGCGACAGTACGTTCCATATCTTGCATTTCGAGCTTGATACTCTCGACAGCGCTGACTGGGACGACCTTGGCTCCTGTAGGGTCACCGCGCAGCTGGGCTAGGAGGTCTCGGTTCTCTGCTTGGAGAGTTGTGAGGGTGGTCATCTTGATCTGTTCGATCTGTGATGTCGGGTTATCACGCAATTCAAGCACTCGTGTGCGAGACTTGGACTTCAGATGTTTGATCTGTGACTTGGCAGCGTCGAGTTCGCGACGAGCAAGAGTGGTAGCCTGTTCGGATTTGACCATGTGTTCCTGGAGTTTGCGGTTCTTGCGAGTGAGAACGGCGATACGCTCACTTTCAGCCTCGGAATCGGCTGGAGATAGCGGTCGCTTGACACCACGTGCTTGCGAATCATCTTCCTTTGGTGTCTCGCGCTTAGAGAGCTCTTCGTGAATTTGCTTGATTTCAACACGATATTCGTCGAGCAACTTCTCGAGTTGAGCGATGTGCTCTGACTTCTTTTGGTCTGATGGGTTTCCATCTTCTTTCATGGCATCATCTTCCGTGTCGAAGGTCTTCAGTTGAGCGCGCAGGTATTCAATTTCTTTAGTGGCTAGCGCACGCTGACGCTCGAGGCGAGATCGTACGCGAGCCTCTGCAGCACCTGGACCTGCGATAGCAGTGGCGGCTGCAATACGGGCCCTCTCCAGTTCCTGATGCAGATCGGATTTCTCTTTTTCGAGGGACATGATGGTCTCATTCTTCTTTTGTAATTTGGCTTCCACCGTTTCAATGCGCTCGGTGAGACTTGTGTTTTCAATTTTTCCGCGGGCCAATGCTCTTACGATAGCTTCCGGCGAATCAAACTCTGCAGACCGATCATCCTCCTGCAACAAGCTCATCCAAGCTTGTCGTTCGTCTTCGAGGGTCTGCTTTTGAATTTGGGCTGTGTTGAGCTCGGCCTCGACTCCGTCCATCAGCTGGATTTTGATCTCTAGTGCCCTCTTTTGTTCTTCAATCACTCCGACGGTCTTTGAGATTTCCCGTAATTTCCGTAACTCTGCATTTTGGTCTCGATTGGTTAACTCCAGCTCCCGAATATGGTTGACCTGCTCAGAGAGTTCTCTTTTGAGCACAGTAAGGGCTTCGGCATCGGTTCCTGCGGCCTTGAGTTGAATGTTGGCGGCTTCGAGATCGGCAACTTCAGCTTCACGTTGGGTGAGCTTTTCCTGTGTCGATTGCTGGATGCTCCGGGCATTTTCGAGGTCATTGTGGAATTCTTCGATCGCCTTTTGTAGAGATGCGCGCACAGTCTCCAGCTCGTTGATCTGATATTTGAATTGCCGTTCTTGGTCGGAAAGCTGCGATTGTGTGTCACCAAGCTCCTCCTGCAATCTCTGGTTCTCGTCTTGAAGACTTCTGATCTTTCGGTCGAACCCGACCTTCGCATCCAAGGACTGGTCTTGTGTTTCTTTGAGTTCTTTCGCAAGCGCGTCACATTTATGAGTTGCGCGATTGCTCGAGGATTCCGCTGCCTAGAGCAAGAGGTCGTCAGTTTCACTCCAAAATAGAATCACCCTGTCGGGACTCACCTGTGCCTTTCGAAAGTCCGCATCTGCTTTCATCTGTAGCTCTCGGATCTCTTTCTCATGTTGGAGCCCCTCAAGTTCTCGTTCTTGTTTGAAGTTTTCCAATTCATATTTGAGAGTGCTGAGTTGCACACGTAGCTCGTCCTTCTCGGCATCTGAACCAAGCAGTCAGTTCCCGTTGCAGTGTCTCGCATTGTTCGAGTGGGTACGCTCTCACCATGTGTGGACTGATTCAGATGAGCTTGGGACTCTTGAAAACGAATCGATTGTCGCATGCTCATTCGTGCATTGAAAGGGGTAGGCGAGCCAAATCCCGCAATGAGCTGGGAAGCCGGTCGGTTTGGGCTGCTCATCTGGTTATGGTCAGTCATTCATTCAAAGAAGAAAAGTGGTTTACAGGGACTCACGATGAGGAAAAGGTTACTCTGCACCCCCACAGAATCTCCTGTCTAGTCTGACATTAGTGAAGCAACACCATTGCTATCAAAGGAAGACCGCGTCCAAGTCGAGGGCGGCTTGTTTGATCTTAGTCAGCAGCCAAGCTTCCCCGAAACGGCCTAGCGCCATTTTAAAAATTATTTCGATTTCGGCATCGAATTCTCAGTTCACCACTTCACCTGCGAATCCACTCCTCCCACCTCGGTCCCTCGTCCGTTTCTATTCAATTCTTTCCGCTTAACTCTACAACCGTCACTATGGGCAAGGACAAGGTCGAGAAGAAGGACCGCGCTGAGAAGAAGGAGAAGCGTGCGGAGAAGGACGGTGTGCACAAGGCCAAGAAGGAGAAGAAGGAAAAGAAGGACAAGACTATTCTCGTTGATGCAGTAGAGAAGGAGCTCTCCTCCCAGATGGAGGGTGTCGAGCAGACCAGTGCCGTTGCTGAGGTTGAGGTCGATGCCATGGCCGTCGACCGCCCCATTGGCGCCGTTGTGCCCTTCGCCAACCCTCTGGTTGAGGATAAGCAGGCCAAGAAGGTCCTGAAGAGCGTCAAGAAGGGTATGTGAACTATTCCGAACTTTTTTATTGTTGCGCCTGGTCGATTTTTATCGGATCTTCGGAGAATCATCCAGACCTACAGATTTCATTGTTGCGCAGCATAATTTCTACAACCAGAGCGTTTTTGCTGACTTGAATTTTAGCTGCCGTCAACAAGTCCCTCAAGCGTGGTGTCAAGGAGGTTGTCAAGGCCCTCCGCAAGTCCGCCATCCCTCCTGCCAACGCTCCTGTTGGCACCCCCAGCGGTGTTGTCATTCTCGCTGCCGACATCTCCCCCATGGATGTCATCTCCCACATTCCCGTTCTCTGCGAGGACCACGGTATCCCCTACGTCTTCGTCACCTCCCGCGCCGAGCTCGGTGCCTCTGCCGCTACCAAGCGCCCCACCAGTGTGGTCATGGTCACCCCCAAGGCTTCCGGCAAGAGCAAGAAGGAGGATGATGAGGAGTTCACCAAGGTGTTCGAGGAGCTCGCTGGCTTGACCCAGAAGGAGTGCAAGAAGGTCCAGGTCTAAAAATGTGCTTGACTCGTTCCTTTTTCCCTTTCGTTATTTGCTCTATCCCACACTTTGCTGGTAGTGGGTTCTCTGGTTGTACAGGTTTCTGATACTGTCTGGTAAGACAGTGCATGTCTTTTGGGGTCCGGCCTATGGGTATCTTTCTGTATTTGCTCTTTGTACTGCAACTCGGCGTTATTTCAATGGTGTATGAAAAAAGGCAAGAATTTCAATGAGATATCACCAACCTCATCAGACTTTCAGATTTAAGTAGACTCAAGTAGACTCAAGTGAGTAAGATTTGGTACTATGTTGGCCATGGCAGCTACAGTGGCCTGTAATGCCCCGGCCGTGCGCCCTGCATGATCCACGTTGTGCTTGGTGCTATTTCGAGGTGTATTCTCGAGTAGTCCGATGTAATACAAATGCTAGGGATTGGCAATGCATAGGCAGGAGGTTGCATGAATTGGCAGATGACAACAAACCTCTCCGGACTGGGAGAGTAATTGTAAGTTGACAGTTCAAAACGACCTCCAGACCTAGTCAGATATATTTCCTAGTGCAATGTTATCAGTCATATGGCAAATCACAATATGCAAGAAGCACTGATAGTATGTGGGGTCTACCAGGTGAAGGCTACAGTTGCATGAAAGTTTGGCATATCCCTATCTTCTTACGAGATGTACTCCTGACAAATGAGCAATACACCGACTAGGACTGAGCTTATGCCTCGGTGTATATAATTCCAATTCTACTTATTCAATATGGTTCGTAGCATGCTGTATGCCCGTAGATCTACTTGAGGCATTTCAAATTTCTCAACCTCTGTACTGCGTACCAGACTAAAAGAGCCGAGCTGAGAATAGCCTTGCATAGTGGGATAGACTATTAAAACTATGGCGCTATCATTCCAGCGAAATATGACCAATCCCTGCACCCCTCGATCTTCAGGTCAAACAAGGGATGAAGTGCATACCCAGAACGCGACAGCTATCAAGCCGAGCCAATCACCGTACGCAGAGCCCTGGATAATCTGATCGAAAGCCCTCGGATCCTCTAGTCTTTGCCTAGATCCAGGAACAGATCTCAGGCACTCGAGAATGGATTTCCCGGCTTATTCCTTGTGCACAAGGCACAGCCCTTGCGGTCTCCCCTGTCTTTCAATTATATAAGATACTGACAATCTCGCTCTTTTTGTTTACACTCAAAATACGATTCAACTCAATTCACTCTTTATATGTCCAGTCTGACACAATGCGCCACAGTCCGTCAGTTTTAGCACTCGTTGCATTTCTTTTTACCGTCACTCAATCGGCCACATCTTATCCTATATCCACTAGTAAATGGGTCAAAGCTGATCAATTTGATGATAACAAGGCTCATGGATCATGGAGATCCTTTGAAAAGGATGGGCTCGATTTATTGCCTGGGCTGTCAAACGCCAAACATAACCCGGTGAGTCGCAATCTGGACATGCTGTTCTTCAAAGAACCATGATGTATGAAGTTGCTAACCTTGTCCTCAAATAGATCCCATCGTGGTCAAATGGCTATACGGCAGAACGAGGACTCGACCATCCTTACACATACAAACCCTCACCAGTCCTCGCCCCAGCAACGCTAGATATAATGCCTGAGCAACTGCACAACACGCAAGAACATGAATCAGGGTCCATTGATGGAGCCGAACAGAGACAAAACCACTATAGCGAACTCTTGAGCTACTTACACGCCAAAAACGCCCTGAACAAAGACCCCGGCCATTCTACACCTGCCTCGTTCTCTCTCGCATCCTCCGCAGGTCATTCTGTCTCCTTCTTTTCATACCGCCTCTCGTGGCCAACTTTGGGATCTAGCACCTCGACCATGCCTAGATACCCACTTCCGGGTATCTTTACAACGGTGATAATCCTACTGGCGATGGTTTGGATTGCTATCTTCACGATTGGATTGGTTGAACTGGGAAATTATTTCTGGGCACGAAGAAGAGAGGCACAAGGTGATGAGGAAGAAGTTGAGCATGGCGAGGAAGAAAGCGTACGCTTGGATAGTTTGAAGTCGGTGCCGTTCACGGTTATTTTTCCATCAAACAGAATCAGGTCTAATTCAGAAAGAGAGGAGGACGAATACCAGGTAGCTGTCTTCACCGACGCTGATTTGAATTCTGGTTCGAGCTCTGATGAGGATCATCAGCTTATTTGAAATTTCTATGGTTGTGCTGATTTACGGTGTCCGTGTTTGTATATGCATCTAAAGCTTTCTTTTAATATTATATGTGGCCATTTAACTGGAAGATGGAATGTAGTTGATGTGTGGCATTCATATTCTATCGTACAGAAGTAACCTTGCACCAAAGAAGTGATCATAGCATCGGCCCCAAACCGAGCTCCAAAATCAAACACGCTCGCTTGCTATCTCCAAAACCAAAAGACATTTTGAGCATTCGTCAAGTCATAAATTAGGCGCGCTGTTCCTCCAAGGCCGAGTAAGGTGTCTGACCTTCAGCAACGTTCTGACGGGGGCCGTTAGAAGAAGTCTCAGCGTTGCTGCGCTGGAACTTGTTCAGAGCCTCGCGACCAGGGTCCTGGTCGGTGCCGATTTCAGAGTTGAAACTGGCATTCTTGGCATCATTGGAGTGGAAACCACCCTCTGTAATGCCGCGGCCATCAGGCTTGGGGTGCTGGATATCGCCAGTAACGTCGTGGACGTAAGAAGGAGCCTGACCGGCGTTGTGCTGGCTACGGCCGCTGCCGCTGGCGGTAGAGTACTCGCCAGCGTTAATTCCCATCTCCTGCTTACTAGCGGTCGGGCCACCGGTGTAGCCAGACTGGGAGAGGTGAGTGCCGGGGAAGCTACCCTGGCCACCGAGGGCCTCGGGGTACTTCTGCTGGTCCTCGCGGTTCTCACGGAGACCGCCGACGGGGGCAGAAGGGAGAGTCTGAGCAGCGGAAGTATCGGTGTTGTTCACAGTGGACTGGTAGCCTGAGACGCCCATGGGCTCGGCACCACGGTTCTGGGAGAAGGCACCGCCCTGACGGACAGAGTCGGCGGCAAGAGAATCATTAGGGATAGGGCCTGCGGGCTCCTCAATGGGGTTCTGGGTGGCTTGAGGGTCGTTGGTGACCTTGGTGCTGCGGGCGCCGTGAGGAAGAGGAGTGCCTTGAAGATCCATGATGTTATGACGTTGTTTGGATGGAGTTGAAAGGAGATTTGGTATGTAATTAAGAGAAGAGTACTTTTGATCGTAGAAAGATTGGGTGTTAATTGATGATAAATATAGGCGGTGGTGATGGCAGGGCTATATAGGCAAGCAATGGGCTATGACCGAATCGCAATCGGTATCTGAAGCCCTTGGAAGCAGATAGTGACAATGAACCGTGACGTCATCTTTACACTGTTGATAATGTGAGATTCAAGATCAGTCAGTCGCAATGTCGTCAACCAGTCCGCTCAGGATGCTCTGAATGGCGGTTCGAGATGCCGACAGAAATATTAAAGTGGGACGAGGGCTCCCCACTGATATGATGTACCTGTGCTTCTGGAAGGCTGAAAGGCTGGAAGGCAGGGTACTAGAGGTCCACATGACCGGATTGGACTGAGATTATATCAAGGAGGCGACATTGACGTCAGGTCTAGACTCGTGCAAACAGATCAAACATTCTTATTTTCACGTCGAGGAGGTTTACTCTTAATGAATTTTGATTGATGGAATTGGCTTGAATATAATATCATTTATCTTACGATGTTATTGTTTAAGAATTCACTTAGCAGCTATAATAATATTAAGAAATTACATGTGCAGCTGTTGTGCACTGACGCTTCCAGACCCTACCGATCTATGAAATCACCCGTCGTGATCTGCACGGTTCAATGATTTACTTTGAGCACGCGACCATGGCGGAGTTAATTGATACTACGATAACATTACTGGCATGGTTGAATTGAAGATTGAAGATTTTGAATTCATTCAGTCGCTCATAATGACTTCACAAAAATGACTATCATATACATAATGAAATCCATAACTCATATTCATTTAACGGGTCGTAGCGTCAGAAGGGAGGTGGTCTAGTCCTTCAACACCCTGGCGGCCAATCTTGTCACCAGGGGCAGTGGTCTTGTGCAGCTCCTGGCCATCAATGCGGGCACTGCTGGCAGCAGTGGCGCCCTCACGAAGACCGCTGTTGTCAGGGGGGAACTCAAAGCGGCCGGAGCCAACAGCGGTAGTACGCTGGTCAAGAGAGTTCCAGTCGCTGGCTGTAGGGGGCTGGTCTGGCAAGGGCAGGTTGGCCTTAGTCTTCTCAATTTCGGCGGGCTTGTTGGTGTTTTGGTCAATGACAGACTTAAAGTCGGTTAGTGATCTAGCTTAGCTTGTGAATGGTACCACAAGAGTAACTTACCTTCATCTGGGAGACGTCGGAGTCGGCTGGGGGCTTGCCACCGTGAGACTGGGCAACCTTGGACTCGGCCTTGCGGATGTCCTGGCCAGTAGTGTGGTAGGTAGCGTCAGACATGATGCGGAATGCGAAGTTGAAGAGAGAATTAAAATTTTAAAGTAGTAGACTTTCAGAGGTAGTTGATTCTGTAGCGAAAAGGAAATGAAGGATTAAAAGGATTTATATAAGTTGCTTCTTTGTCAATGGCAAATATGAGTGACGTTTATACTATGACGACATCTGGGCAAGGACATGGATATGCCTCCCCCACCGGAACCAGCCATTCAATATTTCATCCTGGAATCTCAGATTCTGCCAGGGATCTGAGGCTGCCATCAGGCAAAGAATGGAAATCCCTGGGTCTCGACCTAGCGTCATAGCGGAGAGGAGGGGCCGCCCGAGGTGGCAATCTGCTGTATGATGCATCTTATCCCCTGATCACCGCTCGGATATCTCTAAAGAAGGAAGTAGAAAGAATTGAATCTTAACAGCTACTATGTCATAGTCCCGCTCAACATGCAATAGTCCAGTTGAACATGCAATTGATCCCTTCTTGTCCCTATCTGAAACCTGTAATCGGTCCATCTGTGACCGGACTTGAAATGAAGTAATTTTCACAGTCCAATTTTGTGTTTCTATACCAATGCATCCCCAATTTCAGTATCTTTGTCCCCGAGCAGATGGTGAAAAGATCAATGAATCTCACAGAAGACCCCGGTACCGACCACGTGATGGAGTATAGATAGTCAGAATGCATCCAAAAGTACTCAATTGAGCGAAGCAATTGAGCGAAGAGGCCACATCCATATAGTATAATCTAAAACCATGATAATGTCAGGCTTCAATTGTGTGCTACTCATGATATTTCGCAACTCGTGAGATAGAGTGTGCATTGGCAAAATATATGTAGCCACTCGCATGAAGAATATAAATGTGTAGCACCCAGCCTACATCCATATGCAAATTAGGCACTCTGTATTATGGAGCTTTCCAAAGTCCAACATTCCATTATCTCCCAATTGAAGCTCGAGTTAGATGTAGATGATGATATATCGGCGTCCTAAAGAGGCATAATGAATAATATGTACGACATCACCGCCTTCCTGTTTCACATGGCAGAAAATGTTTCTTATCGAAACCTCTGGACACCAAGACCTGTAGAGACCTGGTAAATCTGGTCTTTGTGTTTTTTGGAAGATCTTTCTGCTCGCCTTTACAAAGGTTCTTCAATATGCCTCGAGATCCGCTCATCGGGCTGGTGGGAAAGGTCCGTCATCACCCATCCATCGCACTATCACCCCACTGACCGCAGACGCGAGGGGCATACAGCCATCAAGTGGAAAGTCGACAACATTGAACAGTTTGACCGACGCAACTTCAAAAGTTGGTAAGTTGGCTTAATTCACCGACCTTTTGCGATCAAATCTAATATCTTGTCCTGACAGGAAACTTCCCGTACGTGCACTCCAACTGCTAGCACCCCGCTTATCGAAGTTACGCGCAGCTCTGTTGACACCTCATAGCTTCACAACCATTGATCCCCAACGAGCAATTGGATATCTCCAGATTGAATGTCCATGCGTGCGACACAATGTTTCAGATCGGTGCCAGCCCAACTACGGTGGTTGTCACGAAGGGCGACGCTCCGTTCCCATTGAGTTGCTAGATGTTGCTGGTCTTGTGCCAGGTGCGCATCAGGGTCGCGGACTTGGTAACAAATTCTTGGATGATTTGCGTCATGCCGATGCTCTGATTCATGTGGTGGACGTGAGTGGAACCACGGATGCTGAAGGTGAATGAGATGAGATTGAACATAACGCTGGATCGAGGTGTTGATTATGTCGTATAGGCAAGGCTACTCGAGGATATGATCCGTCAGTGGACATTGAGTGGTTGCGATCGGAGGTCGTGCGCTGGGTGCAAGGAAACTTGATGGAAAAGTGGTATGTTTGGGCTGAGAAGGAGACTAAGAAGTGATGCTGATACAATTGCTAGGGGATCTATTAAGCGAAGGCACGTTGCAATTAGTCAGTGAATCCTTGGATTATTCCTTCAATGGACTGGGACTAACACATAACAGAGTCAAACGCCGTGGACACATTACAAAAACAATTCGCTGGTTACGGAAGTACCTCGCAGACAGTTGCGCGCTGTCTTGATAAGACTGGCATCAAAGAGCCTTTGGAAGAGTGGTCAGATGAAACAGTAGAGGTCGTCGTCAATGCATTTATTGACGAAAAGTTCCCTACGGTGTTTGCCTTGAACAAGATCGACCATCCCGATGCAGACAAGGTACGGGGACTGGACGGGATGCCTTATTCATCATGCTAACATGAAACTATAGAACATTAGCAAAATTGCCAAGATGCAAGATCCTCAAAGCATTGTGCTTTGCTCTGCTATATCCGAAGTCTTCCTCCGCAGACTGGCGAAGCAGGAGTACATCAAATACGTCGAAGGGAGTGAGTTTGTGGATACACGAGAAGATTTGATTGAAATGGGCGAGCCAGATGGTGGTGGCCTCAAAGAGATGGACGAGAAATTGAAGACGTATGTTCAGCTTGATCTGAAAGCTTTTACATCTGCTGACCACTAAATAGCCGGGTTGAGAACCTGAAAGATATGGTGTTGTACCGATTTGGATCGACTGGAGTTGTCCAGTGTCTTTCTCGAGCAGCAGAGCTCCTGGGCCTCGTACCAGTGTTCCCGGTTCGAAACGTCCAAACGTTCAGCTCTGGAAATGGAACTGCCGTGTTCCGTGACTGCGTTTTGGTCAAGAAGTGAGTGAGCCTATTGATGCCAGACAGAGTCCCACTGACACTTTGTAGAAACAGTACAGTCGGTGATGTTGCCCGCAAGGTGATGGGTGATGTGCCTATCAACTATGTTGAAGGAGTTGGCGGAACCCGAGTCTCTGAGGAGGATATTGTCGCAGTCGGGAAACACGACGTGAGTGAAACAGTCGAAAGCAGAGTATTCTTGACTAACCGCCATCGCAGATTCTCTCGTTCAAGGTTGGTCGATAGACTATCCATTTATGTACAGCCTCCATGAAATGACAACATCAAGGGGAATGTCTTATGATCACCTCTTCGATTTCTGAATTGAACCAAAAGCACAATGTTACGTACAAGAATAGACTAGAACCACGCTGATTGAGCCTCAACCTCCTTTCTTCAAATTGGAAGATGGTCAGCAACGTGAACTCACACTGGGTGTTTATAACATACCTTCGCACGCTCATCATTCATTCCAATAATAGGCTCTGGTGCCTTGGGATGTTCCTCCTTGGCCTTCTTCCCATGCTTGCTTCCGCCTCTTTCTGTCATTCCTTGGGACTTGGTGTCATCGGCAACACCTTCATTCACCCTTCTCTCGCTCATACCGGTGACAGATGCATTGGCTGGTATATCCGCAGTATCACCCCTCTTCGTGCGTTTGACCGTATGTTCGTCAGCCGAGCTTCCCTTCCAATCTTTCTCCAAGGAGTAATATCGGATGTTCTTTGCACAAGGAATTGGCGGCAAAGCTGACTGTAACGGTAGAATAAGTCGCGTTGGCCTTGTAACAAGTCTTGAAGTCATTGTAAAGATGTGTAGTTGTTTAGTGAAAAAAAACCAGTTCAGATCCAACAGTCCAACTATATACATCGTTATGACGTCCTGCGGCAAAACTATTCGGGACAGGGCTTAGGGCCCGCCTTATCGATAAGATGCGTTCGTCACTTTCCTTCTTCCCCAACAACATGAGGCGCGAATATTTGCCGATCGAAACCCTGCCAGCTTGGCAGTGCCTAAATGGCATTGTCGCGAAAGGCGTCGCTTTCCAGAAACTCGGATCTAGCGAGTATGGCACCGACAAAGGTAGCGCGATCGTCGCGACTGAAGCTAAGTCCAGCGACGAGAACGATGCAACACCTGAGATCCTCCTCCAAATACCCTCCGATCTGGTTCTCTCCCTAGAGACAGTCCACAATTATGCTAAATCCGACCGGTATCTACACGATGTATTGGAGGCAATCGATGATTTCGGAAGAGTAAGAGTTACTTCACCCGGAGCTCAAAGGACTCCCTATCTACAACGGAAACTCAACTAAGATATGCAGACAGCTAGAGGCGCTATAATGATATTCCTGCTAGTCCAACTATCACACACCAGCCCCGATATCCGCGACAAACACGAGCATGTCGGCGTCTCCAACCCATGGACCGAATACGTCAAGTTCCTACCTCCGTCATTCCCCCTGCCCACATCTTACACGACGGAAGAACAGGAGTTACTCCGGGGAACATCACTTGCCGAAGCTTTAGATGCTAAGTTCATGTCTCTCGAGCGGGAGTTCGAGAATCTCCACCAGGCCACGGAGAGCATTAAGTGGTGTCAGCAGAGCTGGTGGGACGAGGAGAATGGCTCGTTGACGATTCAGGATTGGAAATACGTTGATGCAGCTTACCGGTCGCGCATGCTGGATATTCCTGGCAGTGGACTTGCAATGGTGCCTTGCATTGATATGGCCAATCACATGTGCGGGGACGGAGTGAAGGCGCTGTATGATGCAGACTCGAATGGGAACGCCGTTCTTCAGCTGCGATGGGGCAAGAGCCTACAAGCTGGAGAGGAGGTTACCATCTCGTGAGTTGCCCAGATATTCTCGTTTATTGCTATGATAACATGGCTGACATTACGTTGCAGATACGGAGACGAAAAGTCTGCTTCTGAAATGGTCTTCTCCTACGGATTCCTAGACAGCGCCATGACCGAAGCCAGAGAGATTTGTCTCAACATAGACATGCCAGAAGATGACCCTCTTAGTGTTGCAAAGCAGATGTTCTGCCAACAGAACCGGGGAGTCCGAATCACAGCCCAGAAGTCTGAAGAGCAACCAATTACATGGGAAAGCCCCCTTGTTTGGATAGCTTGTGTGAACGAGGAAGATGGGCTGAATTTCGGTCTCGCACAGACGATTGATGGCGGCAGGGAACTCGAAACTACGTGGAAGGGCGAACAGATCCAATCGCCCGATCATCTCCGAGAACTTCTCGCCGCTGATCCCCTGTGGGAAATCATCCGGCTTCGCGCTGTGGTGCTACTTCTTGAACGATTCGAGACCCAGCTCTCTCTTATGCAGGAGATGGAGGAAGTCATCGCTAACCTCCGCGAAAACGAAGAGGCTCTGACCTCGTTCTTCCGACCAGAGATCTTCGAGTTAATCACGCGGTTCCGAGGTCTCGAAGCCGATTTACTAGAGAAGGCGGTTGAAGAACTCATAAAACAGGTAAGTGATCTCATGCACCCAGCGTCTCAAGCTGGAACCCCGCCTCCCGCCTCCCCGCTAACTATATCCAGCGAACCGAGTTGTTGGGATCTTCCAGTGTCGCAGCTTATTTCAGCGAGCAAACGGGAGTGGCAGAAGAAGTCGAGGACTTTTCATGAAATAGGAAAGTCCAGACTGATGACATTATATGTATAGACACGTTGAGCCCGCTTAATTTAGTCTGCATCCGCATCCGCATCAAGCCAGGCGTCCCCAGATTCCCAAAAAAGATCCATCCAAGTATCCACCCCACCCTGAGTCTATTCGATGAGACGCCACACTATCGACACTAGCTTCACAATTGTAGAGAGAGAGAGAGAGCCCAAGTATGACGTCTAGACTATAACCCGAATCCACTGAACCAAAGGGGATCAGAATGATCTGCAGGGTCAGAAATGTATGCGGGGGAAATGCGGACGTTGGATCTCCGCTGGACCGGGGATACCAAGCCCTGAGTAATTAATGCATGGATCTGAGCGTAGAATCGGTAGATGTCGGCAGAGCAGTGAACCGCGAGAACGAGTATAATCTCAATATTGGAAATCAATGGAGAAGATCGCTTCACGACCCACTCACCGTCCATGGTTCTCATCATTTCTCGCGATTCTCTCGGCCAAAACTCGCTTGGGCTGATCCAAGTCTCTTTTCTCGCGTTGTGATAGGTGCATCTCGACTTCCCCGGTTCCGTACACGGCGGTTGCCACTGCGAATTTGGGGTTTGAGTTCGGGGCTTTGGGTTAAAAGTCTGGGGATGAGTTCAAGATGACTTCAGAGCGTTCACTGTAGTACTGGTCTTGTACTGGTCTTGTACTGAATTATGAGACCGATCATCGGAGTGCACTTTAATCACGGGGGCCTAATGCGCAACCCCTATATCCGAGCCGCATTCAAGTAGACTGAGTTTCACTAGAGCCAAATAAGTTACAGTAGACCGCGGAGAGTCTGGGGATCCATCAGATTACTCAGAAAGACCAGAGTAAGCAAGCCAAGTGAAGTCAAAATAGAGCGAGTTGATACGATTCATCCACGACTTCATTGGATCCCCCGTGTGTCCCCGGTTCCCACCTGACTCAGCAATTCCCCCATTCCCCCAGTTCGTCTCTCTCATTCTCACACACTTATACACTTCTATACACTACGCTATTCTTACGCTATTCTTATTGTCTGCTTGTCCTACAAGTAACGAAACCACTACATCGAACTCGGCCCATGTGCCACTCTGCCCAAAATGCCTGGTATCTTGCCCATGAAAGTGATCAAGGTCGGCGGCACTGGCACGCAGAGCCGCATCGCCCAAGCCTGCGACCGTTGTCGTAGTAAAAAGATCCGCTGCGATGGCGTTCGCCCCTGCTGCTCACAATGCGCCAACGTCGGCTTCGAGTGCCGAACCAGCGACAAGCTCAGCCGCCGAGCCTTCCCCCGCGGATATACCGAGTCGTTGGAAGAACGAGTCAGGAGTCTGGAGACAGAGGTGAAGGATCTGAAGGATCTGTTGGATGAAAAGGACGAGAAGATCGACGTCTTGTCAAGGATACATTCGTTCTCGCCTGCGTCGCAACGAGCGGCGTCGATGCGGTCTCCCTCGGCAGCCGCAACGTCCAAACCAAGCCCCTCAGAATCGCCGGAGGGCGTGATCCATGTAGAGCGATCGTTGAAGCGTCCATCCCCGCAGTTACAAAACCCGTACACGGGGTTTTCTAGCACTCAGGGATTTGCCGGTATGTGCCGCCGTGTCACGAGAATACCTAGGTACGAGCGATGGAGCTGACCAACTTGCGTAGATGTATTCACCGACAGACTTGTCAGTCAGGGAAAGTCCGCGACCAAGATTCCCACGGTGGCGCTGACCGCATTGTCTGCCTCGGTATCTCGAGGCAAACCGAGCCAAGCAGTGAAAACACCACCCCGCTTGGTCTCGGATCAACTGATCAACATCTTTTTCCAAGAGTGGGCTCCGCTGTACCCAGTGGTACATCGACCGACAATTTTGAAGGCCTATGAGCAGTATCTCAGCAATACCGAGTCTCTTCAGCGCGATGCCCATTCCATGGCACAGTTGAATTTAATCTTTGGTATTGCAGCGCTTTCTTCAATTGTGAGTTCAGTTGACTTGGATATCGCATGTATATGTATACTGACTTTCGCAGTCGAGAACCAACCAAGATCCGACCTTCTTTGAGGAAAACTGGTCGACTACCCTTGACTCATTCTCGGGCGAGACCTCCATGTCGAGTCTGCAGTGCTTTGTCCTTGGTCAGATCTATTGTATGACAAAGGGCGACTATCGCACTTTGCTTCGCTACCGCGCTCTTGGTGTGGATATTTGCCACCAGTTGGGCCTGCATGAGAACCTAGAGACGTCCACCAACCCTCTCGAAGACGAGACCCGCAAGAAGGTTTTCTGGTCTCAATATGTTCTGGATCGGTATGTCACATGCGCTACAAGGCGATGACAGTTTGCTAACATGTGCTAGTTTCTGCTCCGCCTTGACTGGAATGCCTGTTCTCTTGCGCGAGGACGACATCCAAATCGAATACCCGGTTGATGTGGACGATGAGAATGTTACCGAGACTGGTTTCTTGCCAACACTCCCTGGGGAGTCCACCCGTATCTCTAGTGCTATTGCACTTTTCGGAGCTTCCAGAATCCTGAACCAGGCTTTGGAGGATATGTTCTCCTCCAAGTCTGAATACGATGTCTCTGTTTCAAAGATGCGCTCGGTTGCCGGACAGTTGGATGAGTGGCTGCAAACTTTGCCTGCCCATCTTCGTCTCGAGTTTAGTCAGGACAAGCCCAGCACAAATGTCACCAGCAGCCGTTCACCTCTTCTGGTAAGTTATGTCCTTACTTCAGACAGGCAGCGATACTGATCCTTTATAGTCTCTTGTCTACTACTTCATCAGGTCTTTGATTCACCGTCCGGCTGTGTGTTTCGCAGACGAGAGCCTCAGCTCGCCGTCCGTCCTGGCATTGTCTGATTCGGCCAAGCACATTGTTCAGATTCTTGAACTTCTCGATGAAAGACGGCTCTGCCTCTCTTTCAGTATTAGCCGCAAAGAGTTGATATTTTTCGCTGGACTTGGGCTTCTGTGGCAAATGCTTGGTGTGAAACGCGAGAGCAAACTCGCCAAGGAGACCCAGAAGATGCTTGGTACCGCTCTGGGACAACTCCAAGCCGACTTCACTGAGGCAGCAGCTGAATTCAACACCTTGTCAAGCACTTTGGTTTCATTGGACGATGGCAGACGGTCATCGTCCGACAAGGCTTCCAGCGAAATGGTTGCGCCGACACACAAGCCACACAAGTCTCCCAAAAAGCACTTACAAGCTTTGAAATCGCGTCTTACCAACGCCGTTCGCGAACAACCAAAGCAAGACTCGCCTCAAGCTTCCCGCCGAAACACCATCTCGGGCGCAACTCCACCGCTCGCCGCCCAATCCCTTCGCTCACCCAGCTGGAGCAGCCTCCCCCCTGCACAGCACGATCATCTCGCCCCTCAATATGACCACTCTCCTCTTGACCTCGCGTCAGCGCCACTGAACTACGAACATCACCGGTCATTGTCTTGCTCAACACCCTCCGACCCAGCCACCGGTGCTATCACCATGGCCGACTGGGAATACGTACTCAGCGACATGGACCGCGGCTACTCCAACATCTTCACAGGAATTTACGGCGGCAAGGACTGTGGTGAAGACTCCGGACCCTTTGCTTCAATCACAGCTGAATGCAGCCGGAAACCCATGGAGGCCCCGCTAGCCATCCCGCCACCGAACGAACTCCAGAATTTGTCGCCGGAGTCCTGGTCAGCCAGCAGTGGCGAATTTGCGCCCGCGCAAGAACATACGACGCAGAGCGTCCTCAGTTACTCAGGCGAGAGCATGGGAAGTATGGATGACACCTTGGCCCCGTACACAGATGTCAAGGTCTATCCCGAGGACATCAACACACTGGATCCATTCAATGCTTTCACCATGCCAAGCGAAGACAAAACCGACGACGGATTCGACGAGTTCTCACTGGTAAATGGATGGGACCGACGGCTGGCCGTTTGAATGGTTCTAGTCGAGTGTTATTTCGAAAGGGTTTAGCAAGGATTTAGGGATTTGTTCTAATGATACCTGTGGCGTTCAATGTTTGATTTCTGTCTGTTATTCACCTTCGTCTCTCTTTGGAAATATCTGCTTTTAACATTGTTGTGGCTGGCATGCCTGGTATATAGCCTCTGCTATAGCGAGGATGGCTAGGTATTGCCTAGGACTCGCGTATATATGGATGAAATTGATGACTTGAATATGCAATTTGCTTACATGGGCGGTGGATTCTACTACCACGCTCGTCTGCAACAGCTAGGTTGGCTCGTTCATGACAACATATTGTACACGCGTCCAGCACTTGAAAAGAACTAAGCAATGTTGGAGGTGGGTCGTGAAAGCTTGACCAGTGTCTGCAAGGCACTTGGGTCTGGACCCGCTGGATTAACAAGCACTCGACATATCTTCATACAACTAGCAAGTTCGATACAAATTTGACGTCATAGTCACTCGAATGACTCGGTCTTCAAATATCCGGCTGATTTGAAGACCAAGGGCCTTTTAGCGTGCAGCGACTAAATTGGTGGAATTGACGATCCCATATTGCGGCGAACATAGATTTGTTAATCGCTCATGGAGTAAGCAATTGTTTTCTACTTGGACAAAGACCTAGTTTGCGAAATTGAAATGATTGAGGTACTAGAAGAGCGAGGTACGAGTTAGTTAGGTCGCAGACTTGCAATGCATATCTCAAAGTGATAGTTCACTGACCATGACCTCGGATATTCTACCACAAGGCTTACCCAGACGAGTCGATCTGACAAACCCTGTTTCAAGGATCATCTCTTTTCGTTACTTACAAAGCTGAAGCTGCGTCTAACCTGATTCTCCAGGGCGATCCTCTGCTGGTTGGCATATAGTGCCGGCTTGTCGTTATGCATGGACATGGCGTCTATAAATTGGCTCTCCCTGCTCACAACACATAGGTCACAAAGCATACCATTGTTAAATCAATATGTGGAAGCTTGTATCTTGTCTCGCGTTGGGCTCTTTGCCCTTCGCATCTACTTCACCAATGCCTTCCCCTGCCGGGGCACCTACTGCAAGTCATCCAACCTCTCTGACCCATACTCCGTACTCTGGGAAACCAACCACCACTGGTGCTCTTACTGCTTCTTCCGTTGGCATGGGTATTGTCGAGTCTGCTAGTGTAGCTCCGGAGGAGACCACGTACTCTAGCAATGGCAAGCTCAATGATGCAGAGCCTGCTCCGTACACTCCAGCTGGTGGTGTTGGAACCGATGGCTCAATACCCGTCTACAATGTCAAGAGCGATTTTGATTATGAATCTCTGGTAGGTTGATTCCTCTCGCCAGGTTTATACCCCCATATACTAATGGCTGTAGGCTCTTGCACTATACCAAGAATGGATCGAGCTCGACCTATTCCAGGACGGTCTCCGCAGATTCTCCGCAAAGGACTTCGAAGAAGCCGGTCTTAACGCCGCCGACCGCCAGCTGATCGAGTTCATGGCCGAGCAGGAAGTTGGTCATGCCACCCTCATAAGCAACCTGCTCGGCGCCGAAGCACCCCGCCAGTGCCAGTACAACTACCCCTACACCACCGTACAAGAGTACCTAGACTTTTGCCAGAAGCTCACGCGCTTTGGCGAGTCTGGCGTGTACGGATTCCTGGCTCACCTCGATTCTCGCGAGGCCGCTACTCTGTTGACTCAGTCAATCACCACCGAAGCTCGTCAGCAGATGATCTTCCGCCAATTCGAAGGCCTCTTCCCTATGCCTGTATGGTTCGAGACAGGTGTGCCGCAGTCATGGGCTTGGTCCCTCCTAGCACCGTACATCGCCTCGTGCCCAGCTGACCAGACCCGTCTGGTCTGGGAGAACTTCCCCGGTCTCTGGATTCTGAACCAGCCAGCCGTCGGAATGGAAAACAACAGCAGCTACCGTAATACATTGGATGCAGGGATGAACGTGGCACGAGCCTCCAACAAACAAAATCCAAACTCAAAGAATGGTGTCTCAGGTGCAAGTGTAACTCCAAAGGACTACTCGCCGCTAAGCTTCCCCGGTCGCCGCGTTGACCTGCAGTGGGAAATGCCCGGCAAGACCGTTGGTCCGAACAATAGCTATGTGACATCTTCGTCGGCCGGCGATGCCAAGTATGTTGCTTGGGTATCACAGCTGAACGTCACCTACACGCCTTTGCTTGGTGGGAATGGCTCCTATGGCCATACCTTCCAGCCTGACCTTGAAACCTATGAGGGTGACCCGGTTATCAATGGAACTATGTTCATTGCGGTCACTGACTCAGATCCGTTCCTGACACCATTCAACTTGAGCATGATTAACTTGCATGTTGTCTCTGGTCCTGCTCTGTATCAGTCTGGTTAATTTATGTCAAACTCCCAAGAAGGGATTTTGTGTAGGTTTGGAATGCGTGAAGGTTATGCCATATTTCAATTGTATAGAACACGTGAATAGGTATACATAGAGTACAAAGAAAGTTCTATTAAAGACCGATACAGCCAACCTATGGAGGTAGGGTATCACAAGACAGATACAGTGTATCCAAGCAAATCAGCTGATACAAAAGAGGACCTCACTGCTTCCGCATGCTGGAGTTCTCATAGTGCACATCAAATTTCCGAGTAACACTAATACCATAAGGACCAGCATGAGTAGCCAAGCGCTGTTCATCCGAGCTAACAGACTCAACATCGGTTTTAGCCAACTTAGAGTCAAAGTTATTATTAACTTGGACAGTATGCGTCTTCGTGCCGAGCGCGTCCATACTGTAAGTCCCGTTGTTCACTGACTTGAGTCCAAGACGGTTGAAGGTTCTCCTCGGATGAATTGCCATACTTTCGATCGGCGGATGATCCCATCGCCGGAGCGATAGCGGCGATAATTGTTTTAAAGAATGGCATGTTGGCACAGACAATTGCTAGTTGGGGTTCTAGCACTGTCCACAGAATAGGATCGAGGAGGGTATATGTTGGATCGGTGAAGTCCAGTTTGGTGATTGAGATGAGACGGACCACACTGATGACCGAGATGCTAAAAAAAGAAATGAGGCATTAGTACTTGTATCATTGAAGGTGTTAGTTAAACTTACACAACACCAACACCAAACACGGAGGTAAGGCCAATCTTCTTATGAACATTGAGCTTCAACTTCCAGACATGAGGCAGAGGCAATGAAATAACCATCAAATCGGTGACCACATTCATAACACCAGCAACCATGAACGCAGCCGGACGATTACCGCAAGTGTCCTTGATCGTGATGTCCTAGTTGTACGTAAAGGGCCGACAGAGCAAGAAGGCTTCGAGAATGATAATGGTGACCCAGGCCCATACAATGAACAAAGAGATCGAGACTGCAACGTTGAAGCTGGGCTTGGCTCCAAAGATGCGAACAAAGAAGAGAGCGATGGAGGTCTTGACTAGACCAAGGGAAGTGCCGTAGGTGATTTCCACCGAGAGGAGGGACTATATTGGTCAATTCTGGTTGTGAAAATGGCAGGGCGTGTTTAAGTATACCTTGAGTGTAATAATGAGGGCTTCTGGAGGGAGATCGGCTGTATGCCGACCCATACCTCCATAAATGGTCACTGTAGTCCTGTTAGAATTTAGGTTGAGAAGACGGAAAGAGGAGCGTACTGATGTAGAGCAAGGACATCGCGCCATACATCAAAAACTATGCGATTTTTTAAAAAGGTTGACCACCTGAAAGATGAAAATAACATACCACGCCAACTAAAAGAAGGTACTCAGACAGTCCAGGCCTCAACCCCCTCAGATGCATAGCATATAGACGCAAAACAGTAGAAAGGGTAGCTAAGTCACCAAAAACCGCCGCAGCGATGAGAGGGCCCTGGATAGATGACTGACTAACATCATACTTCACAGACATGGTAGCAACATTCCCAGAACATCACAACGAACTCTGAAAAGAGCCACGATGCTAATTATATAAAGGCAGTCAACACCTGGCGTGCAGGACAGCCAGACCGTAGAGAACTACAGCCGATCCACTTTTCTCGTATTCCCATAGCGTGGCCATCTGTAACAATAGATGCAACAGGGTCTGTGAGCCTTTAGCAATGCCCAAAAATGAGATTTTCTACTAGTGCCCGCGCTCGTCTGACATTTCCCCACAAGGAAGCCTTTCTAGAATTCGATCTGATCGTGAGCGAAGTTCTCGTATACTATTTTCGCCGAGCTCGGCCTTGTTCCGTTTTTTATAGTTGGCTCTGACGGCGCAAAGTCTGGTTCGTGGCGTTCCAAGGCTGATTTGTTCTATACGTTGGGGAGATGGATTCATGGGTATATTATTAGGTATCAATCGTCTAATTCGACACGATTCAGTATGTGCTTTTGGAATTAAGAATTGTTTGTCGAATAATTAATCCAGGGGCATAGATCAGGGTGTAAAGCTAAGTGGGGGGCCAAGGAAAGATCCCCACGCGGCGTGCGGCTGACTTGGCGATCTAGATCGGATATCCATATGGTTAATAGGGATAAATAGCCACACAATAAGTCTCTATGACTAAATCTCTTGCCACGTTAGGTCCAAGCTAGACAGTCTATATATTAGGAACGGCTTGATAGGTGTCAAACTGCCGCGGATAAGGTCTCCATGTTTACGGATCTTCACGGACCTTCCGTATCTTCTTCGTGTCGCTCTGTTGTTGATCATGGTAACGCAATACAGGGGCGATAAAATTATCATTTGGTGGCATTTTAAGATTCAGGTAGGGAGGTTGGTTGAGACACTCTACCCCTGAAAGATCCAAGTGTGGGTAATGTGGATGGTGCGCATAGCTACGAGGCGTACCATGGCATTGTGTTTTGTGCTTTGCGAAAGAGGGAAGCTATGAGCCTCGGCTTTATCTGCAAGTTCTTGGTGACACGAGCTGTGCTGAAGAAATGGCCAAACATCTGGACGATCTTTTGCCTGCCACGTAGTGTTCTTATATTTGGGTATGCTTTCTACTTGTGTTTCAGTGGGCTCTAATTGGTATTGCTAGGGAGGTACTCGATTATAGACTACCTTCAAAATAAAGGTATGATTAGGCAAATTTAAGTTGCCAACTAAACGTGTGGCGATTGCTCACTATGGACAATGGTAAGTAAGTCTCCACGGGCCAGCCCTGCCTTGGACAAATTATGTAGACATTAATCGGCCAATCAGGTTCATTATGCTTTAGAGAGTTCACTGGGATTTTAGAACTGGAAGAACTACCGCCGGGTCTTTCTTAGGCTGAATGCCTAGGTTGGATGGCTAAAGGTCAGGGGTATTTATCTCATTGCATATATTTCGTATAGCAAACCTAGAAAAATGAAGTCCCGAAGAAGGCAAATATGACTTGGGTACTACCCAGAATATACTATGACCAATCACAAACTCGCCTGGCGCCTCTAAGCCGCTGTGTCAGCGGATGATCAGCAATTTCAGTACTGTGTGGTCAAAAGTAGAAGTACATCAAACATCACGGAGCGTACATTGCAAGACACGGAAATCTGCTCACTCCGACAATGATGTTACAAAAGCTATATATCATCTTCCTCCCATCCCTGGTCATCTCATTTGGCTAATTCAACCCTAGCGAGGATGTGGCCCTTCACAAGAATGAAGCCGGGCTTTTTGCCCGCCATCATAGTAACATTTGTCTTGCTGCAGCTCCTGGTCCTACTGAACATGTGTTATATCCATGCCACGCAGTTCCAAAGTCTTACTCGCTCTCATAACTTCAAACTTCTGTATGTCGACTACGACGAAGGCGTCATCGGCAAGTCGGTTTCAGACGCGTACCAGGATCTTCAAGGAGACAGCTTTCCAACTCTGCATCAAGTCGCCTCCGAAAAATATCCGCAGCCGAGCGATATTCGAGATACGGTCTGTCGTGGTGAATATTGGGGTGCCATTTATGCCAAGTCAGATGGATCAGCTAATTTGACATCTGCATTGGAGTCTGGTGCTTCCACTCCAACCTCACTCGCCTATGTCTGGAACGGAGCGAGATATCCGGTCTTTTCACAATCAGTCATCTACAGCAACCTCCTGAAACTGATTCAAACCACGCGATCAACATACTACGACAACAATGGATCTGCAGTGGCTGCAACTGCCAACTTCTCTACACCAGCCACACTCAAAGCATTCAGCGACCCCATCCGAGCCGAGCAAATCAACATCAAAGAGACAGAAGAGGGAACACGGGTATTCTACAACACCATCTCCATGGCAATGCCCATAGTCCAACAATTCTTCTACATGCTAGCCTTGAATGGAATCGGATCCGTTTTCAACGCATTCACGAAACTATCCTGGCAAATCAATGCCCTGCTTCGCATGTCAGTCTCAATACTCTACACCTTGATTGGAGCCCTCTGCATGACAGGCTATATCTGGGCATACCGCGAAACGTGGCACCAAACAGGAAGCCATTTCGCTCTAACCTGGATGATCCTCTGGTTACTTATGCACATCAACCTCCTATTCTTCGACATAACCACGGCCTTCGTCGAGATTCAATGGATGCCATACATCGTTCTGACATGGGTGATCCTCAACGTCGCCACCACAATTGCACCATTTGAGATGAGTCCTGCCTTCTTCCGTTGGGGATATGCACTTCCCTCCCATGAAGCATATCAGGTTCTCATGCAGATTTGGTCGGGCGGATGTAATAATCGGCTGTACCAGGCTCTTCCAATTATGTTCTCGTGGTGGATTATTGGAGTTCCTACCTCTGTTTTTGCGATGTATCATCGTTGCAGAAAGGCTGTGGCTCAGGTTGAAATCTCCGATCGTGAAGCTCAGGAAAAGAATGCAGCTGCTAATCAGACTGCAACGGTGATTCATGGCTCTGATCGTAAATGGCGGGGACATGAGGATATGGCACAGGCTCTTCCTGTTCGATGATTCGATGATTTCACTGAAATGGGATATTTGACCAGTGTTAGGTTAATGGCTGAAAGTTTAAAAGGGAATATTGGCAGGATTTTCTGGTTTTGATGGAGCAAATAGGGGGTCGGTTTCTGAATATTAGTATTATGAACCATGATATTGACGGTATGCATTAGAGAAGAAAAGAATGAGATATCCCTGCGGGTTTATATCATATTTTAGGTCGTTCAACCATGTTGTTCTGCATGGGGCCGAAGTTGCCGAAGTCCCGCATGTCACGGCCTTCGCGATCTTCGCCGTCATCTTTCGGCGTCCCCTGCAACCCAAGATATTGAGACAGATTGCAGACCAAATGCATCCAAGAATTGGCGGAATCACCGGGAAAGTCATCTCCAAGCGAGGCCTGTACCAGGGACATGATTCGACCGGCGGTCAGTGGAGGCGAAACCCAAGCTTTGTGGCTGTGATATTGGCTGCCACCGATTTCATCACTCGATGCAGTCAAGGCAGAGTACGAATTGTACCCCGGAAATGATCACGAGGTGCCAGGCCGACACTTCCGCGCCACCCACTGGTCCAACCTGGAGATTCCAGAGAGTCTGGAGTCGTGGGTGCCGACCCACGGGTGGGCCGGTTGACCTGCCAAATACGAGGCCATTTCCCCAGATTCTCTCGTGGCTTGCGGACATAACCGCCGGCTGTGAAGCGCCACGCGACTCGAGAATCAAGGTGTCATCGTTTTGAACTTTGGCGCACTGCATCAGACCGTCATGGTTCACTGTCCAAAAAATGCAAGACTCTGGGCTTCCGTCAGTGCCTACTGCCCAGCCTTGGCTGACTTGGTCAGGCACAGTATAAGAAGGAGATGACCCAGCACTTCCAGGAAGAGATGGAAAACTCTGTTATCGAGTAGATTCTGCTATCAACGCTACTCACTGGCACTATGTTCAAGAAAGTGTTTCGGAAACGTCCGCAGGACCTCTATGCGGACTCTGAACTCCATAGAGAGTCGTTCTCTACCCATGGCGAGAAAGGACCTGGTGATGTCGTGGACACGCCCGTCCCGCTGTTAACATGGCGTTCATTCACCATGGGCGTCTTCGTCTCGATGGGAGGTTTCCTGTTCGGTTACGATACTGGTCAGATCTCGGGTTTCCTTGAGATGCCCAATTTCCTGCAACGATATGGCGAACTTCAACCTGATGGCACTTATGGATTTAGCAATGTGCGCTCAGGTCTCATCGTAGCTTTGGTAAGTCTCGTCTCGATGGTCAGTTTTTCACATGCTCATGATGTCTAGTTATCTATTGGCACCCTGATGGGAGCTCTGGTCGCTGCCCCAATTGCCGATCGCGTTGGACGGAAATGGTGTATCAGTGGCTGGTGTGGAGTGGTGTGCGTTGGAATCACCGTTCAAATTACCTCGCCCAGTGGCAAGTGGTACCAGGTCGCCATAGGCCGTTGGGTCGCTGGACTTGGCGTCGGTGCTGTTTCACTGCTCGTGCCAATGTATCAAGCCGAGTCAGGACCGCGTCATATTCGAGGATCACTCATTAGGTATGTCTACCAGATCTTTGCACGGAACTTTTTCTAACTATCCACAGTACCTACCAGCTGTTCATTACCCTTGGAATCTTCGTTGCCAACTGCATCAACTTTGGAACCGAGGCCAACGCCGACACTAGCTCATGGCGTATTCCCATGGGCATCACATACCTCTGGGCCATAATTCTTGGTACTGGCATGCTGTTCTTCCCGGAAAGTCCGCGTTATGACTACCGTCATGGCAAGGTCGAGAAATCCATGAACACCCTTTCCAAGATCTATGGTATCCCTCGCAACCACCGTGCTCTCCATATCGAGTTTGATGAGATCAAGGATAAGTATGAGGAGGAAGTGCGTAATGGAAAAGCTGGTTGGATACAACTGTTCCGGGCTCCGACCATGTCATACCGGGTGGCTGTTGGTGTCGCCTTGCAAGCTCTGCAGCAGCTGACAGGTGCCAACTACTTCTTCTACTATGTAAGCTCTCCGGATTTATCACTGACAGACCCAACTAACACCACCCCAGGGAACAACCATCTTCCAAGGTGCCGGTATCCAAAACAGCTACGTGACCCAGATGATTTTGGGCGGCGTAAACTTTGGAACCACCTTCCTTGGCCTCTACCTGATTGAGCACTACGGTCGCCGTCGTTCTCTAATTGCCGGCGCCCTATGGATGTTCGTTTGCTTCATGATCTTCGCTTCAGTAGGCCACTTCCTACTCAATCGCGATGACCCAGAATCAACCAAAACTGCCGGTGTGGTAATGGTAGTATTCGCCTGTCTGTTCATCCTCGGGTTCGCAAGTACATGGGGACCAATGGTCTGGACCATCATCGCCGAGCTCTATCCATCCCAATACCGCGCGAAGGCTATGTCACTCGCAACAGCATCAAATTGGCTCTGGAACTTCCTCCTTGCATTCTTCACCCCGTTCATCACCGACGCAATTGACTTCCGCTTCGGATACGTCTTCGCAGGATGTCTATTCCTCGCCGCTGGCTTGGTATACGTCGCCGTTATAGAGGGACAGGGCCGGACCTTGGAGGAAATTGATACAATGTATCTGATGAAAGTCAAGCCATGGAAGAGCTCTAAGTTCGAGTTCCCTGCCGATCCGAACATCATCCGTGGTTCGTTTGATAAGGGAGGTGATCAACCAGCGTCGGCTCATATTACTGATCCTACTACTGAGTTGCGTGAGGATGGGACAACTGTACCGGAGACTGTGCCTGAGACCCGTGCATAGGCGCCAGGTGGATGGATGTGATGGGAATGGAAGTTGTTTGGTCAGCTCATTAGAGCCTGTTCATGTATTTGTACTTGTGTCAATTTGTTGCTATATTTGGTATATCGTTGAAGTGTTTCTATCAAGGACCTAGTTTACTACTCGCTAGTAGCAGAAGTTAAAAAGATATATGCTATCAGTCCTATTCCCATTCTTATCCAATTTTACCTACTTTTTGACGAGAATAGCATCCAAGTATTCTGTCATCTCATCCACGTCCCCTAATTCACCAACCCAACCAATATACTGATCCGGGCGAACAACCACCAGAGCCCCAAGGACCCAATCGACTCCCCATTTCTCATATGCTGTCCCATCACAATACCGGTCAAAGATGCAAGAATCATCACACCAGATCTTGTCATAGGCCCAGCCTCGAACTGCATCCAAGGGGTGTAGAATTTCCGGGAAATCAAAGAACTCGGCTTCCTTCCACGGCACACTGTGAACGGTGACAACATCGAGAGGACTGTCATGGCGACCAGCAATCGAGACATAGCGATCTAGGGGGGATGGCTTGGATGCGAATTGTCCAGTGAGAACTTGGCACAGTGTCTCAAGGCGTCCTCTTTGCATCGGATTTCGTACATCTCCAGCCAGGACAAGAATGCGGAATCGTCCATCACTCTCCAACAGCGTAGTTGTCCACTTAGTACCACCTTCAGCCTGATTGCGAAGCTTGACTGGCTTCAATCTCTCCCCGGGAACAATATATCGAGCAACAGCCTCAGAACCAGGCTTACAAACAAGACAGCTGCCAGGATAAAACACCTTCCACCCATCAGCGAAATCCTCAAATTTCCCAGCAATATCAAACATAGCAGCAGCCTTGGTATCCTTCTCCTCGGGGCTTTTCTGATCAATGAACATAGGCGACCAATGCCGATCAAAATCAACTAACATCTCTGCCAGCGGATGTCGCTCAAGATCATAAGTCATCAGAATCGAAGGCTGAACAGTCCCCGCAACCGCAAGCGCAACCTTCCACCCGAGATTAAACCCATCCTGCATACTCATGTTCATACCAAGGCCCATCTTAGGAGAATGGGTATGTACTGCATCACCAGCAAGGAAAATGCGATCCCCTTTCGTGAACTTGCTTGCAATTCGCTGGCCCACTTGGTAAACAGTCCACCAACTACAGGCTTGGAAGTCAAATGTGAATGGGGAAAGGATTGCTTGCACGCGCGTACGGATCACTTCTGGGGTTATTGTCGAACGGTCGAATCGAGTTGTCGAGCCTGCTTCGCAGACGTGCACTGGGACATAGAAGCGGACAAGGCCTCGTTCGCGCGGGATTATGAGGATTGTGCCTGCAGCGTTGCTGACGATGCTTACACGACGGATGTCCGCTGTGATTCTTCAATTAGTGAATGTTGCTAGAAGCATTGGGTTGAGACATACGGAAATCGCTGATAGGTATCACATCTATCACGCCCCTATACTCATGTCAGATGAAAGTAGGGACAGAGGTAATGAGCGATACTGACCAGATATGGTCCGTGTTGGAACCCTCCACCGGAATATCTAACTGTTTCCTCGTCCAGCTGTGGGCGCCGTCACACCCAATTAGATATTTGGCCCTGACAATCTCGTCCTTTGACTCAAAGTTACCCCGCTGGGCCTGGTCATTCCAATCATCGGGAAGCAAATAGTGACGCTCCGACTCTTTGCGAGTAGCGCCAGAGGCAGATTGGCTGTGGTTATATAGCGGGTTCAGAGCTTCCTCTCCTTGACTGCGGAGCTTGACTGTGATAGGGTATGAATTTGGGTCATTCTCCAGGTTCTCGTCGTACTCCAGGGACTCAGCAATGATACCTCGCTCCACCTCAAGGTCGGAGTGTTCCTTGATACTATCTAGAATGAAACGCTCAATGCGGCCTTGGTTCAGGCGTGTGTTGTGGTACGGTGACTCATCTGGTCTGGATATGTTGAACGGACCTTTTCGAGCGAGTTTCCCTCCCTCACCAGGTACCTGTTTGACCAGTGGATTGTCAGTTTGCGACCCAACTCTAAGAAAATAGAATTTTACAAACCCAGAAGTTCGCTTCTGTCGAGATGGACCCCTCCTGCATGACCCGATGCTGAAATCCCATGCTGTCAAACAACTCCAGTGTGCGAGGACGCAGCCCATCCGCATGACCAACGAACACCTTCGTGCTTCGCTTGTCAATAACACGCGCCTTGACACCACAGCGAGCCATCCAGTACGCAGCCATGAGGCCGGACGGACCGGCTCCAACAATCAAACTACGAAGAACGGTTAGGAAAGTCACGTCCATAATGGATAAGTACCTTACACATCGATTCTGGATTCCACGGACACGTCCTCATCATCCATGGCCTGTTAGTTATCTCAATATCTGATTAAAAGCTGTGTAATGACAGAATATATAAGAGAGAGGAGCTACAATGGCCACTCATCGAAACCGAGGTCCTTTTATATCGGAATACTAGACCATGCTGTGCTACGTGAATTTGATCTCAGGTCACTTGATGCAAAAAGACATGCTGCAGGCTGACTCCTCTCGCGAATGGTGTTGGTCATGAGAAGCTGAACCTGAGTCTCTGCTACAGCTCTCCTATGCAGAGGGCGAGATATACTTCCTCGTGAACCAGGAATGCAGCGGTGCCCCTTGACGAGCTCGGATACCTGATTTAGTCACTAGGCTTCTGGACCCAACGCTGGATGTCACTTTTTCTTGTGCGATGAACATACTCATTGTATGAGCTGAAAAGCGCGTTGTTCAACCTCAGCGGTGGCATCCCCGGAAGTTCCGCTTACAGCCGGAGGCGAGGCTCCCGAGTGGCAATTGATTCGGTGATTCGGTGATTCCGAGACCTTAATTGTTTTATCATGGAACAAGACATGATCTGTTCGATGTGATTGTCCACTCCAAAGCCTGTATATTCGAGCGGGAGGCTTTTTCTCATTTGATGGCGGGTATTCCGCCCCCCCCCCCCCCCCCCCCCGAGCATCCCTGGACGACGTGCACAGAACAAGGGTTTGGTTCCACAGAGATAGGATGGGCTTTGACAGAGAATTTTTATCTGTGTCTGATTAGTATTGTAGATTGTCATTCTCTTCTCTTCAATGCTAGTGAGTATTCTATAGTTGACATAGTATCGATATACTTCACACGTGACCCTACTACACCCATTCGGGCACACCGGGGCAAAACGTTCAAGTTCCCAACGTCTGGAGATGACCAACCTGGTGGGGACGACGTCCAGATGCAATTTTCTGGATTTTGGACCGGCATTGGGCCTTTACCGCCAGGCGTCAATCGGATTGGCCACATAGGGAAATCCGAGATGCATGAACAACCTCTAGAGGGGCGACTACATGCCACTATAGTCCACTATCTTCCATTACATCCCACCTATTGCTCAGACGACCATCGGCACGGGCATTGAGCGGTTGGGAAATCGGCTAATTTCAGATGGAAAGCCCGGTTGTGACTTCGGAGCAGGGTCCTCCGGGTGGACTGCCGGTGTATAGGAGTGGGATGAGCGGAAATGTATTGGAGATGTGGATACGGTTATCAAGTCAGACGGAGCATAACGCTCCTGGTAGCTAGAGAGTACAGTACTGTTGAGGTATATTCAAGTTGAGTACGGAGGGAGTAGAGAGCAAGTGTTGGAAGCTCTTGTCTGCAGCTCACGGCTGAGTCAGCACATGATGCAATTGACTTTGGAAGTAAAGCAATGGAGAACGAAGAGAGTAAAGAGAACCACGAGGCGGACAATCAGAAGCAATTGGACTTTAGCCTGTAAAAAGAAAAGACTCGAAATCCACGTATTACTGACTGACTGATACATGAAGCTGCGAGCCAAGCACCCCCCCCACCGACATCATACCCCACCAACAAATACGTCCCCCCTCCCTCTTCTTCTCTTCTTCCATCCCTTCCTCCCAACCTATCCTCTACTTATACCACATATGTATGTCCTTCGCATTGCTTTCTTCTTCATCTCTAACTGTTATAGAATCCGCCATCATGGGTTACACTGATCTGGACCAGTTGGCTATTAACACCATTCGTGTTCTGGCGGTAAGCCCCTCCGGAAAAGTCGGCGAGCTGCGAACTTGCCATTGCCATCGCAATGATAGCAAATGCTTCAATGCGCTTCAATTGAGCTTTATCGCTGATGTTCAACCAGATTGATGCCACCTCCAAGGCCAACTCCGGTCACCCCGGTGCCCCTATGGGCATGGCCCCCGTGGCCCACGTTCTGTTCAACAAGTTCATGAACTTTAACCCCAAGAACCCTGACTGGGCCAACCGTGATCGTTTCGTTCTCTCGTATGTCCCGTTCCCTATATGAATCCAGCCCGTGGGTTCCGCGCAGCTCTTCTCAGTCGGTGGCGGCCGCTTCGACCAATCGCTAACGCCACATCCAGCAACGGCCACGGCTGTATGCTCCAGTATGCTTTGCTCCACCTCTTCGGCTACGCTCTGTCCATGGAAGACCTGAAGCAGTTCCGTGTATGTACCCCCAAGCCCATTTAGGATAGGCTTTTGCTGATTTTCGAAGCAAATTGACAGCATCACCCCCGGCCACCCCGAGGCTCACGACACCCCCGGTATTGAGGTCACCACTGGTCCTCTCGGTCAGGGTTTCGCCAACGCCGTTGGTCTCGCCATGGCCCAGGCCCACTCCGGTGGTGTCTACAACAAGCCCGGCTTCGAGCTGTTCAACAACTACACCTACACTTTCTTCGGCGATGGTTGCGCCATGGAGGGTATCGCCTCCGAGGCCGCCTCCATGGCCGGTCACCTTAAGCTCGGCAACCTGATTGCCATCTACGACGACAACCACATCTCCATTGGTAGGTCCAGTTCCCAGTCACGTTAGATTTCAGACTGATTTTATTCCAGACGGTGACACCAAGTGCGCCTTCACTGAGGACGTCTTGAAGCGTTTCGAGGCCTACGGCTGGCACACCGAGTGGGTCAAGGATGGTGACCATGACCTCGAGGGCATTGAGGCTGCTATCCGCAAGTGTCAGCAGGTTACTGACAAGCCCTCCGTTATCAAGCTGACCACCACCATTGGTTTCGGCTCCAAGCTCGCCGGTACCGGCGGTGTCCACGGTAACCCCCTCAAGGCCGACGACGCCCAGGGTGTTAAGAAGCTGTTCGGCTTCAACCCCGAGGAGAGCTTCGTTGTTCCCCAGACTGTGTACGACATGTACCACCAGCACGCCGCCGACGGTGCCGCCAAGGAGCAGGAGTGGAACCAGCTCTTCCAGAAGTACCAGTCTGAGCACAAGACCGAGGGTGCTGACCTCGCCCGCCGTCTCTCTGGCAAGCTGCCCGAGGGTTGGGAGAAGGCTCTCCCCGTCTACAAGCCCACCGACGCTGCTATCGCTTCCCGCAAGCTCTCCGAGGCTGTCCTCGAGGCCATCCACGGTGTCGTCCCCGAGCTCGTCTCTGGTTCCGCCGATCTGACTGGCTCCAACAACACCCGCTGGAAGAACGCCGTCGACTTCCAGCCCCCTGACCTCGGTATTGGTGAGTGGGCCGGTCGCTACGTCCGCTACGGTGTCCGTGAGCACGCCATGGCCGCCGTCATGAACGGTCTCGCTGCCTACGGTACCATCATCCCCGCCGGTGGTACTTTCCTCAACTTCGTCTCCTACGCCGCCGGCGCCCTCCGTCTCTCTGCCCTCTCCCGCGTTCGTGTCATCCACGTCGCTACCCACGACTCCATCGGTCTGGGTGAGGATGGCCCCACTCACCAGCCTATTGAGACTCTGGCTCACTTCCGTGCCCTCCCCAACTGCATGGTCTGGCGTCCCGCTGACGGCAACGAGACCAGCGCTGCCTACTACTCTGCCTTGACCTCCAAGCACACCCCTACCGTCATGGCCCTGACCCGCCAGAACCTGCCCCAGCTCGAGCTCTCCACCATCGAGAGCGCCCTGAAGGGTGGTTACGTCGCTGTCGACACCCCCAACGCTGCCATCACCATTGTCTCCACTGGTTCCGAGGTCAGCATCGCCATCGAGGCCGCCACATATCTCCAGGAGAAGCACGGTGTCGCTGCCCGTGTTGTGTCTATTCCTTGCTTCGAGGTCTTCGATGCCCAGGACAAGGCCTACCGCCTCCAGGTTCTCCCCGACGGCATTCCCGTGCTGTCCTTCGAGGCTTGCTCCACCATGGGTTGGGAGCGCTACTCTCACGAGCAGTTTGGTCTCAACCGCTTCGGTGCTTCCGGTCCCTACAAGGAGGTGTACGCCGTATGTTATTTCCACCTTTGTTTCATCCACTTGATGCTAATATCCTTCAGAAATTCGAGTTCACCCCCGAGGGTATCAGCAAGCGCGCTCTTGCTACCATCGACTTCTACAAGGGCCACAACGTGCGCTCGCCCATTAACCGTGCTTTCCAGCAGATCCTGTAAGGCGCGGAACGAATATGACGTAACAAAATGTTTTGGTTTTTATGAGGAGCGATTGCCCTCCAGATACACAAGAATGCAAATAGAGTATTCACCTGTTCACATTGACCCTCGTAGCATGTAATCATTCTCCCTGTCTTCTTTGCAACTCAATGACCCCTCTCAACAGATCCTCTTTCCTCTTCCGCGACTCCAGGGTGACAGGCCCATATGCTTCTTCGGTCTGTTGAACAACCACATCTCTCCACGCCTGATCACCTTGAATATCAATCTTCCCCAAATCCCCCCACACATCCTGAATCGTCGGCTCCAGCTTCTGCAAGAAAGCTCCAATCCCCCCCCTCCCCACCACCAGCATGGTAGCTCTCAAAAACACCACTGCCAGCCCATCTAGGTCCCACACTCGCCGTCACAATAGTATCCAGATCCCTAGCTGAAACCACCCCCTCCCCAACAAGCGAACAAGCCTCCCTCAACAGCGCAAACGCAAGCCGATTCCCCACAAACCCAGGAACCTCCTTATGCAACGTAACGGGCCGATAATGCGCCGCAGACTGAGCATTACCCGGACCCGGACCAGGAATGCCTCCAAAATACCCCTTCACAAACTCAGTCCTTTCCCCCTGAGTCTCAGGTCCAGGAACTAACTCCACAAGAGGCATGATATGCGGCGGATTGAACGGATGCGCAACGAGTAACCGTTCGCTTACCCCGTCTTCCGGGTCACAGGTAGCACCCTGCGCCGAGGCAGCTATCCCCGAAGAACTACTCCAGAGATGGGCATCCCGCTTAGCGAAACGTGTAACCTCTTTCCAGAGTGCTTGCTTGGAAGTAGTTACTTCGGGACTTTGTTCCTGGATGATGGTTGCGTTCGTCACTGCTTCTTGGAGGGTGTGTGCTAGTTTCAGACGGGAGATTTTGAAGAGGTGGTCGACTATACTTGTTTCTAACGCCGAGGATAACTCTGGGGACTGCAGGAGTGAGGGGAGACTGCTTCGGATCTGGCTCTCCGTGTCTGGGCGTGGGTCGTAGACTGTTATCCTTGTGTCTGGGCGGCGGAGGTGCATTGCTAGCATTGAGAGGCCGATTGTTCCTAGGCCCAGAAGGGCAATTTGGTGCGGGTATTCTGTCGACATCTTGGGTGCTTTGGAGGGTGAAGCGAGAAGACGAAAGGGGAACAAAGGCACAATCTGCCGAGTTGGGGAAGTGGGGGTGCGGGGGATCCGAGGTTAGGGTTGACCTTTGTTGAGTATAGACTTCACTTGGTTTACTTGGAGTGAACGAAACATCTCGAGTTGCTTTTGTAATTTGGTTACTTGATCGTGGCCATATCCTAGAATAGATTCTCGGGGATTATATCGAACATCAAACCCATTCTCGAAGCCACTGAGGCATTCAATTGACATCAGGTCCACTATCCAGTGGTTCCGTCACAACCAGCTGTAGAATAGTATGGTTGAAAGCTCTCAGGTTTCTAAAGAATGGTGGCTCCTAGTCATTTGTTTTGGCTTTTTCATGTTGCCGAATAATACGCGACAAGGCCCTTGGTTAGCAACAAGCTCTGGAAAACACCCCGCGTCGCTCGTTTGGTCACTTCTTATTTCCTCGGATACGGCGCTTAAATTGGAGGACCTGCGAGTGATCTGGTGGTTCAATTTGGGTATTTCGCTTCTGGGGGCTTTGATATGTGCTGTCTTTGTGGGGATTCCGCCCAGTGAAGAGAAAGGTCAAGTACATTGATAGGTATGCCTATTGACTTGGAGTATAAGAAATTTGTATGAAAATCGTCTATCTTCCTAGCCTAGACGGCTTCAGCACCTTGAACATAGAGTATATAATATCAGGGAATCTATCTATGCGTCCGGCCAAGCTCCTGGAATTGCTGTGGTAGGCTCTTCCATCATCTCCCAGAATTCCCCTGAATAACCATCAGATCGTTCAGAGAGCCATAATCCCCAACTATGGGGATATTGGCCATGAGAGAAACCAATCACCCGCTGCCAACCCCAGTTTCTTCTCCAAAACACATCGCGTTCGGTCAACCCCTTCTTCCAGAGTTGCTCCTCCATCGGTCCAAACGTTTGTAGATCCACACCCCCAGTCTGAAGGTCTGTTACCCAGACATGAACTGCAAGATCCCATCCTTTCATGGCACACTGATTAAAGTCCCACCAGTATATAAATCCTCCTAAGAAGGCGAGGAAAGGTGTCATCCCACCGACAACATGGTGTAGATCCACACCCGCCAGCAAGAGATCGCGGAATAAAGCGTTCCATGCCTCATAGAGGCGCAGTGCTTCTAGATGTTTCTTCTCAAATTCAATCATACCACCTCTTCCGCCTTTGAGTGTGAATCCTCTCCGCTCTCGTTGGAGTTTTTCCAGCGCAGCTAGACTTCCACCAATTCTCATCGCAATGCAATGCACCAATGTCATCTCCGTCCACCACCGCCAAGATGTCTTGAGTTGCAGATTTTCCGGCTTCCATGGCTTCTCGCCGAGAATAGTTCGAACTAGCTCAGGCATGTGGTTCGCATCCCAAATACCCGATGTTGCGCGGGCTGCCACTGCAATTCGGACCCATTGGGGCATATCATAGAATGTCGGACAAAACTGGCGCTGGAAGAAGAGGAACTCTTCTGCAGAGCCATGGAAATCTGAAAGAATCCCGCCGAGGACTTCTTCTGGTGTGTCGTAGATCATTTCCTCGGAGGGACAGAGGAGACGCATTGATGGGAGTAAATGTCGACTTTCAGGACTGAACATGTTTCCTGTCCATACTAAGTGCCGGAGGGCTGTGTTGAAGTCGACTTTGCCGTGTCCCTGAAGACCAGGGTCTGTTCCTTGCTGTAAAAGGAATTTGATAATCTCTGCCCGGTTCGCAGAGTGTGCATACTGAGGAAACTAGGGTTTCAGTATTGAACATATGTAACTCAAGGTGGACAACCGATTAACATATGACTCACAAAGAGAAGAGTGTAACCAGTAGTATGAACACGATCAAAAGGTGAAGCCTGTTTTGAAGAAAACAGCTCTTGTAACCCTTTGAGGTTGCCGGTTTCCACACAGTGCACTGTTTTCGAGTCCTCGCGGATTTCATTGTAAGTGCGAAACCCCCATCTCCAACCATCGCGCGCTTGCGTGCCAGCTAACTCAAATGTTTGAGCAGTAATCCAAGATGGCAGACTGAGACGCCACAGAAAATTGCTTCTCTGGGCTTTGATCGACTCATTATGCAATGTCGAGACTGATGGCTCTAGCCTATGGGATTCTTTTCTGTCTGCTACAAAATAGACCAATATCTCTGTCAGTCGCATACTCATTTTTGGGGTCTTGGTGTTAAGCAACGTACCATAGGACACAGGCGTATATGTCACTTCAGACCACTCTATCTGTGTGACTGTTGTCGGCGTCACATCCTGCGCAATTCTCTGCGCAATCAGTTCGGGTTGGACCTGAATCAGCGCCCTACACACATTCAATCAGGGTTCCAAGATATGGCGACGGAAGAGGAAGACAGCTTACCTTGTATAACACTGTTGAGACAACAACAACAGCCGCATAGCGTTCTGCAACCTCCCAACAAGTCTCTCGACCTTTCCCTTCTTCAGAATCCCCACTTTCACAGCGCCATAACCCCTTCTGAATTTATTCATCTTCCCACTGCGGTCAGTCCGAGTACCGCCCGGCCTCAAATCTTCCAATAGTTCTTGACATGCCGCATCCAAGTCTTCCGCCGCCTGCTTACAAAACCGATAACTCTGTGCCGCATGCTTGCTATTGCCCAGCGCTGTGGCAAGAGATTGTTGCTGAAGGTCGCTCTCGATATCGTCCAATATCTCACCGAATAGCTCTATTTCTCGCACAAGAGTACGTAAATTGTCGGGCGCGTGTTGGATGTCGTTCCAGCATTCTTTCAGGGTTACTATCGATTTGCCGACTTGAGCGACGAGGGCGGCAAAGGTTAAGGCGCTGGCTATTGTTCCAACTAGCTCGGCCATTGGATATCAATACTAGATAATATCCATAAATGACCGAGAGCCCAGATGAAATGTTGGTAGCAAAAAGTATAAGAAAGTGCAAATGAAGTGCTAGGGTCGAGCTTGAGTGCTATGGGGCTGAGACATGAAGAGCAAGAGACGGCTTTTGACATCTGCAACAAGCCGGGGGGTTAAATACCAAAAAGCATATGATTAGCCGCACAACTTAAGGCTTGTTTGTTTTAGGTGAAGGTATTGTGGACTTCATATGTTGGGTCTTTTTGCCAACGAATATCACCAGTTGTTAGTCGAGCCCTTAGTGCTGACTCTGGGGTGTCCTACCAATCAAGAGCGGAGAAGCCTTCACATTTGCTACTTGTTTCTGGTTTTCTTCTTGCTTTTTACCGCGGCGCTTGATTTTGGCAGCTGACCTTGATTTCTCGCTATTGGCTGCTATCAAGGGTTTATACCATTGGGCCCTGGTTCGCCAACAAGTGTACGCCAGCTTCATTCAGGCTATTCAGTTGCAGCTGCTGACGTGGCCTAGTATAATTAGACCGATTCTTAGTAAAAATCCAAAGTCTGGATTTATTCCGAACATAGATAGATTATCATAGATCGGGACCCTTGCCTCACGTTGCCTTGTTCATTTCAGTGCTAAGACAAACGCACACTGTCCATCCCCTGTACCCAGGTGAAACCAAATAAAATCATGTGAAGCCTCCTTTTCTCGGTTATGATTTTTCTTGCCCTAGACAGGTTGCTCCGTAAAGCGCTCTGCGGCTGAGGATAACGACGTCTAAGCTCCCACACACCCTGTCTATTTACACCTAACCGAGATGTTTAGCGTGACCCGATTATGAACATTGATGTTGCCAAGATGCCAAAGAGCCTTCGATATATGACCGATAGCAAAGACCAAAAGACCACCAAATGAGTTTGCAATTCCTAAACGCATTGCCCACCAACCAATTCGAATCGGCTGCTCTTCGACCGTGTACCATGTTGCTGTTATGAGTAAGTAAGCTAAAGTAGAGCATGACTCAAGAGCACCGAGTAGGAAGCGCAATTCCAGGAAAGAATTAAATCGGCCACAACCTGCCAATGCCATTGTGATTCCACCACGAAGTATGATGTTCCCTGACAGCCATTGAGAGACTGGCAGTTTCTGCAACGCAAATGTGGTGGGATATTCGAACTATATGAGGTGCAAGTGATAAGATGATTGGATCAATGTGATCCAAGCGCATATAGCAAGGTAGCCAAAGGAGAACATGCTTCCTGTGAAATCAGACTCGGTTAGCCATGAAACCGACATATAGAGTTGAACTGACCAAGCCAGCTATATTGGATTCCTTGAAACCCAATACCGCGGAAGATCCTAGCATGGCTTTATTAATACAAGTGATCAGATACGTGATGCAAGTAAATCGAATTATGAGCATGTCGATATTGCGAATGGCTTGCTTTTGGATAATGGGATCAATTTCAGCAGTCCACTGTGCCTCTTTCATATCAGCATATTCTCTTTTACTAATTCCACCATCCGAGGCCTCGATATGAGCACTAGAAGGCTTGGGCATCTTGCAGATGAGTGTCTTCTCTCATGTGAGGAACCGTGAGCTGTCTTCTGATATATACCCCAGACTCAGATAGCTATTAGTCGTTTACTATAAAGAAGAGATGCGGGGAAACCCCAAAGCTTAGTAAATTTAAGCTTATTGAGTGCTGTTGGAAATGCAATAGCGGAAAAGCATGCATTATCGGACTTTCATCAGAGTGCTCCCCGCTTTACCTCCACGATCAGATACAAAACTAACAGGAAGCTGCATGTATCTTTACTGCTATCGTGCTATAAAGTAGCTTGACTGTCCGACGAAAATTTAGTTCAAGTCGGCAAGGTGCATGATTGATAAGGTCCCCCATATAGCCACCAAAAGTGAGAGCAAAAAAGATACACTGAACAAAGCGATATAACAAGGCCTGGAAGCTTCTGGGTAAAGCTTGTCAATTCAGCACAAGAGCTATTCACCGGTACATAGGAAACTCAATACTGTCAAACGAGATATGGCAAAATTGCCAAAAGAAATTACGAAATCCTCTTGAACTGCCAACCCATATTCGGGGCCCATATCTCAATCATGGCAGAATATTCTCTCAGCAGCCCTGCTACTAACAGTAACACAAGCCCAAGAGTAGTCATTGCTGTCAGTGAGAACCCCAGCACCAACATTATACTGGGCACAATTATCCGACCCAAAAATGTTTGTCAAGTGATCGAGATACTCAGATATGACCCTCGACATATTGATATCACCACCTGTATTAGTAGAAGCACGGCAGTACATCTCAGGAGCATCAGGCCTCTTCAAATCTGCCAAATCAACCCGCGCCAAATTCAAGTAATCTGATCGAGTCAAGTAATCCAGAATAGACCGTACAACACTGAATTGAGAAAAGCACAGATGAATATGAACCTGCTCTTCAGAGCGAGTAGCGACACTGTTCATAGCCAAAGTACCTGTGCTCCGATCATACTTTTGTCCGCTAAATTTATTCCGCAGTGTATCCTGACCAAGCCAGAATCCACCATCTGGATCGTCAGCCGAGTTCAATGATAGGATACCGGGTATCAGTTCCGTAGTGGTAATGAGATCTCCACGACTAAGAACCATCCAAACAGGATTCCAAGGCTGACACGGGGTAATCGGTGGTGAGGATGAAGAGATGCATGTTGTTCCATGGGTCGTAGATTGAAAGTCATGGATACATCCACAGAGGCTGTGGAACCAGAGGGAACAACCGTTGCAATTGTCATTATCATCAACACAGCCGGAGTAGCATGTATTCAGTTGTGCTCGTGGTGTCACGGGTGAGCTGGGAGGTGACGGGTTACAGGTTCAAGGGCAGATTTGCGGGTTCAATTGGCCGTTTGGGTAGCATGACAGAGATGAAGCTGGTTGGGCATGTGCAGCCGCTCACGTCCATGTTGTTGATGTCGTCTGATGTACATAGGGGAAGTTGAGCTGAGATTGGAGAGGATAGAAGCAGGAGAGAAAAAATTGATGCGTAGCCTTCATGATGGATCTTTATGTTGATGATTCCATTGGCAGAATAATGCAACACATAGAATATGTTAGAGAAAAAACAGATTTGATCATTCCTTTGTAGGGCAGAGTAAGACCAACAATGATGTAACTCTGAGTCTGTGAAATCTCAGCTCTATCAACAGTACCTGCATTGTAGCCGCCGGCTTATTGTTCCGTTGGAGCCCCAGGGGTTTTCTAATGGTATGTACAATCAGTATGAATGTCCTGTATACATTCGGTCCGTGCCTGTTGTTGTTTTGGGTATATGCAGATCCGAGAGGGCCGAATACCTAGCTAGGACTCCACTTGATCCTTCCATTGGCGCCTATCTGGTCATATGATACCTTCACTGATCATCTGTGATACAGTATACGAGGACAGGTGCAATTGGTTCAGGAAGGAATCGAATAGACGACCTGGATATGTTTTGCCGCCTGTTGATTCAGGCCAAAGGCCTTCCGGCATGGTGCCTGAGGGCCAAGGCCCTAAGAAACTGAATTCCACCCCACCTTGGGCAAGCAAAAGCAGCCCAATTGACATGCGCATTTCAGTCATGCTCTCTTAAATGGAGCAACTCTACAGATAAGCATGAAACAAACTATGGGTGAATCGGAAATACGTGATTTCATTTCAATATCGTCATGAGAAGGTAAAGACCATTAAGCTTTTAAGATATCACGACATTTATGCGTTGAGCTTCTGGCGGGCGAAGTTGGGCAGGACGAAGGAAGCACGGTGGATGTCCTGGTTGTAGTAGCGGCAGAGCTTCTGCTCTTCCTCGGCGGACCAGGTGCGAACGGGCTCGCGGACGTTGCGGGTAGCATCCTTGCAGCAGACCATGAAGCCGATCTGGCCGGAGGGGTAGGTGGGGATGGTGGTGTAGGCGTATTCGGCGACGGGGAAGACCTCCTTGCAGGACTTCTTGAGGTCGGCAATCAGGTCAAGGTGGAGCCATTGGTTCTCGGCTATAAAATAAAAGGCACAGCTCCGCAAAACCGAGCCCGTCAAGCGGGTTGGTTGCGGGGTGGTGCGAAAAGGGTTAGCCAGGTGGTCCTTTCGAAGAACAAAGAGTGGAAAAATGGTAATGAGAAAGGGAAGGAAGGAGGTGAGTGACCAAAAGACCATTGATCGGAGTGCAGGGTAAAAAGAAAGGTGACGAACAACCTTGGGTAGTGATAACACCTCCCTCGCGGAGGGCGGACTTGAGGAGCTCAAAGTAGGGCTTCTGGAAGAGGCTCTCAGCGGGACCCTCAGGGTCGGAGCTGTCGGTGATGATAACGTCGAACTCGTTCTGGCGGTTCTTCAGGAACTCGAAGCCATCACCAACGTGGGTGTGGGCGTTGGGGTGCTGGAAGCCAATGGCCATACCGGGGAGGTACTTCTTGGAGACACGGATGACAGCCTCATCGATGTCGCACAGGGTGGCCTCCTTGACGGAGGCGTGCTTGACGACTTCACGGAGGACACCACCGTCACCACCACCGATGACAAGGACCTTCTCAGGATTGGGGTGGGAGTTCATGGCGAGGTGGGTGATCATCTCCTGGTAGGAGAACTCGTCACGCTCGGTGCACTGGATAACGTTGTCCAGAACGAGGACGGTGCCGTAGTCGCTGCTCTCGAAGACGAGGACATCCTGGTACTTGGACTTCTCGTGGTGGATGATCTGGTTGACCTTCAGGCTCATGGCCTGACCGGGCCACATGCCGGACTTCTCAGAGAACCAGCCATCTAGTACCAGTTAGCACGGTCAATCGAGGGGATGAAGAATTGTCGCGGGGTAATTGAACATACCCTGGATGGTGGGGTGGGTAAGCTCGCTCATTTTGAATGTAGAATTGAAACGACGAAGGGATGAAGAAAGAAAAGAAGAAGAGATCCGGGGGAGACGGAGCATGCGAAGAAAAAGCCAAACTTTTGCGGTACTTTGACTCCTTTGGGCGAGGGCTTGGTGGGGCAATCTGGGCACGAAAATTCCCTGGTCTTCTCACCGCCTTTGATCTATAGGTTTTCATCACGGATTCTTCTCGTTTGTACTTGATTTGCATAGTAAAGGTGAGATATTTAGACCTGGAACTGAGTACGAAAAGACTACAAATTCATTATTCTTTACAAAATTGTCGGCTGAACCACGGAGTCGTACGGAAACTTCCGTATCAAGCGGACAATACCCCGCGGCACCCGTGAACAAGCTAATCATGACAAATATTGCCTGTATAAAAGCCTAAAACACTCTTCTTTGTGATATATCGAGTTGTAATATTAGTTGTGCAAGCAATGCTCAGCGGATATTGCCACATCTCATTGGTCCTTAGCCAAGGGATGGGCTGGGACCTCTAGATCTACCAGTAGGCATCTATCTTGCTGGCTCTCGAAGACGCCTGATGAATCTGAGTGCATAGATATGATTTGAGCTCACTCAACTGCATTACTACTAAAGGACCGATGCAACGTGTTAAAATACAACAGAAACAAAGAAATCATGGCAGAAAGAATAACTAAACCAAGCCTTTAGAGAATCAATCTGAGATTTATTATGCTTTTTTTTGTTTGAGCTGCTTGATCTCTCAAAGATGATTGCCATCTGCATCATACTTGCGAATGTCTCCAAATTCTTGAGATCAAAGTGGATTTCATCATGCATGTCTTCTTCGCTGGCGATGACAATATTCTCATCATAGCAAACGTGTTCAGGGCTATTGAGGTCTGGAATGTTCAGAGGGAAAGAGCGAGGTTCGAAAATTGCCTATTCGCAGGGCAGGATAGCACTGGGAAATTACGAGGGTCAAATCAAGATTTGGGACAATGGAACTGGCATTGTATAAATATTTGGAGAGGACATATAGAGGTTGAGACGCCTCATTGTCGCATGATGGGAAGCTGATCGCATCTATATCGAATGAAGACATACATGTATAGGATTTGTATGAAGCCTTGTGGTGGAAATTGAGAACGAACAACACAGAATTCGAAACACTGGACATTAAGCCGAATATCCCTTTTAGTGAGGAAAATATTGCATCGGTTACTCGGGCTTGTATGGTTCAGATCTGGGACCTCACGGGTGGCCTTTATTGGAAAGTCAATGCTCTCAAAATTTATCCACGAGACTACTCTAATAGCCCTGTTTTCTGGTTTTCTGGTGATCGTATTGCGATTCTTATGAAGAAAGACGTTGGTATTTGGAGCCTTGAGGCTGGTCATTTTCTAAAAGTCTTCACTGGCCACAGTGACGATGTTACATCCCTATTTTGCTCTCCGGGTAACAACCTGATATCAGGCTTTTGGGACAGCACCGTCAAAATCTGGGACAATACTTGCAAACCTGTCGAGAGATCCGTGGAGGGGTTTTCTGTTTGTGCCTTTGCTAATTTTAGGCAATCGGGGATTCCAAAGGCTGTGCTAAAATCAGGGATCTCAAAGGCAACTGTGCCAAGGCTCTTCAATCCGGTGACTTGGTTGTTGCTTTTGTTGATTTTTCTTCCGATGGGACGTTCATCGCTGCACTTTCCCATAAATTGCCCAGTAATGATATCAATCTTCGGGTTTGGGATTGGAGGAGTGGTACCTGCCGTGCCTTTTTTTCATATTGCCGGAACTCTGAATTCTATCCCTACATAAGCTTGAACTTTTCCGCGCGACGAGGAACTAGGTTGAACTACGGGTATGAGGTGTCTTCAAGCGGTTCTTTCTTGCTTGCAGGCAATTTCGAACAGGTCTTTCAAGTCTGGGAGGTGGGAAGTGATCGGTTACAGACCCTTGACACTGAGGGTATCAAAAACTCACCCGTGCCAATGCTGAAGCTTTATAAAAGAAATGATTGGTACGGACTGGGCTTGGAAGAGCATTGGATCATGCGAGGGGAAAAGAAGATAATCTGAAGATAGTCTGTTTACCATCAGAAGATCGTTCGTACCGTTACCGAGCACTGCATCCCGTCTTGCTGCTGTTTCCTTTGCCGGGAGCGACATTTCATCGGAGGAATGGGATCAGAAAGAGTAGAACAGAATTCAGATTAAGCACGCCCTTTTGAAATCGTCTAGGGGGCTTAGACCGCAATACTTTGACCCGGACTTTTTTTGAGATGCGACTTGGGTTGTAAGTTCGTATAGATCGTCACTCATAAAGCATTGGATGTTTCTAAACCGAACTCCTAAAGCGAGTGTACTGTCTCATGTATTGCTTTTGCCTTGCCTTGGTCCTTTCGTCTCTCTTTCTTCGCCTGTTTTTTGCTCGTTCTAGGTGTCTCGGTCTTAAATTGTTCAAAAATGATGGCTTAATCATTAACCCTTCCAAAGGACTTGTGGCCGATATCAGGAAGTGGGGCTAGTATCTCAATAGCCAATAATGTGTCCCAGAATGGCGCTTACCCAAGTTCGACATTCAAGATGCCAAAATATGCTTGGAAACGGCGTAAAAAATGGAAGACGACATGACTTCAAATGGTCGATTGCTTTCTAGTTACTGTACAAGCATACAGCTCCCCGCAAGTGCAGAGTCTTCCGGTGTATCATGCTCTGCTATACCAATTCAACCTCACTCCAAACAGGAAACAATTTACTCGTCGTGACCACCCTCAAGACGACCGGGCTTGGAGTTCAAGTAGTGGTTGCTAGAAGGTGATCAAATCAGCGCACATTCCGAAGCGTCGCTTCCGGGGGAGTCTTACCGCTCAATAGCCCACTCCATGGCAGCATAGGCGACGATGAAGGGAGGAACGACGTAGAGAACCTGGTGGCGGAAACGGCGGAAAGTGTTGAAGATGGCAGCGTTAGCGGCACCGGCGAAAGGACGCTGGCGGTTAGGAGACAGCGAATAGGTGGCGATGCGCTGGGGGGTCGGGCATCCTGCGAGTGCAATATTAGCGATCCGGTCGAATGGTTTGGTTCCGTGATGTCGCTTTGCGTCTTTTTTTCAATTCTGGTCTCGATCTTTATGGCCATGTCGAAGATAGGTTCCGCGTGTGTTTCGAGTCATGCGAGGGTTTCAAGGGTTATTGTCAACATACCGAACTCTCCCCAGTTGCCGATGAAGCTATAGAAATAAGAGCGTCAGTTTATTTGTATTCAAGCAATGAAGCAATTGGACTCCATAGGAGGACCTCAATTGGCACGGGGCTCAATTGACATAGAGGCATCGTGCGGTTAACGCATCCGGGGGCCCGGCACTCGAAGGGATTAGGGCAAAACGACTTACTGTCCGTTCTTGGGGTCAACTGAGCCACCCATTTTGAATGATTCGTAGAAAAAGAGAGGAGTAGGTGGGAAGGGATTGGGAGGAGCAAAACGGGGAAGGGAAAAGACGAAGTCGGGCGAAGTTGGAGGTTCGGATGGACACTAACCCGATTGGGAAACCTCAGAGGTGAGCAAAAGAACATCATCTCCATCATCGACTCCTCATCATCTCCCCCTCCACTTCCAACAATGGCCAACGTCCTCCAACAAGTCTATCGGCTGGCTTTCCCCGTGGCCCTCGGTGGCATAGTCGTGCAAAATTCCCTTTACGATGTCAAGGGCGGTACGCGAGCCGTCATCTTCGACCGAGTGTCTGGTGTGCAAGAGAAGGTCGTCAACGAAGGCACACATTTCTTGATTCCCTGGTTGCAGCGCGCAATTGTATACGATGTCCGAACCAAGCCTCGCAACATTTCGACCACAACAGGAAGTAAGGATTTGCAAATGGTTAGCTTGACGCTCCGTGTGCTGCACCGCCCGGAGGTGCCGAAGCTGCCCCAAATCTACCAGGTTTGTCTTTCTACGATTTTTAACGTCTGATTGCGCAAAAATACTAACTAGAGCTATATAGTCATACGGTACCGATTACGATGAGCGTGTCCTCCCCTCCATCGGTAACGAAGTCCTCAAGGCCATCGTGGCCCAGTTCGACGCCGCCGAACTCATCACGCAGCGTGAGGCTGTCTCCAACCGCATCCGTACCGATCTTATGAAGCGTGCCGGACAATTCAACATCGCCCTCGAGGATGTTTCCATCACCCACATGACCTTCGGAAAGGAGTTTACACGAGCCGTTGAGCAAAAGCAGATCGCCCAGCAGGACGCTGAGCGTGCCCGTTTCATTGTCGAGCGCGCCGAGCAGGAGCGCCAGGCTAACGTCATCCGCGCCGAGGGTGAAGCCGAGAGTGCCGATATTATCAGCAAGGCTGTCGCTAAGGCCGGTAGCGGTCTGATTGAGATCCGTCGCATTGACGCCAGCAGAGAGATCGCCCAGACTTTGTCCCAGAACCCCAACGTCACTTACTTGCCCGGTGGAGAAGGAAAGGATGGTAGCAAGAGCACCAGCCTTCTTCTGGGTCTGCGGAGTTAAGGAGATTATAAAGATGTTTTGGGGATCATGGGCCCCGGTTTCACAACTCATTGAATGTACCAATTAATCGCAATCTTTGTCGCGACTTGGGGCAAGCCTGGCCTCATGGCGTGACTGGAGTGGCTTGATCTAGCCCACTTCCTGATATGTAGCAATACCAAACCTCACTCCAACAAGCTATGTTTTGATTGAATCGTATCCTCGTTATGGGGTATTTACATATCGTGATATATAAGACGAGTGGCAGTCTACAACCGCCGATACACATGCATCTGGAACCGCATATCCTCCAGCCCGGCACCTTCACCGACTTCGTACTTCAACCGCCTGTCATCGCGTCTCCACCACCTCGATTCCTCGGTATAAACTCTCTCCCATTTGCCCTTTGCTACTGACAGCAGTGTGTGATCAAGGAGGAACTTCATTGGATAGTTCCTTTCTTGGGGCTCGCCATCCGGTCCCTTTCCAAGCTTCAAAGTCGAATAGCTGCCGGGACTATCGACAACAAGCAGGATCGCACCGGCAGGAAGAATCTCTGTCATGCGGAGTAAGAATCCAGTAGTCTTAGGCATGGATGTAGAGAAAAGCTCGTTCAGTGTGAACATGATAGGAACGAGGATGGAAGAGAAGGGTGTGGAAGAAGCAGGCCCCATGAAGACCTCCCTCAAGTCCTCTTCGGGGATAGTAAGGACATCAGACCGGCGGAACGAAACATCAAAATTATCCCCATTGGAGGGAAGCAATGGTGACCGATACCTCGTCGTTTGCGCGAACGGCACTTCGGCCGAAGTGATGGTTCGCGTAAGTCTGTCGACAATCTTCGACCAGTCGGCAATATCGACAGCAGAAACAGAGAGACTTGGTCCAGCTGCGCTCTTGACATCTGCCTTCTGTTCCTCCTTGCTCTGGGTGTCTTCCAGAGACACGGCGGCAACACCATCCTCAAGCGACTGCTCGCCATGACCCAAATCTCTCCATGCGGCCGCAAGGGCAACAATCTCAGCACCAGCGCCGCCACCAATGCAGACAACGCGAGTACATTTGTTAGAAGGTATCCTGGAACGCCCGCGAGTGTTCTCCTCTTCCTCCTTCATCCAGCATAGCACACCCTTCAACAACCCCGCATATCCCAAAGACCGCGACGCACTCCAGCGCAAAGCATAAGCACGCAACAAATCCTCACCAGCCTCAGTAAATGCCGAGTCAAAGTCACGTTGATAAAGAAGACCCTTGATAGTCTGGATCAAAGATTTCATATCCAGCTCGTCGTTCTTATCCTCCAATTGCGCTTCACCAGACTCGGCATCTGGGTTCGCAGGTGCCGACTCTGCGGCTACGTGGTTCGTAAGGAGGGCAGTCTTGAATACATCGAGAAGCAATTGTTGAAGGGAAAGGTGAACTTTGCCGACAATCTCGAAGCCATTAGGGTTTTCGGGCTCTGGTGCGGCTTCGCGCTCGACTTTTTGAACGTGCTGTTTGTTCGTCGGGGGCGCTTGTTTCGCGCGTTGTGGTTTCGCTTTTGGGCCAGGGGATCTCCTGCGGTTTCCTTGACGTGGGCCTGGCATTTTAGACGGGATATGTGGATTCGTGTGAAGTCAAGAGAAAGAGAGAAAGAAATAAGATCTCAATGTGGGGGGAACTTTTTTTCCTTATCGTTATCAGGATCTATAGACGTCGCATGTTGCGGCAATAACCGTGTTGTATGGGAAAACTGAGGTGACGACCATATTCATTGTTTTAGATATAAGTTCTATTCGAGGAGAATAACGATTATGAATTAGCCGATGTAAACATTTACGTCACGCGAGTGTAGAGGCTACCTGTGGGTCAAAAAGTAGGATTGAATCCGCATAATTTACGGCAATACAGCACAAACATGCTAAAATATCAATTCAAATGGCGAGAGCCGCATCTGACAAGTAAATCGAGCAATCTGACCATGTCAAACCACGTCAGACCACGACAGACCATGCAAGATAACCATGCCTGAACTCCAGACTCCGGACTCCGACTAGGAGCTCCGATTCAGCCCCCACAGGCGTTAGCTCAGACGATCTTTTAAAACATGTTTCTCCCAGATTCATCGACCTCAGGGGAGCCCAAAGCAACATGTAGGAGAAAAATGTACCAGAAAGTCCACCCAGGATGCGGAGGAGTACCAATCGTATCAAACTCTACCTCTACCGGGTCGCACTAGTATTTGCGGTGATGATATTTGCATGGGATACCTACGACATCTTCATCAGACAGAACCAGACACAAAAACTATCGACTCTCAAATATTCTGGCGAGCATATAACATGGACACCCTGTGGAGATCTCAAAGGCAGCCAGGTCGAATGCAGCAACATCACCGTCCCAATGGACCAGTTCGATCCTCAAAACTCTGGAGATAAGACCTTTACCATTCCACTTGTTCGCTTGCGTAGTGAAAAGGCTACCCAAAACCTTGTCATGAACCCTGGTGGTCCAGGAGCAAGTGGTTTCGAGTTCTTGTACCGCCGAGGCGAACAAATCCGAACAATAGTCGGCAATAAATTCCACCTTCTCTCATTCGATCCTCGCGGCGTCAATAGCTCAACACCCGTAGCAACATGCTACCCAGACGCTAAGGCAGCAGCAACATTATCAGGCGTTCGAGCTTCCAATCCGACGATTGATAGTCCCGAGGTCTACGCATGGGCACAGAACTTCGTTAAAGCATGCGCCGACACGATGGGCGAGCACGCCAAATACACAAATACACCACAGACAGCAGCAGATATCAACAACATCCTCGAGGCAGTTGGGCAAACAGATTTGATCTACTAGGGATTCAGCTACGGCAGTCTCCTCGGACAGACATACGCAAGCTTATACCCCGAGCGCGCGAAACGGGTTATAATCGACGGCATCGTGAACCAGTGGCAAAGATACGAAGAACTCTACGAAAAAGAATCAATGATAGACACAGACACTGTGCTAGACGGATTCTTTGACGAGTGCATCAAAGCCGGTGCCACACACTGCCCGCTAGCCTAGCTAGCGACATCCAAAGAAGAACTGCGTGAAACAGTACTCTTTTTCATGGCCAAACTGCGAGAGCAACCAATTAGTGTCTACATCAACAATACCAACTACGGCCTGTTGACCTACGACATGCTCTGGTACAACGGCGTCTTCCCGACACTATATAAGCCACCAACCTGGTACACCCTCGCAAACAATTTCTTCAAATTAATCCAAGGGAACGCAACCCCCGCCTTCGAAGCCTACCAAGCCGGCGGACTGGAGGCAATGCCAGACCAATCATTTGCATTCATATACCTCAACGACGGCTTAAGCGGACCAAAGAACTGGCCCACAGGTCGCGCATCCCTTTTGGATAAAATCACACCCTGGTTGAACGAGAGTCTGTTCAGCGAAGCCAGTTTCAAGATCTATTATATGAAACAGCAATGGACCGTCCCGAAGACGCATACATATGTCCCGCAAAAGGGAGTGAAGACTGCTCATCCGTTGTTAATCCTGTCTACATCCTACGACCCAGTGTGTCCGCTTGTCTCGGCGCGCTCGGCTAATGAGGCTTTTGTTGGGTCGCAGATTGTTGAGGTTAAAGGGTATGGGCATTGTTCTGTTGCGGCTGCTTCTGTTTGTCTTGCGAAACGCGTCCGTGCATTTTTGGAGGAGGGGACTATGCCTAAGGGGTATACGCAGTGTGAGGTTGATGCACCTTATTTTGTTCGGCCGGATGGGAGTGGGTTGGTTTCTGTTCAGCGGCAGTTTGATAATGCTGAGGATGAGAAGATTCATCTTGCGCAAGTGGAATTGGCGAGGGACTGGGACTTTTCTCTGCCGTTCCTGTATTAAATTGCTTTGTTTTTGGTTGGTTTTCTCTCCAGTGTGTGATATATATACATCTAGTCTAGGATCGAAATATATTGTTACTCTATGTTGTCTAAGACGGCAAGAACATTACGAAGACAGTACATCTACAGGGTTATGTTGTACTCTTGATTCTATAAGGAGCTTGTTTAGTGCGCTTTTGAAAAGGAGTCGGATTGTCCGCTAAACTATTGGGAGGAAGACAAATTATCGATGATATCCACACCTGTAGCAGTGAAGACACAAAAGCCACACAAGTACACAAATACACAACCAAGTCACAGATATGAAAGAAAAAGGACCCGCAGGAGGATTCCGACGGGGACGAATGGTATTCTAGGCACGGAGCCCAAACAAGAGTGGAAAAAATATTGAAAAAGAAAGAGGCCCAGGGCAACGATCGTAGAGAAAGTCAATAAATCCGTGCGTCACTCACACAAGATACATAAACGATTGACAAGAAGAGGCAAGATCATACTCGAGACAATTACGCCTTGAGAAGTAAAGAAATTCGTAATGAACGTCTGGGTGGAAGACGCAAATGGTGAAACCGCCTAAGAAAAATAAATCCACAGGAAAGCCGGAACAAAGTGCAATATGTACAGATCGATCGATTGAAAGGAGACGCCCACGCTTGTCGAGAATAGGCAATGGGAAACACGCAGAGAAGGGATGGCTCAAAAGAATTTGTCAGGATGTCGCTATGCCGAGGTTGCGCCGTAAATCAAAGTGAAAATGCATCAAGACCAAAGCGCACATGCGCTTACGACTGGGGTCGCTCGTTGGCAGCCGCTTCAGTGGAAGGCTTCTCCTTGTCTTTGACCTTCCAGAAGTGCATCAGGCGGCTGAGGCGCCGACCCTTCTTCCTCGACTTTTCAGAAGCATCACCAGGAGGTTTCTCCTCCTGATTCAGCTTACTCCGCTCGGTATGGGGTCCACCGACCAGCTTGGAAAGACTGGCCAAGCTAGTGCGCTTGGAGGCGTTAGCTTGACTGGTTCGGCGGGTTCCAGCACCGGAGAAAGATGCTGCTCGGTCGGTGGAAAGACGTGCACGCGGGAAGAAGGAAGCTGCCGAGAAACGGTTCAGTGTGTTGGTCATGGTGGATGCACTGCTAGTCAAAGATGGAACATCTTCGACTGATGCATAGGGGTAGTCCGAGGGAAGATGATGATAAGAGTGTGAAAAGTGCCGGTCGGTCATCGAGGATGCCGCAATTGATCGGGGGGCATCCGGGGATGGGAAGGACGACTCAGATGGCGAAACACCCGGGTGTAGCGAGAAAGGCGGAATGCTGGGTATTAGCTCAACAGGAGACGTGGAGGGTCGCTTGTCAACAGCCAAGAAGCGAGGAGAGACGTCAGGGCTGGGTGGTCCCATGCCGCTGGATGCAGGCTCTTCCGCCCTCAAGATCTCCACGGGGCTTCGAGGCTTGCTAGTGAAGGGGTTGCTAACAATTTGAGTTTCATTAACCGCGGGTGTCTGCTCAGATTCTCGATTGTTTGCAAATTGATCGGTAGGCCGAATTCCCAGACCAGCGTTTGCAGGTGTTTCGGGTGTTTCGGGCGGGTTGCTAGCAGCAGGAGCACGGGTGGTGTCCTCGGTGTCAGAGGTATCATTACTGTGAACCGACTTCTTATCATCCTCGGATGTCGGAATAGTTGCTTTCTTAGCGGGTGAAATGAGAGCTGGTGCGCGCTCATTCTTGGGAGACTGCGATGCAGCTAGAAAAGCGTCCTCTTCCTCCTCGTCAAACACATCCGGAGTCTCAACTGTGTTATTAGGACCAAGACGAAATGCGCCTAGAGCGCTGCGATCAAACGGAGGCATCACTGGGGCACTTTCCGCACGACGGTGGTAACGCATCTCTGGGCCAACAAATTCACCACGTCTACCACCGCTGTACATACGCTGGGTTGCCACGGAGAAGTTGTTGTTATTCGCACCCTGGTCACTTGGGCGCATATCGGGAGTATTGAACGGTCCCAGTGCAGCGTCGAGGTCGATGATCGGGCTACTCAGGATATTATCGTGCGGGCCGGTCTCCTGCTCATAGAAACTCCTCGGTTTCCAGGAAGTCTCGAGGGTAGACACAGGGGGAACGGAGGGACGATCATTTCGAACCGGTTCGAGAGCAGACGGAGGCATGGTTGGATTGGTGGGAGTCTGAATGACAACAACATCGTCATTGTCAAAGTCAACATCGAGAGCGGATCCGGCTTCTGAGTTGGTCCGAGTGAGAGCAGGAGGGCGAGGTGCGAGGGCACGAGGCACAGGTGGTTTGTCCTCTGCTTCTTGCTTTTCCTCCTTCTTGTCGTGTTTGTCATGCTTGTCGTGTTTCTCATGCTTGTCGTGCTTGTCTTGCTTCGCATGGCGCTTACTCTTACTCTTGGTGCGAGTTAGAATGGAACCAGCCCAAGAGCGAACACGCTTCTGCTTCTTTTTCTTCGACTTGGAATTTGACTTGTCGCAAGTCGTGTTTTCCGTCGCTTCGTCGTCGGATGTTTCGGAACCATCATCAGAAATCGAAGGGCGGGAATGGTCTGTCGAGTGGGCATCATCGGGTGAGAGTGTGGAATCGAGATGCGGCGTGGACTTGCTCTTTCGAGCGCGCGAATGCCCTGCTGCAGAATGCGAACGTTTAATCGAAGAGACTCCCGCTGGATCATCCATTTGCATGAAATCAATAGCCAAAGATGCGTCGGCAGTTTTCGGCCTCGCCTTTGGCTTACGATGAGGTCGCGGTGTTACCCGGTCTGTGAAAGCAGGCTTTTCAAGCTGCTGGAATTTGATTGTGGCCGCGCTGTCTGAGGTTTCATGTGAGATTGCAGATACAGGGCGTCCAGCCTCAGGGGCTTGGATGTTTAAGGCAACTTCCGCTTGGAGAGCAGCCGGGATCGGAGGAACGGGAGGAATCGAAGGAGAAGGCGGGAATTGAGGAGATGCAGGGGGCGTAGGACGACCGAGACTCATGCCTGATTGAGAAACTGGTCGAGCAGGAGACTCGATGGTGCTCTTGTGTTGAGGGTCAGCAGGTGTGCAAGGCGCACTTCCAGCCCCAGTATTGGGACCGAGTGCTTTGGTAATTGCATTCAAGTCGACATTAGAGATCGCGGCAGAACGACGATGAGCATGGTTCCGGCGTCCTGGAACTCTTCCAACACCTGGCCCTGGAGGCGGCAGCCCCGGTTGAGCTGCCACGGAAGGTTCTTCTCGTTTATCGCCCCCGACCGTTTCTGGGGTCACTAGATGATCGCCACCAACAAACTCACTGGGACGTCGACGATGTCCCCCGGCTCGATTCGAAATAGACGGTGCTGAAAGATGTAACGACTGCTCAGAGCCAGGATTAAAAGAGAATGCCGGTAATGCGGGCCGCTCCCGACGCTCGAGGGTCTCTGATTGAGTCTCGGGAGCATCGGGGTCTCGTGCTGGAAATACGAATGGAGGATTAGGCAACGGAGTACCCATGCTGTGACGATTGCCGGGGGCGTTGGATTGAGGATCGAAATGCGGGAACCCTTGGGACGGCGGCAGTGAAATGGATGCCATGGCGACAAAATAACAGGTAAGAAAATCTAGTGAAGTGACCACGAAATCCCGGTTGACAAGATCCAGAGACCTCCAGACCGTTTGACTTCCCTTCAGCGACTGGAAAGCCTAGGAACCTGGAGGCCTTCAAACTCTCGCGGGGGTCATTGAATCTTCCGCACCGGGTGGAAGCAAGACCAAATACTTTTAAGGAATGGACGGCCACAAGGCCAAAAGGGAAGAGGTTGACGGTGAGTAGAGGTTGAAAGAGAGAAGAGAAGAACAACAAATCCAGGAGGGGAAAGGGTGGTCGGATACGGTACAGGTAATTACGGATGCCTCAGGCTGAGATACGGGAGTATAGAAGAAGGGGATAGTATAAACTAGGATGTACTAGGATAGACTGGGATGATGGGATGGATAATGGCCTATTTTAGCATGGCGCACTGTTCAAATCTTTTCTTTATGCTCCTTTCTCCCCTGAAGAGCAAGGATAGTATCCAGGTACCTGCACATGGAGAACATTCCACATTGGGTGACATCTGTCAGAATGGCCAACTTTGCAGTAATGTAGTTCTAGCCTTTTAGCCTACCCTACACGGTGGGCCTACATAACAAAAAGGGTAGAAGTAGAGGACGTCACGACTGGTTGCCACTGGGTAACAGTAGTTCGTACATCTCCACTGGGAGGCCTAGTAAACCAGGGCATATCAGTCAATCCTGGGGTCCTCCAGGCACCAATCAACAAGAGGAAAAGTGGGCATGCTCTCTGCCAATCAATCGGCCTAATTGACCATCCAAATCTCGCTTGCCTCGGTGGGTCCGAGGGGGATAGCGCGCCAAGGGGCGAATTCAGAGACAGAGTAAGGATGATACCCTGGAAATGGTACTGCACTAGTAGAATCTAGTAAATTATATCTGGGCAGAGCAAATTAGTTGCCAAGTAAGTCCATACTCTATATTCCTAGATGCTGGCCGAGAATTGTTGACAAAGGGTCTGCGGAGTCAGATCGGATATAAATAGTGGCGCCAGACGTATCTTAGCGCCATTTGACAGGGGTGAGATCCAAGCAAACGGGCTGTGAAACATCATCCCTGGCGTCCGAAGAGGGGATCTTTCTTTGTCTGATCCAATAACAATGGCGGCTTTGAGGCTTGGGGAGAAGCCGTGGGGCAGATCGTCCGAGGAGTTATTGGGACGGCAACGGAAGATCCTGACTCTGTATATGTAGGTGTGTGAGAAGATGACCTGTAGTTTGCTTTGCACTTGCTCACCGTTCTTTCCTTGTGGCAAGATACTACATAATGTTCCTAGCCCGAGACCGTACATGAAGATACATGGCTTTACATGAATACTACATGGATTGCGCTAATGATGTGCATTAGGGATTAATTACGCAGTGGATCTGATTCGCGGACTTGCAATCGCCACTAAATACGCCGTATAGTAATTTTAGAATGCTTTGTAATTTCCTTTGTACTGTATTCCTGCGAAACTTGTGCGAAACAATTAACGAATGCGAAGCTCAAGGCACTCGGACATAGCCGACTACCAAAAAATGATAAGTACGAGTCATGATGTCAGAAGCAAATCTCTGCCTCGATTCCCCAATAAAATTAAGTTAATTGTGATCTATGAGCCGAGGTAGTGAACCATTTAAGTCTACAATCTGGGGGTGCGAACCATCCGAAATTTCGCCGACCCTTTGTAGGGTTTCTCGTACTGGAAAGAAATTAACCGGCTAAGATTCTCCTTTAACATAGTTTTCTCAGACCAACAGTTTGACCTAAATATGTGCCACAAAGCTACATTCATCGCAGAAAACGAGACGGGCAAGATCAGATCCATGCGATACCCTCCATGCCGAAAGATTGCATTGCGTACTTGCCTACGCTGTACAATTTACTGTGATAAGGCGTAACCTAGGGCTATTCCACCTGAAGTAGCCAGCATCCCAGTATAACAGGGTCTTCTGCCTCGATAGGGGCAGTTGAGAATGCTGTAGTCAGTTATATGTTAGCCGATCATACCGGAAAGATCGATAGGCTCTCCTTTGCCGGAAGTCTGTCAACATCAGTACTATACAACGGACATTGCCCACCACGTTGTGGTTGACCACGACCACGACGACTAGACGGTGTTCTGATCCTTTCCTCCGTATCTTGCCATGCACGCCTTTTATCCATCATCATTCGCTGCCATGTTGTACCCTGTGCATTGAGTTGTTCCATCAAAGTGTCCTTGTCCCCAGCGGCTTCGTGTGAAGCACGAACAATCTCAACTCGTGCTCGTATGTTCTTAGCAGAGGACCACTCTAGGGCAACATCGCCACCCCTGGTGCGATAGTGAAATACCGTGTTCCCTTGGATACCAACAGCATTAACATCAGTTCCATGACGAAGCAGGACGTTCACTACCTGCACCTGACGTAAATTTCTGGCCGCTAAGAGTAGAGGCGTTTCACCATTTTTGTCCACATGTCTTGGATCAGCGCCGTGAACTATCAAGAGTTCGGGCAGAGTAGTTTCATCGTCACCGTGCCTGCAAAGCGTGCAAAATTTATGAACGGTCTGGTTGTCGTTATATAGCGCACTGACATAGGCGTCTGCGTCCCACAATAACTAAGTTGCGATCTCAATGTGATTGCCACTGCAGAAGGCGTGGTGCGCCAATGATGAAGCGGTGTCATTCCCTTTCGACTCCGAGACATCCACGGTGTTTTGGCCAATACCAGCTAGAAGAACTTTGACTGTGTTGACTAGTCCGGGAGCAATTTCATCATCGGGTCGAACATATTCACACGTATCAAGCCCTATGGCCGCCCATGGATTGGTAGACAACCATGACTATCACGAACGAGCACGTATGCGATATCGCGATAGTCAGATATTTCTTGCAGGCCCTCTGAATTCCAGCCTAAACCCCCGATACAAAGTACAGTGAAACCCGGTGGATAGCCTTTATGCCGTCCCTCCACAAAACTCATCCAGGTCGGCTCCTTTGCTAAGCAGTCGTTCAACCAATGAAGAGCTAGTGTGAAACATAGCCGGCTCAAGAATAGTATTTCCGGGCTGTCTTTGCTGGGGACCAGAGATTCAGCAAGGGAAAAAGGCTTGGGAAACAAGCGTCTTGCGCAGAGGCGCCTCTGTCGAGAAGGATGTGTATCAACTTCTTGTATAATCCTGAATCCCCCTGGTGCGGATATTGAATTGTGGGAGAAGAGGAAAAGTAGTGGTCTAACATTGAGACGTCACTTTGTTTGATTATTACGTAGAGAAGTATATCTCAATAGTACTGGTAGAGCGTGAAAACATCTCTATCAATAGGGGTAAGTGGAGATTCGTGTGGGTGAGTATTGCTTCGAAATCTGCTGTACATCTCTGATGGAGAGGCAAACATATGAGCTAAATGTATCATACCACTCATAATCTACGTGTAATTGAGTGGTACATGCAGTCATGATTGCGAATGTTCTGATAGCAGCTGAATGGCCAATATAATGTGTCTAACTTCTTAATGCGCGTGATCTCCAAGGACGAATTCAGTTGTAGCCATATTCCACATTTGAGAGGCCCAGGGAAAGCCTAGTAGGTCGTTATTCTTAGTGCCTAGCTATGTAGTAAATTCATCCATAATGTAACAAAGCTAAGCTCTGTAAAGGCCATATGCATTCATCGTACTTCGTCTGTCAGCCTTCCCTCTGTCGGGAATTGTGACCCCTTACCAGCGGCATCAATGATGGACGATGCCGAGCATATCAAAACGGCCCCGGAGAGACTAGCCGATGATGGCCATGAAATCATCTTGATGATGCATTCATACGGCGGGGTATGCGGTACTGAAAGCACCAAGGAAGAAACCAGGAGGTATCATCCATCCCGTCCATGTCAGCCCCCCAGTACCTGAAATCATAGCTGAAACTATTCTTTTCTGTGACTAATTTATGGTGTCTCCGTCTTGAAGTTTTACGGCTCGCACTATGCCACATGCAACATAACCAACTTGCATCTACGAGGTGTCAGAGAGGATCCGTGGCTCTAGTGACGTCCACATCAGGATACTTTGGGTCAACAGGATTTGGTGAATTAATGGTGTCGCTCCGTTCTTCACACCGACCCCTACATTCAAAGCACTGGGCGAGCAATGGAGGGAGTCCGGTCTCGAATTCAACACACTAGAAAGTGTTGCAACGGCCATTGCTCTCGCCTGTTCACGAGATGAGAGTGGTAAATGCTATATGGTACTGCTTCTGACACTTCTTCCTCCCTGGCTACCAATGTATGCTAATGTTTACACAGATCGCCGGAGGAATGTCTGTGGAAGTAGAAGACTGCAGAAAATCGCTTGTCCCACCGTGGCTTGGGCATGAAACTGGCGAGTTGTTACGATCTGCCAGCAAGCTCTTTGAGAACGATGGTTATCCATTGCCTGGGGCGGGTGCATAATGTAGACATGCTGCAATATTCCTACTCCAACAGGCAGAAATTTAGAATATAGCCTTGCTTTAACGAAATTCCAGTAAGCATCCACAATACACCGAGTGCTACTATTGAACACCATGAGATTGGGGGTGCGAATTGCAGCCCTCATCAACGATCACTAGGTCAGAAACTGGACGTGCTGCTCATTTAGAAATCCTCAATCACCTCATGTCAGACGCATGTCAATTACAGTGCCTCGCAATTGGGCTTGCGCCACAATGCATACGAAAATCAACCCGAAATATCTAGAGCCGGCAGCATGAAAAAGCCCAATCGGCAAAAAAAAAAAAGAAGTGGAACAATTTGGAAAATTAATATGCTGTACAAGGCAGAAACGCTGAACGAAGACCCGAATGCAATATATGAAGAAATCCCAACACCAACAATCTATGCATCACTGTCAGACTCGACTTCGTCATTCTCGAGATGCTTCTTGCGCTCCTCGTTCATTTCTCTATAAGTGCTGAAGCTCAGCATGAAAAATGCAACCATGATCAAAATGCCACCAATGATAGATGCCATAGAAAGAGGATCGCCTGTTCGGAACCAGTCCACCAGAGCGACGAGGAAGATAGTGAGAAGCGCAGCAACTGATGAGAGGACAGGTGATGTCAGAGAAATAAGCACCAGGAATGAACCGGAGAATGCTGTTTCGGTTAGTGCTGAGTCATTTTAATAAGCATCTAGTACTTACTCGCATTGGCACACACGGAGACGATCAACATCCGGCCTGCCTCGCCTGTGGGCCATTCAAAGGTCTCCCATCCCGTCCAGTGTAGGAAAGGCAAGGGGATCCACAGCACGAGAAGAGTAAAGGCTCCGATCAGACTGCCAAAGGTATTGGCAAAGATTGTACCACGGCCCGGACTGGTACCTTCCGGAGGACAGGCGAAGCGCTTGTAGAGCACCTCATACAGTCCGTAAAGAACGCTTCCAATACCAATGACGATATTGCCAAGCAGCCTGTTCTGGGCTCCATCATCGCCCCCTTTGGAGGCCTTCTTCTCAGGTCGGTCACCGTACGCAACGACCATCACACCAATAGTAGCGACTGCAACGGAGAACACCTTGTCGAAGCGTAGCTTCTCATTCAAGAGAGGAATGGAGAATGCGTACGCAAAGAAAGCGGAACAGTTGTAAATAGCTGTCAGGTCACTGGCCGTCGTCATGTTGACCGCGACATACCATGAGCCTCCGGCGATTGTGAGCGCAGTAGTCACAAAAGCGGTGGTCTTAACCATGTACGGGATAGGAGATCTATTTGAAGAGCGGTTGGTGAGGTGTACATCCTGGGATTCAACCATTTGCGCAGTAGTGCGAAGGAGAAAGACGTGTCGTCGCCAGAACGCCTCCCATGACATCTTCCGTTTTTGGATTCGAAGGATTCCGAGTTGGACCAGCCAAAGCAAGGACCAAGAACCGTGGGTCATATAGCTGCATAGGGGCGGTAAGCTTTTACATCCCGAGGACTAAATTTGCGCATGGGGCTTGGGGTGGCCGGCTCATCTCCGTTGGCACTTACAGCATGCAATAGGGTTTCTTCCAACCCAGCTCATTCTGGATGTACGAAGCAGTCTCCGTTTGGACGACGAAGCTAGCCAAGCTGAGCAGGAGGAATCCCGATGCAATCATATATTTCTTGCGAGTCGCTTGGGCAGCGTCGTGTTCCGGGCTCTTACTCCGGATGGTAGGGCGTCTGGTATGGTGCAGCATGGGCCGGCCTTCTGTGTCATCATTTTCAAAGCTTGAGCGGGATAGACGACCCTGGCGGCCATCTTTAAGCAGGGGTTGTTGCGAGCGGCCATCCGTGGGTCGGTGCAATGGGGGGCGATTTACAGCCATCTCGTCGTCTGAGTCTTGGGAGTCGTGAGTCGAATCGTGGACTGTGTCCGGGGTTGAGATCACCCGTGGCTCTGAGAGCTCAAAGGTATCTGAAGCCACAGCGTCGTTGATGAGGGAGTTGTTGATCGTCTTGATTATTGCATGGAATCCGCCGTGGTCAGGGGGATTCTCCTCCGATCTATGGTCCTTGCGAAAAAAATAACAGATAAGAGGTGGAAGTCAAGGGGCGAGCAGATGAGGTTGCTGAATGACAGTATTCGACAAAGTATAACGCATGAGACCAGTTCCCACGTGCTTTGGCTCTGGCTCTGGTTTTATTGTACTACCCCGTTCGCAGTGTATGGTTGCATGCGATCCAGGAACAGGTCGAGGTTCCGGGATTTTGGGATAGCTCTAAGATGAGGCTGATAGCCAATGCAAGCCGGTGGGAAACGAATGTCGGGATCAATGGGGTATGAAATGGAGAGTGAGAAGAGACAAATCAGCGTCAAAAGGCGTTGGTTGGCCGCCTCCAGCTGTCGTCACAGGGGTCCCGCTTTGGGCGTTCACGTGATCACGGGGCGCACGCTAAGCCACTCTAGGACTGGCGCAGTATCATTATGTCATGTCTTGGCATTCCCCTCAGAAAATCTGGGGCTAAGAGCTTTATTTAGATCAGAAAGACACTGTTTTACAGCAGCTGACCTTTTTGGCCCCATCTTATAGCCCACTAAAAATGGTCCAACTGTCTAATATGGGTGTGTTGTATACCTCCACTTTGCTAACTCTGTCCCATCTTGGAACTATCAAACACCGGATCAAACACCGGCTTAGGGTAGTAGTGCGACTCCGGAAATGTCTGTATGTTGTTCTGTGTGACCGATTAAGTCGCCATATTTCAGATCCTATAAACAGCTCTCGCAATATCTTGATACAGTGCCTAGTCTACTTAGGCCCATACAAAGCCTTCTGAGTATCGTAGGTATACTTCAGATCCAGATGCCAATAAACAGGTGACTCGGCCTTGGCAACAAGCCAAGCCTTATCCAAAGCCTGAACAACCTCCTCAGGCAAAGGACCCTTCTGGAGATCAGCAAGGTTGGTTTCAAGCTGACCAAAGCTGCTAACACCGACGAGGACACCATCACGGCCGCCATTATCCATTCGTAGCGCAGAGTGGTGTCGCACCCAGCGAAGAGCAGTCTCCAACAAGGTGAGACCGTGCTTCTCCACAACGGGCTCGATCAGGCTAAGAGCTTCGAAGGTAGCATCTCGGAAGTAGCGTTGGCGGTAGTTGGAGCCGGTTGCGCTTCCCTCGCCGAATCTGCCTTCGGCGGGGATATCGCGTGTCTTGTATTTTCCAGAGAAGAGACCACCGGCTAGAGGGTTGTAAGTGACTATGTCGAGGCCGTACCGGTGGCAGGCAGGGACGAGTTCTGTCTCGATATTGCGTGCTATCATGAATAATTGCGTCAGTTCAGACTTGTGATGGAAATCGAAGGACATGAAAGATATTGAAGGTGAAAATAAAGTAGATACTCACTAATGGCATTATACATGGCCTGGTATATGGTAGGACGAACCCATCCATTGGCAGCGCACAGCGTACAGATCTCAGCCACCTCGAAGGAAGTGAAGTTACTCAGACCAAGCTGAACAAACTTGCCCTCCTTGTGTAACTGGTTGACAGCCTCGAGTGTCTCGGCAAATGGAGTCGCGCGGTCCGCAGCATGCAGATAGAAGATATCAACAGTGTCAGTCTGCAGCTCCTTCAGAGAAAGCTCGAAGTTCTCACGGAGGATGTTCGGCTTGTGAAAGCCGGGCTGGTGCGGGTACCATTTGGTAGCAATAGTCAAGCCGCGCGACTTCCAGTTCGCCTTGGCCGTAAAAGCCTCCTGCTCCCCACCGACGTAGATGCGAGCGGTGTCGATCTCATTGAAGCCTTGCTGCTGGAAGTAATCGAGGCACTTGTTGTACTCGTCGAGCGAGGTAATCCGGGCACCCTTGTCCTCAGAGGGACCAAAGGTCATTAGCCCGAGAATGACTCTGGGCTGGGGGTTCTGCGCAATGAGAGGCATGTTGATTGATGTGTTGAGAGTTGGAGGTCAAGTGGGGATGGCGGGGCTGCGGAGGACCCCGATAAATATGATCACGGCCGACGCCTTCGTATTTATTCCTCGTGTTCGTAGAATCTCTACACATTTCCACTTGTATTCAAAATGACTCTTCAAACATCTCCCGAGCGGCGATACGATGCCAATGAAATATGTACGCTCAATCCGAGAAAGGGCGAGCGGAAGTATAGTATCTTGATCGTCAACCCCAACACCTCGACACACATGACGGAAGCATTGAAGCCAATCTTGGCCAGCATGAACTATACCGATGTGCATTGTGAATACTTTACTGCCCCAGACGTCCCCGTGGAGGTCAACGGGGTCAAGATTGAACCAATTGCCAGCATCAATAACGCCGAAGAATCCTGCCGCTCAGCATTGAACTGTTGGTCTGTAAGGGACCTGGTCCCATACTACGATGCCTTCTTGGTAGCATGCTTTTCTGCACACCCATTTGTCGGCCAGCTGAGACAAGATATTGAATCGGCGGAAGAGAACAGTCCTACAACGCGAAACAAATATGTCACCGGAATCTTTGAAGCTTCCATCACCGCAGCCCTTTCCTTGGTTAGTGGATTCGCATTAGAAAGCTCATTCAATCCCGCAGAAAAATTGCACAAACACCAAGAACAGGGGAGCTTTGGCATTGTCACAACCGGCGCCGCCTGGAAAGATGAGCTCATCCACGGCGTGCAGGGCGCACTAGGATACGGGAATCAGGGGGAGAGCTCGACGCACTTTGCTGGTGTTGAAACCACCGGCCTGACAGCCGTTGAATTACACACCACAGCCCCAGAGGAAGTACGCCAGAGAATAATCGAGGCCACTCGCAATCTACTTCGGAACTCTAAGACTCGTGTCAAGGTTGTTTGTCTGGGCTGTGCTGGCATGGCAGGCATGGAAGAAGCTGTGCGAGAGGGATGTGAGCGGGAATATGGAATCCAAGAGGGTGGTCGAGTTCGCATCGTGGATGGAGTGGTTGCAGGCGCAGGAAGCCTCATTACAGCTTTGAAAGCTGGATTCTGAGTAGTATCGTTATCAACGATTGGGCCATTGGAAAGGGGAACACTCAAAATTGGACAATAGCTAGATTAGTTCATGAGATGAAAAACTATGAATTGTCGAATATCCATGTCTATGTGTTAGCTGATCAAATCGACTTGTTATGTTGATGCAAACTTCTGCCTGAGGCGACGATGTCGGCCAAAAAGTTCCCCGCGCCAACGCGCGATACGCGTTGAGAGCTGCAACACCCGACGGCTTTTGCGCACGAAAGATGCCAAGGTATGTGGTCTACCCAATGTATTTCCATGTTTTGAAATGCATCTCTTGCTGGAATACAAACGCTAATACTGACGGAATGGCAGAGAAATCATCACAATCCAAGCCGGCCAGTGCGGCAACAACGGTATGTGGCACACCTCCGCGAGCTCCTCTGCGGAATCCCCGACCCTGCGCCGTCGACTGAAGTCGAACAACCCCTGGAAATTGAATTCTAGTATGCTAACATGCGGTCTGCTTAGTCGGTAGCCAGTTCTGGCAGCAGCTGTGCCAGGAGCATGGAATCAGCGCAGACGGAAACTTAGCGGATTTTGCGACGGAAGGTGGTGATCGCAAGGATGTTTTCTTCTACCAGGTGAGTTTTGGAACCATAAAGCATACCCTCTGGCTGGTAGTATCGCTGACGACGTTGATAGAGTGACGACACGCGATACATTCCCCGAGCGATTCTCCTCGATCTAGAACCCAGAGTATGCGCGCACAAGTCCTGACATACCCCACGACATGTCACTAAAACAAATCATAGGTACTCAATGGCATCCAAACCGGACCCTACAAGAACATCTACAACCCCGAGAACTTCTTCATCGGGCAGCAAGGTATCGGAGCTGGAAACAACTGGGGAGCTGGATATGCAGCTGGCGAGGGTATATCAGAGGAGATTTTCGACATGATCGACCGAGAAGCAGACGGAAGTGACTCACTAGAAGGTTTCATGCTTCTTCACTCGATCGCCGGAGGTACAGGTTCAGGACTGGGCAGTTTCATTCTGGAGCGCATGAACGATCGTTTCCCCAAGAAGCTCATCCAAACCTACTCCGTCTTCCCCGATACGCAAAACCCCGATGTTGTCGTCAGTCCTTACAACAGCTTGCTCGCCATGCGACGATTGACGCAAGATGCTGACTCTGTGGTTGTCCTGGACAATGGCGCTCTATCACGAATCGTTGCTGACCGACTTCACGTGCAAGAGCCTTCATTCCACCAAACCAATCAGCTGGTGTCGACAGTGATGTCTGCATCTACTACCACCCTACGATACCCCGGATACATGCACAATGACCTTGCTGGAATCATTGCCTCGCTTATCCCAACACCACGCAGCCATTTCCTTCTCACCTCATACACCCCTTTCACTGGCGCCAATATCGACCAAGCTAGGACGGTACGAAAAACGACCGTCTTGGATGTGATGCGTCGTCTTCTACAACCTAAGAACCGAATGGTATCCATCAACCCCAGCAAGTCCAGTTGCTACATTAGTATCCTCAACATTATCCAAGGTGAAGCCGACCCGACCGACGTGCACAAGTCACTCCTACGCATTCGAGAACGCCGTCTTGCTTCTTTCATCCCATGGGGTCCAGCCAGCATCCAAGTGGCATTGACCAAGAAATCTCCATATATCTCGGATGCCGGCCACCGCGTCAGTGGCCTAATGCTAGCCAACCACACGTCCGTGGCAACACTCTTCAAGCGCATCGTGCACCAATATGACCGATTCCGCAACCGCAATGCTTTCTTGGAACAATACAAAAAAGAAGCGCCCTTCTCCGACGGACTTGGCGAGTTTGACGAAGCGCGGGCAGTGGTAATGGATCTCATCGGCGAGTACGAAGCCGCAGAAAAGGAGAATTACTTAGACCCGGATGCTGGAAAGGCAAATGAAACGGGAGCATGATTTGGCATTGGATTGGCAAATTGTTTCATTTCTCTCGCTTTTTTTCCCTATTTGCCTTTCTCCTGTCCCCTTTTTCTTTTATTTTCTTCTTTTTCGGGGCAAGGGGTTCGGGCGCATGGGCGTTTCCAATTTTCTCTTTATCAAACCAATGCAGGCCTCCACATTTGAAATGGAACACGTAGCCCCGGTAGAGCAAGTCGACGTGGTGTGATTACGATGTGATCCAGTTTAGCACAGGTGCAGTACAGTACTGCACAAGTAAGGCTAGGCGAGAGAGAAGGAAATTGGGTAGCGGGATCGGCCTCACTTTAGGCCTTGAAATTGGTTAAGACTACCCGACATGCTGGGCGTTGGTCCCGTGCGCAATGCAGAAACCGAATGGCTCGTATTGGATTGTATTGGACACTTCACCTCTCTTTTTTAGGTAGCTCCACTCTTTGATATGATATCCGGTATATGTATAAGCTATGTAGGCAGTGGAGATGTGGGTAGATGATGTAGTACTGCATAGTTTAGTATAGCCAGGTGTTCTGGGTAAACCGCCGTAGACGCAAGAATATCGGATGAACCTGTTGCCACTGGCAATGGGTGGCGGAAGTCAGTTGGGGGCATCACGTGTATAGTCCCTACTAGTTATCGTATCCTAGTGACCTAGGTAGTAGTAGTGTCGACCCGAGACACAGGAGACTATAGTAGTTAGTGTATTGGCTATAGTGTAATCTACACTCTCATATTTCACAATTTATCACTTATCGAACCTTCTGGGAATCTCCACTTTACCTCATTCCGTCACCCCCAGTCGCCTCACTGACTCAGCCTTCTGTGGCTTTCTCCCGTCTGTTCCGATCCCTATATATACCCCCTTCTGCAGGTACTCCTCTTCTTCTCCCCCTTTACCACCTTGCCGTCTTTCGATCTACACCACCCCCCCCCCCCCCCCCCCCCAACGCATCTCCGCACTGGGCTCGGCGCTTATCCAACACCCCAAAGACAATCCAACAACCCCCTTCGAGAGTTGCTACCGAACAATCCGGCGTCTCGCCTCCTCCCTATCTCTTCCTCAGTCGGTTACTCTCCAACCGGCCTCTCCAACTCTCAGACCGTCACTCAAAACCACGACAATGCCTCCCCGCAAGCCCCGTTGCAACTTCAAGGAGTGCAAGGAAGCCGCCCAGCGCATCGTCGGCGACTGCAGTTTCTGCGCCGGCCACTTCTGTTCCAAACACCGCATGTTGGAAGCACACTCCTGCACCGGACTGGAGGACTGCAAGAAGGAGAGCCATGCTCGCAACGCCGATAAGCTGAACAGCGAGCGGACAGTCGTTGTAAAGGGTGTATGAGGGCATCATAATCAGAGCGGAGTGGATGGAATCCATTCATCGACGGGGTCTGTTTCTTGGAACAGCAGACCGTCTGCTGTAATGTTCTGCTGAACAGGACAGGAGAGATGGGGCTATCGCCCCGTCTCCACCTCCCCATCTCCATCTCCAACTCCGTCTCCACAACTGTCTCGTCGCCTACATTACTTACTTGCCTTTTACTTCCTTTTGCGTACTTCTCTCGCGGTGATCTTGGATTTAGCGCGGTGTTTCGTTCTACTCTTTGATTTGGGGATGAGTTGTTCTGGTTTGGCTTGATCTATATATAGATCTATTTCTTCCTGTTTTGGGGTCATTTGCATGGCGTTGTTCCCTGGTGTCATTTCTACTATTTTTTTGGATCTACTGCCGTCTTGCATTTGGGGCTTGACTTCTTTTCGGGGACTGCTTCTAATAGAGCTCCTGCAGGTCTACGTTTGAGCCTTGAATTATACATATTTTCAATCATCTTCAGAGTACATACATTCACATGATATAGACACCAGTACAGTGTAGATACCGAATAGACATCATGTGGTCCATGTCCATCTAGCTCACGAGAACATCTACATCTGACTGGCAGAAATCCAAAAATGAAAATTGAAACATTGGTAAAAGTACAGAAATGCATTTACAGCGTCGTATTTAAGCCCTAAGCTCCATGCATTGAAACCCGAACCTCCATTTAACCCGGTCCAATCTTGGGCCTGGAAGAAGTTAGCAGCCATTCACAAACAAAGACAAAGAAAAAGAAAGACATACATATCATGATGCTCACTCAAGCGACTGAGATACTTATTCAGTTCCTCAACCTTTTCTTTATGAGTCTTGACGCCTTCCCGTTGAAGTCGTTCATGTAACTACCCAAGTCAGTCAGATATCCAACAAAGCCAAAGGCTTCCCGTTCAGGACAAAGAAAGAATGAACATACCCGTCTCCGCCGAATCTCCTCATACTTCCTCTCAGTCTCAGTCTTCCCACTCCCAATCTCCCTCTCGACCTTATCACCATCATCGTCATTGTCATAGTCATCACGCTTCCCCACTCGAGACTCAATCGGCGTTGAATCCCGACCGGAATCACCTTCAACTGTCGATTTCTGCTTATCCCCAGGAATCTCACTAGGAGTCCCAGGAGCAGAAGCCGAAGCAGATCCGTCCTTCTTCGAGCTCTTCTTCTTTTTTTTTCTCTACCCGCCCCCCGCTAACTTTGCTCCCCTTCAACTTGAGCTTGCCGCCGCCGACGGAGTATTCGTCACCCGCCATGAGTGGGTCGGATTGCGTTTCGATTCTCCAGGTGTAGAGGGATGACGTGTGCTCTGTTCTCTTTGGCGTTTGGCGGTGTGGCTTTTGATGGGCGGAGATGGGGTCCGCTGGAGTTGCGCGTGCGGAGTTGAGCGGTGGTCGATCGCTTGGGGTTAGGGACTGGGTTTGCGTTTCGCGGTTAGGGGGAGGCTGGAATTTGAGGTTTGTTCTTTGCAGGAGATGTGACTTGGATGTGCTGGGTTGCTTGTTGGAACGAGAGTTGGAGTTGAGGTGGGAGTGGGCCAATCAGAGGCGGTGGGGACTTGTCTTATAGATTTAATAGCTACGGAATGTGAGTATGGAGTAGCTTGACGGGAAATCAAGTATGATTATTTTCATTTGCTATCCTTATTTTGTCGCGTAGACTTAATCAAACGGAATTGGGCGCAAGTTCGATCCACCCATACGCTTGCGCATCTCTGCGCCCGCAGCCACGGTACTGGGTACCTTGATACCGCAGCAGTCGCCAAACCAGTCGGCACTGTCGTGTCCGTGTGCGTGGTCGTGGGCATGGTCATGGCCTTCATGCTCAACATCGCCTTCGGAGGGATCGCTCATGCCTTCAGCAGGAGCCAAGAGACTCCCAAACAAGAAGTGCTGCATGATAGGAAGCTTTCCAAGAACCTCCTTTACAAACATTTTCTTCATACCACTCTCGACTTTGAACCAGTTTTTGGCTCCGGAGATATCATCCAGCATGGGGCTGTGCCAGCGTAGACCCTTGACAGTCTTCACACTGTCCACCCAGCGGACCTGGTCCAAATAAAGATAGTTGTCACCCTCCTCATCCAATGTAGCTGTATTGTGAATACCCAATGGGGTGATATATCCATGACCGACTAATTGACTGGCACCGAACAAGAACGGAAGGAAATGATAATCATCCAGACCCCACACACCGTGTGAACCAGCAGGTTCGAGGTAATAAGTGGATTGAATTTCGCGCATGAGGTGCATGTACTCCATATAGACCTTGACCACCACGGCAGGGAAGTCCGAGGCGGGGAGAAGACCAAGCTGATACAGACATAGCAGCCACATCATGAAATTCAATTCATGCCCTGAGCCATAATCAATGCGGTCTTTTGATCCCAGAGAGTTAATCAGGTATGTAGAGGCTTCTTCGGTTGCTGCGGTATCTTTCAACCCTAGAATATTGGTATGCCATGATGCGCTCTGGGCGGCGACATCGTCGAACAAGGCACGGAAAGCGGGATTACCGAATCGCGATCCACCCTGGTCGATTGCAGGGTTTCTGGTCAAGAGGGCCCGGATCTGAGTGACGACGGAGAAGATCTTGGAGATGGATTCGGACTGTGGCTTTTTTTGAAGGTCGGTAACGGAGTGCCCACGGACGGAGTCGGTCAGGCCGAAGACAAATGCAAGGACTAGTTTGTATGTAGGTGAGGAGAGGAAGAGTTCATGATCCTTGGGGGAGAGGATCCGACGAACTGGTTGGCGATACTGGTGGGCGGAGAGATCTGGCGGCGAGGGGAGAGGAGGGGTAGTTGGTGTTGGGTCTCGAGCGTTAGTCTGTGGTCTGTGATTGTTTGACCGCAAATCTGAAAGCTTCTTGGAAAGATCGACCTTTCCGGGAGAGGTCTGTGATGCCATCTTTTATGATGTTGAAGTGAGGAGGGGAGAAAGTTGATCAATAGACTGCATAAATTAGCCCAGACCGCCTACCCAAAGAGAACATGACGCCATTTGTTAGGGTTCTGAGAGTCGTGACTTTTTGATGGTCAAACAGATGGCGACTGGAACATTTACGCCATATCCTGGAATCATCCCCAGTGAGCCCCCAAACCTCTATCTTCATCTCATCGTGATCTACGCGATCAAACCCAAGTGGGTTGCAGTGGACCCTTCCCCGGAGTCACGTGCGGAGATCATTGCACGCTTTGCGCGAGGTCACACCGGCACTGTGCAGTCTGAGCAGCACAGATTGACACTGACAGATCCCAGAACCTTGAAATAAGGGGGAAATATCTCACTTTTTGCTCACCCCAAACACCGCATAGCAAGATCCTCTTGTCCGTTCCGCAAAAGGAGTCCCTGGCGCCCGCAGTGCATAAACACGGTCCCTCTCCTCTCGGGATTGGACAGAATAGTCCAACTGATTTATGATCACGCCATAATGAATACATTTGATTCGCTTCCGACAGGCCAGAGCAACGGAGCCAAAGATATTCAGTCCTCTCGGTCACCCACCAACACCGATTCAGCTCTGTCCTCTTCCATCGGCAGCGCCCGGTCCCACTCAAGCTCTTCCCGAACCCATGCACGCACATTGAACCAACAACAGAGCTCTCAGTTCACCGAGGCCACCCCGATCAACGCGGGTGACCCCTTGAGGCACAACTATAAATCCACCGAGCAGACCGAAAGCTCCCAAACCAGGGCTCAACACCCAGATAATGCAAACACCAGCAATGGCACCACCGCCAACCAGCCAAGCACTCAGGAGACACCCTCTGAGCCCAGGCAGTCCTGGTATAGCAAATTAGCAGATCGCTATGGCAGTCTGGAACTAGAAAACAAAGGCAGTGTTGCGCGCGATCACCTTGCACTAGGTATGAACTGCACACATCTACAACCCTAACCCCAGGTCAATCTAACAATACCAACAGAGCGAACCTTCCTAGCATGGATGCGCACATCTCTAGCCTTTGCCTCAATTGGAATCGCAGTAACCCAACTTTTCCGTTTGAACAGCGCGAACCAAGATACAACTCCAAATGCCTATAAGATAAACGATGCCAACCCAGCCATCCTCCCACCAAACCTCTCCTACGACTCAGCAGCATTACACGCATCCTCCGCCTCCTCCCGTCTCCGCAGCGTAGGGAAACCCCTCGGCTCAACATTCATCGGTGTCTCAATCCTCATTTTGGTAGTCGGTTTCCACCGATACTTTGAGAGCCAGTATTGGATCATTCGGGGCAAGTTCCCGGCCAGTCGTGGTAGTGTTGCACTTACGGCGTTTGTGGCTGCTGCACTGATTATTGCTGCGCTTGCGGTTATCTTGGCTGTTTCGCCGGGTGCTGTGGAGGGTTGATTGCATATATTGTGCAGAGCATAGGTGGGTTGAAGTCCGGGTGGGTCATTCCTCTTGTCTTGTGCATTTGATCATGTGGCGTTTATAGCATCTTTGCGTCTTTCGGTTGTATTTCCTGCTTAGTATATTTTACTTTGGACTTTCATCTTTAGGTCATTCATTATTGAGATGTATTTGTCCAGTGTGTTCCTGTAATTTTGCCTACAAATTGACCAGTTCAATGCTCTTTTTAACAATCTTATAAATCCACAGATATCATAATTTTACAAGACCCAGTCAAAAACACTTATACAGAATCCTAACTTCCATACAGTATCATCTTCCTTCAAATAGCTCAACTCGTATCTGGAAACCCCCACCATAGTCTACAGATACACAATATCTACATATTATACAGCCAATAGAAATGGTTAGTTCTTTTCTGTCATAAAAGCCCCAGATCCACCCGCACCAGACCAGTCTAGGTACAATGTAGGAAGCAGGAAAAGAGACAGGGCAAAAACCACAAGATTGACAGGAGTATATCGACAAGGATCGGGGGAAGAAGAAGTGAGGATAAGAGAAAAGACAGAGAACAACATGGCTTGCAAACAATGCGAAGCAAGAAATCAGAGAGAAAGGAGCAGAGCAAGAACCGGGACCATAACCGAAACCGCCTAAATACAATGCGATTATCGGGGACCAAGCTTGTCCAAGGCGCGGGCACCCTGTTCCTGCCACTCCTGCTTGCTCACCCACATGTCTTCCTTGTCGGCGATCTGGAGGGGTGATGTTAGTAGGAATCTGCCTGGGAGTTAACGGCGAATATAGACATACCAGGTTGGCGAGCACGGCACCACCCAGGAAGACCATGTGTCTCCGTCGAGGGGGGTCTTCGATGCGGACCTTGAATTTCTAGGAGATCATTAGCCGAGTTCAGATGTTAGTCTGTGGTGATTGAACATACGTTCAACCGTTCCGGGTCTCCACCCAATACCCGAGTAAGCCAGAGCTGCTTCAGCTCCTTCTCCAATCTAGAAGGCAGACCGGGGTACATGCTACTTCCACCACTGAGCACAATGGCCTTGTATAGACTGGAACGAACATCGACATCGGCACCCTGGATACAGTTGAAGAGCATCTCAGCAATGCCGGGCTGATCAACATCGACCAAGTGAGGCTGGAACAGACACTCGGGAGCCTCGAAGCGCTCGCTACCGACACGGATGACACGGCCATCGGGCAGGGTGTACGACTCAACGAGAACGGTGGTATCCTCGGAGAGCTTCTTGTCCAGCTCGAGGTCGTAAGAGACGTAAGCGAGCTTCTCCTTAATCTGGCGGACGGTCTCGAAATCGGCGGTTCGGTTCAGCGCATATCCGCGGCGCAAAAGGAGCGCAATCAGGTTGCGCGTGACATCGCGGCCGGCGACGTCCAGACGACGGATGTGGTGGTTCAGCACGGTCGACTCGTACACGGGGATAATGTGCGTCACACCATCACCGGAATCCACGACCACTCCGCTGCTCAGACCTACAACACCCGTCAGCATTTTCACCCCATCCGTTCAATCCTCGCATCACATACCCTGGGCATACAGTGCCAGCACCGCCTGGATCGCCACATAGACACCACCGAAGCCATATCCCTCCAGCATAACCTCAGCCATCTGCTCGCGGTTCTTGAGCGGGTTCATCGGGGGTTCCGTGAGGAGGATCTTGCGACCCTCAGGGTTGATCTTCATCTTATCGTAAAAGGTGTAGTTCCATAGATGTTGCATGTCGTCCCATTTCTTGACAATTCCATTTTCCATCTAGAGAAGCGCGAGTTAGGCATCGACAACCTGCGGAGAGGGCGGGGTATGACGGTGGGGGACCAGTCCGGGGACATACAGGATAGCTGATCTGGAGCATGGATCGTGCGGCAGCGGCTTCATCTCCGCACATGATATCCTTGAGCACGAAGTCGCTCGACTGCTCCTCCGTTCGCAAGATGGGCCGCCCCACTATCGAGGGGAACTGGTGCTCTGGGAAGTTCTGGCAGGAATATGAATTAGAGAGGAGCATCAGAGTTTTGAGATGGCTATGCAAGATACCTGGGCAGCATAGCCGACCTTGAGGAAACCGGTTCCTCCATCGAGCACTGCGGAGTGGTTAGCTTATGAGCTTGGAAGCTGGGACACGGTAGCCTGGGGAGGTGTACCAATGGGCATGTCCGCCATACTGAAGGAATTGGAAATGCGACAGGTAAAAGGGGAGGTTCAGGGAGTAAAGTTTTGGGAGCTCCCAAGAAGCGCGGAATTGGCGGAGGTTCAAGGGAGGAGAGTTGGGGATGTTTGAAGTCGAAGCCGACGACGGACGGAGCATCATAACTTACGTGACCATACCATACCTGATATCGCCCCCACACCTGGAGGTGAGCGGCTGTTATGACAGTACGTGACGACATCAACACATTCTCAGACTGAACAAGCTCGAAAAGATGAAGTTAGGGGCCGAATTGAGATTATTTGGACTTGGAATAACTGTGAATAGTTTCAAATAGTGGGGTGGGATATATGCATTCAATATGACATGATACATGTATACCTTGCAGGAGGCAGATCAAGTCAACACATCGGATTGTCTCAAATCACAACTAGCAGTGACAAGATATATCTCTTTAGATTCAACTAAGCCCGTCAAACTAGTTGTGGACGAACATCTGTCGGCCGACTCCGATATCCTCGGGAAACGTGTCGCTCCACCATACCCCGGACCACGACTTCCTTTCACTTATATAGCTTGATCTGTTGCCCACCCTATATACCGCCAATTGAAATCCCAACATGCCTCAAATCGGCTGGGTAAGTACTAACGGCACCTCTTCAGACACAGGAACTAACTCGATCTTTAGTATGGCCTCGGGTCCATGGGCCTGGCAATGGCCTCGAACCTCCAGAGGCACCTAGCAACCAAGAAAGCTCTGAGTCTACTCTACTCCAACCGGACAATGTCGCGCGGAGCACCCCTGCAATCACTGGGAGGAGTTCCAGAGAACAATTTCTCGAAACTAGTCTCCAACTGTGGAATCATCTTCACCATGGTACCTAATACCACCAAGCCCCATATTGAATCTACTCCTAACTACAAGCCCTAGATCTCAAACGACTCAGTTCTACAAAGCCTGCTATTCCAAGCAACAAGCTCAGGCAACTCCCTCAAAGGCAAGATCTTCGTCGACTGCTCAACAGTGCACCCAGAAACAGTCAGCAAAGCTGTCACCGAACTGAAAGCCAAGAACGCCTCATATGTAGCAGCGCCTGTCTTCGGCGGAAACCCGATTGCCGTCGACGGCAAGCTGGTCTTCGCAATTGGCGGTCCTCAACATGCAACAGAAGCTGTTAAGCCTTTGATACAGGACGTGATGGGTCGCCGGGTGATTGAGTGCGGTGAAGACGCGACGAAGGCTTCCCTTCTGAAGATTGCTGGTAATATTGTTACTGTTAATATGATGGAGGCTGTTGGTGAGGCGCAGGTCTTTGCTGAGAAGACTGGGCTAGGCACTGGGCCTATGGAGGAGCTTATTGGGGAAGCGTTTGGGCCTGTTGCTGGGGGTTATTCTAAGAGGTATGTTCTGATCATGTCTAGTGTGGATTTTGGGGATTTGGATTCTGATGTCTTGTTAGGTTGACTTCTGGTGCTTATGCGCCGTCTTTGGATTCCCGTCCTGGGTTTGGTGTCTCGCTTGCTATTAAGGATGCTAGGCATGCCATGGCCATGGCTGAGGAGGGTGGTGTTCAGCTTCCGGGTCTTGAGCTTGCTCATGCCAACATGGAGGCTGCTAGGGAGTATGGTGGCGAGTGTCTTGATAGCAGTGCTATGTATGGTACATTGCGCCAGAAGGCTGGGTTGGAGTTTTGGAATGAAAAAAGCAGGAAAGAGTAGAGGCAATCAGTGGTCTCGATTGTAGAATAGATAGTTTGATCAAGTTTGATACTCAAATATTTCGATCCGAAATTCTATTGGCGACACTTGTATGGCCAGGTCGCCGGTGGCCGAATACTGATACCTGTTCCAGCTATCCAACGCCCCAAAAGTAAGATATAAAGTAGACGAAACACCAAAGTAAACCAGCGCTAAGTTTCCAGAAACAGTGCCTCTCTTCAGAACCAAACCGCAGATTCTCAGCCTAGTGCGAACGTGGCGTTGGCTTCGGCTCTTGCGCTTTGATTCGAACCGTGTCCGCCAAAGCGGGATAAGTCTCTGCAAAGCATGTCCCCAGAGACCAATTGTGCAGGTTGCGCATGTGCCGCTCAAAGACAGGGTTGATGACCAGCTCTTCCGAGTCACCCGCCGACAGTAAACAATCCGTAGACTCATACGGCCAATTGACACAGATCCCACGAGTGAATGGGATAAACCAATTCTCGAACGGATAGTTTTGATATGTTGTGACAATTCGGTCACGCATACCCGGCCAAGGAACATAGTCCATCCAAGCTGGATGAGGATGGAGAAGCTGTGTTGGGCGTGGTGTGAGCCACTCCGGGAGACGATGATAGTTCTCTTGCGTTGGGTATATCTGCCAGCGCATGAGAAGGAACATGGTATAGAGCACGGCGACCTGCTCCGGTAGACCGGCAATATCAGGGAACGTGCGCAGGATATCCGTAAACACTTTTGAAACAGGGTGCGAGTAGACGCTTTTGTCGGGATTTAATAGCGACGAGACACTTGGATATGGAGGTCCCACTAGTTTCTGCTTGGGGATGCCTTGTGCGGCTTCGCGTTGTCGGCTGTGAAGGAAGTCCAGGAGGATGGTGTCCAACGGGCATGTTGCGGTCAAGTTCTGAATTGGCGCAGCAAATGCAGGTGTGCCATGTTCGCAGGTTGTGTTGAGTGGTTGTGGGTATAGTGGTGACGGCGGATTAAAGTGAGAGCGGAAGTTCTCCGAGCTGCTGCGGCGAAGACGGTTGACTTTGGGAACAGCATGTGACGAGTCTAATAGGAAGTTGAAGCCTAGTCGTTCCTCCGAGCCCAGGTCTAAGCCATGGGTGATGTTATGCCGCTGCGAGTCCAATGCAACTCGGAAAGAGGTCGAAGGAGGACCGCCAGTGGAACTGTTCCGGCGACTACTCACTGATGCCGGGGCAGAGTGTGTTGGAGAGGGAGTATCGAGGCTGGCAATGGAATCTGCATACGACTTCTCGCCTGGAAGTAGGCCTTGGGGATTGGAGGTGTAGTGATCGGTCTCAGGGAACGGGGATGTATGTGCAGGGGGCGGGGCGGATTTGGGTATAGGGAAACTAGGGGGTGCATCTATTGTTGTCAGCTTGGTATTAAATAGCATTGGCATCTTCCGCCTACCTGATATTTCTGGCCTCGCAAGCAATGGCTGTATAATATCCATTGCGGCCTTCAGCCCTTGCCGGAGCTCTCTATTCTCGGATCGGATCGCCTCATTCTGCTGCAAAGCCGCTTGAAGATTGAGGAATGGTTTTTGGGATGAAAGGTCCCGAACTTGCTGCTCTAGAGCTTCAATATGTCCCTTGGTGCGTTCTCGGATTGCGCGCTGCGCCTGGCGGTCGTTGGCGCGCTTTTTTGCGAGCTGATCTGGAGTGAGATTTGCGACGCCTCGTGAGGACATGCTATTGAGCTTGCGCTTTCGTCCGGATGTCGCGCCATTGCTCTCTTGCAATAGGGTATCAGCATCCAGTGATGTTGCGCGCGAAGGAGCCGGCGAGTCTTCGAGTCTGTCCAAGGAGGGGGTAGGAGGTTCGGGCAAGTCGGGTGAGAGCGCCACATCGGCTGGAGCACGGTTGTCCATGGCCTTGCAAAGGCGCTATCGGTTTAATCCATTCAACGGGAGATGAGATGTCGAGAAGACCGTAAGGCGAACGTGGAGATCGACGGGGGTGGGTGGAGCGAAATGTCAACCTTTAAAGTTTGGGGCCTACAGTCGACGTGAACACTATTAGGATTATGCAGAGATATAAAGAATATAATTAGATAGATATACTCCAATTGTCCCACATTGTATCTAAGCACATTCAAAACATAGACCGCAAATTTACAACATGTACAATATCAGCGCCGTATATAACAAGTAATGATCGAAAATATGCAAGGAGAAAGTTCGTGTCGATCGTATACAAAGGCTTTTGGAATTTCCAATGCAAGAAAGCAGAAGGGGGAATGAGTGAGAAAAAGGCAAATTTCCAAAATAATTCAAGGATTACTGGATCATATGACCCATTTTGGAGATCTATGGCCTGTTAGTTTCGTATTCGGCACAGGAATTGGTTGCAAGCATACCTTAGTTTGCAAGTAGCCCTCGATTTCAGAACTCTTAATTCCCCTCTGACCGCCAGTGCGCCATGCCAATGGGATCATCGGGACACGTTCCTTCACGAGGACTTCTCGGTTGGGTCCTTCGATAGCTCGGACCTTGTCGGGATTATTTGTGAGTAGACGAATTCCCTCTGGAATGGAGTCTGCGCCACAACCAAGATCAGCCAGCATAGCAGTGGCAAGGCCATAGCTTCGGGCATCAGCCGGGTGACGAAGTAGGAGGTTTGCTTCAACAGTATCCGAACCGAGGTCCTGAAGATTGTATGCCTTCAACTTCTCGCCGAGTCCAATTCCTCGGCCCTCCTGTCGCAAGTAGATAATCACACCACCCGTGGATTGTGACTGAAGAGACTGTGCCTCTGGCGGCGCATCGGAAGCAATATCCTCAACGGGGAAAGACATCAAGCGCGCCGCCTCATCCAGCTGCTCGCCACAATCGCATCTTGCAGACCACGCTGTTTCTCCTGTGTAACACTCCGAATGAATTCGAACCAATGGAGGCTCAATCAACTTTGGCGTAGACACAGATCCCGCCTTCTCGTCGTCATATCTACTGCTAACTCTTCCCGGGTGCAACTTCCCCACGTATGCGCCGCGGATCATTCGGTCCATCTCGGTCTCCCCCGGCCGGACGCTGTCCAAGCTCCGACTGCGAATGTTATTTCCAAAAACAATTGCCAAATGCTCCTTTCCGTCTAAATCGTTGTGGTATAAGTGAAGGAACATTTCCGCGCCATTGGTTGTCGGGATCCGAGCCCGAACAATACATTCCACCTCCGGAAGCTGCGAGAGCAATTTCGGCCCCTTCTCGTGACCACTCTTATGTTCGAGATCTGCGGCCTGGTGTTGGTGTAGGACTTGCGTGGGGTTCAAATTCAGGTGCACTGTGCCGCCGGGGGTGGCGGGCGGGGTAAATGCTGGCGATAGCAGAGAATCGGGCAATGCTGGCGTCTTTTCGCCGGTTGCGCTGCTTGTCTGGCTCACATCGTCTGGTAATCCGCCAGGAAGCGATTGTGGGGGGAGCTTTGGCGAAGCGTGTGCTGGTAGATCGGCCATTGCGGCGGAGAGGCGGGGTAGTAGGAGTTGGGACGTGTCGGAGTAGAGACTCTCGGCTAGAGCTCTAGTGTGCAGATATGCAAGAGGTGTCAATTGAGTAGAACAAATGCATACAACAAGGCCGACGTGTACGGAAAAGTGAAGCCGATGGCGACTTCCTCGGCATGAGGAGAAGCTGAGTCATTTGTCAGTGCTTACTCTAGCACATTCTGAGGTTCCGAGGCCGGCCCCACTTTCTACTAAGCATATGCTCATCTACGCATCTAGTTGTTTCATCTTTATATACTTACCTTTTTAGTGTTCAGATTTTCAGACTCTGTGTTCCCTAAGCCGATCGAACGCAGGGCTATCATAAAATGACCTTTGCCCCAAACATCAATCTCTCAACTTCTATCATACTTCCATCTCAATATAGCGGTCACGGGGTCGACTTAACCCTTACTGGGGCCGAGAGCCAAGTGCTAGTATGCGACAACTTACTCAGTAAAGTGTATGTTACTGTGATCCCCATCAATTGTTGATGCAATAGAAGCTAAAGCCTATCACCCATGGTCCCTGTCGGAGGATGAACAATATAACATTCCTCAAACTAATTCAATCATCAGGTGTCCATCTCATTACGGGTCTCCTCGACAGCAGCATGATGGAAGAAATAGATCAAACATTGTATTGGTTCCACGAAGTAAGAACTTAAACCAATCATATTGCATATTGTGTATTGCGTAACCCCAAGAGGAGATGACATCAAGGAGAATAAGTCTTTTATATGTCTACACTATAACGATGTTTGTAAAAAAATACAGTAGTCCTACATCTAGGTAGTTCACATAAAGAATAACCCAAGAGAGCAAACGTAGATCTGCAATAGTGCCCAGATGAAGGAAACATGCATCAGGCAGCCATCCTAAATGATAATAGCAGTCCCTTGGAGCTTCATCATGTGTTATAACTGACCATTTCTTGGCATATTATTCAGCAAGGACCTGGCCATAGTAATAACACACAGATCTAGGGACGATTTTTTAACATGCGCTCTCAAGACCGGCATAGTACTCCCTCCTCCGCCTCCACCAGCCACCATGAGCAACCCCAAACCTAAAAGACTAAAGCCTCGAGTAACATCATCAGGTCCAGTAGGTGCTTGCAAGGTCGAGCTGCTCATCTACAACGGCTCCCCCTTCAAAGGCCACCGGGTCTGTTAAGTGGGATCTCACGGCAACCCGGATGTTGATGTTAAGATCCAAGCCACCGGAAATTTGAGTTATAGCTTTCAGCCTGAGGTCAAGCGCAGCCATAAACTGCGAATAACTTCTGATATCCCAACGATAAGAGCGCCGTTGCTGTGGGTTGATGCCAGGTAATCTGACGAGACGGCGATGCTTAGCAATGGCGAAGGAAATATTAACGACAAACTTGCCTGCTTGTTTGAAGCGAGTGCTTCCAAGGCGAAAGCACCAGGAAAGGGTTTAAATTCAGAGGTAGGTTTGCGAGCTTGCCGAGTCTGCGGACAAACTGCTCGAGGACAACATATTCGACCAAGAGGTTGCCATTTTCCTCCGGACAAGTCAGTAGTAATCCTATTGGGATGGCTTTTTCGAACTACCACTCATACTTTAACTACATATAGATACCACCTGAATTCATAATTTGCCAGGGGCTCAAAAGAATCGTGTTTGGGGGCTGCGACCTTGTTTCAGTGAAGCGCTTGCACTGTCGTCAAGACCACGTTTCGGATAAGGAAACCACGGTTTTGAAGAAGACCACTGTTTCTGATCAAAGACCACGATTTGGTGCGATGGAGAACTCAGGAGCGTGGTATCCCACAATATTTAGAGCATCATGTTTCCAGTCCTTTTCTCTTCGTCTTGCTTGTTCTCCAGAAGCAACATTCAGTCTTGATTCTTAAATTAGAAAATTATCAGTTGTTCTTGGTTCTTTTCCTCCCACCTACCAAATTATACAAGATAAAGATGTTGGATTTCACGGCTCGGTCCGAGGAAACCGAATCTACCGGTCTCACGAACCCGATCAACTCGATAAAATACGAAACCCACACGCCAAAGCTGGAATCAGATCAGCTTCCTGGGCCCCAGCCGGAACATCTTGACTCCATATTCAGCCTGAACATTCGACGCTTTGACAATTTACATACTGGACATGTCATCAACTATGCTTTCATCACCAACAGCAAGATCAGGAACACTGTAATGAACAATGTTGTCTACATCAACATTACAATGAGGGATCCTCGAATTATAAATACTATGATCGCCAGCTATGTGCATACAAGTAGAATTTCTGCTTTCACGATGCTTGATAACGCTGATATTGACGACGGTATTGTCTTCAACTCTATCATCGTCAACTCTGTTATCGACGATTCCGAAATTTCCGACTCGACTCTGAGCAATGTCAAGCTCATGAATCCCGTCTTTTGCTCATTTCAATTTCCAGAGCTACCATTCTGAGTTCAGAAAAACTCGACAACCGCCATGTAGATTGAGTATGAGATATCGAGTTTGATTTAGTCCTTTAATTGAGTTGCAAAGCTGTTTTTGTTAATTGTGTTTAAATCGCAGAAAACTAGTTCCTTTCAATAACACTTGCTGTGCATAGGGAAACAGTCCCTCATAGTCCCTTGAAGGCATTTATCCTCTTCCTGGGTCAAGACATAGGCTTAGAGTAAAATAAAGAGGGCAAAGGTCTACATCGCGATAGGGGGAGAACTTCATATGTGGTTGCCACTCAGGGTCCAAAACTTTGATAAATTTGCACCTCAACTCCTTATACTCGTCTATATGCCTGCCATTGACAAAGGAAAGATTGACCAGCATCAAAGTCCTACTCTTATCGAAAACCAAGAAAGCCGCATTCCCGGGCAGAAGTTGAATAACCACTTTATCGAGTAGGCGCGTAGTCTGAAGCGAGGCTACAGTTTGCGCATGAGATAGGCGATGATAAGGGCTGGAGAACGTGATATCTCGAAATTGCACTGAATAAGTATCGTGTTTGAAGGTGTATCGCGTGGTTTTTCATTCACTTGCTTTTTGTCATCAGTTGGCAGGGAGGTCAATAAAGCCAGAGCCAGAGACGCCATCTGGTCGATGAAGTCGCAGATCTTGCTCATGTACACCAGGAGATCCTAGGTTGACGAGTCGATACACTGAACCCACTTGTGACGATCCTCCGCAACGCCAGACCCGATGTGTCTTGCGGCTTTGTAGTGTCCGTTATTCAACATTCGAGCGAGTGAGACGATAGAGTCGAAGTAGATTCGATGCGAAATTCCCAAGAATCAAACCAATCGGTCTCACTCGGGCTTTATATACCCTCCACCACTTTTTGAACTCTTCGGTCTCGGCATAAGGCATCTTCGTGTTACTCATGGTAAGAGGTGATTCTCTGTTGAGACTTGGATAGGTTATGATGCGAATGAGCGTTGGAATGGTTTTAGGGACTTTGGGATGGGATTCCCTGTTCGTTGGGCTTGAAATCCCACGTGCAGTGCGCACAAAGAAAACCAAACTCGATTTACCATGTCCTGGACTGAGTACGGATAGAATAGGATATACGTGAGATATGGTAAATGTGTATAGAAGCTTATATGTACAGAATGTACTAGTCTCCCACTGCCACTAGCGCAAAATCAAGATTTTGACCCTACATCTCTCCTTGAATCGATAGAGTATAGAGACAATATGTGACGAGTCCTTTTAGTCAACGCGAATTCGTACGGCGAAACAAAGCTTAAGGTAAATTTTGAAAAAATAGTTTTCTAACTAGAGTATTTAGTAAAATGAAAGCGTCCATAAGCCTTCAAACTCCAGATAGCGCCTCGCTCAAATGGTATCATATCATATCAGATCGTATAAACATCTCTTACTTGCTCGGGATGTCCAAGACAAACCGCCGGTCGACTTCCATCTCCTTGTCATCTTCCTCGCCTTCAAACTTAAGACGATATACGTCCTTCCTAGAGCCCATCACCTCGGCCCGGTAAAATGTTGTGGTATCAGGGTATCTCGCCAGAACCTGCTTGCCTGCCGGGTAGGGGGTGAGATGAGCACTCATCTGGGGGATTGGAATGAGAGAGACGGCAGTCGTCTTATAGACAGCACCTTGTTCGCCATTCTCATTCGGCTCCGGGTCTTGGACATCATATCTGAAGGTGATATCAGTATCGGTCTTTGGTAAGTGAAGTCAAATTGAACATGAGGTCCGGCATACCGCTTCTTTTGCCCATCGCCAGTGATGTTCTTGATTATACATTGAATACCTTCGCCCTCGACACCCTGCTTATTTTTATTGTGCTTAAACACAACCTGAGCCCCGACAACCAGCAGACCATTACGTTCCGCAACGGTGCCCTTCGTCCCCTCCGACCCTTCCTCGATTTTGACCGCAATACCATCATTCCGCCCCTCGCGAGCTGGCGTACTTGAGACACTCGCACTGCGCGGAACAGTGCCCTTAGACCGAGCAGACTTGTCAGCCCCCGAAGCACCAGGGGAATCGGTAGCGGAGCCCTCGACGTCATTCCGCTTCTTGCGGGACTTATTGAAAGAAGAGGACCGGTTGGGTGGAATTTCGGCCTCGGATGCTTTGCGCAAAGCAGTGAGTAATTCTAGATTTTTGATTACATCGCACGGTTCATCTTGCATGATTGAGCGTTCATCTTCACTGAGCTTTTGGCTTTGGCGCAGCCAGCTATCGAGCTGGTCGTGTTCTGTCATGGTGGGTCCTGCTTAGAAGCGCAATATTAGTATGTGCGACAAAGAGAGAAAATAGGTTCATTAGACCTGAGGGGGCGGATATTGGAGCTCGACGCGGTATAGAGGCGGGGGGGGGGATCAAACGCGGGGGTAAGTAGGTATGTACTCACTATTGCCGTCGTTGGTGATCTTGTCCACCAAAGCTTTGATCTGCAAGGACAAGGTTGTTTGCTGATCAAACTTATCCTTCGATTTGCGGATATCTTGGCAGATCTTTGTCCACAGCTCCAATTCCTCGTTGTTGCCGAACCCATTGTCTCTGGGCCGAGGGCGGTTGCGAGACATGGTCAATGTATGATATCTGAGTGTATGACGGAGGATTGGGAAAGAGGTAGCTAAGATGAGCTAAAAGAAGAATGGCGACCCCCCGGTAACCTGAGGTATGTGAAGTTGAAGTTGGAGATGCGGTGATAAGCCGGGCGGTCGGGGTCACGCTAGGCCACTTTAGGAAAGTGATACAAGAGCTACAAGTTTGACAAGTTTGATAAGGTGACTCGGAGTATATGAAGTATGTAAAATCTAAGATATTGAAAGGCAAGTAGACTAGTCTGAAGAGGATATTTGTTGTCGAGGCTGCCTTAATGCGGTGTGGTTAGCTCAGGCACTCCGTAACGAATGCGGAAGTCCGGATTAGCAATTGAATATAGTAGAAGTGTTCCTTTCCTGTAGAAATCCACGCTACATGTTCTGCCTGAAATCTCTTTAGTTGACTGCTGTCATAGAAAGACCTGAGCGTTGCATCTCTCACCGGGGCCTTGGCAGGGAAATAATCACTTGCCCCTCCGCTTCCCCCAACTTTTCCCCAAACATTCAAGATGCAAGTGCCACTTCTTCGTCTGCAATGCGGTAAGCCCTAACCTTCCCCAGATTGAGTCTAGAACTAACGTCACTAGGTGTCAACAGCTACGACTGGGGTAAGTATCAACGCGCGACAATGTATGCCCCGCACTGAACCTCGTCATAGGCAAGGTCGGCCAAGAGTCGACTGCCGCCAAGTATGCGGCCACCACAGCTGCCCCGGATTTCGCGATCGAGGCTGAGAAGCCTTACGCTGAAGTGAGCTCTTCGTACGAATCAACGGAATTATTGGACTGACGATATACCAGCTCTGGATGGGCACCCACCCTTCGCTTCCCTCCAAAGATGTCGAGACCCAGCGTACCCTCCTTGATCTGGTCCAGGACAACCAGGCCCTTTTGTCGACACAAATCAACGAGAGATTCGGAGGAAGACTCCCGTTCCTGTTCAAGGTGCTTTCCATCCGCAAAGCCTTGAGTATCCAGGCCCACCCCAACAAAAAGTTGGCCGAGCAGCTGCATGCCAGAGACTCGAAGAATTACCCTGGTAAGTGTGGACTGAAGATGGATAGGGGATATTGAGCTCATGAATGATCACCAGATGACAACCACAAGCCCGAGATGACCATTGCCATTACACCGTTCGAGGGCGTGTGCGGCTTCCGCCCTTTGGCCGAGATTACCCATTTCCTTCAGGCCGTGAAGCCTCTGCGCAATCTTGTTGGCGACAAAGCTGCAAGCGCATTTGAGCAGACTGTCAAGGGCAATGAGGATTCCGAAGATTCCACAGTCATCCAAACTAACAAGGAGGCCCTCCGCTCCCTGTTCACATGCCTGATGGAGTCGTCGCCCGAGAACATCGAGTCAGCCACCAGCGATCTCCTGTCAATCGCAGAGAGCAGCCCTGACAGCTTTGCCATCCTGCCCGGTGAGGAGGAGACAAACCCCTCGAACCCCAGCGAGATTGCTGCGCTCGTGACGCGACTGAACGGCCAATTCCCTAACGATATCGGTTTGTTCGTGTTCTTCTTCCTCAACTTCGTCAAGCTACAGCCAGGCGAGGCCATGTTCCTTAAAGCCGATGACATTCATGCATACATCTCCGGTGATATTATTGAGTGTATGGCTTCCTCCGACAACGTCGTTCGCGCTGGATTTACCCCTAAGTTCAAGGATGTGGACACCCTCACCCAGATGTTGACCTACTCCTACGCCCCCATCGAAGAGCAGAAGCTCCAGGCAACGGACTATCCTTACGCCGTCCTGAACGCCACTGCATACTCGAGCGCCTCCTCGGCCATGCTCTACGATCCTCCCATTGACGAGTTCAGCGTTGTCAAGACGGATCTGAACCGCAAGGGTGCCAAGGTCACTTTCGACCCGATCGACGGTCCCAGCATTATCATTTGCACACGTGGCCAGGGTAAGATCACTGTCGGAAACAAGACCGAGGAAGTCAAGGAGGGCTACGTGTTCTTTGTTGGTGCCACCGCCGAGTGCATTATTGAGGACACTGCTAGTGGAGAGGACGAAGATGATGTCTTCACCACTTACAAGGCGTTCTGCGAGTTGCCCGGTGAGGAAAATGCGCCCGATGATCAATAGCTTGTTTCTAATTCGCGTCAAGATGAAATCTCCCGTTCTGGGATCGGCGCAAACCTATGAAGTGTCTCATCAATGACCCTCGAGGCATAATGAATACGAATTTCGTACAGTTGATCCATGGCCCTAGACCCGTAAACTTGGCGATATTACATAGTCAATTTCAGCATGAATTTAATAGGTGTAAAGCATCTGAGTCCGAACTATATCGTTGTCCTCCCAAAAAGAAGCTGCGCCAACCCAATTCTGTGGCCCTCGGCACATCATCTGCACGGCCAATCACTCGACTCCGCATCTCCACACGAGCTGAAGAGGGGACCCCAGCTCTGTCTTTCTTTCTTTCTTTCTTTCTTTCTTTCTTCTTTCCATAGCTCTTTATTCCACCGTCAGTCACAATGTCCAGTATTCCCCAGCTCGGCTTTTGGGAAAAGGCAGATCTGCCTTTTGCCCACCTGTCAATCTTCGCCAGTGTTCTATACCACGCGATTACCGGTGTTTTCCGGGGTAAAGCCAGCCCTAAACGCTACGACCACCACATCATGGCAGCCATGATCCGCAAGCTGGTAGACCGTACATCCGATCGCCAGAAGCAGTATGCTTTTTTTTTTTTTTTTTTTTTGAAGCGAGATACCCAAAATCAAAAAAGACAAATCTAACCTCGGTCCACAGGTACCTTAACGCGCCAACTGCAGACACCTATACAGCAGTCATGAAGAAGCGCGGTCTCCAATCAGAGACAATCGCCCTTCCCCACGGGGCCCAAGGCCACTGGATAGGCAACAAGAACGCAAAGAACGTGATTGTCTACTACCACGGTGCGTCAAATCCCCGAACGCCTTCGGGTGTAACGTGCAACAGACGACATCCCAACTTACCCTGTACAACCATCCCCCAAACCCAACTCCAACTAACACCGCCCTATAGGCGGCGGCTTTGCCATGCCAGCCGTACCAGCACACTTCGAATTTTGGCTTGAAATGTTACGCGCACTCAATGAAAACGGCCACGACCTAGCAGTCTTCTTCCTAAACTACACACTAACCGGTCAAGGCGAATATCCCACCCAACTCCGGCAAGCAATCGAAGCTTTACGCTACATCCTGGAGAGCACAAAGCACTCCCCCTCAAACGTAATCGTAGGCGGTGATTCAGCCGGCGGGAATCTAGCAACCGCAACCCTCCTCCACCTCAGCCACCCGCATCCGGAAATCGACCCAGTGGAAGTATCGGCGCCGTTGGCGGGTGTATTTGCGTACGCGCCTTGGGTTAATTTTAGTACTGACTGGCCATCCTTTGAAGAGAATAAGTGGCGGGATATTCTCACATCTGATGTGCTTACTACTTGGTCCACGGCGTATCGGGGGGATAGACCTGTTGATCAGTGGAATGAGCCGTTTACTGCTCCTGTTGAGGTTTGGAGGGGGGCTAAGACTGAGAAGATTTTGATTCTGGTTGGTGGGACTGAGATTTTGTTGTCTCCTATTGAGGCTTTTGCGAGGAATATCAAGGTATGTTTCACTGTTGATTTGGGAAAAGGGGGGAGGGGGGTGTGAATCAGATATTTTTGGCTGACTTTTTTGGTATTATAGTCTGTCTTCCCTGAGACTGTTTATTATGTTGGTGTTGATGAGACGCATGATGCGCCGTTCTACTTGTCTACTAAGGAAGATACGCAGAGTGGATTGGAGCTGAGACAGTGGCTGGCTGCTCGTCTGTGATTTTATTTACTGCTTTTTATATTGATTTGACAATTTCAGGTTCTACGCTGCACATAGGCTATGCCATATACGACAGATCAGATATACCAGGTATAGTGTCAATAGTTGCAAGATTGAGTGGTCGTGTCTTTTCATAATCTAGGACAAACTCCCCGGACTTGGACGAACAAAAACAAAAACATAAATATCAGGCTGAATTAAATTCTATGAGGAAGCCTTGGCAGAGTACTTGGCCGCCGCGGCATCGAACAACTCGCTCTTCTCCTGGATATCAGTGAGAAGGGAATGGGAGGGCTCAATCTGTTGTAGTTGACTGCGAAAAATTAGTAACGAGCTCTTTGTTTCTCCCAACAGGGCACTCACGACTCCAATTCCTCGGAAGGCTTGCCAGCCAAAACATTCAACACAATAGTATTAGCAATCAACTCCACGTCGGTAGGGTACTTCTCCAACGCAGCACTAAGCGCGGCCTCAGCCTCGGGCAACCGACCAAGGTGAATCTCAGCAACAGCCTGCCCAACAATAGACAGAGGCGCCGAAGTGCTGGGCGCAGAAGCGAGTTCCTCGTACACGTAGAAAGCAGACTGGTACTTCTCACCGCCCTAATGAAACCATGTCAGTAACTCACTCCCAGAAATATAGCATAGATAGGAAACCTGGGGAAGCATGAACATACAACTCTCAAACCAACCCACGACTCAGCGACATTGACGAGCAGCGAATCCTGGGCCCAGCGCTTAGCAGCCTGGACCTCCTTGAGGGCGAGATCGGTCCTGTTCTGCTGAAGGTGAATCTGAACAATGAGGGAGACACTGCAAGCAACGAAATAAGTTAGCCCACTTCCATCGGTTCTCAAATATAATTGTAAACTCACGCCTCGAGATTCCCCTGGTGCTTAGCCAACAAAGCAAGCGCCTCTTCGCCGAGACCCTGAGCCTGAAGCACAGTACCAGCAAGGACCTGAACGGTATCATTATCGGGGTAGTTCTCCGCAAGCTCCTGAGCGAGCTGGAGCGCAGCGTCGGTCTTGCCAGCGGACTGCAGAGCAAGGGCCTTGACGGCTGACAGGTCGGGGGTATCCTCTTCGATAGCGGGCTCGGCGAGCGCGGCGTCGGTTTGGCCGAGGGCAATTTGGGCGCGAAGCTTAAGGATTTGGGCTGGTACTTGATTCTCTGGGGAGAGGGCTGTCGAGTCGAATTCGATCACGTTCTGGTATTGGCCTGAGTGGAAGGCGCTGTGGATGTTGAGGAGCTCTATGTTGGGTTAGTTTTGTCGCAGGAAGATAGAGTAGAGGCATTGAAGGGGTGTTTTACGTACCGCCCTCTGCGGAAAAGGGATCCATGGTGATTGTTATGTGTTAGAATTGAGTGGTGATGTTGCCAGTGTTCACGGTGTCTTTTATGGTGTAGGTAATTCTGCCGAGATAACACGGGGGCAGGTGGGCCGACCGCCTTGGAAGTATAGATCTACATCTACGATTTCGTTTGCATCTTCATCTACATTATGGACTTGGTTGATGTGAAAATTGTTCAATTGATGGAGACAAAGGAAGATGACTGCAATTCACACATTATAGCTTCAAGGAATATATCAATACATGAAAAAAATACAGACAAAAATTTCAGCATAGAACAGAATGTGGTATATGTGTGGAGGCCTCATCAAAACATCCAGAGCAAAACGCGAGGAGAAACCAGAGTAACTCAGCAATGTCTTTTGAACAAAGGTATGAGAAATAACTTATCCCTATTTATCCAACTCCTTGTCGCGGGATTTCTTCTTCCGCAGCACACGGCAGGCTTTGCGAGCCGTCTCCGAAACAAATTGTACGATGAGCACAATGCTGAATTCGGGCTCGGGGGACTCAATCCAGGAGACAGTCGGAGATGATTTGTGCATGGATGGAAGCATGCTGTTGTTGACTTCCCAGTCGGAGTCAGCCACCACGGGAACTAGACGCGGGTCGATCAAATCCTCGTCTATCAACTCTGTGAAACTGCTCGTGCGGGGATGAGCCAATTGGTTGTGCAGTTGGTATAGGGATGATTCGCTGAGGTTGGATCGTGGAAACGGTGGAATAGCCTCCAGTTGGATTGGACTGAGGTCCTCGTTAACCAAGGTCTCGTCCCTGCTGTTGCAGCTGCTCTTCTCCATATCCTCTTCTATGGAGTCGTAGTCAGGGGTGCTATCGATCCATTGGGCTATGTTTGTTCGTTGCTTGGTGGTGAGAGGGTCCCAGACTAGGGCCGGTGCCGATGATGTGGTTGAGTACACCGACGATGGGGGAGAGAGGTTGTGAGAGTAGGCGACATCGTAGACTTGTGGTGTCCTGTGATATTCTTATTATGTGATCAAGTAATCAAGATGGAGACAGGTTACATTGAGTCGATGTTCACCGTGCTGGAAGTGAACCGGGTGGGCTGGGTGTCTCGGGTCTGAGACTGCATGGACTTCATGCTTGTTCTATATAGCCTTTTATGCTGTATGTCGTAACGCCAACGGGGTAAGGGATGTGGATGATGTGGTATGCTCTTGAAATTGAATGGGTATGTACCCTTGATGTTGGGTAGGTATGGTATACCCTTGATGTGGAATGAGTATATGGTATACTCTATGGAATGAGTCAAGGTATAAAGTATATTGGAAGTGGATGACCAATGAGGTATGATGTAAGAGTGACAGAAGACCGAGAGTTAGAGGGAGGAGTGATTGAGAAAGACGGAAAAGAAAAGAAAGAGAGAAAGCTGAGATCCATCTATATCGAGAACGAGTGACTAACTAACTAAGCCCTTACAAAGAGACCTTATGGGGTCCATAGATGTGAGGTAGAAGTTTCCTGTAAATAGATGAGTCGACGAGGAGATCATGGCTGAGAAGACAGACGTGAGGAAGGAACACCACGAGGCACTATAAAGAGCCATACATAGTCCCCAATAAGGTTAGACCCTTACTGAAGAAGTCGATCCACCTCCCCGGGCCATGGTTGGAGCCAAATGATCAGCAGGATGAGCCATGGGATAACTCTGATTCATCGGCCACAGTATACATCATAGTGACCGAGAAGGGTGAGAGCGAGGCGAGCGAGGATCGGAGTGGTACGGTGAGGGGAAGTCTGTGGGGAAATAAGACCGAAAATGAGCTGAAAAGTAGTCTGAAATGAGCGTCAATTGGATTTTGAGTAAGGCTGATAGTAGCAATATCAGTGTCATCATTGGAACCTTATTTCTAAGAAAGCATGTTTTGGCCTCAAAAATGTGACTAGAATGAGACTTGCATGCTGATATCGCCCATAACAGCTTCGAACAACGATATAGATACAGATATATAGTTCTACCAATACGAAATAGCACACAACTTATGCCTGTAGCTTCCTTTGGTCAAAGCTGATGTATATATACCAGTTGAGATGGCCTCCTAGTCCTTCTTCGACTGTCCTGGACCAATACCTACTTTCAGTTAGATAAGCTGAAAACAACAGGAAAGCTACAAGGAGTCTATGCCAATAGCTAAATTAGTAGACTGTAAAATGCCAAGCAGGCTCTATAGACGAAGGTTCTTCAATCGTTCACCACGGCATCATTCAATATCAAGACCCACACCTAGCCGTGGATGCATATAGGTCATCTACTTCAGAACACATTGTACCAGCTACAGAGACTGCCCTTCTGTGCTTCTACAACAAATACTGCCGTTGAGCTTTGAAGATATACCTGCTGCCGAAATGAGTCTATCAAACATACGTCCTGAGCCTTTGGTTTCTGCCTCAAAATATTTCGGATAATATGGAAGAGCTATTCTGTTATACTGACATCTTTTTACTGCGTTTCTGTAGCTTTGATACGTGATCTTTATACACTAGCTAAGAGGTCGTGCCAATGAGTCATACCTTTGGGGAGTGCATGCATATCTATTGACTGGGTAGGCACTCAAGCTAGCTTTTTCAGGGGATAAGAAAAAGTAGTGATTACATACACGTAGAGCTAGAATTTAAACAACCTTCCCCGAGAACTTCATTACCGCTCGAGTATGTACAACAGTGGCCATAAGTCTTCCCCCCCTTAATTATATGATCTAAATGGCTCACCCGGGGCATGGGCCAAAAGGAGGAGAACAAGAGAGGTTGAGCTAGTGCATATAGAAGAAACGATAGTCTATATCATGGAGAAGATCAAGCAAACCTAATGTCACTCAATGTGGTTCTTCAAAATACTTTTTCTATAATTGCGTAAGCAGCTACCATGGCATCTGGAAATCAAACTATTCCAGTAAAAGAGACAAAGCACCTATCCCTGCCATCTAAACCGACCTTCGCGCAAAGTCTTCACCACACCGAGAGGCATAAACTCGCGCTTTGCTGCAGCAAGACTACCATAAGTGCGAATCATCTCATCGTGATACAACTGTGCAACCCAGCGCCAGTAAGGAGTCATGGAATACCAGTCATTGGAAATGGGCGACTTCGATTCCAGGGTTCCCTGATGAGCTTCAAATCCAGCAGTCAGATCCACGCCGTCCTCCTCTGGAACACGGTACAGAGCAATGTACGCAATCCAAAGGCCCGCGCTGTGGGTTTCCGGGTATTTGTTGTATTCTTCGAGAGACATGAACGGCAAGGGCTTCGCGCCTGTACCAATCAGAGCCGGGGCGTTGCTATCCGGTCCGTCTTCCTCAAACTTGGTCTTGAGGGATTGGTAGGTCTTTTCGTCACGGAGAGCTGCCTTGTGTAGGATTTTGCGCGGGGTCTCCGTGATGTCCTCGCGCATGGCAAGCAGCTTGATGAATGGGTTGAGAAGTCCCAGACCACCGAGCTCGGGGGGTAATAGAAGAAGCCATCGGGGAGACTCTTGACACTGAATAGGTCCCCAATCATCTTACGGAGGTAATCGGTGACGCCACTCATCTCACCCGGCGCGCCAGTTTCACCTATACCCTTGTTGAAAAGTGTGTGCTCAATGCGACTGAGAGTAGAAATGGCCATGTCGATGTGGTCTCGACCAAAGCAGACAGCTGGCTTTGCAAAGTTATTTGCGAAGAAGCGGCCGAAGTAAGCGTTCCAAGCTTGAACCCAGGCAAATACGCTCTTGCAAGAGGTCAGCTGGCGCGAGAGCTCTTCAGTGTGCTCGTCAACTTGAGTCTGGTCAATTGTGAATTTGCCCTTCTCTCCGTCGAGAACTAAGAAGCCCCAGCGAATGTCGCCCTCGGGGAGGATTGACTTCGGGTTCTCTTTTTTGTCGGTGAGGTTGGGGGGCTTTCCCATTGTCACTGTTCCGGTCTTTTCCATGTTGAATTTCAGACCCATCACATCGGAGAATTGGGACATCGCTTCCCATGCCTTGATGCAGGTCTTCTCTGCTCCCCAGAACCAGAAGTCATCATGGAGTCTGTAGAGATAAGATCCGTTTGTGCTTTGGTTGACTGCGTAATCCATACAGAAGAGGACTGCTTCTCCAAAGCAATCAGCAAGTGTGTGGCTTATGGGTAGTCCGCGTTGGCGGGTTTGGATAGCAGCATTATCTCCATCTTGGAAGAATTTGAGTGGAGCCTGCAGGAAAACCTTGAAGAAGTTGAGCCACTTCTCTGGAACTCCAAAGTATTCGAGCACCGTGAGTAAAGTGGTATGAGGCATGGAAGGACCGAACCATTCAAAGTCAGACCGCACTACGGTGAATTCTCCACGCTGATGTTTGTTGAGAATAGACTCTGTGACTAAGAGATGAAGAAGAGAGTGCTTTTTGTCCAAAGCGTTCTTAGGCCTATTTTCCTCCTGTGCGCCTTCATTATCCTCGTCATACTCATGAGCGCCTTCGTCAACTGAAGTAGGCAGTTGACTCATGAAATACTCAGCCTCGTAAGTCTTCTTCCGGGTTTCGTTGACTCTATTCAGAGTTTTGTTGGCGTCTGAGCCCAAGAAATATCTGCGTCGCTCCTTGTGCTCTTCTGGGATGTCTTCACGAAGAGGCTTCCAGGCGTGAGAGTGCAAGAATGTTTGAAACACCCGTCGAAACTCCACAGACCAAGTGGTTCCAAGATACTGCAGAAGGAGGGCATCAAGGAGATCTTCATCCATGAATACTCGGTACTTTCCGCTCAACTGACGACGCATCTCGATGGGGATTCCGTTTCCATCCCAGGCCCAGCTGTCAAGCGAGGCAATTCGCATGTTCAGCACGTCTGCAACTTCCTGAGCGACCTCTTTGTTCCGCATGAACTCCTTTAGAACTGACGATTTCTCATTACTGAGGAGATCAGTCTTCAGAAGAGCCTTGGACACCCATTTGAGGGTGGGTACATCGACCCATTTTCCTCTTGATGTCAAGTTGATCGCAAAAGAATTGATGCTGGCTTTGAGATCCTTGATAGCCTCACGAGAAAGCTCGGATTGCTTAAAAAGGTTGTCGAGATAGTCCTTGATGGCCTTGTCGCTGACGTGTGTAGCAGGAGTGAAGACGAGGGCTTCCCATTTAGCGCGTTGCTCGTGCATCTCAGCCCGTCCGACCTGCTCAAAGTTGGAATCGGATTTGGTGGGCTTGGTATGGTCGGCGGGGTCCAGCTCCGATAGCCACTCAGTAACAAGCTTGCTGAAGAAGGCACCATGTTCATATTTGGCCTCCAGGAAAGATAATTCCCTTTCAAGCTGGTTGACCCAGTCCTGGAGTGATGACTGAGAGATCGAACTGTCGTACGGACCCTGAAGAAGGAAACGGCGAATGTTGGAGTGGTCAGATATGCTTTCAGATTCGCGGCGTAGAGTGTGGTAAGGAGTGCGTTCATCGCCCGAGTCTGAATCGGCGTCCAGGTCGCTGTCATTTTTGTCGAGTGACTCTCTAGGGAGACCTTTCAGGCGTGCGAGTCCGTCCAGTAAGGCATGAGCACGAGAGCGCAGGTCTGTGGCAGCATTGGCAGCGGCGAGGATCTTCTCCTTGTGTTGGTCAAAGATCGCGCGCTGCTTGGAGAGTTCATTGATCTTTGTGGCAGTGATAGCCTTGAGGGTTTGAGGGAGGGCACCGTTGGAAGCCATGGTGCTGGAACTGAAATTTTGAATTAAGGATTGATAATGGAGTTATGTTAAGTCAGAAGTTTGATGAAGTGAAGATTTGAATTGGAGTCGAGTTGAAGTTGGGAGTTGCTGTGATGGGCGATGAGAATTGAGAAGTTGAAAAGGTGAGAGGGTGGGGAGCTCCTTTAAATACAGCAACTGCGATGTAGCAATCGCAAGTCTAGCATGACTCAAGGAACAACTTCGGGATCCAAATCGGGTATAACGTCCACAGTGGCGGGCACTCGATCCAGCTACAATTTTTATATCAGCGTCATAAATGTGTACTTTGAACAACATTGAGGTGTTTTGTCCGGTCCATCTACTATCATCATATGTCATAGATATCTTTAATTGCATGTAGTCAATCTGAGGCACTTTTTGGGTGAAAATGAGGTCAAGAGCGAGAGACCAAAGTAGGGCAAAAGCAACAAATAAAATGATAGAATTGCTTCGAGATATTTGTGTAGAGATTATCCAATACCTCACCAGTGACACTGTAGACACAAATTTGTGCCCTGTTGTACCTCCTGTTCATCGGTGTGCTTTAAGCTCAAAGACTGAATACCTGAACTTAACATCTTAAGCATTAACGACTCACAGGATACCATTCAATTCATTTGCTGCGATGACATGCACTAGCTACGCAAAACACAACGTCAAACAAGAGTACATCTTCAGGCCACTCGCACGCAGAAATACATATAAATCGCAAATGTTCATCTCACGACATATTTATATCCACCTTGAACACATCCAGCATCCATGCAATCCTTTCTTTCTCAGCCTCGCCGGCGAAAATAGCCTCTGTAGCCTTGTAACAGATCCGCAAGAGATCTTCGCGGCTCAAGTCAAAATGCAGCGCGGCGAGAAGGTACTCATTGGAGACAGGACTACAGAAAAATCCCACATCATCGGTCTGCAGAAAACAAGTCAGAAAAAGGACCAACTCCAACACCGAATTCACCAAGAACGGACCGACTTACACACAACGCGATCGGGCAATCTTCATGTCGCCAATACCCAAAATGGTGATCCAAATACCCGCCACTAATCATCTTCGCATGAACATTGCATGAAATGCACAACTCAAGCCCGAGTTTCCGCCGAGAAATCTCCCTCTTGAACTCATCAGGCACATGAATAACATGCCCGAGTCGATCAGGCATAAATTCAAGCAGCGTGGCCAACTCAACAGGCGAGGCCGAAGCGACTGTCTCGGCAAAGTGCACCGTGATGCCCAAGCCGCTGGATTTCGCCCGCGCAAAAGCATCCCTGTAAATGCTGACGTCGCCTTTCGTTGGATTGCCGCAGATGTCTACGCCGACAACCCCGCGCGGCTTGTTTGCGATTGCCATATCGACGATCTCGTCTGCTTGTGCTGCGTTCATGCTGCCGCGGTCGATCGCTAGGATTAGTGACACGGTCATTCGGTTGCATTTTGTTTTGAATTTTTCGATTGTTGTTAGCACCGTGTTGATGTATTCGTCGCGGGTTATACCCGGCGATGCGCGTGGGATAGTGCGCAGCTCCAGGTACACGACTCCATCATCTAGGAAATCCTGGAGTACCGAGTTGGTGGCGTATACTAGGCCCTTTAGGTCATTGCAGATTTGGTAGGTCAATTTGGAGAAAGTTGAGAAGAAGCTGGGCGGGGTCAGCATTGCAGAAAGACTCATTTCCGGGGACATAACTCACGTCTTCAGGTCATAATCTACCTTGCCTGGAGGCATAAGAACCAGCGGGTCTTCGACATCGAAATCAGGATTCTCTGCCTTCTTCTGTTGCCATAGCTCGTGCAGACACTGACGACTGATACTGCCGCTAAGATGAGCGTGAAGCTGGACTGTGTTAGCAGAGAAACTAGCTATACAACAATGGACCATACCTCGATCTTTGGCAGTGCTTTGACAAAAGATACGTCAACCGGCTTTGAAGTGTCCATGGCTGTCATGGCTGTCAGCAGTGAAGTGTAGATACCTCGGCAGTCAAAATCTCCAAAGATGGGGGCGTGAGTCACCCCCAACATTGCGACATCTACACTTCACATCTCACCTCATCTTTCTTCGATCTGTCATATTTTGCCTATTTGTACTCTGTACTTTTCCACATCTTACCCTATGTTATACTCTAGTATACAACTTGGCAGTAATAGGTAACTCAACCCGAGCTATAACCATAGCACGTTATATTTACATACACGAGTCAACCAGTGGGATCCGAGTAACTCGAAGTGTCCGTTTCTCCTTTCACACAGGACAATGCCTGGCAAATTCAAAGAGGAGACCGTAGGCTCCAGTTGGAGGGAGAATCTTCAACAACTAGATACAGTGGGTAGTGCCGGTACGTCTCTCACGACCAGGGAACTGGATAAACTAATACATGTGCATCGGCCATAATCTGCATTCTGCTAGCGCTCCAGTTTGGTGAAGCCCAATACCCCTGGTTCAACTGGGATTTGATATTGCTTTTTGTTCTGTTCAGCCTCATGGATTCTTGCATGGCTTGGTATTCAATACTGGAAACAGGATAGGGCAACAGACCCACTGCACATGCTCGAGCAGCGCTCATTTTCCGCGGCGGCGTAGTTTAACTTACTCTTGACTCCTTCTTTCAACGTTCATTTATTATCTCTCCATCTGGTTCCAGGATATCAAAGGCGTGTCGGCAGTTGGATCAGATATCACAAACATTCAATTCATTCTTGGGCCGGTGCTAGTGTCCGTTGTTTCCGGTGTTGGCGTTACTGTGACCGGATACTGTATGTTTGAGTCCTCTCGCGTCTATCCCAAGGACACATGATAACGACAACCCAAAAACCCAGACGCCCCATTCCTGATCCCAAGCTCCGTGGTTTCAGTCATTGAAACAGGGTTGGTGATGAATTTCAAGCCCACGACGGGGCATGACCATTGGATCAGATACCAACTATGGTAAGTTACAACCGCTTTGATGCTGAGTGTTTCTGATACAGAACAACTATGTATTCTGACCTTGTTCCAAAAAGGTCGGCATCGGCATCGGTCTGGGACTCCAACAACCTCTCTCATCGTGGCGCAAACCGTCCTCCCTCTGACCGAGATTCCCATTGGAACCGCCGTGGTGTACTTCTTATAGACCTTTGGTAGCACCATAATCGTCTCCGTTGGACAGAATGTCTTTGCCAATCAGCTGAAAGTCGATCTCACCCGTGATGTTCCAGACCTTGACCCAGATGTTTTGATCGGCTCGGGTGCGACTAGCATCCAACAATTAGTCTTCGCAAAGGATCTTCCGGCTGTTAAAAATGCCTACAGCCACTCGCTGACCATGGCTTTCTTGGTCGCAAGCATTATGGCTTCGCTGATGCTGCTGGGCTCAGTGGCGGTCCAATCGAAGAATATCAAGAAGAGACCACTTGAGCCCAAGGGAGATCTACAGCCCTCTGCTACGAGTTCAGGAGATACGAAGAAGGAGGTGGTCTAAGATGTTGAGACAATCAGCTCTAGTCTTGGTTTGGGCCCTGATTGTGGTCAGTTTCTGCCCTTCAGAAATGACCTACTCGCATTGAAGCTAAGAGTTTTGCTGCATATTCAAGAGGAGTGATAGCTCTCTAGATCTTCTTTTCTAGTACCTTTGCTAGTCATAGCATTGTCACTTACTTTCTTCCACCGGTTGAATCTGCATAGGGGAAAGGTACCCACGATTATGCAGCATCTTTTTTTCATGGTCAATTTGCGTTTTCTTCCTTTGTGCCTCTATATATGGTAGCTTTTGACGTTTGAGACTTGACTAAATCTACTCTAGCTGGTCAGAATAGATATCTACAAGCTTCATCAGTGCATCTTACAATATATCTTTACGTTCCGAATGGCGCCGTAGTGATTTCGCTGTGAAGAGAAACAATGGAAGCCTCGGGGTTGCCGAAAACATGAATAAATTTCGGAATCCACAACGCCAGCATGGGTAGGATCTCTAGTTCAACGTATTCTTCAGTGCTGCCAGACTTTGAAGATGAAGGGAATCACGGATGGTCTAAACGGACGGATCTACGTTTGGCTATCGTAGCCTTTGATTTGCATCTGAACAGGAAAAACCTCGCAACATGTAGTGGAAAATGGAATTTACATTTTAGAAAATGCAGAAAATACAGGCTGGGACAGTCTCTAACTCAGATTAAACTAATATGCCTTTCATCTATATACACGTAGAAATCAGCTAGTAAGAAAGACCTATTCAACTGACACTATTTTCCTTACCGAGGCACGGATTATGCTTGCGCGGCTGGTGTGGACATTCGACATGAAGATAGCCGAAGCCCAAAAGTCGTAGCAAATTGATTGAACCAGAAGACGTGGTTTGTCTATGAGCCAAGATCATTGCAGGCCAAGTTAGTCAGAACGCCGAATCTGGATGGTGAACAGGTCACATGAGAACGTCAAAAAATCGCAATGTGTGTGAACATCTATACAGACCTCTCAATCGAAAGGCTTATAGTTCTGTCCTGATTTGCGGTACATCTATCTATCTATCGATGCGCCCAACTTTGATCGGGTAAACTGTGCTTTCAATACCCCCTTGGGCAGTATTAATCCGAGCGACATGTACAAAACACGTTCAATTTACATATACGAGTCAACCGGCGGGATCCGAGCCACTCAAAGTGTCCGTTTCGCATAAATTGCATATACGGGATTAGGGCGCATTGATGAAAAGTGGACCGAAGAGATTTTACATGGCCTAATCTTGATTGCTTTTGATTACACACAAATGTCTTCTTAGGTTGATTATCACATATTTCATTTCATCCTTTCATGTATCTATTTTATTTCATGTCAATATTCAACTACAGTATATCTTCAAGCTGAACATATGCCTAAACAATGCATGTTATATGTAGCGATCGGCGAACCTGTGGGTAGAGGCTGAATGCATGCAATGCATACATAACCCACCAGGAATGAAATCCCAGAAAGATCCCAGTCAATACAATACATGTATCACGTCAAGATCCACCACAGCCTGATACGCCTACATGTACACGGGTTCAACGGGCGAAACCCCGCCAAGCTAGCTTTGTTGGCCTCTGCTAGGGGTCTCTTTGTTTGAGGTTGAGATTAACATTATTTGCCACTGACCCTGAGAAATGGATCCTGGAGCCTGGAGCCTGAGAACGGAGAAAGCCCTGAATCGCAAACTGAATCACTAAATGCCGAAGTGGGCGTCTCGGAAAATTCTGGAAGCCACGTTGTCCAGTGGGGTTAAGCCGCGATATTTTTAGACCCGATCTGCGACAAGACGTGGAGTCGTGTTTTGGCCCCAGAATACAGCTGATTCCTAAGCTGTCTGCTTCAGATAAAACACGGCATAAAGGATGAGGCAGGCGACGCGGACGAAACGCGTGGACACTATAGTATAGTGCAGCCCGGGTATGGCGGGCACTGAGGCTGCGACGCCGGAGATTAGTTTCTCTTACCCTGTCTCTATGTCTGCCCCTCTTGCCCCGCTGAGGTTGAGAATGGAATGGTGGCGGGCTGAGACCACACTAAGAAGGATGTCTCTCATATCAGCCCCAGTCAAGCTCAGCCACAACAGAGATCTAACCGGTCATGAGACAAACTCCAAGTGGAACTGGTAACTTAACTAGTGTGGACTTTTCGTCCCTCAAACACCCGCTTTGCCGTTCAATATACAGTCCCATATTCAAATTCAAGACTCAACACCTTGGGACGTGCGCATGGACATCAGTCACAACCCAAGGCTGGTCGAATGACAGCACATAGCACGACGAGCATATACAATCCGGAACCGGCAGCAGAACAGACATTACCGCCATACCATGTAAACAACATAGTGATAGTAAGACAAATGGCATCATGCCAGCACCGGGATATCTCTGAAACAAAACGTCATTCACACAGGGGCCAGGACGAGTTGCAACGCAGTTACACAGTAACGTGCGAGTCAAGACTGCCCTATGGTGTCAAGGTCGCACCAGCATCTCACCTCGGATATGGGAAAGGTGAGTCACATGGCAACCTACTAAGCTAATCCCGAAAAGGGCAGCTTTCTTTCAAGCTGCAGGCGGAATTGAAATGCGGCGGCTGAGGGGATCACCATCCCGCCACAAGCCGTTATTGGAGGGGTTGATTGAGTGACGGTGACGGTGAGAGGTATGTCGCGTAAACAAGGACCAACCCCATTGCTAGCAGAGCCGGGGGGTCGCATTGAGAGGCCCAAGGATGGCGGGATGACCCTAGCGCATGTCTTTGAGACAGTAAGTTGGCCCTACTTTGGCGGTCGAGAGACGTTTTAGTCGGGCTGAGCCTTGCATAATTAGCATCGAAGACGCATCGAAGGATTGGAAGGAGCTGAAGCGTGTCAGGCCTCCCTTTGTGATATTCGATAGCTTCAATTATGCGTTGTGATAATGGGACGTGCATCAAAGGGGGAGATTTCCTTGAGGCGCAACGGTTCCATCCCCCTGGGTATATGTGAAGTGACCCAAAGCGCTGGAAATCGGAGAAAGGGAGATTACAGGGGAATGGAGAAGATTTTGTCCTCCTGAAGATCCCTTAAGAATGAGTATAAACTTCTCCATGCTCTCCATACTTCCCCCCTGAATGTGGTAAGACCGTAGTGTATAGGGCCATACGGTATTGGTAATACAGTCGTCGTCATGATGTCACCAGTTCCGCTTACATCCCAGCCACTCAGAGATATTGCAGGTTATTTTACTTACATTACAGACTCTGTAGATACATTTCTGAAAATCATGTAACCCGGAGAATTCAAGGAGATCCCGTCTGAGTCCACTCTTGACACTACTGACACTAGAAAAAGCGGGGAGTCGTCATCTAGGGATCTTAGCAAGGAGCGGCTGCGAGACTAGTATTACATGCGGGAGAGCAGGGGTGCTTTGTAACAAAGAAAGTCGAAAGATCCATTCATTATTCTATTCTCTTACAATTCTCTTACAGTAAACTGCTCCATGTAAGCCACTCACTCAGGACGTATCATTACAACGTCAAGTGGGTCGATGTTAACTCCACCAAAGCCAATGGAAGACCCCAAGAATCTTCGAATCATCTGCCGTGGCTTCCGAACATCCCTGACAGTCACCGCCAGGATAAGGAATAGGATTGGATAAGTCATTACTGGGCACTCTTGGACCTAGCTATCACGTTGTGAAAAATAATACACGCGAAGCGCTCGGGATTCAATGTTCATTACACCCCTCTTATCCCGCGATCATCGTTGGATCCCAGTGGAGATCACTAGAGCCAGTAGCGGTGTATCGACATGAGGAGTGGCTGTTCGGCCGATCCTCAGCCACCGCTTGTGTGACGTGAGATGGGACAAACACGGTCATTCCTGGTGATTCTGCAGCATTACTGTATACATCTTATCAAATATCACATCCGACTCTAACCAACCCGCCACAACCGCCATATCAGAGCGCACGGATACACTGAAGTCAGCAGTGTGGAGGAAAAAGAAAAAAAAAAAGAAGGGAAACCAAGGTGAGGACTATTACCGCTTCGGGAAAGTCGGTCCACTCATCAGAATACAAGGGGAACCATAGGAACTACGTGTTCAACGGGTAACGTGTGAGGTCTGAACAAGATCCTTGTGCGGCTATGAGCTATCTCTTCCATTCCTTCTCGGGTGACGTGCAGGTGCAGGAATGGTGTAAATGGTGTATGAGGGGTCCGGCTGTAGCGGGTGAGCAGGCAGAAATCAAGGAAATGGGAGAAGCACGGCATCGCCAACTCATAAACGGCTGCGGGGGTGGCATGTCAACCCCGCAGATGTTGCAGATGCGGCTGGTAGAGTAGATGTTGCTGGACAATAACTTACTAGATACTTTACTCCATGAGTTACTAGAGAAACTAGAGGTTAAAGCGGGCCTAGGGCAGAGAGGATCACGTTGAACTCATTTTTCAGGTGTTCGCGCAAATGGGGTCCACCGTTTCGCCGTTTCACAGCCACACCGGTTCAGGGATTCAGCCCTAGTACAATCTCATAAAAATATGGAGTTATGGAGTACACCGCAATATAGAGATAAGGGGGGAAAGTAAAAAGTAAACAATAAGAGATCAAAACGCAGGCTTCCCCTCGGTCTGTCAGACCATTTCCATGTAATACGGGTTGGCAGTGATCTCCAGTAATTATTCGTAGGGCTCCTGTCCAACGCACCTGAAACATAGATCATCCCCGATAACATTCCCCAGGAATCCTAGAGGCCCAATAAGACCTGACGGGTGCCATCTGGCGGTCATTCCACATCACTGTGATAGGCAGTGTAGCACTGTAGGCATAGGACTGGCATAATGCTGGCATAGTACACGCAGCAGTATTTAATAAGTGAACATTCCCCGATCTTTGTTACCCCTGATCAATCCTTGTGTCTACAGAGTACGGAGAATATTTGAAAAAGTGTAGGGCAAAGCAAACCACGTGTAATACAATACACATACACATTACCGTACGTTACGTCTATCGTAAGTCTCCACTGCAGCTTCATGGCATTTCATTGATTTAATTATTTCCCCCCTTCCCCCTTCATCTTTCGAGGATATTGCTGGTCTTTTTCCTTTCCCTCATAACTACTATCATTCCCTCAATTTTGTTGATTCTTGGCCTGCCCTTGACCTACTTCACCTGCCTGATCAGCTCATTTTCGGCACTAAAACAGAATCCAACATCAGCGACTCAGTCCAGTCGCCGATAGCTCGCCTTTCCTCTTTGGACCGCCTGCAGCCACTGCGTTGGCAACTTGTCGCAGCTTGCGATTTGCATCGCATCCCCCTACCTCTCGCGCCTGGGGAAAAAAAGACCTCCTACCGGGTATTCCCTTCGCCTGCCGCACCGCTAGCTTCGAATCGCATCCAATCGCACGCAGTCTTCGAGACTCTGACAATTCCTGATATTATTTTTCTTGCCGCTGCCTACTGCTGCTCCTCGCTTCTTGGGGCTCTTTCGCTCTGAAAGACCTGCATGCGCATTGCATTCGGCCTTTGACTTGCTCTTCGGCGCACGCCCTCCCCATTCCGACCAGGTCCCGCGCGCCCCAGTCCCTCATTCGGTGATTGCACGATCAATTGGCCTATACCGCAACTCGTCCCCAGTACATAGCAGCTTTCCCCACGCAACCGGCAGATCGACAAACAGAAGAGGGGTTGCACTGGTATCATTGGAAGCAGACAAGTGCGAAGCAGCCGGGCTCCGAAAGAAGAAAGACACTGCTGGTTTCTTGAGGCTAGAGATCATCCACCCCGGTTGATTTCATTTGTGACATTTATTCCCCTTAAGTGGCTACTTTCGGTCTGTGAAGATCCCTCGTGGGAATTGGCCATTGCACAGGGCCAGTGCCCTTTGCAATTGTTATCAGGGACTTTTTTTTCATCCCTCAAACCTTCGTCTGTTTCAGTTTATTTCCGTGAGTTGCTCTCCGGCAGGGCTCTCCACATTGAATCCTAGCGAGGCCAAGATGCAGAGTTCAAGAACACTGCTTTCCTGCTGAGGACGTGGCTAAACGCTTTCGTACTGTGTCAGACTATCTCACTTTCTAGTTTGGCTCGGATCGCATTACATCCTGACAGGCGGCAGCCTTTGCGAACCTTGACAGCAGGCTGGTATCCTACGCTGTTCTCGATTCGCTCATTGCTGAGTCCAGGTGACTCGGGCTTTGGCACGGTTCACGACAGGCTTGGCTTACACCTATCGACAGCTGAGCTGTCGGTCTGATAGATAGCCGCCATGGCATATGCTACAACTCCTACACCTCCGGCCCTGGATGCCGACTCCCAACCAAGCTTAAAACTTGCAACATCTCTCCCTCAGCCGACATCCTTACAACATGTTGCCTCCTCTTTACCTGGTCCAAGCTTCACCACCGCTTACTCTTTCACCTCATCTCCAATCTCTACTCCGACCTCCGCTTTCCCTGCTCCCGACACTCCGAATGCTTTCACCCCTGCTAGTACTCCCTTACAGCCAGCTAGCGAATGCTTACGTGGTCGAGTGAATGGTCTATCACTACCTACGCCAGGACCTCTTGAACTTGGTGAATCTATGATGGCCGTTCCCGCCGGCAACCCGTCCAGCTTCAATGACCCATCTACTACTTCCAAGGCTCCGGGTCTTATGCGACGAATCTCCCGAGGCGCCACCAACAAGCTGACCCGTAGAAGACAGTCTGCAGCTCAGAATGAGAAACGGGACCGAAGCTCTGGTCCTGTTATCATGCGCCGACGCAGCGACAGCAAGACCGGTCCCCAACCTGTCCGAGACAGCGCCCTTGACTCAAGCAATGAAGATGAGAGCGAGGCGTTGGACAATCTTGGCGCATGGGGCGGCTCTGAAGCATCCAGCCTTCGTAGCGAGAGCCGCATGAGTATGGCTCGTGAGGTTGGGCCCGCTGCTGCTGTTGCCGTCGCCCCCAAGGTGGACTCAGCTGTTCAGCGAGGTACTGTCTTGACCAAGGTTACCAAGAAACGCAGAAAGCAGGTTCGCTTCTTCCTTGACCTAGATGCCGCCAAGGTTTTCTGGGATGTGTCCAACCCGCAAAAACGCTTCTATATCGACGATATCAAAGAGATCCGGGTTGGCGCCGACGCCCGTAATTACCGCGAAGAACACCAGATTCCGGAAGACTTGGAACGCCGGTGGTTCACCATTGTGATTGCGGACTCTGACCGCTCCAAGGGCCGAGCAGTCAAGACTTTACACCTCATCGCCCCCAATGACCGTATTCTTGAGCTGTGGATCACTACACTTGAGCATATCTCTCGGTACAGAATTGGTTTGATGGCCGGCCTGGCTGGGTCTAGCCAGAGCGAGGCCGTTCTCCAGGCTCATTGGCAACGTGAGATGTCGAGACTCTTCCCACAAGGACCCCGTCCTAATGAGGAAGAAACCCTTGACTTGGCTGCTGTTGAGAAGGTCTGCCGCAGCTTGCATATCAACTGCTCCAAGAACATGCTCCGGGCGCAGTTCAACAAGGCCGATGCTGCGAACAGTGGTAAGCTGAACTTCTCCCAGTTCAAGGACTTCCTTATGCGCCTGAAGGAGCGGAAGGATGTCAAAGAGATCTTCAAATCTCACACAGAAAATTCAAAGGAGGGCATGACTCAAGATGAGTTCCTCCTTTTCCTGCGAGATGTGCAAAACGAAGATATCGATGCCGACCACGCGCATTGGGCGGCGCTCTTTGACAAGACTGTTCGGCGCTCTTCCAAGTCCCGCACTCCTTCCTCGGAAGGGTCGGAACTCATCCCTCCTGTCTCGCGTATGAACTTGGATTCGTTCTCTGCCTTCCTGGCGTCGTCCAGCAACGGTGTGTACGCGTCACGTGCTCCCCAGTCAAGGTTCGACCGACCATTGAACGAGTACTTCATCTCCAGCTCTCACAACACTTATCTCCTCGGTCGCCAGGTGGCTGGTGCCTCGAGTACTGAGGCTTATGTCAGTGCCCTTCAGCAGGGATGTCGTTGTGTAGAGATCGACTGCTGGGATGGCGCGGATGGACGCCCGATTGTGTCTCACGGCCGAACCCTGACTACCAGTGTTTTGTTCGCGGATTGTATCACTGTCATCAATCGATACGCCTTCATCAGCTGTGATTTCCCTCTTATTCTTTCTCTCGAGGTGCACTGCAACCCGGAACAGCAACTGGCCATGGTCAAAATCATGAAGGACACATTCAAGGAACAGCTCGTGCTCGAGCCTTTGATGACAAACTGCTTCATTCTGCCATCGCCCGAGGAGCTCAAGGGTCGCATTCTGATCAAAGTCAAGACCTGCGATGAGACCGACTTCGATCCCCGTCAAGATACTGTCAGCTCTGTCAACACCCATGGTCGCAAGCGCAGTGCCAGTACACCATTCGTTCGCCCGACCCTTGGAGATATATCCCCCAACACTCCTCTTCCCTCCCTCTCCAGTCCATCAACCATTGGACCCGTCGACAGCATTGGTCCATTGATGTCCCAAGACAGACGTTCCCTTACTGCTACCAGTATGAGCAGTGCAACCGAAGACAGCGATGGAGCTCTTGTGTCTGTTCGCAACGAGAAAAAGAAGCGCCGTCGCCAGAAGAGCAAGATCACCAAAACTCTCTCAGACTTGGGTGTGTACACTCGCGGGTACAAGTGGCACAGCTTCTCTTCTCCGGAAAGCAGACGCTACAACCACATCTACTCGTTTGCCGAACGCCCCTTCGAGAGCATCACCCAAAACCACGACAACAAGGTTGCGCTGGAAGCACACAACCGCAAATATCTCACCCGGGTGTATCCGTCCGGTTTCCGACTGCGTTCCTCCAACTTTGATCCGAACAAATTCTGGCGCCGTGGTGTGCAAATGGCCGCTCTGAACTGGCAGACTTACGATATTGGCATGCAAATGAACCAGGCCATGTTCGCTGCTGGTACCGATCGCACCGGTTACATCCTCAAACCTGAAAGCCTTCGTCTCCCGGCTGTGGAGGATGGAACCCAGAAGCGCAAGACCGAGCGCAAGATGGTCCGCTTCTCGGTCGATGTCATCTCTGCTCAGCAGCTCCCCCGCCCTCGCACCATTGGCCAAGACGACAATATCAATCCCTATGTCGAGATTGAGATGTTCAGTGCTGATGACCGTGGTCAGAGCTTTGTCCTCGGCGAGGGTGGCATGGATACTTCCGCACGCAATGGCATGTCGGGTATTGGTTACCCACACCGTCGGCGCACAAAGATCGAACAGAGCAACGGATATAGCCCGGTATTCAACGACAAGTTCAAGCTGTCGCTGGAAACCAAATACCCTGATCTCGTGTTTGTGCGATGGACTGTCTGGAGCTCGACCGATGGCCGCAGCGCTGGCAACAACAACAACAGCGTGCAGCTGGCCACTTTCACAGCCAAGCTCACCAGTCTCTCTCAAGGCTACCGCTACCTCCCTCTCTACGACGGCAGCGGCGACCAATACCTCTTCTCAACTCTCTTCTGCAAGATCTCCAAAGAGGATCCCGTTCCCGTCCAGCGCCTGGATCTCGAAGAGCTTCGCGCCGAACGCATGGGCATTTTCCGCCAGATTGGTCAGACCGTCTTCAAGCGCTCATCCTCTACTGAACGCGACAAGGATCAATATCAGGATCGCAGTGATCCCGTCAGTCCGGAGGACAAGGAAAGTTCCCCGAACCTGACACCGACCATATCAACCACCTCGACTTCCTCATTTATTCAATGACCCATCTCCCTCACCATCAATGTGGAACCGTGTTCCCCTCGCATCAACCCAGTGTTCCGGCGTTTGTCTTTTCTGCATCATATCTTATTCGTCCCATGTGAGCCTGCTCCTCACATTGTTCGGAAGTTTTGTTTCTTGCGCCCTTATCATTGCCACTGCTTCACGTCAGCGATACCCCTCAAAGTTACTTCAATCTGTTTACCCATGTATACCTCGAATAGCCAATGTTTCACCCTCGTACCGGCCCTGGCGACCGAAACCATGTATTGAAAATGGAGAGGTTCTGTTCATTTGCTTTGTTCTTATTTCTTTTCCTGTGATGTCTCCTTGGCCAAGGATATCCATGTTGTGTATTCCACCTTCCGCCCCTATCATCCATCTTCCTTCCTTTTGTTTCATTTCCTGTTGCTATTCCTGTTCCATTTGCACTCAAACCAAGCTCGCATGAGGTCTATCGGGGTTCTTTCTATCTTTGCGGGTTCGGCGATACCGCCTCATCATATCGCATTTGCGGAGTCAATCACATCATATGGAGAAGACGTGCGTGGCTGGTTCACCGAAGTAATAGTTCATTTACTTTGCTTTACTTCCTTCTCTCTGTTTCTCTCTTTCGCTCTCTCGCCCTCATCTTTTTTCATTGGAACATCATAGCATGAGGATTCATATTCGGATTCGGGATTGGAATTCTGATTCCAGGCGCGCTCTACAATTTGATTGGATCTTACAGTATTCAATCCCCGTTTGCATACCATACTATTCCGGATAGTGACTGATCTGGTATCTGGTATCCGGGTCATGATCATGATCATTAAGTCCTCACCGAGTATCAACTGGGTAGGATAAGATGGATGGCTTTCGCTTTGTTTATTTGGTTGGTTTGCATAACCGGTCTTTTTCTGTATTATCTACTGCTGCTATTTCCATCCCCGTTTGTTCATGATTGCTGCCCTGGTGGTTGCTTCGTCGGAACTTGGTTTGGATAGGATGGGTTTTGTCTTTTGTTGGCTTGGTCTCTTGTGGCCACTATATATTCCCCTGTTTTATTAGATAATGCGCTGGGCGCGGATTCTTTCGTTGGAAATGGATATCTTTTTCTTTGTTTTTTATCATGTCGTAGTATTGGTGGATGAATATAATGTCTAGTGGTATATCATATCGTCCACGAGCCTCGATTATTCAATGCAAAAATAAAAGGTTTGCTTTATAGTAACAGATACTCTCAAGCCTCATAGTCATGTCATCATATCTCAATCCCAGAGAAATCCCAATTCAAAGGGAAAGGGTTCATTAGTGTACACAGATCAAGCCAGCCAAAGCCAACGCAAACAATCAAAATAAAAGTCCCGCTCAAATAAAACACACCATCAGACCTCAAGATCAAAGCTCAAATCTTATAAGAAGAAGCCCTAACCTTCTGATCCCCTTTCAAATCTCCATCCCTCTCACCACCCATCCCCTCAAGATCCTCGGGATCCCGTCCATAATCAACATCAAGCCCGAGAACCTCATCAACATCAACCTCATTCCAGCGGTCACTAGTCTCAGCAACAGGCCAAAACCAGGTAAGCCCGAAATAAACAACACCCGAAACAATTACACCGGAGAAATAATTAACGTTATAGATATACTGCGCGCCAACAGGAACGTCCCGTCCAACAGCACCAGCAAAGCCGACAATATTCACCATAATACCGCTCAGATATGCGGCATACGCACGCCAGCTGAAACCAAAGTCGTAGTAGTATGCGTCTATTTTGCGGGCGCTGTAGAGGGCTCTGATGTTTAGGTAGCCTTTTCGGACGATGTAATAGTCGCAGATCATCACGCCTGCGATTGCGGATAGGAAGAGGGAGTAGGCTGAGAGGTAGGTTGTGAAGTTGTTTGAGGTTGAGACTAGGTTCCACTGTTCTTTGTTAGGATTCATTTCTATCCGGATAGGAATATATGATTAAATGGGACCGAGGACTTACTGGGCACATAGCCAGACCAACAGCGGCACAGATATAACTTCCGCGACGAATATTCAGGTATCTCGGCATGAGAGCAGTCAAATCCGTTCCAGCGGACACGGAGTTAGCCGAGATATTCGTTCCCAGCTGTGCGAGGGCGAACCCAGTAGCGATGACGAAGATACCGAATCGCTGACCGGAACTGGCACCGTCGAGAAATTTACCCAGGAGGTCGAGTGGGTTCCAGGTATAACCATCATTGAAGATAACCGACGACGAAGACGAGACGATAATTCCGATGAATGAAGTAACACCAAATCCAATAGGGATAGTAAAAAGCTGAGACCAAAGTGCATCCTTGGGTGTACGCGCAAAACGCGAGAAATCAGGATCATTCATGATCAGCGCGGCGAAGTTACCGATACAAGACATGATCCCCTTGACCATTGCCCAGCGGAACTCGGTGCCGTGGACGGTGTTGGGCTGGTGGATGATTGGGCCGAGGCCGTTGGCGCGGGAGATGGCCCAGCCGAAGAAGGCGATTGCCGCGATGGGGGAGTAGATCGCTTTAACGGTGAAGAGGTGGCGCACTTTGTGGACTGGGAACCATAGGGCTGGGAGGGAGAGCAGCCAGAAGAGGAAGAAACTAAGGAAGTTCTTTGTGTCGACGCCTGCGCTGGCTGAGAGGCTATTGTGCAGATTTCGGTAGCTGGGCCAGATTGCTTCGATCATTAGGGTGACGCACTCGCCTGGTTGTTTGTTAGATGGGTAGGGTTATAGATCTGGGTTAAGGATGCATACCTCCGATATAACTTTGTACTCCATACCAGATAATTGCCATAACCACTCTGTTCAAGACGGGCCAGAAAGAACCCCAGATTCCGAATGAGGCGCGCGCAGTGACTGGGAAAGAAATGTGGTACACGGCTCCGATGCGACCTGTTAGACAGACGAATGCTGCAGCCACGAGGTATCCCACCCAGACGCAGAGCCAGGATTGCCACCAGGAGAGACCGTCGACGATCATTGACGAGGAGATCATCCATGTGTTCTGGTTTAGTTAGATTCAGTTCGAGTATGGGTGGTTCAAATACTGACAATGTTCAATGAATCGGCAATCCAGAAGGCGATATAGTTCAGCCACCTCCATTGGCGGCGCTCAGGGTCCACTGGGAAGAGTCAGAGTCAGTCACTACCTTGGTACCGTCAGGGAATGTAGAAGTATACGTACCTGGCCGGAGATCAGTGTTGGTCAACATTAACTGCGCATTGCTAAGGCCAGGCTCGTTCTCGACCTCGAGCTTTCTAAGAACCCATTTTAACTTGGACATGGTGAAGTATAGCAAGGGGTATAGGGTATGACACCGTAGATAGAATGGAGTGATACAACAGGGGACAGGAACACCTTTATGAAGTTCCTATCCCACATTACGTCGCACCCCTGTTCCGATGGCCCATGATAAGAAAGCCTACGGGATGATCCCATGTGTGTTCCCCAGTGACTCCAGTGGCGGCTTAGAGGATCGTGCACCTATGACCGAACGGCTCGAGTCACGGCTTATCTATGGGCGTCGGGGAGTGGGGCTATTTCTATCGAGTAGACGATGTGATTGGTTAGATTCTCTATCTTCTATCTTGACTCTGTGGAGAGAAGCTGGAGATAGACAATCCTTGTTGAAGTTGACTCGATGAGATCGAGTAATTCCCGGCACGTGAGCCTGGCCTTAGGCTTGCTCCAACCTAAGGCTATTGGAGGCCTCAGGCATAGATATATGGAAGGTTTCATTGCACATGATCAACCTGTAACCACACTCTATTTTCGCATATGCCATTAAGAAAATAGTCTAACCACAAACTAAAACAAGACTCAAGGGACATGAAAACAACGTTAGGGTCTGCCGTTCTGTACACCCACTTCTCCATATCAGCCGGACCCCCTCTCCACTCCTTTCATCTCTATTCCGACCTCGGCCTTATTCATGTCGCATGATGATCCGCTAACATTGTACCACCTTTCTCCCACCACTCGAAACCACCTTTCTCTCATGTCTGATGCCTTTGCTTAATCAGATCTCTGTATGCAGGAGCCACTGGCTCAATGTCGTGCAGATGCAGCACCCTATATGGGAGACCAATTGTTATGGTTGGACAGACTATATGCATTCTAACTATATCGATATTAACCAAGGGAATTCCAGCAACGACTGACGCTTCAAAATATCAAGAAGTGAAGTTTGAGGGGCCTTTCATTAACAGCAAATAGGCGGGAATCGACTGGCTCACAGGCGCTGCACCAGCTAGCTTGACTAATTGAGATGCTCTGTCATCCTAGTGCGGGACTCGTCAACAAGATACTGACCTCAATAACCATATCTGGATCCGAAACGCAGATTTTGAACCCATCCAGTTCTGCTCGGGCTACAGAGAACAGGGTTCCTCGACGAATATCAACCCAAGGGCAATACACACTGCCTAAACAAAGATTGCAAAGATGCTATCGAGGCAGAGGGGGGCATTGGCTGTAGTAATTTATCTAGCGTCCGGCAGAGTGTGGGCGAACGTTGGATAACACTACTATTGCTACTAATATAGTCCTCTGTGTCGATCTGGTTTGGAATATTATGTATGATCTCACCACAATTCCAGTCAATAACATTCTCGATTACATAACTTTCAGAAGATGCGAGTTATACAGAGACCCGTACAGTCTCACTGCTATCTCCATATGGCTGCACAAATTTGGAGCAAGGAATCACAGCAGGACTTTCGAAATAAGTTATCGCTAACCCGAAGTCTACAAAGTCTAGAGCAAAGCCCAAGGCTCAACTGCTTCAGTATTCCCCGGGAATCTGGTTATAGCCATGATATGCCTCTTTCATGGTGCTAGTCTGGTCTCTCATATGCTCGTTGTGAGCTGGGCAAGTGAAAGAACAGCATCCATGAGGCTGAAGCGGTGACTGAAGCGGTCACAAGCTAAGACAAGGCACCTGGTGGGCTCATGGAATGTTAAGCGTCTTCACATACAAGAGATAATGTTCATGCCTTGTCTTTTTTGGGCGGTTGCATAATAACTTGTGACGAATTACGATCTCAGCTTTACTTATTTGCATATACGTATGTGGAGACTTTTCTGAACATTGTTGCATACTCGCAATTACAAAAGCTGATACCGCGGTAGTGTTTGTTTCATAGGCGATCGATGCCATCAAGTCCATGTTGGAGTTACGCAAAGAAATATATTGAAGGTGAAGGGTTTTGCCAGGACAACACGTCTCGAATTCGAACGATCATGTTTCATCTAATTCAGGACCACAATAAATCAAACGACCTCACAGGTACAAACGGCGCGCTTGGGGAATGCCGTCATACCGATCTTCTCTAGGCTGGACAACCATCCACCGATGGTCTCTCGCCTTCTGTACAATATATCGTACACGATAGGGTTTTATCTTTACCGGCGCAGAGCATCTCTGATGGGAGAGTCACCACGGCGGAAGGAAGCTAAAACGCAGTTAGCTCAGTTTTACTCAAATCAAGTGGTGACAGGAAATGGAGGGAGCTCGGGGGAAAGCGGATAGCCGGGGAAGAGCTTGCAAGCTCCATACTGCGAATACAAACTAGCTGAAGCCTTTTCGAGCTCTAGATAGCTTATCTCACAGCATATAGTAGCACCCGTTTAGCCAAGAGCTTCCCTAAGGTTGGGCACTCATAAAACATCAATATAAACATACCATCAGCCTCTTCCCAAGCACGACCGGCACCAAAACCGAGACCAACCCAGGCGGGCCAAGCGCGGCGCTTGAACAGGAGAACGGAGAAGACGACACCGAAAGACAGACCGAGGGAGGACTTGATGATCACGGAGGAGATGGCGCGGTCCCACTAAATATTCAATCGGATTAGCCACAAATTCCCAATACATGACTCTAAACAGATCAATTGTTGCAGATAGTGTGAAATTTATCATCTGTAACGATTTCATCCATCCAGAACCCAAGCTAGTTTATACCTTCTCGTTAAGCAGAGCTTCGCTAACGGGCTTGGTGGCCCGCGCGATGGTGCCGGACTGGTTGGAATCGGCCATTGCGATAAATCTGGCAAAAGAGTCAGCAGTAATTCAATCGGCCAAGTATCTGAAGATCAACGAACCACTTGCAATGATGTAGAATTGAAGAGGTGAATAAAGACGTTAGTGCAAGGAGTTGGGAGTCTGAGCGGAGCGAGTCGCTCGGGGCAAAGGCGGTCGGAGCAATCCGCGGTTTTTCTTTTTGAGTATCTTTTTTTTTTCCTTCCTCGACAAATAACCACAACTCACTTAATTAGTTTGCTTTTTCGCGATGCCGTTACTTGCGGAGGTAAGTCTTCATTCACTTCTGTTTGTATCTTTGGTCTAATGTGTTGCGCTCAGCGTCCGCGCTCATCGCAAGAGGCGCTTCTCCGCCTCGAAAAAGGCACTGCCTCTCCGACTACCCAACTTCACGAAGCGGCGCAGATTCTCGGTTTAGATTTGGCGCTGTGTGAAAGTCACCCGGAAGTTCACCGCGATGTTCGAATTCAAACAAACGCCACCCCGAAAGAGGAATGGGTTCTACGATGGTTGTTGAAGAGACTGAGAAGTGGGAAGAACTACAGAGTGGACGCAACTTCATTCCTGCTATTACGACAACTGATCGACCTAATCTCGCCAAAGAACCTCGCTGCTATTTTGAAAGACCAGAAGTTTTTGTCGATTCTATGTGAAGCGATTGCAGATTTGGAAGCCGACATTTTTGCCGTTCTGGGAAATGGGATTGCGGCCCTGAGTTGGGACTCCGAGTCCAGTCAAACACTGGCTGGCTCCCCCCACGACGATCACCGAGGGAGCCAAGGCAAAAAGAGAAAGAGAATGACCATCGAGAATGGAGACGCAATGGACGTGGACGGGGACGAACATCGGCAGAACCCCGCAGCATGCTTCAGCACCTTCATTCGCGCTATGGATTGTCTATATGGAATTGTGACACTTACACAACGCACATTGGGCACTGATGGAGTGGCAAACTCGCATCTAAAGCTCGCGTTGAGGGGTGAGCCGGAGGCAATTGCGATGCTGCTGGGTCGATCATTCCGAGTGGCTGCTGTCGCTGCCAAGCAGTTTTCGCATGCGGGGAAGACGACTGATCTTCAGCATTTGTTGTACGTGTTTCCCGCGGCAGTCGAGCTGTGGGAATCGCGATCCTACCGTCAAGATGACACGGACAACAAATCCAGCAATGAATTCTTCGCGAGACACTGCTTTGCTCACGCGCTTAGGCTCCAAATCTGCCTGCGGTCCGCCAAGCTTGATACTGATGAGTGTGCCCATCTTCTTCATGCTATCGAACGTATTATTGCCCTGCATGTCTTGCTCCCGGCACGTGCGGCATTCTTTGAAGACGGAGGCTCTGGTATCGACTATTCCAAGGATGAGCCCGACTGGAGTCCAGTCAAGCCGGTCACCGATACTTTCAAGCCGATCATTCGCGAATTCCCGGTAGCCAAAGATAAGTTCTCAGGTGAGCCCTGTAGCAACCCGTGGCGATCAGTTGAGCTTCTTCCCGAACTGTTCGACAATGCTGTCCGTGCTGTCCCGCGTGATGTGTTCCGCAGACAGACGCACGAGGCTCCATGGCTGGAGACTTTGTTTGTTGCTGTTGCAGAGTTAGCCTTCTCTACCGCGAAAGAAGAGGACTTTGCTACATTTGACTTCAAATTCGTTGCGGTTCTGGAGCAGCTTCTCCAAGTAGCTCTCCATCGGAACGTCGGCCTATCTTTACATACAATTCTTGCACATGCCAACTACACTGGTCTTTATGAAGAAGGCCTCGAGAAGGCCCAGTGGAATGTAACGGCTTTGTTCATCAGCCTTGGTGTCGATGTCTTCCTGCCCAACTCTGGTTTGCGCGATTCTCGCAAGCTTCTTGATGCATTGCTCGCCAAGATTCAATTGCAATGGCGTGAACATGGTACAGAAAACGCCAGGGTTTACAACACGATCAAGGGTAATATCGTGTTGCCACTTTTGCGAGGGTTCGCCGCGGCAAGAGATTTGCCAACCTTTTTGGAAGTGTGGCACAATCAACTCGTTGCAGTGGAAGAAGCCCGCCAGGACAACAGCAATCTGAGTTTGTTCTCCGTCTGGGAAGACGATGATATTTCCGACGCTTACGCTGAGCTCATGCGAACTTCCCTCGCGGAGTCGCATGTCGCTGGCCAGATGCGTACCGCCGCTAGCGAGACTAAGGCTGATAATGGAAAGATCGCGGAGAGCCCTCAGTCATACGCCAAGTTCGTTATTGTCGAGGCAAGCTTCCGGGGCCGCGTTTCACCATTTTCAGAATCGGACAAGATCTTGGCATCGCTCCTTGAGACTGTGACAACGACTTTGTCCTCGAAGCAATCTCTTCACTGGCGATGGCGCTTGTGGCGGTTTGTTCGGAACCTTTTGGAAAACAGCCTGCAGTCAGCCGACGATGTTCTTGCAAAGTCCGTGATGGAACTGTTACAGGTTGCTGCAAAGGTCGTTCACCGCAACCACAAGGACCTGGCCAAAAAGCCTCTTGCTTCGCTCGAGTCTTGGGAAGCTTACCGGTTTGTGCTGGATGCGATCAAGGCACATGTCAATGAAGCGCAGCGAACCTCGTTCACTGCTGCGACAAAGGATGTGATCGATCTCATCATCTCCATCTCTCCCAAAGACGCCAAAAAGTCGATGGAGGCACCTTGGAATGGTCAGACTGACACAGTGGAATCCCAAACCACTCTCGGTCTCGCTTACTTCCTGGCTTTGGTCAGAGTTCCAGGTGTCTGGAGTCATATCGCGTCGGGAGAGCGATCGCGTCTGTTCCGGCACATCTTGTCTTTGGCCGCTGCTCAGTACCGTTCTTCTTCGTTGCCTCTCGAGGCTATTTCCGAGGAAGCCAGATTCCTCCAGGCATGGGCGAGCGTGGTTTGCCACGAATATCTGCTCAACGCTCCTTTGATTGTCTCTGATATCTCTCTTCTTTTGAATGAGTGTATCGAGCAAGACTCCTCCAACCGCCGGATTCTGGTTGAGAGCTTGCAAAGAATCCCAGCCCCATTGATCACTCGTGGGCTGCGAACCACAATTCTGAACAAATTGCAGGATGTTATGCTTCAGCAGGACAGCTCTCCCGAAGTCGTGGTTGGCATTCTCACTATGATGGCCAAACTGGCAGCCATGCCCAAATGTGATGCCACGTTGACCAGCGATTGGGAGCCAATCTGGACCGCAGCTCGTGCAGTCTCACTCAAGGGCACAGACACTGATCTTCAGATCATGAAAGCATTCCGAAGCCTGTACCGTGCTATCCTGGCCAAACTCTTGGTCCTATCCGAGAATGACCGCAACAAGCTGTTCAAGAAGCTCTTCGCCAGAGTATCGAAGCAAACCTCAAAAATGAGACAGGTCGATCGTGACTCCATGGCTTGCTTCCTATTGCGCCTTTCTCTGTCTGAACTTTGGGTCCACCGCGGGAAATTGCAGACAGCCTTTTCCGAGACAGAATTGGCTGAACTTCGTCAACGGGTGTTTGATTTGGTGTTGGCTGACATGAAATACGTCAAAGATCAGTGCAGGAAGCAGAAGATGGAAGAGACTATCACTCTCATCAAGACCATTGATGCGCTGGAGGATTTCGAGGATCTAGCCCTAAAGAATATCGAGGTCGAGAAGTTCCTGTCCAAGATTCAGAACTACATGGAAATGTCCATTGACTCGGCACCATCCCGTTTGATCCGCCGCCGCCTTCTCGCCAGCAAGGGACCTGAGAAGAGTATTGCTCAACCAGTTCTTCAGTGCGCCGAGACTCTGACCCTCCAATCTCTCTACGACGAGGATCAGCAGCTCTTCATCCGAACCACAACCGAACGGTTCCGCTCCATGTCCACGGAGAAAACCACTCAGGCAGTCTGCGAGGTCAGAGGATTGGGCTTGGTAGGCCAGAACGCCGGATACAGACTCCTAGTGATCTACCTCGCCATCGCCTCGCTCCCTCCCATCGAGGATAAAGAGAGCGCCACGGCCCGAGAACTATCCCTCCTCTGCACCGCTCTAGCGGAAGCCATCCCACAGAGCACCAGCATCGACCAATTCTGCTTCGCATCAGAATGCCTGGATCTCCTCCTCCGCACCCACACGCGCAGTCTATCCCAGTGCAACGTCGACGCCATCCTCGCAGCGATCGCCAGCGCCTCCTGCAAGATCGGACCCCAGATCTCCTCCGAATACGCCCCAACAATCTACACCCGCCTGTGCCGCCTGATGGGCGTCGTCCTAAGCCTGCAGCGCCTAAAGATCGGCGGCCGCTTCCACCTCGTCGTAAACGCCATGCAACGCCTCCTAGACTGTCTATTCGCACGTTCCCGCAAACGTGGCCGCTCAACCCGCTCCCAGACAACTCTCTCGCAGCCCTTCTGGCTCGCCCCCCTGGAAGCCTCACACGCAACCTACTACACACGTCTGCTGACCTCGCTCTGCGACCCAACCGTCTCATCCGTGCTACGCCCACAACCCGGCCAATCCCGCGAAGCCCTCACAGATCAAACGAAGAAAGCAAAGCGCATTGCCGGACAGTACCTGCAGTACGTAGTGATGGAGTATGCGCAGTGTTCGTTGCGGGGATCGTTGTCGCCGGAGGTAAAGGCGGCCATCATGCCTGGACTATATTCTGCTTTGGATGTGATGTCACGCGAGTCTATGCGGGCTCTTAATGCTGCGCTGGATGTCTCTGGTCGGGCTGTGTTCAAGTCGCTTTATGATGACTATGTTAAGTTCGGCAAGTGGAACAAGGCTTGATTTGTTTTTGTTGGGAATATTGTCTCTTATGTACATGTACACTATTCTATCTTTTGTTTAAGAATTATGATATCCCCAATGCATTGATGATCATATTGAATTGGTTTAGATGTAGAGTAGTAGAGCGCCGGGCCCGAACGGATTCAATTGCCTAGTCTTTTTGACTGGGATTTGAGAAGGGATATGTTTAAGGAACTGAGAAGACTGTCAGAGTGGGGAAATGACCCGATAATTCATTCAAACAAGCAATCTAACGTAGCCGTCTAGAGTATATTCTAGATAGGGTATCAAGGGATATCATAAATCATGCGAGGTCAAAGATGAATCAGAAAATGGGGGAAGAAAAAGGGTAGATCATAAGCCGTGCATCACTTAGATCATCGAAGTTTCCAAAGCGCGCGGGCTCAAGCATGGCACCGACACATTGTCCAGCACAGGTATTCGTGAAGTCGCAGTAGCAGAGCTTGTATGTGGAACATGAGTAGGACCTTGCTGTTGCTCTGCATTCTCCGGGAATGGGTTTGGTGGAATCGGCGTGTCCAGAGAGAACCCGTTGTGTCCGCTGTGTGTGAGGCAGCCCACACAGCTGCAGTCACTTCCACATTGACAGCTTCCTGTGACGTCGGAGCAGGCACTTGGTAGTCCAACTGGGTATTCCAGAGTGTAGTACTCTGAAGGGTGCATCAATTGGTGGTTGAGACTTGGACCGGTCAGAGGGGAGGAATAGCCACTGGGCATGGCAGAATTTGGATCTGAATACCCATCGAAGGGATTGTGCTGGTACTGGTCTAGAGACGGAGTGCCCTGCATGTAATAGTTGAATGTAGCTGGAGAAGTGGCTCCCTGGAAAGGTGAGGATTGGTACGGGTTGATGGATTCGGGGTTTTTCTCGTCGCCATTGAAGGTAATCATGGCACCCATCTCTTGGACATGCTTTCGTGTTGTAGTGTTGAACGGGTGAGAAGCACAGCCAAGACACTGACAGTCCTCTCCACAGCTGCATTCGTGACAGGTATCACCGCTTGGCACTGTTTGTATGGGGTAAGGTGAATGGGAATGGTTGGACATATATGGACTCATGGAGGGCTGCGAGATTCCTAGACCGTTCACCGGGTTGTATCCCATGGATGACTGCGTGCCCACGTTGAGAGAAAATCCGTTTGATGTTGATGGCTGAGAATTTGGCGGAGGCATCGCATTCTGTGAGAACCCATTTTGGAAAATTGGTGCTTGGGAAGATGTACTCGTGGCGGGAATGTAGTTACCATGAACAGACATCTGGCTTCCCCATGAAGTCATGTCAGGCACACCGTATGGCATGTACATTTGGTTTTGACTATCCCAAGCAGCAGGTTGTTGGAATTGTTGCTTTTCCGCATTTGACTGCTGAGGCTCACTTGTGGAAGGGCGAGACCCGCAGCAAGATCCTCCATTTTGAGCTGCAGCTACAACTGGGGCTTGAGTGGGCAGCTGTTCCTTTTTCGAACAACAGCTAGACACTGGAGGGGGCTGTGAGGCTTCCCTGGAAGGCTCCTTGGGCGATAATGCCTTGTGGTTTTGTGTAGCGGGTGTGTAAGAATCTAGCCCATTTTGGGAGAGGTTCCGCAAAAGATTTGGCGTTCCATCCTCAATCTTGAGGTTATCTGGCATATTTTCCAAGGCCCTTGCTATATTTTCAGGCGCTGCTTGCATGGTACTTTGTCTTCTTCCAGACTTTTGAACTTTGCCCGGGGCTGGAGAAGATGTGGAAGCCAGTGTAGGTGGGGACTGAGTTGAATCATTGTCTTCCATAGGAACTTTATACAATGGCCGACATAGACAAGATGAGCCTGTTGTAGTTAGTACAAAGAAAAAAAGATAAGGTAAAAAAAAGTCTACCTTTTGGTATCCGGACCATCACGGCATATGTCTTCTGGCAACTGCAAGTTCCTTTCGGGTGGGGACATTTTGCTAGAGGGCGCCCAGCTTTAGGCACCTTCATCATGAGTCTATCAAAGTGTTGGCATTTCGACGATCGGTGGCCTCGAATGCAGGGCTCGCTAGCGTGACTCGTTAGCTTGGCTCTATTAACAATCGACGGGATGTATTCTTACCAGGACCACTTGGCGCCTTCTTCGTCGAGAGGCATACTTGCGACAAGATTTGGGGACCAGGGTGACCAATATGTCAGACGATGTGATTCGTAATGTCGCAACCGTAGTGGACGCAGAGGGCTGTCTTAGCGCGCAGTCGATTACCCCGCGCACGCGATCCCCGTTTCCACCAGAACTATCAGACTCGCACTTTGCGACGAGATCAAGCCATATATCAAGTTGTCCAGGTTCTCGAGGGAAGATCGTATGAGGGAAAGGTGGAGTCGAGCGGAGTGGGTGACGGAGTGAGCGTTGCGGAAAAGACCGAGGATGCACCATGCGATATTGGCGACAACACTGAGCCGGTAATAATGAGTCCTCGAGTCCGATCTGAGTCAGAAAGTGAGTCTGTATAGATCGCAAGAGAAGAAAGGAAGAAAAGGTGCGGGGAGACTCGGTGCCTGTTTATGTAATCCTTCCTATTCGGGATCCTCTAATTGTTTCGGCCTCGGAGCTTCAACTCGTCAACTACCGTCGCAATGCCGCCCAAAGGCCAGGAAGGTGACAGCAGTGTTGGCACCGAGAGCAACTCTAATTCCTTCTTCACCGTCCCCGCACCTATCAAGCGCCTCTTCGACAAGTTCCCGTTGACCACCTATCCCGCCAGCGAGCTCCCTCAACGGTCTCAGCCGAACACTGCCAACCAGTTGTTCGTTTTCACTGACACGCGCGGAGCACGACATGGCCGACCTTCTTTTAATCCACAATGTCTCAAATGGCAGGTTCGTGGCCCAGATGCAAGGGCGCATCGTTGGAACCCAAGCTGATGGACGCTCTAGGCCTACCTGAAATTCGTCGGAATCGACTTCGATATCACCGCGTCCAACAACCACGCATCGCCCACTGGTGCCCTTCCATTCCTCCTTCCTGCGCTTCCGACAGACACATTGAACCCAATTCCATCACACAAGCTCCAGAAGTGGGCCATTGAACAAGTTCACTGCGAGGAGGAACAACAACTGAACCTCCGGTTTGAGGTGTATGCCTCGCTTTTGGATCACCGGATACGCCATGCTTGGGTAGGATCGACTTAAAATCTCTTCCATGCTCCGACTAACTTGTCTAGTTATACATGCTCTACTTGGACAGCGAGAACTTCGACGCCGTCGCCCGCCGACTCTACGTGGAACCCGCAACAACCAACACCATCGTGCGCGCCGCTCTGAGCCACCAGCTCCAGCAAGCCGCCCGCGATGAGCTCCTCAAAAACTCACGATACATCGATGCCGCCGACCTGGAGGGCGATGCGAGTGGCGCATTCGAGGCGTTATCCACACTACTCGGGGAGGACGAGCACTTCTTCAGCCGGCCAAACCCAGGACTCTTCGATGCCAGTGTTTTCGCCTATACGCATCTGATCCTGGATGACACGCTAGGTTGGAAAAAGAACCGGCTAGCCCAGCTGCTCAGGGAACATCCCAACCTTGTACAACACCGCGACAGACTACTCAAATTTTTCTAAATGTACCACTACTAGCGACTTGTGAAATCGAACCGGATTTATTCGAATAATATCCCTTGGCCCCCATCTTGTTTTAATCCACCCGCGCCGTTTCACTTCTTGCGGAAATTAACCCCAAACCAAACCCTAACCCCAACCCATTCTCAGCTCTCGCACCCAGCACCTCTCCCAAACCTCATCAACACCTCGAGCCAATGCTCCATCCTCGTTACAGCCAACAACATGTTCAATATTGAACCCCGCCTCCGCAGCAACTGCCAAAACATCCCAATTCTCGTGACAAGAACTCGTAGGCCGAATCTTAACATCAGTCGCCGGATCGGTGAAGCCCGCCTGACTGCGCATCCCCATATCAGCATGCATATTAGTAACCAAGAGATATGCACCAGCTCTCATGATTGCCGAGGCAGCAGCAAAATATTGCTGAAGTGGGATGCGTTCTAATACAAGTGTAGATATAACACCCGCTGCCCCAGCTGGAGGACCCAAAGAAGCAGGTAACTGTTCCAGATTGGGCTGCAGAAGATCCAATATGCCCAGGTCCACGTCCAGTCTTGGATTTCCTCATCCGAGATGCTTTTGAGTAGCGGTGCGTGCAACATCCAACATACCGGGTGAAGCATCTAGACCGACGATTTCGAATGAATCTGCCCTTGAATTTGGGGATATAGCATCTACCAATTGAATTATATTTCTGTCGGTTCCACAGCCCAGATCTACGAGGGTTGTTCGAAAACCTCCTGTTTCGGTTGCTGGCACTGGGAAGCGGGCACTGACACGATCAAGGAACTGAGGAAGTAGAGCTCGCATTTAATCGATTCGAGTATTTGTAGGAAGTTTCCATCTGTGTCGTAGAGCTACATATAACGTGGATGTTTATCAGACGTTGAACAGTAATTGAAAGCGTATAGTATCTAAATGTATTTACACACCTCAGCCCACTGGTCATAAGCCTGAACCGTATCCAATACTTTGTCGCCTGCTCACCAGCAGACAGTCTGTTAGATAGTAATTCCTGAATAGTCTGAGCCATGTCAGATGATTGTTTCAAGATTGACACCGAACCCCCCAACTATGAGGGTACATGCGGGATATATGGAATGGTTTGGCGCTAATGCTTGTTGCTTCTCCACCCTGTAAGTCGGGCTTAGCTACACATTAAATTCCGGTTGAGTCACTGACTCATATTTGAGAAGTGTAGAGAATGTCTTGAAATGGAGGTGAAGAAATACTGTTCACCGTACTTTTGTTACCCGGGGAATGGAATAAGCTTCGAGGAACCCTGGAACCGAGATCGGGTCGAGATCGACAATCGTCAATAAACTACATCTACATCAGAACGACCTATGTAGGGCTACATTCATACAGGAAAAATCCAGTCATCAAGTATATGGCATTGGAAATAGTCACAGAGAAAAATCGTACACAATCATGTCGCCATTAGAGAGACAAGGAAAGAACGGCCAAAGCCAATAAAGAGGTAGACACAATTCCAGAATTGGAGAAAGAAAATAAGCCAAAAGAGAGAGAAACAACAGTCCAGGGAATCGCCAAATAGCCGTACCGGACGGACCAAAGTCAAAGGCTTGCAAAAGAAGAGAAAAAAGAGGGCTAAGGAGCAAGAGAAGAAAACAAGAAAAAAGTTGAACGAAAAAAGAAAAAAAAAAAAAAAACACCAAAATCGCAGCGGGCATCGCGCATACTTTTCGGTCATAATCAATAAACAGTCGCACCGAACGGCGCCGTCTCCTTCAAATCCTCCACCAAATCCTCAACATTGTTCAAATACCTCCCGAGGAGAGCCTGCTTCTCATCGGTCGTCCGCGTATCCCGATTCATCTTGACGTGTGCAGCACTATGCGCACTGCGCGCAAACGGCGCATTCGACAATTTACTCGGGCTGCGCTGCAGCCCCGGCGGAGGCGAGATAGGCGCGTGGGTAGGGGTTTCAGGCATGAGGTAGAAGTAGAGGAATTCGACGAGCTTGAGCTTGACCTCGCGGGAGGTGGCGCGCTGCTTGAAGAGCGATGTCACCGTTAACAGGCCGTCCAGGTCCTCGAAGGTGCGGGTGTTGGCGGGACAGTCGAGCAGGGCTGTGACGAGGGTTAGGAGGGTTGCGGATTGGACGGCTGGGCAGTTGATTGGGTCGAGGAGGTCGAGGAGAAGGTTCATGTAGATCTCACGGGCGAAGAGGGAGCGCGAGCCTGGGTGTAGGAGGAGCGAGCCTTGGATCAGGTCTAGTGTGCAGACGATGAGCATATCGTTTGTGCCGTTGCTTCCTCGGCCCAGGAGGTGTTCGAGACAGGAGACTAGGCGCATGGCGACTGCGATTGTTAGTATGTTTGGGGTCTGGTTCGGATGCAAACTCACTGTTCCACTGGAAGCCTTCCTGTAGTTTTGAAAATTCGCGAAAAGCCGGGTCATCGCGTAGCTCGGAGAGTGCCTTGGGCACTGGTTGGGGAGTATCGGCCAAACGAGATCTTCGCCGGTCAGACACGGGCTTTGGTTTGGATAGACATATTTGTGCGAGAAGACCCTCGACCTGACGCAGGCCCTTTCGGATCTTGCTGGGCTCGTACGAGGAGAGATAGTCAAACGAATGCGCCAGCAAAGTCTCCATGAAGATAGATCAAAGTGATAGATAGAAATGATTAACCCCGGAAAAGGAAAAGCAAGCCATCAAGGTCTTATATCAAAGAAGTGTCAGTGGACCCAGATGAGGTCAGGTTGGGCCCCTTCGCAGGTAAATAAGCTGCGTTGCCCTGACGACCCCCTAATAACCAAGGAACTCATCACACTTGGTGTGCTTAGCCGCCCAGATCGACTGATGGCGTCAATGACAATCGAGTTTAATTTAATTATAGCCCTGTTTACTTGGTCTAGTGGTGTCTAGTCCTTAGCAGGGAACATAGGGTGAGCTTATGTTTGCCTCAACGGCCACCCCGGTTGCTATGCGAACAACAATATTCAGCTACCCTTGCCTTTTCCTTGCGCATAAACCAGAGTATTCAACGGAATTGTGTTCTCCATGTGACCTGTCAATTGTCACCGAGGTCTATCAAATGATGTATCTCATCGACTAACCAACTCACAACCCACTGTACCATGATACTAAACTCCTAACATAAGCTACTGACACTTCTAACACTAAACCACCCATCATTCACTACGAACATAACCACCAGCCATAACGCCAACACTGTGGCTGCTGAGTTAAAAGTCTGACAAATATGCAGGCACCAAGTGGCTGTCAACCCCAACGTAATCTCCGCCCCTCAATCTCCATCTCTCCTCACCCACCATGAATGCAACGTCACCACCAAGTCCTCCCCCACGCACCAGCTCCATGGGCGCAACAAATGGGGGGAGCCCATCACACCGACACCGATCATCAACAGGAGAACCATCCAAACACCGTCGCAACAAGTCCAGCGTCGATGGCACCAAATACAAGGATGGAACGTGGTCGGCCAAAAACGAAAAGATCCTGATCGGCCCGTACGACTACATGCACGAGCACCCCGGGAAGGATGTACGGCGACAACTCATCCAAGCTTTCAATTCCTGGCTGCAGGTCCCACCAGAGAGCTTGGTGATCATCACCAAGGTAGTGACCATGTTACACACGGCGTCTCTTCTGTGAGTTACCCCACCACCTCCCTCCACAGCTCACAACCTAATGAACTGGGTCAGAATCGACGACGTCGAAGACAACTCTATCCTCCGCCGCGGCATCCCCGTCGCACACAACATCTTCGGCACAGCACAAACAATCAACTCCGCCAACTACGTGTACTTCCAAGCCCTACAAGAAGTCCAACAACTCAACAACCCCCTCGCAATGGACATCTACATAAAAGAAATGCTTAACCTACACCGTGGCCAAGGAATGGACCTCTTCTGGCGCGACACACTCACCTGCCCAACAGAGGACGAGTACCTAGAAATGGTAGGCAACAAAACAGGCGGACTATTCCGACTTGCCGTGAAACTCATGCAAGCCGAAAGTCAGACAGACAAAGACTGCGTGGCGCTGGTGAATGTCATGGGACTGATCTTTCAGATCTGCGACGATTACCTCAATCTGTCGAATACGACATACACGCAGAATAAGGGGCTCTGTGAGGATTTGACCGAGGGCAAGTTCTCGTATCCTATTATTCATAGTATTCGTTCCAACTCGTCGAATCATCAGCTGCTTAATATTCTGAAGCAGAAAACTAAGGATGATGAGGTTAAAAGGTATGCTGTGCAGTATATGCAGAGTACTGGTAGTTTTGGACATACGCGGCAGGTTGTGAGTGATTTGAGAGATAAGGCGTTGAGTTTGATTGAGGCTATTGATGAGACGCCGAGGATTAATGGGGCTGGGGATGGACAGTTAGTGCGTGCTATTGTGGATAAGATTGTCGAGTCCACGTTGGCCGATCCCAGTGCGCATTGATGTATTGCACTACGGTGGAGGTGGCTTCGCTGGATATACCCGTCATGCTTTGCGAGTTGTTTGTATAGCTATGAGACTATGAAGATATGATTCATGCTACCATCATTTGGTGTAGATTGAGTATGAAGTAGAGAATGGGTATTGTACTCGACAGTAGCTAGTTAATGTAAATGGTTATCAAGTATCAACAATGCCCTTGCGCACATCCACGTTCATGGGTATATAGCACTCCATCATGAGTCGTGTCCAGGCCGAGCCCAGATAATGCATCTGACAGTCTAAAACAAAAGCAAATGTAAAAAGAGAACAAAAAAAGGCATCAGACCAATTCATGCATGCATATACACGTATATCCAAACCAGATCACAGGTCAAACCAACATGTAAGTGGGTAGAGCACCTCACATAACAACACAGCAAGCCTTCTCCAGCTTGCGCAGAACCTTGGGCACAATAGCATTAGCCAACTTTTCAAGCTCATCAGGCTGGTTCTGGTTCTGGTTCTGGTGGTGACCCTGCTGACCAGGGTACTGGTGCGAGCCCTGATGGTCACCACCATAAGGCGGCATAACAGCCTCTCCACCAGTCAAGTTGACATAAATGCGACCAGCATTTTCCTCCGTGGCATATTGCAATCCGAGTTCACGGCAGACCTGCTCGACGCGCGGTTTGATCTTTTGCACGTGATGGGCGGAGTGGTTACCCTTGCCGACGATACTGGAGTCAGTCAGTATCGGTCTCACTGACCACGAGATCCCTTGAGTGTAGGGTGGAAGAAACATACACGTGAAGATGACTCTGCCCATGCGACTTGGCATATTTAATGCGCTCCTCTAAAATCTCCTCAGCCTCCTCAGCAAACTGACCGTGCAGATCGATCGTGTCATCGGCAACGCGCCCACTGGCGTTGTTCTCACGGAAGATAAACTCAGACGCCTGCTTGTTGTACTCTTCCATCTTGCGACCGTGCGCCTTTCCCTCCTCAGAGAGCTGCTTCGCGCCAGCGCCATCACCGCTCGAGTATGCTTCCTTGGACTGCGGTGAGTGTTAGTCGGTCTAGAGACGGTTTAGGATTGATTCAATAGTTCAATCGCAGTCGCGGGATAGGAAATATTCGAATCGCAGACTGGGATTGGGAAGTGCATACCCGTGAGAAACATTGTCCGCGCTTGGAGGCTTCCTGACGCGCCAGATCGCGGAGTCGATCGTACTCGGCTTCGGCGTCGCTGCTGTTGTCGTGGTTGAAGGCTGAATTGTTAGTGCTGGTTCACGGCGATGATCATCACACTTACCCCTCGGGCCCATGTGGGACATTTCGTAAGACATGATTGCCCCTGATGCTGTACGGAGACACGAAGGTGATAAGGGAAGGGGAAGCTTTGCAGTGGGGCCCCGAAAAATCAGATCGATCTTGAGATTCCAAGGTTCGGGATTTGCTTACTCAAGTGTTTACAAAGTATAGGTTGTGAAATAGTGCTATGATATTTTACTATATACTATGTTATTATAGTCTTACTGGATATCATTCTTCAGATCGAACGTTATACTTCAATATAACCACAAATAGACCCTGCGGATCTACCATGTTCCAGGTACCTGATCCACACGCCTCCAGGGCTGGACGGAGTACGGAGAAAATCGTACTGGACAATGTGGAACTCCCAAGACTGTGGTTTACCTTTCCCGAAATCAGGAGGGCATAGTCTCTCGTCACGAGGTGGAGTATACAGTACAATGCTCATGTATAGAAAACGACTAGAAGCACTAGCCAGTGGGTCAACCATTGCAGAGCTTCAGGAGATATCCAAGATTTGGCCATGTTTCCTCCTATGTAACGCTATTGCAGATCGCTGTTTCAGCAATACACTAACGTATATTATGAAGTCAAGACAAGACAGTGTTCAGTCTACAGTCCCGTCTTGTACACACATACTCTGTACTTATAGATGTGGACTCCACAGATAGTGATCCACGGATATGCAGATGCTCACTCTGTACCTGGTATTGTATTGGGTAATCCACTAAAGAAGCCACAAAGAAGTATCAAAGAAGAAACAAAGAACCCCTGGCGCACATGCTGCGTTTCGGTCTGAGACGGTGAGGTCGGAAAGGGGTGCGAACACATACCACATGTAATAGTGAACTTACATAGCAGATAAAAGCAGGTATATTTAAGTTAACTAAACTACTAAACTACAACTATACAAGAGAATAAAATACAAACCTCAAAAGGGGCTGCCCATCAGTCTCCACCACAACCAATCAGAGCTGCTGATTAACTCGGTATTGGTCTGTACTGGCTGGTATTCAATCCCCAATGCCCGCCCATGTCCCTTCCAAACAGCTGTATTGGCTCGGTATTGGCTGTGTATCCCCTTTTGCTGAAACTTCCCAATTTCCCCCTCTAACCCCTTACCTTCATCCTTCTTCTCTCTCTGAACGTCTCTTTCTATTCTTTCCTTTAATCCCTATTGTTTTTTTTATCAGGTGAGCTTCTTCCATTTCGGATCCCCTTGCGTCGACACGCTTGCACAGATTCTGAAACGCCTCCTGCTTTTGCTTGTACAACCGACCCTCGAGCCTGAGATCGGAGGAATTTCTTTCAGCTGCTGACAATCGATCAGACCTCCTGTAATAGACCACAATTCTTCCCTCTTGAGACCCTTTTCACACCTTGATCGCGCCCACTACAAACCGCCAAAATGGGTTGCGGAATGAGCACTGAAGACAAGGAGGGGAAGGCGCGGAACGAGGAGATTGAGAACCAGCTCAAGCGCGACAAGATGATGCAAAGAAATGAGATCAAGATGCTGCTTCTCGGTATGATATATATCCCGAGTCTCAGGAGACTGGGTGACTGACCGTGATACAGGTGCCGGAGAGTCGGGCAAGTCCACAATCCTCAAGCAGATGAAGCTCATCCACGAGGGTGGCTACTCTCGTGATGAGCGCGAATCTTTCAAGGAGATTATCTACAGCAACACCGTCCAATCGATGCGGGTGATTCTCGAGGCCATGGAGTCCCTGGAGCTGCCCCTGGAGGACGCTCGCAACGAGTACCACGTGCAAACTATCTTCATGCAGCCCGCTCAGATCGAGGGTGACAGCATTCCTCCCGAAGTCGGAAACGCTATTGGCGCTCTCTGGCGCGACACCGGTGTTCAGGAGTGCTTCAAGCGCTCGCGCGAGTACCAGCTGAACGACTCTGCCAAATAGTGAGTTGCAAACTGAGTGATACGCGATAACTTGACTAACCTCTTCAGCTACTTCGATTCAATTGAGCGCATCGCCCAGCCCGACTACCTCCCCACCGACCAGGATGTCCTCCGTTCCCGTGTCAAGACCACCGGTATCACCGAGACCACATTCATCATCGGAGATCTGACATACCGCATGTTCGACGTCGGTGGTCAGCGTTCCGAGCGTAAGAAGTGGATTCACTGTTTCGAGAATGTCACCACCATTCTATTCCTCGTCGCCATCTCCGAGTACGACCAGCTGCTCTTCGAAGACGAGACCGTGAACCGTATGCAAGAAGCCCTGACCCTGTTCGACTCCATCTGCAACTCCCGCTGGTTCGTCAAGACCTCGATCATTCTCTTCCTCAACAAGATCGATCGTTTCAAGGAGAAGCTCCCCGTCAGCCCTATGAAGAACTACTTCCCCGACTACGAGGGCGGTGCCGACTACGCCGCGGCTTGCGACTACATCCTCAACCGCTTCGTGTCTCTAAACCAGGCCGAGCAAAAGCAGATCTATACTCACTTCACCTGCGCCACCGACACCACCCAGATTCGCTTTGTTATGGCTGCTGTGAACGGTAAGACATTTTTATACCTCGGTAGTTAGAATTATGCTGACATATCACAGATATCATTATTCAAGAGAACCTTCGTCTCTGCGGTTTGATCTAATGAAATCGTTCCAGTGACAAGTGTCGAACTAGATCGCATGTTTTTATCAACCGGGGCTGATCGGAACCGGTCAAAAGCCTCGTTACAAGATCCTGGCGTTGAACTCCTTTTGCTTTGCTTTTCCTTTCTCTCTTCTTGATTCTCCTTTTCCTTTCTCATCTTCTAATTGTCTCGTCCTTGACACGATCTCTAGCCGGTTTTTCTGTTTTCCTTTGTCACTCCTGATATCCACGACAGAAAACAAGGAGTGCGCGAAATCCACGGGCTCACTCTCAATCCCCGTGGTCTTGTTTTCCTCAATCCTTTCTTTTTCTTTCGTCCTTTCCTGCCACTTCCCTACCTCCTTTCCACTTTTTTTTTTTTTTTAACCTATCTGATTTGAATGCTGGATATCCTATCATCTTGTGGTTCCCCCTTCTTCTTGTTTATCTTGTATGTAACCATACCGTCTTCCCCCATCATTTTCCTTGTCTCTTGCGTCCGTTGGAAGCCTCGAGCGACCATCTGGGCAGACTAGGCACGGGGAAATGGCAGGATCCGCGGATTTTCATGTCTCCTTCTCATGTGTCATGCCAGGTCGGTCGTTGGGTTATTTTCAGAGTTCAAGAATTGAATCTAGGGTTCTGACTCTTAATTGTTAAGTTATGTCTTTCAAATTTCCCATAGATACAGCAGTATCCCACAGTACCTATATATGTATAAGCAGTAAGCTAGAATGATGATATTGAAAAGGGTATCTATGCATGACGTCAAACTAGACTAGAACCTCAACTTGGGTCCAACAAAAACAATCAAAATCGCAATAACCCACAATCCAAAGATCCAAGCATAGAGCATCATCCGGCCCCACCACCCCTTTCCCTCTGTCATCTTCCTCAACAACCCCATTCTCTTCCCAGCAGCTTCCATAGTCGTACTCGTCCGATCAATCCCAGAGACAGCCCTATCAAGCGCGGACTTCTCGCCTTCAAGCGTAGACTGGAACGTCTTCGACGATGATTTCAGTTGTGACGCTAGGGTCAACAATGAACTGGTTAAATCCTCCTGTTCCAGCCGATGGGTACTAAGGTCCCTTTCTGTGGTTGAGTTCGATTGCGAATTCGTATTGGTACTGCTACTCGTCGTTGTAGCCGTCGGTCTCTCAGCCGCAGCTGTAAAAGTAGAGGTAGATGTCGAAGAAGTATGCCGGTTCCTTAAAGTAGGAAGGCCAGAGGAAGCAGTGGCAGACGTAGGCGTCGGCTCCGTAAGCGTAATACTCGGACCGGAGGTGTCAAGCGACGGAGCCGATGTCGAATGCCCCTCATCCATCTCATCCCACTGCGGTTCCGTTGTGTGAATTGGCGCGGGTGGCATCTTTTGTGGAGGGGTAGAGGTATTGACTTTCTCTTGGGAGATGGGCTTGGAGAATAGCTCATTCCATTCATCGTTGCCGTCTTGGCCTTCGTCGTCGTCATCGTCCTCCTCCTGTTCTAGTTTCAATTGTGCCTTTGCATCTTCTTCATCTAGAATCGATTGGATCCGCTTGAGGAGCTGTCTATCGCGCGCGATCTCGGCTTGGGCTTCATGTTTGCGGTCGAGGGGTTTGAGGCTTGGGATTGTTCGTTCGAGCTGGGTTAGGAGGGTGCGAGCATATTCGACGTTCTGGAATTCTGTTAGCTATTGATTTAGGGGGGATGGGGGAAGAGCTGGGATAGCTGTTGGGCAGGACGGACTTTGTTTATGCGCATGCGCTGGTACTCGGATTGTTGGAGGGAGCGTCGGTCTGTGCCTGGTGAGAGGAGGTTGTGTTCCAGGCGGGTGAATAGACGGGCGACATTTAGGAGGGCGAGGTCTGGAGAGCCCTCTGTTGGGAATGCTGTTACGGTCATGATTGGAGGGCAGTGTGAAGATGGTGTTGAGGCTACTGTAGTTGCCCCGATGGCCTCGACAGGATGACTCAGCCCAAATCCCGACACCCTCTAGAAACATTCACGTGTCACGGCAATATATAAGCTTGCAGGTTTGTATGCTAGCGTGTATGCAGGCCGGGAACGCAGGTTGATGTCAACTTGAGAACAAAAATGTTCATGTACAAGTCCAAGCGCAGTCCGTCATCTGCGCTCAACTTCCAGGGTGCACTGCCTCAGACCTACACTGACCGACAGATGCTGGGATTTATCATGGGGCTTTCTATAGTACATGATGAGGGCAAACAGCTGTCGTAGCATCAATCGGACCAATCAAAGCGTTCCCTAGCGCGCACAAGGGAGCCATTTATGAGCTCGGGAAGCCATGTATCATGCTGGGCTTGGGAGCGCTCCGATATTAGCAGGGGCATGACATATGATGCCGCGAAGAATATGAGCGGCGCGGTCCTAATGGTCGTGGTTACGATTTATGACCCTGCATGTATCTGTGCTTTGATACTGCAACTACACTACAATCTGTAGATTCGTACTTTGTGCATGCCCACCGGCTTATCGTCCCTGCCTGGAGCTGAGTCTCCTCCACAGTCTGCTTTACTTCTTGGGCCGGGGTGATCCAACAACTTATAGTATCCAAGCCCTACATAAGGTTCCTGACCCAGATACTTTGTATGTTCACAGTTGGTCTTCACTCATTGCTCATCTACTTCTTTTGATCTGAGATGGCTAATGTTTCTCTTGGAGACATTGTCCTATGCAGCCAAATCGCTTACCGACTCCTCACCGCTGCAACATCTGGTCGAAAGAATGCACCTCGTGACCTAAGGGAACTCGAGCATACTTTACTGTCATTGAACTGTCCACTGAATTACCTACACAAGGCTTCCTCTGTGGTCTTGTCTCGGAACACTAACTCTCCCGATGCCGTTATACAACAACATTTAGGGTTTATGGTTCGCTCATGTCGCCAAACTCTAGAAGATCTCGAACGGGTGACCGCCAAATACCGCAACACTGAAGAAGATTTCACTTCATTAGCTCCGGCTATATATCTCTAAGCAAACTCAAGATAGAATGACGGAGATTCATGTGGGACCCCAGAGGGGAGTCGTTGACCCGCTATCGACAAAAGCTTGAGACCCATACTGCTGCAATTAGCCTGATGTTGAACACTTGCTTATGGTTAGTACATGTCCACTATATCCATACCGTGTACTATACTAATGGCATCCAGGTCCACTGCCGATCGCATTGAGGAAGATAGCAAGCGTCAAGCCCAAAGACTAGACGAACTACTTCACCAAGTCTCTCATGGGCTGGATAGCTGTGACGCCCTATTGCAAGGCCAGCTGCATTCTAACTCGGGCTTGTTTGCAACGGAGTCCAGGGGGGGGGGGGGTTGATCTATATCCCCGCTCAATATCCCATTTTTAATTGATGTGTTCACTCTCCAGATTGTGATGTAAGGCGCAAGGATTTGTTATGCCATTTTCCTAGACCAATATTCAATATAGGCTGAGGCGCCCACGACACAACAGAGATATGTAAACCACAAATCAAGCCACCAATAACGCACACGCTATGTCATTAAGGAAAGACTGCATGCACGGGTCATATCATCATAATAGAACGGAAACAATACACATGATAAGGCAATAAACAGAAAAAAACAACGAATCAGAGACAAAATGTCAACAAACGCAAAACTTATTGCCTGCAATATGCAAGCAAAAACCACCCATACTCAATCATGAAAAAAGATCATTTATAATCCCCATCCGCATCACTGTCGACTAACTGTACTCGACAACGACCCGCTTCCAAGTTCGCACACCTTCAGCATCCTCCTCGCGCATCTGCTGCACCGACTCGTTGCACTTTTGTGCCCGACCCATAGTCTCAGGTGATGTCGCACTGGGAGAAGTGATATCATCTATCTCCAAGCTCGAGTTCACATTCTGCTGTTCTCGGGCTTGAGCAGCAAGGGCGCCACTGCTTGGAAAAGGACCCGACTGCGACAAAGGGCGAAGTATATCACACGCAGAGGCCGGCAGCGGAGCAGCGAAAAAGCCATCACTTTTCTCCATAGCGGAAGAATAATGCCAAGGTTCCGAATCAAGTGGTGAAGTAGTAGAAGATAGTCTCCGACGTCTCAGCTTGGTATACCGATGAACAAGAGCAAGACTAAGCAACGAGAAGCTGACGCAGAGAACCGGAAAAGCCAGCCACGCTGTCAGCGGCGGAAGATAGACAGTGAGACAACTAAGAGCAGGGATCGGGCTCATAGCGAGGTCGGATGGATACACAGAGTACCCAAGTACAGAAGGTGAACTGACCCCAAGTAAGAAACTGGAGGGGAACAGCTCAACTTAAAGACGCGGGGCAAAGCAAGGCGACCAGGGACCCTCGACAGATTTTACCGAGAGGAAGCGCCTGGTATTGTTTAACCTGAGACTATACGGACAGGGCCCGGGATGTGCGGTGGGAGGCGATGAGTGGCGAATGGGGCATCAGGGACAGGATTTGGGCTGGATTAGGTCTATATAAGGTCTCGAATCCACAATGACACTAGGGGCTAAGCTAAAGAGACGTGGTTGTGATGCCAATGATCGACGTGAAGAATGGGGCGGACATGTATACAGTATACAGTAAGAAGAAAGAACATTACAGATCGAACCAGCCGATTCCAAAGATTAAAACTTAAAATCAAACTCTGCATACCGTACATTCCTGTAAGGCTCTCTGTGATGCATCAGAAACCTTGGGAAAGTGTCTTGAGCAGCCAAAGTGTGTGGATAAATTTGCCAGCCAGCCTTCTCATCTCAGCTGCTATTTGCCACGCCACCTTCGTCTTAGGTATAGTCTAGGTATAGCCTAGGGGGTAGAACTATACTGCCTACAGTAAGTAAGCCAATACGCAGACCGCAGAGCTCTCTCGATACGGAATCAATCCGAATAAAACAAGGAATTCACAGTCCCAGAGGCTTGGTTGCGGAGAAATCCTCCATGTGCTGTCGATCATGACAAATTTGCATTTCTATCGAGATCGTAGATCGCGACTTTCAGCTGGCGCCTGCTCTTTAGTCTGCAGTTAGGGCCCGCTAAGGCTTCCCGCGCGTCGAATCATCGTGGGATGTGCCGCGCTCGGCTATTATAGGCGCCCCCCCCCTTTGTGGCTAGAATGGACTAAAATTGAAACTAAAACTGAACTAAAGTAAATTTGGGCCTTTTCCCTTTCTTTCTTTCGCCCCATCAGGATTTTACTGGGCTGTCATGCACTGTTCAGGTCCCGAAACTGTGGATCTCTGAAACAGATTTGATACTGAGCTGTAGATACACGTAGCTGACGGTGTAAATAACGGTGAATATAGATTGTCTACATTTGGTATCTCCTAGCTACAATTAACTAACGATTGTACACATAAAGCCAAAGCTAAAGCTTCGCCGTAGGCTTCAATTCCTCCTTAGCCTGCTCACGCAACTTGTTGCGCAAGATCTTGCCCGATGGATTCTTCGGTATCGCATCGAGGAATACCACTCCGCCTGTAATCCGCTTGAACGCGGAGACCTTGCCATCCATGAACTGCGTGATATCGTTGGCTGTAGCAGATTGGCCCGGGTTTAGGACGATATATGCCCGAGGACGCTCGTCATTATTGCTATTCTTGTTAGAAATGATACATAGAGAGGCAAATTGCAGAAATTGTCAACTTACATGAGAGCTCCGACCACTGCGACGTCTGCCACGGCTGGATGATCGAGTAACAGAGCCTCAAGTTCGGCGGGCGCTACCTGGTTACCCTTGACCTTGATCAATTCCTGCATTTCATTAGTCTTGTCCTTTTTCTCTCTTCTCTCTTGCTCCCCGGAATATACCTTCATTCGATCCACAACGTGGAATTTCCCCCGATCGTCCACATAGGCAATATCACCCGTTCGCAGCCAGCCATCGTCGGTCAGCGTATCCTTGGTGGCATTCTCGTTGCGCCAGTAACCCTTCATGATATTCGGTCCCCGCACCCACAGCTCGCCACGCTCGTTACGCTCCAACACCTCAGTGCCGTCTGGCATCACGATCTTCGCCTCACAGTTGGGGTTAGGCTCACCGACAGAAGCAGAGGTACTGGTCTCTGTCGGATCCCAACCAAGGACCGAACAAGTTGCCCTGAACAAACAATTAGCCCCAACTCCCAAGTTATCAAACCTCACAAACAACCAAGTATCAAAACCACCGAAAAGGGGGAGGGGAAGGGGGAAAGGGGGAAAATACTCACTCAGTCATTCCCCAACCCTGCTTAACATTGATCTTCCCAGCAGGCCACAACCCCTCAACAACCTCACAAACCTCTCTCCCAAGCGGCGCAGCCCCACTGCCAACAGACTCAACACTGGAGAGATCAAAGTCTCTAACATGAGGAAACTTAGCAAGCGCCACAACAACAGGCGGCACAAGAATGAAATCCGTAATGCGGAAGCGCTGCGTATACTCCAACATACGCACGAAATCAAACTTAGGCATGATATAAACCGGCGTAGCGCGGTACAAAGCAGCCGCAATAAAGATATTCTGCGCCATTGCGTGGTACATAGGTAAGAAGCACAGCCAGCGTGCACGAGACAGACGACCTTCGTAGTCTGGATTTAGAGAGGGCAGGTGGCAATACTGCAGCATGTTGGCGACGTAGTTCTTGTGGGTTATCTCGACGCCTTTTGGGCGGCCCGTTGTCCCGCTTGAGTAGTTCAATGCTAGGGTGCGCGATGCGAGAGAGGATGTGTTGAGCTCATCCCAGGCAAAGGCTGTGCCTTCTTCGGGGGATGCGAGGAGGTTGCTCCAATAGGGACAGGGACAGTTTGGTGGTGGGGATGTATGGCCATCGTAGACACGGCTGTCAAAAGCGAAGACGCTGGATAAGGGGAGGTTTGCTTGTTTAGCGGCTTCCAGGCCTGTCTCAAGACTTGCTGTTGCGCAGAGGAGGTATGTGGCGCCGCTGTCTTGGAGTTGGTAGGCGAGTTCTCTGGCTACGAAGGTTGGGTTTGCTCCGGTGAAGACGCCGCCGGCCATGATCGTGCCCATGAAGACTACCGGGAAAAAGAGGTCGTTTCCTGAGAAGAGCAGGATGCGGTCTCCCTGTTTGAGACCTGCTTTGCACAGGCCTGCTGCGAGCCGTTGGCTCCAGAGGCGCAAGTCATGGGTTGTTAGATAGTGGGTTTCTGGACGGGCTGCTTCTAGGTAGCATTTGTGGGTTTTGGATAGGGGGGCTGTGGGGGATTTAAGGAGGAGAGATGCTAGATGGGTGTCTGGGATGTCGATTGTCCAGCGGGATTTGTAGGGCATTGTGGTGAGTGTATAAAATTGGGATGGATATGTGAGGATAGGTTTACGTGTAGTCTAGCAGGGAGAATGGGGAGAAAGGAAGTATTTAAGGCCCTGAGCCCTTCAAACAGGATAATCCAGCACAACTCGCATAGTTCACAGCTGTTCATAGTTCCCCCGCATAATCGGTTAAAGTATGCGGGGAACCCGAGCCGTTAGCCTCGGTGTTCACACTTGGTTTATATAGGCTATATAACGTGCAGCGAAGTGCTTGTTTGCAAGTTGAGAATGCTTGAACAAGTTAATGGAATCTTTCCAGTGTCTATGTACGTCCATTGAAGAAGAAATACCGATATACATCCGGAGCGAGTGAGCTGCTGATATCATCGGATAAATCGGCTACATCTACACCAGTGAGAATGGGAATTGGAACAATGCAATGGTGTGATTGAGCTCCGGCATGCATAAAATAATTCATCTGCTACACCCCATCCCGTCCAAATACCACAGAAATAGAAAAACAAAAGGCTATAACGACATTGTTCATGAATCCTCCTTGAGACAGGCGAGTGTGGCCTTCATCTGATTGACGACCTTCTCTTCCAACCGGTTCTCTGCCCCAGAAGTCGCGCTGAGAGGCTTCTTCCGGGCCCATTCCATCTCCTTATCACACGTTGCGACAATGCGTGTTCGTAGAACAGAGCGGCGGCCAATCAATTCTTCAATATCCTCCCGGACCTGTACCCTGTCCCACTTGAGAGGCTGGATGGCCTGGGTATCAATTCCAACACTGGCGCCGGCAACCCGGTATCGGTCCAGGATGTGGGCGATTAGACCAAGGGAGTTGGCCTCGGAAGCCATGCCAAGCGTAATCCAGTTGGATGATGGTGCTATAGTAGTGCCCGCATGCGCGGTTGAGAATGCGTCCGAGGCACGGGTAAGACGGCCTTCGAACTGGTTCAGGAATGCTGCAACCTCCGGTGCAGTGCGCATGACACTGTAGAGAAGATTCAAGCAGAGGGGGAGGAAACCCCCAGTCCAGATACTGAACAGGCGAGGAACTTGATCGAAGGGTCCGAACCCGTTGGCCGAGGTGAGGAGGTTTGTGAGACGACAGGTGGAGAGCTTCATCAAGACCGCCTCAACGGCTAGGTGTTCTGCGAGCATGGGCAGCGTTGACATCTTGACGAGGATCGAGACACTGTATTGGGCGTAAACAGGGTCACCTGCCGCTGCTAGCTGATCGGCCCAAGAGAAGAGCGTTGTTGCATGGCGAACAGTCTCGTTCTCCTCAATGTGGTACACGATGTGCTCATACAAACGATCGGCATTCTTCACTTGCAAGACCGTCTGCAGGATAGCAATGATGATAGCGAAGTCCTTTGTCGTGCATTTTTCGGGCTCCTCGTGCAGATACGTGGTGAGCGTTCTGAAGCCCTGTGCCACAACGGTCTTTACAATTTCCACGATAACTGTCAGATCTGACGAAATTTCGGCCTTCTTGTTGATGACCTCGGGAGCTGCGCGAGAGGGACTGTCTAGGTGGAATTGAAGGGCAAGGAACAGCACATTCAAGAGTGACCGGAAATATTCTGTGTCATCGTGGATCAGAGCATCTTCATATGACGGGTGCCGGGCTCGAAGTGCCTTCCAAGCAATTTCAAGTAACTGGAAAACCTCGGCACCTCTAGCACCCACCTCAACGAGACGCTGTAGGAGAGCCTGGGCGAAGTCAACGCGCGTTTGTTTGATTCGTTCAAAGATAGCCTCGGAAGCACCACTTTCGGTGTTGGCGATTAGGCAGTTCTGCGCAACTACTGCCATTGACTTTCGAATTTCGTGATCAGGCATAAAGTCTGTGCAATGCTCGATGGCGAAGAACTTCCAGCTGTTGAGAAGATCCTGTAATCAGTTAGACAAGGCGATGCATGTTATTATCATGAGAAAGAACTTACCACCTGTGCCTCGACAAGAGATAGGTTGATATTGGCGCGCTGGAACTCATCGGCAAATCCACGGTTTCGGCTTCCAGCCCAGGCGAAGTCGTAGGATAGCAGCTTTTCGGCCATACTCAAGTCGTAGTAGTAATCCTGTCCGAGAGTGCGAACTTCGAGGAGGGTTCTCTTAAAGTCGATAATCTTGCAACCCGAGTATCGGTTCTCGAAGTTCTTCTTCAGGTTCGCATGCAACGAAGCATTGTAAGCGGAAACTTCAACTGCGCCGTGAGAAAACCAAGATACTAATGGAATCATAGTCTTGATGAAGCTTCGGTCGTTCACTTCCTTTGCCGAGTGCATGTAGACGGCGCAAAGGTCGGCGACCACAGCCGCAATCCGTGTGCTATAGATTTGGTCCATAACGGGTAATTTGGCGATCTTCAACTTTGAGACGTAGTTGATAATGCTGGTAAAGAACTGAGGATGCTTGCCGATATGAGGAGTGGCCCACGGCCAGTTTTCTTGTGCACGAGAGATAAATTCGAGCAACGCTAAAGCCACCTGTGGCTCCAATTGATCGATGTGGGACAATTTCTCAAGCGCCATCTGCAGGAAAGGCGCACTTCGCATTTTTAGACCACTGGAAGGTGCCCCCTTCTTCAGAGTCTGACGAGGAGATGCTCCCGTCAAAATAAACACTGCAAGCCACTGCTGGCGCTTGCTAACGAATGTTGACAGAAGTTGCCAGATTGCAAGTTGCAAGGCAGTGTCACCCAAAGGCTTGTCAAGCTGTGATAGGACGTCAAGGAATAGGCAGGATGACTCGGCCCCGAGGTGACCAACAAGGGATGGTGGCTCATTGTCTGGAATTGAAGCAGCGCTGGAGATCAATATCTCAAGCATCGACACAACCGGTAGTTTGAAAGGATCGTGCAGGGCATAAAGTTTGACAAGAACGGGACTAGCCTTGAACAACTGCTCTTCTAGAAGGGAGGTAGGTTTTTCGGCCAGTTGAGCTGCCTGCACAAGTTTGATACAAAGCCGCAGTGTAGAATTGACCTGGTTTTCGACTAGCTTGAGGTATCGGAGGTGGAGTGTGGGAGGGGCTTGAAGACCTTCGGTGATCAATCGAAGGATTGGGTTGAAAGTCAGGTCTGTGGTTGACTGAGGTCGCAGTGCATCCAGGATATAAGCTGCAGAAGCAGAAAAGACACCAGTAACCTTTGAATCTAGCTTGGGACCATCATTGATTCCATATGCGTAGTACAACACACGCTCAAAGGAGGCAGCAAGCATCGAGTTCACCTTGAATCTTTGTTCAGGTAGGTTGAATCTCCAGCTGCCGTTGCTGTTGAAGATCTCGACCATCACACGGGTGAGATTCAAAAGAATATTTCTCATGACATGAGAAGGGATACCCGCACTCCAGTCAGACGCAATGGATGATTTGCTTGATACACTGCTCGGACTTTTCCGTAACACTGCTCGGGATGCTGCATCATCCACGACTGCTTCGACAAGATCGACACAGCTGACTAGGAATGGATAATCACCAGAAGGAACCTCCATGGCGGAGATGATAGCGCTCATCATACCACCTTTACCGTCGGATCCGATGAAGCTGCTACGGCCGAGGAATGGCCATACACGACTGGGGAGAACCTTGATAAGGGCTTTGATGAAGCCCAAGCATGCCATGGCTGCACTTGAAGATTTGGTTGCGTCTCCTCGAGATCCAGTGTTCTGCAGGTTGCGCTCGAAAATGTCGAAGACCACGGATATAATGTCGCCCTGCTTAGACAAACCATCGCTAGCCATTTCCAAAATTCGCTTGCCACTGGCCGCTTCGGTACTTGAAGTCTTAGAATTGGCTATCAATTCTGTCAGGAGCGCAATGATATCTGTGCCGGTGTCATCGGTCCATCCAGGGGATTGACCACCATTTTCGCTCCATTCTTCAAGCCAACTTCCCAAGAAACTTAAGCAGGAGTATTGATGTACCCACTTGATGACAGCTGGCTTTGAATCAGAGATGACCTGGCCAATTGTTTGTGTAGGAAGTTGCGAAGAACCGCAGACGACCAAAGCATTGCTCGATGCTTTTTGAGAATGATGATGGTAGGATGTGACCTCGAACATTGGGAGGGGTTGAAGCAAAGCCACAAAATTTGCGTCCTCGTCCTCTCGAATTGTTGCATAGCCTTGGAAATGGGGCTCCATTATTTGCGTGAAGGACTGCATGTTTTCCAGCTCGTCCAGAATCTCGGGCAAGCCATCCTCGTTCAAACTGTGTCCACTGACAAGAACCCGACAAAGGCGCAGAAAAGGTGAAGTTTCATATGGGAAACGTGACCGTGCGACATTGAAGATACTGTCCATCAGGAAGCGGTCTTTGGCAAATACACGTTTGGGATCACTGGCAGGCCCTAATGAGTCCAAATCTCTGGAAAAGCCACTGCCATTGTCCTCCAAAATTGCCAGTACAGACTCCACAACATCTGTGTACTCCAGATACAGAACTGCAAGTCTAATGGAGTCAATGAGGCACAGGCGGATCCACCGGGCTGTCAGGCCGTCATCGACGGCTGACATTGATTCGATCTTTGAAGAGAGGATAGTAATAGTGTCGAAAACGGATTCTTTTACGAGATCAGATACCAATGCAAGAATAGATTCCTCAGCAGTGTGTATCGGAGTCCGGGCACAATCCAGCAAATCTTCCCAAAGCGAGTATTCTGAACCTTGAATTGATCCTGCGTGCTGCGTGTTCGATTGGAACGAATCGATAGCTGTGTTGAACTGCCGCTCCTCTCTGTCATTCTTGTCAGTGGTTGCCAATTCTGCGATAGTATGGAGAATTAAGCCCCACGCAAGGACTGCTGGGTTTGCAAGGACCACATCCCCACACACGCTGAGGAAGATCTCATTAATTTTGGGGAGTTTGCGTTTCGATAGGAAGTACGGTTCCGACGAGTATCCGGAATGCTTGCGATGCGTGAGCGAATCAATGACTTCAGGGATTTTCAGGAATGCCAATGTCGTAAGCGAGGCGAAAGACTGTAGGGGTAGCAGCACTTCCTCTGGTTGCTGACATGGCTATCAGCGTATTAGTATGCGATGTTTGATAAGATGATACTACACCTACCACTTGTATTGTTTGCAAGAAGCCATATTCGGCCATGAGCTCAAGCCAGGACAGCAGGAGCTCTGCTGTTGGAATTTCCGCCGAGGCTGAAAGCTGGTGGAAAACAAGTTGCAAGATGTGAACAACCTCTTCCACAATGCTTGTTCTCCAAAGTCCTTCAATTTCCTCGCTGCTCTCAGCGGTACTCAGCCAGCCGCCATTACTCTCCAAAGCCTTCAACCGACTGCGTATTGAGGCGATGGAGTCCTGGACGAATTCTTTTAATCCGGCACCTGAGGATTTGGAGTGGAAGATAGTGGCTCCCAGCTTTTGCAAAGCGAGCTTGCGCTCAGAGATTGCAGATGTGGTTTGGCCAGTCTCAGAAATAGAATCATGCAAGGACAGAGTGAGCAGTTTGCGAAGCGTTTTCAATACATGAGTTGTCTCGCAAAGATACAACTCGCGCAACCGCAGGCGCCTATTTTCCTCTGCATCAAAAGACAAGATGCTCTCGCTTCGACCTGTCTGGCTCAGGATAGCGGCTAAGTGGGGGCCTGCCAGAGAGCCTCGAAAGTTCTCGGTCCCAGTCGCGCTTTGTAGACTCGTCGCCTCTTCGTTAGAAAAGCCGAGGTTGAGGCGCGTCGCCGGGCGGTCCTGCCATTCCAGCACAGCAATCCGGAGAGCAGCGACCTCGTCGATTTTGGCCTTTTCGCTCAACCATAGAGCGTCGGCTTTGATTTCCTGGAGATTGAAAGAGCTCTGGCCATTGGTCTCGACATGAATAGCAGCGGTTTTGGAGTCGAATTCGGACTTAGTTTTAGCGGAAGGAGGAGGGAACGGTTTCAAGCTCTCGGAAAGCAGGTGAACGCTGTCGGGATGTGAAAGGAAGGCGTTGATTGCGCCTTCATCGGCATGACCTTCAGGGTCGAGGGTGTGAAGGAAAGCTCTTTTCCAAGATCTGCAGTGTGTTAGCATATGCGTTATCATTGGACTAACGCATACATACAAGAGCTGAACGTCCCCGGAGAAGCACTTGTCCAGGGACGGAAAATAGGCCTCCGGGACGGGAGCCATTTGGGGCAATTAGATCATCATAGGATAAAAAGAAAGGGCAGAGCGAAGCGACACCACGTAAGGGTACGAGAGGGTAAAGAAAAAGGTGGATGGGGAGCGTGGGGAGCTCTTGACTTGAGAGGAAGCTTCAAAAGAATATTCACCGCGACTGGATCAACAATCAGGTGCCGATGGCGGTGTACGGGGGGCTGTTGCGGCCATTATGAAAATAATGCATGGCTGTTGATTATATCGCATTTTACAAATTAAATTTCTGCTTACATGCTTTCTCTAATTTATGAAAGCTCCAAGTGTTTATTTTAAATCTATTTTCCCCAGAATGACAGCAAAAAGACCAGAAAGAAATGCTCTGTAGCTCATGGCCGCAATTGCTCTCCGTAGCCTATTCTTCCATATTGCCAGGCGGTGAGCATCGGCATCCAACCCGATATTCTTTCTGAGTCATCTCCATGCGACAGCAACATTTCTGGTCTGATTTGCAAGGAGATTAAGGCTTCATTGATGACCATATTGACCGATTTATCTCTCTGACCCCCAATTCCTCAGCATCCGTGGCCATGGCGGACCTTGTCGACCACTCCCCCCACCAACCCACCAGCGTCGCCAAATTGGCCAGCGCCTCCAATGTCATCCTGATCGATAACTACGACTCGTTCACCTGGAACGTCTACCAGTACTTGGTCCTGGAAGGTGCCACCGTGACCGTTTACCGCAATGACCAAGTCACCGTGGAGGACTTGATCGCGAAGAAGCCTACCCAACTAGTCATCAGTCCCGGCCCCGGCCACCCAGAGACTGATGCAGGAATTAGCAATGCTGCAATTCAATACTTCAGTGGAAAGGTCCCCATCTTTGGTGTCTGCATGGGCCAACAGTGCATGATTACTTCATTTGGTGGCAAGGTGGATGTCACCGGCGAAATTCTTCACGGAAAGACCTCGGTGTTGAAACATGACGCCAAGGGTGTCTACCAGGGATTGCCAACTTCGCTCTCCGTCACTCGGTACCACTCCCTCGCCGGAACACACTCTACTGTCCCTGAGTGTATGGAAGTCACCTCGTGGGCCGAATTGGAGGATGGTAGCGGCAAGAACGTTATCATGGGCGTGAGACACAAGGAGCTTACCGTGGAAGGCGTTCAATTCCACCCCGAGAGCATTCTGACAGAGTACGGACGCACCATGTTCAGGAATTTCCTGACTCTCACCTCTGGTACTTGGAGCAAGGCCCAGACCGCAACTCCTGCCGCACCGGTGGATAAGAAAGTCTCCATTTTGGACAAGATTTATGCTCATCGCAGAAATGCTGTTGCTGAGCAAAAGAAGGTCCCTGCCTTGCGTCCGGAGGCTCTCCAGGCCGCATACGACCAAAACATTGCGCCCCCTCAAATTTCATTCCCTGCGCGACTGAGGCAATCCGACTATCCCCTCTCCCTGATGGCGGAGATCAAACGTGCATCGCCTTCAAAGGGTATCATCTCAGCCGATGTGTGCGCTCCTGCCCAGGCAAGAGAGTATGCCAAGGCTGGAGCTAGCGTCATTTCCGTCCTCACAGAGCCGGAATGGTTCAAGGGCACGATTGACGATCTGCGGGCTGTTCGCCAGAGCTTGGAGGGACTTCCTAACCGACCGGCTGTCCTTCGAAAGGAGTTCGTTTTCGACGAATACCAGATTCTGGAAGCTCGCCTGGCCGGTGCTGATACCGTTCTACTTATTGTGAAGATGCTGGACCTCGAGCTCTTGACTAGACTGTATCACTACTCTCGCAGCCTTGGCATGGAACCTTTGGTTGAAGTGAACACTCCCGAGGAGATGAAGACTGCTGTTGATCTCGGATCCCAAGTGATTGGTGTCAACAACAGAGATTTGACGAGCTTTGAAGTCGACCTCGGAACCACAAGTCGCTTGATGGATCAAGTTCCCGAGAGCACAATTGTGTGTGCTCTCAGTGGAATCCTGGGACCCAAGGATGTGGAATCATATAAAAAGGAAGGCGTCAAGGCAATTCTTGTTGGCGAGGCTTTAATGCGGGCCGAAAATACTTCTGCGTTTGTCGCGGAGCTTCTCGGCGGTTCCGACAAAGATCTTGGTGGCGTCTCGAGCTCTCCACTGGTCAAGATCTGTGGCACTCGATCTGAAGAAGCAGCTGTCGCCGCCATTGAAGCTGGTGCGGATCTTGTTGGTATCATCATGGTTCAAGGCCGTTCGCGTCTAGTCCAAGATGATGTGGCCCTCCGCATCTCCCAAGTTATCAAGTCTACACCCCGTCCAGCCGCTGTCTCATCACAGCAATCGACAAAGGCCACGCCATTAGAATGGTTCGACCACTCTACTAATGTTTTGCGTCACCCTTCCCGCGCACTTCTTGTGGGTGTTTTTATGAACCAGCCGTTGTCATATGTTCTTTCTCAACAACAAAAGTTGGGACTTGACGTTGTGCAACTCCATGGCTCTGAGCCATTGGAGTGGGCCAGCTTGATCCCAGTTCCCGTCATCCGGAAATTTGCACCGGGCGACATTGGCATTGCCCGCCGCGCATACCACACGCTTCCCCTGCTGGATTCTGGCGCAGGCGGTTCCGGTGAGCTGCTAGAAGAATCTGGTGTTAAGAAGACACTCGACAGTGACGAGGGACTCCGCGTTATTCTTGCTGGTGGGTTGAACCCGGATAATGTGGTCGACATCGTGAAGAAGCTTGGCCATTCTGGCCAGAAAGTGGTTGCTCTGGATGTCAGCTCGGGCGTCGAGACTAACGGCTCCCAAGATTTGGAGAAAATCCGTGCCTTCGTGAAAGCAGCCAAAGACATTCGGCAATGATTAAGTAACCATACTTTTATTTCATTTTCCGGTATACTTTTTTCGGTCTCATTTCATATTCGATGCATTATGAATCTATGCTCTAGATGAATACAACATCAGCTATTTCAGTGTCTCAACCTTCTTAATCTACTCTCACTTGCGCTGGTTTGATCATATACCAGTGAAACTCCTGTCCTCAAGTTTTCTTACCCCCAGAACGTCCCCTAGCGTTTCCCATCTTAGTATCCCTCCGCTGTTCTCCTTGGTTTATCAATCCATCCTCGCTATCCCAACATCTCAACCACTTAAACACAGACATACCAGCAACGATTGGAGACGATCCTCTCAATATACTCAGTCCATATTGGGATTGCCTCGTCTTCTAGACATATTGCATATCGACTCCTTTTCCAGGAGAATATTGAGGCCATCTGCTTTCTCTTCTCCTTCGCTCACTTTCATATGCGCTCATCTGATATTGCCCCAAGGGGAACCTTCTGATTCTTTTTCTATTTGTATCGATCGTTGCTCTCTTTCTGCATCTCACTTTCTTTCTCCCTGGTCACTCTCGACAAACATACCATTTAAAAAAGTCAGTTACCAACCGGGTCTACAATCCTAAGACTCATTCAGAGAAGTTGAAAGTTTATCTCTGCAATATATCTGAGCCTCGCCTTCAAGACACCTACCCGAGGACCTTTCACTCCTCGTCACCAATCCAAGCAGCATAGACAAACAAAACCCACGAAAGTCTACAACGAAACCCCTGCCCCTGGTTGATCTCCAAAATGGGGAAGACATTTGCAAACATCCATGCCTCAATGACAGGCAAATTTGAGGGGGGCGTTGGTGAGAAGATTCCGCAATGGATTCGAGCAAACGGGGGAGTGTTCAGTCGGGATGTCAATCCTCGAGTGACTCATCTGATCACAACCGAAGAAGCCTTCAAGCAGAATGTCGATTCTGGTATGCTACCATGAAATCCCTTGTAGCATTGAGCTAACAATGGAGTACAGTGGACAATGCGCACAAGCTCGGGATCAAGGTCGTCACCTATGACTGGCTTGATGACTCGCTTCTATCCTTGACTCGTCGGCCAAAGGGTGAGGGACCTTATCTTTTGAAGAATATCGTCAAGGTGGCGGAAAAGAAGGCAAAGAAGGCACATTCTGCCAAGGCAAAGGCATCAAAGACACCCATCAAGGTCACCAAATCCCAGCCCAAAGCTCCAAAGCGCCCTGCTGGTATTGTTTGCTCTGATTCTCACTCTGTCGACCTTCAGCTAGCGAATGTACTGATATTGATATGCTTTAGTTGACCCATTTGTCAAACTGAAAGGCAAAAGAAAAGGTTAGTAACCACTGGCCGGCCAACATGTTATATACAAATCTAACGTTTATTCGAACCATTCAGCGGTCCGCCAAGAATATTTCGAAAGTCTCACTGGAACCCTCTACAGCGCCACCATATTCCGCAGAACAAAGCCACCAGCCACGACAAGAGAAAAGTGCCAGCTGGCCGTAAGTGATGTCAACCATCAAAAATCCTGTTTAAAAGCTATTGCTGATCAAGACTAGGTCTACGAGTCTCTTTCTGAGCCCCACATGTACTCAACTTACATCAAATTCAGCCGCACTGGCAAATCCTCCGTCGAAGTGCTGGCCCCACCGAGAAAAAGCATCCAGCTCGCCATCGGAATTTTCAAGACTCACTTCAAGATCCACACTGGCAAGGATTGGGAAGACCGGGCAGATGGACAGAGCCCGCCACCAAAGAAGGATGCTGATGGGAATTCCTTGCTGGCCCATGATGGTTGGTTCTATCTTGAGGAACAAAGAAGTATCCTCAGCAGCTTCATGATGGGAACACAGAACATGAGTCGTGCAACGAATTCTCAGAGTGGAAGCAGCAATACTTCGGCTGAGCAGGGAAAGTAACATACTTCAATGTGAGTGGTGACTGATCCTGAGGAGGATGAAGACGAACATGGGCACGAAGCAAATGGAGAATAGGCAGTGAACAACGTCAGTGGTGGGAACTTTGAGGAAATGAAACTTGGTGTGGATGAAGACGATAGAACTGCAACTCAGATCAACATTTGAGTGGTAGTATAGTGACACTCATGAACCATTTACACAGCTCCTCTCCCGCCCAAAGAATAAGATTAGTACACCAATAGGAGTCATAATTACATCGCTACTTTATCAACAACAAACAGTGGCACTTGAAAATGAGTATGAAAGATGTTCGAAAAGATGCCAGAAAAGAGATTAAAAGAATGTGTTTAAATCACTTGAAGGGTTTGGTGTAGAATATATTCAATGCTTCATGGCATTGTATGCAAACTCACGACCCAATGTTGGGAACAATAGAATTAAAATATCATGAACGTAAGACTGCGTCAAAGTATCACTCAGTCTACCATGATTATTAATTGTGGTATTTCGTGTTGCAATCCATTTGCCTTCATGGACCACTGGTGCTCAACTTGAAGCCAACTCCGCCGGCTTTGACGGTGGAGAACCAGAGCGAGGTGTTGGCAACTCCGTCGTAAAATAGGTTGGAGTAGGGAGTTCGACAGGTAACGTCTCATATATTACAACGTTCTCGGTCATATGATCAGGTTCGTCATGGCCTTGCGGAGGGCTTTGGCTTCGTTTTCGTCGGGCGTAGAAGAGCCAAAGGGCTAAGCCGATAGTAAGAATGACGCCCAGAGAGACCCCTACACCGATGCCTGCTTTCGCGCCAATTGTCAGCCCGTGGCTTTCTAATGGGGCTTCCGGGGATTGGGTGGATGTATTCCGGGCAATGGATGATGTCTTGGGTTTGATCGTGGTCGAGGTCATGGTTGGCGTGGTAAAGTCGGTGGACTGCCATCGAATGGACACAGCATTTGCATATATCGTGCCTGCAAAATCGTCTCCATCGTATAGATATCCTGAACATCTCGCACCAACGTCTGTGGGATTGGCGTTGAACAGTCTGCAAATCATCATCACGTAAACGAAAAGCTCAACTTCAAGCCACCGGTAATAGGTCATGGTAATTACTTACGTAGGACAACAAGACGCACGAGTTTCAGTCAGGGTTCCAATGTCAAGCGTTGAATTTAGACCAATATAATAGCCGTTCGGGCATAAACCTGGTGAATAAAAAGAGGCCGAGGTATAACCAGAGGGATAACATTCTGGCGCACTCGTCGTTGGTCCTACAGTCCACACGGTGGAGGAAGGCGCGTCTGAAGCGTTGCTTTCCTCGTCGGCGGCTATATCAGCTCCGGCAGCTGTATCAACGTTTGAATCCCAACAAGAAGCTGGAGGCACAAAAGTCGTCGTCAAGGGAAGGGTTGTTTTTAGCGCCATCACTAAGAAATATACAGAGATTATGGCGAGTGGTCAATGAAAGTGCCATGGGGGTCTCACGATTCAAATGTCAATTTAGAAAAGAAGAGGGTAAAGGGGGTGAAAAGCAAAAGTACGACAGAACAATCTTGTCTCGAGCCAGGTTCATGACTCGCGTTGTTTGAACTAGGCGCAAGTGCGCGCTAGGTATGCAAGCTAGGGAAATGCCCAGAATATAAGGTCCAATGGTATCCAAGGGCAAAGATTATGTCGGCAAAGGAGGAGAGAAAAGCACGAATTAGACAGATGATAGAGCTAGAAACCCGAGGTAGTTCGGCGTTAGGTGCCAGATACTAGAGGCGATATCTCGAATATTGCTTCCTGCTTTGGCCGTGTGTTTAGTCTAGTATTATGATATTCCAGACTCTGTCACAGCATCAATTTAGAGACCAGTCCACCAAGGAGTGTGCAGTATGAGTGTCGAGCTAGAAAATACATATTGTGTGACAGTAACATGGCTGAGGGTAGTCAGTTTCGCCAGTGGATCTACCGTAAAGTAGGGTTGTGGTGTATATTTTATGTTTTGCATTCCTTTTTGGGATCAAGATATATGATCCACAAATTTTTAACAGGGTATAAAGACAATAACACAAGAAAAGAGACCCTTCTAATTGCCCTCTAACACCAGATACGCCAGTCGATCATCAATGTAACGTCGCAAGGTTCTGTCTTTTAGCAAACCCACGTCACATCCAATGCAGTGATGGGAATATGTAGAAGATTACAAGTAGTCCTTCTTCTTGCTGGTTCTTGTGTATTGAGTAAGGGCCCACTCGATATCACCACTGGAGCCCTTCTCCAAGGTGCCTCCACGAATCTCGAACAGACGCATAGTCATGCGCGGGCCAACCTCGGCCAGCTCCACATCCCGGTATCCAGTCTTGACAAAGACATGGTGGCGCACCTCGATGTTATCATCCTTGTTCACAAAGCTGACAACGCGATTGCCAACCTTGCCAGTCTCACGGGGCGGGAAAAGATGCTTCAGGATCTGAACAACACGGGCACCCAGCTTGGTGGTGAAGCCCTCAAAGACCAGGTGTGGGTAGCTCTCGGACACAGTACCGCGAGCCGAATTCGGGATATCTGCGCGCAAAACGACGTTGTGAAGGGAGAAACTGGCAGTCGGGCCATGGGGAAGATGAGAAATTGTGAGGGCGGTGGGAGTGCCACGGTGCTCGTGGAGGAGAAGCATGTCGGTCAAGGCGGCGGAGGTTGCGCTGGAGACCATATCTCCCAAAACAAGGGTTCCACGGTTAAGGCGGATAGCGGTGGGGAGAAGTAGACGGATTTCCTTTGCGAATGCACCGAGACGAGCGGAGGGGGAGCGAGAGGTGGTGACCAGAGGACGAGGATCGATAATACCGGACGTTAAAACATATTCGTCGTCAATGTCCATCTCAGCGTCATCTTTTGATTCGTCATATTTGAAGTCTGCGCGAAGAGCTTTGTCGTCTGCGATCGTGGGATCCAAAGGCTTTCCAGAAGCCAATGAAGCTTTCAGCTGGGCTCTTTTTTCAGCAATGGAGGCATCGCGGAGTAGCAACGCTCTCCGATATAAATAATCGCGACGCTCGCGGGTTTGACGGCGCTGTATACAATGAGCATCATGTCATATTTTCAGAGCGATAAATACTTACCAGCATTTTGTCGAGTTGGAGAATGTTGAAGTGAGAGGCGGCTAACTTTTTTTTTTCTTAACTCCGAGGCTGCGTCTTTGGCTCGTCTGCGTATCCGGAGTGGGATCGCACCGATAAAGAATCTGGATTGCGGAGGGCTTCTCGACTAGACAACTTCACCTCTCTTTTGTTCGAGAGAGCTCGATGTAAGGAATCCCCATGTCATGCCCGATGATATATTGCTAAGTATTACATGATCAGTTCTCCGCCCCGCATCTCTGCCCCTCCGCTTCGGCCCTGACTTCAACCCTCAAGGACGACCGGATTGTCCTCTACGCTCTTTTATTGCTCACGACTTTCGAATCTTTTCTTATTTTTGCTTGCGCTTTCAGTTACGCGGTTTCTCTGTTTAAAATTTACTTCCGCACTTATTTCTCTCAACTATCAACGCCAACTTCCCAGATCAGCATTTATAATGAGCTATCAACCGGAAGATTCCTCAACGGGGGTGGAGATTGACGAATATGACCAGACTGCACTTGGCCGCGCTAGGCCGAGGCTTCATGACGACGAAGATGATGGCTCCGACACATTTGAAGACGACGACATGGAAAGCACAGTTGGTGCGCCGGTGAATGGAAACCAAAAGAACCAAGGGCATGGCGACGAAGAAATAGAGCTTCCTGCTCATGCATGCGCGTGGGTTTTACCTTGTCTTTTTCAGATGAGCTTTCACTAATACATTGATAGATACTGCGGTATCCATAACCCCAGTAGCGTCGTCAAATGTCTTTCGTGCAACAAATGGTTCTGCAGTGCTCGTGGAAATACATCCTCGTCTCATATTGTCAATCACCTTGTTCGCGCTCGTCATAAAGAAGTTCAGCTTCACCCTGGCTCTTCTTTGGGTGATACCATTCTCGAATGCTACAACTGTGGCACCAAGAATGTTTTCTTGCTTGGTTTCATTCCCGCCAAGTCAGATACAGTTGTTGTGCTTCTCTGTCGTCAGCCATGTGCCTCCATGCCTTCATCTAAGGATATGAATTGGGACACTTCTCGCTGGCAGCCACTTATTGAGGATCGCTCCTTCCTTCCCTGGTTGGTGGGTGCGCCTACTGATCAAGAGCAGCTCCGAGCCCGCCACCTCAGCCCCCAGGTCATTGCCAAATTGGAAGAAATGTGGAAGGAGAACAGCAATGCGACGCTCGAGGATCTAGAGAAAGCCACTGCAGTGGATGATGAGCCTGCGCCAGTTCTACTTCGCTACGATGATGCCTTCCAATACCAGAACATCTTTGGTCCACTCGTGAAGATCGAGGCTGATTACGACCGCAAGCTGAAGGAATCTCAATCTCAGGATGGATTGATTGTGCGCTGGGATCTTGGTCTTAACAACAAGCATCTCGCTAGCTTTGTGTTGCCCAAGCTTGAGCTGGGAGATGTGAAGCTGGCTGTTGGTGATGAGATGCGTCTCAAGTACAATGGTGAACTGCGTCCCAAATGGGAAGGAGTTGGTTACGTTATCAAGATTCCTAATAACCAATCTGACGAGGTGACCATTGAATTGCGCGCCAAGGGTGACCACAAGTCAGTCCCAACCGAATGCACTCACAACTTCATGGCAGACTATGTCTGGAAATCCACTTCTTTCGATCGCATGCAATGCGCCATGAAGACATTTGCCGTGGACGAGATGAGTGTTTCTGGTTACATCTTTCACCGCCTTCTTGGTCATGAAGTTGCGGCCGCTCCCATGAAGACACAGATTCCGAAGAAGTTCAGCGTTCCCGGTCTGCCTGATCTGAACGGCAGTCAGATTAACGCAGTGAAGAGTGTTCTGCAGCGCCCTCTCAGTCTGATCCAGGGTCCACCTGGAACTGGTAAGACCGTCACCTCGGCCACCATCATTTATCACCTTGCCAAAATCAACGGAGGTCAGGTGTTGGTTTGCGCTCCATCCAACGTAGCGGTTGACCAGCTTTGCGAACGTATCCACCGAACAGGTCTCAAGACCGTCCGCGTCACTGCCAAATCTCGTGAGGATGTTGAGTCTGCCGTTGGTTTCCTTTCACTCCACGAGCAGGTTCGCATGAACGACAGCAACATTGAATTGGTGAAGCTCAACCAGCTTAAGGCCGAACTTGGCGAGTTGTCCAGCCAGGACGAAAAGCGCCTGAAGCAGCTCACCCGGTCTGCCGAGCGCGAAATTCTCACCAATGCGGATGTCATTTGCTGCACTTGTGTGGGTGCAGGTGACCCTCGTCTCTCCAAGGGCAAGTTCCGTACTGTCCTGATTGATGAATCTACCCAATCTGCCGAGCCCGAGTGCATGATCCCGCTGGTTCTTGGTTGCAAACAAGTTGTTCTGGTCGGTGACCACCAGCAGCTTGGTCCTGTTATCATGAACAAGAAGGCCGCCAAGGCTGGCCTGAACCAGTCTCTGTTCGAGCGTCTCGTTATCTTGGGATGCTCTCCCATCCGTTTGAACGTCCAGTACCGCATGCACCCGTGTCTTTCGGAATTCCCATCGAACATGTTCTACGAGGGCTCTCTCCAGAACGGTATCACTATTGCTGATCGTGTTCGTCGTGATGTTGACTTCCCCTGGCCCATCATTGATGACCCCATGATGTTCTGGTCGAACCTCGGCAATGAAGAAATCTCGGCTTCGGGAACCTCGTACCTTAACCGCACCGAAGCAACCAATGTCGAGAAGATTGTTACCCGTTTCTTTAAGGCAGGTGTGCAGCCCAAGGACATCGGTATTATTACCCCCTACGAGGGACAGCGTAGCTACATCGTTAGCTCTATGCAGGCCAATGGTACATTCAAGAAGGAGCACTACAAGGAGATTGAGGTCGCATCCGTCGATGCCTTCCAGGGCCGAGAGAAGGATTACATCATTCTCTCTTGTGTACGTTCCAACGACCACCAGGGTATTGGTTTCTTGAGCGATCCTCGTCGTCTCAATGTTGCCCTTACTCGTGCCCGTTTCGGTCTGGTCATCCTCGGAAACCCAAAGGTTCTCTCCAAGCATCCCCTGTGGAATTGTCTCCTGCAGCACTTTAAGGAACGACACTGTCTCGTTGAGGGACCTTTGTCCAATCTTCAAGAATCTTTGATTCAGTTCAGCCGTCCCAAGCAAGCCTACAGAGGTCCCCAGCGCTTCCAGATGTCATTCAGCCAAGCTTCCAATGCCCCTAACGGCGCTGTCAATGGTCGCAATGGTCATCGCAATGAGTATCACGACTCTGGATCCGTAGTCGGCTATATCCCCGATGATGTGTCTTCGGTTCACTCATCTGCTCTTGGTGGCGTTGGCCTTCCCTCTGGGTACCCGCCCATGTTCCAAAACTTTGGCGATAGCTGGCCTGCTATCTCCGGGGGTCGCCGCGCAAACGGTGGCCAAGGCAAGGGTGCTCCTAGTGTGGCTGGAGAGTCCGTCGCTGCGACCGAGTCCGATGTCACCAGCAGCATTGTCGACGGCCGTAGCGTTGACCAAGGTGGTGTCAGCCTCGCTGGCCTCAGCATCAACGACATGAACAAGCAGCCCAGTTTGAGCCAATCTGACCGTCTGAAGCGCTATGTGGAGTCTGGTGGACGCGAGCCTTACAGAGCTGGAGTTCCCGACAATGGAAGCATCTTCGGAGGTAGCTCAGCCAGCATTCGCGTGACCCGTGGCGCGCCCGGTCAGAATATTCACGATGACGATGACGCTCGCAGTGTCTCCACTGCTTTCGCCAGCCAAGTCGGCGGTAACTACGACTGAGTGAACACCCTCGCGTTCAATACGTCTCAGGGCAATCTCCAACAGATTCATTCTCCTACCACTCGGAGAAGCAATGTCCGCAATAGCTACCAGGGTTCTTTCCAATAGAGTCTGCCCGCCAGTTTCTTTCATGCCGATCAGAACTTTGGATCGGTGAAACCGAGACTTCTCGGATGCTCATTCTTGGCTTCACTTAATTGCCAGAATAGCACCGTTACGTTGATCGAAGGACAGCCCTTGGTCTGATCCCTCGTTATCGCCACCTCAGTGTTTTCAGAGCGTGACTTTCAAACGGATACAACGATGGTCGTCCAGTATTTTTCCGTTCAAGAAATTTACAAACATCTCACCCGTCGATTCTCGATGCCCAGTTCAGATAGTCTCGGTAGCGATTACTGGGCAACTCTGCGAATGTTCCCTGCCCATTGGCCTTGATTCATGCTTGCTACAGTATTCTATCCCTAAGACTGTCAGGTATCTAGCTCAAAAATCAATGTCAACTATCATCCCAGTTGTATTCGCATACGTAGACGTAGACGAAAAGTCCATAAACTAAATCGCTAATGATTGGAGCACTAAGATAGGCTACAACAGAGACGACCACAAGACCTTTACAACCTCACCCGTAGATGATTGAAATGATCAAAATTGGGCACTTGAAACTGGGCAAAAGGGGTGAAAAAAAGAAGCGAAGGAAGAGAGGTCAGTTTAAAGGCAACAAAGAAGCATAGAATGGTACGCTCACTTGAGCATCCCCGGATAGAAATCGTCTAATACTTCTTGGTACTGTGAACAGGATTCTGACCCCTGTTGTATGTAAGTGACTTGGCTGGTATACTTCTTAGGGCTAGTCCGCTGCCCCGCTTTGGTACTTTCAGCCTCCTTCGATCTCTCCATAGCCAACATCAAGCAAAGAAACCCTCAAACCAGCCAGCCCAATCAGCTAGGATGGAGACCTCGATGATTTCAATCGGCACCCACCGACTCTCTTACTCGATAACTGGCAACCCACAAAACCTCGATGATCCCCTAGTGGTAATAGTCCAGGGGGCTGGCGACGTCGCCTCCAGCTACGCAGCTTTAGAACCACTGGTATCCAAATTCGCTCAACTACTCATATACGACCGGTCAGGTCTAGGAAAAAGCGAAAGCGGACCCAATCGCATCACAGCAGTCACATCCGCAACAGAACTACACAGTCTTCTCGAGTCCATCCAGCAGCAAGGTCCAATAATCCTAGCCGCCCATTCCTACGGCGGCATCATCGCAAGAGAGTATCTACATCTGCACCCAGAAAGAGTCTGCGGAATGGTCCTCTGCGACACCGCAACCGAGAACCACCCCAAATTCTTCCGACTTCCGGATCCGAATATTGCTGCCGTACTTGGTGACCTTAAGTTGTCCCAAATCACAGGCTTGCGAGAAGATGGAGTTTTAACTCGGGATCAGTGGCGACAAAGGGCTATTGACATGGCTCGTGGTGAAGAGATCGAACCGAATTCTGTTTGGGAGGTTTGCCAGACTCTGAGCGAGAAGAAGCAATTTGAACAACAGGCCTTGGGTAATAAACCTTTGAGTGTGGTTCTTTGCAGGAGTGTCACTGAGCATGAGCGGATCTATGAGAAAGGCGTCAAAGCGGGTAATGGGACGCAGGAGCAGCAGACAGCGTTTCGGAAGACGTTGGATAGCTGGGATGTAGCTGCGAGGGAAATGATTGAGCAACAGTTGCAGCTTTCTTCGAGAACTCACTTTGTCTATTTGCCAGATTGTGGGCATAATATTCATCTTCTCAAACCTGATGTTATAGCTGAGGAGATTAGGTGGGTGCTTGGAATGGTACGGGGCAGAGATGCTCAGAAGCTGTGACCATAGAGCTACAACATTTAGGGTTGTTCTGATCTGAGCTTAATACAATGAGTGGATACACAAATGCTATTCTTCTGTTCTTTTAAGGTGTACTATGGATCTGATTGAGTTGCCAGAAACGGACTAGCGGCAACCGATTGTGGATGGCGTGGGGAATTTGGCGTTGAATTCTACAGACTACAGATCTAACATCTCAAAAACATCTGCCAAAGGCCAAATATTGTACAGTTCTGGGCCAGAAATACCAGAAGATACCACCAAGCCCAAATCAAGTCCGTCATGACCGCTGATCTCCAGCCTGCTCGTATTTGGCTGTCGCTGACGTACCCATCTCACAGCCTTGGAGCTTATTCTGACCACACCTCATTCATCTTACTCGCCTCAATCATCCCTTCTTACTTGGAATTACCTATTACGACAGATTACTTATCGACCAATCTACCTCATTCTTTAGGATGTCTTCTCATACTCGAGGGGACACACAACGGAGTGAAGGCGTAGCAAAGGAGAAACGAAAACCCGTCCGCCGCGATCCGGAGAAGAGACGGCAACAGAATATCAAGGCCCAAAAGCGATATAGTAAGCTCTCAGCTAACGATCCCTGGCGATACAAATCCTGATTGTTCATTTAGGAGAAAAGCTTCGTGAGCGCCTCAGCTATCTCAAGGCACTCGAAGCCTCACAGCATGCCTCTTTCAAAGAAACACTAGCTGTGAGAACAGCTATTCCTCAAGTGAATATATCTGAAGAAACCTCAATTGCACCGTTCTACATCACAACAGAAAACCCATCAATTTATGAGACTTCAGATATACATGCCCCCAGTCAATCCTCAGGGACCCAGGATTTCCAAGATATTGTCCCACATTTTGAGGATACCTGGTCAGCATTAAGCACATGGGACCCCACAGCAACTATACCACAGTTCGATGGGACCTCTTCAGCGCCAGGCATATGGGACTGTACTACCCAGATGTCACAATCGGAAAATAACACACCGCCATCATTAAGCCCATGGGACACCACGACACTCTTTTTACGGTCATCCAGATCCCAATCCACAACAGGCATATCAAAACCCACTACCGCAGCCCACGTTAACCCTTCAGTTTTGATGTGCGAGAAACACAATGACGGCTCAGACCCATACTGGACATCGAACATAGACTGCGGCTGCCCAAGCCCACATATCCAAATACGAACCCAAGGTCCGGATCCATATACGCTGGGAGGTCTTCGACTTTTGAGTTTCACGCCGACGCAACGTATAGCAGATCCATACGCCAATGCTCTCCGCCTCGAAACGGTGTGCACCATCGCAGCCTTGTTCAATCTAGGGATGTATATTGGCATTACCGAGGAGATGATTTGTGCCGAAGATTGTCGCTCGCCGTTTTATCGTTCGGGTGCGACGTCTGATCATCTCATTGAAGCAAACACGATTGGCAGTGTGAAGAGTATCTTCAAAGTGCTGAAGCCCGATCTGAGGCCGAGCAGCGAGCAAATTACCGTTGAGCATCATCCATATATTGATATTCTTCCTTTTCCGACGCTGAGGAAAAACATCATCAGACACCAGCATCTGGATGAATTCGATGAGGATCAGTTCTTCCTCGATCTTCTGGCTGGCTTGGTATGTTGGGGAGGTGCAGGTGTGGGGAAGAAGGATCGTGATCAGTCCACTGGGTTTGCATCGACGGGTACACCGTGGGATGTTCGCAGCTGGGAAGCTAAGGCGTGGTTTTTGAAGAAGTATTGGACTCTACTAGGCGGAGAAGATGGAGAGCTTGTCCGACAAAGTGAGTGGTGGCGCGACATCAGAGGGGAGGATACGCCGAGAGAACTTGAATGTATATAGCAAGATATTTGAAAGGGTAGCAAGCAACCCTCGATTGAGTCTTACCTTTCAGACCAAAAAGATCTGACTATATTAAAACATTGTCAAACATCTCTTTCTTTTACCCTCTATAGAAGCTTCACGTTCAGTATCATTTCAACGTCTCTCTTGTTGCAACGTTTTGTCAAACGTCTGTTACTTTCACCTTCTGCAGAAGCTTTCGCTCAGCATCGTCGCAACCCACCTTCTGTTGCAAACCAGATATCATCGCAAATCAGTCATCGCGAACCAGGATGAAACCCTGGTATAAGATAGGCATCGAGCTCGAAAACCTACTCAAACCATCATAGTCGACATAATTGATCAGTGTAAGCTCCATAAAACTTAAGATCTGAAATCGACTTACTCATTGCAACCAGGGGGAATCGAAATGGTACTGGAATTTCGACGGGACAGTCACTGGTGAGACCAAGTCCACAACGTCGTCAACGCACTCCGACAAATTTGCAGTGTCCTGCAATGAGTTATGCGGCCTGCACATCGATGTGTATAAGGACGATAAAATGTGGAATCTCCAATATCTCCAGTCAATAAGTGGCAACATCATCTACTTCAAATTTGCGATTGATATCTTCACCACACGCCCGACAGAACGCGACTCGGCGGCACCACTCAACACCCAGATGAGCGAAACTCTTCGCGGTAAGTCGTTGACTGAGCATTGGAATAGTGTCAATGAATGTCAGCATTGACAAACTCATTCACGTCATGAGCAACAGTCTCAGTGAAGTTGTCTGGAACTCTTCTCCTCTCTTGAGTGTACCAAGAAATCGCACGCATCTCAGAGGGACTATCGAGTTCCGGAGATCGCCGTGCGTAACAAGAGTGCGGGATTGTCTGGCGTGGTTGGGCACGTGCTTCGTGTGTACATACGGGATTCAGCTTGTCTCAGTTCACCACGAGAATTCCGTTTCCTGGCCGCGGCTGGAGTAGTTTGGAAAGGCTTTTTGTATGAAGCTATGAAACAATCACTCCGGTGAGCCCGCCAGATCAATGAGAGAGGAACCTATGAGAAAAAGAATGGACCGAGAGAGTACAAGCTGTCGTCGGGTATCAATATGTGCTTCACATGCTATGAATAGCTGTTTACGGCGAGCGAGATGCTTGAATGGAAGCTTTCGGAGATTGATTTGAATGCTGACAAGCTACAAAGGGGTTTATCTTGCTAGGCGAGGAAGGAACCGGTTCTTGAACAGGATTACTGGATAGATGAAAGGGAAACTTGAAATTGGAAAGACAGGGAATTAAACTGTGTTCGCAATAAACCCCCTTTAAAAAAGGACAATACGCTTTAGAGCTACAACTTGGGTCATAAGTTTGTATATAGTGTCATTCAATATTGCCTTTCTATGTATCGTTTACGCCCTACTTTAAAATTTCCCTCTTCACTTCCTTTTTCGTGGCTTCCTTCGCATCTTATTTACACATTTCCGAGATCCTCGAGTTGATCATTGAGATCATATATAGGACGGAGAAGTGAAGAATGTTGTGGCATCCAATGTGGTATACAAAGGTTTTGAAAATTGTCACACACAGCATAAATTACACATAAGGCACACTACAACTAATGGCAAGCTTTTCCATATTTCCTCAAACGCAAATAGTTATAAGGCAGAGGCGCCAAATACCCAACCCCCATCGAGACAATAGCCGCCCACCAGAACTTCGGATCTCCGAATGCAACCAATCCACCTGTCAAATGATAATCAACAGCATTTTCTGCGATTTCCATGGCCAGCATAGAAACCATGCTCATACCCATAGCGGTACGAGCAGCTCTTACCCAAGGAAGCTGGTCAGCTCCCCAGTGGAGCAGAACTGTCTCGAGGATGATGGAAGTTGTGATACCGGACGCCACTGAGATTGTCAGCAGTGGTCCTATCATGAACGGGATAGCTGAAGCTAGGGAGGGGACTCACTCGACATAGCCATGATGTTACTCGTACCTAGCTCTGGATAATAGGTTTGAAGAATCCATAACGCAGAGAAATCTCCAGCTGTGCAGCCTACTAGACAGCGGAGAGTGTTGATTCCCGCTCTTCGCCAGGTGGATTTACAGGACCAGAACGGGAGACGGAGTGTTGATAAGGGGGTCGATGGGATATTCGTGATAGACTCTTGACTTTTGCAGGTCTTTTCTTCCTGTGGGCCATTCGAAGAAGGCTCCTTATGACAGGCGCGCGTGGCAGGGATGCTGCTGAAGTGGCGTATAGGGGCCCAACAAATCCCGGGGCTGCGTATGGCGAAGAGCGAGTGACGTACTGAATTCATGTTGCGGATGATTCGGAGGTCTCTGTACTTTTCAATGAAGTTACAGTGCAATGGTGTATATAAACCTCGTCGAGACAGGACGAAGCCGCGCTAGGTGAAAAGGTGGAGCTTGCTTCCGGGGTTGTAGCACAAACGCCGCATTCAAGTAATTATATATGCCTTCCTGCTGAGAATATCCCAAGACGAGTTGAAGTTAGTCTCAGCAATCCGATAATCTTGCAATCGGGGAATCAAAACATTCGAATTACTATACAAAATGAAGAAGGAGAAGGAAACACAAGTTCGTTCACCCTTGCCGGGAGTGGGGCGGGAACACTAACATCGCATCTCGCCCAACAGCACAATTCACGCATTTAGTACGCTTGGCATGGGTTCTTTTGTCCAAAGTTGCAGTCTCATGATGTTACATTTTTGATGGCTGAGTTCTCTGCTTCGTCATGTCGGGCAGTGTACAGCACAAGTTCTGGAGGAAAGGAATATCTACATGAAACTAGAGATTCTCAAAATAGATAAGCATGAATATAGGGCCTGGTCAGGGCACTGACATGCAGATCTTGATGCCCAGACGAGGCAGTGTTTATTAGGCAGTACTATTTACATTCCCGGCTTGGCCAAGAGGATCTATAGACCACGAGAGGGTTTGCAGCAGAGTAAATATTTCGCTCCTGATAATGTGATGGAGAGCTCTAGATGCATCCAAGTTAGGAGATGCTTCCTTTTCATTGGCTTTTGGGTGTCTCTTCCTGGTTTTTCTGTCTTTTTCTGGACTCGATAATGCTGATTGTGTTCTTGCCGGAGGCTCCTACATTTAAGGTGTTGATTATCCGGCATAGCCATGATGGCCACGCAATGAGTCTTTCATTTTGCCATCGGAACAACATAGAATGTTCGATTGTAATTGTCATCAAGGTCTGCATAGCCGGGTGAACCGTAACGGGCTCTCACTGGATGTTTCGCAGAGAGTTGCAGTGCAAGTTCCTTTTAATAGAAACCCTCGCGATGCAGATTTAGAATGAGCCTATTGATCCTCTGAAATTAGAGAATTCTTGTAGCCTAACATCGGGCATAGCGAAGATACATTGCAGCGCACTGCCTGATGGAGACGGCTTACATAATGTCACGTGTCCTCACCGCCACGCGCCACGATCGCTTCGAATGTTCCTTGCAAGGCCTTGCAATGCCGTGGGAGTTCGAGAGTGGCGATCCCTTGAGATCCGGGTGGCTGCCTGACAGGTGAGCTTTGATACCTAAACCGGATCCGCCAACTCGGACAGCAGGATGGAGACCTATGAGTCACTGCTTTCTAAGCGCCACAGTACGGAGTCGACGGGGGATCACTCCGAAGCGATTAAAGAAAGGGATCATCCACGTAGCATCCTGCATATATAGCTCTGGCCAGTAGTGATTTGTATTCAGATGTTCGGCACCTCCGCGAGAAGAGACATCAAAGATCAAGACCAGCTGCGCCACAGTGGCGTAAAAAAGCACCTGACGCAACCGACCAACGTATAAATAGCCTGACGGATGCCTTGCTACCTGAAAATTTTGGCAACTCCACATCTCTGATATACATCCATACATCATCGTTTTCCCACCAATTTATTTCGCCTCTCTCATAAACACCTTTCATCGCATTCTTTACCTCTCAACCATTCAGCCTTGCTGATTTCGTGGTTGTGAAATAAGACGCGTCTTTCCGGTATCTCTCTCATTAGTGTGGGGTCAACTCGCGATATGGGCGACGGCTCTGACTATCCTAGTCCAAGAAGTGAGGGACGCAACGGAGCTCTTGCTGCTTCTATCCTCGCATCTGCCTCTGAACAATCGCCTCCGTCCGCCACAATGTCTACCCACCACAGATCAAACGACTACGCAATTGCCAAAGTACACAACGAAGGGGGCATGAGCTACCTCAACCCCACGCGAGCAAGCGTCTCTGTCCGACGCGCTCGCGATCCTCCCAAAAACTCCGAGGGCCAGATTTTCTGCGATCACCTTGATTGTCAAGCTGCCCCGCCGACTTTCCGCCGTCCTTGTGAATGGAAGTAAGTACAAGTCTTGTTTCGTCTCTTGGCGCGTCAAATACTGACCCGATTTTAGCAAACACATGGACAAACATGATCGCCCCTACAAATGTTACGAGCCTAACTGCGACAAGATTCAAGGCTTCACATACTCCGGCGGTTTGCTACGTCACCAGCGCGAGGTGCACAAGAAGAACACCGATGCCAAGAAGGCTTTGATGTGCCCATACAACGATTGCAACCGCAGCACTGGAAATGGATTTACACGCCAGGAGAACCTGCGCGAGCACCTTCGCCGCCGCCACATGCACGGTGACGAAAACCCCCGCTTGTTGTGGATCTGCCCTGGGACCGCGCAACTGAGCTTGAAGGCGTCGAGGGTGTCGAGGGTGTCCGTGTTCCATCTCTCCCTGCGACTGGTATGAAGCGCCGACACGACTCCCACGATGGCAACCTCCCCGAGACAGACGAGAATGGCACTGAGCTCCACCATGAAGTGAAGCGCCTGCGCCGTGAGGTCGAAGAGAAGGATCGCCGCCTGGAGGAGCTGGAGCGAATCGTTGCCGGTCTTCAGCAGGCTATTCCCCAGCAGTCCCCGACTGAATCTGACCTGCAGCCTCTTTCTCAGCCCACTCCCCAGGCTGCCCCTGTGTAAACCTGTTTCTTACGGTTCAGGCAGTCTACGGATCGATTTGCATCATGTGGGCGTTTCTTGAAGCAAGCAATAAGGCTTCAATATAATCTTCTGTTTTATTGATTTGTGTCGCATTTGGGTTTGGTTTTTGTGGCTTTCTCAGAGTGAAGTTTTACAAGGGTCCACCGACTCTTCCTTGTGGCGTTTAAGCTTGAGTGACGAGTTCATATGGGCCAGGCGGTGTTGTCTTCAGAGGCGGTTTACAGCTTTGTCTCGCCTCATATACCCGGGTGTTTGTTTCAATGTATCTTTTTACTCTTTCGTTTTATTTTTTTTTCCATATGTTTTACCCAGTGTTCTCATATAATCATCTTAGCTACACTACTGTTCCCGTAGACTCGTTAAATTGTAAACACCTGTAATAAAGCCGTTTCAACCGCCTAGGCATTCCCATATCTGTCTCAGGACCCGAAGTCATACGATGTAACACATGAAGGTCAAGCCCTTCGAGGCACTGAATTCCAGCCCGATCACAGTTGCACAAGGCGACCAATAAGGTAGCTCGGGAAATCGGTTCCTCAGGCGCCCATCGTATATCTTCAGGCAAACATCCAGCCACCCCATCAGACCCTTACCTCGTTAATACCCACGAGGCTCTCACGAGGGTCTTTGACGTATGCACGGTCATCTCGGGGTGAGATATAGCCCCACTGACATCCACATCCGCATCTAAATGCCCGGCGTTAGGAGACAAGGCCGCTGTTAGGCGGTCATTCACGGAACTTGCGGTCCCCGGCGGGTCATAGGGCACTATACGCAGTGTCATACACCCAGGCAGTGGCCCTACAGCCTAGTCTAACATGACTCTTTGCCAAGGTGACTGTGCTAGGTTGTGACTCATTATTGTTAATGTCGTGGCGTACTTGAGTCGATGTCCGGGCGAGTCGCGTCAACGCGTTATCACATGATTAGCTTGTTGGCAGCATTGATTTCGACATGTGAGTCTGTCTGTTGTTCTTGGGTATCCCAAGAGAAGATTATATTCAGTTAGTTGACGGTTTAGAGCTCTACATGCGGCAGAGGCCGCATCCGATTAAATGTATTACCTAATCATCACGTTGGTCCAGTCTCGCTTTGACGACGATTCTTGTTGCTTGAATCAGAGGCATCTGAAACTGAAGGACTTTGGAGAACTTTCGCTTTGCACCACGAGGAATCTCAACATACTGCAGCTCGGGGAATGATCACTTACCCTCAACTCAACATCTGCAACCAACCACCAGACTGCCCACAGCTCACTCACTACAAGGCATCCACGCCTTGAAAGCTACGACCTTGGTGATAGCGAAGAAACCTATATTTCTATTATTCAAGTCTTTGTTAAAAAAAAAAAGCACACTTGATCATCTGTGGAGCTATCAACACGGCAAGCCGTGAAACGAGGTCCAACATACACATCGCATCACCTCAGGCCGCAGCGCCAACCACGACGTCCCCATGGTCGGGATCTCACAAGGAAACATGTCTATGAGCAACGTCGGACCGGACAGGGAAGTACCAATGTCCCAAATGGACCAATCCAACTATATCCGAACACAAGAATACGTATCAACCCCGCGGTTTCCACAACAGACCAGCTCCCCCGCGTTGAACAGTTTCTACGGACTGGGTAGCCTGGACGAATCAGACACAGTAATTGTGGACACGAAGCAGCTAGACCGATCAACACACGAGTTCGCCGAAGGCGAGTTCGTCCCCGTGAACTTCTTCAACCGCGTCAATCTGGGCGGTTTCACGCGCCGCTTCAACGCCCTCCAATGGAGTTATGAGATGCGCCGGCAGGCGCAGTCCGTCTTGCCTTTCTTATCGCTGGGTCCGTCGGCGTGTTTACGGGACCGGGATTATGTCCGCCGTGAGGGATTCACGTTACTTCTTGCTGTTCGGAATAAGCATTCGGCGCAGGCGCGTCTGGTTTCTGGTGATAAGGCTGCTGCTGAGGTAGGCGTTATGGCTGATACGATTGATGTGCTTGATAATCAGGAGTTGATTTCTGCTTTTCCTTGGGCTATTCGCCGGATTAATGATCATCTTGCTGGGACAGATACGGATCGTAACTCTATGGCTGAAGATGGTCATCAGAAGAGGAAGGTGTTGGTATTTTGTGAATCTGGGAATGAACGTTCCGCTGGTGTCGTCGTTGCCTACATCATGGTCATGCTGAATGTTGATGTCAATGAGGCTATTCATATGATCCAGCAGCGTCGGTTTTGTTCTTCTATCGAGGATCCGATGAAGCGTATCCTCGAGGCGTTTGACTCGATCTTATCTGCGAAGCGTGATGTCGAGAAATCCAGGCATGTTGTTGCGCCGCGTGCCGCTGCGACTTTGGCGCCACCGTCCCAATCCCAGGTTCTTATGAAGAAAAGGAGTTTCCAGGATCATCGAGATGATGACCTTACTGTTGAGGATGGAGAGATGGATATTGATGGAGAGGAGACTTGGTTCGCTGAGCGGAAGCCGAATGCTCCATTTCAAGACCGTGTTGTGTGAGAAGGGTGATTCCTTGAGAAGCTCGTGTCCTCACTTTTGATAGAATCGATGATTTGCTGTGTGGTCAATTGAGGTGGCTTTACTTTATTCCTAGACCAAAGGGATATCGTTGCTTAGGTGGTATATTAACTGCCTTGCTGATATGGTCTGGTCATCTCTTTATTTTTGCTTTATTGCTTCATGTCTCTTTCATGCAAATACCCAGCCGCAGGAGGCCAGTGTTGTTCTATTGTCTTTAGGTAGAATCTCAATGAAATGGTGTCCATCGGCCACATAGCTCTGTATCCTAACATGACCATGACCTGTAACTTATATCAGTATATGTCTCGATCTATGACCAGAACCAAAGATGTGGTTAGCTTCTAAGTCAGTCATGTATCTGGGGGCGCATATGCGGAGTCTTTAGTTCAAACATCTATCTGGATTTGAGCTGAGATCATCCAGCGTTGCCTGCCATATTTTTCCTCTTTCGGACGGAAGTCTGCGTTGCCTCAAAATTTCTCGGGGCAAACACCCTCAGCGCAACACCACGCGCCATTTCTCTTGCCCCAAATTCTGCCTTTTCCAACGCATAGCCCTGCATTCATCAATTTTCTGCCTTATGCGCAGTTGCTTTCGAATCTTGCATGCGGCAAATGAGTGCCATCGTGAGTTCACTCTCGTTGCAATTAACGAACTTGCGATTGACGTTGAACTATTCCAAATTGTGCATAAGTCAGCGTGAAGTCCGATCCAGATCCATCTGACACTCTGAGACTCAAACGTCAACGGACCCTCACTTGAACATGAGTGGAATGAAGCTGCGCGACAACATTCGCGCACCAACCCGCTATGGGGAAGGCGAAGGCCCAGAGATCCCGACACCTCGCAGTGCCCTCCGAATGAGGCTCGACGAGGGGGATGATGATAACATGGAACTAAGTGATTTGGGCAGGCCGCGTCCGGTTAAGAAGCGCAGCTCGACATCGAAGCCATTCAACCCCAACTTGCCCCCTGCTGCGTTTCCTTCACTTGACAGGCCCCAGACCAACCCGCAACTTCGCCGGCTCATCCTCAATTTGCCTGTGGGCAAACGACAAAGTGGTTTCCGACTCCCTCCTGCTCCTACTTCTGATCCTTCTTCGGCTGCTGCTGCCATCGCCGACATGCCTCGACAGAGACGGAGAGTGAAATGGGCTCCCACCACGGTGGATCATGTTCCATTGGATAGTCTAGAGAATCATGTCGTCAGCAACAACGAGTCGAATCCGGTTTATGTGCGCAACATGGCGATGATGGCCAAGGCTGCCTTGAGGGACCCGATGGATACCAGTGACGAGGAACAGGATATGTCGATGAGCGACAATGAAGACTTACCTGATCCCACACAGCTGCTCCTCGACAAGGTCAGTAATTTCAAGTCTGCCTGTTGTGAGATGGACTGGGACTAACTTCAGTGGGGTTGTGTTAGATTCCAAACCCCAAATGGAGCGAGCTGAACAGCGCACTTCAGGTCGAAATGGTGGACAGGGCAATGAGGAACATGACCTGGAGAACTGTCTGCACCAAGCTCAAGCTGGGGCCAAGAGATCATCAAAAACTTTCTGATTACATGGATACCCGGAACAAACAAATTGAACGAGAGAACAAGCGGATGGAGGAGATGCGGAACAAACAGCGCGCGGTATTGATGAACATTGACAACAGTGATACAAAGCTCTTTGCACCGCCGCCCCAGTTAGTATTGCAGCGCATTATGCGACAGGTCACGCGCGAATCGTTGTTGGATGGGACGAATTACACTGATCTAATGCTTTGCACATCCGGAGATGTTTTGGCAGCCAGACAATACCTGCATCAACATGGATTTCCTCGCAGCTGGGCTGGCGACTGGGGCGATGGCATGGTCGAGCTACACGAATCAGCTGATGACTGCCAGGACCCAGACGAGTTCCATTGGAAAGACAATCTAACAGTGACCGCGCCTTTCGATGGGAGCAAGCACCTTGTTAGCCCAGCCGTGCAGGATAGAACGGAATTTATCCATGATGTTGGCCTCAGTAGTAGCAGGCTCATCGACCCCAGGGCGCTGATCCGAAACAGCGCTGACGCGGATCCTACCCAGGACTGGCGCAGATACTTCGACCACTGGTATCCAGACCCCCAAGACCTAACGGGAACGAGCCCAGAATCGAGCCGGACAACCACTCGACACCAAGGCATCGTCAACCTCAAGGTCGGCCGACAGAAAGCCGCACAGATCCAACAATACGAGAGAACAGGCACCAAGCCTTATGGCTGGCCTGCATATGGACCAAGACCATCGCCAATCACCCAATCCGCAGAAATCGAGACTCCAACCAGAGTGTGTCACAATCCGGTTGGTCCTCAGTTCAGTCCTCAGTCCAATACCCCAGTCACCCGGCAACAAAACCTCCAATACACTCCTCAGCCCCCGATACCTTTCTCACGCAGAATTCCTGTCATCCAACCGAACAGCCCTTTCAGCAGATCGGTCGGTGGAAACTGGCTATCCAGAGATGTCAATTATGCAGAGAGTCAAGCGCGATTCGCTCAACGCCTCCAACAAGCCCACCTGAGCATGACAGAAAGACAAGGACGAACCCAAACCCAGTACTACGACCTCCAACCCAGACCACACCCTTCAGGCGTCAGCACAGGAGGTAGCCCTTATAGCCGAACACAGCCCTACGCAGCCGTGCAGAACATCGTAAACACACAGAGGATGACTGGTCGAGCAATCCCGCAGACCAATCAGTATGACGCATTCTTGCATGAGCACCAGAGGTCCAGGGGCATGGGCGACGGAGCCGGTGGCTCAATGGATGGGCTTGTTTACAGTGATCTGAGCATCATGCTGGAGGAGTCGGAGGATGAGCATATGGAACCGCCTAAGAAACGAGAGGAAGAACAGTCCAGTTCCACTGATTTGAGCTTGGGCTTGGATACTGATGACTCTGCCAATGAAATGGTGATGGTGCCCACGGACTCTTGTGCCTCTTCGCGCAGTAGGGGGTGAAATCAAATACCAAATGACTTGAACGATTTGCACATTCTTGCTCCTATGTAAGTTTAGTTGTGTGTATGAATAATAGTTTTTGCAAACCAGGCACAGGTTCACAAGTTGTCAGTTGTAGTTGTAGTTGGTGTGTTTTCCTTGCCGGTGGTCAGGATGCCGAGGTCCGGTGCCGATCATCACCTGTCCGGGTATGCCAAGCCCACGCTTAGGGTACTTTACCTTTCCAGTATAAACTGGCCTGTAGATACTTCTTTTTAGATGTTAAAGAGGGAACTCGACACTGCCGGCCTATCTGCCCTCAACAGATTCCACAAATCGAACAGGAGAGACCAGATTTTTCACCCAATTCTCTGCATCCTGTAGGCTTTCGCTGTTCAATACCTCACCGTGGCAATAGGAGATCATCACAATACCATGTCTCAAAGACTGTCTCATCTGCCCTAGGTGACGGTTGCCAAGTTCAAAAAGCGATGGATAAACATCAGCAACGGGCTGCATGTATATAGAGTGATATGCCACCTGGATTAAAAACTGTCTGTCGAAAATGGCAATCCGCTCCAGACTTCCCTGTAACGCAAGCACTGCCTTTCTGGCGCCTTGTAGTTCGGGAATCAATTGGTGAACATAACCCTGTGCTACATGTGGTTCCAAGCCCACGGCTATCATAGCACTCCTCCAGCTTTCTCGGGGATCGACAACACAAGTCCAAGATAATAGCTAATTTGCCATGCAGCTTCACAGGAAATACTCCCAGCGCAATATGCGGCCGCAATCTCGACCGAGAAATGGCCGATGACTATATTCGGGCATAAATTCTAGCTCAGGAGAAGATTAACCAGCGCCACTTGTAACACGGTGCAATTTGCCTGAGACTGCATTGGATGGTTGATGTCGGGAAACTTGCCAACCCCTGATTCGAAGGCATCTAGTAATAGTCTGTTAGTCATTTCTATTAATGTCCTCACAAAAAGAGGCAAATGAGAGAATATCACCGAGGAGAACCCAAGGACTACCCTGCTTATGCAAGTAACCCAATGTCGCTTGAATACTCCGGCGGAACACAGGAAATCCCATGAGGACTAGCCCCATCCCAATCCATTGGGCTCCTTGGCCTGTAAAAACAAAAGCCATGCCGGGCTCATTTGTTGAAGCACGATGTTTTGCAGATCTTCCATTCTTGCTATCTCTGCAGAGCTCAGATAAACTCGAAGCAATGACAGCAGTGCGCCAATTTGGTTGAGATCGTCTATCGCATAACGTATATACAAGGTCTCTCATCAATGTGGCCTGGCATGATAAGACCTCGATCTCAGGAGAATTTCGACATATTCGCTTAACCGCGTCGCATTTCTTTGGAGCCCATTGTCGTCGTTTCCGGAGATCATCAATATGTAGGGCATGCCAGATCCCGTGACTGTTGTCTTGGACACTGCCGTTTGTCACGTTGCCTGTGGTCTGTTAGCTGCGCCGGCTCTTACTCTGGTTGAATCAAATTAACAGATGCATCTTGATACTTACCATACCATTGACTTGGCTCTCAGAGATCAGCTGGTTAGAGGCTTTGTGGAGAAATTTTTCTGGCCATTCCAGTACAGCGTGTGCACGGTTGCCACCAAACCCGAATGAATTCACAGACGCTCGGGGAGATTGGGATACAGCCGAATATCCACTCAGGTAGGCTAGTACTTTAGCTATACTGTAATCTCAAAATATTAAAACATTTCTTTATTCCTGTTTCAGTTGGCACTGCTGAGCCATAGCTCAAGTGTATTTGACCAAGCCAATGACTGCCAAGAAAGGGCCATTTCCTGTTTCCTTTCGGCTTCCTTTGGCCTTGAGATGAATGCAAATAAATCAAACACGCTAAGCTCGAACTTGACCACTCATTACAAGACCTGCAGGTCACCCCCAAACGTTCAACGCTTCCTCCGTTTCACAACTCTGCTGGCAACTCTTCCACTCCTAAGCTCTATGCAGTGCGAGTCCTGTAAGAACAAAAGGGTGGTCAGCTCGGAAAACGGGAAAGCTGAACAGTGGCCTTTCCATAGCCAAGTCTGGAGGCAAACTGGCCAAAATGGATGAGGATTCTGGCAGCAGTAACCCAGTACGTGCATCAGTCTTCAGAGTGAATCTTCTAACCAATTGATAGCCCTCAAAATGGGACTTGCTCAACTACATTTCTTATACTCTCTCGTCTAATATCCACATTCGCTTTGCTCCCTCGATGCGACACCAGCTTTCTATTGTTACGCTGGAAGAAATCCGAAGTGCGAAAGACCTATGTCCACAGAGTATGGGAGGTTGCAAAATCCTAGAGATCAATACATCAACAATATTGAAAGTGGGACCTATGGTTCAGATGGGAGAAGCAGAGGCCCTCTGTCTTTTGAGGAAAAGGACATCAGTCCCCGTCCCTGAAGTCTTCAATGCTTACACAATCGCTGATATCGGATTCATTTTGATGGCGAAGATCCCAGGTATCCCTCTGGAACAATGCTGGAAAGATTTGGCTCTGGATGCCAAAAATTCTATTGTCCGACAGCTCGGCGGGTTTATTCGGGAGTGGCGTCAGATTGAAGGGCCGCTCTTCGGATCTATTGATGGTGGTTCATGCGAAGATGTTCTCTTCCAACATTCATGGGATGCAAAGCCCCGTCGCTATGGACCTTGGCAAGAAAAGAATTCAATCAGGGAGTGGTAGAAGCTCTTCGCAATTCCAGACCCAATGCGCAGCTCACGAAGAGAGATGAGTCTCTGGTTGAGAGAATTCTCGTATCGGGTGACCAGGATGAAACAAAGGTGCTCACACATGGTGATTTGCACCAAAGCAACATCATTGTGAACGATAATGTCGTGACCGGAATCATAGACTGGGGCGCAGCTGGCTACAGTATATCGGCGAGGGAATATTTTTGTTTGCGGTGGCAAGCGTTAGATCTAGAATGGAGGGATCTTACATCCACCATCCTCGACGTCGACGAGTATGAGTTTTGGGCTGAAGTTAATCAGTCCATGGTAGACTATACTGGAATTTGAGCTTAATTTACATGCTACTTCATTTCAGCCTCTTCCAGTTGCCTGACCAGCTCGTGCCGACTTTCCAACCATTCCATTCCAGAAGTGGCATGTGCCGGATGGGGCAAGCTCTTCCACCTCTAGAGACAACAGGGTTTCATAATCCCAATCCTGGCATCTCTTCTTATAATTAGAAACATCATTTAGAGAAGACTACGCTTTGAAATTAAGGGTAAGTTTCGGTCAAAACTTGGTCACATCGGATCTGGCTCTGCAATAAAGACCAATGGGTGCTTCTGACTCTCATTGTGGCTTTATAGATCTATTGTTTTTGTCGGGGCAAGGTCTCTTTCCCACTGCTTTGCAGACTTGTGTATTATTTGGATTGAAATATGCTCCTATAATACTTGGTGTAGATGTGACTGTCTCTATACCAGATTCGAAGCCTGTACGGACCGCATATAGTGCGCATTATTCGTCAACCATTTAAATCCACCCCAAAAATAATCAAACTATACGGTTTCGAGCACTTTCTCTCTTTATTTATTACGCCATGGTGTAAATTTGTGTCCATCAAGACTAGAGTGAATACGAGTAGTTGATGATCAATATAAAGTTGGTCCGTGCGTCAAACGCGAAAATGCCGCGTCGACGGCTAAACTTCATGTTGCGCTTGCGCTTGCGTTTGGTCCGTTTGATTTTCGAAGTATAGACCTTTTTACGGGGTAAAACAAGTATCACGATTGGAGGTGTGCGTTCTGCTAGCTCTTTCCGCATACAACGCGACAACTTTCATCGCAACCGATCCCCTCCTGCGCGTTACGCTGTGACGTATTTTCACAACCATCTTGATATCTAACATTGCGCGTCATCCATTACCACTTGTACTTCACGGTATCAGTTTGATATCCTCATTGCGATGAGCGCACTCATTACCCCCACGGATTCCCGTGCGGGCACGATGCAGCCAGAATCGACCGTCCCCTCGTCGCCAATCACAAATGCGACGGACACCGACGAGATCAATCCCCTCACCACTGATGATGACGATAAAAAGGAAAAAATGACGGATGGTGAAGATGAAGAGCTAGACAGTAAGGCGAAGGCCTTGATGCACCTTTTGAAGACAAGTTCAGTATGTCGACGCCGACAGTTTTGGACGTAAAAGATCGCAGCCATTCTAACATCGCATTTCCGGCAGGTTTTTGTCGCTATCATGTCGGATAAGATGAAGAAGCAACAGGAAGACGCTCGCTTGGCTGCAATCAAGCAGCGTGAGCAATCTGCAGCTGCAGACGACAAGAAGGAGGCGAAGACTGCCCCCGAGCCACCCCGACGAGCCACGCGCACCCGTGCGAACCAGAATTCCACCCCCGAAAAAAAGACCATAGAGAAATCTGCAAGTGCCAAATCCAATGACAAGAAGACAGACGTGAAGCCTGGTCGGCCCAAGCGGGCATCTGCTGCAAATGGCAGCTCGATTTCGAATTACTTCAAGAAAGCGGACGTGGAAGTGACTGAGGACAATGCTTCTGTACAGCAAGCACTTGAGCAAGCTGCCGATGAATATGAGGCAAAGCCTACAGCACTGGGCGAGCAAGAGCTGGTTGCAACCCAGCAGCCTGGGCTTATGACTGGTGGCCAAATGCGCAGGTACCAACTCGAAGGATTGGAGTGGCTCAAGTCCTTGTGGATGAACGGACTGTGCGGCATTCTTGCTGATGAGATGGGTCTTGGAAAAACAGTTCAGGCAATCTCAATGATTGCTTTCTTGAAAGAGAAGCAGGTCTCAGGGCCTTTCTTGGTCGTTGCGCCAATGAGTACCTTGAGCAACTGGATTGATGAGTTTGCAAGATGGACTCCGGATATTGAGACAGTGCTCTATCATGCCACAAAGGATGAGCGAGCTGCTATCCGTCAGAAGCAAATGAATATCAAGAATCAGGCAAAGATGAACTTCCCTGTCATTTGCACATCATACGACATCTGCATCAATGATCGAAAGTTCCTATCGCAGTACCAATGGAGGTACATTGTTGTTGTATGTTTGTTGAAGAAACCCCGCACCTTCCAGATGCTAATTGATCTATAGGATGAGGGCCACCGCCTGAAGAACGTTGACTGCAAACTGATGAAAGAGCTCATGACATACAACTCTGCCAACCGTCTTCTCATCACGGGAACTCCATTGCAGAACAATATCTCGGAGTTGTGGTCCCTGTTGCATTTTCTTCTGCCTGAACTATTCAATGACCTTGGCTCTTTCGAGAAATGGTTTGACTTTTCTTCAGTCTTGGATAAGAAAGGCGAGAGCGATGATGTTGTCGAGAAGAGGAAGACCAAATTGGTCTCCAGCATGCACGCTATTCTCAAGCCATTCTTACTTCGGCGTCTCAAGGCCGATGTGGAGACCTCGCTGCCCAAAAAGCGAGAGTACATCCTGTACGCCCCTCTTACTTCCGAGCAGAAGGACCTCTACCGGGAGATTATCGCTGGGACTGGTCGCAAGTATCTTGAAGACAAGGTCCTGGAGCGTCTGACCAGCAAAAGCGCTAGCTCCACGCGCTCGTCAAGCCTGAAGCGCAAGAGGAGTGGCACTGAAGAAAGTTCTCCAGCGAAGAGCATGAAAACCAGCGAATCATCTACACCTGCGTCCGATGCTCCCATTTCTAGCCGACCCCGTCGTCGTGGTGCGACCTACGAGTACAAAGAGGTCACTGATGGGGAGTTCGACGAAACGCTACGGAAGATGGAGCTGGGAATTGAAGAAGCCCCCGAAGAAGAGGCTCAGCTGAGTGACACTGAGCTCGAGGAGCAGGAGCTTGCTCGCAACTTGAAGCTTGCCAGTAAGTCTCGGTTACCAAGCATTTGCCCGTTCGGTTACTAATATCACCCTACAGAGCAAGAAATTGGCCAAAAGAAGATGCAAAACCCAATTATGCAGGCTCGCCTTGCATGCAACTCGCCACACAATTTCTACTGGCCGTGGATGGACGAGTCTTCGACTGTGGACGAGACGCTTGTATCGGCGTCCGGTAAGATGCTCTTACTCGACCGCCTAGTTCCCTGCCTCCTCGCTAAGGGTCATAAGATCCTTATTTTTTCGCAATTCAAGACTCAGTTGGACATCATTGAAGAGTGGGTGACTGAGCTTCGGTCGTGGAAATGCTGCCGCATAGACGGCGCAATCGCCCAAGAGGACCGCCGCACTCAAATTCATGACTTTAACAAGAAGAACAATCACAAGATCTTCTTACTGAGCACTCGTGCGGGTGGCCAGGGAATTAACCTCACAGCCGCGGACACAGTTATTCTTTTCGACTCCGATTGGAACCCGCAGCAAGACCTGCAGGCACAGGACCGTGCTCATCGTATTGGTCAAACCAAGCCTGTCATAATCTACCGCTTGGCCACCAAGGGTACCGTTGAGCAAACTCTTCTCGAGAAAGCTGATTCGAAGCGTCGCCTGGAACGCCTGGTCATTCAAAAGGGCAAGTTCCGCTCGCTTCTCGACCCCACCGCTACGTCGCAAGACGTTGATGAACTGCGCCGCGCTCTCGGCGAGAACGAATTCGAACGCTTCGAAGTGGGCAATGACCCAGAGTCAATTCTTTCTAACAAGGATCTTGAGATCCTGACTGACCGTTCCGAGGAGGCTTACGCCCGCGCTGAACAAGGTCTTGACCGTAAGAGTGCTGCGTTCGTTGCTGTTGAGACAAAGGGGAATGCCAGAGATTTGTGAATTTGTTCTGAGGATGACCAGTCACTCTGGCAATGTAATATACAACATGGTGATGTAGCTGGGTTTTCTGTTTGTTCTGGAGTAGGACGGGAAGGCTTTTGCCTGTGTGTGAGTGGCGTTTGTTGATGGGTGGTGCATCATAAAATGCATTTGTTAGAGTATACGGTTGCATGTCGCACAATACAATGTTTACATTATGTCATTTCTCTTTTCTAGCTACTATCTGGCTTACTCAAAAATGAGCAAACAAGAGGTGAATTAAGAGAGGCCAAAGGGTGAGAAGTGTGTTACGTGAAGTGACTGTCCAAGGACATCATGGCAATGTATACACTCTGATGAACCCTGCTGTACAACGTCGAGTTTGTTCCAATGCACATGGTTGCAATTATCAAGATGCAGTAGTAAAGTAATAAGATCCATTTAGCGCCTGAAGCTCCTTAACAAGGAAATGGCTGTACAAGAGGGTTGGAGAACAAAGAAAGCAGGGCATATATGCAGCCAAACCCCATGGAAACAATAATAGACCGACAGCATCGCAAGCCCAACCAAGCAAACGATCACCGCCGAGCCTTCTCATCCTCAATCTGGCTGCGCAAGCCCGAGAGCACATCATGCCGTTGAGACATATGGCTCTTGAGTCCCTCAACCTGCTCCCCAACAGTCTTAATATCCTCCCTCAACCGCTCGAGATCCTGACCATCCTTCGAACGGCCAGTCCCCTCACGCAGCTCGCGCAGTTCCCGTTCTTTATACTCCAACAACGAAAGCGCCTCCTTCTTAATAAGAACCCAATTAGGCCGGCCATCATTCCGCGAGCCATCACGGCGCGAGTCAGAAGCCTTGTTAGCAGAGCTTAGCTTGCCCTCCAACTCCGCCAACTCGCGACGCAGCCGGACCTTCTCCCACTCCTCGTCTTGAATGGTTTCACTGAAATCAGTTCCCTTGGGCTGGTAAGAGCCCTTGCCACCAACGCCCAGCCGGCTGAGATAAGTGTCACCGAACTTGGCCTTGCGGCCTGTGCGGGTCTCGGTCTCGCCGTCTGCGCCGTAGCGCTGTGCGGGACGGACCTTGTCGACTTGGTAGTCGATCTGGTTGTGTTCGAAAGAGGCGCGTAGGGACGCGGGGATGGTGCGCGGGATGCGGAAGCCCTCGTGGCGGTAGTTGAGGATGTGCAGGAAGGCGAGCGTGGCGTCTTTATTAATTGCGGGTGAGGCGGAGGGGTTTACGAGGTTCCAGGCGGAGCGGACGTCCGTATCGGGGACGTCGAGGGATTCGTAGAGCGGTTGTAGTTGTTGGACTGGGGTGATTGGTTAGCGGAGTAAGCTTGCTGGGATTTGTATAGGGGTTCACTCACATTCTACTTGGCCGCGGCCATTCCGGTTGGCATCGTAGATCTCCGTATACTTTGTCTTATCGTTGGGCTTCATGTACCAGTCGAAGCCGTCCTTCAGGCCGAGGGAATCATCTTCATCTTCTATCCGCTCGAACTGTTCCTGGTGGCCGCCGAGTGCGCGGGTAGCATGTACGAGATGTGACTTGGACTCTGGGACGAGCCAATCTGGGAGGACGTTGGGCACTTCTTGTAGTTCCTGTTTGGCGATAAGATGGCCGCGTCAGATTGATTGGGCAATTGGCAATAGGGGGAGTACAACATACCCCGTTGACCAGGTCGAATACTAAGCGCATAGCCACGCAGAACTCCTCGAAGTCCAGCTCGCCGTCTCCGTCGACATCGGCAATGTCCCAGACCTTCTCGAGTTGGTCATCGCGCAGCCGGCTGTTCCTCAGCACGGAGGCGGCCTGCGAGCTGTTAAGGTGTTTCTGGCCATTTGAAAGAGAGGCGAATATCTCCCAGTAGCGCTCAATCTCCCATTGCTCGATCTTTTTGGCAGACATGGTGAATGGAGCTCCGATGAATGGCTGTGGAGGGTGAGGTGGGAATGGGGGTAGAGACGGATTTACTTACTTCCGCCAGGGGCTCTGAGGTCATTCTCACAACTATACAACTACAACGACTGGTCATTCATTTAGTCCTAAACATGCAGTAAAAACTTCGTCAGCTAAGTTAGCCAGGTCGAAATGATCGGCTAATTAATCATATCTGTCAGTTCCATTCCTATCTCTACTGTAAACCAAACATCAATCAAAATCAACATGGAAACATCCCCGAACATGTCGCCGCGATCCATATACTCACTTCTACTGCCATTTCAAAATATCAATATTCGCGACTTTCTACGAAGGAGTCGCTGAATCGCATCAAATATCTACATTTTGTGTATTTCGTCTATTATGATACATAATCTCCCCGGGTATGACAGAGTTGAGCAGGGGGATGCTCTGGATATCTTCATCCAAACACAACTCCATTGATCATCAGTAAACGGCATGATTAATTCCTCCACATTATGAGCTCTTCTTCTCGTTATCCTGCTCAGCCTTTTTAGCCTTTACGGCCTCGAGCTGCTCGCTGACCTGAATAATTGCTCGCTCGGCCTCCAACGCGAGCTCGGGCGCCTCCAAGATCGTGGCTAGCTTCTTGGCATCTGACATCTTCAGCAAGATCCTATCTTCGCTCTGCTCAATCTCTTCGACAACCTCAGAGTGTGGTGTATCGATCTTGGCACCCTCAAGGGCTCGAGATGCGCGTTTGGCGTACAATACTTCTAGTGCGGGTAATGAGATAGGGTTGAGGAGCTTATTTTCAACGAGGTGTTCGAGGTGTTTGGAGCCATTCAATGCTGCATCTTGTTAGCTTTGCGTCTCAGAACAATTCGAAGATGAACTAACCGCGCCAATGGGACCAGCCCCTATAGACCACATAGAAAAAGGGAATGTTGGGGATCCTGCGATCCGTCAGTACCTCCTATCTGTACTCCATCTGTCATAACATACACTGGAACCAGCCCAAATGGTGCGGTAATGGGTGCAAGGACGAGACTCCACATCATCTTCTTCTTGTGAAGCTCCTGTCTTTCCGTCGCGATAGTGTGCAGCAGAGTGGTGATTCTCTCCTTTCGCACTGCGTTCCCCGGAAATAAGACATCGACCTTGTTCTCTCCATGTGTACTATCCAGTCGCTTCTGTGCTTCCAAAGAGGGAATGCTTTTTAGACCCCATTCTTCGTATGGTATCCGTTGTTGGACTCGGTTTCCCCAGGTCACAAGGTGTTTCTTCCATCCCTTTTCGGCTTCCTCCCACTTAGCCCAGGTCTCAGCTGCCTTTGTAGTAACGCGATCGAGGACTGAAAGTTCTCTCGCCATGTCTTTTTGGAGTGGCCGCGCGTATATGAGGACCCGGCTCGTCGAGATCGGGATTAGGAAGAGGCGCATTGCGACGAAGTTTGGCGACAATTGCGCGATCGCAGATGGATATGTAGATAGACTGAATATGAAAGAATCAGGCAGGAAGCAGTTCAAAGAAGATCAATCAGATCGGAAGTCGAAACTTTTGTGGGCTAAAGGGATGCGGGAGGTGTAAGCAGGTTTGGAGACGTCATTTCCGCACCCTTTCTCGACTCCCCCAACTTTTGACCTCGGACATCTTTGGGGCAATCGGAGCTCGACTGTCGGCACGGGTAGTGATGCGAACTGCTGATTGACGCTTCCCGATCTTCCCGAGAGCTCTCTTTTTTACCTAACATGGAGAACGACAGCGCTACAGGGCGTATCTTCAGCGAGAGGCTGGCAGAGAAAATCCCCCCGGCAATCCCTGAGACATCAGCTCCTGTATCGGGCCATCTGAGCATCGATACCGATTCTGCTGTTGGCAATGGCGTTGATCACCCAACCACGCCGGCGCGTGTAGAGCCTCAAACAGCAGAAGAGCTCGCCCACTCGGAGCGTTTCGCCTTGCGAACTCTGCCTGGTAAGTTATGACTCCTTACTTGGATCTGATCATTTGCTAACAGTGGGCCTATCTAGCCTGGATCCGATCTGTCGAAGTCGAGCAGGAGGAAGAAGAATCTACTGCAACCGATCGTTTACTTCCTTCCCAGCCAGGAGACGCATTTGTCGCCCAGCACAATCACTCTCCTTACGCGTCATCCAGACCTCAACGCGCTCAATCCACTACCAATGGTCTATTCGAAGACGACTCTCCGCCGCGTAACCGTGAATCCCGCTGGGTCACATTCTCGCGCACCATCCAATACCCCCGGGAAGCTGGCAGAGAGGAAAAGCATGTCACATCAGACTGGATGAACGAAAACCACGGTGATTACTCGCAGCCATGGCGCGGTAAGCACTTGGAGGGCGATAGCCCGGAGTTTCCGCTACACAGTGGAGGCCGAAGGGAGATTTGGTTCAAGCGCTTCCATAACACACTTTTACGAAGTCCCATGGTCCCAATGGTTCTTCGGCTGACGGTCTGGTGTTTTTCGCTCTCTGCACTGGCTCTAGGTGGTTCAATTCAGCACATGGCTGACAGCATACATCGCCCTCAAGGCCCATCGGCGTTGATGGCAATCATTGTTGATGCGGTCGCTTTGGTTTATCTCGTCTATATCACATTTGACGAGTATACATCAAAGCCTTTGGGCTTGCGGTCACCCTCGGCCAAAGCACGGCTGATTCTACTTGACATCTTCTTCATCGTATTTGATTCTGCCAATCTCAGTTTAGCTTTCGCTTCTCTTTCGGAAGTGACGGGCTCCTGTACGGAGGCAGAGGTCAACCAGGAGATCGATCCCCGCAACGATGGGATCTGCGTGCGACAAAAGGCACTAGCTTCTGTACTGCTTATTGCTTTGCTGGCTTGGTTGATGACATTTGCGATCAGTGTTCTCAGGTGAATCCCCCCTCTATCCCCCAATTGATGTGCTTCTCTGCTAACACTTGACTAGACTTGTCGAGAGAGTGACACAGTGAGACCTGTATGTTACTATTTTTGACTTTTCAAAGTAAAATATTTGATTTCTTGCTCTATTAGCGATCATTGCCTTGCACACTTTTGCTACACTTGCAGGGCAGGTCCGTCGACACCATACAGCGGGTCACGTTGAAACCAGGCCACATTATTGATGCTCTGCACCTTTTCTTTCTCATTTGGCTTCCCATAGCACATGTCCCATTGCTTGCCAGGGGGATATGCGCCGACCATTTGGAAATCCTCCTGGTTCCCACGCAGGTCCTCCAGGAGCCGATGTCCAACCCCTGCAGGAACAATAATCAGATCACCGCGCTGAACGCTCGGCTCGAATCGCTCGGGATTCTCCTCGCCGCCGAAACACAGACGCGCGCTCCCCGACACAACGCCGAGTACTTCGTGTGTTGTGGAATGGAAATGGGTCTGGCTGTACATGGTATATACCCACTGCGGTATGACTTCAGCCACTTCTTCCAGGTGTCTCTCGAGCTCCGCAGATCTAGCATTGAAGGCTCCGTGGTAGATCATGAGTGGTTTGGACTGGATCGATGTATTGGGAATATGGCGCCATTCTGGAATCTGGCGAAGAGTTACGTGGATATCAGACTGGGGAGTTATCATGTTGAGAGTGTATTGAACAGGAGTTTGGATTAGACAGTTTAAATCACTTTAATATTCGAAATGACATCATTGCGGGTCCATATAAGGTTCTGGCGATTCGATACTCCCTCCGATCATCCATCCATCTTCTTATAGATCGAACGTCAAATGGCGTAAAATTCTGTAGTCTCAATATTCCAATCGCAAGTCTACTGATCTAGTTTTATCCAAACTAGAAGTCGTACCATTGCATAGTGAATCTGTCTACCCTACCTTATGCTGGAAAATCCCTCGATGTAAAGGCCAGTACTCATAGCATACTCTGAAAATAAATCCGGCTTACTCTTGGCTTTAATTTATATTTATGCTGTCTCAAAACTTCCCGATGACCACGAGACTTGACTAAAGCCCTACTATACATGGGGCCACTGAATAGATCATATTTTCCATTTTGGTCCGACAGCGCAGCTTATGCCTATTCACTTTGCAACCTTGGAAATAATTGATCTTGCAAATCAAAGATTGCTGCCAGACCTATGGGCTTGGATGTCGCTATAGTCCACGTAAAGTGATCTGTCATACGACAGGAAACGATAGTGACTTATTTGCTCAAGTATATACCTTTCAGTATACCAGTATAGACAGAATCATACCTGTATGATCAATTCTATCCACTAGCTCCCTCGAAAACTAGAAGCAAAGAAAGTGTACTTGCATTCAACAAAGATGTTTCCGATAAATGCGATGATGTAGATTTGATGGCTCCGCCACCTCACCGCCTGCGGCAAAAGGCCATCCCCACGCTGGGCCTTCTCAGCCTCATCTCTTTGATCCCCTTCATCTACCTGTTTTCTTTTCTAAATCTTGCTCCAAATTGATTGGATAGGCTGTGTCTACCTGCCATCCTTCGATCTCGCCTTTCCCAACCCCCCGCTGCGCGTCCCACCTCTCAGGCGCTGAAGTCATTTGATCACCTCGAAGATCTTTGAGGCGTGACTTGTGGCGCTGCAACCACTCTGAGGTCATTCCATAAGGTGGGTAACTTGCAGCTTACTACAACGCACGCCATTTTACTGACTACGAGGTCAAGATCTCCAACCTCGACTCCCCACCTCGCCTACAAACCCGACTCATTTTCGCCCCTTGCAATTGCGATGTCTCTCGCGATGCCGCCGGTGCCCCATAAGGATGACCTCGAATCGACGTGAGTTGATGGCAGCAATAGGCTGCTGAGATTTGGATGTGTAGGGTTGGCTGACTGTGTGCTAGGTGGTCGTTCCTTGAAGCGGGGATTGAGAGCGTAATGCTCAACCTGGACGCAGGTATCGATATGAAAACTGTAAGTGAAAGTCTCGGCGTCTCGATCTCTCACATTCCAAATAAATCAAGGGAGCTGACTGATTTTGCACACTTAGTACATGGGTCTCTACACGTGTGTCCAAGTTTCGAATCCTCTGGCTGCCGTCTAATCGTGCTCATAAACTGATTATAGGGCTGTCCATAACTTCTGCACTTCACAAAAGGCCGTCTCCAGCGGCCAAGGCTTGCAAGCCCAACGTGGGGGTTCGTTAACCTTTCTTTTCAACTCTCTCGCAATCTCATCAAACTCCATCGGCTTGCGACCAGCGCTGACTATCTACTCAGCCCATCTGTTGGGCGAGGAACTTTACAAGCTACTAGGTGAATACCTTTCCCGCCATCTCGCCGAAGTGTACAAGCAATCACAAAGCCACACCGAGGAAGGTCTGCTTGGCTTCTACATCCGCGAGTGGTACCGATACACGACCGCCGCCAAATATGTCAACCACCTTTTCCGTTACCTGAACCGCCACTGGGTCAAGCGTGAGATCGACGAGGGCAAGAAGAATGTCTTCGATGTGTACACCCTGCACCTGGTCAAGTGGAAGGAGGACTTTTTTGAGAATGTTCATGAGAAGGTTATGGATGCCGTTTTGAATCTGATCGAGAAGCAGCGGAACGGAGAGACCATTGAACAGTCCCAGATTAAGTCTATTGTCGACTCGTTTGTATCCCTCGGTCTCGATGAGAATGACAGCTCCAAGTCTACCCTCGATGTTTACCGCACATACTTCCAGAAGCCGTTCATTGCCGCTACCAAGACCTACTACGAAAACGAGTCACGGCAGTTTGTCGCTGAGAACAGCGTGGTGGAATACATGAAGAAGGCCGAGGCCCGTCTTGACGAAGAGAAGTCTCGGGTTGGTTTGTATTTACACCCTGATGTTACCAAGAGTCTCACCGATACCTGCCTTGATGTGCTTGTCACCGCTCACTCGACCTTGCTACGCGATGAATTCCAGATCTTGCTCGACAACGAACGCCAAGAGGATTTGGCTCGCATGTACCGACTTCTTTCTCGGATCAAGGAGGGCCTGGACCCTCTGCGCACCACCTTTGAGAACCATGTCAGACGGGCCGGTCTCGCTGCTGTCGAGAGGGTTGCATCCGATGGAGATAACTTTGAACCCAAGTTGTACGTTGATGCGCTGCTGCAGGTCCACACACGCTATCAAAACCTGGTTGATGATGCTTTCGCTGGTGAATCTGAGTTTGTGCGCTCTCTTGACAACGCTTGCCGTGAATTTGTCAATCGAAACCACATCTGCAAGGTCAGCTCTTCCAAGTCGCCCGAGCTACTCTCGAAGTACACAGATTCGCTACTCAAGAAGGGATCCAAGTCTGCGGAGGAGTCTGAACTCGAGGAGATGCTCTTGCAAGTCATGACAGTCTTCAAGTACATTGAAGACAAGGATGTCTTCCAGAAGTTCTACACAAAGTCTTTGGCCAAGCGTCTGGTCCACACCAGCTCAGTCTCTGATGACGCAGAGACCAGCATGATCAGCAAGCTGAAGGAGGCGTGCGGTTATGAATACACCAACAAGCTGCAGCGCATGTTCCAGGACATCCAGATTTCCAAGGATCTCAACAACAACTACAAGGACTGGCAGGACAAAGTACTGGACGATGATGATCGCAAGAGACTGGCCGATGCACAGTTCCAGATCCTAGGAAACGGATTCTGGCCTCTTAACGCGCCGACAACACCATTCCTTGCGCCACCCGAGATTGTCAAGACCGCAGAGCGGTTCCAAAAGTTTTACTTTGATAAGCACAGTGGTCGCAGGCTGAGCTGGCTGTGGCAGCTATGCAAGGGTGAAATTAAGGCCAACTATATCAAGAACGCCAAGGTGCCTTACACTTTCCAGGTTTCGACCTACCAAATGGGTATTCTGCTGCTCTTCAACGAGACCGATACTCTTTCCTACACCGACATTGAAAAAGCCACCACCCTCGCCCCCGAAATTCTCGACCCCAACCTCAGCATTTTGTTAAAGGCCAAGGTCCTGATTGCTAGCCCCGAGGGCGCCAAACCCGAGCCCTCCACCACATTCACGTTGAACTACAACTTTAAGAACAAGAAGATCAAGGTCAACCTTAACATCCAGATTAAGTCTGAGCAAAAGGTAGAAACCGAGGATACACACAAGACTATAGAAGAGGACCGAAAGCTCTTGCTTCAGGTATGTTCCGATAGACACCTTCTACATCCATTAATCTGTTCTAACAAGCCTTTAGTCCGCTATCGTCCGTATCATGAAATCGCGCAAGAAGATGAAGCACGTCCAGCTGGTGCAGGAAGTCATCCAACAAGTCAAGTCTCGTTTCCCACCCAAGATTCCCGATATCAAGAAGAACATCGAGGCTCTCATGGAGAAAGATTATATCGAGCGCATGGACGGCGACGAAATCTCCTACATTGCTTAAATATCCTCAACTTACCCCCAACCCCAACCACATCACCATCTTGCCTCTTTTCTTTTTCTTTTTATCTACATTTTCCTATCGTCCCATCTAGCCAGCAAGTTTCTATACCCCCATGTTTTCCCCGTCCATCGTCCACGAACGGTGAATGAGGAGTCCTCACACGGGGACATATCCATCTTGCTGCTCTAGACCCGGGCAGGTAGTTAGCAGTGGATTAAGGCGGGGATAGGAGCATAGGAATTTCTCATTGTGTTGATTTATTTTTTGTTTCCATCTTCATAGCGCTGAGATGACACCTCAATGATGACCTGGTTTTTTTTCCCTTCCTTGTTTCTTTGCTCTTGTTCTTTAATGTCAAAACAGAAAATAGATAAATATTAATTTTTGGATCTAAATTTGCTGCTCAGCTAGTCCCCTGATAAAATCGCACAAGTTGCCCACGGTATGTGTATGACGCGAGAAATGGGCTTGATATATTGATACCTACCTCAGCCCTCATTCTAGATATCCATTGATGAAGATGAAATCATAAAGGATAGAGCCGTGAACGGACTTCATTATATATATAACAACAAGAAGGAATCACGTAGGATCGTTGGTTGGTACAAGTATACCAAATGCAAAAAGCGTACAGTGATGAAATCCCAATGCCAATGCCAATGCCAATGCCAAAAAGAAATGAGCGAACTCTCATCTCAATCCAAATGAGTATGTACCCAGCTCTGGCTCTGAACTCATTACACGTCCTTAACAGGAAGAGCAGTCAAAGATTCATCACGAGATTGTCCCCCACCAGGAGGCATATTCTCCTTCTGATTCAAACCCCCATTCTGACCCTGATCCTGATCCAACTCCAACCCAAGACCCTTATTAGGCGTAAGCGCAACAGACGAGAAACCATCCGTATCAACGGTCCCCGTATTAGCCCGCTCAAACTTCCCCTGCGTATGAATCTGAGGCCCACTACCCCGATCTTCTTTCTTAGCCTGCTTCTCCTTACCACTCTCCCCATAAGCCGGGAAACCCTGAGACAAAGGAGACTTGGGGAACGGCATATCTGCAGACTCAGACGCAGACGAGTCATCCCTCTTGAATTCACCACTCTCACGCCGAAGAAGAATATTACTCCATCGTTTCCTGCGGCTAACGCTGCGCGTTAACCCGCCGTCGGTGGTGCTATCGATACTTCCTTCGCTTTTGTGCTGAGCAGAGCGGCGGCGACCGCGGTCACGGTCTGATTCTGCGATTTCCGTTACGACAGATAATGTCGATGCGGAGGGTGATGTGACACTCGGGCTCGTGGCTGCGTTTGCATTTGCAGCTGCGTTTGAAGTTGCGGTTGCGTTGAGACTCGGGCTTGGAGAGGCGCTGCGTTTGTCTTGCCATTCGCGCCTTTTCTCGCTAGCCCATGAACCCCACGAGCTGAAATACGCGCCTGCTTTCTGGCCTGCCGCGCTGACCGATGCTTGGGCTTGGGTCATGTCGACTGAAGCACGGGGGCGGGGCTCCGAGTCTAGTGTTGAGGTTGAAATTGAGGCGGTTGGAGAAGTGGGTGATCCTTGGGATTGGGTCTGTGTCTGTGCTTGTGCTTGAATGGCTTTCTCTTCATTGCGTTTGCGTTGGGCTTCGCGCATGGACTCAATATCGGACCAGAAGCTGTTGAAGGCTGCTGTTACTTTCTTTTGGCCGGTTGAGAAGTGGCGGTTTAGAGCCTCGCGGCCTTCGCGGACGCGTTCGTCTAGGTGGAGGTCTGCCACTTGTTGGGAAACGCGGCGTTGGACATCCTCCATTGTTAGGCCGCCTGCGCTTGGGTGGCGGGGCTCGGTAATTGAGAAGAGGAGGGCGTCGGAGGTGAGACGGGAGAACAGGGCGTAGTTTGAGGTTGTTTGCCATTGGGTTAGGAATTCCATATTGAAGTCGGTTGCTGGGTCACCTTCTATGTTGTAGTTCTGTAATTGGGTTCTGCTGCGGGTGGATTCCCCGGCTGTGCTTGAGGACAACTCCTCGTGGTATTTCATCGAAGATAACAAAGCCAGCAGGTATTCTTCGAATTGAAGTCGGATGAATTCTTCGGAGCCCATGAACCCGAGGGTCTTAGGCCGTGAAGGGTGCTCCTCGTCCCAGGTGTCATTGACGATTTGCGTGAGTAGGTCAATCCAGCGCCTGTCAGCTGCGGAAAGGGCAAGGGCAGTGCGTAGAGAAGGGGAGTTGATAACGATGCTGTCTTCGTCGAGCTATTGAACAGTCAGATGTGATACTCTGTAGGGAGTAAGGAAACTGACATTGATTAAGATATCACTGTAGCGGTCCTTCTGCTGTAGGAGAAGCGAGTTGGTAGAGCCCACCACATAGGACTTTGTCCCATCATCCGCCAGCAGATCCAGCAGCTGGAGAGGTGTATAAGGGCCAAACATGCTTCCCTGGAGATGAGTTAGCAGACGCGAGAGAAGACATTCATATTATTTCCTACCTTTCCAAAAATCTGTAACGGCAAGCCCATATATGCCAACACTAAAGGGTCAGCAGGCAATTCGCGATCCAACGCCTTGGAATGAGCCATACAAGAACTTCTGTCACTCGTCTTGAGAGATGTAGGCTTCTCAACAGTCTTGGAATAAGTATCAAAGGACGGATCCGCACAGTCCTGAAGGCTATTGATGAGGCCGGGTATTAAAGATATAAGAGAGAACTGAATCATGCACAAGCGTTCACAACGCGTTCCAAAGAAAAGCATCTGCATTTATCAGCATGGCTCTGGCAGAAATGACAAGGCCACATACCTTGGGCTGCAACAGCAGTCCCTTGAAGAGAACCAATGTCTGATATTTGAATTCATGAATCATCTCGCGGAGCGACAGACCTAGCAAAATCAGTAACAGTTCATATGGACATATAAGACGGTATTCTCACCCAAATTTTGGTCTTTCGGGCCATTATCATTCAACAGGCTAACCACGAGTCCCTCGCGGAATTTCTGAAACCACTTTAGCACACTGTTCAGCCGTATTGCGATAGCCAGCGCATACCTTCAGAATATCAATATCCGAGAATTCACTAAAATAGCCCAAATTAGCCCCTATATCCTTACTACCTCATTCTGTGGGCCCAATTCAAGCAGCCGCAGACAACATCCCACATACCGTTGCGCAAACCAAGCAGAAGTAACAACAGACAACTTCTCCCTCAATTGACCAACTCGCTGCGGCGTGTCCGTAACAACAACCACAGCCTTCTGTACCGTCGACCGCGTAACATCCGGGTGGCGATTAATGAGCAGACTCGAATCAAGCTGCCTCGAACAGGAAATACCAAATAACGAAGTGGCAGGGATTGTATCCGACTCCTTTCGGCAGAGTGTAAAGTATGAGAATTCCTCCGTCGACCTGTATATCAACCAGTTAGCCGATCTGGCGCAGGATGGGTATATCGTTGGATTATGAGTTGGTCTCAGTCATAGAGAGAGATATAGGTAGTTCGTACAGATGCGCTCCGTCAGAAAGTGCCATAAAAGGTAAGAGGGACCAGTCATTTTCGACAGCCGGGTCTGTTCCTTCGTCGGCGATACAGTGTTCGATCTCGGGGCCGCTGCAGATGTCTCAGTCAGTAGGGCTCATTGTGTGGCAGGCAGAGCTTGTTTCAAATGTCAAGTTTCACTCTGATGGAGTCTGGAGAATCGAGTCTTTGGTTGCTTACCGTGCATGGTGGAAATCAATCACCAACACAATCGGGTCTTGTTTATGGGTAGCCATGGCGCCCGATAATAGAAGAGGGAGTCAGGGCGGTAGAGGTGGCTTCAGGCGCTTGAAAATGAATGACTGGAAATGGGGGAACTAGTGCTAGTGTGTAATGAGGTTCTTCTCCTCCAAAGCCACAATATTTCCCATGAAGATGAAGATCGCAGATCGCGAAACAGGGGAAAATGATATGGTTATCGCGCACGTTCTGACTGGCCGGGGTGGCGGGCGGTGAGCAGTCCCGCCGAGACCCTCAATATACGGTAGTTGATATAACTTGATGGTTTCTGACTTGATTGTTTTCTTACTTAGTTAGCTAGGTAGCTTAGTTGGGTTATGTCTTTAGTACTCTTATGGTATTGTAGAAAATTAAACTGCCGAACAAAAAAAACGTAAGGTGCCCATCGCTCAAATCAGATCCCCTCATTTCTCCGAATCACCAACCATTTCTGACGACGCCGAATGAGCTATGGACAAATAATTCCAGAAAGACAAAGACAAGGAAGAGAAAATAAAGATCGATAAAGATAAAACAGTGCCAACTTCACATCTTTTAAAAATTTCGGCTGGGGAGATTTGAGTCTGATATCAAGGGCAAGGTGTATTATGGGGAACACGCAACTATGCGTAAGCCTGGGTATCATTACCCTGTACTGCGCCTTGCATCAAAGCCTGACCGGCCTCGTTGCCTTGTTCAATGTTGTGGAAGTCGAGGATCTCGGAGTACCTGTGCATGTAAGTAAGGAAAGAGGGAACAGAGGGAACGAGCAGAGCGAGCGAAACGTACATCATAATCTTCCAAGTATCCACGGGCAAATCAGCATCATTGAATGACCAATCGAACTTTTCTTGTGCGACGGGCTCATCGGTCGGGTCGTGGTAGGGGGCCAGGTACTCGTGGGCTAATGCGTCGGGGGCCTGGATTCGCTGCTTGGGGTTGAACACGAGCATCTTCTCGAGCAGGTCAACCGCTAGATATACAAGTTAGCGCTTCGTTCAAGTCCATTCCAAGAAGTGACATACCATCGGCATCAGCGTTCTTGAACTTATTCGCAAGCGGCTGGCGCTCGCGCTTCGGTAGAGACTTGACGAATCGCAGAGTCTGCGTCTTGTTAGCAAGTCTTCATCTTTCACTGGAAGATTCACTCACATTCTCGCTGCAGATGGTTTGAATCACATCATCTGGCGGGGTACCCAGCAACTCAGTAATGATAGAGAACTGGTTGACATGGTCCTTTCCGGGGAAGAGAGGCTTGCCCTCCAACATCTCGGCGAAGATGCAGCCCGCACTCCAAATATCCACCTCAACATCATACTTTTGCCAAGTAAGCATGATCTCGGGCGCACGGTAGTATCGTGTTGAGACATAGCCAGTCATCTGAGGGTCCTGGATGCGAGCCAAGCCAAAGTCGCAAATTTTGAGATCGCAGTTTTCATTAATCAGGATGTTGCTAGGTTTGAGATCCCGGTGGACAACACCCGCGGAGTGGACATATTTCAAGCCACGCTATACATGGTTAGATTCGGGTTGCAGCGAGTTTTCATAGAATTCTTACCAAAATTTGGTATAAGAAGTACTGAATAAATTGCTTTTCAAGAGGGCGCGAGGTCAGGAGTCGGTGAAGATCGGTTCCGAGGAGTTCGGTGACGAAGTAACTGCAGGAATTAGCGTGAGGCCCCCACTTTCCGATAAGAGTGCGTACATGTCTTCCAGAGGCGAAATGAAAATATCGCTCAAGCTAATAATCTGCGCAGTGTCAGTATTTTGAATTCAGGCAATTCAGGCCAGGTCAGGCAGGTCAGGCAGGTCAGGCAGATATTCAGGCAGTACGGACGTTTTCGTGGCGGAGATGCTTGAGCAGCTTCAGCTCCCGGTACGTGCGCTTGGAGAGCACGGGAGTGCTGAAGGGCTTCATGATCTTCTTGACAGCGACTGGCTGGGCAGTCAATTGGTCTTTCGCAGAACTATCTCATCGAAATCCGGTTAGCAAACTCGTAAGCCTCGACATGTAGCCTCGTACGACACAAGAATGCAACATACCAGACCAACCCGAAGGCACCCATCCCCACCGGCTGCAGCTCGGTATACCTAAGTCAAAAGTCAGCTCTGGGCAGATTGCGAGAAGGCTGCGCGCCTCCCCCCGCCTGAAGGACATACCGGCTGGTGATCTCAAAGGTGGTACCGAAGATCTGGGCACGCACGAATTCCGCCATGATGAATGAAGGTACGGATACGACGTGAAGAAAGTGAGATGAAGTCAAATGAGAGACAGATGAAGCCCAGAGGAAAGGGGCGCGAAGAGACAGAGTGTGTGGGGAAGTGAAAAGCGCAGAAAACAAGGAAGGTATGACGTTGGCGCGGGACCAGGTTTTGGTGGCTGACTAAGATCTAGATCTCTTTTTATATCTTCCTGTGTATTCTCCATTATATTCGTTCCTTTCTCTGCCGCTATCTCAGTCTTTTTCTCTCTCTTGCGTCGGACTACATTATGTTATCTTTGTTGTTCCGCTCTTCTGTTCTTTGCTCTGTTCTCCCTGCTGTCTCTCTACCTCTCTCGCTCTCTCTCACCTCGCTCCACCTACGTGGCCTAGACCGGAACAGGTGCCGGCCTCATTTTCCACCCATTGACATATAGCAAATTCCTCAATTCACACTTGTCATTAATCTGCGCTTAGCTCGGAGGTACTTGGCTGTTTAGATCGAACCCCTCATCTCAATAGAGTCAAGATATACCTCTACTAAACCGAAGCTTCTGCCCCTCCAGGGAGTAATATCCGGTCTAGACCATGTGCATCTCTCAGCATATCAGATGCACCGCATATCTACACTAAGCCTGTTCGGATGTGTGTGACGTGGTGGGGCTTGGACTTTTTGACCAAGTCATCACCGCTATCTCCTCCAACTTATATATTGTGTTGGGCTCGGGCGTAGTATAAGAGCCTCCTGTGAATTTAGCCAACTCTTTTCGCCCCAATATTGATATGTTACGAGTCTGTCTCGACCAGTGTTACGGATCTGGCTGAGACCTGTGAAACACAACCTGCCACGCTACTGCAGGCATGTAACAAAGACATTTAAAGAATGAATGTGACTGGACAATGCGGCAAGTGCTTTTAAACTCTGGAAAAGCCCTTGGAGGTTTCATGTTCCTGTATCGGACAAGACTATATATATCTCTCTCTCTCTCGCATCCAATACTTCCAAGGTTTGCTTTTTCCGGGTGAATTGACCTGGTCACAGGACTGAATTGACTTCACTTATAGTATTCACCGGATCGTATACCCTGAACAACTACAATGTGGAGTGTTCGAATAACCCCGCCTGGTTCGTGTTGCCTGAGGCAGAAGACCCTTTGCGTCACTCTCCAATACGGAGGACATCACTCCAGAGATTTCCCAACGAACTTTTAATATAACTCGACTAGGCTAGGGTGGCGCAACAGTTTTAACCCGTTCAGCCGAAAATCGCTTAAAGTCGACTTAAGTTCAGGGTTAAATCTGACAGAGAACGTGCCCAGCTGTCCCCCGGGTTTTCCCTTTTCCTATTCTCTAGCTCCTCCTATAACTCATATTCAATATTCAATATGCTATGATACGCATTAAACATTCTATAGTACAATCGTAAAAGCAAATATAAGGCTAAAGGGCTCCTGAGTCAGCATCTCCGCAGCATTCGCCCCCTCTCCCGCCCCAGCTATACTCCGTACCTCCTTCCGATCTGGTCGCAATTCTTACTTCACCTCACTCACCTCGTTTACCACTCGCAACTCACCTCCCTTACCTCCCTCGCCTCTCTCATCTCCCTCATCTCCCACGCCTCCTCTCCTCTGACGACTCCCCGACTCTCGGTCGCATTCTTCCGTGACCTGTCTTCTCCTCAGGCTCCGGCCGTTTCAACCGGCAGATACCGCTCGTGCGCGCGATTGATGAGCCTAGTGCCTGCTGGCCTGGCACTTTAAGGCGCTCATCATGGGGTCATGTTTCAGCTCAGAGTCCGGCGGAGACGCCGAACAGAAGAAGCGAAGTCAGATGATCGACCGCAAGCTAGAAGACGACTCAAGGCGACTACGGCGAGAATGCAAAATTCTCCTTTTGGGTAGGTCCTGATGGAGGAGCTGGCTCCGGGGCATGGGCTAACTGGGAAACCGCAGGTTCCGGAGAGAGCGGCAAGTCTACGATCGTGAAGCAGATGAAGATTATCCACCAAAACGGGTACACTGTCGAAGAACTGGCGCTCTATCGCTTAACCGTCTACAAGAACCTCTTAGATTGCGCCAAAGCGCTCATCGGAGCCTACCACTATCTCCAGCTCGAACCGTCAAGCCAAAAGGTCAAGGATTACATCGGATTCCTCGAAGAGTGCAACGTGGACCCGGATCCCAACACCACGCTCGATTCGAAAATCGGCGAAGCCATCACATACCTTTGGAATGACCCTTGTACATCAACAGTGTTGGAACATCAAAATGAGTTCTACCTGATGGACTCAGCGCCATAGTAAGTGCCATGCCGCGTCACACCACGTTTCAGGGACAAATGCTTACATGGGACCAGTTTCTTCGATGAGGCAAAACGAATAACCTCTGCCGACTACATCCCGAATGTCTCAGACGTCCTCCGCGCAAGAACGAAAACTACCGGTATCTATGAGACAAGATTCACAATGGGGCAACTGAGCATACAGTACGTGAACCGCGAGACTTGCAATGTTCGACATTCTAACCAGTCACAGCATGTTCGATGTCGGTGGCCAGCGCAGTGAGCGCAAGAAATGGATTCACTGCTTTGAGAATGTTACCTCGATCATCTTCTGTGTTGCATTGAGCGAATATGATCAAGTACTACTCGAAGAGAGCAATCAGGTATGCGACTCCAACTACCGAGTATCTTGGATCGGAGCTGACAATCATAGAACCGAATGATGGAAAGCTTAGTGCTCTTCGACTCCGTGGTCAACTCTCGATGGTTCATGCGAACAAGTATCATCCTCTTCCTGAACAAGGTCGATCTATTCCGCCTGAAGCTACCCCGATCGCCCCTGAGCAACTACTTCCCCGATTACTCGGGCGGCAACGACGTGAATCGTGCTGCAAAATATCTACTCTGGCGATTCAACCAAGTCAATCGAGCACACCTGAACCTCTACCCCCAGTGAGTTACTCGACCCTTTGCGATATCTCCATATCTCTGACTTGTCTGTGTTCTAGTCTCACCCAAGCCACCGATACAACAAATATTCGCCTGGTCTTTGCAGCAGTTAAAGAAACAATCTTACAGAATGCTCTGAAAGATTCGGGCATTCTATGATCACCTCGCCACCTCCGAGACTTAGTTTCGCGATTACCTCCTCCACCTCACAATCTTACTACGGCCACACCTACATCACTTCTCAACGTTGCTTTGGTGTTCTTTGATACCACTCCCAATTTTCCGAGCACACAAGGACGAATCATACCCTTTCAACTTCCAATTTTTACACTTTCCTATTCTTGCTTTGGACCAGCTGCAGGCGTTATGGCGCCTTTCTCACTTCCAGGACTGATATTTCCGACAGCCCAGGGACAATCCTTGTTTGGTATCGGCGAGGAGGTGGTATTACTCCTTTTCTAAAGAATCCAATGGCCCACCAGGGGTTTCAATAGCATTCATGTTTAACCACTTATGGTATTCATCTCGAGATGTTCTTTTCTATACCTCCCATCTCTCCCTGTCTCCCAATTAGCCCGGAACGAGCGTATTGCCAAACCAAAAGTCGCTCGATATGTTGATTTCAACTTTTCTTTTCTTGTACTCGGATATCCTCATGGGGCTTTACAGCCAACCAATGATTGCTATTCTTTTCTTTTCTTCTATATGTCCGCCATATCTCTTGCTTTTGCTTCACTCTGTTCCAGCCTCACTCCCATGCATACCATGGCGGTTCAATTCTATGTGCCATGTTTTGCTCTGTTATCTATCTCCTTGTTCTTATTACTCTGTCTCTCTTCTGTTTTTTTTTTTTTTTTTTACAATTAGCTTATTACCAACTCGCCAGGCCTGCTCCCAGCACCGTGTTTTCTGATTCATCCTTCTTCTTTCCGGCTAGTACTACTGTGTTTCGTCCAGCTTTTGGCTGGCAGCCACCAGAATACCTTTCCGTCTGGTACAAGAACGGCACGGGCTATTGCTGATTGACACTGTGGATGGACCCGTTGACCTGTAGCATATTCAGTGTTTGATTGTGGCTTCTGTTGCCGTAGATCGGGGTGTGATATGTCGGGCGGTTCGCTCTCTTCACTAATAGCCTGAGATATCAAGTCAACCCCGTTGAGTTGCGCGTCATCTTGCAATCTCGCTTGTCGCATAACCTGTAGTAGACAGAAATCTATTAGCTTTGACAGTATTGACCTTGCGCAGGATAAATCATTACCCAAACCATCTCAAATCCAAACCCTAGTCTTCCTTAATGAAAGAAAGAAACAAACAAAAAAAAAAAGAGGAAATCCAAATCCCGCAGACCACATGCCGACCCTCTTCAGGGCTAGCCAGCCCATATATGCTCGTACAGAAGCAGCCACGGAAGTAAATCTTCTGCAAAACAGCTCCGAAAACCACGCAGACAGTCCGACTAAAGCAATAACACCTCGCACCCATGCAGCCTAGCAGCCACAGACATCATAGCCTAAGCCCAGCCCCGCTCAAGAGCTGAGAGCTGCCTTGCTACACTGCTTCCCGGGGCTCAGTCTCTCCTATGTTTAGAGATGTCTAGAGGGTTTGTTATTTTATGTTATGGCCATGCACATCCTCCGCAAGGATCATGCAACCAATTATCACTGCAAGCTTGATGGTAGTATTTATATGATAGTGACATTATAAACTGAATATGCTATACAATTTCAAGAACAACAAATATATTCAAGTATAGGAGAGAGAAAACGGACGAGGAAGGGAGAAAGTAAGATGATCTACACGGCCCCCTCATTCCCAGCCCACCGTCCAGGCAGCTTAGCTTCCCCAGAAAGCGAATCAATTAGGCAATGAACGTCAATGTTGGTTCTAGCTCCCTTTGCAGGGGTCTCTGCGCGTGGACATCATGCGACACTGGGTATGCAATGCGCTTGTATGTGGCGTTCGCGGGGTATACACAGCTTACAGTACGGCTTGGGAGGGGGTACCGCTATAGGTACATATAGAGGTATTATTTGGGTAGCATATGCAGGGTTATAAGCTGATATGAGAGCTTGAATGAAAGTGAAGCGTTATCTTTCAGCGAGGCAGGGATTTCGGATGCACTCGGGTAGGGTTTGGCATAGTCCGGGCCGTATTGGGAATGTGGTTGTAAGGAAGTAACCTGTACAGGAACATGGAAAACAACTAGATGTGCAAAAAAAAAAAAGCAGGGAAATGGAGAGGAATGGCATGATGTGGAGTATACTAAGTACCAAGTGCCTATAGCTGTAGCTGTAGCTGTATACTACACGTTGATAAGATGAGACCCGCACTCCGCATGCGGATGTAGATAGAGACTGAACGTTCAATAGTGATTAATTGAATTAATTACTAGACCAAATACCCTGGAAATAACTGAAGTGAGTGAACTGGCTAAGCTAAAAAAAGACAATGGCCTGACGGGATCCGAGGGTGTCACCAGAGTCATGACTGCATGAACTGCACTTTCCCCTCTTTCTTTCTTCTGTTCATTCCTTTCTTTTCTTTCTTCTTTCTTTCTCACTCTTCCCTCAGCTTTCCTCTTGACTTCTTTTATACATACTCATCATGGCTGACTCCGAACCTCGTCGCGAGCGGAGACCCTCCGTTGGAGCTCCCATTGCCGATCTCCAAGGTCCTGTCGGTCCCGGATTTAGTCGTCCCAAGCACAAACGTACCTACACTGGTCTGGGACCAGCTGAGATCAAGAGTGTGGAAGCTAGTATTCCTGAACCATTACGAGAGGCGTGAGTATTTCTTGATGCTGTTTCTGTCCCTCGGATATGGTTACTGACAATGCAACCCTGCAGCTGGAAGAAACATGTATGTGAACAAGTCTCGGATGTTACCAATTCTAATACTCGGAACAGTCGGCGAGTGAATTTACGAACAAAGAAGAGTTTGAGGTCAGTACTGAATATTGTTCATTATTTACCTTGGTTGCTAACACTTGGTAGAAAGAGCTTGTACGTCACATTGAGACTACACTTGCTCGTTCGCTGTACAACTGCGATGAATTGTGAGTTTATCCATGTCAATGCCTTATCAATTAGCAATTGACTTCTTTAGGGCCGCGTACTCCGGCACCGCGCTTGCCTTTCGTGACCGATTGATCATCGAGTGGAACAAGACACAGCAGCGTCAGACTTTCACCGACCAGAAGCGAGTCTACTGTAAGTTTCTCATTGCTCGATAGAGAAATTTGCTAACACAATTCAGATCTGTCTCTTGAGTTCCTCATGGGTCGTGCGTTGGACAATGCTATGCTGAATGTTGGATTGAAGGAGGCCGCGCGAGGTGAGTGTTGCAGCAGTTGTGGCATGAAACCACTGACACGTACTTAGAGGGATTGAGTGATCTCGGCTTCCAAATCGAGGACGTTATCAGCCAGGAGCATGATGCGGCTCTGGGCAACGGTGGCCTGGGACGTCTGGCGGCGTGTTTCTTGGACAGCATGGCGACACTGAATTATCCTGCCTGGGGATATGGTCTGCGGTATCGCTATGGTATCTTCAAGCAGGAGATCATCAATGGATACCAAGTGGAAATCCCGGACTACTGGCTTGACAACAACCCCTGGGAGTTTCCACGACACGATGTCACAGTCGACATTCAATTCTACGGCAACGTGAAGAAGTACCAAGGAGAGAATGGCAAGATTGCTCACTCTTGGGAGGATGGCGAGATCGTTCAAGCCACTGCGTATGATGTCCCCATTCCCGGATACGGTACCAAGACGACCAACAACCTCCGCTTGTGGTCTAGCAAAGCTAGCAGTGGAGAGTTTGACTTCCAGAAGTTCAACGCTGGAGATTATGAAAGCGCCGTGGCAGACCAGCAGAATGCCGAAACCATCTCGGCCGTTCTCTACCCCAACGACAACCTCGAGCGCGGAAAGGAACTCCGTCTGAAGCAGCAATACTTCTGGTGCGCTGCCTCGCTGTTTGACATTGTCCGACGATTCAAGAAGACCAAGAGAGCCTGGAGCGAGTTCCCCGATCAAATTGCCATTCAGCTGAACGACACTCACCCCACCCTTGCTATTGTAGAGTTGCAACGCATCTTGATTGACAAGGAAGGCCTTGAGTGGGATGAGGCATGGAACATCGTGACCAAGACCTTCGCATACACCAACCACACCGTCCTTCCCGAAGCACTGGAGAAGTGGTCTGTCCCACTGATGCAGAACTTGCTCCCTCGTCACTTGCAGATTATCTACGAGATTAATCTTTTCTTCCTGCAATCTGTTGAGAAGAGGTTCCCCAAGGACCGGGAAATCCTATCTCGGGTCTCCATTATCGAGGAGTCGCATCCCAAGATGGTGCGCATGGCCTATCTGGCCATCATCGGCTCTCACAAAGTCAACGGTGTGGCCGAGCTACACTCGGACCTTCTCAAGACTACTCTTTTCAAGGACTTTGTGGAGATCTATGGAGTCGACCGCTTCATGAATGTCACCAACGGCATTACTCCTCGACGTTGGCTGCACCAGGCCAACCCTAGACTGTCTGCTTTGATTGCGGAGAAGCTTGGTAGTTATGAGTTCCTGAAGGATCTCACACTTCTTGACAAGATCGAGGCATTTGTCGATGACAAGGCCTTCCGGGCTGAGTGGGCTGAAATCAAGCGGGAGAACAAGGCACGACTTGCCAAGCATATCAAGGCCACCACCGGATTCGATGTGAACCCCAATGCTCTGTTTGACGTTCAGGTCAAGCGTATCCACGAGTACAAGCGCCAGCAGCTCAACATCTTCGGTGTCATCCACCGCTACCTGACTATCAAGAATATGACCCCCGAACAGAAGAAGAAGGTGGTTCCTCGTGTTTCAATCTTCGGAGGCAAGGCTGCCCCAGGGTACTGGATGGCGAAGACAATCATTCACCTCATCAACAAGGTAGCCGAGGTTGTAAATAAAGATCCAGAGGTTGGCGATCTCTTGAAGGTGATCTTCATCGAAGACTACAACGTCAGCAAAGCCGAGATTATTTGCCCCGCCTCGGATCTCAGCGAGCACATTTCCACAGCCGGCACCGAAGGCAGTGGTACAAGTAACATGAAATTCGTCCTGAACGGAGGTCTAATCATCGGTACCTGCGACGGAGCCAACGTAAGACAACCCCCATATCCCAACTATATCCCACTAACCCTATCTAGATCGAAATCACCCGAGAAATCGGCGAACAGAACATCTTCCTCTTCGGCAACCTCGCCGAAGACGTCGAGGATCTCCGTCATCGCCATTTCTACGGCGACTTCAAGCTTGACCCCCAATTGGAGCGCGTCTTCAACGCAATCAAGGGCAACACATTCGGTGACGCAGGCGACTTCTCCGCCCTCACCAATTCCATCGAGGAACATGGCGACTACTATCTCGTCTCGGACGATTTCAACTCCTACGTCACTACACATGACATGGTCGACGAGGCATTCCTCAACCAGGAGGAGTGGCTTGCCAAGTCTATCAGCTCTGTTGCGCGCATGGGCTTCTTCTCCATGGATCGTGTTACTAACGAGTATGCGGATAGTATTTGGAATGTTGAGCCGCTTAATATTAAGGAGGATGAGTAGTGCTGTCTACAGAGTGCAGTCTTGTCAATAATCTTGCATGTTTTATGGTTCATGACTGAATTCTCTCATTGGTATAATCAGTTTGGTTTTCTGCAATCCGTACAACAATGACGGTCCTCGAGACTCTCTCGACTCTCGATATGTCATATGCTTTTATTTTATATTCAATTGATCTATCCATGGCTATCTTCAAACGAGCCGCCCGGAAGATTCTATCTCTAGACATAAGTCATGACCAACATTGAACACATCATCCACTCCATGCCAAAACTCAACTCCAAACATGAAAAATAACCCAAACTAGTAAACCAAACTAAGTCTCCTCCTGAATAGTAGAAGGCTTATGTCCATCAGGCAAACCAGCCGTAGCAGAAGTATTAGCAGGTTCCGAGAAAGTCTCCGGCCAAAGGAACATCTTCTCCTCATTAGAGGGCGTAGCAGCAGACTTCATAAGCGTAGGAACAGCCTCCTTACTCGAAATCCTCCGCCACATATTAGCACGAGGATTATACCGCACCGGCTTGCCCACACCACCAGTCTTCTTCTGATCCTCACGCGAGATAGCCTCAACCTCACGCTTGATATCAGCGAAGGTATCGAACGCCGTGTATGGAATACCGTGCTCGATGCAGTGTTCCTCGAGGCGGAGACCGCGGCGCGCGAAGAGGACGTCTGCTTCGCGGGCTGCGGCTAGATCGCTGACTCCGTCGCCGATGAAGACGATCAATGGGATTTCGTCCGGTGTGCATTCTGCTTGCGCTTGTTGGCGCGCTGTGTTTACCGACATTGCTTTGTCATGGCCTGATTCAGAGGCGTCGCGCCAGACGGGTTTCCAGGGGCTTCCGCCTGTTATCTGGACGTCGTTTGCTACGATGTCGATTGAGGAGGCCTGTTCGTTTGTTAGTTTTGTGTTTGTGAATTATTGAGGAATGGGTCGGAGTGGGTTCTTTGCTTACCTCTTTCTCGCCGAGGAAGATATCAAGGACTCGCTGGAGAATAGGCTTGAGACCAGCACTGATGATGTTGAAGGGGAATCCGTTTTCGGTGCAGTATTGGTGGAATTCTTGGAAACCGGGATCAATTTGGAGGTTCTTTTCCATTACGTCAAAGCCGTCGCCGAAGGGCATTGTAAGGGATCCCCACATGTCATCGGAGATGTCACGGAAGGATCGTTCGCCAGTCTTGAACTGTTCTTCTAATTTGTTGCGGTAGGCTGCGCCGCAGCCGTGGTGGTCCACCAGGATGTGGCCTGTATCTTGCATGAAAATTGTGCCATCGAAGTCTGGGGAATGTTAGTGTTGGTCGTGTATCCTTTATCTTTTGATGGCGATTGGGTGGGGTTGGAGGGATTGGAGGGATTGGTCTGGGTTCGGGGTGGACAGGACAGGGATGTGGCCTTGGCTGGGTTTGCATACCTGAGAAGATAATGATCTTTCTCTTTTGGTTAGGTTGGATATCTTGGATCGCCATTTTATACAGAAGCTAAAGTATATACGATAGTCAGAGGTTGAAAGATGATTGAAGAAAGAAGAAAAAAAAGCGGACAAGGGATCCTAAGTAGCCGTTCGTCCAGACTCTGCCCTGCTCTGGTCGTGGCAAACAAGACAGGGACAATGACGTCGACGAACGACATCAGTGTGGGCCGAAGAAACGGTGGATCGTGCCGATTCATCAGCTTCTTATTGGCTGGTTGAGATGCCGGGCCCGAACTGCCGCCAGGGCATGTCCCGATGGGCTGTGATTGGTTTAAATCAGTGGAGTAAATCTGGGGCTGACATCTATGAAAATACATCATACATTTGCACGCTAAAATAGGGTCAAATAGGTCTAGGCTGCTGTCAACTCGGTGATGCGACGTTCTAGTTCTGGCACCGCGCGTAGCTGCAGGTCCAACTCTTCCTTCTCACTATAACAGAGTCAGTAATGGTCAAACACGGATCTCGGGTAACTTACTCTTCCAGTTTCAGGCGCCGCTCCCAGTCTAGACCGGTAAAGATATAACCTCCTTGCCCGTCAAATTGCAGGATCTTCTGGTGATATTTCCAGAGACTACGGCGATGCGAAACAGTCATGAGTGTGGTGCCCAGCTTCTTGGCCGTCTCATACATGACCTTCTCAATCTCCAGTGTCACCGAGGATGTGCACTCGTCCAAAATAGCGAACTTAGGTCGGTGATAGAACAGACGAGCCATGGCAATGCGCTGTTGAAGACCACCGGACAAGACGTCGCGCCATTCTTCCTCCGCATCCCAGCCTCCAGGGCGGTCTACGACGGATGCAATCTCAACCACAGATAAAATCTCATAGAGGTCGGCATCAGTGATGCCCTTGGCACGCATCTCACGGACGCCATCTGGGTAGATAACCTGCTGTCGCAGAGTTCCACGGGAAAGATACGGTCGCTGGGGGATATAGAAAATATCTTGGAAAGGGGGCTTCTTCACTGTCCCTCCGTACACTGGCCAGAGCCCACCCAGGATCCGAAAGAGAGACGATTTACCACATCCATTTGGACCGACAATCAAGAGATGCTCACCGGGGTGGACCGTGAAGGACAACTTGCGCACCAAGACGTCTCCGTTCGGGGATACAATTGGTACGTCGGTGAACTCGATAGCGTCGCTCTCCATGACTTCACCTCGACCAGAGAGCACAGCTGCGTTCTCTTCAGTTGAGGCAGATGACACCAGTTTTTTCTCGAATCGACCGGCCAGTAGATCATCCATGACTTCCAATAAAGACGAGACCCGCGACGTGTAGCCAGCCAGCTCTGAAATCTCCTTGTAGGAGAACATCAAACGGCCAAAGGCATCCGATGAGGAAAGCAACATTCGACGGTTTGTGACGAAGCCTATGGCAATCAGCATATGCATACTAGCTCGGAGGAAGTGAACTCACTTTCTGTATGATCTCCCATGCTGTGAGTAGTCTGCCCAGGGATCTTGAAGAAGACAGGAACACTGCAGAGAACTAAACCCAGAGCACCCCAGAAGTACTTGATCACAAAGTCCTCCATGAATCCGTGATACAGCCTCCTGCGCAGAATGCGATTCACATGCTTGATAAGGGTAAAGTAACCCTTGTCCAAGGTGTCCTTCTCAGCTTCGTGGCCGTGGTAGAGTGCCACCTCCTCATTATAATCAATAAGCCGTGAGTGTAGGAAACGGAACTCGCCCTCCAAACGAGCCTCATCCGCCACATATTTACCAAATGGTGGAGTCAACATGCGCATGACGTTCGCCGATAGCTGCACGAGCAAACTCATAATGAAGAGCCCTTCTCCTCCGACATTCTTTGACAGGGAGTAGTTGTAAATAGCCATATCGAGAATCGGCTTGGCCAAGTTGGAGTACAATTCGGCCAAACTGTCCGAGAAACGAGAAACATCGACGGTGACTAGCTGGTCGGGATTCTTGATGCGATCGTCCAAGGCGGAGATAGCATAGAAGGTCATATTAGACAGATACTTCTCGTGAATATAATCAGTAAGACGCTTGCGATAGCTCAACGCGAGCTTGCATTGGTGATATGAAAGCTAACAAGTCAAGCAATTAAGTCAGCAAGAAGGTCAACTGGTGACATGCGCGATACAAGTTGGAAACCCGGCGTCATCACCAAGTACTCACCATAGAATTAGTGAATGTAGCAGGAACAGCGACAATCATCCACCAAACAAGACCCAGCAGGAAATCCTTCCCCTTGCCGCGCACCAAATTGCTCACGAGTCTTCCATCCAACTCGGCAACATACAAACTGAGTAGTGTACGCAGCACCAGGAAAACACTATGGCTAACCAGCAAGCGCAGCTCCTTACTGCGCCATCCAGGGATCACGATTTTTAGCAAGCGAAGCAAATGCTTGAAGAACTCGCGGTTGATCTCGACCCTCTTCTTGCGGGGTTGTTCTTCATCGCCTAGGCTACTGGTGCCGGGCCGTCGGCGGAGCTCGACTTGTTGGGTCGCAGCTTTCTGTTCGGAGATTGCATTATGAATTCGTTTCGCTAGCGCTGCGAAGAGGGCTAGATAGACGGCGCGGGAGATGCGGGTGCGGTTGCGGAGGTAGAGGGTTGTTAGGCTTGAGAGGATCTGTTTGATGGAGCGCTCGGGCGGTAGCAGTTTGGACTGAACGGCCATGGCGATGTTTTTGTTGTTCAGCCGGAGTCTGGGGCATACATGTCCGTTCACGATGGAAGTTGGAAGTTGGAAGTTGGAGAGTTGAGGTGAAGTGAGAGTGAGGAGAGAGGAATGACGGAGTTTGACATGTGATACCCCCAGAAACCCGGGGAAGTTCAACCGAGGGACTTCGCATGTTCAACAACATAACATGTACATGATGTAACGTTGGGCAGTGTAGCAACCTTCTGAATGATAATGCGAGTCTAACATGCGATCGAAAACTCGAGCGAAAAACAAATATTCAGATTTGTCACGTAATAATTGATAATTGGGAAATCCATGAAATCCGCCCTTTCAGGCTAAAATGGAAAATGGTACTTGAAGTCGATTGCATTATGTACGCATACAGAAAGAAAAAATGACTATCAAGTAAAATGCTGGAAAGACTGCCTCCTCGTGCCAGCCATATATACAAAAGACTGCTGGTTGCGGTAAATAAACAGACGCGCGCATAGGTATGTACAGGTACTGGGGAAATAACAATAAGCTCAGATCATGAAAAATACAGAACAAGCTGACATGATGGATGTAAAGGTTAAGGGGACTTGGTCTCTGATTCATCAGAGGCCTTCCTATGTTCTGCGTTGTTTCGGGGCCGAAGACCACTGTTGATCTGGGCAGCGATCTGGGACTGCTTGAAGCGCTCGAATCCTTCGACATCTTGTTGCTGGGCGGCCCAGAGTTCGTCCACGGTGGTTCCGAGTTCCTCGAAGGCTCTGTCGTTTTCAATATTGTCGAAATTGGACAGAGACTGCTCGTCGTGGAGGCGGTCGAGCTTCTGTCGGAGAGCAGCGATATGTGATTTATCGTTGTCTTCGTCTTCTTCGCCAGATCCGGCGGTAAGGGATGGCTTGAGGAAGTCACGACGGAGGTTCTGGCCGATACGATGAATCTGACCTTCCTGGGAGGTCATGGCACGAGAGTGTAGAGAAGTCATAGAGCTGGCGCGGGACAGACGGACGGCATAGTGGTCGCCATCTTCCTCGTCAGCTCCAGTCTCATCAAGTTGGCTGTTGTGCAAGTTGCCACCAGTAGCCACGGAACCAGTACCGTCTTCATTGGAGTGCTGGGAACTGGAATCGGGCGCTGGGACAGCAGGTGCGTTTTGGGGACTGATGCGAGTTTCTGGGTACTCGTCCTCGAAGCGCTGGATCATCCTGTGCAAGGTGATATCCAAGAATTGCAAGCGACCTGAAAGAAGCAATTAGCATAATTCCTTTCACACCTTATCTTGGTACGTCGGGATGATAAAATAGGCCAAAAGAGGCGAAAAGAGATAGGGAAAGTGTCGAACTTACGGTAGTTGGCGTCATTACCAGCACGATCCTCACGAATGAGAGCCGACTGAATCCGAGTTCTGATATTGCGAGCCGATTCAAGCAGATTCTTCGACATATCGCGGGGCCGCTTGGTAACAAAACTGCGAGATTTGCGGCGTCTTGGAGTGTTGGTACCACTCGCCGGTGCAGATTGATCGCCAAGAGCCTCAAGACCCTGTTGTTGGTCCAGATTTCCGAGGCAAACACCCAATGCCTTGACCACACCTGTACCACCAATAACGTAGTCTTCGTCTGGAGCCACCTCCTCATCCTCGTCACACGGCTCTTCGGAGGGGATACTATGCCCGACAATGTGTTGCAGAATTTCAGGGACGGGTACATCTTTAGTTCCAAGGTGATCGAAAGAGTCGGAAAGCTCCTCCGCAATGGCACCTCCTTCAAGATTCCGTAGCGAGTAGGCCACGATCTGTGATGCCAGTGCTTTGACAACTTCATTGTTTTCGGCACTGGGTACATCGATATCGACTGCAATGATGGTTCGTGAAACACGAACGGCTGCCATCATTGACGCATACAAAGCGCATGCTTCTTCCTGTGCAACAGCATCGGTGGTAGAGGCCAGCTCCTCAATTTGTCGGTTCTCTAGTATATTCAAGTGGCAAAGACTGGGGCACTCGGGAAGCACCTCGGCAAGACCAATTACATGGTTTGATGTCAGGTCAACATCGGCCAAGTGGAAGCGTTTTAGAGAGGTCATTTTTGGCAAGAATCGACGGAACATTCCAAGAGCATTGGGTTGGGCTGAGAATAACTCGCGGTTGTGAGAAAAATCCATGAAACGGAGGTTGTGGATCTGAGCAAGGGCCGGGAGCAGTGGGCAGAGCACTGTCGGGTTCAGAGAGCAATCTGCTAAACTCAGAGCCAAGAGTGGCTGCTCAGGCTCAATAGCATTCGTGATAAGATCAAGATCATCCTTAATGGCATTGCCACCTAGGTCGAGCCCTTCACATTGACCAAGTTTGAGATACTCGACCACATGTTCCAGGCCCTCTCTGGTCAGACCGTTGTTGGCAAAGCCAAGTCTTCGCAGGCCCATCTTGGTGCTTGCCAGGCAAATTTGCTTGACGACATCAACCGAAGGATAGCATTCACTCATAAGCAGTTCTTCAAGGTGATCGCCACCGAAGCGCTCTGCCAGAGCACTGGCGAAGACAGCGCTAACATCAACTATCTGGGCTTGACTTGCACCGGAGGCATCGATCGCAATTTGACCAAGAGGGAAAGGAATGCCCGACAGATCGATGGCTTTCAGAGATTTGGACAAGTGTATGAAAAGACTGATGTGGCGCCATCCTTCTCTTCCAATCTTAGGATTGTTCTTCAAAGAAAGCTTTTCCACTACACCATATCTTTCATGGTCCTTAACACCTGGGGATTCAGGTCTTCGAGATCGTCTCCGTCGGTAGCGCATCTGTTCGACTGTCTTTGTAGAAAGCAGACCTGCGAGAATGGCTCGTACGGACACATCCGTCAGCGCGCAATTTTCAAGTATCAACTTGCGGACTGGGACAACAGCAAGCCAATCACTGAAAGTTGTCAGATCCTGGGATGTCATCGGGAAGTTGCTGAGATCTAGAGCTGCCACTGTGCCGGGAGATTCAGCCAATGTTGATGAAGGTTTCGAAATTTCATCAACCACTCTCTTGAGAACGGGCGTTTCGCGCAGCTGACAGCATCGACGATAGATGCGCACCGGATCGGTCGTTGGATGACTCTGCGTTTTGGGCTTAGCTACACCAGGCGGTGATCCTTCGGGTTCTTCCTCGTCATGCTCGGCATCCAGTTGCAATGGTACTGAGCCATTTGCCACTGCTTGCCGCCGCTTTCTTTCCTTCCGTTCTTTGCGTTCTGCCTCCGATCTTTTTTTCTTCTCTTGCTTTCTTGTCGGGTCGGTCCCTTCGCCATTTGGAGGAGTCTCAGTAGAATGTTGAGGTGTAATGGTGTCTTTGGGGGGAGAAGACTGAGTGACCGCATCGTCTGTAGTTGGAGCAGAGGTCGGTGGGGAAGCATCCTTTTTAGCCAAGACCGCTTCGGGAGTCTTCAAAGCTGCAGCTTCCTCTTTGCTTTTCAACTTGAGGTCTGCCTTTTTAGACTTGTGGGTATTCGACTCGGGGAGAGGCTGCCGTAGTTGGTTGGTCGGAGGAGCCTCCTCGTCATCATCGCGGTGTGATATTCCCGCAATTTCCACATCTACACAGAATGCCACACGGTTGAGTTTAGCTTGGTTTAGATCTGGGACTTTGCATCGGTGTCGATTCTGGTCGATGTTCATCACACGTCGCGGGCAGATGGAACCATTAGGATTCAACTTGGGCAGACCACCGGAATTGGACGAAAACTTGCGCAAAGCATTGTGAATGAATGATGGGCCCTTGGGTGATGTTGAAGCAAACGGGTTGGAGTCGTCCTTCTTCTCCTCTTCCTTGTCTCTCGGGGAGTAGGCGGCGCCGAACGGATTGTGTGTGTCGAGAGGGGAAGTCGTTTTCGGACTTGCAGGACTGGCCTTGAGACTAGATTGCGACGGCGGTGTAGATCCGGACGAGAACTTAGAGCTCAAGTTGGATATCCAGGAGTTTCGTCGTCCAATGGGCTTGGGGTCGCTCTTTCGCGAGGCCGGAGATGGCGTAGATGTCTTTGGTTCTTCTTTCTTCTCCGCTAGTTGTGGCTTTGATTCTACTTGCGCTGCGTCGCTCTGTGGGGCTTTCTTCGGTTCCGAGGACAGGGGAAGGGGCGTCGGTTTTGCCGGGCTACTGTTGGATCGATTTCTCCGGTGGGATTTGGGTGGAGATGATGCTGGCTGCTCTGTACCAACTTCGGGTACGGGCCTTTCACTAGTCGTAGTCGCCGAATTCACAGATTTTGTGCGAGATAAATGGTCTTGATTCGAGTGTCAGACGAGTGATCTCCGAGGCCTACCGTACCCCGGATTCGGAGAAATCGCTAACAAGAGGAGTCGAACATACCTTTCTGTGAATGATGAAGCCAGCTCACGTCCACAGTCTGAACGCCCTCCATATTTCAATAGCCTCGCTCGATCTGAATATTCAGAAAGACTGATTCCGCGGCAGGCGTCGAGGTTGGTCAGCGGTGTGGCGTTGTAACGGGAGTGATGAACAGGTCTAAATCGTATGACGCATTATTGGCTGTCCCCCCACTTCTTATGGATGATCGCAATACGACGATTTGAAGAGACAAATCAAGTGGACAGCACTAAACCACGCCAAACAGCAAATGGATGTGCCACAATGATGTGCTGTATGATCTGCGACCGAGGGATCCGTTGTAGACCGCTACAGGAAATGACGGCGCATGGTTGGGGGCAACACAGGATGCATAGTGAAGCAGAAAAGAAGATCTTCAGAAGAAAAGAGCCCAGGAGACTCCGGATGGGGAAGTTTAAGCATGGGAATAAGGTGACATAATAAGGTAATTGGACCGGGGGAGGCTCCACTGAGGCACGTGAGCGAGTCCCGTGTGTGCACGTGACATAGGTATTGTATGGTAATGAGGCTCTGTTCCAGGGTTTCCCAATTTATCAAGAACCTTATATCTATATTGAAGGGCTAAAATGCCATATATTTGTTGAATCAAAATAGATCTGATCTTGTGTGATTCACGTGTAAGATTCTTATTCCATTGATCGGCGCTGCTAGTGAGAAATAGCCCTTCATGGCTCAAAATTCTGCTTGTTACAGTGGATCCTACTCTCACCGATCTTCCATGTACATGCACGTGTACTACGTTGACGTTAACTTATAGCCTCTCCTTTTCGCATCTTTTTTATTCGCTTTCGGGGCTCTCGGATGAATCATATACATTCTATAAAGGTAAGGGCATGCAAACACTTATAAATCGTGGTTAATGGCGCTGACTAGATACTTGCGACAGGCATCACCCTGCTAACAATCTGAGACAACCCTGCAGGATCAGGATCCACTAATATCAGTTACATTCAGCCTTAAGATACATTTATACTCTTGTCATTTTTCTCTACCTCCTTGCTCCACATCAATCGGACTTGCCTCCCCTTTAGTATCACATCTGTAGATTCGCCAATCTTGAAGATCTAGAATTTCAGACAGATCCACAGCAACGCATCATGACTGGTAGATTGTGAATTTACTAGGATCAATTCCAAAATAGATTTGTAGGCTGCTTTATATGCCCATTTTTAGGTAGACATTGTAATACACGCTGTGTACCAGTATCGTAAGCCTATCTATAAAAGTTTTGATGAAGAGCATGCAGACACCAAGTGGAGAAGCGGACAATAGTCACGAGTAACATCAAATATATAGTATATTAAGGAGATTAATACCGGTGAAGAAAGATAGCGGAGTTGCCCAAGAGGCAAACTCGGGTACCATCAATATACGAGGCGCTGTGGAAAGTCAGCCATTGGAACAATAAGAGGACATTCAGCCATTGAGCGGGCGGTCATTGTGGTAGGCCAATCCGGAGTATGTTCGCCTCTCCGGTGGCGGGAGGGAAGCACCAGTCGCATGCGGTATGTGTGCACCCTAGTGCTTAGACTGATTAGTTAGGTGTGGGGAGCCGACGGCACGTCGTTGTTTTGAAATACAGTATCGTAAGATACTCGTAAGCTGACATCTGCATCTATATGGACTTCGATCTAGACTTGCTCATATGTAGATAGGTAAGATATTGATTTCATGGATACTCGTGGAACACTGGCTATTAGTTTATTGCAATGCTGGTCTGAAGTTGAATATCATGAATGCAAAAGCTCACGAATTATTTACTCGAAATAAAGTATCTAGCCTAAAAGAATTAGTTGGCATGGAAAGTCGTATCATAAGCTAATTGCATTGTGTTGCCACCGAAAGCAGATCATTACTTACAAACCGGTGTCGAACACACCGATTTGATAATCATTTGAACGCATATAAAAGACGGGTATCCGCGATGAAAACGCCTAAAAACGCCCCGCTAGGACCGAGTGTCCTGCCGATAATAAAGAAAACGCCTCCGAAGGGTATGCGATGAAAGCAACCGTCATCACAGCGTCAAGAAGCAGGAGGCCATTCCGCACATGGTGGGCATATCTTCTACTCCAGACCGGGGATATTCTTGAGATACTCCCAACCGTACTCCTCCTCCTTAGACTCAGGTTCCATACCCAGTGCAAAGCGGTAGGCGCGGACTTCGTTCTGCAGACCGGAGATGATCTTGGTAGGGGTGTCATCTTCCTCGCAGCGCATGCGGTAGGCGGTGCGGATAACTTCAGCACACTTGAGGAATTGGGCGTGCCAGTGATCGCGATCGAGACGGCTCTCCAGGTGGGCATCGCGCTCGGCCTGGAGAAGGTTGTTGTAGTGGCGCTTCTGAGCGAGGTAGTGCATGTTGTTGTTCTGGCAGTAGTTGCGGATCTGCTCAACCATGACTCCAACGGCGTTTTGGAATTCGATAACCATGTCCCAATTCTCCTGGCGATGGGCCTTGTGGTTTGCAGACACGGACTTCTCCTTTGCCAAGGCGCGCTCGAGTTCGGCGATGCGGGCAGCTGCTCTTGGTTAATAATTCTGAAGGTAGATGGGGGATTCAGAGGGGACAACGTACCAAGATTTTCACCGGTCTGGTCACTGGAGCGAGAGTTATCGGCGATGCCATTCTTCTGCAGACGTGTGAGCTCAATGTCGCGGGCCGAGTGTGCTCAGATTCTACTTACCATGATCTCCTCGGCGTTGGCGACGATGTTTTTGGTGACATCCCGGTTGTTCTTCAAAACATCGCTCAATTCGACGACCATCTCGTAGAGATGGTGCAGGTCCATCTGGTGACCAGCGTTCATCGGAATGCCACCCATGGCGCCGATGCCACCACCACTGATCTGAGTGGTAGAGGAAGCATGCGAAAGAGCGGGAGATGACGTCTGGCGAGGAGGGACATTGGGCACGGCATTGCTATCGGCGTAGCCAGTCGAGCCCGCAAAGATGCTAGCGTTGGGAACGTTGTTAGACATCGTAGCAGCGTTCATAGAGATGTCGGCGTTATCAAAAGCGCGGTTTAGTTCCTCGAGAGCAGGATCGTTGAGGTTGAAGGTTCGGGGAGAACCGTTATCCTCGTCGTACCAGGAGGCGTGATTCTCAACACCCAAAACCTCCGATTGAAACTTCTCAAGGTCACGTCGAGTAACGTGGGTGGAACGACGGCGATGCCCACGCGCGAAAGGCGCCTTGGAAGAGGAGGAAGAAGTGGCGCCCTCGATGGTGGCGGATGGGCTGATATCAGAATCGCTATCGATCGCGGTTTCGGAGCTCTGGTCAGAATCGCAGGTCGGGGAACAATCGACCAGCGTGTTGTGCTGGAGATTCACGCTAGTCCCAGGTGGGGCTATTCCCCCACGTGACTTGACACTTGATGGGCGTCGGCCATCGACCAACTCCCTCATCTTCTCAAAAGCATTCATTTTGTGAATGAAAATGCTCACATCTGAAACTACAAATAAATTGATCACTCTTGCCCCTCGAGTAACCGGTTTCCCAGTCTGTCGAGTGGGGCGAAGCCTATTTCTTTCTCGACCGACGGAGAACGAGTGTGTAGGTGTAATAGATCAATGACGGTGATTTCAACATGAAACGGACCCCAGAACAAGATTTACTCGATTGTTTGGCGCGTGTATTTTATACCAGAATCTAGACTGAACGCCTCTGGCTACAACTGGCACATGGTATTTCTTTGGATTTGGTATGAGGCTATATTTGTAGATCGTACGAAATATATATACAATGGGCACCGACGTCGTAACCAGGACAACGATGACAACGTACCACAAAAGAGCCATGCAGGTTTACATTAAAAAATGCTGAAGAGCTCAATTGATTATTTATCGCAATTGCAGATGAATTCATTGTATGCAACTAAGCATGGGGTATTTAGTTCGTCAAGACATGTCCATCAAGGCCTCCAATCTCTGATCAGAGCCCGGTAGCGAGGACTCGTGGGTTTCAGGGACACCGCTGCTTTGTGTCTGGTGTGAAATCCTACCTCCAACCCTTGCAACCAGCATCCGCATTTTCTCTAATTCTTGAACAAGCTCACCGTCCTTGGTGATAAGGTTGGGCTGGATATTCTTTGGGGGATCCTCAAACGGTTCAAGTAGACGCCGAAGATAGTGTAATTGATCGAGACGCTGTTGGCGTTTCTGCCGCTGACTATCAAGGCTAGCCAGGCGCTCACGGAGCTGCTGGTATCTGTACAACTGGTGTCAGGCCGGTGGACCTCCAATCGGAGCAAATTTAAATTCATTGCGGACTGACCTTGTATTCTGCTCTTCACTTGGCTCCTGGCCTTCCAGCTCGACTGGCAGCTTTGTGATGTTCCTAGGTTATGTTGGTCAGAACCTCGTTACGCTTTGTGTGGAGCCACATTGGTCTCACATCTGCCTTGACAAATCTGTAGTCTTTTCAATGCCTTGGGCGAATACCCTCCGACTGCGAGCATCCTGGTTGACCGAGGTCCAGTACAAACTTGCAATCTGTTGGGCGACGTGATGTATGGCTTGTGATGAGTAAACAACGCGGTTGTGCTGCCTGGCGGCAGCATTCACTATAGGATTGTTAGCCTCATGAACATTCCAGTGTAACAGGAATTTAAGCTCAATAAGCTCCACGGAGACTGCAATTGGTGCTCTGACCTTTGTGTAGGACATCTTCAATGACCTTGTCGTTGAGATCTCCTTCTTCGGTTTCGGCAGCATATTTGCGCCAGTCTTCTGGTAGGTCGAGACTCTCAGAAAATATGCGGACTTGAGTCCAGATAAAGGTAGACTTCAGCTCAAAGATCGTCCAAGCCGACTCCATCTCGAGGTAGGTAGAGAAACACCATTTAAGTCTCGCGCGATCTTCAGAAAGCGCGCCTTATCGATAAGACACGTCCACGTGACGTCTCCGCAAATGGGATGGACAGTTGCCATATGAGCAAGTTTATATTCTATTGAGATCTCTTTTTGAATATCTGAAGTGAAAATCCTATTCCATCCATGCACTGTACAGTGGACTGATAACGCCTCTCAAGGTGGGGAGCATACCCTCGGTCTGAAGTGCAGCGATCGCCAGTACCTCGGCAATCTGACCGTCTCCAGAGTCCAGATTGATTAAGTAGTCCAGACCCCTTCTGAACCCAATAATTCTAGGGCATTCGGCTTCTAGTGTCAATCTCAGCCTTAGGAGCTCTCGGAAATCTTGCCAATAGCACTACCGACCCTGTTGTCATTTCGATATGGCAGAGACCAAACGCCCGGTGGGCCTATTGTTCGACATTGGAGGAGTGTGTGTAAGTCTATCACTCGGCCCAAATTTCAAGAGCCCATTCACTAATGATGCTCAAGGTTGTATCGCCATTCCAAGCAATTCTAGACTATGAGATCGCCCAAAATATCCCACCAGGATGGGTCAATTTCAGCATTTCACGAACAAAGCCGAACGGGAGCTGGCATAAGCTGGAGCGGGGCGATATCAAGATGAATGCAGACTTCTTCGCGGGCTTCAATGCAGACCTGCGAAACCCAGATCTATGGAAACAATTCCACCAACAACTACAAGCGAAACAAGGCACCATTTCGACCACCATCCCTCCCTTACCAACGGTGGATGCCGAATGGCTCTTCTGGGAGATGATGCGGATATCGCGCACCCCAGACCGATATATGTATCCGGCTCTTAAGAAGATTAGAGAGTCTGGTCAGTTCTTGATGGGCGCTCTATCCAACACTGTTATATTCCCTGACGGACACGAATACAATAAAGACGTCTCTGGAGTCAAGTCGCAATTCGACTTTTTCATTTCCTCAGCGCATTCAGGCCTTCGAAAGCCTGATCCGAAGATCTATCAAGTGGCGTTACAGGAGATGGACACTCTAGCTAAGAAGCGGGGACTGCCCGGGACCAACCCCAACGATGTCGTCTTCTTCGACGACATTGGGGAGAACTTAAAGGGAGCAAAGACGGCCGGTATGCGTACAGTCAAGGTGACTCTTGGAAAGACCCAGGATGCAGTCAAGGAACTGGAGAAGCTCACTGGTCTTCAATTGCTGGAGGACCAGGCACGGCTGTGATGTATGGGGAATTTTGTGTATTGAATATTGCTAGATAACCATCTAGAATAGAACTAGTATCCCCAAAACTCTCAAAAACAGTTCTTATTGATTTTCCCGATGAATTTCTGGTGAAATAATTCTGATGTGGTGTTCCCCATACAAAAAATGCCATGTTCTCGTCGCCGACCCCAAAACCGACGGGAGATGCAGCCACGCGCTAAGCGAAAACTCGCACAAATTGGCCCCACGAAATTTTTGTTCTTCTTCCTTGACCATCCCTCGACACCCTCGACACCGTCAAAATGGTGAGTTGAATATGGCTGAAACTGCCTTGATCTTTATATCCTCTCCTTCTGGAGCCGGGTCCCTGCAAGCTGCTTCGGCGTGATTTCTGAAGCGTTAATTGCTGACTCGTGATGTCTTCTACAGCCTTTCACCAAGACTGTCAAGAACGACGCCTACTTCAGGTGAGTTATCCCAATATGATCTGTTCCATTGCAAGTTACTAATATTTCTTCAGTCGCTACCAGACTAAGTACCGCCGTCGCCGTGAGGGTAAGACCGACTACTATGCTCGCAAGCGCCTGATCACCCAGGCCAAGAACAAGTACAATGCGCCCAAGTACCGCATGGTCGTTCGCTTCACCAACCGCGACATCGTTACCCAGATCGTCTACTCTGAGATCTCCGGTGACAAGGTCCTCGCCGCTGCCTACGCTCACGAGCTCCCCCGCTACGGCATTGACCAGGGTCTGACCAACTGGGCTGCCGCCTACGCCACCGGTCTTCTCCTTGCCCGCCGTGTCCTGAAGAAGCTCAACCTTGACGAGACTTTCAAGGGTGTCGAGGAGGCTGACGGTGAGCACACCCTCACCGAGGCCGTCGAGACTGAGGATGGTGAGCGCCGCCCCTTCAAGGCCTTCCTTGATGTCGGTCTCGTCCGCACCTCCACCGGTAACCGTGTCTTCGCCGCCATGAAGGGTGCCTCCGACGGTGGTATCTTCATCCCCCACTCCGACCGCCGTTTCCCCGGTTACGACATTGAGGACGAGTCCCTCGATGCCGAGACCCTCAAGAACTACATTGTCGGTGGCCACGTCTCCGAGTACATGGAGAACCTTGCCGATGAGGACGAGGAGCGCTACAAGTCCCAGTTCGTCAAGTACATTGAGAACGAGATCGACGCTGGTGACCTCGAGGAGATCTACACCGATGCCCACAAGGCCATCCGTGAGGACCCCTTCAAGGCTGATGAGAACGCTGGCCCCAAGAAGTCCAAGGCCGAGTGGAAGGCCGAGTCCAAGAAGTACCAGGTCCAGAAGCTCACCCACGCCCAGCGCAAGGCCCGTGTCGAGCAGAAGATCAAGGACCTCTCCCAGTAAGAGGATCGCTTCTTATCTTTCTCAAAAGTTCCACCAAAATTCAAGAGGGAATTGGCTACTGCCGGCGTTTTTTTCGATGTGATGTAGTTTGACGGATCATGGACATACCACTGTTTTATTTTGTACGAGGGTTTTCTGGGAGCAATTAGTTCGGTGTTCATTCAAGGCAATTTCTTTACTCAGTTCTAACTGCTCCCGTCAATGTCCATCAGTCTTGTTCCCTCATGTGCTTCCTTGCATCTGCTTGTAGATGGGACCCGTAGTCGTAAATCCTCAACGCTCCGTATTACAACCATTTAGTAAAGACAAGCCATTGATAAATATCAGTTAAACCGACTCGACAGACTCGAAATACTCGACTAGTGCAAGAATAAACATATCGTGAACCAAAATGCCCCACCCACGATCCCTGCACTGCCAGCACAGAGTACCTGATGACCAGTCCAGCAGAGTAACAAGAATATCTAGCGTCTCAATAGTGTACTATCCTCACACCATCCAGGGAGGTGACAATCAAATAAAATTAATACAATCGTACCCATGTTCATTATTAATATTCCGGGCGACGCTAAAAGAAAGAGAATTGGATGATCCATCCTCTCCGCCTATAATCCCAACAACCAACCAACCCAATGAAGAGATATCAGCAACACACGCACGCAAGCTGGCACAAAGCCTACGCAGACAACCACGACTGCCCATGGTGTCTCGAGAACCCAGCCTTACGCGACAATGCCGGGCCCTCAAGCCGACCGCAGTCCAAGCTGCGCACTCGGGTCCCAACTCGCAATGGGCACAGCAGGATGGGAACTGTGTCGCCTAGCCCTTCTGTTCATACCCAGCAGCAGCCTGTGAAATATGAGCAAGAGCATGAACATCAGTATGAACAAGAGCACTATGGTCAGCATTCACTCCCCGAGGATCAAGTCGCCGATTCTCAGGTTGAAAGCCATCACACCGCCGACTCTGCCGATGTTGATACAGCGCATGTTGAGAATGACGTCGCGTCCCATGACGTGGAAGACGCTAGTCATGTTCATGATCAGGAGCAGAGCTTAAACGAAGCTGTGGATGATAGTGCTGTTGAGGCAGACCGCCAGTTCTCCCCGGAGATATCCGATGATCGGACTTCTGCGCAATGAATGCTTGTTCGATCGTGAGTGTCAATTCGTACATCGATGGATGGCCTTATTGCCGCATCATTTAATTATCCGCTAACATGTTTGCGATAGTCCCATGGCCCGGTGAAGTACTTCCGATGAAGTCATGCGGCTAGCGGTTGCGAGAATGAGACCATGTTCTTTCGATGAGTTGAACCGATGAGATTGGTGATATTGAATATGTCGAATACTAGCCACATATATTATAAATGATTGAATAAGGTTGTGATCGTTAAATTCATGTATTAAATAAGGGAGTCTTTAGGCAAAGCGAGGAGTTCACATGTCCAATACAGCCAGGCTATAATCCTTCCACACCTGCACCCTTGTATAATTTATATGATTATCCCAACAGGGTTAAAAGTGTACAAGAAAGACATGAAAGAGAGACCAGAATAGGGCGAAACCAATATGTGAAACATTTTACTCACTTTTGAGGCTTTCGGGTGTACTGTCCAATGATTCGCCCGTGCACTGTGTATGCACTCGTGACTGCGGTCGTATTGTTCCCAATAAATAAAAGACAATAAAGGCAGAAAGAAACAAAAGATCAGGGCCAATCAGAGAGGTAACCTTGAACTGGACTGGTTATCGAAGGTGAGCAGAAACGCTTCTTATAGTTCTTTCGCACGCGTGTTATGGTAGTTGCGCCACCACCAATGCGCGCTGTGGTGTCGTCTGTCGAGACCTCGACAATCTTCATTCGGCCAAGGTCGATTGTGATATCAGCCACAGAGTTCGAGTCTTCGCGGTGTCTTGAATGGCAACCACCTTTAACGGCAAAGCTTCACCAGTGATTGACGAGAATACCAAACACACAGGATGTTTCATTTGGGCTGGAGGGCTCAACACGATAAGCTGGGCGAAACTCTTGCTGCTTGGTATCCCAAATGGTGAAATTTTGATCCTTGTCGGGATAATGGAAAGCAGAGCCAAAGGTGGCAAAGAGCTGGGTACACAGCATGACAGCGTTAGAACAGAAGAGATTGAAAGAGGGTCAGAAAGTACCTACCAATTGTTGGCAGCCAGCAGAGGCTGTTTCACCCAATTAACTGCTCTTCTCCTTCGCACACAATGCATTGTTTGAAGAAAGCAGGGAGCCCACGAGCAAGACTCTGCGTAGCATAATAGCTCAATTGGAGTTGATAAAGAACATAGGATTGGAAATACCGAAAGGATTGTTGTTTCTATAATGAGTGTGGGGGACTATTTAATCCAAGGATCAAGTGGCGAGCTGTATATTCTTGAGAAGATTCGCCAAGTAAGCGCGAAGAAGAGAATATTCGTTAGCAATCCAATTTTCGGAACAAGCCAACTGATGTCATGCAAACCCATGAAGCACTCAGAGTACAGCAATAACCGTCAACAACCCCAGGGTTACAGCAGAAGAGCATGATACCCGTCGGCCGACGAAGGATCCATAACAATTATCGGCAGACCTTGTGCACTTGACTGGCAATATCGGCTGTTCTTTAGATCCTGACTTGCCAGCTTCAGATAGGGGTTCTCAAACCTTGCCAGGGGGAGATCGAGTTGATGCAAGGATACTCTTTTGGATATGCTCGCCCTGGCGGGGGAAACTCTCTGTTAGAGCTGTACGGGGTTAGGTTTAGATCTCGATCCCAGCTGTTCTTCACGATTGACACAAATTGCACAGCTCATGGGTGAGAATCTGAAGCACCAGGCTCCAGATCCCACACACACACACACAATGCCTCTGCATCCACCAACACTGCGACTATCTTTAGATCTTTGTGAAGATTGCCCCAGGAAGCAGTCGCAAGAGAGCTGATTGCATTCTTCTTTTCGAAGGCCAACTGGTATTTTGCTGAGCTCGAAAAGCATTACTTTGAGAAGCTTTACACTTACTGGAGTACCTTCAGCCGTCACATGCCAAATGAGCAACCTGGAAGATTGCCACCCGATCTTGTCCATTTCTCAGCATTGATGATCCAGGTTCTTGCCGTTGCTTTGCAGTTTGCTCCATGAGACTTGCCTTATTTCCAGTGATTAGAGATTGACATTCTCGCTGCGCGTGACCGTCTACCTGGTGATTTCTCGGAGAGGGGAGTCGCGATTTTTCGCATTATGGAAACAGATGGATCTATGTTAACTACTGTGCAAAGTGATTTGATGAGGATATTAGGGCTCAAGATCTCGAGACGAGGGAGAGAAGCATGACACGTACTAGGTTGCAATCAGGCGAGACTCAATGGTAGTTCGTAAAAGTGCTCCTTAACAGTCATTTAACAGGATGACTCAAAATCTGCGGCTCCACAAACATTCCAAACAATCACAATCTCCATTAGAAGATACTCTCAATCAATTGTGGGACGACGAGTACAAACGCAGGCTATGCATTCAATTGTACTGGTGGGACACTTTAAGCTTCTCAAGCTATGCACTCCTTGTTTAGACAACACACGCTGACTGAATCAGCTATATGGCGTTCGTTTTGGGGTGACCTCGAACAATCAATAGCAGTGATTGTAGGATTCTGCCACCACTGGACCGCGATATACTGGCAGACCCATCAACAACAGTTCCAATAGCTCTATTTCCACATGAACCGCCCTCATCCTTTACATCACATCTTTTTCAGTACACAATCTGTCAACAGATCCATGAAGCCATGGCATTAAGTGCCCGCAAACAATACCCCGAGAATTACAGCTTGGCTGAGACTCTTCACCGTGTTATTGCTTTGCTGAGCGCCTTGCCACCAATACATCAACCTGTGAACCCGGAAACATCCTGGAACTTAACTCATATCTAAATCCCCAAACAGCGTCAGCAAATAGCAACCGCTACTCACTCAGTTGAAATGGCCATGCACAGACCATATTCAAGAATAAGCGTGGCAAGTCGCAACGCTGCTCTTGAAGCGGCATTGGCCATGTTGGATGCGCAAGAAATCCTTTTCAATCCCATGGCCACGCGGTATTATAGCATCTACGTACTCTCCGTCACTATCCTCGAATACCCACCCTCAGACCCCGTTGAAGCACATGGAATTCAACACACATAAGAAAAGGCCATACATCGCCTCGAGTTGGCACAGGACAAGGTGTCTCTCGCAAAGTCCGGGTTGCACATTTTGAAGCTTTGCCACTCCAGAATGCAACCTATGCCACAGTTTCAGTAGTGCACGCCCAGAAATACTATTCCACAGCCCCCACAAATACCGGACAGCCTTTCTCCGGGAGAGCCACAGATCGTTCATGCGCCAAGCCAATATTTGTTCCCGGAATCCGGCGTCCGGGCAGAACTTGGGACCGGTGGAGCTGACACTGCAGGTCTGTTTGACGATATTACGGCATCGAATTTTGACATCGAATCCTGGGTCCAACAGATGAACGAAATGAATGGATTTGTTTGCTTTTCCAACTTGAAACCATTCAAAATATATCTGCAATCCCCTTACAAACGTTGAATTAACGTACCTTCCAAAGTCAATGGCTAGATATAGTATAATAAGCTAGGGATTCAGTTAACATGGTTAAACCATTGATATGACGAACTTATAGGACCTGTGAGATACAGAAGGAAGCGTACGTATGTAGACCGGGATACTGAACAATTATTTGTTTTTGAAGAGGTAATAAGTGCAACGCCCGAAACTAAAGACAGAAATAGAATACGAATATTCCCACTAGCTACCTCAATTTGATTCAAGATGTGTCACAGGTGGAGATTTTGGGTTACCCGTGGGGTGAAGAGATCGCAAACCCAAGCCACGCTGGCGTGATCCTCACAGATCGGATCTTGGCCCGCAAAGGTGCTCGATCCGTGACAATACAAGGCGGTGATCTTTTCCTTTGTTCTACTGCAGACTGCTTATCATTATTAGTATTTTCTCTTTAGGGGCTACTAACAGAAGTGCTCACTTGTTTTGCCTTGGCAGGATTTCGACACCAGAATACGAAATAGTACTTCACATATCTATCATATCGAGGGACATGTCGACATTGATGAAATTCGACGCGTTTGACTTCCTAATGTATAATATAAATACAAAGGTGATAATCATTTACGAGAGGACCCCCTGGGTAGAACAGGAGGCTTCACTTCGGTTGTGTGCCAAGAGCCTCGAGTCGTGTCTCCACCCACGAGGGTGATACATCACCGTAGATCTTTTCGTCCTTTCACGCATAGCTCTACATATCGATCAGCGGTGGGAAAGTGCACTTACCTTTTTTGGAATTGAACTGCAGGTACTAGTGGGATCGGGCATTGCAGCTCGCATGGTTGAGACAATATTGATGCCCTTGCAGTTCTGTCCAAGAACTCTCATGAGAGCCATGCTGAATCTGACGCTGATGTCTTCGAAGAGAAACATTATACCGCGTAATCACTTTTGCTGATTGCATGAATATACGTTTAAATATTTTCGTTCCAAATCATGCTAATGTCAGGTGGACCGCCATGTTTCGTAATCAAATTGAGGCTGAGAAACCAGGCTGAACAACAATTCAAGTCTTACTGAAATAAGTTGTCGAGAAAAGCAAGGATCTAATGCATGATGTCCCTGCTTCAGGGGACCAAAGCCCTACGCATGAACAATGGAGACCAGCTGAATGGATCCTATGGTGCGGCGAGAAGCGGTGCTCTGTACTTACAGAAAACAATGCAGTGGAGAAATGTGATCGATTATCATGTATACAGTACTGTTTAGTTGAACCAGTGGCAACACTGAGTGGGGGCTGTGATAATCCTGAGTGGCTCAATGAAAAGATGAACACTGACGGGAAATTTTGCAACGTTTCCATAAATCTCTCCGGGATCTCCTTTCTAGCAAATATCTCAATTGCTCTTCAATGACACCGAGGAATATCGACATCTATACTTTTCTTTGATTAGAAGCTAAGCCCCTCGGCTTATTACACGTTCCGACATCGGTTCTTACTTTATAATGGCGTCCAATCTATACGATTTCAAAAGAACAATTGTAAGCTGCAAGAGCGGTGTAACCTTGAAGAGAATCAGTGACTGACGACAGAGCAGCTACAAACTGTACCAGACCATGACCTGCCACCCGAAGAAGTTGGGAAGCCAGAGCCTTCAGCAGAGAAGCGTGGACCTGGAAAGCTATGGGCTCTTATGAATGCCAAAAGGCTACAAGTAGGTTTGCGAGGACTTCAAGCATTGGATACAGGAACTAACTGCTCATGTATCAGATCTGGAATGTGACCGTCTCATTCGTCTCTCGCCTGTCGATGCTGGATCAGTTCATAACGGATCAATTCATGACGTTTGCACCAAAAATCACCATTGCATGGGCTCCAAGCTTTTTGTGGCGTTTTAGCCGGATTTTAGGGCTGGTGCCGGTCAAGCCTACGCGCCACCTGACAGGCTCAGGAGATATAAAGCTCCTCGAGCTTGAACTCATAGCCAAATGGAACAATCAAAGTACGACCAATGGAGCTGACACATGCATCCACACCTTGATCGAGCAACAATGTGCGAAGCAACCAACAGTGGAGGCAGTTTTCACCCAACATGGCTCCCTAACCTATGCTGAGCTGAACCAACTATCAAACGAGCTTGCAGGCAAACTCCGGGCCCTGGGGGTTCAGCCAGAAACTATCGTCCCAATATGTTTTGAGAAATCCTCATGGGCAATCGTCGCTATTCTGGCGGTGCTAAAAGCTGGCGGGGCATTTGTGCTTTTAGACCCATCCCACCCCAAATCACGCCTGTCCGACATCTGCTCAGACGTCCAAGCCTCACTAATCGTGACATCGTCTTTGAACCACAGCATAAGCAGCCAAGCATGCCCACATGCGCAAATCATGGTCATCCCTGAAGACAAAATGAGCAAGGAAGTGACCAGTCCGTCATTACCACACTATATGGCTTCCCTCGTGCCCGACCCGCCAAGCCCCGACAACGCTGCCTACATAGCTTACACCTCCGGCTCGACAGGAAGACCTAAAGGAATCATCGTGGAGCATAGATCCTTTGTGTCAAGCGCCATAGCTCATCGTGATGTTCAGAACCTAAACTCTTCCAGCCGCGTCCTTCAATTTGCTTCGTTTGGGTTTGACATAAGCATTCAGGAGATGTTGACACCTCTCATCGTGGGTGGAACTGTATGCATCCCATCTGACACACAACGTCTGGATAATCTTGCAACTGTCATTCGGCAGCTGAAGGCCAACTGGCTAGAACTTACTCCTTCAGTGGCCAGGCTGCTCTCTCCGAAGACGGTACCGGATGTCAAGACCCTGATTCTCGGCGGAGAATCTATGCATGCGGATGATGTACTGAGATGGAATGGCCATCTTCATCTCCTTGTTGCGTACGGACCAGCCGAGTGCAGTGTTGTCAGCACAGTACAGCCTCATGTTGATGTATCTGACTTGTACAATATTGGGCGATCTCATGGAGGACACTGTTGGGTCGTGAATCCTAACAACCACGATCAGTTGCAACCTCTTGGGTCGGTAGGAGAGCTTCTCATCAGTGGCCCCATTGTTGCACGAGGTTATAGAAATCGGCCGGAGCAGCAATCGTTCATAAAGAGCCCACGATGGGCCGCTTGGTTTGGCGTTTCTCCAAGGACTCGGTTCTACAAGACGGGCGACCTAGTCAAGTACAAAATCGAGAATGGTACTCTTCGCTTCATCGGCCGCAAAGACCTCCAGGTGAAGGTACATGGTCAGCGCATCGAATTGCAGGAAATTGAGCATTGCGCGCAAATTTGTAGTCCCGGTACCATATTTGTCGCCGATGTCATCCGCACGAACAATAAACAGCTACTCACACTGTTTGTCCAAACAGGAGACAATCAGTCAAAAGTCTCCATGTCAGATTTACAAGCCTGGCTTTCAGACAGGTTGGCTCCTTTCATGGTTCCCACGATATACCTTCCATGGAAGCAGTTCCCTCTCACTGCAACAGGAAAGCTGGACAGAAGAGCCTTGCTAGAGCAAGCATCTATCGAAATAGCCAAGCCCTCAATCCCAACTCAAGATAGCTCTCTGGAAGGTGAATCTAACACGGAGCTGGTGGCTATGCTGTGCGACCTGTTCTTGGAAGTTTTGACTTTGCCCAACGATCAAGCAGTCACCCATAGTCGGTTTTATGCCCTTGGTGGAAATTCTCTGCTCGCTATCGAGCTTGTGGCCAAAGCACGGGAACGGGGTATACATTTCTCTGTCGTGGAAATCTTGCTACACCAGACGCCAGCACGCTTGGCTCTAGTTTCTGGAAAGTACGAAGCTGAAAACGCTATTCCAACATTCAAATTGGTAGACGACCTGCCCACTGCTATGGAAGATGCGGCTTCTCAATGCCAAGTGCCCATGACCTTCATCGAGGATATGTACCCGTGTACCCCATTGCAAGAAGGCTTGGTCTCAATGTCTAGCAAGCAATCAGGTCCTCCCGTCGGGAACTATTCCTTTCGCTTGCCTAAGATGGTCGATTTATGCCGGCTGGAAGCCGCCTGGAGGAAGGTTGTGATGGCTAATCCCATCTACCGAACTCGCATCATACAGCTTGGAACTGGGCGCTTGCTTCAGGTTGTCCTCAAGGAGCCGCATGATGGGAAATGTGATTCTATGTCTCTCTCTGCTGAGATACTCGGTAACCAGCTGTGCTCATTCAGCGTGATTGAGCACGACGACCAGGCCGACTGCCCATTATTTGTGGCAAGACTTCATCATGCTTTGTTTGATGGTTGGTCTTATTCACTGCTCCTCAAGGACATTGCCGCTGAATACAATTCTGCCCCTGAAGCTCCCCGTACCTTTTTCAATCAATTCGCCGCATACACATCGCAGCTCAATGCTGGATCGTGCAAGGAGTTCTGGTCCATCGAGTTTCAGGACCTTCAGGCTTCTATCTTTCCCACTCGTCCGCCCGCATGGATGGGCCCAAGTCTGCTTTCATCAAAGATCCGTCGAATGGCTCTTTCGAATACGAATGCTGATGCAGATGGAAGTACCCTGGCCAACAAGATCCGTCTGGCCTGGGCAGTCGTCATGTCATCACAAACCAACTCCAATGATGTTGTTTTTGGAACAACTGTTTCGGGGCGAACTGCCCCGGTCGATGGGATAGAGAGAATGGCCGGGCCTACTATTGCATCCTATCCTTTACGTATCCGTTTGCAACCTCACATGTCCATCCAAGAGATGTTAAGTGAAATGCAGGCTCATGAGTCTCGAATTATTCCTTTCGAACATACTGGTCTTCAGCATATTTGCCGCGCTAGTTCGGAGGCAGCCATGGCCTGTGACTTTCAAACAATGCTCGTTATACAGCCGAGATCCTTTTTGGCCGACGGGGACTTGTTTGAGGACTCTCCGCAAAATCAGGAGCAGCAACGAAAGTTCAATTCTCACTTTCTCACGCTCGTGCCCCAGTTGGAAAGAGACACGGTTGACATTGAAGCTGTCTATGATGGGTCGGTACTGACTTCATGGGATGTTGAAAGTCTGTTAAATCAGTTTGAATCTATCCTGGGCCAGATAGTATGCGAACCACGTACCAGAATTGATTGTATGCGGTTGCACAGTGAATCAGACTCCCGACAGTTGCTGATATGGAATGAGAGACCTCCAACAGAGAAGACCGCTTTGTGTCCAATCCATGAAATAATTGCTGATGTGGCACGCCAGCAACCAGGTGTCGAGGCCGTCTGTGCTTGGGACGGCCAGTTGACCTATTGCGAGCTTTATGAGCTATCGCTCTCGCTGGCAAATCATCTCCAAACCATGCAGAGTGCCAGCACTGGGAGTGTAGTTGGCTTACTTATGGAGAAAACAAAATGGTTCCCCGTCGCCGTACTGGGAATCATGATATCGGGTGCGGCATTTGTCCTTTTGGATCCAGCATTCCCGACTCAGCGATTGCAGTATATACTGCAGACCAGCAACGCTAGCATCGTCATATGCTCCTCAAAGACACATGCCCGATGCGTCGAAATTGCTGAGCATGCTGTACTGCTGAAGCAGGACGCACTCTCCATTCAAAAACAGCGCAACTTCTGGCATCAACCCTTGGTTGCTGCTAACGACGTCATGTATGTAGCCTTCACTTCGGGCTCGACAGGAACACCAAAAGGCGCAATCATCGAGCATGGTATGGCCCATTCGATGCTTAAAGCCTACCAGTCATTGTGGTCGATGAAATCAACAACCCGGTCCCTGTGGTTCTCGTCTCCAGCTTTTGATGCCACCATTCTCGAGGTTCCTCTGATGTTAGCAGCAGGAGGGTGTCTCTGTATTCCTTCGGACGAACAGCGGGTTAATGACCTCGAAGGGGTTATGGCAGCTATGAGAGTGAATTGGACCGTGTTGACTCCATCTGTGGCCCGAAATCTCTCGCCATTGGAGCTTCCGGCCCTTCGTACTCTGATTCTCGCCGGCGAGTCATCTTTACCATCGGATCTACAGATGTGGTTTCCACATGTCAAACTGCATGTGTCATATGGTCCGGCTGAATGCTCTATCGCTGCAACAAATCGTCGTGTGAGGTCCCTGGACGTGGAAGCAACCAATATCGGCCAAGCTCCCGTGGCAAGCTGTTGGATTGTCAACCCTGAGAACCACAACCAGCTTCAGCCACTCGGAGCAGTCGGAGAGCTAGTTATTGGAGGACCCACCGTGGGAAGAGGATATCTGAACCGACCAAAAGAAAATGCTGCTGCCTTTGTGCAGAGCCCGTCCTGGTTAACAGATTTCCCTTCCCTTCGCAGCATCAAGTTGTATAAGTCTGGGGACTTGGCACGCTTCAACCAGGATGGAAGTCTTTCTTACATCGGCAGAAAAGATACCCAGGTCAAGATCAATGGACAACGCATTGAATTGCAAGAGATTGAGCAGTGTGCAAAACTGTCCCTAACCGAGATTGAAGCCGTCGCAGAAGTTGTTCCTCTTCAGCACAACCTGGGATCCAAGCTTGTTTTGTTCATTTGTTTGTTAGCTGGAGACATCAAACTGTCGCTCGCTGAGAAACAGGTTGGCATCTTTATGCCTCCGACCAACGAAATCATGGTCCAAATTGAGCACCTGCAAAAGCACCTACGGCAGTCCTTGGCGCCCTTCATGGTTCCCTGGCTTGTGGTTCCTCTCCGGTATATTCCAATTAGCCCGACTGGGAAGACAGACCGGAAGCTCCTCAAGGAGCAAGCCCATAAACTAGAAAGGAAGGAACTAGATGTATATCTTGGATCTGGCGCTCCAAAGCGTCGGGCTACCACAAAAACTGAGATTCAAATGCAGCAAATTTTCTCCCAGGTCCTCAGTCTGCCAGAGGATGCCATCGGCATTGATGATAATTTCTTTGCCATGGGCGGTGACTCGATCTCTGCGATGCAAATATTGACACTGGCGCGAAAGGCGAACCTCATCTTGACTATGCCGGAGTTCCTTGTTCAGAATACCATCGCGCTCTTTTGTGAGAATGCCCAGTGTCACGAAGAGGATACTTCTTTAAATGACCCGGAGGTCATTGACGATGGCGTCCCATTCAAACTGAGTCCAATCCAATCCATGGTGTTTTCTTCTGTCGCTCTTACGGAAAAACGATTCAACCAGAGCTTTTTGGTGCGTGTCAAAAAGACAGTCGACCAAACTGAATGGAACCGAGTGCTGCATGAGATTGTTCGGCATCACGGAATGCTCCGGGCCCGGCTAATTATTGAAAGCAACGGTGAATTACGAATGAAATATGAGTCTGATATCGAAGGATCTCTCAGGATTTCAAGGCATCATTTGACACGAATCGAAGAAGTGTCTGACATTGCGGAACATTCTCAGGCAAGCCTGAACCTGCAAAAGGGTCCTATATTCTCTTTCGACCTCATCCACGTTCCAGGAGAAGATGTTCATGCACTTTTCATGGCTCATCACATGGTGGTGGATTTGGTATCTTGGCGAATTATTCTTGCCAACGTTGAAGAGCTTCTTCAAGGTCGAGATCTGCCCATACAGGGGCAAGTCTCATTCGCAAGATGGGCTCAGTTGCAAACGACTGAAAGCCAGATGTACACAGCTTCAGCTGAGGTGCTTCCCTTTGAAGTGCGCCCTGCCGACTACGCCTATTGGCAACTGTTACCTGAGCAGAACAAATTTGGAGATTGTCAGTTTCAGGAATTCACGATAGATGAGGCCACCACTTCGCAGTTACTTGGCCAGGCAAATGTGGCATGGGACTCTCAGCCACAGGATATCTTCCAGGCAGCTTTGCTGGATTCTTGGAGAAAAGTGTTCACCGACCACAAGATGCCAACAATCTTCACCGAGGGCCATGGTAGAGAGGCTGGTAAGCATGGCATCGACCCCTCCCAAACGGTGGGTTGGTTTACGACCCTGCGGCCTTGCACAATTGGCGATGAATCGGACTCCCTTGGTCTGCGAGATATGGTTCGTTCTGTGAAAGACACTTGTCGCAGCCTTCCAGGAAATGGGCTGCCCTATTTCAACTCCCGATTCCTGAATCCTGGTCTTCGATCCGAGTTTGCTGATCATGGACCAATGGAGATCTTGTTGAACTATAGTGGACGCTATCAACAGCTGGAACGGTCAGACGCAGCTTTCTCGCAGGCTTCCTGGCAGCTCGACGAGAAGATGGACGTTGGTGCAGATATGCCTCGGCTGGCTCTGTTCGATGTTGTCATAGATGTCCGCGATGGATGCCTACATGTGTCGGTCTGGTATAGCCGATTCACTCATCGCAAATCTGCAATTTCTAGCTGGATCAAACAGTACCAGCAATCTTTATATGATTCTGCGATGGTGTTGAGTGAAATCGATAGCCGCCTGACCCTTAGTGACGTCCCGCTTGTGTCCTTCAGTTACAATGAACTGGACACAATACAAGAGAAACTTCGATCAGATCTGTCTTTGTCATCAAATACATTGGTTGAGAACATACATCCCTGCTCTGATGCTCATTGTGGTCTCATTGCCGGGATTACTGGAACTGCGGCTCACCATCGTGTTCGAGCTATATTTGAAATTACAGCACCAGGACGTTTGATTGAGGCCGCGCAAATTGCAGAAGCCTGGCAGGAACTGACTCGACGCCATGCGACCCTGCGAAGCGTTCTCCTGGATTACCCTGGCAAGGCGGACAAGTTTCTCAATATTGTCCTCAAGTCACCTCCAATCGATATCACTACCCTGCCTCCCCTAGCTCCTTGTTATTCTTCCAATTCCTCGCCAAGTGCTTTGCAACAGCTTAGAAAAGTTGCACCTACTCTTTCCTGGGACACATCTCCCGCCCAGCAGCTTGCTATCTGCCAAGCTTCCAAGGATGGAACACTCTTCAAGCTTGAGTTTGGCAAAGCTTTCATTGATGCAACCTCCATGGCTATCTTGGTGGAAGAGCTTGCCTCTATGATAGCCGGACATCCCTTGTCCCCTAAGAAGGCTCCTTCCTATAGCTCGTACATCTCTTCCTTGCAAACTCAGGACAATTCGGAGACCATGCAATACTGGACTAAAACACTTTCTATCCATCCGCCATGTCTGTTCCCGTGCATTCAGAAGGATACCCCTCATCCAAGTCATTTGCTCAGCAAGAAGGCCATCGTCCAGAACAAAGATAGCTTAGATCTTTTCTGGCGAACGCATCAACTCACCTTGACCAACATCTTCCAAGTGGCCTGGGGCTTGGTCCTGCGGCACTATACCACCTCCAATGAGGTCAGCTTTGGTACCATTCTGTCTGGCCGCGATCTTCCGTTGCCAGATATAATGCAATTGGTTGGCTCGTGTTTCAATGTTCTACCATGTTGTCTTCGATTGGACCCCTCTCGGGCGCTGTTGGATGTCTTCCAAGAAAACCAACGGCAGATGCATCAGCGTGCCAATTTTCAACACTGCTCACTCCCTGAAATTATCCGCAGCGCAGGGCATGAAGCTGGGAGATTCTTTAATACCTGTCTTACCGTGCAACCCGTGCCGGACGCTGATCTCGAAGCCACAAATGATCAAGAAGAGATCAAGATCAGGCTAGTGGAGGTTCATGATCCTACTGAGGTATGCTTTCTTTCTCTGATCCCTAATCACTCCCTTTTTTGTTCTTGCTCAAAAACTGATCTTTTTGCCAGTACGATATATGTATCGCAGTTCTGCTATCACCTTCACAGATCGAGATCGATTTCCGGTATTGGGATTCCATCTGCACTGCGGAGCAAGCAAGCGAAATTGTTGCCTTGCTTTCTAACACTTTAGCTCAGATCACTCGATCAGCCGAGGAAATCGTTGGATCGGTCTCGATGGAGCTTTGCCCCTAGTTATGTTGCTATGTACTCTCATTAACTGGTCGTTTGTCGTATTATGGTGTTCAGAAAACACTGCTCTTTTTGTCGTATACTTTTTGTATATGTAAACCCTGGAATGGGGAGCTATTTGACTTTACTAAATCATTCTGTCAAGTACAACAATCCTGACCTTATGTAGAGCATGAAGAAGAAGAAGATAGTTATGCTGGGTAGTCGTGAGGAGCAGGCTACTATGATCTAGTATAGAGATAATGTACGGATACGAACGACCACAGTTGGAACAACTAATTCTACACGCAATAATCATCTGTGACGGAGCAAATACCTTGGCACAGAACTAGACCATGGACCCAGGAAAGAAAGAAAGAAAGAAAAAAAGAAAGAAAAAAAGAAAGAAAAAAAGAAAAAGCAATAAATCTGCATTCCGACCGGAGAGCGATAAGTCGAAGTTCACTTGTGATACGTCCATGGTGGAAGCCCAAGATGACAATTCCCCCTGCATGTTTACTGTACCCGAGCAAGTTTTTCCCAAACTAATGAATCTACTGTGCAGCAACAGCTTACAGTCCAATGCAGTACGCCACCAAAACTATTGTAATTATTACTGTCAGTTACGTGATCTTGACAGGTCATTGTGATCTGCAAGTAGTAGGCTGATACATACCTGACGGCGACATTTTAATACATCGCTCTTAACATTTTTATTGTAAAGAACCTGCTCAGGTATAGTACATTCCACACAGTGATACTATACATATGGAGCTCCACCCCCTTACAGGCAGGGAATAGTATAAATATGTCTCCTGGAGATCGGTTCTGATCAGATTCGGAGTATTATATGAGCTTTGAACATCTCACAATCATTTCTCACAACGTCACAAGCTTCGGTACAAACGTCCCCATGACAGTCTCCTCTGCAGCCCAGTCTCTCGAGGCAGCCACTCCAGGGCCCAACAAAGCCCATGATACGCCATATCACACGCTCAGCAAGTCCATGCCCTTTGCGAACTTGGATCAATACAAGTACTGGCATGCCGTGGGCCCGATGCTGGGGAAGATGCTTTCCAACGGTGACTACAGTATTCACAAGCAATTTGAATATCTGTGCATGTTTGCCCATGTCATTGTTCCCAGACTGGGGCCCTTTCCAGGCGAAAAAGACATATACAAATGTCTGCTTGGGGGAACTGGGTCCGTTGAACTCAGCCAAAATGTCCAGAGACGTGGCCTTACAGCGCGTGTTGCATTTGAACCCACAAGCTTCATCGCCAGCACTGGAGCAGATCCGTTTAATAGGCTCACAGTGCACGCCACTCTGGCAGAGCTAAGGACACTTGGATCTGCAAATGTTGACATGGAACTCCATCAACAGCTCATCAGTGAGCTGACCTTGACAGACCGAGAGGAGAGACTCATGACTATTGAACAGATCTCCAACACTGCGTGGAAGACACAAGTACTCCTTGCTTTGGACTTGAGTACAACAGGCATTACTGTCAAGGAGTATCTTTATCCTGGACTCAAGGCATCCTTAACAGGACGAAGTGTGGCTGATCTTTGCTTCTCTGCTATCAGAAAAGTGGACAAGCAAGGGCTCTTTGATGCTCCCTGTAGGGCTATTGAGCATCATCTGCAAGAGCAGGGCCACAAAGACCTCTACTTTTTGTCCTGCGATCTCATTGATCCAGCAAAGACCAGGTTCAAGGTATACATGAGCGAGCTAGACATGAGACTAGCAAAGCTCGAGGAGCACTGGACAATGGGTGGAGCTCTCATTGGTGACGAGATAACGCTTGGCCTGCAAATGCTGCGTGAGCTGTGGGTGGACTTTGGCATTATTGAGGGCATGCGGACGGAACCTGAGCGGCCAATTCTTCCAGGAGATCCCCAAACAATCGTTCCATACATCATGAACTACGAAATAAACCCCGGCGAGCCATTGCCGACGCCGAAGTTCTATTTCCCCTTGGTTGGGATTTCCGAGCTGAAGATCGCCGATGTCCTCACTACTTTCTTTGAACGCTACGACATGCCCGAGCAGGCTGCAGTATATCGGGAGAATCTGCAAACATACTAGTAAGTCTATCCCCCACCACTACCTACAGGTGTCGGTTGCTGATCTGAATCATTTGAATAAAGTCCCAGCACAAATTTGGCTGTTGCAACTGACCACCAGGCGTGGCTATCATTCTCCTACACAAAGAAGAAGGGGCCATACCTCACCATGTACTATCACTAGCCAAGGGCACATTGACATCCGGTGAGCTCTCTCATAGAACTTGAGGCTATATGCTAGCAGGGCCTTTCTTGTCGGCGATGAAGACGAATGAATTTGGAACTTTATTGAGGTAATCTGAGGCTTTTCAGCTGGGGCCAATGCAGCACAACATTGATTTGGTGGCATGGGTCGATCCCAAAGTGATATTCGAGACTAGGAATAGTGGAAATTTTCAAAATCCAATTCTCCCCGGAACAGTTCCAAAAATATGAGTCCTTTTTTGCGGTATCAGGCCCGTTGTGCCGTAGGTCGCGTGAAGATGCTTGTTGGTGCAGGCAAGATATCCCACCCACATCTAAGATTATGCATGAGAATATCATGTTCCATGCATCAAGCCGTAGAAATAATTAGCATGCGTCTTTCATTTGAGGCCTTTGAGATCACTGATCACATACCGCCATAGTGTCCTAGCAGATGCAAGATCACAGAGCGAACTGGAGACAGGCAGTCCTTTTCTATTCGTTGCCTTCAAATGGCTTTTCATGTGCCAGGTGCTGCGCCCATTCTAAAAAGCCCAGGCTTCTTCACGCATATGCGAACCAGATTTCGTACTGTCTCTTTGCTTCTTGGATAGCCTTGTCTTCGTTAGAGTATCTCATGCGATACATCTCCAAGAAGCCATCATAATCAAGAGGTTCGAAATGAAACTTGCACATGTCGTGCTTCCACCTCTCGTTCTTAATAGAGAAAAGTGGGTAATTCTCCATGACTCTCTCTATATGGGGTAGGAAGAAGCACGGATTGAATTGCAGGTTTCTATTTTCAAGTTAAACCAGAGATACTTGAATCCCAAGCATTTGAAGATCATCGGGGTTAACGAAAGTTGCGAAGCAACTTTTAAGCTATCCATGAAAATGTGTCGAGACTATCATGGCGCTTAGCTCTTGCTGCGAGATCTCTGGGACCCATAGATACATCAATTGGTGATCGAACACCACACTAGAGAAGGCCAAAATGCTGTAATGTATATATTTCTGGAGCGGGCCCATTGCGGGCGCTAATAGACCCTGACCGATGCTTTCTTGTTATCAAAAGGTTGAAAGCAAGCCTTCTGGGTTGACCTCATTTTCCCTAATGCAGACTGAACGTCTGCGTCTAGATCATGGAACCAAATCCAGTCGAACCACCCTTGCTGTAACTTGGATAAGATCTTTGTCATATCCGAGCCAGTTTCTGGGTGATTGAAGTGAATCATGAGGCTCATCTCATAAGCTCGCTCAAGCTGTTTCTGCGCTCGTGGTCGTCGGACGGAGTCATGGGCAGCAAACCCTGCGCGAATATATGCGCCCAAGGGTGCACCTTTTTCAGGAGTTTTGAAAATCTCGGCTATCACGTTTGAGAGTACCAAGGCATCTTCCAAGCCCTGGCCAGCGCCAGCGGCCTGGAAAGGCAGAGAAGCATGGGCACTGTCACCTACGAGGACAACGCGATCACGATGATATGTCGAAGTATATCGGTGGTGAAAAAATCCCCACTTGATTGGCTGCGCTTTGCGTAGCAGTTGCAGAAATCGGTCGTCCGCGCCCAGCCCTTCGAAATCAGCCATCATGCCCTCATGGGTGACCTTTTCTGTAACGGTATTTTTCAATTTCCAGGGCTTATCATCAGCTACGCAAAGAAGGAAATTGAATTCCTATCAGTCACGTCAAGTTAGCATACCCCGTGTCATGAACATAAAGTCAACTTACTTCACCACCCGAAATCAGGTAGGTGACAACGCAGCGTTTGTCCCCAATATACATCTTCGCCACGTCGGTGAGATCTCCAAAGATATCTTTGGCCTCGGCGATAGGGATCACACCTCGGTAGCAATAGGAGTCTGCATAAACTGGCTCAACCTGAGCGGGATACAATGGCCATAAAACGTGCTCCCGAACGACACTCTTGATTCCATCCGCGCCAACCACTGCATCAGCTTCAGCAACTCCTCCGTCTGCAAATTTCAAAATGACTTTGTCTGGAAGTTGCTCAATGTTTGTCAAGAGCTTGCTGAACCGGACTTTTTCGATCGGTATAAAGCTGGTCAATATTTGAAGAACAGCATTTCGATGTGCCTAGTTGTCGTTAGCACCGCACGCATAGACAATCATACAAAATGATACGAGAATCTGGAGTGACAGACCGCTCTGCGGATATAGTCTGGGTGGCCCCAGGATGAATGGCCATACCAGGACTCTTTGAAACCTGTAGCAGGTAATCAATACAAAAATTGCTTGCTGAGTGGTGGTAATGCCTACCGAGACCTTCCTGGAGGAGCAAACCCTCAAAATAGACATTCTGGGCGTCCGCAGCCTTATTGCCTATGCAGATGGCGTTGTATTTGGAATGAAATTCTTCTTCAATCATATCCATAGCCAAATCGCCATTAGGTCCGAATCCTATTCCGGCACTTCACCTACAGTCAGAGATCGGAGGCTTTCTCATCATACAGTCGTGGACATGTTGAAGCTTACCCCACGACGGAATATTCTTTTTCTCCCTCATAGATCGTGAAAGGCACCCCTTTTTTGTGCAGACCCACGGCGAGGGCAAGCCCCGCGATGCCGGCACCTAGAATTTGATATTAATTCAGTGACATGAGGAAGCTTGTTAATGGTGAATCTGACCAACAATAGCGACATGCATCTTTTTCGCACTATCTCCCGCCATGGTTCGAGTTTGGCAAGGCAATTGTTGAAAGCTCCGAGGCACCTCACAAAAGATGTCATGCGGGGTTATGCTGCATGATGACTAGGAGCTAGCCCCCACTCCGCACTCCCACTTGAAAGATAAGTGACTGTCTCAGTTACATGTCTGTCTGCTGCGCTCCATCCGTTCTGGAAAACGATCGTAGCAGCTTGAACAGCTTCTATCAGTTGACAAATGCAATAAGAACCATAGGTCCTTTCACACCCCCAGCCGACATGACTTCATTCCTATCTCTGCTCAACATCCGTTGCGAGATGTGGCCACTGACAGACCCTGTCCCAGGCAGGTTCAATACTATTTCCGATGCCGTTAAGAAAGCTTGTCTCCTTACTCCGTTAACTCTTACAGATACAAAAAGGTGCTCCGCACTCAAAATTGAACTGACTTGCAAATAATTCTTCCCTATCTCATGTTTACTCTGTCAATTGAGCGATCCAACAATCCAACATGAACTGCGTCCAACATGGCGTCTGTGGCGATTGCCTCCAAGCCCTTCATCACCACTCCAGTTCTGAGATTAGGCAAGGAGGGAGTTGACGAAGCTGCTAGCACGAAGTCCCTCGAGCTTACCCTTAAGGAATTGAAGAGCATTGATGACCTGTATGAGCCCAGGAAAATTATTGGACATGGCTGAAGGGGTTCATTTGATGAAATTGGTGTCCGATCAATAGTGACCTTGTGTACATCGTTGCCAATTCTGCTCACTTAGAATTTGAAATCTTTTGATCTCCAGAACAGAGACCAAAAAAAGTTTGTCAAGTTGAACTGGAAGAACAGTGTAACTTAATATCAGTTGCCTGTTTGCCGTTGATATACGCACCTTGTGGCCTTCTACCTGCACATAAAGCATTAGAAAAATAACTTTCATACATATCATATAATGGGTTTAGTTCTATATTCATACGATTTATATCCCTCCATGATGGACGATGGACAATGGACGATGGACGACTTTCGGCAGGTTAGTGTGATCCCAGAACTGGTGGGTCGGCTTTCCACGCTAGCCCTAAAACGGCTAGCGTGTTTCTTTGTATGCCTCGTCATTGTGGTTTTCCACCCCGACAGTTTCTCCAAAGTGCACAATTGCATTTCCGATCGCCATGCGTGTATTTCTCATCCGTCACGGCGAAACCGTCGACAATGTCGCGAAACTCTGGTAAGTTGAACCCCAATCCCGGATTCTTGGATACACTGACTTTCCGGGACAGCGCCGGCACCACGGACTCGGCTCTCACCAACCACGGCATGATTCAAATTGAAGCCCTAGGCCGACATTTCGCCTTGAGCCAAATTCGAGTCAATACGGTGTTCGCGTCAGACTTAAGTCGCGCCCGGATCACCGCAGAAGCTATTTGTCGCCATCAAATCCCACTTGCAAACCAACCGCGTGTAACGCCCATCTTGACTGACAGTCTGCGAGAAAGACATTACGGAAACATGGAAGGCAAATCGTGGATTCCTTCTAGTGCAATCGCAGACAGCGGCATAGAAACCGACATGTCTATGATCCAACGAGCCAAAAACTTCCTCAATGAGCATCTTCTCCCACTGATCCTCGATGATCCAGACAGGGCTGGCAATGTGGTGATCGTTGCTCATGGCATTCTCCTCAGAAGACTCTGGAATTGCATCATGGAGCTTGTCCACCCGGCCGATGTGCATTTTGCCTCTGAAAAGCAATTGGACGCCACGATTGCCGCGCGGCCTGCGTGGTCAAACACCGGTGTCGCGACGATATACCTACAACGAAGCTGGGAAGCCAAGGCCCGGAAGCCACGCACAAAAACAACACTGCAGGGCTGGTCAATAACCGTCTTGGATGTTGACAACAAAGACCATCTCGCGAACCTCACTCGAACTCGCGGTGGCATTGGCAGCGCTGCCCACGATACCAAGCAGAAAACCATGGATCGATTCTTCAAACGGAAGAAGTCTTCTTGAATTTGTGAATAGTGGAATATGTACAACTTTGAGAATCATCATCAAAGCACAGCCTTTTACTCCGTGTAAAAAACTTCGTCCAATACCTTCCACCATCCGGGCCCATCTGCGCTGCTCACTGCGCCGGGGATGGGACTGTCCTGAAATAATTGCTCGTTTTAGCGTCTGTCGTCCTGTTTCCTTTAATTGTTATTGTTGTGGAGACATACCTGCATTCTATCAGTCATGGCCCACCACTCTCTGATCTTTGGGTTTGCGCGCATGAGCTCCATGTCTCCTTCGAAATCTGTACCCACGTATTTGAATGTTGCGAATAGGGTGCGATCATTGTCAAAGAAAATTGAGTCTATTCATACAAAAAAAGCCACATTAACCAAAACCCAATCCCTGAGTTTTTGAATGGAGCATACAGTCCTTGATATTGCAGTCCTTGATCTGTTGAAGGACTTCAGGCCAAACATTGGCGTGACATTCCTTGTATGCAGCCACAGCGGAGGGCTTCAGGTGAACGATTTGGGCGATACGACGAACGGATGCCATTATTGCGATAGCTGTATCAAGAATCGAAGCAAGGGATATATGTGGAAATTAAGATACCGCTCCTTGAAATAGGAATATTTAACGCATCCCACTTCGCGCCCCCGCATTCTCGTCGCAGCGTTAACCCGCACTCGGGGTGCACTAACCCGATTTTAGTGGAGTCGCGCCCCCATAATTTAATGATCTTCACCGCGAATAGGATGACCGTACGCTGAAACACTTGACAATGATAAAACGAAGTGAAAAGAAGGCGAGGAAAGAGTGAGAAAAAGAACAGCACAAAGAGAGAGACAAGTAGGTCAAAATAAGAAAGCGAGAAGATTAGCCGCCTTCCAGTACGACTGTCGCGCATTCTTCACATAAAGCCCCAAACTGTGGATTGACAGTCCAATTAAAGCAAGAGTCCTACTATTTACCAAATTCGGTGAATTGTTTGATCTAACTTCTACCGCTGTGATGTAAACGATTGATTGGCCCATTCTCTTCAAGTTTGATGTGCTGTTTGCTGGATTTGGATTCTACCTCTATGACGTTAACACTTTCATGGGTCAATTTTGTAATTTTCTATATTCTAGTAGGCATTGATTGCTGTTTAATGCGGACGGTCGGATGTCTGAATGCTTTTGAAAGCCAGGTTAGGCTCTTTGGGAGCATCGTTGGGGAAAATGTCAGGGCTCGGTTTTGAGCTCGAATGAATCAACAAATGCCCGTCAGGCCAAAACACCATGTGCGTTCCATGAACTCAAGCTGTGGTATTCCAGGGATCTTACTATCTTGGTAACGAGAAATTCTGGTTCTTCTTTGTCCATCACACTGCGAGGGCACCCGCAGCTAATATGTCCACGAGCCTATGCATCATATCTCTTGACAGCCTTATCGAATGAGGCCACCGCACTGCTGCATTTTTGAGCTTTGATAATTCGCACTTGCCGACTTATGTCTTCTTTAAATTTCGAGGGCCAGGGAAGCCAGCGTTCAATTATCAATTCTGAAGTTGTAAATATTCCGAGCTCGGAAGCTGCCAGTGATGACGGTCAAAGGCGAGGGATCTCGCCGTCCAGCAAAAGCTCACGGGTATCGCCAACAGATCTACACCATGGGCACTCATGGTCGAGTTCAACCTACGGAAATAGACACACGACGGAAGGAAACAGCCAGCTGGACAGCTGCTCATCACATGATGAACATTCGATAGATATCAACAAAATGCCCTATGGCGGACAAAGCCCCTCTGATGAGAAATTGTCAGATTCAAGTGGCTCGGAACAACAGGAAAGGCTACCCCCGCCAGCACAAGGAACTCAACAGGATACCTCAGTAAACTCCTCACAAAACAACATCCGACGCTCGATATCTGAAAAGGCCAAGACCCTGTCTACCCGTCTATTCCATCCCTCTTCAAACTGCGATGAAACCGCCGCTGTTGCAGATGACAATCTAATGGACCTCGGCAACCATCGGAGTGAGGATTTCAGCGCCAATTCGGGACCACTTCGGCTGGCAGAGGGGCTGATGCACGAGCGATCCGATCAGCATGCCAACTATAGTCTTCGGTCAAGTACGGTACCAGAACCTAGGCACCGCGAAAGCCATGGAGGAGTCTTGGCTCAACTGCTCAAGTTTTACAGTGGTTTGGATCCGCCAACACAAGATACCCGGCCACTCAATGAGCCACTTCCAAGAGTGGGAACACCAAGGGCTCCATTCACTGGGAACGAACCGTACCATAAAGACGACCAAAAAGGAAAAGGACCGGATGGAAACCAGTTGTATCCGTCAATGAATACCACAGTTGGTGAAGGATCGAGCTTAGGTGCAAGGAGCCCGATCCCTGCCAACGAGATTCCTAGTGGTGCTTTCAAATGGTCCAAATGGGCAAATGCCCACGGGGGCCGCCGCGTGAGGCTAGAGGACGAGATACATGTTGCGATTCATATTGCAGATATCATTTCTCGCCAAAGATATATCATCGAGCTATGTAAGGCGCTCATGAAATTCGGAGCTCCAATGCATCGGTTGGAGGAGCATATGCACATGACAGCAACGGTTCTAGAGGTGGAAAGTCAATACCTCTATGTGCCAGGATGTATGATAATGTCCTTTGACGACCCCACAACGCGAACAACAGAGGTCAAGCTGGTGCGAATGGAGCAAGGAATTGACCTAGGACTTCTGGCTGACACGCACGATGTGTACAAGAATGTGGTCCACGACGTTATCGGAGTCGAAGAGGCGACTAGTGAGCTGAAGAAGATTCTCGATTCCAGGCCTCGCTTCAATAAATGGATCATTGTGTTGATGTACGGACTGGCTTCGGCTATGGTCGGTCCCTTCGCATTCAACGCCCGGCCGATTGACATGCCGATCATTTTTTTTAACGGCACTCTTCTTGGGGTTTTACATCATCTCATTGCTCCACGATCAGCGCTATATAACAATGTCTTCGAGGTAACCGCTTCGGTGTTCACCTCCTTTATCGCACGTGCCATAGGAAGTATTGAATGGGATGCCCCTCATGGTGACCAAGAGTACTTATTTTGCTTCGCTGCAATTGCCAAATCATCTATTGCGCTCATTCTCCCGGGATACACGGTTCTCAGCAGTAGTCTGGAACTCCAGTCCCATCAACTTGTGGCCGGATCGATTCGCATGGTATATGCTATCATCTACTCGCTTTTCCTTGGCTTCGGGGTTACTGTGGGCACCACAATCTACGGACTGATCGATCCTGGCGCTACATCTCGCCTCACTTGTCCGGCTACCGGAGAGTGGACCAACGAATATGCGCCGCGATTCCCGTTCGTGGCAGCATTTGTGCTATGCTTGCTAGTCATCAGTCAAGGCCGATGGAAACAAGCCCCGATGATGTTGTTCATCGCAGAGGCCGGCTATGTTGTCACCTATTTCGTGACACGACGCATCGGCTCCAGCTCTCAAGTGGCCAATACTGTCGGCGCCTTCACTATTGGCGTCATCGGCAATCTTTATAGCCGTCTGTGGCACGGCCACGCTGCAACATCCATCTTACCAGGGATCTTTGTCCTAGTTCCATCAGGCCTGGCGGCTTCAGGTCCTCTTCTAAGTGGCATCAAATCTGCGGATGAGACTAGGGATAATGTATCTGTCGCGATCAACCATAGCACCTACACCAATTATGGGGTGGAGGCGTCTCAAACCTATACAGCGAATCTGGGATTTGGAATGGTTGAGGTATCGATTGGAATTACTGTGGGATTGTTCCTTGCGGCTCTGTTGATCTATCCATTTGGGAAAAGACGAAGTGGTCTGTTCAGCTTCTAGTTATCTTGTTGGGTCTATTAGCACTTTTCTGGACAGGCAAAACTGTCCAAGATGCAAAGGATAGAGATTTAGAGGATCACTCCTGGCTGGATTTGGCAGCAAGACACGTATAAAGGGAAATTCAACGTCAATTCATAAATATATAAACCTAGTGATTTGCATTAAGACATCTGACTTTTAGGAACAGGACGAATCCAAGAGACAGCCAAGTTTGCTCCCAAAGATATAACGCCGATGATCCACATCGATCGCCCGTAGTCAGTACCATTATATCTGAAAATAATGGCAAAGATAATTCCCCCAAGGTTACCAAAGCCACCAACAATTCCAGAGACAATACCTATTAACAAAAAGTCAGGATGAGAGCGAAATCAAAAGAGAGAATAGAAAGAAACTTACCATTAGCAAATGGATGAACATGAGGCACGACGGCGAAGTTAGCACCATTGCAAGCCTCAAGGAAGAAGGCAAATCCAGCGATGAGACCAAACATGGCAGACTCGGTAGTCGGGTTGGATAATCCGATCGCAAGCTGGAATGCACCCATAGCAAGGCCCAAGAATGTCAAGAGAAGTTTCTTCGACCAGACATTATCAGTAGCGCGATATATTAAGTCACCAAAGAGACCACCGATAGGACGGCAGACAACATTCAGCAGACCGAACATGGCAGCCCATTGACCAGTTCGAGTCTGGCCCATGTGTGGGAAATTCTTCTCATAGTAAGATCCTAGAATGGAGTTGATGGCGAGCTCAGATCCGAATGAGCAGGCATATGGAATAGCAACGGCCATGGTGGACAGACTCAGAGCCACGTTGAGGGCTTCCTTGCGAGATGGGGTGACAACAGCTTCTTGTCTGAAGATGTTATCCATCTGTCCAACAGCTGAATTATCCATGACTTGCGGTGTCTGGGCGCCCTTTTTCTCAACATCGATTGTGGCTGCGTTGTAAGGGGTTGTCATTCCGCTGGAAAATGTGCCTGTGTTGAGGTCAACAATGTTTCCATCCATGGGTGTGGCAGTGCCGCTGGTCTCCTTCGCCCAGAGGTGTCGTTCAGACCATTTCCCAGTAGGCGTGTCTTCACAGAGGAAGAGCATGCACATAGCGACAGAAACTATGATGATGAATGGAACGATATAGGCGACGCGCCATGCCTGGTGGGAAGGAAGACCGCGGTCTCGCATGAGGGAATCGTATATGGCTGGCATCACGAAGCTGAAGTACAACGGTTAGTATGGATAGTTTGCGGTGGTTGGTAATGATAAAAACACACTATGTGATCCCTCCACCTGCATTGCCCCATCCTCCGGCCAAGGAGTTGGCTGTGCCGACAATCTTCTTGTCGAAGAAGCCTGTGCACCAGACCTGGCACGGGACGAAAGTTCCACCAAGGATTCCAATGAAGAATCGAAGGGCAATCAAACCATTGGCATTGGTGACGAGGCCAGCCATGGCAGTAGGAATAGCTCCACAGAGGAGAAGTCCTACAAAGACCAGGCGTGGACCAAAGCGGTCGCAGAGTGGTCCTGCCACAAGTCGCACAAGGAGTCTTGAGTGGATTAGCAAGGATCATGTCTGGGGTATAGTTGCTTCCTGACTTACGTGGCAAGGATTGCAATAATGTTGGAGTTGGCGACTTCTGCTTGTGTCATGTGAAGGTCTTTTTTAATAGTGACAGTCAACTAAAGCATCATGTTAGAATATCTATCCCCCAAATTCATAGTATTCCTGAAGAAAGTTGACTTACCAGTGGCGGGAATGCATACCATGACAGGAATGCAACCATGAAGCCAACCCATGAGAAGAAGAACACTCGTCCATATTTGTCAAAGGGGTTCAAGATCGGGATTGATTTGGCTTTTCGGGTGCTTTGGTTGACCTCCGGAGAGGCAAAAAGAATTTTGACAAAGCTCATTGCCATATTTAATGTATAGTTGAGGATTTGAGGTGAGCAATGGGGTCTTGGGCTCAGGGGCCGATGTATGAGTCGAAAGCGGCCCGGATATCGCAATACAGGCAGTTGATTGTTGATTCAGGAGAAGCAAGAGCGCTGTGATAATTAATAGAAAGCGACGTGAAAACGAAGTAGAAACGAGGAACTATATAAACGTACAAGATGCTCAGGTCTCGGAAGCATAATTCTCAGATGACATGCAAGGATCATAATCAACGCCATTATCTGTCGCATACCAGATCGGCAGCATATCGTAGCTACGCGCTGTCAGTAGGAAATGGTTAGTAAAAGGCAGCGACCACCCTGGTCCGAGTATATCCCGGGTCGCTGATTGGATAAGACATTGTGAATCAATGCTGTGACCATCCAATGATCCAATGATCACTTCACGGTAGACTTACCGACTGCCCCAGAATTCCTCAAACTCCCGCGGCAGCCAGTGCTGCAATTGTGGTAGAGATAAGGTATGTACCTGAAAGGGCCTATAGTAGTCGGGATGCATAGGAGCTCCCGAGCCAAGAATAGAGGCAAAAGACAGATAAATCGACTCTATAGTAACTCCGCGGAACACAATAACATATAGCATTGCTAATGCAATAATATGCTTACACTCTGGGGGTGGAACGCTCCACTCCGCCAGGAACCTGGCAGTTGATAAACGCGCGCCCTCTCATTGGACCCCTGGAATGGCCGCGATAGGCACTTGGGGGCAAAGTCCACCCGGCGGGTCTGAAGATGGCGTCGATCTGGCCTCCGCGGAGATATTTAAACTCGACTGAAGTCTCTATGGGGTTTTCTGAACAATGGTGGACCCTGATGACTTAAGTTCACAGTGGAAGCGTTGTCCCAAAATGGACGAATTAGGGTTACCGTATAGAAGGCTGAACTCGATGGTCTATATTCTTCTATTCATTAAAACATGGGATATTCGACAGATCATTTAATCCAAATACTTTTCCGAAACTCATTGGTCAATGTGGTAAGACTGGCGAATGGCCTCGCCAAATCGCTGGATAGCGGTGTCCATAGCCTCCTCGGTTGCACTTGCGTATGTCGCACGGAAGAACATACCGCGTGCAGGCGTGTTTGGCTCAGCACGGAACCAAGTTCCACGAGCACATAGGACGTTGTTCTTGATGGCTTGATCGAAAATTCCTCCTTCGATGTCTTCGATTGAGCGGCCGGGATATTCCGGGTGCTGCAACGGATCTAACTTCAGCCAAATCTATGGGTATATGTCAGCATTTTTTAATACATCGAGCCAGGTTATCGGGCCCAGCATATGCTGAAGTCTGCCAGAGCGAGGAAACTTACGAACATGCCTGTTGTGGGCGGGCTCCAGCTGACAACAGATTTCGGCAGGTACTTGTCGCAAGCAGTAAGAAGCATGTCTCTCTTCTTGGTATAGCTGTTCTTCAAAGAAATCAGCCACTTCAAATAACCTTCATGGCCCCATGTCTCGTCGAGCAGCTTCCAAAGCATGATCTGTGAGACTCCACTGGGTCCCTGGTTGGCAACCTCGGCATGCCGAAGGAAACGCTCTATAATTTGCGCACTCGCGGTGACCCATCCTAATCTCGAGCCCGGCACAAGAACCTTCGAAAAGGAATCCATGCGCAGGACTCTACCATCAACGTCGAGACTCAAGTACGACGGAACAAGACCGGCAACGAAAGACTCAACGTCCTCAGAGACTTCAGGACCATCCTCCTTCTTCCCTTGGTATGGGGGCATTTGAAGAAAGTAGTATGGCTCGTCCTCAATGATGAAGATGTCGTGCTTCTGGCAGACGGCATAGATTGCGTGGCGGCGCTGGAGGCTCTGAGTGGCGCCGGTTGGGTTCTGTCCCGAGGGAATAGTGTATAGAACATGCGGTTTACGGGATCCGCGTGCCTCCTGATCCCACGAACAGAGGATATCATCCATGCTGTCAGGGAGAAGTCCTTCATCGTCCATTTGAACACCAATGGGCTTAATCCCTTGAGGGAGGATTGTTTCCAGCGCAGTGGAAAAGCTGTACTCTTCAACAAGGAGAGAGTCACCCCTCTCGCGATCACAAAGCATTCGAAGAGTCTGCTCAAGAGCACCAGTGCTTCCGACTGTCGGAGCGACCTTCCAATCCGCATAGGGAGGGTTGTAGACCAGCTCCGTGTGCTCGGTGATAAACCGCATCATTTGGGGAGAACCAGTCGCCTGACCATAATTCAGGGCAATGGAGAGATCATACTCGGAAATTCCAGCTTTCACGTCATGCTTTCCAATGCTGATAGTTTGAGTCGAGGGACAATCTGTTGCGGATGAATCCCTGCTGGGGAAGTCCTGTGGCATGGGCACACGGAAGCTCCAGTCATAGAATGGGAAGCATTCGCTGGATGGGAGGCCACCTCCAAGAGAGACCATGCCGGGGTTTCCAGCCAAACCAGCTGCCTGCTTTAGAATGCATAGCGGTCGGGACATGCTCTCTTTGCTGAGATGAGCTAGATGTTCGATTAGCGCATGAATACAAGCAAACAACAATTTTGCAGGTCGGAGTCCTTACAGTCCCAGCATTTGGCGTATGGCTTGCCAGATGCCTTTTGTGTGTTAGAAGGAAGTGGTCTGTAGAATTGAGTCATTCCTCTTACCGGCGCCTTGAAATTCGCAGTGTTGCATGCAGCAGCTACACCAGCAACAAGTTTTCCAGCTTCCGTTCTTCTCTGTTGGATGCTGTTCAGGAACTCCCGCTTTTCCATGGCTGCTGCCCTGTTAGAGTGGGTCGCAAAAGACGGCATTGTGGATTGGATAGAGCGACACGACCCAAAAAGTAGCAATTGAATAAATAAAAACTGTTCCTGGCTTGGATTCTTTAGAGGCAATTGCTACCCTGAATGATATTTAAAGGAATATCTCCCGTGGGGAAGTAAAATTTCGAGACCCAGCGAGCATCAAAGCCGACAAGTGGGCTCGAATCCGAGTCTTAAACCCGAGCTATGTGTCAAGCCCACCCGATTCTCACATCTTAGGTAGCGGCACAGAAGAGTATAAGGACGTAAAAACTTTCTACCTGCGTAATGTCCTTTCATATAGCAAATAAGTAGGCTTTTCCTGAACGTATATATTAAAGCAACCAGGAATGAATGTGGTACAGATATCCCAACAGGAAAACTGTTTAACAGAATTCCAAATCACTGTCAAGAACCCGAAGTTTCTCAGAACCGTATTTCTTAGCCAAAGGAAATATCATGATACATGTATAGAGTACAGCGTAGGCCATATGAAAACTCAGAGATGAAGACTTAACGTGGAAAGAGCCTTGCGCGGCACGGACCCGTGGGCTGGAGATCGGGAATGATGACTCAGCCCAGTCCCGACTTCATTCCCGACGAGTTCCGCACGAGAACTTGTCCACGCGAGATTTGACTACATCGATATGCGCTCAAGCCTTTCCTGTGAATCCTGCAGGTGAGATCCACTTTGCTGCCCAGTTACCACCCGACGCTCATTGATATCAGGGCGTCGAAAAAGAAATGCGTCCACTCGGGAACGGCGCCATGTCAGAGGTGTCAGAACTCGGAGATTGAGGGTTGTGTACTTAGCAGACCGGTAAACAAAACACCCCAAACGCCCAGACATAGGCTCCAGCCTAGCAATCATCCATATGAACGACCCGTTCCTCAAGATACCCCCGAGCCACCTCGGACAAGACCTTCGGGAGAAGGGAATAGTACAGACAGGTCTAATGCACCGAGACCTGCTCAACATATGGACAAGTTGGCAGTCGACAGACATCTAAGTAATCTCTCAGAAGATGTCATCTTGAAGTCCTTGAATGGATTCACAGGCAAATATCCAGAACTTGCAATCCTCAACCATGCGGCTTTCGTCAAAGAATATCGGTTGTCACCAATTCCACCCGAGAGCAAGATTCTACTTGCGTCCATCTTGGCATCATCCAGGTCTCAGTTCTCACTTCTGAATCCCCCGTGGGTCGATTCGTTGCTACCAAGAGAGCATTATGCCCATTATGCGCATGAGATGCTATCAGAATGGTCATTCAAAGCACCAAAGCTCCAGGTTGCACAGGCTCTGTTGATCATGAGTCTTTATGAATGGGGATCTCGGGAGTTTCATCGCGCGTGGATCTATTGTGGTACCATCTGTCCTATCCGAGCCAAAGGAACAAGACTCTAACGCTGCACAGGAATTGCAATTCGGATCATGCAAGCTCTGAATAGTCTAAGAGTTGCCCCCTATCCCCTTGACCCGACGCCTCCAAGTCAAAGGGATGCCGTCTCTGTTGCGATTGAAAACAGAACCGTCTGGGCCTGCTTCATCATTGACCGAATGGTTAGCTCCGGAACTTATAACCCACCCATGCTACCAATGTCAGAAATGGATAAGCTCAAAATCACTCGCCCACTGAGTGCCGTCGAGTTTGCATTCGGACCATCCGACCTTTCCTCTCAAAATACGGGCCTTGATCCCAGTTTTGCGACTGCACGACATGGACAGACTGCGCCTTTGGACATCACACAATCTTTCGAAGTTCTTGTCGCCGGGTTCGATATATGGGCTCATGTAATGACATTCATCTTCAACGATGGTCGACGCGCACCGGGCATGTGTGCTCCCCAGAACTGCCCGTGGGCACTAGAATCACCATGGTCTAAAACAAGACGTCACCTTGAAGAATGGAGAGCCAGTCAACACCATAGACTCCATTATCCGAACAACAGCGTTGTGGCTCATACTACTCTAGGATGGGGCGAATCGTTCACTTATATCAATCTGCTATATTATACTTCGTACGAGCACTATCGTACTTAATGCCTGGAAACGAATACTAACGACTTTGGGTAGTACCATCCTGCTCCATCGGGAGTATTTTCCTTTTTTGCCTACTCGGACATCAGTTCCTAGAGGACCGGTCGATCAGCCGACCCTCGAGGCGGAAGCACCGGAAGGCTGGTGGGATAAAAGCGCCGCAGCCCTTTTTGGCGCCGCAGAACAGATCGCAAAACTATTGCACGATGCCTCTGATTGTGGATCAGAAATTCTTATCCCATTTGTTGGATTTTGTGCCTTTTCTGCGGCATACATGAACCTTTATGTCTCCTTATTTCCACAAATGAATCTTGGCCGCAGTCCCAATGCAGAGACCCATCTTAAGTACTGTCTTACCTACCTTGAAAAGTTCAGACATGTGTGGAAGCTTGGTGAAAGCTGGGTCAGTACCCAGTCATCTTATTTTGCTGTTCTAAACTGACCTCTTCGCATAGATTGCGACAATGAACCACGCTACCATCTTGTATCAACGGGCAGCATCTGACAGATCACGATACCAAGGAAAGACGCGAACAGATTTCAATGTCTTGCATCAATCTTTAAGTGAATTCCGTGTGCCTGATCGGTCTGATCAGCATCTCCAGGAGATCGAGGGCGCAGAAACACCTTCTCTCCCGTCGATCACAGATTCCATCCTGGAATCCGACATTCGATCTGATATGCTGGATCTGGACATGCCCCTTAGCAATCTATTGAGTGAGGTTAGTACACATGCACATGAGCAGGGCATGTGGTCACATTGGTGGCCTCCATTGGATGAAGTCAATCTAGCACCTCATGATATACAGCCATAAAACGCCGGACTTGCAGAGCCAATACAATTCAACTTATGGATAGTATGAAGCAATATGTTGGGGGGAAAAAAGGCTGAACTCCAGTCATCATTTCAATCAACCTATATGACAATTCATGATGTATCCTAGGACCCCATGCACCAAATGCATACAAATCGCAACACCTCAAACAATACATCAACCCCAACCCATCTACCAATCAATAGACTTCGCCGGCTGCACAGCTGGCGCCCGAGAGACAATGTCGCCATCGGAGGCTTTCTTTCCCTTCATCCCCTTGAACTTCTTATCAAACTTATGGAACGGATCCTCGCTCTCATTCTTTCGGACCTTCCACTTATCCGTTCCAAGAACTCCATCTAACTCCTCAATCGGCGGGAGCTTCATATAAACCCAACCATCATCCCTCTCCTCAACAGGGAACGTAGCAATATTCATACTCTCATCATTAGAGCACCTACCGGCCTGCTCGCCATTGAGGTCGAAGTTCCGCTTGTGATACGGACACGAGACCCAGTACTTACCGGCATCATCGTCGCCGACAAGACCATCAGAGAGAACAAAAGCTCGCTTGTGAGGACACATCTGTTGAGTTGCATAGTACTTGCCCTTGATCTTGAAGACGGCAAGTTGGGTATCTCCGCGCTTGATATTAGCCGAGGAAACCTGCGGCGGCTCGTCGGAGAAGTGGTCTGCGCGAACAACTGGTTGCCAGGATGTACTTGACCACTGGTGGCCTTTGAAATCCTGTTGTTCTGTGGAGTCCTTGGGCCAGTATGTTGGGCGCTGCTGGGATCTTTCTTGGACAACCTCGACTGTGTCGACGGTTTCGTCTGTGTTTGCGAATTGCTGGAAGAGTTTGCGACGCTTTGGGTCTTTGACTGTTTCGGTCCATTCGCAAAAGTAGCTGTCGACGAGTTCGTGCATCTGTCGCTCCATGTCGGCGCAGATACCGAGTTTGTCCTCGACGATGACTTCTTTCAGGTAGTGGATTCCGCCAGGAAGATTCTCGATCCATCGGGCTGTCCGCTGGAGTTTGTCGGCGGTGCGAATGTAGAAGATGAGGTAGCGGTCAATTATGGGCATCACCATTTCCGGTGGTACGTCTGTCACGAGAAGCTCGGCGTGTCTGGGCTTTGCGCCTCCATTACCTCCGACGAAGATGTTGAAGCCCCTTTCGGTAGCGATGAGACCGAAACTGGTCTCCGTTAGCACAAAACTCATCATCATCTCTGGAGGACTCACTCCTTGTTCTGAGCCTCTGCACACTCTCTTACGCAGCCAGATACGGCGCCTTTGAACTTGTGTGGGGCACGAATACTTTTGTATCGCTCTTCCAGGCGAATCGCCATACCGACACTGTCACCGACACCAAAGCGACACCATGTGGTTCCGACACAACTCTATAATTTGGAGGTCAGCCAAGTACCATATGATGCGCTGCACTTTCACATACCTTGATTGCTCTCAGGGCCTTCGCATAGGCATGACCACTCTCCATACCAGCGTCCACAAGTTCTGACCAGATATTCAGAAGATCCGACTTCTTTGCTCCAAACATATCGATACGTTGAGCTCCAGTGATCTTGCAATAGAGTCCATATTTCTTGGCCACAGATCCTATGGCAATGAGTTTATCGGCTGTAATCTCTCCGCCGGGGACACGGGGTACCACCGAGAATGTGCCGTTTCTCTGGATGTTGGCAAGGAATTTGTCGTTGGTGTCTTGCAGATCATTGTAGCCCTTGTCCATGACGTGAGGATTGAACAGACTGGACAGAATCGATCCGATTGCGGGCTTGCAGAGCTCACAGCCAAGAGAATCTGGGTTCTTTCCGACCTCTTTCATTACATCGACGAATGTCTTTAGTTGCCTGATTGCTATGATATTGTATAGATCGGCTCGGGAATAGGGAATGTGTGAGCACACTGCACCAGTTAGTTATTTACTGAAGGTCCTGCGGGTGTGATACAACTTACGATTATTGGAAACCTCTTGTCCCATGTCCAGCATGGTCTTGTTAAAGATTGACTGGACCAGCGGCATACAACCACCACATCCTGTACCAGCCTTGGTGCAAGACTTGACCTGCGCGATGGATGTGCAGGTGCCGTTCTTTACATTCTCAACCACGTCGCCTTTGGTAACATTGTGGCAAGAACAGATCTGCGTGCTATCGTCACTGTGGGTAAAAGTTAGTGCTGGTTGTTATATGCCAATGCCAATACTAACAGGTCATCTGCATTTTCCTCACCACCGCTCTGAGCACCAAGGATGAACTGACTCGGTGGGACCTCGAGCTCTTTCTGGAGCTTCACCATCTGGTTCAACTTTAAATAGTCCTTGGTATCTCCGATCATCATGCCACCCAGCAAGAACTTGCCGTCCATGGTGAACAGATACTTCTTGTATACACCAGCGAATGGATCTTTGTATGTCAAAGCCTTGACAGGCTCATCACGCAAAGGTTCATCAAAGCCCGGAACAGCCGATGGCCGACGACCAGGCAGGAATTTTGGTCCATCCCTGTCAGCGAAGAAATCACCGAAGCTGGCGACGTCGACTCCGAGCAGTTTCAACTTGGTACTGAGATCTGGTCGGGTGAAGCTCTTCCGGGCCTTTTGGGGGTTTGTGAGATTGAAGGCGAGAACATCTGCCATTTCAATTCCGGGCGCAATGATTCCGAATGTCTGGTTCTCCCAGCTTGCACATTCACCGACGGCATAGATGTCTGAGGTGGATGTCTGCAGACTCTCATCAATCACAAAACCTCCACGTTCGCCGCACTGGATGCCAATGTCACGACCCAGTTCGTCTCGGGGCTGAACACCGATCTAAAAGTCGATCAGCACATGGTTCAAAATCTGGGGCAAACGGGTATCATACCGCAAAGCAGATACAGCAACAATCAATCTTCTCACCATCCTCAAAGGTAATCCCTATAACATTATTTCCGTCATCGGTGTGAACAACCTTCACCCGCTTCTCGTGAAGAACATCAAGTCCCAATTCCCGGATTTTGCGTGTGACCAGCGACCCTGCATCACCATCAAGCTGTCGCGCCAAAACCCATTTATTCCGATCGATCAACTTGACATTCCCAAAATCTTCCAGATCAGTCATGGCCTTGGCGGCTTCAAGTCCGAGGAGACCGCCACCGACCGTAACGGCCGTTTCGCCTTTATGCTTGGAAGCGAAGTCAATCAGCCGTTCCAGGTCTGAGATCGTACGGTAGACAAAGACGCCATTGGCATCATGGCCCGTTGTTCGTGTGGGAAGGGTTGCGTCGGATCCTGTTGCTAGGACGAGGATATCATAGGATATTGTGTCACCTATTGATGTGTGGACTGTCTTGTTTGTGGGGTTTATTTCGGTGACTCTTGTGTTTAGGTGATGGTCGAATGCCCGTTCTTTGAATGAGCCGTACTATTCGCATACTTCACTGTTAGGGTATATTCGTCTTGGCTTCAAGTTTGGGCGCAAATACTAACCCATTCCTTCGGATTGAGGTATAGATCTTCGATTTTACGATGTTCGAAGAATGTCGAAAGTCCCACGCGGTTGTATGCTACGTGGGACTCTTCGCCAATGACGACAATATCATATTTCCGATCTGTGTCTTGTTTGATGACTTTCTCACTATCGATCGTCCGATTGTTAGATGTCAACGCGAAGACGAACGCGACAACAATTCTTACATGAATGAGATGGCAACCATGCCCAGTCCAACAACAACAATCTTCTCTCGAGGAACATTGTGTGCTGGACTAGGACTACCGTCAACCGGCTCGCCATGCCGTAGCCCGTCGAGTACAGGCATAAGGTGTAGAATACAAAAGGAGATAGGACAAACTACGAAACAGGGCTACAATTCTGATTTTAAGAAATCGCAATCGCTAGCTTTTCCAATTGTGATACTGTGACACTGTCATCTAGACACTTGAGACTAATCAGATGCCGGGAGAAACAGGGTCGTCGCAGATACCGAAGTGGCGTTGGATCTCCGCGGAGGACCTCATTAGGGACAACTTGATTGGCTGTTAGGGCTTGCTTATCTTGACAACACAAAGATAACATCGTCGAAGTATACGATGAGACAATGAGCTTATATTGGCGACTGTCCGCGGAGATGGACATGTGGCGACCTGGTGGGGGACTCGGCTTACTATGGACAGACCCTTAACGGGTCAATATATGGATATTCGCGGCTTGTACTGCAAATCAGGGTTTTGGTCATTACTCAATCTGATTTTGTCAACTGTCTTGTTCTCAAATTGATATACAAAGGCATCATTCTATATTATCACCCTATATCGACACTGAACACAGTAGTGTCAAAACCTGCACAATAGCACTATGGCTACAATCACCACGCAGACAAAAGCCGAAGACACAATCGATTTCAAGAATGGACACATCACAGTGGAAGATATAATTGCAAGTCCAGCAGAGCCAGACATTCCACTACCACCCCCATTAAAGAGCCCCGTCGACATTTTAGATGTGGATAAAGGCACACCAGACAACCATGTACCTCGCGACCCACGATTAATTCGCCTGACGGGTGTACATCCATTCAATGTCGAGCCACCATTGACAGTTCTATACAAAGAAGGTACAGATTCTTTAATATCCTGAAAACCAACCCAAAGACTAAACCAAAAAGGCTTCCTTACATCCCCGGAACTATTCTATGTGCGAAACCACGGACCAGTGCCCCAGGTGAACGATGAAGACATTCCCAACTGGGAGATCAGCATTGAAGGGTTAGAAAAATGGTCTTCATATATTCGTATTCCAGAAAGCTAACAACTACACCAGGCTAGTGGAGAAGCCCCTAGTCCTCAACTTCCGAGAAATTCTCCAAAAGTACGACCAAATCACAGCACCAATCACACTTGTGTGTGCCGGAAACAGACGAAAAGAACAAAACACAGTTCGCAAGTCGAAGGGTTTCTCATGGGGCCCGGCGGGTCTATCAACGGCCCTATTCACGGGCCCTATGATGGCAGATGTAATCCGCAGCGCGAGGCCACTTAGGAGTGCGAAGTATGTTTGTATGGAAGGCGCTGACAAGTTGGTAAGATGGCATACCATTTTACAGATGAAGTGTCGGACATGGAACGAGACTGACATATGCTACAGCCCAATGGCTTCTATGGAACATCAGTCAAATTGAACTGGGCTCTGGACCCGAACCGCGGAATCATGCTGGCACATAAAATGAACGGTGAAGATCTTCGACCTGATCATGGTCGACCTTTGCGGGCAGTTGTGCCTGGTCAGATTGGTGGACGGAGTGTGAAGTGGTTGAAGAAATTAATTTTGACGGATGCGCCCAGTGATAACTGGTATCATATTAATGATAACCGAGTTCTGCCGTGAGTGAATTTCACATACCTCGCTGACTGCATGGGTTCCAGCTGACAGTGCTAGAACTATGGTTTCGCCAGAGATGTCTGCCCAGGATCGGAAATGGTGGACTGATGACCGATATGCCATTTATGATCTCAATGTAAACTCTGTCGCCGCTTATCCTCAGCACGAAGAGGAGCTTGATCTAGCCACCGCTGCGCCGACGTATACTGCCAAAGGGTATGCGTATGCTGGTGGAGGGCGGAGGATCACGAGAGTTGAAATCTCGCTCGACGGGGGCAAATGTAAGAATATCCACAATGAAAATATCCCAGACTTGAAACAAGCTAACATCTCTTCGTTGTCCCCAGCCTGGCGACTCGCCGAGATTGAATACCCAGAGGACAAATATCGAAATTTCGAAGGCGACCTCTTCGGCGGCAAGGTAGACATGTGGTGGAGAGAAGCAAGTTTCTGCTGGTCCTTCTGGTCTCTGCAGATCCCAGTTTCAGACCTGGAAACTAGCGATGCACTCCTCGTCCGAGCAGTGGATGAAGCACTCGCGGCCCAACCACGGGATATGTACTGGTCCGTCCTGGGTATGATGAACAATCCCTGGTTCCGCATCACGATCACTAAGGAAGGGAATGTTCTCAAATTCGAACATCCTACTCATCCAGCCAGGGCTGGAGGATGGATGGAAAAAGTCAAGAAAATGGGTGGTGATTTACTCAATGGTAATTGGGGTGAGAGAGCCCAAGGTGAGGAGCTTGTTGAGTCCGCGCCTGTCAAGGAGATCAACATGAAGAAGGAGGGTGTGAACAGGCAGATTGATCTGCAGGAGTTGAAGGGGAATAGTACCAGTGAGAAACCCTGGTTTGTTGTCAATGGGGAGGTATATGATGGTACAGATTTCCTTGAAGGACATCCCGGAGGTGCTATTAGTATCACATCTTCTGCTGGACTTGATGTGTCCGAAGACTTCCTTGCAATCCGTAAGCTGAATATCTTAGCATTCTCTGTTCAGTATGTCCCTAACAATCTTACAGACAGCGAAACCGCCAAAGCAATGATGCCAGACTATCACGTCGGAACATTAGACAAAGCGTCCCTCGAAGCACTCAAAAACAACTCAACATCAGACGCAACCGCGCCACGTCCAGTATTTCTGCAATCAAGAGCATGGTCCAAAATTAAACTCAGCGAGAAAAAGAATGTATCCTGGGATACGCGAGTCTTCATCTTCGACCTAGAACACGACAAGCAAACCCTCGGCCTACCAATCGGTCAACACCTCATGATAAAGTTCCCAGATCCATCAACGAAGGAAACAGTCATCAGATCATACACACCAATGTCAGACACAAGCTTAATCGGAAAGATGGAGCTACTCGTGAAGATCTATTTCCCAACTGGCAAAATCCCAGGCGGAAAAATGACAGTAGCCCTCGATGCCCTCCCCATCGGATCAGAGATCGACTGCAAGGGCCCAACAGGACGATTCGAGTACCTCGGCTGCGGCCGAGTGATTATAAGCGGCAAAGAGCGCCATCTGCGCTCATTTAAAATGATCTGTGGAGGAACGGGTATCACGCCCGTCTTCCAGGTTCTGCGCGCCGTCATGCAGGACAAGGAAGATCCAACGACGTGTGTTATTCTCGATGGAAATCGGATGGAAGAGGATATTTTATGTCGAGAGGATCTTGATGCTTATGTTGCGGCTGATAGTCGGAAGTGTACTGTCGTGCATACTTTGACTCAGGGTTCTGATGCCTGGACTGGGCGTCGGGGTCGGATCTCCGAGGAATTGCTTGCTGAGTATGCTGCGCCTGAGGAGCACAGTATGGTTTTGATCTGTGGGCCTCGGCCTATGGAGGAATCTGCTCGGAAGATTCTTCTTGAGAAGGGGTGGGCGGAGGAGGATCTTCATTTCTTCTAGATTTGGGGTATCAGTCTTCTTTTTGGGCATGCATGGGAACGGGAGTGTATATGATTGGCCTGAACGCCAAGGGTTGTGCATTGAATGAATGGTATGGATATAGAGGTATTGGGATGGAATGTGCATGGAAACCGATGGCATTTGACAGATGTTTATTCGTGGGTCATGAATCGTAATGTAACGTCTCATTTTATGATGACCTTGCGGTGACAAAAGTATCAGGAAAGACCCCTGTCATTTGTTACGTGCAACACCTCTCAGTCCATGAGCCCATGACAATACGGGTCGCTCAGTAGTATTCCTTGAAATCTAATCTCACACGGAGGTGCTCAAAAACACTGGTAGTCTCCGTATGGGATGAGAAAAATGCTCCCGACCTCGCCATAGATTTTGAAGTAGCCTTGCCAGACTCCATACTGCGTAGGTATCCAACGAATGCAGAGCTTTGTCTGCGGAATGTTTGATACAAGTAAAGAGCGGTCCCTTCAGCTTCATGACGCTGCCCGCTCCCATCTGCCTTTGATAATGGACTGAAGGCGAGGATAGTGCTGAAGATCGATTCAAGCAATTTGGCCGCCTGTGCGTGCCGCTTGCTCAGGAAGAACGCGAATAGCATCTGGTCAAGCATATCTTCATGGTAGTCGCGGAGTCTTGGTACAGAGTGGGCGGCTTCGATTGTGCCGTCGATATCACCACGGTCCAGACAGTGCTCGATCTTCGCAAGTGTTTCTTGGAAGCGTTGCCAGGTTGATCCAATGCCAATGTGGAAGCAGTAGTCGCTAACTGCTAAAATAAAGTGTTGGGCGTCCACCCTGAACTTCTGGAACACGTTCCGTGTGTCTCCTGACAGAGATCCTCGCACGGTCGAGTCACGAACGAGACCTTTGACAACAGAAATCATGCGGAGTAACCGAAGCAGATGTTTGAAAAGGCGGTCATATTTGTCGAGAGACCGTGAAGTAATGATAGACTCGAGCGCTTCAGGTGGTGTGTATTGTAGACGAAGAAAGTCCAGAGCCTCGATTGAGCTTGGATCCTTACATCTGTCAATCTCTTCGTCGGACAGGTCTCGAATTCCGAAGCTAAGCCCACCTGGCATTTCGTTTTCTTTTTGATTTTGGCCCTTTTCGGATTCCTCTGGGTCTGCGTTGCCGAAGTAACAGTCTCCGAGAAGACCGATCAACACAAGACGCAACTCTGAACTGGCTGGTGGCCAAGTGTCTCGACTACCGAGCCGTAGACCGGTGTCCACACCAGTACGTATAACACCGGCCTTTCTTTCTCCACTTTCCATCTCTGAGTCGAAAAGAGAATGAGACAGGCGTGACACGAAAGAGCCTTCTCCCAGTAGCTGGAACCGCCATTGTAAATTCAGATTATGTCGCATTTGATGTTCTTTGAAGAGATGATGTAGGCATGAGTAGTCGATGAGAAGGGCTTGAGACGAGATAATCGGGGCAAGGGAAAGATGGAGGCCAGATGTCAATTCCGGGCCGAAGTGGCTTCTCTGCTCAATCGGCTCAGGCTCAAATCTCCGGGCTTTGTCAATCAGTTGGTTGAAATTATCGCTCGAGAGAGCCATTCGGTTTGTAAAAGGCCCGGAGATTTGGTTTTCATCGTCGATGTCGAAAATCTCAAAAGTTCCTCTCATGGCACTTGCTTCCGCCGACTGTTTGGCACCCTGTGTGGGTGCTTCAGATGGAGTAGATGAAATCGCTGGCTCTCCTCGGTGATATCTTTTAATTTCAGCGCGAAGATTGGATTCATACTTCTGGGCCTTGGTCTGAATGTGCTCGATGTCAGCCCAGGTGGTCGCACAATGTAAATGAAGACGGCCAGCTCGGGAAAGAACATCATGCCGCGCGATAGGATGGTTCGGATGTGACTGCTTCAGCATTCGAAGGCTTCGTCCACTCTCGAAGATGGAGTGTGCTTGATCAGCAGGGACGAACGACGGCATGTGGTCTGCTTGGAAGACGTGCTCGATTCGTGCCGGTCCAGTTTTGAACTTGCCAGGCTGATGAACCTCTCGCTCGATAAATGTTTTACCACCAGCGATTGATTCTTCAAGTGCTGCATCTTCAGGTCGAAGCCCGATCCAACCGTCGATGAATTTGAACCATGGGTCGGTAACTCGAATCACCATCTCATGCAACAGGTTCTCCATCCAGCCAAACTTCTGAGCAAAGGAGGCTGCACGCTGCGTCACAATTGATATGATTTGTGCATCTGAGGAAGCCTTTTGAGCTGTGCTGACAATAGTAGCCAATGCACCCATCAGATCCCCGCAACGGTCAAACAAGGCCCTGATTTGGAGTAGTGAGGCGAGTTGCTGGGAGTGGCCAAAGATCTGCTGCTCGAGATTAAAGACGACAACAGCGACTATGCGGCTCAGAGTGAATAGAGCGGACAGTTCTTTGCACATTGCGGGAGGATCTTGCGCGAATAATCGCATCTGGTGCATATTGGTGCCACACTGTAGCACATAACCAACGACATCGTCTAATGCCATAGAGCTGACACCGGAGACTCTAATATCCTTGGTCTCTTTCTCAAACTGATACGTGGTTTCGTTGTACCGAAAGAAAGATGAGTTCCAGCCCAACCCCAGACGAAACAGAGACCGAATGTACACATCTGTTTGAGCTAGTCGATTTGGTTTCTGTTTTTTTATCAGTGTCTGCTTTGCCAGGGCTGCATCAAATCCCCTCGGGCCCGATTCACTGAAGTAAGCAGATACCGGCTCTTGAAAGGGCCTCTCCGTAAATTTTTCCCAAGTTTGTTGCGGGATGACTTGGGCATCGTCTTCTCGTAGTATGTCCAAGGACCAAAGGTTGTTCTCTTCCTCGGCTGTGTCTGCTACAGGGTCAGATGGCGCATCGGATAGGCCTTCTATGGAGGAATTGATGATTGAGTCGGTAGCTGATTCAGGCGGCTCCAAGTCATTTGGAAAGAAGTCGAGCTTCCATAGCGACGTATCAATTTTTTCTTTGGGTTCGCTAGGTGCCTCGAAGCAAGTTCTCGGAATTTCTAAGCAAAAAGCCGATGTTATTGACAGTTCTGGGAGATTTCTGGCTGGGCCTTACCAGGTAGAGCAGCGTGCCATGGTAGAGACTCCAGCGGCTGCAGAGCTTCTATGCTGAATTTGGAGAGTCGCCAAAGATTCTCACTGGAGAACGGATCCAGCTGATCGCATTGATCCATAGCGAGACCATACTCAAGAGTGTTTGTTGAACGCGCGATTCCCGCGATGGAGATGGCTATCGCAGTGCACGGACCCTTGATAACAGAAAGTGCCTCGCCGACCTCGAAGCTCAATCATCACCTCTACCTTCCCCTCCAATTCAGCCCAACAGACCTCTTTTGGTCCCTGCTTCCAATATCACAGTCGCAATGCCTCCAAGAAAGAAAACAAAGCGCGCACATTCGCCCACACCGCAAGATGATACGACGGCGCTCTCAAGCGCAGACACACCCGGATCAAACGATAGCGTCGACAAGCCAGACACAGACTATGACCTCATCTCAGATCCGTGGACAGACGAGCAAGAAACTGCCTTGCTCAAGGCGATCATAAAATGGAAGCCAGTTGGTGAGTGCCGTTGGCGCATCTACTTTGTCGACAGTGCGACTAACCGTTTCGTCCCAGGTCTCCACAAACACTTCCGGATGCTAGCTATTTCCGATTACCTAAAGAGCCAGGGGTATGCGCCCTCTACGGCTGAACATATGCGGATTCCGGGTATCTGGAAGAAGCTTGGGACATTGTACAATCTGGAGGCGCTTGATGAACGTGTAAGTGAAACTGGACGAATTGTTCGCGCCGCTTTTCAGCTGATGTATACCACGCTTTTAGGAAGATTCTGTAATCACCAACGAGGACGAGGAGGGGTCGAGCGAGATGTACTGTTCGTTCGACCTACCGTACGATGAATACGGCGACATGATGTTTGAAAGACGGTTGGCCATGGAAGGCTCTTCTTCGCCCGTCACCAGCCGTGCGAGCCGAGCAGGCGAGTCGCGGCGAGGTAGTACAGTCGCGGATACAGATGGTAAGTGTTAATACGTCTATTGTCCTAACACCGAGGCTGACTCCTGTCTTCTACAGAACCACGATCTTCTCCAGCGCCATCACGAGGTCGCAATACCAACCGAAGCGCGCGTACCTCGACAAGGGGGACGCGATCCACCAGACTGCAGGTCGAGATTGGCACAGGGAGCCAAGGAAAGGTATCAGACGAAGGTGGTGACGGTGATTCAGAAGAGGAAGACACCGGTGGAAATGATGAGGATGATGAAGAAGGAGACGAGGTCTCGGATGCCAACAGTGACGAGGAAGAAGGTGATGGTGAGAAGGGAGGTTCTCGCAGCACTCGAGCCCAAACTTCTCGATCCAAGGCTAAGGATAAGAAGCCTTCAGGTGGTACTGCCACGCGCAGGACAGGCCGACGGCGTTGAGTCGAGTGGATTTTTATCGATACCTATGGAGTATGGGGGCGTTTATATATTTCCAGTTAGATGTACGATTATGCAAGCACCTTGTACTCTACGGCCTCTATGGCATTAGCAATCATTATGAATACTCGATCAGCATCCGAATCACTATAGCGGATATTCTCAACACAACATTCGAATTCGCGAGAAGCACATCAGAGTAACCACAAACGTAGGTATATTTCGATCGCTATAGGTCTAATGTCGTTCGAAAGTACAAAGGGAATAGATCAAAGGGTCATAGTACAGAGGATCGGAGCAGCGACTCGATTACAGGCGCGACATGATAGCCTGGGCGTACTCGTGGGTCTTGGCCTTACCACCAAGGTCACCGGTGAGGGCCTTGCCCTCCGCGAGGGTGTCGAAGGTGGCCTTCTGGATGCGGGCAGCGTGGTCGTGGAGACCCATGTGCTGCAGCATCATGATGGAGGACAGGAGCAGAGCAGTGGGGTTGGCGAGACCCTGGCCAGCAATGTCGGGGGCGGAACCGTGGACGGCCTCGAAGATAGAGCACTCGTCACCAATGTTACCGGAGGGGGTGAGACCGAGACCACCAATGAGACCGGCGCACATGTCGGACAGAATGTCACCGTACAGGTTGGGCATGACAAGGACCTTGTCGTTGTAGGGGGTGGGGTCGGTAACGATCTTGAGGCATGAGTTGTCCAGCAGCTCAGCGTCGAACTCGACGTCGGGGAAGTCCTTGGCGATCTCGCGGGCGGTGTTGAGGAACAGACCGTCGGACATCTTCATGATGGTGGCCTTGTGGACGACGCGGACCTTCTTCTTGTTGATGGACTGCGCGTACTGGAAGGCGAAACGGAGGACACGCTCGGAAGCCTCCTTGGTGATGAGCTTGATGCTCTGGACGACACCGTCAACGACGACGTGCTCAATACCGGAGTATTCACCCTCGGTGTTCTCACGGATGAGAACAGTGTCGACGTTGTCGTAGGGGGTCTTGTAGCCAGCAATGGATTTGCAAGGACGCAAATTGGCGAACAAGTTGAAGGTACGACGGAGAGTCAGGTTCAAAGAGACGTGACCCTTACCAACGGGAGTCTAGATACATTGTTTAGTGTCGCAATTCAATTGCAACCAAGGCGTTGACATACAGCGAGGGGACCCTTGAGGGCGACGAAGTTGCGGCGAACGGAGGCAATAGCATCGTCAGGGATGGCGGTCTTGCCGTCCTTCAGGATGGGAGTGACATCAACGGATTCCCACTTGACGGGGGCCTGTAATTGGTTTAGTGTTTGTTGCAGGGTCGATATGCAGGAAGATAGCTACCTTGGCGGCCTCGAAGATGTCCTTGACGGACTGAGCGATCTCAGGACCAATACCGTCACCCTCAATCAGAGTAACAGTGTACTTGCCCTATTTTAAAGAAAGGATTGGCGTTAGTAAGGTGTAATTTTACGCGCGATCATGGTCGTTGGCATCGAATTGTGCTCGGTGTGCGCAACGCGGCTGGCGCCGGCATGCATGAAAAAAAAAGGGCTCGGCGGAACGAAAACGTACATCGGAGCCCTTCTGGCCCTTGAACTTGGCAACAGCCTCCTGGGCAGGGCTGGCGTAGAATCGCACCTAATCAAAACAAGCAAGGTCAGTCAATTGAAGATTTGCGACTGAAAGACGAGGGGAGGGGTTTGGTACCTGCGAGATGGGAGCAACAAAGCTGGGAGCCACACGGGGGAACCGCAGGGTCTGGCGAGCAGCAGAGAAGTTCCGAGCAGCGAGCATCTTGAACGTCGGGGATGAGGCAAAGATAGAGGGTGGTGGGGAGAAGGGAAGAAGGAGAAGGGGAGAAAGAATCAAATCTCTCGGCGCCGCCCCGATCCGACCGGGACTCCCACCGCATTGGTGGTTTGATGTCCCCCCGGGCCGAGTCCACTCTCTATCCACAGCTCCAGGGTCTTGACAGCTTCATCGATACAATACTGTCCATGTATCTAGAGGATTGGAGATATTGATTGCATTTCTCTCTTGTTGTTTGTGCCACCCCCCGGCAATATGGCTGACCTCGACGTCGCGAGCCACTACAGCCTCCCTTCAGAGTTCCCCGAAGAATGGCCGGCAGCTCTGGAGGAAGCTGATCAGCTTGACGAAGAGCCTCTTCAGAGGGCAGACTCTCGTCCGCGCAAATCACGATATTTCGCCCTTGAACGCAGCCCCAGTGATTGGAGAAACAACTTTGGTTCACGACGAGGGAAGGAGGGCAGAGATAATGCGCAGAGCGACGAGCCCGACCCATTGGGGACAGGTGACAGCGTCCTTCGCATCCTTAAGCAACGCGGAATACTTCTAGATGATGATGGTCGCCAACGAGCCCGGTTCCTGTTATCATCGACCTCGTTCTCCCCTGCACTCTTCCTGTCGCAAGCGCATTCCCAGGCATCCATCGAATCGCTCATGAGCGGTTTGGACAACCTCTCGCAATCCATCGATCAGAAGTCCGCGTCGCTGAAAGTTTTGGTGGAGGCTAACTTCGAACGTTTCGTCCGCGCCAAGGCAACTATCGATGCCGTGTACACTGAGATGAGGAACCAGGGCATGGAGAAGGAACCAACTCTAGCTCCCCGCAGATCAGGTCACTTCCGAAGCTATTCAGGTCAAAATCACAGTCAATCCCCGGCCCCAGCGGTGACTCCCAAGAAGACCGCGCTCACGAAAGAGAGCGAATACGGTATGAAGGGTATCCGAGGTCCTTTAGTGGAAGCTTCCGTGAAGGCCGAGGAGGTCTGGGGGCCAGCTCTTGGAGGTCGAGAACGAGAACAAGTATTGAAATCAGTGGTTGAGACGATGGAGAAACACCGGGAGGCCTACGAGATTGGAAGTCTGCTGTCCAAGTCGATTCAACAACGAGATTACGATTCTGTTTTCGAGCAATACACCAGAGCTAGAACTCTTGCTAATGGAGCTAAGAACATCGCAGACCAAGCTTCTAGTGCCCGCCGACAACTAAACGATTCTGAGACGCATACGATCTTGACCATGGGCCGCATGTGGATGGATGTCGACCAACAAATCCAAGACTTCAAGCGCGATCTCTGGAGGCGTCTTAGTGATGCACCTACTACATCTACCACAAGCACTGCGTCTGGGCCCGTGGAAGAGCATATGGAGCTGATTGGAGCTTTGTTGGAACTGGGCGTCGAGGACAACCCTATTTGGACATGGCTACAAAGTCGTTATGCATTCTTGAAGACGAAGATCACAGTATTTTGTGACCGATGCAAGGTCGAAATTGAGATTTTAAGAAGACGGCTTGCTGCTGGAGAGAGGCCAACTCCACAAGCTACGGCATCCTACCTTCGCCTGGCACCTCGTGATGGATTAGCAGAATCTCCGGAGAGATTGGACACCGATCAGGTTATCGAGCTCTGGGAATGCGTACAAGCATTCCTAACTCGACTCCTTTCATCGCAGAGCGGTTTACTGGGAGAAGTACTGGATTTCTGGGAAGTAGCCCAGTCTTTCATCGATGGCAACCGACAGCGACTCCTACCTGTCGGCTTTGAAGGGGAGAGCCGCAAACATCACCGACTTTCGAGTAGTAGCGTCAAGGAGTTGGAGACAGGCGTGGTGGAACTAACCAATCTCATCCGACAGAACGTCCTGGCCCTCTTCACGGAACTTCCAACTGAGGACGTCTCATTACTCTTTTCCCCAGTCCCGGCAAGTCCGTCAAGTCCGGAGACAAGAGGAGTCACTCCAACGGAATCACGCTTCAAGCTGGATCCAAAGAACCTACCAATGCCTGTCCCGAAATTGGGTGAACCCTGGGAGGAGTATGCCTTCTGGCCACCCTTCTCCAATTCACTCAGTGGAGTGCATTACTTGAGCAAATTCCTCATTATCTTGGGCACCGCTGCCAGTGAAATGGCGTCCTTGCAGCCCGTTGCTAGTACTGGAAAATCACATGATCTTCTCAGGTCTCTTGTCGGTGTTTCTAGGGAGCGATGTGCCCGTGTGGCATGCGCTGCTTGGAACAAAGATGCAGAGATCTGCAAGATGTTGGAGGATTGGACCCGTGATTTGGAGAATCGAGATCTTACCAAGATGCCCGGGTTCTTTGTGGCGTTCGAGGGTGCTATCCTTGGAGGCATGCAGAAAATCCTTTACATCTCGGAGGCAGGGGCAAAGCCAGGCTCTGTAGATGTTATCACTCAACCGCCTGCGAAATTGCTTCAAATGGTTCGCTCTCAATTTGCTTCTAGTGTCTACAAAGCACTGAGCGGGCTGGTCGAAAACGCTGAGCGTCCAACCAGTGTTGAAGAAGAGAATGAATGGGTGATTTCCCGGCCAGCAATCACTAGTCAAGCCACCGATGCTGCTATGTCGGTTCTCTCGGCAGACTCTGTAGACTCGTGCAACAGGGTTAGTATCAGCACCGATTTTATTGCCTTCAGATCACTAACCACAGGACAGAACGTCCGAATCCTCCTTACTCTCTCGAATCTCAAGGCCCTACAGGCCGAATATGTTCCACAGCTGATCTCCAACTTCGAGAGCGCTTTCTCTGTTAAACTGACCGAAGAGGCCAAGACTGTCCGGGATGTACTTAGCCAGATCGAAGACCGACTATTCCAGTCATATGTCAACCCAACTACAACCATATTAAACGATACCATCACCGCCGGCATTGGATCCCCTGACTGGGTGCCCTCGATTGATCGACCAGAGCAAGTTCGACCATATGTCTACAACACTATGCTTACCATGGTGCTTGTCCACACGGAGATCTCTACGACCATCCCGTCAACCGTATCGCCGACCCCCAACCCGCAAGCTTCCAGGGCATCTTCTAAACTTTTGGCTACTGTATTGACACATCTCGTGACGCAAATCTGCTCATCTCTGCTCGCGGCCTTCCGTGCCCGTTCCTCCTTTTCGCTAGCAGCTCTAATGCAAGCAACCCTGGACACCGAGTTTATCGCACAGTCACTATCTCAATACGCAACTGAAGAAGCATCAGGCATGCAAAGCCAAATCTACGTCGAGCTAGATGCCCGCACAACAAATGAAGCCCGAGTGAAACTCCAAGCCGAACTCGGAGAAATGAGAGGCATTCTGAAGAGACTCCGAGACAGGACGAAGGGCGAGTTTGCCTGTTTCAGGAAACGCAGCTCAAATAGCTCCAAATCCTCAAGCAGCTTACAGACATAGCGAACCCCTTAACTGAAGTAACAATATATCGAATTCATCATGAATCTTTCTACTTCCAAAACGGGTATCACGAAAACATAGTCCACACCACATAAACATGTAGCTCTCACTGACCCATCCTCATCCAAGGCTCCATCTAATTCTGTCCAACCATGCGCTGCACACGACTCAAAAGCGCATTACTCTCCCTCCCCAAACGCCTCTTCCCAAACTGATCAGGCCGCTTAGCCCGAAGCATAGCCTCCCGCTCCTTCTGCTTAGCCTCGCGATCCTTCTCCCTCTTCTCAGCAGCCCTCTTCCTTGCCTCAGCAATTTCAATCTCCTTCGAAAACGCTGAAGGCTTAGGTCTGCGCTCTCTGCGTCCCTCTCCCCTCGGACGGCGTTCGGGTCTAGGTGCGCGCTCAGGTGCAGCTTCAGGCTCGGGCTCGTTCAACATGGCGATACGGTCCGGGTGCAGTTCAAGAGTTGTGGCGTCTTTGGCGGCGGGTTCATCTTTCTTTTCGGTCTCGGCGTCTTCGTCTACGTAGGTGTCGTAGACGGACTTTTTGGGTGCGATTGCTTCTTCTTGGGCTTTGATCTTTGCGTAGGCTTTCTTTACTTTGGCTTTTTGGATCAGGTCGTTTTTGAGCTTCTGGGCTGTTTGGGGAAACTCGTTAGTCTTGGTCTTGTTTGGCTGGCGACGTTGTTTTGCTTACTCTTTCGTCGATATGTGCCGTCTGGGAGGTTTGCTGGTCCAACGCTGAAGCCCTTGCGCTTCTTGATTGCGGGCTCGGCCTTTGTTGCTGGGGCTGAATCGCCATCGTGGGTGCGTTTCGGTGCCATTTTTAGAGGGTTGACAGTGGCTGTCTTGGAGTTGGAATTGGGTTGTGTTGAAGGGCGGAGAAGAAAAAAAAAAGTGGCGATCTCCGCATGAAACTCCGGTAACAGTCAAAGAATAGATCAGTTGGACATAGGAGACAGCTACGATTACTATGGTTCTACCGTTATTTATATCATGTTAATTGAATCGAGAACTATCACTTGATCTTTTTTTGGGGGGATCTTCGTCTTGTCTTCTTGTCTTGTCCGCCTAATATGTTCAAGACAAGCAAGTCTTCGCCGATAACTCCCTAGCTGCTCCTCACGCCCTCACTTTCTTTTTTCCAGCCTTTACCAACCACGGCCAACTATCTCCTTAGGCTAGCCTGCAGCTACTTTGGTGCCCGATGCCCTTCTTTGTCCAAAAACAGTCGCATTTGCATTTCAACGTCACTACGTCACATGACGTCTGAGTCAGGATCTCCATGATCTGATCGACGCCCAACGCTCAAAGGCTTTATTTTTCTCTTAGATATATCCCAGACTGGGTCGACATTCGGGCGAGTACAGAGTGAACAGCTCCATTGTCTCTAACGAAATCGCATCCCATGACGTGATCTATAGAAGCGCAGTCTTCCTCGCCAATCACTTCAATATACCCGAATCATCTCGCACACCGCATCCAACTTCCCCCCGATCGGCTCTGGTTTCAGATGGTGCTACGTCTCCTGAGATGTCACACTTATCGTTTTAGGCCTCCTAGTCCGCCCTTATCACGCCATGCCCCTATTTCGAGATCCGGATCGGCGGCGCCATTATCTATGGTCACCAGACCATAGACAAGAACAACCAACTACAGGGTCCTCCGAGTCCCTCAATGATCTTCACCACCGAGTTTCACAAGATTTTGCAGAACCTGTGTCTAAATATTCAGAGCTCTCGCTGCCAACGGAGCCGGACATGCCAGGACCGTGGTCCAACGACCGGGAGGAGCTCATACATCGTATCAAGGAATCTTCGCCTTGGAGACTTCAACCCGTGGTATGTGGAGCCCTTGCCAAACCTCTCTTTTGACGTACTTCTTTTGTTTCGGGTTTTTGTCGTTGAGTCCCTTTGTCATCATCTCTCTCGGGCCGTAGCTAACATCTATCATAAGTCTACTGACAGGGAAGATGGTGACGTCTTCATGCCCCGCAGGTCACAGGAACAGCATCAAAGTGTAGAACAACATCAAGAACCTTCTACTGAATATCAACATCGTATAGATGAGACAGAAGAACTGGGATCGCCGGCCGATATCCAGAGACCTCGGTCAGCGTTACACTCAGGCGACTTCAGAGAAGGCGCCACAGATCACCATGATCCACCAACTCCCAGGCCTCTATTTAAGGAGCGAAGTACAGCTTCTCCTTTTCCTCACTTGAGTTCTTCTCCTACAACTCCCTGGTTTGGAGCTCCGGCATTTGCATCCTTACAAACACCAGCCACATCAAATGGCAATCCGCAATCCATTCCGTTCGGCGGGAACACCCGTGCTCGGGCACCTTCATTGGGTTCGTTCTCTTCAAGCTATGTGCTCAAGGCTCCAACAAGTCCGCTAGTATATCAAGCAAATAATACGGACCTGGATTTTTCGCCTCGCATCGAACCCGTGGATGTATCGGACCCTTCAGAGAAAGCGAACCGCCGCCGCACGTTGCCCCCAGAGACTTTCGGACATTTTCAATTTGCTCCGCCAAGCCAAAGCCAACATGCCTTGAACATTGGCAGTCCATGCCCGCCCGGGAGACAGCGGGATTTGTTCGCCAATCAAAACTCTCATCCTCGCCGTTCATTGACTTCAGCCTATAGTCTTCAGCTTGCACCATCACCTGCTGGTCAGGTCCTGCCATCTCATTTCAGAAGGCCATCTCTGAGCGGAGACAACTCGTCTAAACCACATGCTCCGATGGTAGGTTCTTACGAGGAGTCCATCTTGCGGGGACGGATGTCCATGAATCCTTCCAAGCCGCTGGATTTCACGGCTCAGATCGGTGTGCTTGGAAAAGGCAAATGCAAAGGTCACCTTAAATGCCCACCACATGTTACGGTGCCTTTCCCAGTTGTTTTTTACAGCTACCCGACCTCGGGCAGCGGACGGTCTATCTCAGATGACAACCCGAGTCCATATGTGGGACAAATTGACCTGGAGAACTCACTTCCAAAAGAGCATGAAGCTCCAACTAGACGTCGCAGGCGACACGCAAGTCCAGCAGTACATCGAGAAGACCCACCTGGTACAGATGGAGCAAACGTTCCCCGAATGTCCGAAGCAGACAGTCGCCGGCGCAGAGAGAAGAAGAGTCGCAGGTCCGAATCACCTAAATGCCCTCCGGGGGGGTCTTATCGAATACCACAGCAAGGCCAGCTGCAGATCATAATCAAGAACCCTCATAAAACAGCAGTCAAGCTGTTTTTGGTTCCGTATGACCTCGGGGATATGGAGCCTGGTACAAAGACCTTCATTCGGCAACGCAGTTATTCGGCTGGTCCGATCATCGACATGCCACTCAGTGCACGAAAGAACTTTGGTACCGATCGTCCGGAGGCTTCTTTAAATGCTACCGAAGATCCTCAAGACAAACCGACTCTGCGATATTTGATCCATCTAAATATTTGCTGCCCCGCAAGTGGGCGCTTTTATCTGCATTCGAGCATTCGGGTGGTATTTGCCAATCGGGTTCCAGATGGCAAAGAGAAGCTACGAAATGAAATTCAAACTCCTGAGCCTAGATATAGCTCATACAAACCTTCTCGAGATTCTTCGCCGGCGACAAGTGCGAATGCACGAGCGGCGATTGAGAAAGCATCTCGCAGAAGGAGTGTCGGCCAGGGATCAATCCCTTCCTTCCGTCCTCATTTGTCGTCACCAGGCGGCCTCCCCTCGCAGCTAGAGGTTCCAACACCCATGGATCTTGATGATTCCTTCCACCTAAGTCCACGTTCGCAAACTTCGTCTCTGTATAACAAGCTCACCAAAGATGATGTGGGATACGGGGGCCATCCTTTCATACCGAGTCAGACTGGTCCGGAAGTCGGTGAGAGCTTGCTTGCGAAAAGACTCCGAGGCCTCGATGTCCATCGAACCGAATCATCCTCCGTGGATGAGCGCCATCCGCACTCACTGGACCTTCGCAGCCGACTCCACCCCTTTCATAACCATCATCGTCATCATTAAACGAGAGCCTAGCACATTGTTCTCCTCAATCTCCTTCTCCCCACCTTATACGCATCTTTTCCGGCACATTCTCATTGGTATAATATTTACCTCCCACCTACTTCTATCGTGACTTCACTTGTACCTCAACCATCAATCTATTGCAAGTTTAGAACAGGACAACCAAACCAAAAACATGAAAAGAGAAGAAACCCCTCACCAATTTGGCACCAAAGGCGCACCGGTCTGCCGCCGATCACTGTTCATACTAACCCAAATAATAGCACCCACATTCACACACCGCGATGAGTGTTTCATTGTCTCCTTTTTGTATCTTGGACATTCGTTTTTATTTTCAATGCTCGTGCTCTTTTGGTATATATGGGTTTAGGTTTACCCAGGCGCCTGTGTTGTTGACTATACCCCCCTATCTTTCTTGGTCTTTCTTTAGTTATATTGGAGGGTTTTTAGGTGTATATATCATCTAGGCTAGTTTGGTCGATTTTGAAGTTCAGACTTTTGAATATAAATATAATCTTGGAAGTAGGTATGTTTGACTTGTGGTAATTGGGTATATCCCGGGTGCTTAACATGGTCACGTACGGAATCTCCAGAGGGGATGCACAGGACTGGTGGTGGCCTGCTACTCAGCAGCGGGTTTTCCATGGGGAGCCACATTGGCAGCCAGGGGGCCTGCCTCCATACTTGACTGTAATATCGATTTTGGGGGTTGCCAGAAGGCTTGTGCGAGTGTACTTCTTCCTTGATTTGCTTTGTTCCTTTATATGTCTGGTGCAGAAGAGGTTCTGGTTTTATGGAGGACAATGGTTGACGGAACAGACTGTGGTTTGAGGGGGTTTTTTGATGCTATTGAGAGTGTTTGACTTTTGTTTTAGCTGTAAGTATGATACATATCCTCCATGCGATTTGTTTTGAACTTGACACGCTAGATGACTCAATACCATCTGCTATATAAGTGTTATATGCGATACTATCGACCATATATAAGCTCTTAAGAGTCCGGTATCATTGTCGTTTTCGAGCCCGGTTATGAGTGTGATAGGACCGGAATAGTTATCTCGAATTGGTTTGTTGGTCGCCTTTAAAATCTATTCCCCGAAGCACATCTTACTTTTTATGGCTATCTTCAAAAGAGGTTCAAAATATTCAATCAAAGACAAAGGATGAACAAGTCTGAGATCCTGCGATTCTATCTACAGAGCGCTAGATAAAGCAATCAAAAATTATCAAAAGAGCCCCGGCCTAGGATGAAGTATGTAGTGACTTCTACCTAGGAACAACGCGAATAAAGAATTCTCCAGCCCAGAAAGGAAGGTTTCCTGGCCTCTTGAGTACGAAGTCTACTTAACCGGCATGCTCAACGATCTCGCTCACGAGCACACCATCCTTGATGTAGCTCTTGAACTGCTCGGGCAGAGGGCATTCCTTGGTGTCCTCATCAGTGCCCTCCTTAGGAGGAAGGTTGATGTTGATGGCAGAGGACTTGCTGGTGAAGATCTCAGTGTTGAGACTCTGAGGGCCAAGGTAAACGGCAGCGCCGTCAACCTGGTCCAAGAGCAGGGTAGGGGCAGTGCCGTCGATCTGGAGAGCGAACTTGGGACACTTGATAACATCAAGACTACTGACGAGTGAGTCAACGATGAGAGAGAGACCATTACAGTTATCGATAGCAATGGCGTTGGCCTTGTTGGTGACCTTGATGATGGTCTTGTTGCAGCGAGTGATCAGGATAGACTGGTTCTGCTGGGCAGGGATCTCAATGATATCACCGGGGTTGTCGAAGTTCTCGATGAGCCACTTGTTGCCCTCGAGTTCCTTGCGAGGCGGCTTACGGGTGCGCATGTTCTCGGGCTTAGGCTTCTTGCTGGGTGCAGGCGACTTCCCGCGGTTGGCGCTGGAGCCCTCTGTGACGGTCGAGCTAGCGCGCAAGCCGGGGTTCTTGTGGGTCATCTCTGACTTGTCCACCTTGCGGAGGCTGGAGGTGATAGCCTCGCCCTGGTTGAGCTGGTCGAACACAGCGCCCATGTCGGGAGCCGGGGCTGCAGGGGCGGGAGCGGGAGGAATGCCAGGGGGAGGTGGTGGGGGAGGAGCACCACCGCGGGGCACGTTGAGAGAAGGAACTGGAGGAGGGGGAGGAGGAGGAAGAGCACCGCCAGCGGGGGAAGAAGGTCCGCCCTTTGCCTGCTTCAAAGCTTCCAGAGCGTCAATTCCATTCTCGTTGTTCCAAGTCAGGCCCTTGGGGAAGTGCTTCTTGAGGTATTCGGCGAGAGACTTGAAGTTCTGGGTGTAGGCCTTGATATAGTCGACATGCGTACGGTCCCTGTCAAAACGTCAATGTACAGATCTTGCAGCTTGTCAGCAGAGTACTCACTTGTCCTTGTACTCCTTCAACACCTTGTTTCCGTAGTAATCAATGCCACCAATCATGTCCGCGACGAATTCAGCGGGCTTGCTTTCAAAGAACCAGGCGAGCGCAACAATGCCCTCTGCGACAGCGCTGAGGTGGTTGAACAACGGAGACGCACGGTTTGACTCGCGGATGTTATTGATGCTGTCCGAGGCCTTGTGCAAATCGGTCATCAGCTCTGGGGGCTGGGTATCGGGCTTCTTGGCCTTTGTGACAACGTAAAGATAGGTGCGCTCGGCCTTGAAGGCTTGCATGACGGCTTTCGACTAAATTGTAGTCAGTCACAAGTCACTGCGGAAACGATACCAGCCAATCCTACCTGCTCGGCAACCAGACCGCCAATCTTCTCGCCCAGGTTCACAAAGTTCTGAACATCGCCCTTGATCAAGGCATCGAAGTCTTCGATCTGCGGCGGGACCGGAGCTGCCACAGGAGCTGCGGGTGGGGGAGGGGCGGGCTTGGGGGGTTCGGGAGTAGCGGGCACAGAAGATGAAGCGCCGCCCATAGATTGTGGTGAGCTGGGGTCATCGAGTGACATCGCCATATCCTCCAAGCGGGAGGTGGCTGCCTCGAGCCTATATACCGAAGCGCATGGTCAGTCAAGGATATGGAGGAATTGTCGTACGGCTTAGGCGGAATTCGAACATGGCTCAAGCACAGTACAATAAGAAAAAAGCGCGCAACGAGGATACATACCGCTTGATGAGGGTGGTAAAGTTATGCATATGGCCGCCTGACGCCATGATAGGCAACACGTAGCTCCAACGGTTGGAACGAAAAGGAGGGAGGAGGTAGATTAAGTGCAGTGGAGGATGCAGGCAACGAATAGACTATCAAGTCTCCTGCAATATATCAAGGCAAGTTAAGTTAAAGAAACAGGGGAAGGAAGAAGAAGTCCGGAGCTCCTGACTGCAGGTCCGGGCTCCAGGCCCACGGATACAATACGGTACGAAGGGGTGGGCTGACACAATGACGTTGTATGGTATTCTTCGTATTACCCTTACAATATGTATCTATGATCCACTTCGGGAGTTGATAGACATTTGTTTCTCTTGTTGTCTTCACTCTCCTCTTCTTTGCCATTCGTCATATAGATCAATTAGAACTACAGGGCTAGAGTCATGTCTCAGGGTCAACATGAGGTCGACTTCTGCACTCTGGGAATGTTCATCCTAGGTATGGTATACCCTTATCCGTTCAATGAGGGATATCAGCTCACACTGTCTAGATGACATTGACTTCGGTGGCTCAAGACCTGGAGTTAAGAACATACTCGGTGGTGCAGCCTCATTTGCGGTCGTGGGTGCCCGTTTGGTTTCAGGCTCCAAATATGCACAATCCGTGAGCTGGATCGTAGACGTTGGCTCTGATTTCCCTCCCGAGACCCTAGATGTGATCAAATCATGGAACACAGACTGTCTCTTCCGGGAGGATTTCAGCCGATTGACTACCAGAGCCTGGAATGGATATCATCCAAACGAGAAACGAGGTATGTATCTATTGATGCTATAAAATATCGCTGGAATGTACGTGCTGATTGACCCCGCAGACTTCAAATACTTGACCCCCAAGTTGAGACTCGAGCCCGAGATGCTATCGGACACTCAGATGTGGTCCAAGACATTCCATATGGTCTGTTCTGCGTCCCGTTGTATCTATATAGTCGATTATATCTTACAGCGGCGAGAAGAGTTGCAAAAGGCGGGCAAAGCTCCGCCTGCGGTGGATACTTCCAAGCGTCCCATCTTTGTCTGGGAGCCAGTTCCTGACCTCTGCACCCCGGAGGAACAGGAGAAGTTCTTCGCTGCAAACCATGTCGTGGATGTCGTGAGTCCTAACCACATGGAAATCGGCATGATGTTTGATCAGCCCGGTTGGAGCAAGGACAGTGACGAAAGTCAAAAGCTGGTCCACAAGATTATAGATTCCGGCATTGGTCATGCTGGAAACGGTCTACTAGTTATCAGGGCAGGAAAGGATGGTAGCTACGCTTACTCCAAGACTAGTAAGATCTGGCTCCCAGCATATCACCAACCTGATGCTTCTGGTGCCACGCCTGTGCTTGACCCCACGGGCGCGGGCAACTCCTTCCTAGGTGCTCTAGCTCAGGGTATGGTGACTACCGGTCGAGAGCCATTTCAGGCTATTGAGTCTGTTCTATCGCAGTCCGAGACCTGGAAGAAGGCCCTTGACTCTTGGGGCAACTTCCCGCAACACCCCCTGGCACTTATTTGCGCGACTGTCGCAGCAGGGTTCGTGGTGGAACAAATTGGTGTGCCACAGATCGATGTCGATGGAAACGAAAGGGAATTGTGGAATCAAACTGAATTCACGGAACGGGTCCGCCTGTACACGCAGCGATTATTGAGGACACTTGAGGAGTCTCCTCGGAAACACCTATTGACCGACTGATCAATGGCTGAATGAGGAACGCCCTTTTATTGTCGTACAGCACACAAATGAACAAATAGTAGAAAAACACGCAAGAAAAGGTTCCGTCTTGGTTCAAATCCTCTCACAACCGTCAATATCCTGGGTTTTCTTCATGACTCGTTCTTGGCGGCTTGTTGCGCCTCGTGCTCGCGAATCTGCTTGCTCCAGCTAAAGCAAGAATATATAGGTCAGCATCATACACAGAGTGATAGGGTCGGGGTGACCAACTATCGGCTGGGGAAGAACCGGCCGGGCTCGGGCATCTTGTCACGGTACTCGCGCTCGGCGCTGAGGCTGAAGGCAACGGCAGCGACACCGATCACGAAGGCGCCCATGATTGCAGTGTTGGCCCTCCAGTTGGCGGGCTGGGCGTACCAACCACCAGCGGGGGACCAAACTTCCTTGGGGTACCTGTCCGACTCCTATTAGCGTCTGGCGGGGATGTTGGGGAAGAAAACATACGGAATCTTTCCACCTCCACCCATTGTGACGAATATTCAATTGAAGGAGTTGTTGAACGGGGAAAGCGAGCGTAGGGCTAGATAGGTCTTGAGGTGGAAGCCGAAAGGGCCGTCTCAATTGGAGGTCTGCCGCCAAGCCACTAGGGATTAAATTGGCTTAGCGCGCTCTCACACGACCAGGCCATCCCGTGACTGCCGCGACAATTTCTCTTTCCTCTTCACGGCCAATTGATTGCGTTGCGATTCTCCCTCCCCTTGTATTATTTTCCTTTTTTGTTCTCAATTCCCTACAGTCGCCCAGATGAAGAGGCTGCAGCTCCAAAGATGGAGCAGCTCAGTACTTGGGCCGCGGACTCGGACTGTTAACCGTCTGCATCAACACATGTACGGCCAGCGGTATCAATCAACCGCATCTCCAATCCAGACCGGTCGTGTCCCTGAAGATTCAATTATCGAGGACTCAACACCCTTGGATGAGAAGCTGTCAGAAATTATCCGCATGTCTCATGCTCGCCACTCACAACTTCAATATCCCTCTCCCACAGTGGAAGCAGCACAACAATCCGCAAAACTTGCTGCCCTTCACGCCCGACTCTACCTTCCCTCCAGATTACCCGTTGAGACACTTGCACGGACACTAGTTGATGCATCCGCCGACTCGAACACCGACTTCAACAACACATCACTGGCCACCCTCGGTCACGACCTCCTTTCCTACTACACCACCGAGCACCTCATCTGCACATACCCTCGCCTGCCGCTGAGCGTGATCTTCGCCGCCATGTACGCATACGCTGGTCCCAAGACTCTTGCTGCTATGGCTAGGGAATGGGGTGTTGAATTGGCCTCCGTGCCCGGCGGAGAGGTCGACCCCGGTCTCTTGCAGTTCCAAAGACTGGAGCCTGGCTCTGAGGTTCCCGATACCCCAGCTTCCGACACAGTACGACCGTACGAACAACAGTTGAACTGGCGGAAAACCGTGACTTCCAAGGTCTTCTATGATGATGAATTCGGTGACCCGATCAAGGGAGCACCAAACACCACCGCGACTGGCGTCACTAGCGAGCAGGCCAGCGCTGAATTTGTTCGGGCAGTCATGGGTGCTATCTACTTGCACGCCGGCCGTGCCGCCGCCAAACAGTTCTTCGAGCAGCACTTCCTTTCACGACACCTTAACATTTCCGAACTGTTCAACTTCCGCAAGCCTGCCCGTGACCTGACCCGGCTGTGCGCACGCGAGGGCTTCGAGCGCCCAGTTGCCAAGATTATCAGCGAAACTGGTCGTAAGAGCAGGCACCCCGTCTTCGTGGTTGGTATCTTCTCTGGCAACGACAAGCTTGGTGAGGGCGCTGGCGCCAGTCTGATGGAGGGCCGTGAGCGTGCTGCTGTTGCTGCGCTCAAGGGTTGGTACCTTTACAGTCCGCTTTCCGTCCGTGTCCCCAGTGCCATGGAGGAAGCCTCCGCCGCTCCCTGGAAGCCCGTCCACGTTGACTTGGGTGAGGTTGTTGTTTAAGGTGTTGGTGCAATGGGATGCCTTGGTCCAAAGGGCACGGTAACATATTATTTCATGTCTTTTTTTCTTGCTTTTCTTTTTTCCGGTGTGCTATTCTTTCGCATGGGAAGCTGGCCGGCGGTAAAAAGAGTCATCTATCCCGTCTTTTGCATGACTGGACCCTGTACATTATGGGACGATCAATCCCTTCGATTCATCTGGTGTCTTCTTTTTTCCAATTTCCCTTACTGTTATATCATGTCTTTTTGTCTGCTATACTCTCCAGTCCAGCTCGGTCAAACGACAAGTCATGAACTTGGTGTTGACCCTGTCATTCAAATATAGAAGTGCCTCAGATATCCATCTAATGCACACCAAAATCATGTAATGGTTTCTTTGTTCTATTGTAGTTCACCAACTAATTTAACTATACCTTTCTTTACTCCGGATTCACAATCTCATCCTCCCAATTCCCACCAGCCCTCTCAGCACAAGCCGGATCATCCAAATAACACCCATACTCTTCCCACAGGTCCGCAACTCCAGTCCCAAACAAGCCCCTCCAAAATCCAACACGACCACCCACAGCTTCATTCCCTTCTTCGTCCTCACCAACATACCCAACCCTAAGCAACCGATCATTAAGCATCCCAACAGCCCCCTTCCCAACCCTAACATCCTCAAGCCAAGCCAAAAAGAAAGCCGTATGCTGATAGCCCGAATCCCACTTCTCAGACCTCCCCTCCTTAGACTGAGGCTTTTTCCAATGAGGCGGCTCAAGCCCAGACTTCAGCCTCACGAAATCGGCAATGCCCTCTATCAAGCCACCTGGTGGACGTGGAATATCACCCTCATCATCGCCCTCGCCATCGCCTTCTTTGTCATCAGCTGGCGGCGGAGCAGTATGCTGATAACAATGGACCAACTCATGCGTTAGAACGCCAACTAACTCATGAAGCGGATTATCCTTGGAGGTACAATACTGCACATAGGGAAGCGAGACATGGATCTCTTTGTGTGCATCATCTAGCTCCGTGCCCGTTGTATAAGCCACGCCACTATAGTCGCGGAGGAAGACTGTCACAGAGCGGGTTGATGGAATGCTAGGCGTGAAATGCGGTGTATGTGGTGCTGGTCTTGAGGGATTGAATGTATTTGCTTCTGACTCTGGTTTTGGTGACGTGTATAGGTGCTTGATTATGTTGCTCAAGGCCGTGTCTAGTGTTGAGCCGATGTCTGGGATGAAGGCGAGGAAGATGCTTGAGGCTGGGTGCCGGAGGTCTTCGACGTGTAGGCGGAGCTTGGGTTGTGGTTGCAGGGTCTTGGACTTGGGCTTTGTGAGACTTATTTGGGTTTGCTTTTCTTCTGTTTTTGGCGGTTCGCGCTGGTAGTTCATGTTGGGGATTGCGGTGGCGAAAGGTGAAGGCGCTGAGCTTGTCATGTTGATGTTGGCTGTAGTCTATGGTGTAATTGGCAATCTTGAAGATGTCTAGAGTGGCGGTTCTTTGCGAGTGAAGTATGTCCAGGGTTGAATGCGGAGGAAGGCGGGGTTGACTATATGCGGAAGCTGACGACGCCAACTTGATATTTGAGGAAAAGAGATACCTTCTTTTAGTCAAATCATGCTGTGTGAATGTGCTCTTTAGATCTATGCCATTTTTGGTCTTCTAAGTGGGGGATTGTTGGGTCTAAAATAAGCACCTTAAGGTGATCTATGATCCACTATGGCGATCTCGTGGGGTGATAATGCAGGCTTTTGAAATTTAAATCAAGTCTCTAGCCTGGAGTAAAGCGAGTGGGTGTGGCTCAGACCGCAAGTTGGTCTTTGAAGTGGATTGGTGTGGTTTTGTACTGCTGTAAGGTGTATATATTTCTTTCACCGATATTATACAAATCAGAGAGTAATTGACAAACAGGCTTTCAATTAGGATCGAACTAATGTCAATTGATCGCTTTTTACTACACTACTCGAATAATTTACTCACTGGCTTATATTTACTATTACATAGTTTTGTGATAAAATCGTGCATGGCGTTGCCATTGCGACCATTAGTGAGAAAAGTGGTAAACAAAACGCTAGAAACAGGATTGGGCTCAGTTGGTGTTCAGCCCAACCCCAATTGTACCAACAACATTGGAAGTAGAAGGATCACAAAGTACAGATCACAATTTCCACTTCAGTCCAAGGAGTACTCCATATTCACCCTTTGCCCCTTCTTGCAACTTGTCCCTCGCGCTTATCGGGACGCGCTTATCGCCCCTTGTTTTCCTCTTTCGCAACATCGCAACATCCCACTTGCAACACACTCATTGCTCTGCGCTCTCCATATTTGCGCCTCTGTATGTAATCTTCCCTCGTGCGCGTTACTCCTCCTTGAGCATCCGCAACTACGTCCCTCAGTCTCTTCCTCATAACCCGCTTCACCTCCCGCCCTTTTGCGCGATTCCCCGTCCCGTCCTTCGCCTATAAGCTCATCCGAGCGCGTTCATGTGATCTGCCTTTCTCTCGCGTCGCTGTTATACTGAGCCTCTGTGCAATCTGCTCTGGTATTGGAGACGTCTGCTAACTTTCGCTTTGGGTAGTGTCAAAGCCAACAACAAGTCCCCAGCCATCCACAGTGGCTCCCCGATTTACCCGACCACTGCATACAAATTGCGCCCTATTTGCATGACCTGTCCGACATAGGCTCAATCGAGATCCTACTCGCGAAATGGAGGCGAAAGCTTCAGAGCTTTTGGCGGCCTTCAAGAATCCCAACTTGTCTGTTGATTCAAAGGTCGCCTACTTGACTAGTGTCAAGTCCGATATCAAACAAAAAAATGTCCCAGAGGGCGCTATTCCGACAATTTTCGACACATTGCGCATTGCCATTAGCTCCCAACACTACTCCGTCTGCGGCGCTGGCTTGTCGACCCTCGGCCACCTCCTGAAACGCCTCACAATCCAAGACCAACAGCAATGGATCGTCAACCAAGCCCGCAACTTGTACACCCTCTTGTTAGAACGTCTAAATGACCACAAAGAACGAATCAGAACTCAGGCCGCGTCAATATTCACCGATCTGTGGCCTGTGGCAGGCAGTGAGGTCGAATATTATGTTCTTGAGGTTGCGTTGATCGGGAAAAACCCTCGGGCCAAGGAAATGAGTATGCTCTGGCTGTCAAATGTAGGTTGATGCACCCAGCAATGCTTGACGGATATTAACCGCACGTGTGCAGATGACCAAGAACCATGGTTTATTGTATCGCCAGCATGTTCCTGCTCTGGTTGCCTGTTTAGAAGATGCAGACAGTGGCGTTCGAGATACGGCCAAGCAGGTCGTAATTGAGCTCTTCTGGTGGGTCATTGCATTCCCTGTTATTGCATTATTTTCAACGAATGACTAACAGCAATCCAGCTCGGGACCCGCGAGAGCGAAATCTGATCTGCAGAAGCAAATCACAGCTCGCGGAGTGAGAAAGTCCATCGCAAATGCTATTCTCTCGGCCATCGGTCTAGGCTCAACCGAACCCGAGGCTGCATCATCTACACGACCTATTTCTCGTGCTGAACGCCCGATCTCAGTCATGTCGTCTCGTTCGCATGCTGTGGACCACACCGAAGATGGTCAGTAACCGGAATCTGTAACCACGGTGTTGGCCAACTACTGACTTCTCTACAGAAATGGAGCCCGTCAAGCGCCCGGCTTCAAGGGCTCACCGCGAACGACCGACTGCCCCTTTGGCATCTGCAGAACCACCAACCTACCACCGATCTCATACACCGGCAGGTGATCCACCACCCCAGAAGCCATTACCTGATGATGATGGTCTGGAACCCTTTGACGTAGCCTCAGCTAGAGACGTCGATGATCTTGTGCGTGACATGCTTCCCTGTTTCGAGGGAAGGGAGTCTGAAGATAACTGGTCGAAGCGTGAAAAGAATGTCATCCTTTTCCGCAGACTTACACGAGGTAATGCGCCGCACGACTTCACGCAGACCTATATCAGTGCCACAAAGACACTCCTTGATGGTATTTTCAAGGTTGTCAACTCTCTTCGAACCACAATGTCTACCAATGGAAGTCTTCTAATCCAGGACATGGCTCGCACATGTGGTCCGAGAATCGATTCCATGGTTGAAATAATCATGCAGAATCTGATGAAGCTCTGCTCAGCATTGAAAAAGATTGCAGCCCAGAACGGAAATGCAGCTGTTGACGCGGTTATTGGAAATGTCTCCTTTAGCATTCGTCTTCTGCAACATGTTTCATTTGCCGCTCACGATAAGAATGTCCAGTTGCGTCTATTTGCAACAGGATGGCTCACAACTTTGATCACTCGACAGGCCCATCAAAAGAGCACAGTTGAACATGGTGGTGGCCTCGATCTCGTGGAAAAGGCTATTAAGAAGGGTCTTGCAGATGCCAACCCTGGTGTTCGTGAGGCAAGTCGTAGTACTTTCTGGACCTTCTTCTCCGTGTGGCCTGAACGTGCGGAAGCGTAGGTTACCCCGTGTTCCCTCCATAGAAATGATGTGCTAACTTACCGAAAGGATAATGAATACCCTCGACGCCAAGTCACGGAACCTACTTGAGAAAGACTCGTCGAACCCGAACAGTGGCCTGAAGCCTGCTTCTGCATTGCCTGCGAAGAGCCCCGCCAAGAGTCGTAAGGCCCTGCAAGAAGCTATTGCTGCCCGTAAGAAGGCTCAAATGCCTTCTCGCCCCGAATCCGCTCAACCAGCTTTGTCAGCCCAGCAAACCTTCCCGGAGGCAAAGCCGCCTGCTACTGCTAAGTCTACTCGTACTGTGCCCACTGGAGCTCCCCTCTCTTCTTTGTCATCGGCACCTATGCGACCTGGCATGAAGCCCCGACGGGCAGAGTTGAGTCGTCCCGCAACCGCAGATCCATACGCTCGTCGCCCCGAGTCACGAACTCAATCCAGCCATCCCAGCTCTGCTAGTAAACCGCCGACTAGCTCTCCTCGTTCTGTGAGGTCTAAGCCATCCACACCTAACGCGAAGCCCCTCACAGCTCCTCGCATTCGCCCCCATGAGCCAAACCCGAATGGTGCGGCGAAGGGTAGGCCTAAGAAGCTTGATTTGTCAAAGTCCAAGTCTCACAACGACCTTGGGGCAGCCAGTCGTGCACGCAGTGATTCAAATGAAAGTTTGACCAATCAATCTTCTGCAAGAACTCCTCGGACCCCTCGAACTCCTCGCTATGACAGCCATCTAATTGCATCCGAAGACCAACATTCTCCACCTCACCGTTCGCCAGCATCTGCAGTGTGCGACAGCCCTCAGTTCTCTGACTCACAGCCTATGCTGCACTCGGCACCGCATGGGCCTCACGTAAGCTCAGTTCCCGTTGATGAACCGGAGCCAATGGGGCTCGAGGAATATGCTGAGCCTGCTTTTATGCCACCATCACCACACATTGCCGAGCCAGATGTCGCTGCACCCATTGATCCACACTTGATTCCTGTTCCGGAGTCTCTTTCCAAACCTCATCCAGACCCAATGGTCATCTATGAGGATCCCGCTACACCTACGACTCCTACGACTCCTACTCGCGCTCAGAATGCTTCCTCAATAGGCCGCCTTACGCCTTCAAGATCTTCTATCCCTATGCGCTCTTCCATTCGCTCTCCCGTGCGTTCTCCTATCCGCCGAGAACAGCCTGAACAGGACGACATGGAGCCCGAGAATGTGGCAGAGGATATTCCTGCTTCAGTAATGGCATCAGCTAAGAAGCCAACCCCCGAGTTGGCATCCAGCCATGACTCGGTTATGAACTTCGATGCCCGAACTCCATCTCCTACTCGCCGTGCGCCGCTTCAACCAACTCCATCACCATCAAGGGGCCGTGTTCAGCCCGCAGCTTCTAATATCGTCACTGGAGTTGATTCGATGGATCTTCAAGACACCCCTGTAGGTTCTCCAGAGACCCATAGCAACGAGTCCCACGACAACAACGAGAACGCAACTCCCCACATGAGCAAGGTTGTAGACGTGCCCGTACCACGATCTGCAGCCAAGCCAACTGCTCTAGAGGAACTGCCAGCCAATGAATCGACACCCCGTTGCGCCGATGTGCGAGAGCGATCCGTCGAGGCGCCGTCTCAGTCAATTCTCTCTAGCTCAACTCCCGACGACTCTACACGACGCATTCGGAAGTTCAATGACCGCCACCGCAGCCCTAGCCCGCGTTCCAAAGACCCAGCGAATGCGAGGGAGATGATTCACAAGGCCCTTGCCCGTATTGTCTCAAGGACCATGGAGCCCTCGGGATACCGCAAGCTGCAAGCACTCTTCCAGTACCACGGAGAAGAGATCGTGCCTCGTACCCAGGAATACAATGCGATGCTGGAGGCCTTGCTAGGTGAACTCGAATCAATCCCTACCAGTCGCAAGGACCACGACGTCAAGACGCAGGTTCTAGCCACCATCCGGTCCATGCTTCTGCGCACCCGTGAGCAGTTCCAGCCCTACGACACCCTCGCGATGTCGGCCTTCATTCGGGCCCGCCAACACTACGAATCCTCCTCCCACTTTGTCACTTGCCTCGAGGAAGTGACAGACAAATTAGTCTTCCTGACCCTCCCTCAGACTGCTATCGCTGGTGTTTTGCAAGCACTGGATCTCGGCGAGGAGGAGGAAACAGACGAGGCCCACCGCTCTATCATCATGGGTCTCAGCACAATCCAGCAATCTCTCTCCCGTCCACGAGTTGAAATCGCTGATGACCTCCTAGCCAGTATTGGCGCTGTCGTCATGCAACAACTGGGACACCCCCGACCTGGTGTGCGGAAGAGCGCCACTGAGCTCTGCACATTCCTGAACCTGACTTTTGGCTCAGAGCGTGTGCAGAAGGTTACTCAGCCTCCCCGCGAGGGCTCTCTCAACCTTCTTACTTATTTCATGGCTCGCAGATCCCAGTAGAGCCCAGATTTCTTTGGTTAGGACTAGATAGGGGGAAAAAAGGTGGCGTGCGGGTGGCGCTGGCCGCGGGGTTTCTGGTTTCTGTTCAGTCTACAATTCTGTTTGTATGTTTTTTTTTTTTCGTGTGCTGTACATAACCTGTTCATAATAAAAGGCTTAAATTCCAATTTCTGTATGAATAATAGCGTAGCTGCGCCTTTACTATTAAATGTTTGTCCCGAGGTACATAAAATGACGTTGACCCACCAGTTGTCTGACAACCTGGGAGAACTGAGCAGGGCATTCCATTCCACATATCCTCAAGCTGCATAGACAAAGGGCAAACACCGAAATAACCCCAATAAGAATCCAAACTGACGAAACGTACATGTACCTCGGCCCCATTCTTATGAAGGATACTACTCTCGCACCGATTCGCAGAAAAGGAGTAACCGTTGCGCTACTCCATAGCCCCCAGCCTAAACACCCCATCTCCACCACAGGCAAAGATCGTCAAAGCGAGTCCCGCGGTCAGACCTGGACCCTGTTTTTAGTGGAAACACGGCATATTCCAAGGCTCGCACGTTGCTGTTCAAGGTTTTGCTTTGACTCGGTTTTCACTTTGTAATTTCGCTTGAATCTAATCTGATTGATAAAAGAGGGCACCACATACGTGAATCTTCATCTACGAGATCGTACGTCTTGAAGACAGATACAGTGTAGATATTAAGGCCACAGAGTACATGCCAAGAACAAGCATTCAGCCCGCATTCTAGTATACACTAATAAAACCACCGTGGCAAGTCACAGCCTCTCTAATAGCCATGACCGAACAAACCACCTAATAAACTTCCACTTCTGCACGCACAAACTTATCAGATGGGGACGGAACGCCAGGTGGAGAATTGGAACAGGGTCCTGCCATCTCCAAACCCCGTCGTCACAACCTCATTGGAAAATAACTTCCTTATGGAGCCGATGGAGAACGTTACAGTACAGTTGCCCTTGGTGCGATGACAGGGCGGAGGGGAAACACGAGTTGAACGGCTGCCATTCTGGGAATCGATCTTCGAGGCCTGAGCATTCTGTTCCCGCTGTTTGGCGTTGTGAATGGTGGCATTTTGAATATCGTTCTGCTCCACTTTGCGCGATGGAGTTTGCATCGGATGTGGGAGTTCAGCGTTGGGCGTTTGGTTCCTGGTTTGTTTCGCTTGGGCCTTTGGGATTTTGGTGGGATGGGTTCCTGGTTTTCGTGCGTTCTTTTTTTGGGGGGGTTTCTTTGCTCTATCCCCCTTCGTTGTCTTCGGGAGTCGCTGTGCGCTCTGTTTTCTGTTGCAGATTCCCCTTTATGGAATTGCTGTGTTGAATCGACCAGTGGGCTTGGCTTTCTGTTGGTTCTGGAATATCTAATTATTCCCTTCGTTGGAGAGCTTCTCTTGGTCTGGGCTGTGTTAGGTTGTGAAGGGACCATTGATCTTTTGCGTGCACTAGCTGGCTAGTGTGATCTAAAGATATGTCTACAGAGACAGACGATGTATCGGACAGGAAGAGATCCCAAGTGGTGTGTCTTTAGCCAAAATATACGCAAGTATAAGACTAACCATGCTCAGGCGACATACTTGAAAAAGTTCATTCCCACCAAGCAGGGCCTCGGCAAGGTCTTCTCATACACCCGACTTCTCTTCTCGCTCGACTACACAAAGATCGATGTCCTGCTCATCATAACGGCCGTCTTTTTCGCCGTTGCCGCAGGAATCCCCTTCCCACTACTCGGAATCGTCTTCGGTGAACTAATAAACGATCTAAACACGGCTACCTGCGGCCCGTACGATACATCAAATACTGGGGTCACAGACTCAGTGCGCACAAAAGTCCTCTATGTGATCTATATCACAATCGCCAATTTCTGCTTTATCTACATTCACTGCAGCTGCTGGAGCTTGATCAGTGAACGCATTGCCCGTCGATATCGTCGTCGTTACTTCGAAAGTGTGATTAGACAAGAAACTGGTTATATCGAGAGCTTACCAGCCGGAGATGTCGTTTCCAGACTCGTGGGTGATATCGAAGTCGTGCAATCGGGCACCTCGGAGAAAGTCGGTTTGGTGATTTCCACCGTGTCATACTTCGTGACCTCGTATATCGTTGCGTTCATCAAGGTCCCGCAGATTGCGGGCATGCTCATCTCGGTGGTTCCTTGCTTTTTTCTTATGACTTTTGTCGGAGGGTACTATATCAAGAAATATGGAGGGCGTATTAGCCAGCGTTCTAATTCTGCGACTTCTATTGCTTCTTCGAGTTTGTCACATCTGATGCTTGTGCATGCTTTCAACGCACATGATCGATTGGAGAAATTGTTTGCGGATTACCTCTCTGAGTCTCGGATGGATGCTCTCAAGAAGGCTGCAACCCATGCTTGCCAATTGGGCTTTCTCTACTTTGTTGCTTACAGCGCTAATGCTTTGGCCTTCTGGGAAGGTGCCCGTTTGATTGCGGACTCAGTGGAAGCTGGTGGCACGGGAGTGTCAGTGGGTGCGGTATACACGGTTATTTTCGTCTTGATTGATGCTTCCTTCATTCTCAGTCAAGTTGCGCCATTTGTTCATGTCTTTGCTTCTGCCGCCGGTGCCGCTGATAGACTACTAGAAGTCATCCATCGGCAATCAAACATTGATGGGACATCCGATTCAGGGGATAAGTCTGCACCTTTCAATTCCGAAGACATCAAATTCCGAGATGTGCATTTCACATACCCGTCTCGCCCGGAGGTGCCTGTTCTCGAAGGCGTCGACTTTATCATTTCGCCTCGGAAACATACTGCGATTGTTGGTCCATCTGGTGGAGGAAAGTCAACTATTGTGGCCCTTTTGGAGCGTTTCTATGATCCCTTGTCCGGAGAAATTTCCATTGGAAACCAAAACTTCCGTGATCTAAATGTGAAGTACTTGAGGGGCAACATTGGCTTTGTGCAGCAAGAGCCATCGTTGCTGGACCGCTCGATTCTGGAGAACATCGCCTACGGAATTGTTACTTCTGCAGCTGAACATCACCAATCCTTGGCTCCCTTCATCTTCGATTCAACTCTCCCTGACCTCGTCGCCCAGCTTCGCACGGGCCTTTCAGAAAAGAAAGCACTTGAAGGGCATGATGCTAAAGTAGCCGAAATCGTGAATTTAGTACGACAGGCTGCTGCAAGCTCAAATGCTTTGAGTTTTATCGACGCATTACCACATGGCCTCGCTACAACTACAGGCTCTTCTGGCAGCATGTTGAGCGGAGGCCAGAAGCAGCGCATTGCACTAGCTAGAGCTCTAGTGCGAGAACCAAAATTGCTTATCCTTGATGAAGCAACGGCCGCATTGGATTCCACCAGTGAACAATTGATTCAAGAGGCACTGAGAAAGGTATCAGAGCGTGTGACTACTGTCTCTATTGCGCATCGCCTCGCCACCGCAAAGGATGCACACAAAATTGTGGTCATTCAGAAAGGCAGAGTTGTTGAAGAAGGTCCTCATGCAGACCTAGTCGCAAAAGGCGGTTCATACGCCGAGATGGTCCGCCTTCAGAATCTTGGAAAATTGAGCATCGGTAAACCCAAGCAAGATCCTATCCGCCAGACCAGAGAGACGGCCATTATCGAGGCATTTCCAGTGGATAGCAAGGAGGCCATTTTGGATGTGCTTGGTGCGGATGTCGCAGACGAAACCTTGCCTGCATACGAGGGTGTTGTCAAAAAGGAGACGAAAAAAGAACAGAAACGACGTGAGAAGGAAGAGCTCAAAGCAAAGAAAAAGCGCAAACGATCAGGATGGTTCACCACAAAGTTCACCTGGTCACTCCTCCGCCCAAACATGCACTTTATTTTAATCGGTTTCGCCATGTCCGTCATTATTGGTGGCAGCTATTCCGCCGAAGCCGTCATCTTCGGACATACAGTTGGCGCGTTGAGCCCATGTGATGGAGCAAACGGGATACGATCAGGCGGGAACTTATACGGATTACTATTCTTTATCATGGCTCTGATCGAGCTAGGTGCGAATGTGATCAGTGGTTGCGCATATGGCTGGGCAGCTGACAAGATCTTATACCGGATCCGAGTTTTATCACTGCGATCTCTGTTGAACCAGACAATTAAGTGGCATGGCGAGGATGATCGGTCCCCGGGAACTCTCATCACGTACATCACGGGTGATGCAACTGCACTGGGCAGTATCACTGGAACAACCATCGGCCTGTTGCTCGCTACTGCTGTCAATTTGGTAGCTGGTATGGTGATTTCATTTGCTATTGCGTGGAAGATCGCTATCGTTCTTCTACCTACGATCCCTGTGCTATTGATAGCAGGCATGATGAAGTTGCGCACCCAGGCCCAGTTTGCTGAAAGACACCAGAAGGCTTTTGCGAAAGCGACGGCCATCACCGTCGAAGCTGTCCGTAACATTCGGGCTGTGTCGGCATTTTCGTTGGAGAAACAATCCTATGCAGTCTACGAACGGGCACTCAAGGCTCCATACCGTGAGACGTTGAAGTCGATTGCCTTTGGAAATGTCTTCCTCGCGACAGCTTTTAGTATTAGCAACCTTGTCTATGCCCTGGCATATTGGTGGGGCACCAGGCAGATCGTCGCTGGACTATACTCTCAGACTCAATTCTTCATTGTATTGCCGGCCCTTCTATTCAGCACCCAGTCTTGTGGGCAGATGTTTGCCCTTGCGCCGGATATCTCCAAGGCTGGTTTGGCTGCATCTAACATCGCAGAGCTGCTCACCACTCGATCTGGTGACGAGGAGTTGAATTTCGAGACAAAGGGCCAGAAAGTGGATGTCAATCTCCTAGAAGAGAAGATACCCGACCCAGAAGCAGCATATTCAGAACAACGTATGCTCAACTCAACCGAAGCACCTCCAATGATGGGTGGTATTGGTGCTGAGCTCCAAAACGTCCATTTCGAGTATCCCTCCCGACCTGGTCAGCCAGTTCTCCGCGGCCTAAGCCTCAGGATCCAGCCCGGTCAATTTTGCGCTCTTGTCGGCTCCAGCGGCTCCGGCAAGTCTACAACATTCGCCATGCTAGAGCGGTTTTACCGACCAGAATCGGGCGCAGTGATAATTGACGGTGTCAACATCACCCGACAGCTAGGAACGGTATTCCGCGACGAAATAGCACTCGTCCCACAAGAAAACGTCATGTTCGAAGGCACAGTCGCATTCAATATCGGCCTGGGAGCCCGACCCGGCCACCAACCAACACAAGCCGAGATCGAAGAAGCATGCCACATGGCCAATGTTCACGAAGTAATCATGGCTTTGCCAGAGGGATATCAAACGCAATGCAGTCACGATGGCAAACAATTCTCCGGCGGACAGAGACAAAGACTGTCAATTGCCCGAGCGCTTGTTCGTCGACCGCGAATGTTACTTCTCGACGAATCGACTAGTGCGCTGGATGTTGAGTCCGAGAAGAAGATCCAAGACGCACTGGCTACACTTGCCGGTCGTACTACTGTTGTTGCTATTGCGCATCGGTTGAATACTATTCATCGGGCTGACTGCATTTATCTTATTGAGGATGGTCGTTGTGTTGAGCAGGGGACCCATGATGAACTTGTTCAGGCCAGTGAGTCTTATCGGACGAATGTTATTCATCAATCTTTGGAGACTTGATATTTGGGGATTTTGATGGGTTTGGATTGGAGTTTTGAGTATAGTGTTAGGTTCACAGGCAAAATATAGACGAATATTTGAACGGTCTACCTTATGAGGCAAATTTGATGACCCTCAGAGCATCCGGAGATATCCAGCGGAATATATCTGTAATCTGCTTTCATTACCCACAGACAATGAATATTGGTATGGAGAGTAAATGTGATTTGCATACTTCAACACCTCGGACTTACTGTAAATTAATGCTGCTCAACACCGTTTTATCCTGACTTCTTTATCTTCTGATATTCGAAAGCCTACTTCTTGTTCACCATGCACTGTTAGTGTACACCACAAGTAGCTAAGCACACATATTTCGCGGCGAATGCACATACAGACGAATTTATTTCGACCCTTTAACTCAATAGGTTTGTTTCAGAGGCATCAAATGAGATTAATACTAGGGCAGAGTCACTGAAACGTAGATTGTCATCAGAAAAGCTAGCTCGGGCTGTGTTCCCCGAAGTATCGAGTCGGAAGTAGTGCGTGTTGTGCCCTTGAATCCGAGGATGAGATAAATGTAAAGAAAGCAGTGAGTGTGCTTTGTTCATTTGATCTTGATGTTCTTCGAACAAAGAGGGACATGACTCATTGACAATAAGCATTGTCTTAGGGTTGTCTTTGAACGAACAAAAGCAAAGAAATTAGCAATACCTCTTTGAGACCAACTTTAGTATACCTGACAACGGATATGATGGGTATATAAATCTTGCCTTCCACAGAATATATCAAACATAAACTCAAATACTTCACAGACTCTATACAGCAAGCCTCGCTACTCTATATCATCTTCCGACAAAATCTGCTTGAATAACCAACTGAGCAAGTGATTAGCTATGTCTTTTCGCCCCCAAGTTAAGAAGAACATCAAGCTCTCTATGGAGCTCAACCCCGGTCCCAGAACCCAGATTCCAACTAGAATGAACTCTGAGAGAGCTCATGAAGAGGCTTTACACGCGTGGTCTTCTCTTCCCAATAAGCCTGCATACCATGAAGAGTCCTTGGCAGCTCTAGAAGGGAGAGCACCAGCGAAGGCGCCCACGATGGATCCGCCGAGTACCATTAGAAGAACCCATGATGGTACTCGTGAGAGAACCCGCGAGAGGGTTCCAGAGAGGATCCAAGAAATGACTCAGATTTCCCAAACCCTTTGCCATATTATTCGACGAGCGATTACTAACTATAACCGTAGGGATCTCGCTTTACCCAAGTTCTTATTCGAACTTCGACGTGGAAACGGCCCCGTAACAGGAATCAGGGTCGAAGATACGCATCAATTCGTGTGCGCATCGCACTTTGTTTGGGAGATGTGTGCTGCCCTCGCCCAGATTGGTGACGACCCCAAATGGACGAAAACTTTCAAAATGTGGGAGCCGCAGCATGCCGAGGTCAGGGCCCTGATTGCTTCTTGCACACGCAAGGCTAGGTTGTCGGTCGTTGTTCCTTACCCACCAGTCGATGTGACAATTGTTGAACACCGAGCTAATCTTGTTCATGGATACGAGCGGAAGACATTTCAGTTGAAGGGAACCGAGTTTACATACAGCAGCTCATTGCATGTATGTGATGATCTGTGTGAGCTTCGTAAGTACCCCACTGTTCTTGCAACTCGGCCTAAATGGGGGTCCTTGAGCATCACATTCCGAGGTGATCAACTAGCTCTGTGCTTTGGTACCGTATATCTGACGCGTTGAGCTAGCCCGTAGTAGTATCGTGTGGCTTTAGTCCGATACTCCTCCTCCTTCCCCAGGGAGTGACTATATCCTATACTACAGTCTACAAAACTATCTAAGTTTTCCTCTACTTATAAGCCCTAGACCTTGACACGGGAAATTTTAGTCCCATGGGCGTCACGTGGGATCCACTTCCATGGGACTAAATTCCAGAGCTCATTGCCAAGACTACGATCATTTGCTTTTTTTAGGTAATAATCTAACCTAAATAGGTAGTCCCATGGGAGATGGGACTCGATTTCTAAAATTTCCCGTGGACATGGGACCAGATTTTGGCTAGTCCCATGGGAAATGTCAAGGTCTATGCTTAGTTATATTCGCACGCGCTAACTAGGATCGCTACTCTATCTTAGAGTGCGCCAAAAACCGCAAAACTGCAAAATCGAACCGACCCAAACCGCACTTGGTTCGGTTTTTGGGTGTGAGACCACGCAGAGTCTCTGGTTTGGTTTGGTAAGCGAAGTAGAAGCCTCAGCTGATGTGCGGTACAATATGGTTCTATTGTAGAAGAGACTGAACGCTGACCCTTCCCAGGGTCAGCGGGGATGAACTAAATACAGGCTGGCCCTGCTTCCGGGCGGTGAGCAGTACTATACTGCCATGATTCCTGAGGCATCAACTCGTGCCTCAGGTACCAACATAATGTCAGTGCTGCATTCATGGATATGGATTGAGAACCGGAATTATAGTAACTCCGAATGAGCGGATTACTAATGATGAGCATAGCATAAATAGCAAGAAATAGCAAGTAATAAAAGACAGAGATTTGAATGCCCTCATTGGCTGAGCAAGTTACGGAAGACAGCAAGTTCCGACACATAAGTAGTCGAGGGTCCTGACATTGGGGCTAGTTCTAAAAACCACTGCGGTTTGTGGTTTCTTAGGTTCAAACCGCAATGGTTTTTGGGGCCTTCAATAGGTTATTTAATAAGGCAAACTTCAAGCGCTAAATTACGTGCTTAGTTTTTCATTGGTTTATATCGATTTCTAGACTACTTTGTAGAGCTATTTTTAAAATTTATGCAATTTTATGCAAATATGGTTTTTGTTGGGGCCCCATTGGGGAACCGCAATGGTTTATGGTTTGGGTTTTTGGCGCAGTCTACTCTATCTACTATATCTCTACTGATTTATTCTACGGGCAAGCCTTAATATACCTAAGAAGCTTATTTAGACTTAGCTAAATTATAGAAGCAAGGCATAGAACCCGAATAAGGGTAGTGACCGCAACTCTGAACTAGCAATTTGCCAACAATGCTTTCCAGCTTCCTGTATCTACTTTACTGCAGAAAAGAACATCACAAACTGCCCCTCGCAACACCAAAATAGGGAGGCCTCTGACTAATGCATAATAAATACAATACTGACCCAACCTTTATGCCTAAAGAATGGATAACCTTGAAGAGCATATCCCGATGGCCATTGATACCCTTTATAGCAGAATAACCAAAAATATATGTCTCCTCTATTCAGGCTACTTAAAGCAAGTAAAAAGGTCTACGAAGGATAGCTGCGCTGTAGCGCGATCTGCGTTCTGACCTGTGTCGTTTCGACCATCGAGGCTGTCTGTTTTCCGAACGGACTTGTTGTCTCTTAGCCAGCGATGTTTCCGCTGGTGATATTGAGACTTTGGAAAGGCGACGTAGTATACCTGTTCGGGCTTTAGGGGTCTTGGCGGATGCTGAAGTGATAGGAGGCTTTTGAGCTGTGCTTAAGCAACGCTGATGGCGTTCGACACCTGCAACTCCCTTACAAAAGGCGATGAAGAGGCAAGGGTAAAGGATAGAAGACCGGGCAAATTTTAGAAATATGGCAACTGAAATTTACTGATCATAAAATGCTTTATTGCAACATGGATGAACTTATATTGTTTATTAAAGAAGTTATATTTACTAGACCGTAGTCTCCTATTCAAAGTGAATGCTATGGAGTGCCGTAGTATTCCTATTGACCATCGACTACGGCACTTAATCCGGAATGCTAGGCCTACTTATACGAATGTAGGGGATTCTGAACACGTTGAAATCCTAAGAATTTGGAGCTTCGCTCAAAGTAGAGGGTGAGAACTACCTATTCACGAATGATCTTAGCTTTAGACTTAAGATAGCGCGGCCGGTGTCAAAAGATGGTTTGGTAATACTCTTACTACGATCTCATTCGACACAAGATAATTCACATGGTTTTTTAGCAGGCAAGCGGCAATTTCGCACCACCAATACCATATCTGAGTTGATTTGTGCTGTGAGCAATGCCAGAAAAGGGGTTAATGATATTAGTGTGTTTGATGCAATACCCTTCTTAGATAGGCATGTCGCAGAGGAAGACATAATCCAAAAGGCAGAGTATGTGTTCACCAAAATGCTCAGAGCGAAACAGCCAGATATAGTTATATCCTACTTCAAATCAGATATAAGCAACGTGATTACACCAAAATTTAGCTGTCGGAGTTTGGGGTCTTCCTTTGAATTTGACCCGCAAGGCTCAGACTAGCTAGTTAAATCGGGCTTCTCCCTTATTCGGGTGAATGCGTTCTATCCAAGCTATGCAATAAATTTCCACCAGGAAATTTGTTGTTTTAAGCAACTACTCGTATTAGAATTCATGAAGGTATTTTCCTTCCAACTATAGAGCTAGAATAAAGAGCCGCGGATGGCTTATTTGAGAGATAAATGCAGTGAGAAAGCAAAAAGGGTGACGAAAGGTAAGTATTGTGCTCTTATTTACAACCTAAAAGTGCTTGGCTGAACACGATATCAGCTAGTCGTCGATCTAGATGAGATATAGCCGAGGATCCTCGGTAACGATGATTTGTTGGCCTTTCACTCGCTTTCGATGCAATAGAGAGATATTGCTGCTATATTGCTTCGACATCCACTAGAGTCTGCCCGGTATCGACTCAAGGTCCTCTGACCCAACTTCCTGGAGAATGAAATCAGACAAACCCTTACGATCGCTGATTTTGATCCGGGGATGACCTGGCAAATGATCAAGCCATGCGTCGAGATCACCATTGAGCTGATCGTCTTTGTGGAAAGGTTATAGCAATGAAGGTTTTTCTGCGTGTGTTGAAATTTTCACAAAGCGCCAGACCTAGAATATGCTAAAGCTTTAGGTGATGCTGAACACTAAGAGAGAAATTAGAAAGATCCTTTTTCTCGATGAAAGTTATCGCAAAATAGTGAGGTTTCCGTTCAGCTTTGTGAGAGCCTTCGGGGGTTTAGCCTCGCGGGAATATTACGCCGCTTGACCCGGTCCTACAAGGCATAGCCCATAAACAGCCTAGTCAATAGGAAAGTTGTGGAATAACTTGCGATAGTTGCTTTCAGTGATAACAGACTAAGTGTGCATAGCTTAGGTGACTACATTCTGAGGTATTACTTGCAGATAATGGGTTGAGAGTAGGGAGCAATATATATAGGATCCAGCAATCGGCTAGATGAAACGTTAAGCCATTGAGATTAGACCTCGCCAATACCCGCCCACCGCGCATACCCGCCCGCGAAAACCCAACCCAAGACCCAAATGGGTTTCCGTTATACTTCAAAAAAGCAAAAAAGCAAAAAAAGTTGACTTATCATTTTACATTAAGTTATGCAGTAATTTTTGATAACATTGGCCGTCTCTTATCAGACCAATTATTAGGACAGGGGTGCGATGTAAAGTGATACCACTCCGACTCTAGCTTCGGCAAAAATAAAACTTTAAAGCTAAATCATTAAAACCTCATTTTGAAGCCTGCGCAAGAAGCGGGCGGTGTATATTGAAAGCCGGGGGAGATAGAGTATTCTAAGTATCGGCAATCAGTGATCTAACTCGGCGATCACCTATCATAGGAACAATTGTTCTAAACTCACAGAACGAAAACAGAAATAGCAAATGATGCCTATGCAATTGTACAGGCCTTTGCCCCCGGCCCTTCCACGGATTTGCAAGACTTGATCAGATACTACGGGCGAGGACTTAGGTGAGCTGGGCTCGAACAGTCACCGGACGACTAGTTTAAAATACATAGGAATCCACAAAACTGAAAGAAATACGTTATAGAATGCCACCACAAAGTCCGTGCTCTGGTGGAAATAGAACAGCAACCCTTTGGCTAGGCAGACGATAACAGCAACAGTAGCCGTGGCTAGATTAGCATCAGTTGATCTGCTACTATTAGCCTCCGTTCTCTTAGCAATGTCCAATCAAATCCCGAACCTTAGAATCCAGATCCATGGAATCTCGGGCGGTTCCTTGTGATTTGCGTAGAAGTAGATACGCTCTTCGGGGCTGGAGTTCCACCCCTGGACTCCGCTAGTGAGCTACAGCAGACTCCTGTCTCTATCGGGATAAGCGCTCGCAAAGAGAGCGAAAACGGCTAGTTAGATACTTAGCTCCGCTGCGAATGCTACCCAATGCAAACAATCATTCGCCTGGGTCGTGGTATTGCGATACATAATTTTGGGAAGCGCATAAGGCCCGAGTATTCCTAGGCTACATTCTATTGCAACCGAGATTCTAGCTCATCGAACGGCATTCATCGTTTTGGGTAGCAGAACTATATAGGGCGAAGATGTGCGGAAGTTGCCCCGGGGTGCTCACGCGCTCTGCTTACTTTTGCTAAAAAGTAGGCAGCGCTCGTGGGGGAAATCTTAAGCTTATCTACATCACACACAACCGATTGGCACATCTCATTAGATCAAGACACTTTCAATAAATTCGAAGGGCCAAAGCCACCTCACTCGGAAGCCGCTCAAACCCACTCACAAGACCCTCAAATATGCTCAAAATATGTGATCGTTAGCTGCTCCGATTGCGCACATGAGAGTTAGGCACTATTAAAGACATCACTGCCCCTCGCATGATCATACATGACCGCAAGATGGCGGGGTAGGTAGGCTCTTCTTAAACGTGGGAGCCTCACGGGGTGCAATTGAAATTCGGAAAGCTTCGTAACTACGACTTCATAGACTTGCTCTTCCTCATCGACAATCAGTTGGCTTTCTTGGCCATCCCATAAGAATGTATCGCAAAGCTGCGTGTAACGCATATATTCTCCTAAGTTCTACAAGACAATCAATTTGCCTTAATGGCGCCACTTCCGAGCTATCGCCTGGCAAACGCGAGTCGTTCTTAGCAAAGAATAAATATCGAGCAGCCCACTATTCTATATAGCCGTCGAGCGATCGACCCACACCGTATCAAGTCATGGGGATTAAGATAGGCGACAAATATTCCAAAACAAGATACTACGATCTTGTCAAGATTTACCACCCGGACAGCTCAACGAGAGATATAACCAAAAGACTGCCGACCGAAGAACGTCTATCCCGATATCGACTGATCGTGAACGCTCACGAGGTCCTCTCTAATAAGCAAAAACGCTCGGCCTACGATGCCTACGGCCTGGGCTGACCCCTTCCATCAAGACATCACGGCTGTGAATACACTCCCCAGAACCCGAGACACACATACGAGCGATGGGACGATATCGAGTCCGAGCACGGGGCTAGAAATGAGACGAAGAGACGAGGAGTGTCGAGACCTCATTTTCCGCCATCGCGATCGAGCTTTGGATTTGAGGACCTTGGTTGCTTAGATGGAGCTGCTCTTGTTGAAAAGAGATCCATCTAGAATGGGGCTCGATCCGGCTGAGGATCCTTTTTACCGTGAGATGCTTCCATTCTGTGGTAAATAGGGACTAGAGATAAGGTTTATCGTCATTTCGATTAGTGTCTGCCGGCACTGCGTGATTGCAGCTACATCCAGTCACCATTTTTTTGAAGAGCACGATGCTATATGAGCTATTAGGGCTATTTATAGCCCTCAACATGATTCACATTATGATTTCTTAGCGCCCATACAGCAGCCGAGTTCTCGCCAGGAACTAACGGTTAGTTTTATCGAATATCTAAGCCGGCAAACACGGCCTATTTTGGATGAATAATAGAAAGTTTTCCAATCCTAGCGGTTCACAGTCTATCTAGTAACCTCGGACAATTATCACACACTATACTCGATCCAAAGGTGGCGATAGGGGACCAAGAAGCCTGAGCGCTCCATTAAATACCTTCGATCTCAACGAACCAATCACATTATAGGGATGGGCGGATTTGACCAAGCCAGGGCGACACTAAACCGTTTTGGGAACATTCTATTCACACTAAACTAGTAGACTGACTTGTGTGAGCACATTTGCGGTTATTGTCAGCTCACATCATCAGTACAGATTCGCCGTCATTGCAAAATGCAGCCGGTAGGGGGCTGCAACTATGCCAGTAGAGAGCGTGTAGTTTCTCCTAGGCCGAAACGATATACTAATCAGGAGTGATCTAGCATTCCAAAGTTAAAATGCAAGCCAGTCAAAGGAGCCAGAATCTTCGACGCCCTACATTAGCTGGTGGCCTTTGCTTGCGATATAGACCGAACATGGGCCCATGAGGGAGTGGAGCACTCCTCTGTATTAACACTAGGCCTAATGTACATAGTCATAGCGATGTCCAATTTAACTCCTCTTTGTACATTCACGTACCTTTTTTAAGCTCGATGATCCTTGCACTAGACAATCTGTTCTTCCACTTCGAGCCCAGTCGATCAAATCATTGATACAAGCGAACACATCCTGAACGATCTAAATACCTGGCTAGTCATACTGTGGCAAGGACTCTGTGAGTCTACCTCAAATCCTGGATACTAAAATGGAAAAGGCAAATAGTTACTCTCACACCCTGCGCACAGGTTGTTGGCAGAGGTTCAATCCCAATCGCACGGCAGAGTGAATGCCAGGAGCTTAGATCATCTTCCTCTCCCGACCAGAGTCTCACTTCTTCTTCGAAGTAGACTAATATCGCTACCAGGCAGATTTATTGTGTAGGTATACCCCGCACTGGTAAGTCAAAGGGCTTTTACAACAAAGTTATTAAACAAACGATTGACTCATATTGATGATAATGATCTGATAGTATGAAAGGTAAATAAACAGGAATTCAAAGCCAAAGAGGCTTGAAGATAAATGCAGTCTGCATTCCAACTGAATTTCTGGGTAATTCCCAATTTAGGTAGCATTGGACTTGGGAAGAGCATGGTAGCTAACGTCGTCGCTTCCAATCTGCCAGGTGCCACCCTTGGTGTCCTTGTTGTTGCTACCGTAGCAACTGGAGCTTGAATCAGCCATCTTCATGAGATATGTCTCGCAGTCCGTCTGGTTCGGAACGTGGTCACCATCCTTCATCTTGTTGTGGATTTCAACTATATCAAAAGTAAGCGAATGTCATTTAAGGCCCTGAGTCAAGGAAACTTACAGTCCACGGCGGCAGGAATATCACCTTTCAGGTAATACCCACTTTTGACGATGGCAGCGTGTTTTTGCCCAGCACCAATAACAGTGGATAAACCATCCTGGCTGTGCGTGACGTGGTAGCAATACTGCTCGACGGCCGACTGGTAGCCGGAGTGACTCTTGCTCTTGTCGTCCGCGATGGGCATCCAGTTCTTGCCACAGCTGGAGATATAGTTGCTCTTGTCACGCTTCTCGAGATCATCGGGGCCAGCATTGCTGACACCCAGATCTATGATTTCGCGCTTCTCAATATCCGCAGCGCTCAGAGGAGAGACGCCGTAGTCAATGATCTCTCGAGCGACGACGGTTGAGCGCTGCGGGAATGAACTAGGAGCAGCACTGGTGGAGGTGACTAGGAGGCCAAGTGAGATAGCAATCTTGGAGAAATACATTGCGATTGATAGCAAAGATTGTTTGGAATGGTTTAAGAGATGAGCCTTTGAGGTTTTCCTTTGAATTGATGTTGGATGCTTTTGTCTTGTTGCTTTCTTGTTTTCGGTGATGATGATAATGGTAAAACACTGGGAGATTTCTTTAACTTTATACCTCACTCGTGTCTTGATCTATACTTGGACTTGAGAGCTAGACGCCTTTGAAATGGGCCTCGACACAACGCACGGGACATTGTAACTATGCCCCGTGAGATCGCCTGCCAATAGTTCATCGTGATGAGACCGAGACGTTGGTATTAGTGGGGGTGTAAATGAAATTATCTGCTCCTTTTGCTATTGGTATCGGGGGCTACGCTCAGGCGAACTCGCTTGTGTTTCACCGAAAGTGAATTATTATTATAGATCAGCGCACTTGTAGAAAGCCACTTCTAAATGCAGAATAGATCACAGGAGTTTGACTGTTGGTAAGTCCACATGTCATGCATTGACCAACGTGAGATCTTCGACTGGGGGCGACATGTGTTTCATGTCACTTAGCACACGCAGATGAAGAAACTGGCCCCGCATTACGAACAGAAATTTCGACAAAACGCCCCAAGGATCTTGAAAGATGTCAATTGTAATATCATTTTTCTAAATATACGATGAAACAACGATTGACACTATAGGTAATCCTTTGGAGCAGCCCCCGAAAAGCCAAGCCCCCAGCCACTCTGGCACTCCTAGTGACAAATCTACGGAGAGCATATTCCAAAAATTTGATCTTGCGATAGATTTTGACATTCACACACGAGAAGAGAAAGCCTAGTTGGATCCTTGGGGCCGAAGTGGTTGTAGCGTTGAAGTTGGTGGACTGCTCTAATCCACCCTCTACTCAGCGACAATCGCGTCACCACCTGGATCGGCCCCATTCGACGTGGGGGTCATCCTGCGAGGCTTTCTATTATTTCTTCCAACATCGCATTCATGGGGGCTAAAGATGGGTTCTGTGTTTGAAGCCGCACCCTTCTACACCACTAAATATTAATATAAAACGGTGATGTCTGATCCAAATCAAGATCACAACACCTAGTCACACAACATCTGAAGCCTTCAGATATCTTGAAACGAATTATATTGACTATATCAATATCATCATTGAAATCTTCAAGATGAAACCTTTCAGCGGCGTCCTCATCCTCCTCTTTTCCTTGCTCAGTATCTGCCTCGCAGTCGATCCTGCAGAGCGCTTTCCAGACCAAACAAAGGTTGACAGAGACAACTATGAAGCCACGACCCTCGCCGCAGCCGAAAAGGGCGTGCAGCTTCAACACGGCAAACGATACGCTTTCCGCGAGAAATGGGCCCCTGCCTATGGGGAGTATAGGTGCTTGCCAGACTACTCACACGTCCGACTCATCGTGGGCCAGTTCTTCAATAGTCCGACCCGATCCGGACGTCAGGCCTTTGACGGCAAAGCCTATGAGATGATCAGCGACGAGGCAGACACTAAGCTCGGTCAGACGCCAGTGGGCGGGAAAGTACAGTCGCAAGTTGACAATTTGTGGTGGGCGAACCACTATTTCAACGAGAAGAAGGAAGAATGGGTCACCGTCAGTAAGATGAGTAAATATGAGTACCTGGGGGAGACCACGGCGACAGATCCATACATCACGAACCAAGGTATTTCAAAAAGCTATATTCGTTTCTTGTCTATTTTGATAATCACTGGTTGCTAACGTTTGAAGGTCTGGAGTATGCCCGCAAGTGGCCCTCATACAACCTAGTTACAAACAACTGCATGGTTTACACCAAAGAGGTGTGGAAGAATATCCACTGATGGAGCTACTCACTGCGGAAGTGAAAGGTCGAGATGACGGGTTTGAAACACAACGAAGAAAACTATTTACTTGGTTGGACCGTAAATTGCAATTTGTGTGTAGTAGTCTTAGTCTTGTTCGGGTACCTCTTGGAATGACGAGCCAAGACCATACAACTACATATAATTCCTGTACATAACGACTTCAACCAATTTCCCTGCTTGTATACTAAGCCAGTATCATAATGGATTACCTAGCTTGAGTATGCATCACTAAAAATATCTGTAATGATATGGAGAACATGCAGTAAATCCTCTAACCTAGTAGAAACCAGTAACGCTAAGCACATTACAGTTTGAACTGAACTATTTATCATAAACGGCAATCGCCAGAAAGAATAAGCGCAGTTTGGTTACATAGCTCTGTGAAACATCATGTCATTTGCTAAAGGAACAAACTAATGTGAAAGGTGATAGCTTGACGAATTCCTGGATAGTGCATCACTCCACATTGAAATGATATACTAAGAAGAGCCCAACAAGGCCCTTTTGAATCAAGAACCAGGCAAACCGTGTAAAAAGGAAGGCTCAAAAATTGCCCTTCTGCCATAGATCCAACAACTTCAAAATCAGCGCCTGTTTCAAAAACTGCCAATAGGAGTTCCGCTGCTCAGCCACTGTGACCTTCCACCCGATAGTCCAGCATGCCCCGACAGCTAAGGCTAAACTGGCTCTTTTGAAAAGAGAGTCTCCGCATAATGCGAAGACAAAAACAATACTGGCGAGAACAGAACGCGAGAAATTGAAATTTGCGGTGGAAAAAGTAGAAGAGTCTGTTGTCAACGGCCCCGCGATGTGCCATGTAAAGAATAGCGTGGCTGTTGCGACCGCAGTAGCAATCAGTGAATCAACCGCGTCCGTTAGAAGATTGGAGGGCAGAAAGAGAGACAAGGGTGTGTATAATGTTCCGAGTTGACGGCACGCAGTGACCGTAAGAGCAATTCCTAGAGCCCGTTGCAAGAGGATTAACGTTGAAGATTCTTGAGCCATGAAGATGAGAGACTCGGGGGGATAGGAGGAGGACTATGTTTAGAGGCAATAGAAGACAAACCGCTGGAAGGAAGGGTCAGACGTGGGGGCGGTGGGGCCGAAACAAACCAACGGCCCCATGCCGGATCTTCACACCCAGTGGTTATGACAGCACGGTACAATGACGAAATAAACGAAAATTCAAATTGGATCATAACTAAACGCAATAAGATGGAGCCACAATAAATCACTCCAGTTTATGCTATGGAACAGGATTGGCGTTGAAAAAGACACATTGCACATTGTACACGTAGTTGCAAGTCCAGGCGCCCGCAATGCCAAAGCTAACCAGCACTAGTCCAGCGTACTCCTCCTCGTTCCACTCGTCCTTTTGCAGTGCAGGCGCAACTTGAAGTGCCCCTGCGTTCAGCACTGTTTTGGCAGCTAGGCAGCACACTTTGCCGTGTTCGACCCGACGATCAAGAGTCCCTAGGCCGCCTTCCTCACTCACGTCGTACAGAACAGTCTCGTTGAAATCCGGATGTTTCAAATCGCGCAGCTGCTCAGTGCTCCGAATAAGATGGTATGGAGCGTCACCCGCCAGCAGGGCTCGTTTGTCAAGGAGACTGGGATTCTCTCGGATCGCGTCTAATTGTGATACATAAAAGGCTTCTTCATCGGACGAGTCGCGTTTGGTCAAGCCTACGCGATGGAAGTAGTCATTGAGGCACACATCAGAAGTGCTGCTGCAGGACGAGGTACAGCAATGATCATTGAAGACGAACTCGGTACACTGGTCGCGGCATACTTCGTATTCGGTGCTGCTTGGATTGAAGGCATCTTTGCATTTGTTGAAGCAGCCTAGACGGACATTGTCCTCGTTCTGATTCAAACATTTGCTGCAACCCGTTGCGTTGACTAAGGAGGCCAAAATGGCTACAGTGACAAAGTACGAGAGCTGAAGACGCATTTTGTATAATGGAAGATGATGTAGAACTTATGGAATCGAGAATGAATCGATGAGTGATCGTTTCAAAGTCAGAGGCAGAAGTAAATGGAAAGAACAGATTTGACATCTGTTGTTGGAGAATAGCAACACAGTATAAAATAATCAAGCCGCTGGCCCGATATTCTGAAAAATCCCAGAGGGATTTAGTATTGTACATCCGCCACATGTTGGGTCACGCATGCTGAAAGTCATTTTCGTATCTGTTGGTGGAATGGGGCCAGAAGTGCTCGGCATGGGGCTGAATAAGTTTTCTGCCCCCAATTGCGAAAAGATATATTTCAAATCAAAGTGAAGTGTCAAGACAAGGCAGATTTTACTGACGTCGGGTTTTTTTTTTAATTTTCAGGTCACCTGATTAATTGTCAATCGATGCGCCATCCCCTTCTTATCCTTTCCCCTTCCTTCCACTTCTCAATTACCCATCATTGTGATAGTGCGATTGATTTCAAACCTCAGCAATGGGTCAGGCCGTAGCCAAAGAGTCTCCCACAGATTTTCCCCCGCCAGTGCAAACCCGCGGTATGACCAATTAATCAAGCCTTACGTGACAGAACTTACTGACAGACGCCAGAGGAACTTCAGGAACAATTCAAATGGCGCCTATCACGATTGTTCTTGAGTAATACTAAAAGGGAATGGTTTCAGACTATTTTCCACATCTTCTGCACCGAGTCAGATTCGGCAAAATGCAAGGCCTAGAGTCTATTCTTACTCAACTTCACGAGGCTAACATGCTATAGTCTGGACGGTATCGGATTTGAAGGATTTCATGATCAGCACTTTTCCGCTCGAATTGGCCTCATACATAGCTGAAGCTGCCCCGATCATACACCGTTGCCTCCTACGGCTAGGGTCATTTCCATATCAAAATAATCCGCACTGCACCCTGTCGCTAGATGTGCTACGAACAGGAATGATCATTCTGCTCAGACTGGAAGGAAACAAGCTTCTAGACAGAGACAATAACGAAGCATCACTCTTTTACCCTGATCGTCTCAGCGCGGAACAACGAATCCTGTTGTTTCAAAGCTTGACAGAGTCGCAAGGGACCTCCGCCGGATCAGCTCGAAACCTAGGAGACGATTATCACCTTCAGAAAGCTCTTGAAATTATTACGTATGGGAATTTCAAGCGCAATGTGCAGTTCCCGACCGCTGTGAGCAAAGGACCTCAGTATCCCCCTCCGGAACATTTTCCTTCGTCAAACTCCAAATTGACAAGTGGATCAATCCCGGACGATGATTTTAGGCCCCTTCTTCGGTTGATGCTCCTCACTCAGTTGTATGTTGCCGGTCTTGACCCAGATATTTTTATGTGCTCTCTATCGGAGATTGAAGCAGCGACGGATCGCCTATTGGCAGCATTCTTACATGATGGAGAGTCATCAACTGCTGTATCCTTTATAGCCTTTGACAAAATTATTGGCAATTCAATGGTGCGTATTAAAATACGCTATGAACAACAAAGAGTTATATACTGACCCTAAGCAGCAAAATGCGTTTCTCGGCCTTCATCGAGTCCTCGGGCCTTTGCATTCGGCCAAACCCATTCCGTCCACGACTCTCCCATCATCGGTCACTGAAGCACAGAACATGTTGAAAGAACTGTTTGCGCCATCAGTCAAGACACAGCCTCCTCCTAAGGGGCGAATCATGAATCTTCCTCTCCTAAGTCAGCTTTCAATGAGCCTACCCCAAGACTTTCCTATCGAAGCCCCAGAAATGTTTCATTCTTCTCAGAAGGTAGATATCAAGGGTCTGAAGACTTGCCTGTCCACAACTGGACTAGCCAGGATTCTACTAGTCTCTGGTAAGACTAGTCAAGGGGACGCCATATTAGGCGCATACTTCCCTAAAGATTCCTCGCCTGCCAGTATGAATATGTCGAGCGTGATATTTCAACTAGCACCGGTGCATCGAACGTTTCACCAGACCGAAAAGCTGTTGCCGTCTAAGGGACCTGATGCTGAAGACAGCGTGCGTTTGACACTTGCTCTTGCGGATGTATCTCTCGCTTTGAGCGGTGAATCATCAACAGGGACTTTAACTGCGAAACTCAATGAGCATACCAGCCAAGAGTTGCTTGTTGATGCTGTAGAGGTTCTGAGCTTTCATGGATGCATGGTCCGCGTCGATACTTTTGAATAACCTTTTCTCTCATGCCTTATCACTGTACTGATGCTCTGCTTTGGACTTGGACAACAGTGCCTTAATTGCATTTATATATACTCGAAGTTACTGCAGTTAGGAAAATTGGAAGCAATTGTAATTCATTTCCCAATCCTTTTGCTTGCTAGGTCTGAAATATGTAAATCTACAGTATAGATACGAATAGGTGAGATTTCATCCTTAATATAGAAAATACACAATCAGTTTGCAGGCTCTCATTCTGCTCGATAGATACTTATATTGAAAGTTGCGAGCGATTGGACCATTTGGAGTGGATGGACTTGCTACAGAATGATGCTTATCGTGATTCTGCTGAAACAGACGCAACTTGTTTCCGAAATAATCAATGCGAGCGGGTGGATGTACTAATGCCTCATTTTGAGATCACAAAAACTCTCTGCCTCGTCTATAAATATATTGATCTCGTTGGTTTCATCAACTCGAAAATCTACCGCCCCCAACATCATCACGGCCCCCTAAATCGCCGACACCCAGTTGCTGCATGAATCCTTCAACACGATAAAAATAGAAAAGGAAAGAGTTGGTTCATCTTCAGAAAGCGAATTACCGTTATGTCAGCCTTGAGAATCAGCAGGTATAGGTAAGTCGAATGGACGTCCAGGCATCTACACACTACGCCTGCGCCAAAATGTTGCTTATATACTCGTTATATTTCCTTTCATAGAGGGAACAATCTATGAGAGATTAGTTCTATCCACATTGTTTATATGAAACAGCGAGCTATTACAATAATGGGCATCCTTCCTCTTTTCTCCAGTCTTCCATCCCGACACTCGGATTCACTTAGCGTCACAACTATAACAGATCGCCAGATCTCTCATCCCTGTGATAGATCTTTACATCCCGGCCATAAGTCTGATCACAAGGGCCCTCGTCGATGGCTTGTGAGTTTTAAATCAAAACCCAATCCAATGATTGCGGGAAAAAAGAAAGCAAACCGGAACCGAATTATTGTTGTGGCTATTCTCGTTATGGTAGTGGGTGGTAGCGTTGTACTGTAAGTGTTCTTCATCCAACAACCAGTGTTCATACTGAATTTTTCTTAGAGTGTGGTTCTCGCTTGTCCTTGCACTGATTGATCGCCTCAAACCTCCAGTGCCATCGAACGGACTACAAAGAATTGTCCAAAAATGGAAAGGACCGGTAGATTCAGTCGCTGCACTAAGCCCCTGGCCAAAAGATTTCAGTCAGGGGATCAAACCTGTCCCCTGTCACTCACACAACGACTACTGGCGTTCAGTCCCTCTATACGAGGCCATTGCAGCCGGCTGCACAGGTGTGGAGGCAGATGTCTGGCTTGATGGCAACAATCTTCTTGTCGGCCACCGCAAACACTCCTTATCATCTGATCGTACATTGAAGAGCCTTTACGTCGACCCATTGGTAAACATACTCTCTAACCTGAACGAGAATTCCTCCACAAATGCATCAATTGGCATCTTCGAACTTGACCCTACGGCAACAGTCACTCTCCTCATTGACATCAAGACAGATGGGAATACAACATGGCCAATCCTGCTCCATCAATTAGCCCCCTTACAATCCGGTGGCTGGTTATCTTGGTGGAACGGTACTAGCAAGACGCTTACTTACGGGCCTATCACTGTTGTCGGAACAGGAAATACGCTGTTTCAGCAGGTAGTTGCCGATCAAATTCGATACGTGTTCTTCGACGCCCCTTTGAAGGAGATTTCACAGAACTATACATACACAACAGAAAACTCCTACTATGCTAGTGTCTCACTGTTTAAAGCGGTTGGAATTGTGTGGCCGTGGGGTCTCACTGATAATCAGGAGCAGACCATACAGAAGATGATCAGCGCGGCTTCAAAGAGAGGCTTAGTCTCTCGGTTCTGGGGTATCCCTTCTTGGCCTGTGAGCCTGCGTATCAATCTCTGGCGGATTTTGGTTGACAGTGGGATCGGCATGTTGAACGTGGACGATGTGGTTCAGGCGACAAGATGGAACTGGAATTGGTGTATTGTTGCCGGGGTGGTGTTGTGTTAATAAGACGCAATTGAGGGGTCGTTTCAGCTCCTATTCCAACAGATAAACCCTTTAACTAGGGTTATATCTGGGGTATAAATAGCTCTGGAACAGTATTGAATTGAATACAGAGACTGATTCTTGGGGAACTCCCATATTCCCCAAGAACTATTTAACATGAGTAGTGATGCGGCAAAGTAGCGCTGATGTGTTGACAGGGATGCACTGAGTATATGTTGGCTTCGCTGTAAGAGATTACGAAAAAACATGTGGAGTAAAATTCAGAGGAGTGAAAAAGAGGAGTGAAAAAGAAACTGTTGTGATATAAGGCTGGTGCAGATCAGGAACCAAGCCGAACCATCAGAATTAATCCCGAAGTATGTATACGAAGATCCAAGTTGATTGGAAATCAACTTGATCTTCTCGTTGTATATATAGCCTCATGTTTCCCTCTGAATAAAATATAATCAATCGTCCTTTGAAATTATAACAGAAACTGAAAGAACAACGTATGTCAACCTCGGTCATAAGCTCAAAAGTTGACTCCAGTCAACAACGACGGCCAAGCTTCAACGAGTTGACGGCTTGAGTACCTGCGCCCGCGCGACCGCGGCCTGTCGCTTTCCGCAGCCTAGACGGACAGAACCACACACAGCTCAGAAGAGTCAGAACCAACATTCGAGCGAGGCCAGAACAATTCCATGATCCTTGGATGAAAATGTGAGCGCTTTTGGTAAAATCGAAGAACGAACAGTCTCCACTGCCTCAATATTAAGACCGTAGATTCAACAGTGAACCAACGTTTCTTAACCGACTCACTTTGACCCATTCACAACACGACTCTAACATTTCTTTCTCGCTGGGTATCTAAAATGATACCAGAATGTCGCTGCAAATAGTTGCGGTAGAACGAAGGCATGGGTTGCCACAGGCTTCACTTAGGATAGGCGTCATGTCCTTCAACGTTTGCTACCTAGCAGAGCACGTACGCGACTGGAGCCGAAAAGGCATATAAATACGTTCTCTCCCCCCATCGATTTATTCTACAATTCCATCACTTGGTTACGCAAAGTCGAGCAGGGCCTGCGTTTGAGGGACCTGATAAGTTCTTCCCTTTGTTTGACCTACTGAATTTTCGCTATACTGACATCTAAAGTTCAATCGTGGACCGATAAGCTAGAATTTGCTTGAGAACAGGATTCCCACCAAATCCACCTTGCTACCCTGCCAGCGATCAAAGCAGCAGCTTTGTGAGGGGGGCAAGCCAAGCGGTACAAGGGTCCATTCACTATGACACTAAACTGGAGAGAAAAGAAAGAAAGAAAAGGGGAGGTCCGTCGAGGATCTCAATACTATCTAACCACCTGACCAATCACAATCCTCCCCTCACGTGATTAGTCACAACAAGAGAAGTCACCTCGTCACAAGGTTTCTGTTAGCGGTCAAAGTATCTATGCGAACACCTGTCCAGCATAGCAGCCGACCAGTCTCGCCCTTGAATACATCGATGCAAAAGAGCGATTTCATACAGGTATGTAGATCCCAGCGTGACCTGTCCGAGACTAGACTGACTTCAAGGACGATGCGAAACGAAAACCCATGCATTCCGTCTAATGCACGCGCAAAGCCATGGAACCCTTTCCCATGTCTTCTTTCAGATCATGTGAGTCATGCACTGCCTCGCCTATCGACAAGCTAATGATGGACAGGAGACCGCTGACAGCGCACCAAAGTGAGTCCGAACCAGCACTCTGCCATAGAGTGCGCCAAAAACCGCAAACCCGCAAAGTTGAACCGACCCAAACCGCACTTGGTTCGGTTTTTGGGGCTAGTTCTAAAACCCACTGCGGTTTGTGGTTTCTTAGGTTCAAACCGCAATGGTTTTTAGGGCCCTAATAGGTTGTCAAACAAGGCAAACTTCAAGCGCTAAATCACGTACTTAGTTTTTCATTGGTTTATATCGATTTCTAGACTACTTTGTAGAGCTATTTTTAAAATTTATGCAATTTTATGCAAATATGGATTTTGTTGGGGCCCCCTATCACCTATGCCAGTGTCAGGACCCTCGACTACTTATGTTGGTACCTGAGGCACGAGTTGGTGCCTCAGGAATCGTGGCAGTATAGTACTGCTCACCGCCCGGAAGCTGGGCCAGCCTGTATTTAGTTCATCCCCGCTGACCCTGGGAAGGGTCAGCGTTCAGTCTCTCCTACAATAGAACCCTATTGTACCACACGTCAGCTGAGGCTTCTACTTCGCTTACCAAGCCAAACCAGAGACTCTGCGTGGTCTCACACTCGTCGCAGGCTACCACGCTAGTTCTAGAGAGGCGTTCTTAACGACCACGTAAAACATCATATACCGATATACTTGCACAATCAAAATACGATAGTTGAAGATGTTGCGGCTATTAGTCAGGTACTTCCTATCTCCTGATTGGTCAATGCTCACTTGCATTCCAAGTATCAGTCAAGCAACACAATATCACTTTAACTTCTTGTTCCTTCCTTTCCTTCTCATCGTTTCAGGGCCACAGCGTGCGCAGCGCGCTTCACCAGTTCATGATATCTCTCGATTCTTCCTCATTGGTGTTTGGTTGGATTCCTGTTCACGTGCTTCTGTCTTGCTTTTGTCGTCTTTCGTGTGCATCCTCTTGCCTTGCAGGGATCATCCTGGCGTTTTCCCATTATATCTCTCAATTACCGTCCATGCTTCATACGTATTGCAAGCCCCATCCCACCCGGTAGGTTAATCGATCTCCATTTTACTCTTCGTATTTCCCTTGCCATGCACAGTAGAATCCGCAGATCAGTGGGTCGTCCTCATAAGTCCACTAGTAGGCAACTCTTTAGGTCGTTTGCCCCGTTTTTCATTGCTGTATGTTTCCCCCGGAGGGCCCCAAAATAGACGTGCTCTTTTCGCACCACCGCCATCTTGGGCCAGCCTTAATTCCTTTTCGCGCGCTCGTACTCGTTGACTGTGGATTTTGCTTTGTCGTTTCCTCCTATTTCTTGCGGCGATATCGTCTGCACTCTTGCCCGTAAATATTCTTCTTAGCCAGTCCATGAGTACTAGTAATCGATCGGGGTTATTAGATGCGGTATCTACAGCCCCATAACTTTTGAATGGTGCCAGTGAGACCAATGGACTAGAGTGTGTTCTGTAGAACAGATATCTTTGTCTGCTTTTGCGGATCACTATTAGTATTATATGCGACCACATAAAATTGATCATACATACGCTAGGTGAGATAATTTTCAGAATGATTGATGGTATTGCCTTAGGGTGTGTGGCCTTCTATGTAACCTTGAACAGAAAGCCGCAGCCCTATTCAATGGTGATACCGATCCAAATGAAGGCCCAACATGTACTCAGCCACGCAGCCTTCAAAGTACAATTTCAAGAGCTAAACCCAGTAGATCCTGAAGAGTAATGAATTTTGAACCTCAAATTGAAGCGAGAAGCAGGAAGCACCCCGCAATTAAATGTTGGACGCGAAGGGGGCATTTTATGAGTGCACATGTGACACTACTAAGACCGAAAAGGTTCGACGCGGCAATAAGCGAGGCTGTGCAGGGTTCAAATCACACAATGATTGGGTACTATGAATTGGGGGCCGTTCCATTCCCCCCTTGACATCAGCTTACATTCCTCTCAGCGTTTCAAGCGGGTACTTTCTCTGTACTCTGTACCTCGTGCTCGGCGTGTCACCGCAGTATACTGTACGAACCAAAGTTGAATTAGGTCATCGATTCACATAGTAACGTAATTCCCGGTCGAGTGGCCATCCCGGTCGAGTGGCCACCTCAAAACACCATACTAAATGAGAAAAATTACAACTTAGTATCTCAACAACCACTTTTTAATTTTAGCTCCTTATTTATTGTTACTTATACATAAGACGTACGTACACTATATGTCAATTTGAAAGAGAGTAGAAGGCTATATTACTATTATTTCGAAAATTACCGAAAATTACATTGCTAAAAACTAGAAATATATATATCTTGATCACTAAGTTATAAAATTCCCCTAAACTCCTTGAAGAGGCTAGATATCACCTAAAAAGTGTTCTGCCATAAGGCAGAATCCTTATATACCACCGCTGTTAAGGTATTAAGTTGTAAATTATCCGATTTAGTATGGTGTTTTGAGGTGGCCACTCGACCGGGATGGCCACTCGGCCGGGAATTACGTTAATGTATTTCACATGCGAGCTGGACACCCAGAACACCATAGTAAATGCGATATATTCTACACTGATATCTCAACAGCCACGGTTTTATTTTGATTTGTTATTTTCCAATAGCCTTTGATGAGGCTTTTTATCATTATATATTAATTTTGAAGAGAATTAAAGCCTACAATGCTGCGGTATCGAAAATTACGTTGCCCGAAGCTAGAGATATATATATCTCAATCTTGAAGGGATAGAAATTCATTAAACTCCTCTAAGAGTCTAGATAGCACCTAAAAAATATTGGTTTATAAGGATAAGTCCCTATAACCTATGGTTGTTGTGGTACTATTTTGTAATTTATCGCATTTACTGTGGTGTTTTGGGGTGTCCAGCTCGCATGTGAAATACTTTACCACTTGGGTATTCCTCATACGCCACTTCACAATAACCAACCACGTGGAGTGCAAAAGGCCTTTTCCGCTGCATACACGCGCAGTCCCCAGACACTATTCTCGACTACCGGACTTGGCTGTTTCCAGTAATACATGTAACATTCCACGCTGCTTCATTTAATTGCGTTTAACATAACCTCACCAGCATAGTGTGTTTGACCAAATGCTCTGCTTTGTGACCCCCCAACACTAAACATTTGTTTGCGGGAAAATAGTAGAGCCTCAGCATTGAACGGCTCTGCATCTTGACCGCGTCTGTAGGCGACCGGTACAGTAAGAAAGAGAATAACCATGAAGGTTGAAACGGGCGGAGGCCTTTTTTTAAACGGTGACTTACCCCTCAGAATCCAGTTCTAGACCCACTCTCTTGCCGTGTTGATCTGCATCACCTGCAGTTCCTATCACTAACGCTCTTGGACACTTTGATTCTTTTGTCCTCGGCCTGGTTCAAAGCAAAAATGGAGTCGCGATCACTCGATGCCAAGCCCTTTCCGAAACCACTCAAATCTTTCCCGAGTCAGGGGTTTGGTGAAACCATCAGCAATTTGTTCTGTGGTTGGGACATAATTGAGCTGTACTGATCCGCTGTCCTGGACCTCTCCCTGCCACTTGCGTTGGATTTCCATATGTTTTGTGCGGGAGTGGTATTGTGGGTTTGAGGGGAGAGCGATGGTACCTTGTTTATCACCGCAGATGATCGTGGCGGTTGTTCCTTGGTTCATATTCAATTCATTGAGAAGTCGTCTCAGCCAGACTGCTTCTTTGGTGGCTTGTGTCTGCCCTAGAAACTCGGCTTCACAGGTTGAGAGGGCAACGACGCCCTGGCGTTTCGATTGCCAACTAATTGCTCCACTTCCAATGTTAAAGAGATACCCAGCTGTTGATCGTCTCGTGTCACGATGTCCTCCTCAATCTGCGTCTGTGAAGCCTTTCAGCGTCTGAAGCTGACCCTTGTACGCGAGTCTAAGGTTCTTGGTTCCCTTGAGGTACCGTAGGATACGTCGGGCGAGTTTTATGTGCTAGGGCCCAGGATTTGCTAGAGATCTACTCGCCATAGAAACTGCGTATGCGATGTCCCCTCTGGTTCCAAGCATAATATACATCAGAGATCCGACAATGCTTTGGTAAGAGGTCCTTTGATCCGGGGAGCACGTGTAGTCTGGACTATTTTCTAGGAGCGGTGAAGTTTACAGACCCTTGGAGAGCCGTCCGTCATGTGATAGGGCTGTTCGACGTAGATCTCGTGGTCAATATTTCCGTACAAGAATGCGGTTTTGACATCCGTTTATTCGATCTCCAAGTCCAGGTAGCGGAGACGGTGCCACGCTGGACAGCGGCATCGCTGGACCTGTCTTGCCAGTCGAAATCGCAGACCCGGTCCTCTACGAACTTTGGGTCAGTGAAACCTCTAGTCAAGGGTCGACTGTACCGTTTTTGATATTGGTCTAGGACTATCTAACATACCGAAAGGTCTATATACTAAGACTGCCAAGCAACAGGGACCATCAACAGAAGAGAAACTGGACCAACAGGAGCAAGCCTTATCACCCGATTAACTGCACCAGATATCACATTAGTTCCTTTATAATCAACCCCCCCTTTCCCTATTCACTTTTATTTCCAATCTAAAGTCGTCCCTGACGTCGCTAGGTATTTCCATCGCGAAAAGATGCTTCTCCTATTTCTTTACCCCGCAGCCGCGATCCTCATATTTGCTGCCCCAATTGATGCCACATGTTACAATCCCGACCGGACAGTCGCGTCCAACGCGGTACCTTGTAGCAGCGATAATGCCACTTTTTGCTGTGCGACGGGCGCAATTTGTCTCAGCACTGGATACTGCCTCGGTGCGACCACCCAACCATTTACGTTGTATCGCGGTTCCTGCACGGATTCTGGGTGGGGAAGTTTCTGCGCTTATTATTGCGGTCGGTTTATATCTACCTCTAGACTGATTCGCAAATTTGACTGACTGACACTGCACAGTAAATCACCAGACCGGCTCCAACGCCCCGATTGTCAGCATGGGGCTGAATAACGACAACCGCGCAACTTACTGCTGCGGCTATCAAAGCGAAAATAATAACGCTACTAGATGCTCCAATGGAGATGCGCCCTTTGTATTGGATGATGGAGATATGATATTCGGTCGGGCCGCGCTGGTTAATGTTACCGCCAGTGGGTTCGACCCGTCCACAACAAAAACCACCAATACTACGGGGGGAAACGAAGGAAACGGAGAAACCCCTTCACGTAATAGCACTGCAGTAATTGGCGTCGGCGTCGGCGTCGGCGTTCCACTGGGCGTTTTGGTGCTGTGTGGTGTGGCCTGGGCCCTCACTGAGCGACGACGAAGTAGGCGACGCCAACCGACCATGACTGGGGCTGAGCAAGCGACTGAACAGGCTTATCGACCTCCGCAACGAAAGTCTGGCCCGACAGAATTGTATCAGCCGACGAAGACGAACTCGGATACTTTGATTCATGGGTCCCCTCTCGTGGAGATTATGGGGTCTGAAGCGCGACGGGATTGACCTGGGCTCTGGCCGTAGAGCGACGTTCTTTCAGAGAACTCAAATTTACTTCTATGTTCATGGTAGACATGGAGATCAATAAAGATGTGAGTAACTGAAAAACAACTCTTTCTTGGCAAAAACGTTTTATTGAAATATCTAGCCAATCAGAGGTCTCATGGCCTCGTGAATTAGTTCATCGTAATCTGTCGGAACTTGCTGTCTTCCGTAACTTGCTCAGCCAATGAGGGCATTGAAATCTCTGTCTTTTATTACTTGCTATTTCTTGCTATTTATGCTATGCTCATCCTTAGTAATCCGCTCATTCGGAGTTACTATAATTCCGGTTCTCAATCCGTATTCATGAATGCAGCACTGACACACCCCCTTAGCAAGCGTAGTGTCGCTGGCTTGCTGCCACTGGGAATAGCTTCATGAATCAGCGAGTTCTCTAATTGGCCCGTCAACCTCTCCCTGGCGTCTTTCCAGCATCCACTAAGTGGCTGATGTCCACCAAGTGAAGCATTTTCACAAAACGCTCGTGCTGCTGTCTTGGTAGCAATTTTGTGAGGCCGTCGGCTACCATTCTGGTAGTAGGCACCTATCGGATCGAAATCCGGCCTTTCTGCACTTCCTATCTTAGCCATAGGTGGTGAATGTCTATATGACGAAGCTTGGTGTCGAAGCTAGCATCCTGAGACGTGAGCAAGTTGATCGCTCTCTTATTGTCGTATTCAATGCTAATAACGTGAGAAGGATCGAAACCAATATGCCGCAATAGTCGTCTCCACCATTGAAGGTGCTTACTAGCTTCTGAGAGCCCAAGAAGCTCTGCTTCCGTTGTTAATGTAGTTACCGTCCGTTGTTTGGTGGCCTTCTAGTCCATAGGTGACCTCGGCAAGGACCGGGTCCGGTCCCAACTTTGAGAACCGGGACCGGACCATGCGGTCTTTGGTTTTTTTTTCAAAGTAGTCAGGACCGCACCACGGTCCCCCGTGGTCCTTTGCGGTCCCCTATGCGGTCCCCCGCAATTTCATAATTATGCCAAGACCTTCCTTGTTTGGCCGTATAAACTGATTATTCAGCCACGTTTTTTACTGTTATTTAACACTGTTTTGGTATCTACACAAATTTTGATAATGAATCAGGTCTAACAATCAATAAAATAGTTGAAACTACCTTGTATCTGATTTCATAAAGCTTGGTATTAAGTTAATTACCAATGAACTTTCAATTTCGGACTATTGTGGTTGACATTTTAGAATTTACTTCTGATCATACAAAGATATATATATTTTCTATATAGGAGCACTTGTACGCTTAGGAAGAGTTATAACTATTAATATCCCTAGCCTAGATTTCTAACGGCCGTCAGAATTTAAGCCTATCTATTGCCTAGAAACTATTGATATTCCTACTAGATATCTAATAGCTATTATCATTTAGGCCGATTAATACGCGTTAGATATAGATTATTTATAGGATCTAGACCTTGACATTTCCCATGGGACTAGCGAAAATCTAGTCCCATAGGAATTCCTACAGAGGTCTAGTCCCGTGGACCCACTCCCATGGGAGTAAAAAAAAAATTTGGTCCCGCCATAGGAATTCCCGTGGGACTCCCATAGGACTAAAAAAATTTCCTATCTATACATTATTTTCATAATAATAATGGATAAATCGCTGAGTTATCATGATAGAATACGGTAATTTAAAGGTGTTTCAGCGAGTATCCAAACCAACCAAGTATTCATTATTTTTGATATATTCCGACCATAATTTTGTGATTATTTAGTATAGCTTCAGTATCATTTAATATAAACATTCGTCACCTTGATCCTATTTTTTTCACACTTTCTAACTTACCTCAGAAAGTGAGGGCTGACATAGAGATATCATACCTAGTAACCTTCAATTTAAATCAGAAAGCGAAGCTTTTATAAGCATCTAGTACACCTATTCCAATATCAATATTCGTTATCTAACTATCCTTAATACTAATCTATCACATTTTCTAACGTATCTTAGAAAGTGAGGGCTAAAACAGAGACATCCATATGAAAGAAACTTCAATTTAAATCAGAAAGTGAAGCTTTTCTAAGCATCAAGTAAACCTACTCTAATATCATTATATCACTAACGATATAAATTGGCTAATACAACACTTATTCTAATTCTCTCTTCTTTATAATTCAATAGGAGCTACTAGGCGGCAAGACTCTAGTCAACCGCACCGGCGGCTCGGAGCCGCCGGCTCCTAGCCGATCTCTAGAATAACGAGGATCATATTTTCCGCAAGGTCAAGCTCCGTGTTGATAAGGTCCAAGGCAAGAACTACTTGACCAACTTCTATAATCTACTACAAAATCGTCGTTAGGGTCAAGTTTATCGCACTATTAACACATTGTCTTTAATATTATCACTGTTTTATTGCACACCACACTGCAACCAACTTAAATAAACTTCTTTTGTGGATACTATATATATACATATTTTTGTGTAGAGACTATACTAAAGACATAAATCGACTAACATCCCGTACCTAGACTTTCTGACGTCCGTCAGAAAGTAAGCTTATAGAGGTTAATAACCTCACAAGTGCTAGATTAGAAGGTATATATACGAAGTCCTCCCCCTTTTCAAACCTTATCTTCTATTTTCCCCACCCTTATCACTACTATACGTGACGTCCGTTAGAATTTAAGGCTCTTTCTACCCACCTACCTTTGATACCTCTTAGTCTACCTTTTTGACGTCCGTCAGAATTTAAGGCTATTTCCTACCTACCCACCATTAGTATCCTCTTAGCCTATATTTCTGACGGACGTCAGAAATTAAGGCTATTTCCTACCTATCTACCTTTGATATCCCTCAGCCTATATCTTTGACGGCCGTCAGAATTCAAGGCTTTTTATGAATCATCACTAACACCGTCATAGTATCCTTACTACTAACACCATCGCCGTTCTATTATTTGACCACTAGAATCACCCTTCTTACATCTCCCCGCGTTATACACTATCATAGCTTCAACCCGCCGCTCCAAGCTAGTTAGTAACATCAACTATGCTCCTGATTTCATCACGGCTATCGAGAATTCAGCCTCAAAGCTTGCTAGTTGTTATGGTTTCCTAACTATAGCCTCTCTGCACAAAATCTATAGCCTCGACCCAAACTTCAAACACTCTCGCGATATCATCGATCAATTCGCCGCTAATCGTGCCAACTCCTTTAATCATCCAAATCTCTCCGCTGGCTAGAAGCAGATCCGCTTCTCTATTATCAAACACGCCTTTGATAATGCCCTAAAATAGAGTCCTACTCTCGCTGACTCTCAGCGCCCCACGGTTAGAAAGCATAATGTCGATACGTCCTGCCTCTTCGAGATTCGCACACTTTGGTGGATTGTTCGATTGATACGCACCCGCAACACCAATATATTCAAGGCATCCTAGGTCACTAAATCCCCCTTCTCGTTTGACGCCAAAGAGGTTCTATATACATAAAAGACTCTTATTTTCTTTGCAAACAACATCAAGAAGAACAAGAATTACATTAACACGGTACCCTAGTCTTCGCAATCAGCCGTGCCCAAACTTCAGACTAGCACGACTTCCACCGTAGCTACTATAGCTACTACATCAAGTGTGGAGAACGCTATTGTCCTTAATAGCATTCAAATAGATCCTGTTAACACCGAAGACACCTTTCCACTAGATATCGACCTCCTCGATATAACCCTTTTCGACAGCGCCCCTTACCTATCCCTACTCACTGGTATTACCTATGTATTAGCTCACCCCACAACAAGCTTATTGGCTCGAGCCCCACTTATCCCCGCTAACCATGACAGCCTTATTCACGCCCTCACCAAGGGGAAATAGGCACAGAAATATATTCTTTACTAGGCTCCCTCTACCAAGACTTCCTAGGTATCGGACCTCCTAGCTAATCTAAAAACCCCTTCCGCCAACAAGCTAATCTCGTCGAGCGAAGCACTAGCCGAAATTGCCAATAAAAACGCCGAGAAGCACACTTACCGGGACCGGCAGCTAAAGACCAGTCATAACGATCGCCCCCTATAGATCCCAGATCTACCCGAGTAGGTCTATTAACAACGCTCAAGTCTTACCGTCTCTACTACCCCGCGAAGCTTCACGGATAGTCTCGCCTATGCCTATATCTCGATTAATTCCAATAGTGATAGCTTTATCGCCCCCCCGAACACGTATAGAGTGCCTCCTACGACTCTTATGCCTTGGCAAGTCACGGCTACATCGTGGATGCTTGACTAGGAAGCAAGTCCAGTGGCCGGTGGTATCCTAGCGGATATATGCGGCTTAGGCAAAACACTTATAGCCTTATCTCTCGTGTGGTAGGCCTCCCAATACCAAATCGCATAGGCCGATCCGGCTCCGTTCCGACCCACTCTGATCCTAGTGCCGTCCTCGTTAATCGACACATAGGCGAACGAAATCCAAGCTCACTTCGGTAATGCGTTTACCCTCTAGGTGTTTCACGGTTTTACTAGCCGTACAGGCGATACTATACGCAAAAAGCAGACGCTGAATACCCTTACTCGTCTCCGCGAAGAGCTCGCCTTGATAGATACCAATGATTCCGCTACTAGCCGCACTATCATCCTTAGTTCATACACCATATAGGCCAAACGCACACTTGTGGAGGTACTTCCGGATAGCACCACGAAACCCACTCCAAAGCGAGTCAATCAGGATCACAATAAGGATACCGCGGTGCTAGACCACGACTACTAGAATAAGGATGACTTAGACATTGCAGATAAAGATAACGACCAAGTGCCTAGTTCTCTACCTAGCTCTCTACTAGGGACTCCACCTATGATGTCTGCCTGCCAAGAAGCAGTTGAAGTTCTTGCCGTCCTACAGGATAACGACACCTCCGGTTTATCAGATCCCGAGGCTGCTCTCGAAAAGTCTTAGAAGAAGAAGGTCCGCCGTTAGTTCCAGCCACTATTGAATTTCCACTTTGAACGCGTGATC